TTATTGTATTCAGAATCTGGGAACCTTGTATTGCCGCCCTATTTCATACAGTTCAAACAGTGTCAGCAGAGCTGATGCGAGAAATAAAATACATTGAATAATGATAGTCATACCTGCTTCATCTCCTTCTTGCCATCGAACAGGGCGTTTTGGGCCAACCATTCCTCTTGTCTAAAAAATAGTGAGTGACATTGATTCTATACTATTAGCCGTATTCACGTAAATCAATCACTAAAAGTATCGAGACACATAATAAACAGCCAATCTCATGAAATGGCTGATGTCCATCATGGATGTTGTGTCTATTGAAGAAGCAGTCCATTGCAGTAGCAAACCAATGAATGTCTAACCATTGTATATTGCAAGATAATACAAGTGCTCCATTCTACGTGAATACGGCTGTAAATCATATTTCAAAAACTTACGCGGTTGGATACGATCGGAAGTCCATGTGGGATAGAAACCATCTGGGGTGTTGTGGTCGGAATAGGAAGTGGAAGTTTAAACACTGTTTGTAAGACTTCGTCTACATTGACAATAGGGCCTAATCATAATATAAAACTAAATGTAAATAAATCGTCATCCACGACATTGTTTTGACAGCAAATACTAGTATATCACAATACATGCCATCAAAGTGATTGCTCTGAGGAAGACTAGACATAAAGGATGCTAAATATTCTGAAATAGTAAAATCAGGTTGTGGAGGCGGAACATCTCCGTCTGGGCCAGGTGTACCCTGCAATCTGGGGGGTGGCTGGATCACCCCACTAGCAGCAAACACCTTTGCAGTGCCGGGTTCAGGTCGATACATGGTCCACTTTGATAAATCTGGCCGAGGAAAGCGAGACGATTCAAATGATCCAAGCATCAAAACAGGATGGTTTTTTCCATGGGTAGGGGTGTTGGATCCAGCAAATTGAGTAGGTTTGGAAGTAGCTGCTGGCGGTGGTACGCGAGTTACTGTCCGCAATGCTGGAATTCCAAGCTCATGTTCACCAATGTAATTTATGTCAAAGTACCGCCAACGATTGGCTACTCGTATCACAGATTCCAACGAATTGGTGCTTTCTATCCAAATTTAAAACAACAAAGGTAAACTACTAAAATACCGACATTACATATAAAACCTCAACCATCACACATACCTTGAGGATACAAATCTTCATATCGCTTTTCGGCCTTTTGTAGCATACCCAAATCTCCAAATTGCATCTCATAATCAACATACTTTGATAAAACTACATGAGCTTTTTCAGACGGCAACAGAGCCAATGCGCGCTCAAACAATGCACGGGTATTGTTGTCGTCGTTCAACCCAATCAAAAAGTCAATGTAGTGGAGAATGTAGCCACTTGCATCCACATTATCTGTAGTACAAAATACTTTCATGCCAAGTTCAAAAATCTTGCCTGCAACTACTGGATCCTTGTTTAAATGAAACTCCATCAATGCTGGAATGAAATATTTGCAGAATTAAATTGACATTAAAATACCAAATCAAATGGTATAGGTGTAGTGAGTAACTATAGGTACTCTACCTGATGCAACGTAAACATGATACGTAATCAACGGTGACTTTCTTGCGCGACTAAAGATGACACGGGCTGCTTTAATGTTCTATAAGTTCGGTTGAATAAAAGAATTAGGGTGAAATTTGCTCACTGCATGCATATGCAGTCACTTGTAACAAGTCTACAATACCTGATATCGTCGAGCCAGACGAATATAGATCACCCAGCTCAGTCCAACAGCACAGCTAATTTGTGCTACCTTTCTTGCTCTACGGCTTTCAACACGCTCCTGCACTTCACGATTACGCTCCTTTTCCAACTCTCTCTCTCGCTCACGACGTTCGCCATCCCAAGTCGTTTCGTTAGTATCCTCACCCTCCACTTTGTCTGCCTCGCGTAGCTGCGCAAGCAAAGCCTCCCGCTCCACATCATATTTTTTGTGTATTTCCGTATGAGACTCGTCTAGTTTAACAAGAAGAGTGTCCAACGTAACTTGAATCTCTTTAAAATCGCACTTTTGAGATTCTTGAAGCTCCACAAGAGTAAATGAGAGCAATAAACTAGATATTAAACAATAAGGTTAGATTTTTTGGTCGATACTATAATCGGCAATGCCATTCAAAGCAATTACCTTGTGGGGTTAACTGTAATGCCAGATTTTAGATACTCTTTTGCCTCCTCGTTATGACCGAGATTGCTCATGTATTTGCAAGCATCGTACCTGAATATAGATTACCAAATTAAATGGTATTTGATAAGCAACTGAAAACACAGTACTGTGATGCAAGCCAAAATACTGCAGTACCATAATTCGGGAAAATACTGTAATTGTAGCAGAGCTGTTTTAAACGCATATGCAACGCGTGTAAGCAATACAGCGGAACTTTCGATATGAAGTGGGTTAGATTGCTCCCATGCAATATATCGCTTCCAAGAACTCAACTGCCAGCACGATCCGTCAAAAATCATTCAAATAGCCATCAATCTGTGTTAAAACACACTAGAACTTGTAGTGTAGAGTCAGCATAAAAAGTATTCTTACCAACTGAACTTCGTGTGTAGCCCAAGTGGGGGGTCGAGCAAGCCATGTTCTTTCTAATGCACTCATTGGATCGGTAAGAATCTTCATGTCACGAATAGCAGCACGCGCAGTCATGTAACCAGCAGCTTTTTCTGCAATAAGCTTCTTTGCCTAAATAAACACCATGAATGCTTCTATTTGTCAAGCACACTAGATAGATCACCCAAGCTTTGGCCAATAGACGCAATCATAAAGTTTCATTGAAAGCGTAATTTACGAACCGTGATCTTGGAAAGGTTATTCTCAAACGCATCATACTCTTTCCATATTTGCTCGACATCAAGTAACGGAGTGTGGACAGCACGATGATAGATTTTACGAAGATGGTCCATTTTCTTTTGCTCTTCATAGTTTGAGGCCACCTGAAATGAAATATTATTTTATAAAACCGCCCACAAGATAAATGTAAACAATGAATTGATAAAATAGTTTATAAACAATTATCAGTTCCATAAAAATAAATAGTGTTGCATGTTTGTTTTGATGGAGCCTGTGCACTAATATAATATGCAGCAGCCAGCACTTTAAAAAGACAAAGATTGCTTTGTTGGGATGGTCGGGTTGAATATGGTCTTGAACAAAAGTCCCGAAATATAATAATTCACAGTTAATGATTAAGAATATTAACAGACGGTGGCATTGTATTCAATTATTAAAGACACAATTCAACTTGGCCACAACACTATTTCCAATATCCCAAATAATCAGGATAAAGCAAATGGGTTCATAAAGTGAAACTATATACACTCATGAAAAACAATGCAATTGAATTCAACCATGCACAAATCATCATCCATCTAATGCACATCTCAATCATGAATACATAGTCGACTCAAATCACCAAAATCTACCTGCATGTTTTCTACAAAATGAATATAATCGAGCCAAATTGAACCAGACTTAATATCCGTTCCGACACTGGACAAGACATACTCAAATGCCTTGATCACGGTGTCGTTTGACTCCTGTGCCTGAATGGATGCAGGATCCCGCGGAGTATGAACTTGCAAAATGTAATTAATGTAAAATTTGTGAAGAGCAACCGACGGAACAGAATGGAGGCAGCGAGAAAAGACCTTTTCCATACGATCATGAGCCTCCTGTCTGCGCTCAAATTCAGCCAACTGAATCCAGTGGCGAGCCTATGGTGTACAAATCAACCGATAGTATAACATGTGAGCCGAATCCAATGCGATTGTAAGTTGGCAGATCAGCTTAAAACAAACGTGCAATTGCTTACAGAAGTAGGGAAACGCTCTAGAAACTCGTTATAGGCCTGACGGACCATATCTTTATCTCCACAATGCTCGGCTTCACGCAGATATACTGCCCATATATCTACATCAAAGGGGTTATGCACAAGTTGTTGGCGAAGGATGACCATTCGAGCCAGAGCCGGATTCTGTTGTGCAGCATTCGCACCCAGTGCAACAAGAGGGTTCCATGCACTTGCTGGTGCCTGGTTTAAAGTTGCAGGATTCACAGTAGCAGGAGTTTCAATCACAGTAGCAGGAGCCTCAATCACATCAACAGGAGTCTCAATCACATCAACTGCTGTTGTGGTTGATTCAGACTCCAAAATTGATGCAGTGTTACCATTGGCTGCATCAAGAGGAACAGACAGTGCCGTAGTAGCGCATGAACTGTCAGCACACACAGCTGCTATCATTCATAAAAACATTAGTAGTTTATCATTGTAGAACTGCAAGCCAATGCAGTGGTGCATAGTTCATAAATATGATTTGCTAAACAAGATATGCAACCACAACCGAATAAAGCAGTAGCATACCTGCTTCAGATGAAATTGCTTCAGATTCATCATCGACAAAAGCCTGTGTAGTGTGAATCTGATCCGTATTATCAACCTCGGCTTCCATGTTGATTCTACTCGATTCAACTTGTAAAATTGTAATTTTTACATCAACTCATGCGCGACAATCGAGTTAGATCACACACTCGACTACATGATTTGTAATATTGTTCATTTCTGTATTCACATAAAATGAAACATTGAAAATCTAATAAACCGCCAATCTCATGCAATGATTGCTATCAATTTACTGTACAACATTCTGGTGATTGGCATGTATAGTTTCATTACAGATTGTTGGACTAGGACACACATCTAAAATACAAATACAACAATGATGAGTTTAGCAATATCTGAATTACAATGGGTGAATCTGGTGGTTGTGCAATATGTGATTATACCAAAATGTGACAAAATGATGGTTTGTATAATATGGCAAACATTGTTTATTGAAACAGTCAATTTGTATTAAAACAATAAATATTTAACTATTATATAAACCAATCTGAAATAAATGCAAATATTTTATTTTGTGAATACAACTCGACAGAATTTGCATTGTTTTTGATTGAGTTTTCGAGTTTAAAATATTATGTTACCATGTTCCAGTATCGGCTAAAACATCCTCATACATTTGACCCCATGTCTGTGTACTCTGATCTTCCTGTTGCTGAAATTGTGTTTGATTATGCTGTGGATTCAGTTCCTTATCAGTCAGTTTTAAATTCTTGAATTGTTTTACTTCTTTGCAGTCATCATCTGAGCTTGTAGCCAATTCTTCATCAGAAACTATAGACGCGGTTGAAGTTGGCGATACCCATGGAGTATACTCGATTACAGGAACTTCATACATGACAGCTATTTTCTGACCATCTGCAGACAACTCAAATATTTTGTTTGCATTTGTTGATCTAAGAGCATCGATCAATCTGGTACGTGTTTTGCAGATCTGTCGAATTCGCAGCATGCTCCAGAGTTCATCAACTTCAATGATGGAGCCTGAAGGAATCACTAAACAAGAGGAATCTTTTGGAGGCGTAATGAGATATGGCACTCGATCTTGTATCTCTTGAATAATGTTTGCATCTGTAAATCCAGTCTCTTCAAAGTACGGAAAAGTGGTACGTGACACATGTGCAAATCGGATTTGAGGTGGAGATACTCCCAGTTGAGCAAAATAATCAAAAGTCAGTGATGGAAACAATACATCCTCTTTTTTGCAGAATATAGCAAATTGTGAACAAAAGCCAACATCGTGAATCTTTTTCCTGATATCCATAGGCTCTATACCAACTCCCGTGAATGTTACATTGTATCCATACTTGCTTGCAATGGTAGTTGCCCTAATATTCATGCATTATTATAAGAATTAATAAGCTGAGTAGTACGATCCGACATGCATTTCAAACAAGAAAATTATACACAGAGCTTTAACACACCATTCTTGAAACGCTGGACGATCCCATTCAAATCGGTGATCGTCGTGACGAAACTTTGAATTGGAAGTTCCATACTGCAATTCGGAAAAATATACATTGTACTCTGCATTGGGAGTAGATACTATCAGCAGACTGGGTCGGTATAATCCCAGTACAATTGCAGGAAATGTCGCAAGGACAGGGGGATCCAGATGTTCTATTCTAAAAGTAATCGCACAATCAAATGAGTTGGCATTTTATAATGAAAACTAACCATATATAAATGCTTGGAATATACCACTTACACTTCTAGACACGTCATAGCATCAAATCCCACAAATCGCTCATCTGGTTGATCCAGCGATCCTAATACAGAGCATTTCAGGATAAATACGTGGCTGCTGCAATTTCCATCTATTAAACTATAGGAAACACCACAAACAGGATGTTATAGTATTTTACCATGGAACAGGTCTAGCTCTACGGGGAGTTCTCTCAAGTAGGCATGATCCATTTCTGAAGGCTGACATGCGTAGTGGCATCCAGACAGAACATTCGAATCGGCGTCCACGCCAGCCAAGTATGTAAACTGAGTGTCATTGAGTAGTATCTGTAGTAATGCACCTTCTCCACATCCAATGTCACAGACCTTTAGCCATACATTTGGTCAGTTTCAATATGTATATTGTTTTAAATGGTGTTAAGCATGACAATCGGATTAATTCAAATTCCAAAACTCGTTCTATAAACAGATACCATGGACATATAATGCTAATACAGACAAGCACAAGACTCAAACAGTAGTAGACAAACTGAATGGTGATCAGAGGTATTTGTATGGACTGGTTGCAATAGCAATCAAAAACTTGCCTTGTGTGCATTGTGCAACTTTAAAGTAGTGGATGCAAGTGTTCTACGCTGGCGCCAAAGGGCAGGACTAAAGAATGTTTTATCATCTACTTGATCCATGCACTTGGAAACAACTCTAATATCAGAGTCGGTGATTTCCATATCCAAATTCATTTATCAATTATACTGCTTGAATCAAGTCGATTGCGCTCAAGACAAGAAAAGTACTTGTTGAATATTTCAAGTTGGCAATGCATTCGAGTTTATATTTGCAAAAACAATGCAAATTCTGTTGAGTTGTATTCACAAAATAAATATTTGCATTTATTTCAGATTGGTTTATATAATAGTTAAATATTTATTGTTTTAATACAAATTGACTGTTTCAATAAACAATGTTTGCCATATTATACAAACCATCATTTTGTCACATTTTGGTATAATCACATATTGCACAACCACCAGATTCACCCATTGTAATTCAGATATTGCTAAATTCATCATTGTTGTATTTGTATTTTAGATGTGTGTCCTAGTCCAACAATCTGTAATGAAACTATACATGTCAATCACCAGAATGTTGTCCAGTAAATTGATAGCAATCATTGCATGAGATTGGCGGTTTATTATAGATTTTCAATGTTTCATTTTACGTGAATACGGAAATGATAATAAATATATATATTCTTTATTTCATGAATCATTTGAAGTTTGCTTCAACTGGCAAAATTGGTAGATCTGTAGAATATACTTACTGCAAGTACTTGGTGACTCACTTTTATGGTGATCACCACTTTTTCAAATTTAGAGGTTTCGGACCTGTCTTGTTTGGCGGCTTTGGGCTCGATTTCTTGGGTAATTTTGGACTCGGCTTCTTTGGGGGAGGTGTCGGATCTAATGACTCGACTCGTTTTGGCGGAACTGGTGGTTCTTGATGAGCCGATTGTCTTGGAGGAACGGGTGGACTTGATGAACCTGATGAACCTGATGGGCCTGGCCTTTTCCCTACTTTTGGCGGCAAAGAAGGTGGATTTGATTGATCTGATGGAGGTTGCAAGATTGGTTTTTTCCCTACTTTTGGCGGCAAAGAAGGTGGGCCTGATTGATCTGATGGAGGTTGCAAGATTGGCTTTTTCCCCATCTTTGGCGGCAGAGCGGGTGTGCCTGATTGATCTGATGGAGGTTGCAAGATTGGCTTTTTTCTCGGTGCCGGAATGGGTGTGTCTGACGGTCTCGTTGGTGAATTGGATGGGCCTGGGTTGTTTCTCGGCGGCAGAGCGGGTGGGTTCGATCGATCTGATGAGCCTGGCGGTTGTGGGCCATTTTGCTTAGCCTTCAAGTCTTCTATATCCTTTCGTACTTGTCTAATATCTTCAAAGTCGCTACCCGAATCAGAGTTCATTCTTATAGGCTTGTTTCCGTTTTTAGGATTTGAATTTGGACTATGATTAATATCGGCATATATTACTTCATTACCGCCTTTAGGAGCTGAAGGTCTAGGTTTTCGATCACGAGGTGGGTTTCCATGATCGATATCAGCATATACCACATCACTTTTAGGAGGTAAAACTCCAGGATTTCGATTAGGATTTCGACGTTTGCGATTCTCCCAGTCTTTGTCGGTCATTACCACATCGCCTGGAACTGAACCTGGAGCTGGAACTGGACCTGAGCCTGGAGCTGAGCCTGAGCCTGAGCCTGAGCCTGAACCTGAACCTGGAGCTGGAACTGGCTTTTTTTTAATTGCATTACGATGGCCCGAGTTTCTTGATAGTGAACCGTCATCTGGTTCTTCCCCTGCACGACGTTCAAGTCGAGCAATGCCATGATCCCGGTAAGCACTTGGTATAACAGCAGCACTAGAGGAAATGACCAACAAAGAACCAACAGCAAAAGTAGTAAACTTCATAATGAACAACTAGAAAATATTAAAAGTGGTTCGAGTCTAATGTAAAAGAACTTTGGTAATGACAATTCAAGCTTCTTGCGATTACCAATAAATAGTTTTTGAAAGCTCCTTTTAATAAGCTTTTAGAGGCTTTGTGTCGCGATGGGAGGTCCCAAAACGGCGCAGCCGAACATACGCATTCGCCCAACACCACTTTGCAAAGACACAGAAACTATCAGAAACTCATCATCAATTGCCATCTTATACCAAAGCTTGGCCAGGTGAACGAAACTGCAATGTTTGACTCGAACGCATTCCATTTCAAGTCACAAAAATACTACTTGACATAAACTAGCACAACATTGCAAGCAGGTAGATACCCCACAGCAATAATTATTCGAGTTAAAAGTTTGTTTTGAAACTGAAAAATAAAAGTCGCAAATCGCAGTGCTAGAGACTATAATTGCCATGAGTATCATTTGTAATACAAGAATTCCAAGTGGTTACAAATAAACTCCAACACATGTGCCACTTGATACTCATGTATGCACTTTTGGCTGCATCTGATAATATTGAATTTAGATACCATATACCACAAGCTCACATAATTTCACTAGAATATTTTAGGCAAAAGTCTAAACGCAATTTATTAAACCAAGTGATTCAATCATTCAGTACAAAGTGACCAGCTATTTCTTGTTCTTCTTCTTATTGGATTTGATGACAAATTTGTTCTTGTCTGCAAATGAATCAAGCGAGTCTCCAGTAACAAATTCACCCTTTCCAACAGGAACGGTGCTCCACTCAGATTCAGCGGCAACGGGTTGGAGAATAGTAAGGTTGGGATGGCGATCACTCTCGGCAGAAGACTGAGCGCTCCAATGGGTGCCTGAAGCCTCGGCTTGCCTGCGGCGAATATACTCGTCAGCAAACTTGCGTGGATCAATGGCTGTGCTTCCACCAAGTGTGTCGTCACATATCATGGTGATGGTGGCTGATTCCTTGACGTTAATAGAATTCAACATGGTAATAAATTCATCCACGTTGACTGTGGTCGAAGTTCTTTGAACTCCACGGAGAGCAACGCGACACCATTGAACAAGAGCTGCTGATCCATTAGTGGCTTGCGAAGGTGTCTGAGAGACTCGGGCACTGGCTAGAGTAGAACTGGGAGATTGCAGTGTAGGTCGAGATCCCGTAGAAGGTGCAGAGGTCTGTTTTCCGACAACATTCCAGGCACCACCGTCAGCACTGGTGGTGCTAATGTGGCTTATATGGGATGAGGTCTGAGCAGGAACCATGACAGGCTTGAGAACAGGACCAGTTGCAACAACAGCAGGTACTTTGCTACCACTGCTGCCCCAGCTGGCGCCGGTAGTATGAAGACTAGATACACCAGTCGCTGCAGAATCGGCATAACGCTTATCAGTCGTAGCCACCATTTCGGCCTGTCGCAAAACCTCAGCAGTCTTGCGTTTAGATTCGTCTTTCATAATCTCAGCAAGCGATTTTCTGTGAGCAACAGGACCAGCTTTTGGAGCAGTGGTCTTGGTGGCAGCATTGACTTTCCACGGAGATGAATTGTTGGCCCAAGTAGATTGTGCAGGAACACCCGTTGCAGCAGCTTGCTGTTCTTGCAGAACCATCTGTTGGATCTGCAGCTGAGCGTCCTTTACTCGACGCCTTTCGCGCTCCTCAAATTCACGTTGCTCAGCCTCTTGGATCTGTTTGAGAGATAGTTTGGTTTTTCCAGGCACTGATTCCTGTGATTCAGTACAAGCAGCCCACGGAGCCTAGTTACAAAAGCATTCAACATTATAACAAAATTGAGTCCGACATATTTAAATAATAAATCAAAAATTAGACAAAACTTACAGACTTTTCCTTTATAGGAGCTTGTTCAGTGGGAGACTCGACAGCAGCCTCAACTGTTTGTTCAATCATGTCAGCATTACTCTTTTTGCGTTTTTCTGATTTTTTGGAAACAGCAGGTGCAGATGTCCAAGCAGTTTCCTCTTTAATAGCAGGCTCAACCGTGTTTTTGTTAAAATGAACGGCTGCGCTTTCTTTAGGTTTGCTCTGACGACGAGATGGACTAGACTGTTTACTTTCTACAGGTTTTACATCAGTATGAAGATGCTCTGGGGACTTGGGAGTAGATACAGGATCGGATAAAACTTCAGTCTCAATTTGAAAATCTCCGGCTTTGTTCACTTCCAAGAAACTGGAAACAGATGGGGAAGCAGAATGTTCTTTTGGAGATTTAAGAGCACCAGCCTTATCATCAAGGGATTTTGGTGAAGAAGAGTCGGATCTACCATCGCGCAGCATGGTGTTTCCTGAAGAATTTATGAGCCCAGCATCGGTATTCAAAGCATTCCGGCCAGCTCCAATCGATTGCTGTTGTTGAGCTAATTCCTGTTGACGCTGCTGCTGCATCATCATTTGATACTGCTGTCCAGCTTTTGCATGACGCATCTCAGTAATCAATACAATGCGCTGTTGAATTGGAATAGAAGCTAAAGCGGGGAGATGTAGAATTGCAGCATCATCCAACACATCCATTTGAACCGAAATATAGTGAGCAAGACTGTTGATATCATGCTGTCCACCATCAGCAAGTTGAGTATGTGGCGGAGGTTGCATTCGCAACTCTCCAGGATTTCCTCCAGCAAGTTCCCCAAGACCAAGAGCAGATGCACCGGGCATTCCAGAAACTTGCCAACGACGCTGTTGCATTTGACGTAGAAAAAACATTTTTTCCAGCTGTTCCTGTTCCATAAGTGATTCAAGGAAAGGTGCCTGTTGACCATATCGCTCGACAAATTGGGATAGAGCAATGTATAAGGGATCCTCGACACATTTGATGGGCAAGTTTTCGGGAAAATAGCCATCTTTATACCAATTATGCATCTGCTCCGAGGTAAAAGGACCGCGCAAAACACCTGAAGGATCTTTGTAAACCCACTGCGGCGGAACAAACTGAAAGCCAGGCATAGCAAGTGAACCAGGCATAAATGCCGGCGCCTCGTTGAACATCTGTGAAGGCATTGGTCCAGTATGATGAAGATTGGAAGCAGCGGCTGATGACATGCCAGAATGACTGCGACGCATCAAAGCAGGTGATGTAGTAGATCCAATATCACGCATGCCTTCAAAATCAAAATTACCAGACGGACTGTTGCGGCGATGCTGCTGATTGAGTGCATCAGACGGATCCAAGAGCATGCCTGAATGAGAAGCATTTGATAGACCAAAATGACCGTCATCAAATTTGGAGCGACTACCCATACGGAGTGGCGAATTAGGACGCTGTGAAAAATGCATCTGGCGCAAACGTTCTTCTTCAAAAGCAAGTTTGGCCATTTCATCATCCATCATAAATTTGTCGTTATGCAAATCGTTGCCATGAATATGATTTGCATTATTATCCATGCCACGTTTATCTAAACCACCAAATACACCCGAGGCAAAAGAACCAAGAGAGGTGGGTGTATCCCATAGCTCATCTGGGTGTTGGGCCTCAGACAAACCCATTCCCATTGCAGAGTTAGCCATAGGATCTCTTGCGCGAACACGATCAGCAAAATTACGTTCGCCTCCTATCATCATGCCACGTCGACCACCGCGCATGTCTTGGCCCATACCACCGTTGCGAGTATTTTTTAGCGTATCTTGACGGTACGAAGAGTTGGGTCTACGCATAGGAGCTTCGCTGTTGATGGATGACATACTAAGTAGCTACAAATTTCAATAGGACAGTATCATTAGCGTAGCATACAGTGCAAAAACAAAACCCTTGTTATTAAAGCACAGCTCATCTACCTTTTTCTCATGTTCTGAAAGAGGTACATTGGCTAAAGGATCCCGTCCCTCTTTTACAAAACAGCCAAGTGTTTCGTCAAAATCAGCAGGCTTTAGCATATTTAGATCTCGAAAAAGCCCAAGAATGACATCACGACTGAAACTAAATGGGTTGGACGTCTGATTGGAATTGGCATTAGATTGTAAAGAAGCAGCTACATTGGGCTCTGTGCGCTCAGCTGTAACAGCATCTCGCGGATCCTTTCCAAAACCAAGATGTTTTGTGTGACTAGTTAATACAGAGTCTCTAATTGCGGTAGGATCAGAAGAAATAGCTTTTGATACAGCAGATTTGGGTGCGTCTACCATGTGATGAGCGTGAGATTGTTTTGAAGGAGAGCTCTTGTGTGTATCCAAACTCTGCTGTCGAGTATGGCCCAATGCTACTGAAGCAGAAGTATTGGATGGATGCGTTGGAGGACTACCAGTGAGATTTGGACGTCCAGTCGCCCAGGCAGATTTGATAGGAGCAGCAGAAGCTTTTGAGTTAAAAGCAGCACCTGATCCGCCAGGATGATTCTGTTGACCTTTGTGTTGTTGCTGGCTCTCATGACGATCCTTTGTAGAGTGCTCTTGCTGCTGTTGCGGAAGAGGCTGCAGCTGCAAGCTTGACTGCTGGTCTGGTGACGAAGCAGGAATCTTTCTCATCCTGTTAATGGTTGAATATATTGGCGGCAGATTCCCCAGATAGCCAACAAAGCAACGAGCGCGATCAGTTCATGGACAAGTTCCAGTCCAGTAGAGAACCGAAGTGAGTTAAAGAGTGAATTGTGGTTAGCATCAAACAATATTAAAAAAGCAGTCGGAGTACACAAGGCAACCTGGCACAAAAGTGCAAATTAATGAGCTGGAAGCGATCTACAAAGACCAGGATAAGAGCTGAGCATTCAAACTCGACTCACGCAGGACAACTCAGTCATTTGATACCACACACAGTCATATGCAAACAGTAATAATTGAGCCAACTTCCATGTCTTCAAAGGACTTGCGCTGCTCTAACCCCAACCACCAAAAAACTCACAAAACCTTCAACCATGCCATATTGACACATCCTTCAGTCACACTCAAGCTGGTGTATTCTTGCCCACAAATAAAAATGAATTGAATATCTCAAGAGCATATCTATCGGTTTTCTCATTTGACTGTCAACCAGGTCGACCTCAGCATGCATGCATGCTGATGCACAAAAGAATAAAAGGCAAGACTCTGTAGAAAACAGCGATACCGTACCATTGAGGACCAAAGTTGAGTGACATGGCAATAGTAAGTAATGAATATCAGAGTAGTGACTAGGACGTTGAATGGCGAATACAAAGTTGTGCAACTTGGAAAGAAAATTCTTGTAGTTTTCAAACCGACGAATTTCTAAAGAAAATCTCTGCTTTGAAACCGGATTGCCATGACTGGCCGACTCTTATTCATTTTATTTCACTTACAATCGCTGCTTTATTGAAGATCCTTTAATCAGTCTTGTTTACTGGCGAGAAGGTGCGTGTGGGTTTTGGTCATAAAACTCGGGATACTTTTTCATGATTCGGTCCAGTTCTGCCTTTTGCTCAATCAGATTAGGTGGCATCTCATCATACACATCTGTAAACAGATCCTCAATAGGAGGCTTGCGCACTTTCTCTGCTGCTGCAAAGGACTTTAGAATCTTGGTTCGTATATCCTTTTTAAATGCTTGTTCCTCTTCTTCGCTCCAGAGTGATCGCGCTTCAAGATACTTTCGGAATCGAACCATTGGACTGTGGTTTTGCTGCCATTCAGCCACTTCCTGTTTAGATCGGTATGCTGACGAATCATCAGAAGTACTGTGGTGTCCCACACTACATGTGCAAATCAGACAGCAAAAGTTATTTTCAATCGTACAGTTCAATTGACATATTATCGACAGAATACATTGGTTTTATAGCTTACCGATACGTCATGGCCTCAATCAACACGGGGCGCTCTTCTTCAATTGCCATACGACGAGCTTCCTTGACAGCATTATAGACAGCCAAGATATCATTGCCATCCACGCGGATAGTAGCCATACCATATCCATGGCCACGACTCGCAATACCATCACCACGATATTGCTCCTTGGCAGGAGTAGAAATGGCATATCCGTTGTTTCTACACAAATAAATAACAGGAGATTCGGTCGTGGCAGCCATGTTCAGAGCAGCATGAAAATCACCTTCAGAAGCTGCACCTTCGCCAAAATAACAAATGGCACACGCCTTTTTACCCGCTAGTTTAAGTGCATACGCCGATCCGGCAGCATGAGGAAGCTGGGTGCCAAGTGGTGACGAGATGGTTTGAAAATTGTATTTGGGTGTACCATAATGAACAGGCATTTGACGGCCCTTGCCATAATCAAGTTCGTTTGCATAGCATTGGTTCATAAATTCATCCAGAGTGAATCCTCGATAAAGAAGAACACCCGCTTCACGGTACTGGCTGTTGCCGAGTGCATCCAAACAATGTACAAAGAATGAGTTAAAATAGGATTAACAGTTTGGATCTAAGCAAAAATAAACTCGAGTAATTGGGTTCAATCGTACCCATATACAACGTCATCGTTTGTAAGAGCGGCAGCACTTCCCATATGGGTTGCTTCTTCTCCATAATTGGTCATGTAGAACGACACACGGCCCTGACGTTGAGCTTCATACATGATACCATCCATGGAGTTGAGAGTCAACATGCAGGTGTACATCTTGCGCAGAGTTTCGCTGTCGAGCTGAATTCATATTTGTATCAATCATGATCCAATCCAGTTTAAAAACAAAATAGTTAGAGGCATCCAATGCAAAATATAAAAGAGTATACCATTAATGAATCGAGGCTTGCTCTAAAGATATTGGCAAATGCATACAAGTGCAGATCTGCAACCCGTAATAATAAATCGGATATCAAGTGACAGTTCATAACAAGTCTGATGAAACCAGATTTTAAAGTGCTCTCGACAGAGATTCATCCCAACACTAACGAAACAAACCTTTGGATCATGTGCCTCATCAATGACCGCACCATGAATGTCCATAACTCTGTAAGTGGGAATGGTTTCATACTCCTTGATAAAGTCGAGCTTTTCCGTATAAAGCGATGTCACTGCGCCTGGGAAATTGGTCGGTATGCTCATGGCCTTGGGAGAAGTGGTTGACAGACATCTAATAGTAGCAGAAGTAAAAGAAGGAGTGGCATAAAAAGATCGACCCACAGTGTTAGCAGCAGATAGTCCACAGACACTGGTTTTTCTGGCAATCGCCCGCAGGATTGACATGATTTGCAATATCAAATTATTTGTAAACGAAAAGAATTTACAATTCCATTCACGTAAAATGAAATATTGAATGCGGACATGTATAGTCAACTGCCAATTCCATGAAATAATTGGTCAGTGTATTGAATTGTGTCATGAACTGTTTAGTTTTCTGGTGATTGGCATGCACAGTTACATTCCTGCAATCTTGAATTAAAACCAAAATTTTAAGATACAAAAAGTAGAGTTGTATTGAAAACAGTTGGAATACAACTGTCTGGATCAAAATGAATTGGGTAGTGTAAAGTGTGGTTGTGCCAAAATAAAGTAGTTTGTGTTTAAAACCATCATTTAGTATAACCCAAAACAAGACAAATGCAAGTATTTCATTTTACGTGAATAAGTCTATACATTCTAATTCAAGTTTGAAGCTGCCGTACTCTGGATTATCTGTTAAACCGTCTACTTGCATCAGTATTGAATATGAATAAATCATGCTTTTATTCAAAATAAGAAAATAAAGCTGACACATTGTTTCAAACCAAGACTTGTCTATAGATTGAGCCAAAATGTACATGCATCACAAAAGACAGCTTCAAAGACCGAGTTTCTGTTTGACAAGCTTATCCGTAAATTTCCATAATTGTTCTGCAAGATCATCACTCTTGGCAAGATCTGTCAGTCCCTCTGGAGAATCAATCGCAATTGGCACAAAGTATCTGTTTTTGGCGTTGTTTTTGACAATATCTGGTGATGTGGCTGCATAAAGAGGAGTAAGTGCTCCCTGCTGAGATGAAATAGCCCCAATCGCTTTTGCAACCCACATCAAAGGTGTAAACCATGCGCCATAACTAGCAGTTGGTCCTCGTGTCAGTTCTGTCTTGACAAATCCTATATACTCACAATCATATCATCAACACAAGCCTTCATAGTAAATCATTTGAACCTCTCAATTACACGAATACAAAGCAATTGCTATCAATTAACTACCTGGGTGAACACTGTTGATATAAATACGATCACCATATCGCTTGTTCAGTGCGTTGGAAAATAGAATGTTGCTTAGTTTGCTCTGGCCATATCGTTGCCAAATGTCCTGATCGCCTGGATCATTAATCTTGTCAAATCGAATACCTTGGGGTAAAGGTGCCTTGTTATGGTAATTCGACGACACATTGACAATCCTCGGCATATCCTTATCGTCATGACTCTTTAGCAACACAGGCAAAAGCGCCGTGGTCAGCAGAAAATGTCCAACGTGATTGGTTGCAAACTGTTCTTCAATCCCATCCATACTGAGCTTAAATGGCGAAGCCATGATACCAGCATTGTTGATCAGAATATTTAACGGCTTTCCTGATGCAATATACTCTGAAGATGCCTTTTGGACCTGGTGAAGATCTGAAAGTTGAAGATGCATAAACTCGATAGATGCCTGGGGGAGTTGTTGCTTAATACGAGCAATGGCAGCTGCAGCTCGATCCGCTGAGCGAGATGCCATGACAACCTGTGCTCCTTTGCGAGCCAGCTCTAAACACATTTCATAGCCAATTCCAGTGTTTCCTCCTGTTACCATAACAACCTTTCCAGTAAGGTCGGGGATAGCATCGACAGTAAAGTGTTTGGAGGTTTCCGACATAATTCTGTTGGGTTAACTTGAATTCAGACAATATTAAACTTTTTGAAATTCACAGTCGCAACTCATTTATACAATCAGATCTGAACCAAGCTTACAAAACATCTGTCGAGTATATTCACATATTCATACACTCAAGATTTACAAGTATAAATTAAACTTTCAATTATTGGATTCATTTATGCCTCTTGTTTGCCTTGCTACGGCTAAATATTTTGCCCCCATTCTCTCCATTTTGTTGTTTTCTTTTCGATTCTCCATAATTGGTTCCCTTTTGCGCTGCTTTCAAAATACCCTTGAACGAATCATCCAACTTAGTCGACTTGCGCATGTTACCAACAACGTGTCCGCTTAGAGGAATGTAGGCATGAGGATCTGCGTGTCCTTCCTTTTTAACATCTCCTTGTGCGTGCTTGGCCTTGTATTGTCTGCCCAACATGTGGTTTATAGCATTTGGATCAATAGTGTTTTTCTTTTTGTTGCGCATATTGCGTCCACCACTCCATCGCGATCCCACGTTTTTGGTTGCACCTTGACCATGCGTTGCAGCACCTGAAGTAGCAGTATCGTCATCATCATCATGCTTGCGTTTGTTCACAAACTTGATTCGGCCATCCTGGGTACGCACAAAGGCAGTTTCGCTTTCTAACGACTGCTTATAATAATCTTGTCGTGCCTCGGCGTTCACATTTGCACCCTCATCCTCGCTTTCCTCCTCGTTCAAAATCAATCGTCCAGATGCGTTGGTTTTGAATTCATGAGAGCTTGCCTTTCCAGAAGTTTGAGCATTCAGTCCATTTCTTCCACCTTTTCGAAGGGGTGCAGCTGAAACTTTTCTCACTACATTACGATCAAGAAAGTCGACAATGTCGTCTTCGTTTGTTTCTTTAATCAGTGTGCCAGAACTCTTGATATGTCGGGTTTCGTCGCGATACTGCTGTGGAATATACGCTTCATCATCCTCAGAATCGGTTCCAAGCTCGCTATCACTCCCGTTAACAACATGATCAAATCCTTTGCTTTTGGCCAGGACAATGTCTTTTTTACCACCATTGGGTTCATGGGAAGCATCTATATCAGCAGCGTCACCGCGCTGACCGCTTCCCGCTTCAGCCTTTTGTTTTTTAAGTCGCTCTCGTCGCTTACGGATATTATTCACAAGCTTCTTGTCGCTTTCTGGAACAAATCCTTCTATCGCTTCAAAGCTGAATTTTCGAATCAGTCGTTCAAAAATATGTCGAACTTTGGCTCTGAAATGAGACTTGTGATCCTTAGAGTGCTCTAGAATTCCTACACAGATCTCCTCCAAATCATCCTCAAGCATCTCCTGTGGGAGACACACAACAGCAACCTTGATAAACCCAAGTGCCGATTTGAGCACTTCTTTGTTTTTCGACTGCATGGCAATCAAAACAGTCTTGACAAGATCGGATGCAAGAGACTGAGGAACAACTTCTGAAAATTCAAACAAAAGACGACCCAGCGAGGCAATTGCTGCACTTTGCATATGTGAAGTTGTAGCAGCTAGACCGGCTACCACCATCAAAAAATACTCCTTTAGTGACACGGTTGCTTGATGTTGAATGTCACGATCTGTAGCATCCATATCTTCATTATCAGAATCGACTACTCCGCTATCAAGTTCTTTGCGGAAGGATGATCCAAGCGTATCAAAACTAGATGTACTCTCATCACCCGACTGCTGCAGCATCTGTTGTCCAAAGGAAACAAGACAGGAATAAGCAGCATTACGACTTTTTTCGCTTACTTCCTTTGTAGCAAGGATCACTTCGGGCAAAGACTCGGGGATCACTTCCAACAGCATGCGTTTTTCTACAATAGTTTCACACAAGTACTGAATGACTCTTGTACGCGATCGTCTGGTTCCCGATGTGACGTTGGAGATTACGGAATCGTCGAAAAGTTGCGTAAAAAGTTCTCGTTGCTGGGTGGCAGACGGTGGAATAGCTTGCAACACCAAATACAGAGCGTTGTATGTTTTTTTCTGTACAGTAGAGTCAGTGTCTTTGAGCTGTCCAATAAGTACCTTGAATACAATCTGCAACGGCGAATCTTCCTGGTTTTGCTCATCACTGGGTAAAAATGGAATCATAAGCATCATAAGATCCAAAATAGCATACATACGCAACTGCTCAATATTAACGTTTGGTCCATTTGATTCAAGCATTTGCAGCTCGGTTTGCTTTTCGAGTAATAGTTTTACTATATTCATAAAGTACTCTTGGATAGTTTTTTTATCGGCAATTAATAAAAAGGAGCGTATGGTTTTTTCATATTGCTGAATTGATCGTTCATGGAAAACTTGAAGTGCCTGCCCTTTTGCTTTTCCTGCTGCCATCGCATTGGGATGAATGGAAGTATAGTTGTTGCACAGAGTGCTGAGGAATCTGCTGCTGTACACCGTTATTTTTTTGATAACCGCCGTGGCTTTGGCGTGAGTCTCTGCGTTGAACGTTGAGTCCACAGTAGCATCCTCGTCAGGATCAACCATATCGGAGGGAACAAAAGTTTTGGCTAATTCGGTAAATGTCGAAATCAAATTCTGCAAGCTTTCGCATACAATCGGTCGAAAATCATGCTTGGAAGGTAAGTTGGGAAATGAAACCTCTGGATCTTCTTGCAATAATTTTCCCAGATGAGATGCAAGCTTTCCAAAGTATGTTTCAATGTCTGGTACTATCAGACCACATATAAGTGGAAGTAACTCAAAAATTTGAATTCCAAGAGTTTCGTGCAGCTTGGCTTCCAGCTGACGGCTCTCTGTCCACAAACTTCCAGCCTTTTCAAGCATGCGTACAGCAAGAGGAAACAAGTGCAACAAAAAGTATTCGATAGTATGCGCACTCATGATTTGTGTTGGATCCCATTTTGAAAAAGAAAGTGGTGACTGCATAGCTTCATGGAACGAAGAAAGAAGATATGGGCGACGAGGTTGATCTGGAAATTCGTTTTCAATATTGAGTGGAATGAACGAGGCAAACGTGCCCATACCAAGAGATTGAATACCAGCATAAATTGCACGATTCAGTTCTTCCTTGTATGGAAAGCTATCTATATAGGCACGATCGTCACGAAAAGCAAACATGGCGGTCAGTGTGGGGGCCGTGAGTTGTGGATACGATCGACCTACACGTTCCAGCATTGACGCAGCAATAAGTAAAATGTATCCCCATTGGTCACGAAAATGAATATTGGAAAGAGACGAGTTGAGAGTGTTCAAAATAATCAAAAGGCTGCCATCTTTTTCTCCTTGCACTGCCTTGTCGATCATTGAATTGCTTATAGCCTGGTTGATCAGCACAGACAAAAGAATTGTAGCGCGTTGCAAAATAGCAGGTTTAACTGCAGATCCACCAAGCATAGATGAAAAGATGCGATTGAACAAAGTTGAGACAAGCTCGGGATATTCCAAAGAGCAGAATTCGATCAAGACAGGATCCGTGTTTTTATCAGCATTTAGTTCGTAATCACATACAGTATCAGACAAACATTGAAATCCATCAGCAATTATATTGAGCCATGCAGGTGTCAGTGCTGCATCATTCTCATAAGGAGAAAGTTCCAATAAACGTTTTACGACCATGATTAAAAGAGGCAGACCTAGTGTAGTATGAGATTTGCTCATCTCGCCGTCTGATTCTTCAGAAATGCCTCCTAGAAGTGCATCAAATATTTGAAACACCCACTGAGTGAGCACAATGTTTCCGACGCTTGACGATTTGGCAGGAATAGCCAATAAAGCAACGCACAGTTTATCTAATTTTTGATAGACTTTGTCTGCATTTGCCTGAGAAGCAAATACCGGAACGGCTGATTTTAGAAACATAAATGCAGACAAGACTTTTTCCTCTGCCTCAGATCGCTCAGTGGCAGCCTTTGAGGACCCGAATCCTGTGGATGATTCAAGGAATTCAGCCAACAGCTGAGTGCAGAATTCAATTGTACGACAAGTAGCAGGATGGTACATGGCTGGTGAATGGACTGATTGAATCAGTTTACGCACCACATCTGCTGCAACACGTCGAACTTTGGGTCGAGCGTCGATTGTCAAAAACAACAAGTTTTCAAAGATGCGTTTGCAAGTATCGTTTGAAGTCCACATAGTATTATCCTGTGCACAGAGCAAATATTCAAGACACGCAATCGTCTAGAATTATATATTGGTCAGTAGTTAGATGATTGGGTTCAAAATATACCAGCGTTTTGAATTATGGAGAAATATACATACAGAGCGAACAAGTGGTGCTTGATCATCCTGAGACTCCAATAATCCAACAAGAGCATCAGCAATTTGAGAGAATTTTAAGCGAAGTACATTGGTGGGAATTCTAAATATTGACCAAGTATTAGTTTGATACTGAGCAACGTTGGTATGCTAATGATCAGTCACCTACTTGGGAAAAACCATGGCAAGCAAATACATAGAAGCAGTTAAAATATGAGCCGAATCGCTATCTCCATCAATGCTATCCAATGACTTTTGTTGCTGATCCACCACTGTCATCTAATTCAAATAAAGATTTTCCAAAAATTAGTCTGGAATATAAACTTGAACCGGTAGATTCAAATTGATTACCAAAGCACCAAAGTAGGCAAGTGGAACTAGTGGTTCATTTTGTTCTTGGATTGTTTGTTCGATAGCAGCAAGGAGAACAGCAACCTAAAAGACATTAAATCCAAATAAGCAATCGGATATACATTGGAATATATGGAATATAAAAAACATGATTATACCTGGCGTTGATTTTCCAGTCCAGAAGACGCATGGCCTCTGACTTTACTGAATATACCACTGATATCCATATGACTTGGAAGCCTGCAATTGATGGATTTGAATATTTTTTTGCAAAATAAAAATTCGAGTTTATTGCAGTGATGGACAGACAAGAGTGTTTGATTGGCTATTTCAATCTAAGCGTTGATTGGCTGGACAATCATCAAATCCAAGAATTGATGATTGACATTAATTCTTGGATTGGAAGCGATGATGACAGTAAGTTGTAGTTGTGTAGCTAGTATTAGCGATTCCTATTAACCACTATTTTATAGACAATTTCTCAATTAGGCATGATGGCAGCTAAATCATTTACTCGTTCATCTGCAAGACTATCATCAACACATATTGCAGCAGTTGGTCGAATGATGGTTGCACAGAATAGACACCAATCCAGCACTGCAGATCGAGGTAGAACTCCCGAAGACTACTATTCATGGCATACTCTAGAATGTATGTATAATGTCGTTTCTAACCAACCGATCAGTTTGTCATTGAGTTTATGACAGAATCTGATGGACTTTTGAATGTTATTTTAAACGCTCTAGTTAAAGAAACTCCACACATCTTGGAACTACCGGAACCACCTCGTCCATATGGCCAGTTGGTATGCAATATAGTGCTTTCAGGATACATGCCCGACCATTTGGACTTTATGGCATATTTTTCGAGATATACAGCCAAATCCATGAACATGTCGGTGTCAGAAACCATACATATGAAGACCTATACCCAGCGATGGTTTACAAACAAAGGGCCATTTGTGCATGCCAAGACCAAAGAGATCTTTGAACGAAAGCAGTACTACCGCATGGTGCAAGTGTTTGATGCTCACCCCGAATCAGTCAAGGAGTGGGTGCAATATGTGAACAAGTCATTGCCAGCAGGAATTGATTTGAAAGTCGAGCGATGGGAATGGGAGCCAGTTGGGTTTGGACAGTCGATTCCTGAACCGAATCTAAAGGGAAAGAAAACACACGCTGAGCAGATCCAAGAGCAAGCGAGCAAGTACATCAAACAGTTTAGCAAATAAACCATTCGAGTTACTAATCCAGCATGACTTTGTACTGTGGAATTGTTCCGTTTCTTGGCATTTGTTTTTCCCCTTTAATTTTGCGACTATTGATACAGGATTTGCTGGGTAAGAAGTGTCAGTCCTGGTGAATGGCTTCATGGTCAATGTGTGTGGTGTACATTGGGTTGGAATTCAGTCATGATAGTTGTTGCTTGAACCACTCTTGTAGATACAGTTTCTTCAATTATAAACAGTCGTCATTGGCTTCAATCATGCCATTTCATTATCCATTTTATTATCCATTCTATTGTGTCGATCTACTTGACTGGTAGCAGTAACCCTGCTTCTGTTTGTATCTCGACTGTTGGTCGCTTGATCACAAGACTAGTCGCTTGTATTGCAGTCATGACATCAATAGTCATGAATGTCCAGTTTGATTATTATCAAGTAAACAGTCTGCCACCTGTTATAAATCAACTCTATGGTTTACTTTCAAGTCAATCTCTTGATGACCATTTCACTATTTTGTAGTAGTTGACAATCTTTAATTCATCAATCGAATTTATATCATTGAAACTGGGCTAAATGCTGACCTCCAATCACTATCTTTGTATTGTATATACTGTCAAATTATCATACATGACTGGCTCATGTCTAAAGGGGCAAAAGTCGATTTGTATACATTCTACTTTTGGCTTGGCGTTTTGCCATTCAACTTGATCGTCATGTTAGTTGGATTCAATTGATTCAGGTGTACTGACTTGATCTATTTTTATCTACTTTTTACACGATACTATATATTCAAATCTTTTTTGATTTGATGGTGACTAGTCTAGCAAAATGAGTCTTCTACGACTATCCACTCGCAAGGCATTTGCCTCTTTACCTCGTAATTGCAATGCCTCCTCTTTTTCATTGAGCCTCTTGAACAGAAATCATACTTTCGGCAATAATCGCATTACCTCATGTCTTTCCGCTGCTGCTTTTCATACCTCTCCTCTGGCTTTAGCATCTCCATCCACTAAACCTGCTAGTAATGCCGAGGCTTTTCTCAATGGACCTTCCAGCGCGTATATCCAGGAAATGTACGCGGCTTGGCTGCAAGATCCCAAGTCTGTCCATCTCTCATGGCAGAGCTACTTTAAAAATCTTGCCTCCAATGGTCAAGCCCCTGCTTTTTCTGCTCCCCCTACGCTGATCCCATCCTTTTCAACTCAAGTTATGGGTGCCGATGGCGCTCCGTCTTTGCACGAGTCTGGCTCCGACAATGGAGCTATTCCTGCAGACTCGATTCTTGACCACATGAAGGTGCAACTTCTTGTTCGTGCCTTTCAAGTTCGTGGCCATCAGCTGGCCAACATCGATCCTCTTGAAATCAATTCTTTCCGCGATCGCGTCCAGGCACCCGAGTTAGACTACACGTACTATGGGTTTACTGAGAAGGATCTGGACGAAAGCTTCTACCTTGGTGAGATTGGCTTGTTTTTAAATTCTTGTGCCACTATAACTTTTTCAACTGATTATTATGGTTCTAGGCTCTGGCATCCTTCCTGGGTTTCTTGCTACAGAAGGCCAGACCAACCTCACTCTTCGTGAAATTGTTGATCGTTTGAAACAAACATACTGCTCCACTGTTGGTATTGAGTACGGACACATTCCTGATCGTATTGCATGCGATTGGCTTAGAAAAAAATTTGAAGTCCCCTCAAAATTCAATTATACCAAAGAGGAGAAGCTCACTATTCTTGATCGTTTGATGTGGTCTGACTCATTTGAGCGATTTGTTTCTACAAAGTATCCCAGCGAGAAGCGTTTTGGTCTGGAAGGCTGTGAGAGTTTGATTCCTGGCATGAAAGCCATGATTGATACTTCAGTAGAGCTCGGAATCAACTCGGTGGTTATGGGCATGCCTCATCGTGGTCGTCTTAACGTGCTTTCCAATGTTGTTCGTAAACCAAACGAGTCTATTTTTTCTGAATTTGCAGGATCACAGGCAAATAGTGTCGAGGGCTCTGGTGATGTCAAATATCACTTGGGAATGAACTATGTTCGACCCACTCCCTCTGGCAAAATTGTTCATCTTTCACTTGCTGCCAATCCTTCTCATTTGGAAGCAGTCAACCCTGTCGTTGAGGGTAAAGTTCGTGGCATCCAATTTTATCAGAACGACGAAGTAGAACGTAGCAAGGCCATGGCTGTCCTTTTACACGGCGACGCCGCTTTTGCTGCTCAGGGTGTTGTTTATGAAACACTTGGTATGGTCGATCTGCCTGCTTATACCACTGGTGGTACTATTCACATTGTTGTCAACAACCAGGTTGGTTTCACTACAGATCCCCGATTTGCTCGCTCCACTCCATACTGCTCGGATGTTGCTAAAACAGTCAATGCTCCTATTATACATGTCAATGGTGATGATGTCGAAGCTGTTGTATTTGCCTGTCAACTTGCATCTGAATGGCGTGCTGAGTTCAAAAAAGATGTAGTGCTTGATATTGTGTGCTATCGTCGCTATGGCCACAACGAGATTGATCAGCCTGGTTTCACTCAGCCGCTGATGTACCAAAAAATTAACCAAATGACTCCTGTCTTGGAAAAGTATATTCAACAGCTTCTTGGCGAAGGTTCTGTTACTCAAGAAGAGGTAGATGCCATGAAGAAGCGTGTTTGGGGTATTTTGGAAGAGCATTATATTCTCAGTAAAGATTACAAAGCATCATCCAAAGAGTGGGTTTCGAGTACATGGAGCGGCTTCAGGTCCCCATCTGTTCTTGCCAAAGAGGCAGTTTCTCCTCGTCCTACTGGTGTTTCACTTGATCTTCTCAAACATATTGGTACTGCCGGTGCAACGTATCCTGCCGATTTCAAGGTTCATCCTAATCTGGCTCGTATTCTCAAGACTCGTATCAAGAGTGTTACTGAAGGCCAAGATATTGACTGGGCTACTGCCGAATCCATGGCTTTTGGTACTCTTCTTTGTGAAGGAAATCATGTTCGTCTTTCTGGCCAAGATGTTGAGCGTGGAACCTTTTCGCATAGACACGCTCTTTTGCATGACCAGAAAAGTGAGAAGCAGTTTGTACCCCTCAACAATCTCGTCAGTGAAGGCATTGTTTCCAGTCAAAGCCCTTTTACTGTCTGTAATTCGTCGCTTTCCGAGTTTGGTACTCTTGGGTTTGAACTTGGGTTTTCTCTTGTTAACCCCGATCAGCTTGTAATGTGGGAAGCGCAGTTTGGTGATTTTGCCAACAATGCACAGTGCATTATTGATCAATTTATTGCATCTGGAGAGCAGAAATGGTTGCAACGTACGGGCTTGACTATGCTGCTCCCACACGGCTATGACGGTCAAGGTCCAGAGCACTCTTCCGCTCGACTAGAACGTTTCCTTATGCTCTGTGATGAAGATCCCTATTGTATGCCTGAATTAAATGGTACCGAAAAAGGAAGCCGATCACGCCAACACCAGGACTGCAACATGCAGGTTGTTTACACCACCGTTCCTAGTAACTACTATCACGCACTTCGTCGACAGGTTCATCGTGAATTCCGCAAGCCTCTAATTGTCTTTACATCCAAGGCTGTTCTTCGCCATCCTCTTGCCAAGTCGTGCATTGAGGAAATGGTTGGAAACACTCGTTTCCAGCGTTTAATTCCCGAAGTTCTGCATCCCAACCCTCTTACTATTCTATCACCCAACGGCGCATCTGAACCCAACGCTGACGGTTCCCTCAGTTCTGGCAACTCGTTTGACCCTCGTATTCCTTATGCTCTTGTCACGGATCCAGCCTATCCTCCAGCTCTTCAAGACGGCACCACAAAGGCAGTGACTCCATCTGGATTCACTCTTCTTCCTCCAAACGAAATCAAAACGCTTATTTTCTGTTCTGGCCAAGTCTACTACAGTCTTTACCGAACGCGTGCGCTCAACAACTTGCGTCATGTTGCTATTGTTCGCATTGAGCAATTGAATCCATTCCCCTTCTGGGAGGTCAAAACTATTGTTGACTTTTACAAAGAAGGACTGGAGGAAATTGTGTATTGTCAAGAGGAAAGTTTCAATTCCGGCGCGTGGTTGTTTGTTGATCCCAGACTGGAAACTGCAGTGAAAAACTCGGATTGGTTCAAAGGTCCCAAGGTATGTTGATTGAATGTGCCATGTTTATTTGCGGGTGTGATCCATGTATTATACCGTAAATTTATATAGCATTGTTGTTTTTATGTGCAACATATGGCTAATTATACTAGGATGATACTTTACCGGTATCTTCTGTCTCTACACCATTATCCACTTCCACTATTGAACCACCTGAATGTGCACCTCAATCCACCTCCTTGTTTGGACGCTTCTTTGGCTCATCATCTGCATCTAAACCCACATCTACACGTGTGTCTCCATCACCTACTTATTCGACCAAATCTATTAATACAAAAACAAAGGGACAACAATGGCAAGAAACCTTTGACTCCAAGCGCGTTCCTGGCGGACTAGAAAACGCACATACTACTCCAGAAGGCCAGAAAGCCTACTCTGTTCGTGGCAGTCGCCTGATTCGATACGCAGGAAGAGATATTTCTGCTGCACCTGCAACGGGTATCAAAAAGCAACACAAGTTTGAAGAAAAGGCATTTTTAAGTGAAGCCTTTTTGGGTGGTGAACTGGTGTACCCACCAAAGAGTATTGAGCAGGACTTGCCAGTGTTCTTTTAGACATGGTATTGACTGGCTTGTGCGGTATTTCGTGAATAAATACCATTGTGGTTATTTCGAATTTGAACTCACATTTGTCATTAAATTCTTTTACAAGTCTAATTATTGGAAACTTGGTACAGCTGTGTTGCGCTTTTCAATGGGATACACTACAGAGATATAGAATCGAAGCAGATGGCAACGTATCATTTTATTTAATTTGAGTTTCAAGATTGGTGTACATTTCCTTGGCAATACGAATGACTTCACTCGGTAGTCCTATGCACATTCATGAACCGCATCAAAGAAATGAGTAAACCGTTCGACTGCTTATTTTTAACCTAACCATTCTAAACTTACCAGCATGACTTGCCACTTCAATCCCGTGGCTCTGATTCATGATTCCTGGCTCGATGCGATATAAGCATATCAGACCATTGTCTTTATCCAATTGACATGTAGCATGGTACTCCCCGATACCAGTAATGTTCATCATATGGGTAAAGGTCGCCAACTCGTGGTAATGCGTAGCAAACAACCCACGGGATTGATTCACATTAGCCAAATGCTCAATGATTCCATAAGCAAGCGAAAGTCCGTCAAGCATAGATGTGCCTCTGCCCACCTCGTCCATGATGACTAAGCTACTAGGTGTGGCATTGGCGAGAATATAGGCTGTTTCTCGCATTTCTACCTAAACTCGGATAGTTATTTGGGTTGTCAAAAAATCAGATCGTGGTATGGTGCATACATTGTGCTGAACCATCTAATTTACCATAAATGTTGATTCATTGGCTGATAGATCGTCGGATGCACCAATGCGCGTATATATGCCGTCCACCACACCCAAAGTGGCCGAATCTGCGGGTACAAATCCTCCTGCTTGGGCAAGAATTGATAGGAGCGCACTAAGATTCATACCAAACATAAGAGGCATATTAGCCAAAATAGATGCTCGCACTAAAAACTCAGATCATTACGAGCAAAAGTAAACTATTGATACTACACAAAGTGAGACTTGCCATTGTCGCAAAAATGTACTTTTTCCACCCATATTTGGCTACCATCATAAAGGACAACAAAAATCAGTACACAGCGACCGCAAAACTCATTTCAAGACTTTTTTGATCACACAATGCATTTACCCCTGTAAGAATCCACATTCGCTGATCCTCAGACAAGTCAATATCATTCTTGATAAACATGCTTCCGCGCAGTTGTTGGAAATTTTCGACAACTGGATGTCGACTTCCAGTAATTTTATGGATAGGCTCGGTTACCATTTTTGGTCTCACGTATTCTTTTTCAATACTAAGTACTGCAAAGGATAGCGAAACGTCAATCTCACTGAGAATTCTTGAAAGTTCGATGAGTTCAGGTATAGATTGTTTGATCTGTATAAATGTATGAGCACAATAAATTAGCGTGTTGTCGTTGATTTGAGGTTTTAATGGTCAGTTGTGTTACAGTCGTTGTACAACCCATGAAAAACTATAGACCATTAAACACAATGACAGGTAAAAGCACAGAATAAAATACTGACCTGATTGCAAGCTTTTTCAAAAATATCTATTTCAAGCTTCAACATTTCATCGTCAAGTTCTTGCATTTGGTTAAGCAGATCTGTCCAGTGCTGTAGGTTACGCAAAGATACAAATGCTTAGTACCATTTTCTTATTGAATCCTTTGATACAGAATGACACGTTTTGCACACACAAGTGCACTATCATAGATACTACCTTGTTGTGAATACGCACTCCGCTGGCTAGGCGTTGCTCGTGCATCAAAGTTGAAGCCGGATCCATGTCGATAATATTGAGCAATTTAGGTCGTTTTTTTGAATTGATTTTTGGAAACTCGAGAGCTGCTCCATACCGATTATCAACTATAAAACTAAAATTTTCACCTAAACACAGCGATTGCAAAATACAATACAATAAAAAAGCGGTAAATAAAAGGAATGATCCATCTGCAATACTCTATCCATCAAGCGTAAAAAGTTTAAAAGCATCATCTAGATTTACCATAGACTTGCACAAGTTTGGTAAAAAGCTGTTGGCGCTTTTGATTCAACTCGGTTCGGTTTTCCCGTAGCGTGTCCAAATGTTTTGAAACACCTTTGGAAATAGATCCAAGAGTAATATTTCCATTGATTCCATCGTTCAACACTCCTTCCAGTTTATCATAGAGTGCTGAAAAGTCACTTATACTGTTTCCTAAATCAAACAAGACTGTTCCGTTGCATTTCTGTGGAATTTCCGAGGTAAGAATGTTGCGGATAGTGGCCGAGTTGCGCAGCGTATCTATTATATCACGAAAGTCTGTGAGACTGCCATTACCAAGAGATAGTCGTTGAAGATTTTTTTTGATGTCACAACATGTCTCGAGAGGCAAAGTGATGTCGTGAATCCAATGACTGGGCTGTTTTGTAAAAGCTTCAACAACATCGTGTATGTGATTGATTTCTTCAATATCCACCAATGGAGATGCTATCAAGACAGAGATTCCAAAAGCGACGAATGATTAGCCAAGAATACATGCAACGAAAACAGCATATGGAATATACGGCTACATACATAGACGAGATATCAATAGACGAGATCCAGCGTTTGTTTTTGTATAATTTACAGCCTGGAACAGACTTCCTCTGATGCCACCATCACGAATATTACGAAGGATTTCCAAAGATTTCAGAGTGACCTTGTCCAATTTCATCATTTGCTTTTTGTTTTGGCTAATAGGAAGACGAAATGCATGTTCCGCCAGCGGAAGATTGTGAGCAACATATTCCAACATTCCGGCAGCAGCTTGAGTTTGATAAGGGGAATAGCCTTTAAATACAGCCTCATCTGATCCGTCGTGATTTGCAAGACCAAGATCGCTTCGAAGAACAAGATTGCGAAATCTACCAATAGACTTGGGGTCAGTGAACAGCGAGTCGGGCTTGAATGTCAGATGAGCGGCTGATTTTAATGCAGGTATATAATTGATTGCAGATTGCATATGTTCTTGAACAAGAATTTCTCTAGGCTGAATGCGAGCCAGATCAGTTTCAAGAGATTGTAGATTTGATTGAGCGGTAAAGAACTCTCCAGTGGACACATCCATCCAGGCAAGACCGATCTTTGATTTTTGTAGAGAAGAGACGACGACAGGAGATACGATGCTCAACAAAAAAGAGTTTTCAGCAACGTCTGATGCCATATTGTCGTCAATCATGGTTCCAGGAGTGATGATGCGAGTGACTGCGCGAACAAAGGATTTTGAGGATATCGAATAGTCTTTACCAACTTGCTGAACCAAAGCGACTGTTTTGCCGTTATTGATCAGAGAAGTGACGTAGTCTTTGTAGCAGTGCATGGGAAATCCAGCCATTCTGACAGGATCTCTCTTGCCCTTCATTGTAGCAATCCGCAAACTCAACAATCCAGCAATCTCGTCTAAATACCCACCAATGTCGTAGATCTCGTAAAACGAACCCACTTGCACAAGCAATATATGTTCTGGATTGTGTTTTTGAAGATCTGATATTTCTTGCATGAGAGGAGTGAGAGTGGTTTCAGACTGGATCAGACTGATGGTGTCTTTTGCAGTCTGGAGTTGATCTTGATCCATGTTCTGGACAGTGACAAAGGATGAGCTTGGAGTGAACTTGGACCGAGTTCTCCTTCTTACTGGAGCGGAATGCGACTTATCCAGACTATTGTTTACAGTATTATTACAGACCAAAGAGTCATTGTCCAAAACACTGGCCATCACTGATGCAGATGACGAACGAGAAGCCTTTTTAGTGGCAGTCCGATGGGCAATAAAATGAAAAACAACAGTGCTACTAACAGTTGGAATGTTACTGATCATTAACCCATTATAGTGGGTGTTTACACTGATTCTTAATCGAGATCTGACAGCTGTCGAATATCGGATCATGTTAAGCCAATTGTTTCGAGTTGAGAAAAAACTTTATTGGAGATTTACGATTGCTACTAAGAAGCCAGCTGACACTTTAGTCAGATCCATCCATGAGTCTTGGCAGTAGGTTTTAATGCTGGTCGTATCGAAACATCCATAATTTTGACACCATGAATTCGGCTCATGTTGGTTTGAAAAGATACGCTAGCACAGAAAAATGTCATGATGCCCACATTGAATGTTGCATGACATGCTTGTGTCATTAGTTGTTCGGGACAGTTATTCGGCATAGTTGTTTGAGATAGTCGCTTACTGCTTGGTTAGTTATTTTACAATAGAATAATGTGCTCAACTCATTTTGTATCATCAGCTGAGCTTTAGATCTGCAATCAAGAACAATGTCTCATTACAGTGACATGTTTGAATAGCGGGTTGACTCGCGGGTTAAACTTGAATGCAAGTAGTGTCTTGCACTACCAGCCCTACTCGATCCATACCAAAGACATACCAACGTGAAAGACTATAACGAGTTCAGCCACCATACAGTGCTACTAATTGCCATCCAACAAGTATATTAAATGTGGTTCATAACAATCAATTATTGATTCAATGCATTGGCAACACAGCCGACTGTTGCTACTGCGTAACCAGTTGCTTGTTGTCTTGCTAGCATCTTGCCTCACTGGCTGTGCTCATCTAACTGTCTACCACCCATTCGCTAAGCCGAAACACCAAGCCATTCTCTGCCAGCACAGCCCAAGTGGAATCCTGAGAGAAAACTAGATACAAGAACTACTTTAAAACCCGGCATTTTTGGCGGAAAGCTGTCTCGAATTGGTTACTAACAGCTTGCGAAGCTGCTGTCAAAGTTTTGTATTGGTTCCGAGTGCTTGTCGCGTAAGATTGATAGATTGCAGTGTCGTTTTGGATTCAAAACAGTTCAAAGTTTGGCTTAAATTTGGTTAAACAAGTTTCTATTTTCTTGTCAATACTTGCTGTCAGGCCGATGAATTCAGGTGCTTCTATTCCGATAGAGGTTACGTTTTCACATAGTACTGTTTGTGAAACCTATCCATTAACACCCACAACTGTCGACTCGAAGGCGGATGCAGCATCCATATCCACTCCACTGCAATATCCCCGTATGGATTCCGGTGCCATTGTTACTCCTCACTCGTTCAATCCGACTACTGCTGTAGCCTCGTACTCTTCCAGTGCAGCACCGTCCATTTTACAGACTAAAACTGCACTTTTACCTCATTGCAACTCTCTTACGGCAGGACCTACGGCGCATCACTCTCGGAACCTGTATTCCAACCCAATACTACAGCAGCCTTACCAACAACTACAATCCCAACACCAGCATAAACCACAAAGACATGCAGAGATCATCTCATACCAGGCATCGGAGTTTGTAGCTTTTTCTGTTTACAAGTTGTGGCATCGACCTATAATTAAACGACGACTGACTGCACCATTGAAGCCTGCCATGGCTCGAGACATTCCTCAGCATGCTCTGGTGGTTGGCGGATCAGCTTGCACTACAGCAAGTGCAGCTCAGTCCGAGGCTGCACCTCATACTAATCACAGGACGCATAGCAATCCAACGCACTTTGGCTCTACAAGTGGAATGTATTCATATCAACACAGCCACTCCACCAACTCTTTGCCGCTTCAACCACTTTTGCCCTTGACTACACCTCAGAGTGTCTCGTGCACCACAGCCACTATGTCCCACGAATCTACCACGGCCTGCTCACCGCACTCTGTTTCGGCTCCGTTTAATTCGGTCGTCTGTCCGCAAGGCACCCGTCAATGGTATCCTGCCTTTTTTCAAGCCGTCCATACTGTTCTATCCAAATCTGGCTGCTCGCTTCCTCATATTCTCATTGCCCTGTTGTATGTGGCTCGACTGCGTCAACTTGTTCCTGCAAACATCACTGGCGAAGGCTCTGAATACAGAGTTTTTGTTTCTGCCCTTATCCTGGCCCAAAAATTTCATTCTGATGATCGCTACTCCAATAGAGCTTGGGCCGCCATTACCAAATTGCCACTTGTTGAAATCAACACCATGGAACGCGAGTTTTTGCTCAGTATTGGTAATCGCTTGCATGTACGCGATACTGACTACTCCAAATGGGAAGAGACCATCCGAGTCTTGGGTCAGGAGCATTCTGTTGCTCAGGCTGCTGCTCATCTACATCAGCTGGAATTTTCTCATCCTTCAAAATATCCACAAACTAATAATGGCCTGCTTGGAGTGAATAGATCCGCTTCCCATATGCAATATGACAACCCATTGGCGAATGAGGATGACTTGTTTGAGGCAGACTCTGTTTCTTCTCGAAGGGCTCACACTTTTCCACGTCACAGTCAGGGAAACTTGTCCTAATTTTGTTTATTCGATCCCTCAACCCTCCACTTTTTATTCAATACGTGGCTACCTCTTTAATGTCCCTTTTTATCTTACTTGCATATCTTGTTTATAATCCTTATAGATCTGTCTCCATATTTAAATCATTGCTGATTTGACTACAAACTGAAACCTGGCCGTTTTCCTATTCTTGTCTAAACCATCCAGCTTTAGCTATGGGTGTCAAAACCAATAGCTCAATCCATTCTATTTTTAGTCTAGTCAATGACAAATACATTTATGGGATCCACTTGTGTATAATTTATTTTATGGGGCAACCCTAATTTTTAGCTGTATTCACGCAAGCAAAACACTTGCAGTTACTTTTGCTGTGGAACAATGGTTAAACGTTTATTGCGCTTTCTTGTAGATTAACTGCTTATTCGATAGACGAGGTTCATCATATAATGCACACAGGATTCACCTATTGCTTAAACTGTAATTATTCCACTCTTGACATGGCCATTGTCGCACCATCGTTGTATTCATTCAACTATGGGGTTCAGCTGTTGTCAATGCAACTCAGCTCAAAGCGGATTATCTTGTCCAGTAAATTTGGTAGGAATTATCATGACTGCTGTTTATTACACCCTTATTTGGCGCTCCACGTTATGCAAATACGGCGGTAATTGAAGATTTGAAATATTGTTGCAACAAGCATTCATTAAGGGGGTCTGTAAGCATCTAATTCAAGCCAATAGAGATTTCAGATCGGCCGAGTTGGGAGTGATGTTGTATCCGAGATATAAGGAATGTCTGCACTATCTCTTACTGCGGGTTGATATTTAGATAGTCGTGGCATACTTGCTTGACGTTTCAACGTTCCTCGAGGCACACTCACAGCAGTGGGATCATGTCTGGTCCAACCCCGACGATCTAAATCCCGATCAAGCTGCCGATATGAATGGTTTCGAGCAGCGAGCATGGAATCTGATTGAGCATATCTCAACTGTCGCTGTTTCTTACTCTTTTCTTCACTCTCAACACCAACCAACCAACACAAGGTTTGATGCAGCCCGCCTGTAACCCGCCATGATACACGCATAAGCATCCATAATGTCATTCCACCTACTGCCATGACCCATGCAAACATGCATACAAATACAGTCGCAGGCCCTGCAATCATTACTTGCTTGTGAATGGTGTGAAGCCAAGCAAAACATGGCGGAAGCAAGTGAGACACCACACCTGCACCAATCAAAACCAGCCCAATGTGCTCAGTGTTGCAAAAAATGCGGTTCGTTTTGAGGGTTGTGTAGAGAGTATAGAGGGTTGAGCAGTGACATGACATGGCTGTGCCTGCCATGAGCGACACAATGGCAACTGCAAGCATGGTGATGTAGATACCCATGTAGCGAGCTGAAATCATTGGAATATAGCTGATGATGGGAATCGTGTACATGCATACCCAGATGAGTGTAGCAAACACAATAGTATAAAGTGACTGAGATGGCTTTGCAAAACAGACACGACTCAGAGAGAGCTCGGCATTGGATTTATGGCAAGGTATAGTTGAGTTGATTGAAGACGATGAATTAGAGGTATACAAGGCCGAACGGTTTTTTTGTTGGCTCGATTGTCGCAGTGACGAGGCTGCATGGTATGAATCTTGGTCGTGCAAAGCCTGCACTCGATCAGTTGAAATATTCCTGAAAAATGCATCTGTCGACTCGTCCGACACTTCAGAGCTCAAAGATGTTTGACTGGCTGATGATCCTGGCCGAGTCGGCACTCTGGCAGAAATCTCATCTTGAATGAGTAATTCATCAAGCCATTTGGAATGATCTTGAATGGATGCAGATTGAACTGGCAAGCCATTGGAAATTCTTTCAGCTGGCCGAGACAATGAATCCGTGCCAGATACAACACTAGACACTCTTTCATGAACGTATTTCACAGAATAGCTTGTGTAGCCAGCAAGCGGAGTAGTTGTTCCAGAACCACTGCGACCAGTTTGAGATCGAGACAGCGATTTGAATGCAGGATCAAATGTAGCACCCATGGACTCGGCAGAAGGAGGTAGAGCTGTCAGTGACATGGCAGAAATAGGCTGCATGCCATAGGCCATTGCAGAGTATGATTTTCCACTAAAGAGGCTGTTGCTCATTGATCCAGACGAAGCTAGCGACAGGGCTGGAGATGATTGCCGCAGCTGTTTTTTCACAGCGGGCAGTTTGTGATGATGGATAGACTCGCATGTAGCTCGAGGAAATGGACAGTCATCCTGTATTCTACTAAGTGCAGATGATGAGCTGTCATTGACAGTCTGGTTATTTTTATAGAGTAAAGTGCTAGTTGAATGTATAGATGATAGTTGCGGTGATATTGGAGGACGGCATGGAGGACACAGAGTAGCCAAGGATGCAGTGGATATAGCTACATATGGACCGTCTGGCTCATCACCTGAATAGTCTGCATCGTCTGAAAAGTCGTTGCTATTGTGTGTGTCTGATTCCAAATCATCCTCAGTACAAGTAAATGCAGTGTCACTCATTGTATTGGAAACATCAATTGCTTGATGGCAGTTGGGGTTAGGTACTTGATGCATTAGAGGAATATACAGCCGATAATTATGGTTGGCGGCAATTGAACAGCCCTTGTCAGTATTCAAGCATGAAGCAGCAAGGTTGGTGATGGATAGTAAAACAACTAGATATTGGTGCTCACAGTCTGAAACAGACAGTATAAGCAATGTCGAATCACTGGTTTATAGTGATACTCTTGTTCATGTCCACTCACTACCATTGTTACAAGTCACTTGTATCATACTGTCAATCTATTGGTCCATTAATTCAAATTATTTAATCCCACAATTGTTAACGCATAACTATGTCCCTATTCCACTGTTGCTGAAAATTTCCTTTAAATAGACCTGTTTGTCGCTATTTTTTCAACTCATACTTACCTGGCGCTCCGGTTGTGCGATCAACAAGGCGTGATCGGGTTGTCGGACCTCTTCCATTGCACAAACGTGGGAGGGACGGCGATCACAACGCCTTCGGGTGTTCGTGGGTGCATCATTTTTGAGGAGGGAGAATCCTGCGTTCGCGCGGTGTTTCTCCCGTAATCTAATCATTAATATAAGAAGAAACCTGTGACGACTAGAATAAAGCTGTTTTGTAACTTGTAACTTTGTGCTGTTGATGATGTTTGGTTATAAATAGTGGATGGTTGGTTTATTTGGTTATGCTCTTTTCTACATTGGTTGTGTTTTTTATTGTTGGATCAGGAATTGCCTGTGCCTTTCCTCAAACTGAGTTTCAAGAGCAAGAACCGCCGACTTCTCGTCGTAAGAATAAAGGTCTGAGACACACATTAAGAAGTCGTTGGAGCAGATTTCAAACTTCTTTTTTACAGAGAAGAATTCACTACTTGAATGACAAACGCAGAAGAAAGGAAAGGCGACTAGCAAGACATATGATGATTCTTCAAAATACGAATACTCAATAAATATATTTTAAATTAACAATCCTGTTTTGTTGCTATCAGTATTGTCAGTTGTGCAAGTCATTTTTAATCATGGACTGATTGTTTGGAACAGAGCTGTTGTAACATCCAAACGACTATATTAAACATGTTGAAAAACATCAAATGACAGTAAGTTGATCACCAAAATGGGTTTCTAGGTTGGCCAGATCAGATATCAACACACATGACTATTGTTGGTGTTGCATGTCAGCATCATCAATGTGTACAACTATGCAGTATAGAATCAACTGCATTGTATTGGGAATGCAAGTGTCAATGCACACTATGATACCAACCAAGACTGGAATGATCAGATACAATGCATGTACATACAATATCAAATGGTAATTGTATTATATTTTATTCAAACAAAAATACAACAGACTCGGTTGAAACCAGTCTAGATCAGCATTCAAATCAATTGGACGAGTTGTCACATTAGGATTGCTTAAAGAATGACATGACCTTAGTTTTAATCCTGGAAGAAGCTCTCTGTGGCCTGGGACAAGTTCCAGAACTTGTTGCTTCTTCATATGATGAGGATGGATTGGAATGTTGAGGATTTTGTGGTAAATCATCATACACTTTGGCAATCTGTTTCACAACAATTGGACTTGATAGTATATAACTCATACGCTCATTAATCAGGCATTTGTCCAGAATTTCTCCAAAAACTAATGCCACAAGTTCTTTTGCAATAAGATATAATTTCCAAGACAATTCAGCAATACCGTACTCAGATTCTGAAAGCTCTCTTGTAAGCCCAATGAGTTTGGAAGATTGGAATTCACAATCAAATCTGGCTTTCAAAAGTTTGTTGTTGTGATTTGAACCTTGCTTGCTTTTCCGATACTTTCTTTCGAAATCCTCGAGTATTTCCTCCAGCTCAGTTATAAGATCAATTTCAACACCATATCTGGTTTCTAACAAGGCATGTTTTCTCTTTGCTTCATCATGAGTTTGTTGGGTTTGAATGTAGCTTTTGAGCAAAGCTTTAGCTTTATTTGAAGGTGCAACAGAACTGGCCAAAGGACTAGAAGCAGCATCTGTAGTTGCGCTGGGAAGAACTGTTGAAGTGCTGTATTCGGTACTTGTAGTTGCAGTGGGAATAGTTGGGTTGGCAACAGTAACTGAACAAGTAAGCAGGATCGATGACAATATAGCGATTAAAAGTTTCATTTTACTGGTTTAACCAAGTTGTAGTGATTGACATTAATAGGTTGGGTTTAGATCGTATTTATATCGGTTATTGAATAGTATTAAAAGCATGTTCCTAGATGGCCGTTTTAAGGAACTCGTGTTGCTGTCAGGGTTGGTGTTGATGTATTGCTATCAATGTCAAGGTTTAAGGGATATCCCTTTATATGACAATCTGCAATCTTGATTAAACTACTACTTGAATATGCATTCAAATACTGTATGATTGAACAATTGTGTAGTTCCCTATCTTTTTTAGGGCAGAAAAGGGCTAGTGAGTACAAACAAAATAAGGCTATGAAACGGGCTGGTACTCAGTTATTGGACGATCACCAATATGTGTCTGGTATTCCATGCCTTCCAAATGTCAATTGATTGGCACAACTCAAACATATCGTGGCTTAGTAATACTTTCCACTCAACTCGACACGATCAATCATCACTGCGCACTGTCCAGTGATCCAATCAATCAATCGAGTCAATACAATACAGTCCATGATTCAACCACAATGTCACATTGATGATCAGTGACTTGCAACTGTTGTGTTGGTATTGCATGTTCTGTGCTATTATATCAATATCAATTGTCACTATATAGTTTATCAACCACACATCATGACCATATGCATACAATACACACCAGTTGAGTTGATCAGCATGTGTCAACTGGTCAATATCATCAAATCTGGTTATACACGCACTTGACATGTACATCTGGACAGTGATCATTGTGCAAACCATATATGACCAGTCATGTCAAATATCCAATCAAACACAATGATCAACAATACAGTAGTATGTTTGATATGATTGTATTGCATCAGTCGACTATATACGATCATTGAATGCATCAAGATTGGATATGATATAAAACAAGTTTATTTTGTAATAATTTAACACTGTTTTGTAATTAATTGTGCAGGTCATCAGCAGGAGCATCAACAGGTTGAGTTTCGCCAGGTACATTATCATCCGTAAAAGTGTATTTTGTTACGTCAAATGGTGCAAGGTCGGATGCATCAGTAAGGGTTTCTGTGGCATTATCTTTGGAATCATTGTCAGAATCAGTGCCAGCATCTTTGGAATCAGTGTCAGAATCAGCGTCACCATCTTGATCAACAGTATCAGCAGGGCTGTTGTCCCGTTTGCTAATCAAGGCCATAATTTCCGAGTCGGGAATATGCGCACGAATATAGAGAGCATGTTCACGCATCTCACGAGAGTATTGGGCAGGAATAGCAATGGCGTTTGCAGTAGCAGCAACGATAGAGACAAGAGCAAATATGGTGAATTTCATAATTGGGGTGTTTTTTGGGTATAAAATATATGGCAAAGGATGAAACGTTACAAGTTTATATCAAGACTACAAAAGAATGGTTGAATTAAAGAGCATCATGAAACCCTATTTATAGATTTGAGGCAAGGTTTTGAATTGAATACATTTACAGTAAGCCAAGCTAGATTTGACCGCGAATGATCCCAAAGCATCGGAGATTATACAAGACAAATGTAGCCATCTTGAGACTAAAAGACATTTCGGTACAAAGTGGCACTCGTCTGTCTTGCATTTATGCCATGTGCTGACTATTTTGCCGTTAAACCAGCAAGCCTGTCACATGTGCCAAACTCGGTAAACTCCGATCTAAATCAGCGGCACGTATATCTCAAAATGTCGTTGTGCCAACAACCAGTTACCTAATCTTGCCGCATCCTGATATTAGACTCGTGTCTAACCACGTTCTGTTACGCAAGTACAGCTATCAAAGCAATTGCCATATATTGCATTTTACAGATGCATCAGCCGCAACAGGTCATTGACAGAAATACATAGTATCATTCGCAATGTCTTTATTTAGTTCATATAATCGAAACTGTGTAGTTTTAGCACAGACCTAGCTCCACAAGGACCATGTTTGCAATACATCTATACAATTCAGCTTTGATCATGGTCTTCATCGCTAGTTTTTTTATCATACCCAGAATTTCCTGAACTATCAAAAAGTTCGAGCTCGTCAATGTCATCCGCCAACCTGTCAACATTATCCTCATCATTGACACCATTGAGTAATGGATCGAGTTGCCTCAAAACGGGTGCTTCCCGTTTTTCCAATCCGACCCACTCGACACCATTAAAAAAAGCATATGCCTGCACTTGAGTCAGACCAGGTCGATCTTTGGGAACTATTTTTAAAATGTCTTTTATAAGACTTGCAGAATCAGCATCTATCTCATCTGGAATCATGTACTTGAGTTGAATGATGCATTGAAAAGTTTGGTACTCGTTGCTTCCACGAAAAGGGGGTTGGCCAACCAAGAGCTGGTACATGATGCATCCAATCGCCCAAACATCCGATGCATGAGATGCTTCACGGTCATTGAGAAGTTCAGGCGAGCAATATTCTGCAGTACCAACAAAAGATGCACGACGAGATGGCTCTGAAGACGGTGTTGTAGACGAGTCTAAAATCTTGGCTGTACCGAAATCTGCAATCTAGACCATAGTAAGTCGATTGAGTTGTAATGTATAAACAAATCAACACACTCGACCAATAAACAAATCAATACAAAAATAAACTCAAATACCTTGATATGTTTGGACTTGCTCAAAAGGATATTCTATTCACAAACCATCAAGATTAATTAAATTGATCATTTACATCAAAACAAAGCATGTCCAACTCACTTCTGGTTTTAGATCTCGATGAATCACTCCATTGTCATGTAAAAACTTGACCCCACACACCACCTCAGCCATATAGAACCTTGCCGAGTCCATCTCAAATCTTCCAACCTGCTTCAAGTAACCAAGTAAATCGCCATGTGCAGCCAATTCCAATACAAAATACAGTGAATGGTCGTCTTGAAATGTGTAAAATAGCTTAATGACAAAGGGATGATGGATACGGTTAAGAACATCTCGTTCTACTGTAACATATTTGGTCTTCTTCTCTCGAACAATGTGTCGCTTGTCAAGCATCTTGACTGCAAAATGACGACCAGTGGAGATTTCAGTTGCTGAGAGGACAGTAGAGTAAGAGCCCTCACCAAGGATAGATCCGAATTTGAAATCATACGTTTGACGCTTGCGAGGCAGACTAGGCGACTGCTGAGCTTGAACAGGCTGAGGAGATGCAGATGGATCATGTACAGGTGTTTCCATCGTTGCCTTTATAGATGACTCTGAGGGAGAAGGCAGCGGCTCTGATGACTCTGTAGATTTCATTTCAGATGAAATAGCAGACACATTTGCATGGCCATTCTCTAAAGTTGAATTGACTAAACGAACCATTCTATCCAAGTTGTTTTTGTATGCAAGTAGCAGTGGTTGCTTTAATCAATTGGAAGTAGAATAAAGGGTTTACAGTCCAGATATCCAGCAATCACACTGAAATGCAGATGCTGGATGCGAATTGAGCAATAGACCAAAAGTGCACTCAATACAGTTGCTAGCGATGATATCGGTTCTAACAAGTGTCGGAGAATTATGTCAGAATGAAAACACAGCAGCCAATTCACACAACCAGCCATCCGCTGCGTTGTAGTCAATCTATGAGTTGCAAGCTGTCAAGGACAATCTAATAGTTTATTGCTTGATAACACCTGGAACAGCAGGTGTGCGTGAACTTGGCTGTCCTGGCTGGTTTACTTGGGTGCATGAGTGCCATGCTCTTGCATCCATGCTCGCTTGGGCTCTTCTTTACCAAACCCTTCCGAGTAATTGCCTTTAAGAGCAAATAGCTGCTTGAAATGAGGCTACAGAACAGTATTTTCACCATATTAAGCATCAGTATCGGATTCATGATGAATTCTTTAAACCTTTTACCTTGCAGTAGTAAACACCGCCCATCGAGGCCAAGTTGCCCATCTTAAGCTGTCCCTTGCAGTGAGCACATTTGAAGCATGTACGATGGAACATGTGTGTATCTACAGTGACTTGCTCCATAGCATACACTAACGATTCAGATTACAAATCTTGGTGAGTTTCTTACCAAAAAACTAGATTGCTATAAATAACTTACCAGTTTTGCTACAGGCTTGGCATTTGTTGGTGGATGCAGCAGTCTGATTATACTTTGCAGCAACGTGTTCATTTGATCCACGAGTAGCACTGTTTGGACTGCCTCCAGGTTGCACATTCTTTTGTTTTGGCTGTAAAGATCCTTGACTGTTTGATCCAATCGATAGAGGCTGGAGAGTGGCTGCGATCGTATCTGCACCTGTGCTGTGATGAGCACTGATATCCAACTGTGAAGTATGATGGGAATGGGTAACCGACTCTCTGTTTCCAGAAACGATGGGCTTGCAAGGATAAGGTGCTGAACGAGCATTTTGACTTAGGCGAGGTCGATCCCTGTGTCCAAGACTTTCACGACGGCTAGTCCCACTCAATGCATGTGTGGATGTATTGAATCGAGCAGATGTAGCAGCAGGCAATGGATTCGGTCCTGATGCAGCCTTGTATTGCGCAATACGATCACGAACACTTTGAAATCCAGGAATGCTTTGAGATTGCTGCAACGATGCAGAAGCTGCATGGTAAGATGGGGTTAAAGGGATCGATTGCGTGGTTGAAGTCATTGAGCTACCATTGATTGAAGCAGATTCTCCCTCTTGCATCATAGTGATATCAGGGACATCTGTTGCTGCAGCTGTACGAGGAACGTATTGGTTCATGTTTTGATTGGCTTGTATACCGTCTTGATTGGCATTGCTCACAAACGCCTCTAGGCGGTCTTCAAGTCGTTGATTGTCTAGCTCAGTCATTTTACCGATTGTTGGGTGGGTATCAAAAGTCTTGAAAACAATTGAATAAACTCGAATTAAACTTGCGAAACAATGCAAAAACAATCCGCAAGAAAGGACTAGACTTGAATGATTGATTATATATAATATTCTCGCACCCAAATCCACAGTAATGTCGTGGATTTGGATGCGCCAACTTCAATTCGCGTCTAGATAATATCCATGTGGCACTTGTCCTATTCAATCTGAACAATTAATGGAATGATGAGCACATGCTCGCCACTCATTTCAGTTGCAAGTAGTATATAAAGAACACCGAACGATACTACTTTCTCGACCAATATTTACTGCTGAATTTATTGAAAGGTTGTCAACATCATGATTGGCTTTGGCAGGCAGTCTTGGTTAAACATTTGAAGACTGTATATTAGTTGGCTTGGAACTAATCATGGTGGATCATCTGTGCTTGAATCATACTTGGCAACACCAGGTATCATTCAAATAATTTAATTGATGTTGGAACCATTACAATCTAGTGAGAAAAAGCACGCTTGTTCGCAACAAAATCAATTCGCCAACGCCAATGGAACCACATACCATGCGCCATATATCTAAGCAAAAAACCACAATGAGCATGCCCTACATTTTGATCATCTAGAACAAAGTAAAACAAGACTTGTTCCAAGATGTAATAAGGCACAGGTTCCAAATCAACGTCTCGAATAAAGAAGTCTTTAATTGCATAGATGACTGCTGGAACCAATGAATGGAAATCCATGAAACTTTTTCGAGGCAATTTTAAAAATGAAAAAGTAAAGATTGTTTGCCAGTTAAGAACATCAGTAGTGGGACTTCTAATTGAATGATCGTGAGTGATGAGATTTATACTTTATCAACAACATTTCTGTCTTGCATACATGCAAGCAGCAACTACGCATCATTAAAACACGGATTGCACAAGTCAATACATTATGATGGCATATAAAGTATAACAGGACGAAAGTGATGACCAAAGCTTATCATAATTCAGACAAACAGTAGCAGTTGTAACAGTGGTATAAACTATTCCATAAGAAAAAAGATAAGAAGGGGAAATAAAGAGCATTTTGAACTTTTTGGCAATTCTTGGATACGCTTGTCAAATGGTTGATCTCTCCGTCTTGCTATCAAATCCAACCACTAGTTCTGAATCAGATTGAGGATTCACGAGATTATATTCAAGTCAACGAGAGTTTCATTCTTTTGGAACAACTCATTCAGCTTGGTGTATTGGATCCTAGATTCTGGATGTCATACGTCTCTTGAATAACGTCGTCAAATCTGTCAGAATATTTACATTGTTCCTCGCATGTATTCCGTATGCTGTCCAACAGCAACTTGTCTAATACTGGCAAAAAATACTCGACAACTCTTGATGCATTCCAACAGCGAATCAGTAAAAAAACCGGTATCGCACGGTGCACCTTATACGCTACTATTGCATTATTTATGTCTTGCCAAAAGCAGTTTTATTCTTGCATCTGTGCATATGCTGACAGTAATCCAGCTCATGAAAACATCAAATTGTCAAATGCATCTGTTTATGCAGACAATTCTTGAGCAACAAAGGCTGGGTGTTTAGCCATCACATCTTCCCATGTGATTCTCCCCTCTACTAAATTATGTACAATCTCCACAATAATGGGTATGGTCGAACGAATCTGCTTGATTGTGTCACGCTCACGAAGTGTAACCGTCTTGTCTTGAACAGTCTGGAAATCAATTGTGATGGCAAACGGCGTACCGAGCTCGTCATTTCGTGCATATCTGCGACCAATAGAGCTGGTGGAATCATCCACCTTATTGGCAACACCACTGCGACGAAGACTGGCAACAATCTCCTTGATAAATGGAGAAAATTCGGCATTGTTGCTGATGGGTGCTACCAGTGCCTTGATAGGTGCTACTGAGGCAGGGAACTTGAATACTGCGCGTTGTTCATCACTTTCCCGGACATAGTAAGAGTGCTCTAAAAGAGCATACAAAATACGTCCGATTCCAAACGAGGGCTCAATAACATTGGGGGTATATTCCCTCACTGTATCAGTCATGATCACAAAGGGTATTTAACCAGCAAAAACATGCATTAGTTTAAATGCATACACGATTCAACAATAATGCAGGTTTAAAACAATGATAATAAAGAAGCATGCAGGCTGTGACCAATAGAGTCTGTTGGTTTAAAGTTTTGAATTAAAATCCAAAGTCAACAGTCTCTGTATTGGGTCGTGGAGCAGCCCATGAGAAGACTACTGTTGCACACTTATGACTCATGCCTGTTCAATAACTTGCTATTGTGCAAGTGACGAGCCACAATAAGCCTCGCCATGAAGAGGGATCTAAGGAGTGTGCGTATAATACAATGCAAGCAAAAAATAAAACACTCACCGCTGATCTTGATAGTTTTTTGAACCACAGAAATCATGTCGGCAGTGACCTTGTATTGCTTGCCATCCGTTCCAGTGACCTGCACAAAGCTAAGACAAATAAAAATGAGACACTGATATCAATTCATCTGCATTGCAATGTATAGAATGGCTCACCTGTTGGCCTTCAATTGTGCATCAATCTCTGCCAGTTTTACTTGATCCCATTCACTACTGCTGCCCACAACCAAGGCATCAAAGTAGCCTTGTACAGCCTTTGCATCCTTCTTAAAAGCAGGCCCAAACTTTGACTTGTTGATCTCCAGTATCAGAGCATCGCGTATAATTGGCTCTGGAAGTGTGTCGCGAGCTACCAGTTTTTCGCCAGTCTTTTTAGAATGCGCTGTCAAATCAAACGCAGATCTATCCGCACATCCAACAGACTCAATCCACCCCTAATAATAATAAAGTTTATATGAATATCCATCCACATGTACAATCAAACTTTTTCAGATTGGTGCTTACGTAGCTACTCTTGATTTCAGCATCCCAGCAATCGCATGCATAATGAGCCATCTCGTTGGCAAGATGCTGACGAAAACGAATACGTGCAGGATCAATGCCAATGCGTACCAAAAAGAGATAGATTCTTGCAACAAAATAGCCAAGCGTTTGATTGTTTACAATTCCCTGGTCAACAGCGGTGCCAATCTTCATCTTGGAGGCACCCGATGCAGCCAACTGTGCTTTGGAAGAGTACATCATCATCTCAACGTCACGAACTTCGTCAAATCGAGGGTGATCTTTTTGATCAGGATGAACAAAATGCTCAATTTCCGCCATAGTAAATTCTCGAACACGAAGAAGCCCTTGACGAGGAGAAATCTCGTTACGGAATGATTTTCCAATAGATGCAGAGGCAAATGGCATCTGATCATTGTTGAATTCAAGTAGTTTCTTGAAATTCAAAAAGTGGCCTTGAGCTGTTTCAGGTCTCATAAAACTAATGGACAAGTAGAAGACATGATGCAATATGAATCAATATATGAAATCCATCACCATTTATATGAAAAAGCCAAATACCATACCCTTTAAATTGACCAGTGGGACCGATCTGTGTGTCAAACATAAGGTTGAAAAGCACAGGATCTGTGACGGGATTGTCAGTCTCGGGAGCACGAATATCCAAATCTCTAATCAGCTTGGTAAGATCATCGCCCTGGAAATTATCCAGAGTTTCAAGAACAAGCTCATAATGATCACGAACAGTTCGCTCCAACACAACAGCTTTGGACTTGGCCTTTTTGGCATCAGAAAGAGCACCACCCATACGCAGCTGACGATCGTCGTCTAAACGCCGAGTCAAAACTTGTTTGACCAGGTGATCAGCACGAAAGATGTCGCCAGTCTTTGTATCTTTTACCATTGCATCAGAGAAACGATCCACATGACCAGATGTCTTGAGCACAGACTCTGGAGTCAAATTAGTGCATTCAAGTTCTAGCATGTCCTCTTCAAGAACAAAGTGCTGGCGCCATAGTGAGAGAATATTGTTTTGAAGAGCAGATCCTGGGGGACCATAGTCAAACAAGCCTGCGATGCCTGATAATGATAAAAGTATAGTAAAAATGAGCAAGCGCAATGGAATTTTGCAAGACACAGTGGATAATATAGCATCATGCTCAACCAAATATCCAATAAAAACAGCAGACAATCAAACCAAATGGAAAAGCCCAATTCTCAACAGATCAAATGAAGGCATGGGTAAATACATACCTCCATATATCTGGAACGATGGAGCAATAAAAAAACGTTTGGCCAAGAGCGACTCCAATGCAGCTCTATCGAAATGATCAGAACGACTAGCGGCAGTCTTGAGCCTCTTTGCAGCTTCAGCCTTGAGTGCCAAAAGAGCATCGATCTCAGGCTGGACTTCAGTTTTTGTAGCCTTGCGAGCCTTGAAGGCTTTAACGACATCAGCCTGACGAGCAAGAGCAGCCTCGACAGCATTATCATCCATCTTTTCCAACTGATCAACAGTCAAGGCAGTGGTAGCAACAGAGTCTGTCATACTGTCCAATTCAAGTAATAATAATAAAAGATCAGTCACAGACTGCAATCAAAAAAAAAGAAAGAAAACTTTCAAGGAATCCTGGCAAAACAAGTGAATAGCCGTTGCTTGAGACACTGCTGGCATTGCCATTCATGTCTAGTCTTGAATCAACAAGGAATCACACATACGTAAGCAGACTAAGGAAGCGTTGCTGGACAGACTGTCGATCTAGTCTCGCACTGCACAGAGCATGTCTGGTTGCCAAGTGCTTTATAGACTGATCACTCCATCTACCAGCACCAGTATAAACCCTTCGCATCCATTGCTGCAGTGATCTAGAAATCATAACTTGATCACAGCTGTATTCACATAAAATCGACTACTTTTCTGTATTTATCTTGCTTTAGAATAAAAAAGGATTAAATATTCGTTGTTTTCTACTACAAATTGGCATTCTCGATAATCTTCATACAAAATCAAACTGGTTTTATATGAAACTGTCTTTTTTGATACCATGATCAGATTCACTTTAATTCATCGAGTTTGAGAATTCAGTTTCTGGAATGCGATTAAACATGATAATCACCACGATAAAAACCAGAAACTAAACAGTTTGTGACAATCTTGTTCAGTAAATTCATCTACAGAACTGGTCATGTATTATATTCAACTTCCTTACAGAGTGTTTCATTTTACGTGAATACAATTGTAAAGACTATGATTAACCTACTATAACTAGATAAAATAGTTGTGTTGTTCATTTAAAAGTGCAAGTGCACGGATTATAGCCATGGCTGTATAAAACCCTGCAAGATGAAACTACAAAGATCGTTAATCGAATCTAGAGTCAAGCTTTTTATTGATCATCAGGCATAATAACTAGAGGACTGGTAATAGGTATAATTTCAACCACTCGACCTTGGTCTAGTGATTTGAGAATCTCTTCCTCTTCTTTGTGTGTTATATCTTGTATAACGATGTCGCCTAAATTGCTTTTTACAGTCCGAGTTGGAGGTGTTTGTAGCTGGCTTTTTACAGATTTACGAATCTGATAGTTTCTGATCATTTCCAACACTGCATCGTCATCCATGTCTTCTTCATCATCAGTGCCGTCTATTTTTTTTAGGTCATCAAAAACTTGGTCAGTTTTTTCTAAAGTCAGTTTGGGCTCGCTCTGTGTTCTGCTTCGTTGACGCATTTCAGAGAGAAGTAGTTTGTCCATATACGACATTCCTTCTGAACCAGTAGTTGGTCTATTTGGTGTTTTTAACTGGGTTTTAACCTGCAAAACTCGCTCTTCGATTGTTAGTTTTTTTACGGGAGCAGTAGATGTGCCTGCATGAATTATATTAGCATATTGATATATTTGGATCAAATTCCAAAGCTCGATGCGTACCTTTAGGCGTCGAGAGTTCAGTATTCGTAGCATCAATATTTTTTGAAATCATTGGCTGATTGTGTGACGATAAGGCATGAGCTGGATCTTTTTGTTTCCCCTCATTTCTCCATTCTAGTAATGCATTCAAAAATGCAGTTTGATTGGCTTCTTCGTCATATTCACCGTCAAATAAACTTGAGCCTCCCATATATGATTGCGCTTCCAATTTAGTGATGGATTGGTCTGACTGGATGCCAGACATTAGATCATGATTCGAATCATCCAAAACGTAATCAGTATACTCATGAGTCTCATTCATCTCTTCTTTAAATGAAACGTGTCGTTGACTTGTGGCCAAATTGATTCCAGTGTGTGGTTGAGTGTCATTGACTGAAGATGCCGAGGTAGAAATGTCTGAATGTTGTAGATTTTGATTGATATAAGTAGGTGGAATATATTGACGACGAGGACGAGTGTTATGGGTTGTGTCCGCCCATCCGTCACATAATAGATCATTGGGAAGTGATACAAGTGGGGTTGATGCATCAGAGTCGCGTAGCTTTATATCGTCAAGTCGAGATTCAAGCTTTTGCATAGTATCAGCCTGATTCGTTGATGTATCCGATTGTTGTATAATGTTGTCCACTTTCCACTACAGAGATTGGTACGAGCATGATTGTCAATAATAACTTTACACCTATCAAAAACCATATATATTACCAGACGTTGTGGAGTACGACGACCACCAGTAGGTTTTTGTGGTCGATCCGATTGAGGAGGAACTGGTATTGGGCTTGAACTCATCGAACAGTTTTGCTTCAGATGCATAGTTTGCTCAACTCCCATAATAGATGGTTGATGACGATGAATTTGATCAAGCGCTTTTCGCTTTTCGTCCGCTATATACAATACATATCAACTATTTTTGTATGTTTTCAAATGAATTGGCAACCAGGCAATATAATTGAGCAATAGTTTAAGCTAGCGTACCTTCCTGAGCTACTCCAGAAAACCTTTTTGCCTATTTGAAATGCCATAAAATGTATGAGTTGTTTATACTTGGTAATGAAACACATGATGATTTTTTATATTACCTTGATTGCAGCATTTTTCTTGACAAGAACATCACTAGCATATTGGGTGAGTGAACCTCGAGTGGTATCTCCACCTGACCAAAGTGACTCACGATTTGCTGGTCTACCAACCCAAATCCACCCATAAAACTAATTTTAAATACTATATTGGCGCAACGCATACTCATTTATGGAATGCAGATGTGTTATTAGACATACATGGCTCGTTTGGCTTTTTGGCGACTGATACTTTCACGAAACTCACGCAAACGCTCCTCCATCCGCTGGTTATCCATTTCAAGCTTTTCTATCTCAGACATTCTAGTAGTTAATCCAATAAACAAGTGTTGTTGAAATTCAATATAGTATTGGTGCATGGATATATTTTTATGAAATCCTAATGCAAGTTTGCACAAGTCTACACTTGTGAATAGAATGTCCAACACTTACGCCTTCTTTTTTGTAGCCGATAATGACTTCAAGCTTGGCTGTTTAAGACTTGAAGTATTGTCTTTACTGAGGTTTTCAGCATTGGAAATAGACATATTAGGCACTGCCGAGCGATCCAGATACGATGGCTTTCCTACTAGAATTGGTTTATGTTGCATTTCGTGTTTTGAATCGAGTGAAAGATTAAGTTTAATATTGGCGAGACTACATGATAAATAGTGAGCCATTGTTGGTTTGATCCTAGAGTCATCAAGGATGTGATGACTGCTTTTTGCAAGGTTTCAGTCTTTATCAGAAAAATGGCAATCGAACAATCGCCAGAACAGTTGCTGTTGGAGGATTGTGTTCACTACAGGCTATACAGATCACCAAAACCCAACAATCCGTCTCACAATCAACATTCTGATCTTAATAAAGATGACTGCATACAGGTCATGGCTGCTGCTATACAACTCATTGGCGACTACATTTGGCACAAGGAGTCGTTTCGGTTATCATTTACAAATGAAAATGGTTTGTCGAGTTACAGGATTCAGGCTGGCCACTTTATTGTCTTCAGCACTAACTCATTTGTGAATAGGCATTTCATCCTTGAGTGGGTCAACTCGGTTTGGAGATGCATTAGAGGACGAGTGGTTCATAGTTTATGTGCTTTACAAAATCACTTTGGAGTTTCCAGACCTGATTGTTAGGTGAGTTTGTTTCTATTCCCAGTTTGATATTTGGAATTCTACAATCTATTTGTCATTGTATATTTACAGTCGTATTCATATACTATGGATCATTTTTGTACTTGCAATCACTTTGCTTTGAAATAATGGTCAATTATGCATTCTTGATAGAAATTGTTGTTTCAAGCATTCTCGATTATTTTTCCAAACTATCCTCTTGTCCAGTTTTGACAATCATACATTGTACAGAGTGTTTTGATGTTGCTAGGTTCCTGTTTGGTGTCCTAAAATCACATACATTCACGCTCTAGTTCAAGAATAGAGTTGTAAAAATTAATCTAACCACTATTAAATTTGCAGTGTGCATGATACAGATGGAGACTTTCTGTTGATTGAGGCCGCTGATAGTTTGCCAGATTGGCTTGATCCAAGTACAAGTGAGAACAGGGTAAATACTATTGAGCTGCATTTCAAACTCGACAATAAGGTGATAGATTTGTCATTACTAACCTTGATTAATCCTAAAGGTGTTTATTCACAGGGGAAAATTGCATATTATTCCAATTGATTTTGCTTCAGAAAAAAAACGTCTGGCATTACAGAAAGCCATTGCATTAGTTTCAGACTTGTCTATACCAACAGTCGCCTCTGCATCTATCCAAGCTGCAATCGAGTCTCGAATTGGTATTTTTCCAGCGGGTATAAGTACTCAAAAGCACAGATCCAATGTTCAAGTTCCACTTAAAGTAGCTCAACTGCTGATTCAAAATCCACAATTAATTTCAAGCGCAGTGAATGCGTTTATAACTCGCGATCCCATCTCAATGCGACCATGTCAAACTATGTCGGTGTTTGATCCTGCTACAGCTGTTGAAATGACGGCTACTTTTACCAAAATAATGTACTCTCAGTTAATGTGCCAGCGGTTTTATCCACCTAGCAAGTTTCGACTGCCTCTACAATCTTCAAGTGAGTTTCCCGCTTACGAGTTGGGCATGAAGCTGGTAAGTCATTGTTTGTTGAGAAATGGGTGTAATATACTGATCTAATTATGATTGGTTGTAGACATGCGGATTCGAGATTTTGTATAACAGTTCGTATCTTCAGTCCACATCATCAAAAGTTCTTGGCACACAGACAATAGATGTAAGCAATGATTTGTACACGCAGCTCCAAACGTATCCCAATTGCCAGAATACTAATATACGCCTTTATAAACTTTATTTATCTGATGCACAAATGATACCTGAATTGTTTCTTCAAGTCATACGACTTTACTAGCGACCCAGACTGGAGAAAGTTTAATGAAAAGTTGACTGCGGGGTTCTACTTCAAAGTAGGTAGCAGTTTAGTTTATGCACTTTTATTTCATATATATAAACTACTTTTTATTTATTGATTTCAAACTGTAGAATCAAGTTCAAGGATCAAAATTGTATACTAGTTTGGAGAGGTTAGCTAAGCAGCAATACTTGGACTCGAAGATTTCTAGCACGTATGTTTTTAAATGGATTTGCTGTTTCATAATGTGATTCTACAAAGTATAGGCAAGCTAATTGAGTGTCGTATTTAGGGACATGTCGATCGAAAATGCCTATGACCAAATGTGTCATATTTTAGAAGTCCTTCCCAAAATATCTGAAAGTGACATTCCACGCGGCGTAGTGGATTCTGATGCATGGATGCATCTTGATCCTGTAGCTATTGACAAGGATCTAGCCAATCGTATTGACAAAATGTCTTCCAAGCTTGCAGAGATGGATGAACATGGCGATGCTATGGTACACTATGCTTGAAACAACTGTCCTGTAATACTACCAAATGTTTGAGTTTGAGCTGACTGTTGTGAATTGGTGATACATTTCACTAGTCGGAGCTCAGTGATCGTGACGTTGCCGAACTTGAACAGTTCAAGTCTGTGTTTAAAGGATTCGACTCATTTGTAAACAAAGAGAGCGGGTTAGAAGGTGCCGAGTTTCCAAAGTAAGTTTTGATTTCACTTTCTACCTAATCTAGTCTACCAGGTTACCATTTGCTGGACTAAAATGCATTTTTTAAGTGATATTGACAGCAAAGATGAGTGGATCAAGGACATTGACAGTTCTGAAAATGAAAGCGATTCAAACAGTGATCAAGGTGTTCAGCTGGATTCAAAAAAGTTTATGAGTTCTATCATGAAGATTCTTGGTACAAACGACTCTGTATTGTCTGCAGATATGCCGATACAGTCATCATCTCAAGACACCAACTTGAGCATAGTTCAAGGAAATAGTAACAGACACAATGCGTTTGATACAAGACAGCAGGCGGATAGCGATGATGAGGACGATTTTGTTGAGCCAGACTATGATGCAGAACTGCGTGCCTATATGGATTCAATGGATCGTGAACTGTTTGCAAGTAAACTTGGAGCCGACTTTGAGCGTGAACAAGTATTAACTACTCGTGAAAATCATCCATCTACATCCAAGACTACAGACGATTTCATTGGGGATGATGACAATGAAATGGAGAATGAGTTTAGACCAGTGGATTTGGATGTCAATCTGCTAAAAAATGTGTTCGAGTCGTTTGCCTCTCAACAAGGTTTGGCTGGACCAGCATCCAACATTATGATGTCAATGGGGTTGAATCTCCCTCGTCGTGACGAGCATAGCGACTAGGCTTAAGCCACATCTGTTTTATCGATAGCCAACGCGCATAATCAAATGATAAAAATAAAGTTTTGTTTAAAATCAACCTTTTTATTAAATTCATTCGATAAACTGAGTTTTACTGGCATAAATCTTTGAAGCCAGTGTTCTCTGTGGTTTTTCAGAGGTAGTGAAAACAATTATAATTCACTATACAGAATCTTGATCCAATGCACTATTGTGTCTTGTTAGATAAATAAATCAACTAATGGCCAGTTTCTGACAACTTAAGCAGCTAGAATATGCAAGTATTTTCCCCAAACTTCTTTACCATTAGTATATTTGGCTCTCTCGTCTAGTAATTTGGAATTACATAAAGACATTTTTTACCGTGGGCGGTAACGTATGTTTCGTCTGAGAGTCCAGTGAACTATTCAAATACTTTGAAAACGGCGGTTGAAATACTTGCGCGCCTTTATCCTGATTCTTTTCAATTCCAATCTTAGAAGGGCTTGTATCAGTTGTCATTTTAGCCAATGAAGCATCTGATACCATAAATCGATTTGCGTCAAAATTGTATTCATCTGGAAAAAGCTGTTTTAAGGCTTCTTTGGAGACTTCTTCTGCCGCTTGGGATTGAATATAATGTGTCTCTTTAGATAAAAACATGATGCCTTTTACAATGAGTTGAGAAATATAGACTGTTTTCCCACATTTGGGTTCTGAAATTGCTCGATAGTTGTAAATTGGCCGGCCATTTTTGGGATCATTTGCCACCAGCTTTGCCAACAATGATACATGGCTCACTTGGTGCGGTATTTGCTGTAAAACTATAGTAGATACATTACAAAGTTAATACTAAAATATATGCTCATACATTCTTTTCAAATCGATCTTCTACCTGGCTTAGCTACAGCATTGAAGTTGAGCGACTCTGCTTGAAAAGCTACAGAGTCCGTGGTCGTTTCAAGAGCTTCTATGGAAACTTTTGCTGAAGCATCTACAGAGCTTAGAAGGTAAAAGTCTCGCATAAAGACATAGCCTATAGATGGTTCATCTACCATTTCCCGAAACGCAATTTCGGCAGCATCTTCCTTTGCCTGCTGCTTTCGTAATCTAGGCGTAGTGGTCTAAGTTTAAACATTGGGTGTAAAAATGAATTTGAAATTGATTCAAGATCAGCAATCCTAAAAAAATAAACTGAATAAACTGCCCGGCATCATTGGGTTTTTACCATGTAAGACTTGAAAATGAAGACCTCGGCCAGAAATCCAGTGGTCTGAGTATATGAAAATTTTGGAGTGGGAGCTTTGATAGCCTGGCAAAAAATACCCAATAATGGAACGAAACCTGGATGTCGATTCTCTACAAAGAAAGGGTTTTGTTCTTTGAAGAAATAGTCGACGGCAGCTTGAGCAATTACCTTTCGCCCATTTAGTTTGCTTGATACATCGGCTACATGAAATTTGAGGCCTTGAATGATCATGGTGATGTTGTAGGAGTACATACCTGTACCAATAACTGTTGATGATTCACTCCATAATGGAGTGGGTATGTGCACGGATTGGCAGTACTGTGTAAGAAGAGAGATGTTGGTTGATTGTGAAAGAACTTTGATGACCTGATCTATCAAACTAACGTTTTGTGTTTCTGAAGGTGGATTGTAAGACATGGCTGTTTGGAATCTCGAGTAGGGTAGTCACAGCTGTATTCACGCAGAATGAAGTACTAAACAAGAGTGTCAGTACATAATGAGCAGTCAAATCTGCTGGACAACATCGAATTACTTACGGCTATTGACAAGAGAATGAGGATGGAAAGAAACCAAAAGCAAGGTTTTAATCACCATCACGTGTATGCTGCTTCGATCATCAAGTCTTCTTTCCTACAAACTAAGCATATCACTAACATGCATAATTGCATTCTTGAGATGTGCAGTCTGTTTTCTTGAATTGGAACGCGAATATATTCAGATTAAAGTACAAGAGTTTAATTGCTCTCGATCAACCCAATATCTGATTCCAAATCTGGCAATCGTACAATGTATGATTGTCAAAAGTGGACAAGATGATAGTTTGGAAAAAGAATCGAGAATGTTTGAAACAACAATTTCTATCAAGAATGCATAGTTGGCCATTATTTCAAAGCAAAGTGATTGCAAGTACAAAAATGATCCATAGTATATGAATACGACGAAATAATATTGTTTGCACAGATTTTTAGGGCCATCAAGACATGCAAACTCACGTGATATGAGAGGTTGCAACTTTTTGGTGATCTTTTGATGCCAATCTTTTCTGCAAACCCCACTCACAACCATGCCTCGTCGGATATTTACTAGACCGGTAAGCAGCAGCCCAGACGCTTGATAATATCATAGAAAACTGCTTGTTTATTACTGGCTATTATCTCAAACGAATCTTAAAATCTACATACTCGAATATGAATCAGCTCAATAGCATTTCAAAAAAAACGAGTCGCTAACCCACTGTTCATGTAGCCCAAGGGATCTTTCTCAAAGACAAGAGGCTTAATTCGCATGTCATGGGATGTTCAAAACCTTGAGAATCTTCTCGAGCGTCGCACCCCACAAGATCTCTCCAAGATGACTGTTTTCCAACAAAAATGGATTGCAAAGCGAGAGCTGCGAGGATACCATGTTCCCAATATTCACGAGCGTCAGTTTCTTAACCGTCACTTTGAATCGTATTTGCCCAATAGACAGTTGACTCCAGAGGAAAAGAGCAAGATTCCACCTATTCAAACGTTGGCTTTTGGTGAATTGGAAAGAAGACCAGATGTGGTGTTATTTAGAAGCCATTTTGCCGATAGTATTTGGAAAGCGAGACAAATGGTAGCCAGTCGTTGTGTTTTGGTCAATGGTGAAAGGGTATGTTATTTTGAATGGATATCTATGGGATAGAGTATAACTTGGAGAATGGTGCATTGCATTCAAGATTGGCGCAAGTTTTGCAGTATTGACTTTTTATATTACAGTGTAGATACGCAGCAAGACGACTTCAGGATGGGGACATGGTCACAGTAATTCCTAAAGCGATTCCAACTCTTAAAGGTCAAAAGGGCACTCAAATGAAGTTCCATCCTAAAGCGTACATGTCCCCCTGGATGTTCACTCCAGCCTACCTCGAAGTAGACTACAATACTTGTTCAACAGTGTTTCTGCGCTCACCAGTTGTACAGCCCAATGCAATGGAGATTCCATCACCACTTCCCCCTACATTCCATCAACTTGCCTTTGAATGGTATGTGTCTCGCAAGCGCGCTCGTAAAGTCATTCCAAGGGATCCGTTGATCGTGTCTGGACAGTATGTGAAGCTAAAGCCTAAATTTGACAGTATTGTACGTATGGACCAAAAGAACAAAGCAAATGCTCTGCGCGAGCAGATGACTGCCAGGAGAGAGAGAAAGACTGCTGAGCGTCACCTGCGTGCCGAAGAGATGCAGCAAAAAGAAACCAGTGTTTAAAATTGCAGTATAATGTGTCATTGCAGTGTTTGAGCTATTCATGGTTGACAATCTGCCATCTCCAAACTTGTTTGGTTTGAGAAACCAGAATATATGATTATACGATTGATTCAAATAGAGTATTTTACTTGCAGTAAGACGAGTAAATTGGTAGTTTGAATTTGCTTGAACAAACCAAAAGCGCAGAGCTGGGAGGGAAGAGTGGTCTATCAGTTGGATAGTTGTAGTTTAGAGCCAAACTCGTTTGTTTTAGCCCATTACCCATCCTGGTCTAGCAATCTGCATTTGCACAAGTGCAATCGTTTTGTAAAGTGTATCTATGATCGGACAAAGACAATGAGTGTGAGCGAATAAAAGATAGAATCAGTTCAATGCGTGGATCGAGGAGCATGTCCAAACGATCTCGACAGGAAACCCCAAGAAACACTCAAATGCGTGACTGTTTACCATCTGTCAAGTTTCATTCAATATTTGTTTATCAACCTCGATTGACTCGATAGTTTCTACTGTTGGAGTCAATCTGCAGCACTCCTGCTACTACACACTCTAGTACATGCTTCAGGATCACAGAGTGTCCGTCATGATACCAGCAACTCACACTATGTCAAAAGCATCAACACCACCTGCCAGCCACTACAAGTACTCCCATTCTGCTGATGTCAGCCACGAGAATGGCTCAATTAGTGCATCCACAAATACCCTCACTCATCTAGAGTGCATTTACTCCACTACTGGTGCTGATACACCCGCTGGAAACGCTCTTTCCAACTATTCAGCCAAGTTGCAGCCATTGTCTATCCATCAAGTACGTGTAGTTTGCAATCCATTCGTTCTCATATTATTGAAAGAATTTCATCTTCCGCTCATCCGAGCTACACCGGACCTGCCGCTTCATTCCCTTCCTTCTTGATATCGACTTTTTGCTATTCTCAGTCATAGTGCTTTATAATTCTATGTTGAAACTAGCCACTTGATCTTTAGGCATCTAGATGCCTAAAGAGTCATGTCTAGATCCAGCATCGAGTCATTACTGCTCGCGGGACACTTGACTTCATCTATTTGAATGCACTGTGTTGTTGCTGTGCATTCATTCAAGTGGAATAGGCTGACATGCAAAACATATTTTTCCGCCTTATACTGACCCAACGGATCTTTCAACTATTCATTGTAGATAGTCTGTATGCTTATTGCTTGCTAATTTTTAATGTTTATCAATTCAGACGGCCCAGCATTTACGCAAGCGCATTCAATTTGCCGCTCTCAAAGTGACATATGGCTGGGAGAACTTGTCATTGTCCAAGATTCGTCGTATTTTGGAGCAGGCTGAGATTGAAGCTCGCTTGAATTACGGGACTGTGGCTGCAGCTACAGATCTGGTCTTGACAAATGACTGGATTTCTACAAACCCAAAGGTTCCTTTTATGGCTCAAGCCACTACTGGTACGATCTATAAATTGATGTTTTACCGTCCGCCCCATCTACTTTTTATTTACAGTCGCTTAAGCTTGAAATGACCGCTTATATTTCCCATGCGTCATTCTCGCAAGCATTGATATGGCTTTGATAGGCATATCGATTGATTGATCTCCTTTGCTACCTTTCAATACATGCTGATCATGCGATTATTGCACTACCAATTTTAATTTTGTTCATCGAGTGCACTAACCTTGCTTTTAAATCCCATGATTGATGATTAATTTGCTTATACCACCATCCAATCGAACTGCCCAATGTAGATCCAGCCAATAGTATGCGTGCCATGCCTAGCAATGATGCTGTTTCATCTCTTTATTCAAATGTGGCTGCTTCCACTAAAAAACATGATCATGAACCCGTTGCATCTTTCTTTTTTGGTGATACCTTTTCAAAACCATTGCTTTCTGTGCCAGAGGAGCTTTTGACTGCAGCGGATATCCAAGCAAAGATGACATATAGCACCAACACTGCAGACACGTGTATGAGTGTAGCGTCAAACTCTATTACCACAACCCAGTCCAAAAATTCTAAACGAGGACTCGGCAATAACTTACAAGATACAGAGTCTCGAATGCGTGTACGTAAATCGCCGATTTCTCCAACATTGTCTGGGATATCTCCAATACTCCAGCAACAGACAGGGCAATCGCCTTTATACCAGCCCATTCAGACTCGATTTGTTCGCGATATTCGTAATCTCAGCCTTGCCAGTTTGCAACAATTGCGATCGGTCGTAAGTTCTTTTGAGCCTGGCCCACTTAGCGCTGTTTCGTATGATGCTTTTCCTACTACCAGTCATGCATTCAACTTTCAGCTTCCAGTTTCACAGCCATCACCACAATTGATTGCACCGAATGCAGATTCTCCTCGATCCTTTTATGATACCAATACCACTGATTGTTATTCTGCCTGTACTACATCTACTCCCAATTTTCAATCTGAAATGGGTGTTTTGATTGATTCCCATGGCATAAGCGGCTCTCGATATGGCGGCACACCTATTTCAGTACCCATCACTACATCTGCAGATGAGCTAGAAACTGGATCCTCACAATCACAGACATTATCGACACGCAGCTTTCCTTGTACTACCGACTCATTAAAACTTAAAGCTTCTGTTTCAGAACTGCAAGCTGTGTATTCTAGCTCTGATTCCCATCACGATGCATTTACTAAGAACTCTCAAACTAGAGGAACTATGCCATTACCACTGTTGTTTCAACATCAACAAAGCCATGATAACCAACTGCAGAGAATGCTTGAAATTCCCTTTGCACAACCTCAATCTCATATGGTTTCAAACAAACCTTTTTTCGTCCCACCAAAAAAGTTTACTAGTCATATACAGGATCACAGCTCAACACTGTCTCAATACCAGCAGCAAAATTCCCAGCAACTGCTGCAACAAATGCAGCAGCAGATGAATATGACTATTTCACCCATGGAAGCCAATTTGAGATACCAACGCTCCTTTTCTATGCCAAACCTCGTCCGTGAAGCAATGAATGTAGTAAGTTGTCTCCCATTATGTTTGATTTCTTCTGCACGGTGTTCAGCTATTTTTAAAAACTGATACTTGTATTATTCTACAGCCTCATACGACATTCTCTATTACTGACAATGTGGGTGCTGGTTTGCATTCAACGGATCATTTTTCCACCATGAGACATACTTTACCGGATACCTTTGAGGTGGACGCAGGTAGCAATGATGTTACTTGCCAATCCTATCCTCTTAAAATGCAGCTTCAAACATCTAATACAGATCTACAAGCGTCATCGTTAATTTCAATGCATGCCAATCCATGGACTCATGGAAATGTCAACATGATACCCTCAGCAGTTTTATCAGTGCCTGCTTGTAATATATATGGTGGAATGATTGGTACACCACTGCAAGATCTTCATACATCAGTTTTATCTCAACAGCAGTTTCAGCAGCAATGGCCTCAAGCATCATTATGCTCAGGCGCGTCTTTACATTCGCTGTCTCAGCAACACTGTGTCGGATCTACACAGCCGTCAATTCAATCATGCCCTATACAGTATGATTCTACTTCTTCGATAAGCAACAATGATGGATCAGCTTCTTGTGGCTGGACTATTGACGGAGACTCTAGATTTATTGCAAGCTCGCTGCCTTTTTCAAATGTACTTTATTCCCATCCACATTCGATGCAATTATCTCAAACACATCCTTGCGTAGTTAGTCGAGATCGGATAAACACACTTTCTGGTGTTGGCTCAATGGATACATGGTTTGATATGAGTGGAGGTGAAGGTGCAAGCAAAGAGGGAAACGGGCATAACTAGTGGATGCATGTGGATCTCGTGATTGTCGACTACTATTGTATCGGGTAGCTCGACTCAGTCAGTGTTGTCAATGGTGAGCTGAGAATGTTTTGTAGTTTATAGATTTCAATTTGGGCAAATTCAAGTGATTGTTTTTAAAGCATCACTTGTAATGTGTTCAATCATATAGTTTTGGTTTTCAATCGTCACTGCAATCGCTACTGTCTACTTTAAGATACCCATTCATTTATATCACTTTTGGTATATTTTTGCATTTTTGATTCATCAATTACATTACAGCTAACGACAATGGAGATGAGAGTGGAGAAAAAGTAAAATGAAAATTGTCATTAGCCATCATGTGTTTCAAGTATTTGCATAACATTCATTCAATTACACTTTTGTGTAAGGTGTATTTTGGTGGTGATGTTCTCTTGTAAATATCGGTAGATTGTTGATTTGAATGGCAAGATCATCTATTGATCGTGTCATGCCGACAATTCGACTTGTTGACACGACTAGTTTGCTAAACGATATGCTGTAACACAACCTACTTGATATCATTATAATGTTTTCAAACCATGATAAAACTGGATGATAAAGTATAAATATATCTCTCATCCCATTTTCAGTCGCCTTAAACAACTGTACTTTCAAATATGGTCAGCATAGTGTTTTTATTTGGGTTTACTAGGTTTCTTTGATCGGATTGATCTACAAAAAGTTTGTTTTTGTGGATGCACATGAGCCAATTTGGACGTGGCTGCGACCGATTTTTTACTAATAGATCTGAGCCTTTTCGCTTTCTTGGGTCGAGGAGGCAATATATCATCATCCTCTTTATCCAAATTTTCAATTTGCTTTACACCAGGATGCTCAGAATCGATTGTATCAATCGTGTTTACATTGTCAGTAGCTATTATAGGCGACGCGATTTGAGGTGGTGGTGGAAGCAAGGCATGCTGTTTTTTTTTGCGTTTCAATATTATACTCCAAGCTCTCCTACACTAAAAGCAATCAACATACACTGTAAGCAAACAACCAGAATGAAATTGTAGTCCAATTATCAACATCGCATACAATATTATCTGTTCTGTTTGTAAAGCACTTGGAGATGGTCGACCATTTCCCACTTCCGTGTTCAGCAACAGCGGCGGACAAAATCCTTTCTTCCTCGGGTGTCAACGGACCTCTGCATATATCTGGATTAAGACAATTTTCATAGCGCTCGCGGCACTGCATATCAGTGCGATGTCCTACCGCCATGGCAATATAGTTCCATTTACCACGACCATATCTTTGAACAGCCTTCAGTAAAGCCTGCATACCAAAGGCAATTCATTGTAAATTTGACATTAGAGATTGATGGTTCAACTGTGCACAATATAGACGAAAAAAACATGTTTTCAAAGTACCTGGTCTTCCGCAGCACTCCATCTTCCCTTTTTTTTACCTGGAGCAACAACAAATTTGAAACGTTGAAGGCATTGCTTTGCAGATCTACCATTTAAATACTTTGAAACAGCCTGCCAGTCGTTTGCAATGCATTTATCTATTGCCTGAAGCAAAGATGCGTCCTCGGTGTCGGACCAGCTCCTGCATATAAAATTGTAATTAGCCTGTGCAAAAAGCCGATAATCAATATCATAATGTGTACGCTTACACTCCGATATTTGCTGGTGCTATAAGAGTGCGATATGCCCTAAAACATTGAATTGCAACTCGGCCATACTACAAAAGTGGTGAGATGATTGTCCAATAAAACAACTTTGCAAGTCTAATCACATACCCTATGCTCACAGGCAATCGCGACCCAATCTTGAGCAGCATGCTTTGCTATTACTTTTTCCAGACATTCCAATTCTAATTTTGTAAATGGGTTGTTGTTGATAAATGGATGTTGCGCAACCGTCCACATTTTCTTGCATTCCTGTCTTGTTTTTGTCCCCACCTGATTTATTCCATAAACAGAGTTGAGCGTTTCAAATTATTTCACAAGTGATGCTTGATATCGTCAAGCAAATTGACTTACATGTCTGGCAATCTGGTCCCAGTTAATGTCTGTAACATTAGCAAGTAGCTGCTCCTTTGTTGCACTGACACTTCGAATATTGATATCGTACCTGTTTTACCATGATAAACGCATAAAAAAATGCACATTCATATGCAAATGTACAATATTCTAATGCACCTACATTTTCATCTCATTGTGATGATATATTGCCTTTTCCAATTGCTCGCATTCTCTTCTTGTCCCTGTATATCATCCAAATTATAGTCAGGACATTTGTATGCAACACGTGCAATATCCAGAAAAGCTTGTCAATATACATACAGACTGGAAGATCGTAAGCGACATCGCATTTGCGTATCAAGGGATCAGCATTCCAAAGCTCATGATCAGGTGGTGGAGCCTAATTTGGACGATTATGGAACATACAAGTAAATTGGTTAGCCAACCACCAGTCTTGTATAAACCAGTAACTGTTTCATACCTCTTTTTCATTATTCATAATATATGGCTCACTGATTCGAAGTCGATAAGTTTGTCGTCTTCGTTTAAGGAGTTTTGAGGAAAACTGCGATCGAACCTGTTTAATCTGCACCCGAATTTGATTTTCCTGGTCCATTAGAATATTCAATTGCTTGTCCAGTATATCCTGCATGTTCAAGTTTAGTTTTAAAAGCTTCTCAATGGTTTTTTTAGAATGCAATACTGTTGATGGTAAAGAATCACTTTTGGCAGGAATTCGCCATGATGGGGTTGTAAATGGGTTTGGGAGTTCAGAAAGGAGATGTGTGTTTTCAAGTTGTGCATTGGTGGTCAAGTTGTTATTGCGAGTAGTGTAGCCGTATAGTTCGGTAATGTCTGACAGGGCACCTGCATTGAATCTCTGGTTAAACATGAGTTTTCTCTGTAGTGAGTAAAGTAATAATATAGACTCGGATGACTTGTTAAAGGATTGACTTTGCTGTTCAGATTCAACTTCATTCCATCACATAATTCACTCTTATTCTCCAAGCATTGGATTATTGGATATCCAACACAATTAGCATGTAGTCTGCTCAACCTCGATATCTTGGATATTAAAAATCAAACCAAGGATTATTCATGTCATCATCCAACTACACACCAATGTCCAATGGTTAAATCTATTAGTTGATACCATCGAGTGTTTGCAGCATTGTATAAAGATGAATTGGATGTTTATCCTCTCGAGTTCAAGGTGAGCTCAAATGGCACCAGATTCACAAACACAAAATGCATATTGGACTGTAGTGCTACGCCGCTTTGCAGTCGTCCATCACTGCTTGGCCAATGTCTGGAATGGCAGTTGCATTCCAACAATCCTGCCAATAAATGTTTATTCACAAGAGTACAAGAGCACTTTACGGCACTCTACTTGACTACAGTGGCTCTGATTGGCATGCTAATGAGATTATTTAAACTTGAGTTTATGGTCTTGTCATCAATAGTTTCTCTGTTTATTAAGGGATTGAATTATGAGGCTCATCATCTTGGTGATATCCACATTTTTTGTTTTTGTTTCGGCAGCCATGGCGGCTGTCATTAATATTAAATCGACGCTACAGAAACGTAGTTTACGGACCTATGCAGCTCCAACTCCTCAAATGTTAGAGATGAGTAATTATGGTAAACTATTGCCTCCACATCCAGCACAGGCGAATGTCATGCCAATAGGTCCAACGCCTATAGTGAATATGGTTCCAGTAGTACAACATGGCTATAAAAAACGTCGTCGTAGGTTTTATAATCGATCCCACTTTATTCAGCACCCATTGCATGCTCCGCCAACAGTAATTCCTCCGCCAATGATCGATCAGTACCCGCCAGGTGGCATTGCACCACAGTTTTTACATAAATCTTCATATGCTGCACCTCCTGCCAGCTACCTTCAACACCAACTGCATCGAGTATAAATGACTTCAAGTGTTGGTCTTGTTCAGTTTTAGAGTCCAGTGTCTGTTGGTATTGGTTCTATCAAGTTTGAAAATAAACTATACATGGTTTGGTCTACACTTGATGTGGCTTAGTTATAATGCAAAATATTAATTGATTGAATTAATGCATAATAAAGCATCAATTATGCAAAAATACTGTTTCGAATAACGATATAAAACAATTTGGGGTTTCCAGCTCTTTTCCTAACTCATATAATCACATCTTACAATGGAACAGTCTACCCTTATCTACGCTGCTATTTTTTTTATTGCTTTTGTAAGTCAATATTAAGGTGACTTGAACCAGTCTATGTAAATGGATGTGCTGGGTATAGTGGTGCACAACTATAGCCGCCCTATGGTATTTCATACCACTTTACTTGATTGAACAAGGCTGGCTACTTTTATTCATTACCTCGTATAACTCATCCCTTATATTTTATTAGATTTCTAATTCTGTTTTTACGGGAGGTATTTCTGATCAAGCGCAGTATGGTCTCGGTGGTGTATGGTATGTTCTATCTTGACAGTGGTGCATTCTATACTTGGATTGGGTTGGAAAATAAGAGGCAGATATCATGATGCTGAGGTGATCTATTTTTGGTAAACGAAACCAACCAAACGGCAATAGCGGAGGTCAAAGGAGTGACCCAAAGGAATGAGAATTGGTTTATACCTTGCAACAACCATTGCATTCCTTAAACTTGAAAATCATATTGGTTTGCCTAGCAGATTTTTAAAAATCAACGGGTCGTTCCTTATTTTACTGCCATAATGCATCATCAGTCATAAAATTTGTTCAAAACTGCCACTTGTATTCAACTAATTCGTTCTGGTCTTATTTGTATCCGATTGCTTTTATATTTAGCTTGTTGTTTATTGACCATTATAGATATGATGATTCTATCAAAGCAAACGTTTTTTCTGCCTATTCAAACTCATGCTCCATTGCTATTTCGTAAGTCATTGATACTCGACCCGATTTTATACATGCTTTTTGGCTTGACAATGGTGCCAGTTTACTGAGCGTTTGTACAGCACGGCTACTTTTTTTGTCTAGCGTATTTCTCAAGGGTTTAAACGTAAACATTACAACCACTTACGCTAATTCTTGTTTCCCGAATTGTGCCATTATTTATTTAGGGTTGGCTCGTTTGGATTTCTGGCATTATTTTTACTGGCAGCAGCTCATTTTTGGTTTGTATGGAAAAAGGAACAACCATCGAAACGTGTCGTTTACCTGTTTGCCATGTCAGCCAGTGTGATGGCCTTTATCTTCTTTATCACAGCAGCCGTCGTCAGTGCAGGTCTTAGTCAAACTTGCAGCCAGTTTTCAAAAGTAGAACAGTTCCGTACTTGCGCCAATGTGTTTTCTGACGGATTTTTTGCAGATACTGTTGCAAAGTTGTACTCGAAAAACCTGACAACAATTTCTGCAGCTGCAGGTGCTGGATGGATGATGTGCATCTCTTGGACTGCTTTGGCTATATATGACTGGGTTAACTACCGTGTATCTGCCAACAAATGGTGGTAGACGTAACAAGTACACTGTTGAATTATTGACATACTTTTGAGACTTCCTATATTTTTGGAGAATGGGAGCTTAATTTTCATTATACTTGCTTCTTCTTTTCAAACCAGTTTGATTATCATACATGTTTCATTGTTTTGGGTTTTTTTGATTAAAATAAATGGTCATTTATTACAGCCGTGTTCATATCAAATGGAGCATTAAATAGGGTATCAATGTATAGTAAACAATCGGTTTCACGGAATAATAACTTGCATCGCATTTACTGGCCAACATTGTTGTGAACTCTTTAGCTGGCTGGCCTTCTGGTGACTGACATGTCTAGTTGCATTCCTGTGACATGCAGTCTTTGTCCACTTGAACTAAAGCGCGACACATCTGCAAGCTTCTAGAGTTGTATTGAAAACAGTCGAATCAAATATCTGGACTACAATGATGATTATGCCAAAAGGAAACGAGAGAATCCCAGTTTAAAACTATAATGATTGGATCCTATGAGTGTTTATTAAAGAATCAAGTGTCGATTAAAGAAGCAGTGCAGTCAATTCGTAGTAAAAAAGCAACAAATATTTAACCATTGTTTATTTCAAAGCAATCATTACTGCAAAATACAAGTATTCCATTTTATGTGAATGGCAGTGAATGAAACAAGTATCTACATAAGTTCTCGTGCATCATATCAAAGATCCGAGTCTAAATTGTTGATGACAGAGGTTCAACTTTTAAAGTACTGCGCCACAAGATATACTAGCCACGTGCAATCAAGTGACACGATGTGTGAATTGCACGAATAAAAATAAAATTGTCAGATTTGTTATTTTCTACTCACTCACTTTTTTTCATGTAATTGAAGCTTGCCGTTTAGTTGTTGGTTGCTCTGTTTCTAGAGCTCCCTGTGGACTGCTGTTGAATTCTTGTGTTTTCTTCTTGTGACTGTTCAAGACTGTAAATTGCAGTCTGGCAGCTCAAGTTGAAAAGCATTGATTTTGATGCGGGAAGAAACTTGGAGTGATAGTGCATGATATTACGACTGAGTCGACATGTCTGGCATTGGTTTCATTTAGCAGATACTTTTTATTCCATTTTTAGCCTTTTATTGCCGAGTTCTTGTTTTGCTGCACGCTGTTCAGGTCAAACAGTTTTGATCTTGAAACTTGCTGCAATGGAGCTATTTGGAATGGTTCTAGTGTTTGGATATAAATGGGTTGAATTCATGCTAGACATGTCGTCTCTATTGTATTATTGCACTGTCACTCTCGATCGCTGATCTACTTGATCTGCATGCCCTTGAATCCTATTCAATTTGCTGTAGAGGCTCGTGGACCAGTGACGATTAGGATTATAATGACAAATTGACTTGCTTCTCAATTTCAGTAATTCTTTTCTTTTCGCAACAATGATTGAGGAATTCACGGCGTCTACAAGGAGCTCAGCTACTGGTGTGTTTTTTGGGTGAAACTGACTTTGTATCTTGATTCTGTCTACTATTTTGTTTAGCATGCAAATATTTGTCAAGACCCTCACCGGTAAGACAATTACCCTTGAGGTGGAGTCTTCTGACACCATTGACAATGTCAAGGCCAAGATCCAAGATAAGGAAGGAATTCCCCCAGACCAGCAGCGTCTTATCTTTGCAGGCAAACAGCTCGAGGACGGTCGCACTCTTTCTGACTACAACATCCAGAAGGAGTCTACTCTTCATCTTGTTCTCCGTCTGCGCGGTGGTGGTAAGAAGCGTAAGAAGAAGACTTATACTACTCCCAAGAAGATCAAGCACAAGCGCACTAAGGTCAAGCTTGCGATCCTCAAGTACTACAAGGTTGAAGATGATGGCAAGGTGACTCGTCTCAGAAGAGAGTGCCCCAACGAAACCTGTGGTGCTGGTATTTTCATGGCCAATCACTACGATCGTCAAAACTGTGGTCGTTGCGGCCTTACCTACAAGTTCTCACCCAAGGACATCAAGGCTAAGCCTGCTCCCAAGGCTGCTGCTGCTTCTGCTACCCCTGCAGAAACTGGCAAGGCAGGAAAGAAGGGAAAGAAATAAATGCAATTTATTATCTTTTTCCCGAATAAGCTTTTTCAAACCAATACATGTTTATATCTACACATCTGAGCTGCATTGTCATTTTGTATACAAGTATTTAATTAGATTTTGAATGAGTAAACATGTATTTTTCATGAATATAGATATACTAGAACAGCATTGTTTGAATTTTGAAATAATTGGACTGGCAACATAACATGGTTGACTTGGTTCAAGATGTTTTCCATAATATTCAACTGTTTGATGATCAAAAGTTGGTCACTTCAAATTCACCATAGATTAATATTGTTCTTGCCCAACTTGAATAGAGTCATGTCAGATAGAATCCCATCCATTCAAACACCATCCACTCATGATGATCCAAGCCTTGGTCAAAAGCGACTTTATAGCACAGTCTGTGACCATGACATTACTCATAAACCATCCAAAGAGCGACGACAAAAAGGCACTGGACCCAACCCAACAGGTCCTAAAAAAACCCCACCACCAATGTCTAGAAAAGTAAGAGACCAACCCAACAGTACACCTCCAGAGTACATTGTAGAAAATGGTAGTATTGCCGTATAAACAATCCATGTACTTGATTAATCGATCCGTATGGCTGATGATGTGTTTTAAATGCCATGACTGTAGGACTACGCAAGGTAAAGCCCTATCTATATGTATACCAAACATATGCCAAACAACGATGGCTTGGAATGACCGTCTTTGAAGTATTTTCAAAAGAGTTTCATGATCGTCCAGCAGAAGTCTATGTAAGTCTTGAATAGATTCTTGTTTCCAGTTTTTACTATCCATCTCACTGGGTTTGTGATGAGCACATAGCGACAGGCTATTCTCAAAGGCAGGATTAAAATCAACGGAAAAGCTGTTCCATTAGACTATGTAATCCGGAATTCAGATCTAGTCGAAAATACTGTCCATCGCCACGAGCCAGTGATCACTGACACTCCGATTGAGATAGTCCACCAGTCTGATTCTGTGTTGGTAGTGAACAAACCCAGCTCGATTCCGGTATGTTATTTTGAATCAAATTGCTTTAAAAGTATGTATATCTATTACGAATGCTCAATTGAATGGCAGGTTCATCCAACAGGTCGATATCGTTACAACACTGTTATACATCTCCTCGAATATGAAAACAAGATGAATGATTTATTTTGTAAGTAGTTGATAATAGTTGTCTATACTACTCAGTGTATGATTTGTTTTTAACTTGTAACGATCAACATCAAAGTGGTGAATCGTATCGATAGATTGACATCTGGACTGGTTTTGATTGCTCGAGATAAAAACAAGGCGGCATATATGATGCAAGAGATGCGTGAACGTCGGATTCACAAGACTTACCTTGCTCGTGTTAAAGGCGAGTTTCCTGCTGATGCAATCGAGTGCCATGAACCCATTGAAACAGTCGAGTTTAAAGTGGGTGTGAATATTGTTTCACCAACTGGAAAACCTTGTTCCACACTGTTTAAAAGACTGAGCTATAATGGCTTGACAAGTGTCGTTCAGTGCGAGCCATTAACAGGTAGGACACATCAAATCCGCGTACATTTGCAGTTTCTTGGACATCCAATTGCCAACGATCCAATCTATGGATGTTCAGAGTGGGGTAAAGATATGGGAAAAGGCGGATTAGATCCAAAAGCAGTGGCTATGACAGCCAATCGTGTAACAGCAGCTGTATTTCCTAGCGAACAGGAGCTGGTGGATCATGACAATGTTGATGATGCAGATGCAGATCCGATTGCAAACTGTGTAGAGTGTCGACTCAAACGCAGCGACCCAATTCCTGAGCAGTTGGTGATTTGGTTGCATAGCTGGAAATACAAGGGAGACTCTGGATGGGATTTTGAGACTTCAATGCCAGATTGGGCCCATGAATCGTATCAAGGTGATCAACAACTGGTAGACCGGTTTTGGGCACATGGTGGATTATGGGATGGAAAAGCGCCTGGACATTTCATTGATTAGATTGCCGAATTTTCCAACCGAATTTTATTTTTATTTGGGTAAATTTCACTCAGCAAAATATGGCCAAATTATTGGGTGTGTTTTTGATCCGAATTGATTTTTTCTTTAATAATTTCAGCTAGTTTCTATTCAAATGTCTTTTATTTTAAAACGATCGGTTCTACAGCCAGCACTTTTTAGAGCTGCAAATCCCCTTTCTCGTGCTCTGATATCCACCAGTGCTATTTCTCTTGAAAAGAAGCTCTTTATTGGAAATCTTGCATGGTCTGTAGATGAACAGACTCTTGCTAACGCATTTGCAGTGCACGGCGAATTGATTGAATGCAACATTGCTCGTGATAGAGAAAGTGGTGAGTTTTAGATATGGTTGAAAGTGTTGAATGGTTTTTATTCGAGATCAAACAGTGTTTGGGTGGTCTAGCAATACACTGTTATGAACTCCTGCCCAAGTTGCTACGTTTTGTTTTTTTTATCAAAACTTGGTTTTAATGTATAGATCAGATTGTGAAGCAAGTGAATTGATTCCATCTGTTAATCCTGTATTCAATATGCAGTACTGAAATAGAGTAGAAATCTAATACATTTTTGGGTCATTGTTAGGTCGTGCTCGTGGGTTTGCTTTTGTCACTTTCCAAGATGATGATGCTGCTCTCAAGGCCATTGAGGCTCTCAACGGCGCTGAAATTGCAGATCGTGCAATCCGAGTCAGCGAAGCTATTTCCCGGGATCGTTCTGCTGACAACCGCGGCAATGGTGGTCGTGGCGGCTATGGTGGTAACCGTGGCGGTAATCGTGGAGGATTTGGTGGCAATCGAGGGGATGAAGAAGGTCGTCGTGGTGGAAATGACAATGGATTTTAAATACAATTCTTTGATGCTATAATACAATGGTTGGGTTGTTTGAGGATATACAATAATATTAAATGTTTGAACTCAGATTTGATAAACTGAAAGTTGGCGCTGATTCTTTACTTGAAACTTATTACCCCACATCCAGCCATGAATGACGATGCCTTGGATAGTCCTGCAGCCTTTGACATGTGCTGGTCTGTCTTTGAAAATAGCAACACACAGAGAGTTGAGTTGGATTCATGTCTTGCAGGCTGCCGGATTTGTAGTGTTGCGACATGGCAACGGTTGCTAATCCATCGTTTATTCTTATATCGTGTAACTACAACGCATCCATCTTCAAACCACTGCTTCTCCAGCCACAGCATGATATGGAACAGACACTGTCTGCCATTATTATTGAACTTGACCTTGCTCAGATTCACAGTTTGCTCGGTAACATCCATTCTGGACTTCTTGCAGAAACAACAGGGTAAACCCATTCTTAGTCAACAGAAACATTGGACTTTGTTTTCATTTCCAATGAAGATCTACTGCCAGATTACACTCAATCTTTAATACCACCAAAACACTGGATTTAATTCTGCTTTTTTGCATGCATTCAATCATTGCTTTGCGTTTAGTTCGGTCCGATTTGCGCTCTTGTTGAATTTCAAACGGATGATTCTGGATGCCATTTTAAAAATATGGCCATTGGAGAAATTACAAAACTGTCTTTCAATCCTACATCCCATGGAATGTGTCTGTGTGTATTATGTCTTGTTTTATATCAATCAGTGTGTCAATTTACTGCTAACCTAGTGTTATAGACATGATCTTGAATAGCACTTTTGTTCTCTCTGCTGCAGACACAGATGCTATTGCCAGTCTGTTTGGAAATGATTTTATAATGGCTTACACGGTCTTTAGGTACATTCTGCTGTGGATCAACTGGAAAATTCATGACCCCTCACAGCACGACGAATGGTATTATGAGGCCTATTTTAGTGATTTTTCCAAAGATGAGCGGTAAGTCGCAGTGCATTCATACCCATTACATCATTTACGTTGGATCATTTGTATTGCTTCATCTTGAACTGGTATGTGTCATCTTTCAAAATCTAGCAAACGGGTCATGTCATCCATTGGATCAGATATCTTGCGGTATGTTGAAACACATCCAGACGAAATGTTACGAACTGTTGTGGATTCGTTCAAGGAAATTGTGCCTCTGCTTGAGGGTGATCATCTTATTATATTTTGGAAGTTTTTTCAGAAGCTGCAGAGCAACGAGAATGTCCCCATGGATGCATCATACACGCTAGACAATTTTTACTCTAAACTCTCTTCACAACAGATTAGACGGTGCTTACTCTTTCAACGTCCATCATTAATACATTCTCCAAATATGGCGTATGCAATTGCCGATACTCCATTTTCGGCCACATCTCCAGTTGTCACAGATCCAGATGGATGGGAAATGCTTTGCACGTCTATCCACGAGTATGTTGGTCATAGATATGAACAATCGACAGCTCTGGGTGATCAGACGCTCCAGGACGCCCAAGATTTGATTACTATATTATTCTATCCCGAAGCAGATCCTTTCCATCAAGAAATATCCTTAATGGACAAGATTGTCCATTTTGCCCCAAATCCGGTAAAGTGTATTTTTTCCATACTAAATTCGTCAATGATTACTTCTCAGGATCAACGAACAATGCTGCTGCGTAGTTTTGTGCTACACTGGGCATTGTTTGCGTTTTTAAGAGCGCGAGGGTGTCGGACTCTTATAGATCTTGATCAAGCCAACGATTATATTGTACAAGAATTCGGTCCGTCTACATTGGCTTTGCATATGGATATAGATACATACAAAGCACTGCCAATACTCAAATCACTTGCGCAATGGATTAATGAGCTTGGGGCAACACATCCTTACACTCTTCCTCTTTCTACTCTTTTGAAAGAAGCAATAGCCCAGGGATCCTTGAGCGCCTGCACTCCACCACCCGAAGCACAGCCGAGATCATCTCTTTCCATTGTGCATCGATCGTCAACACACTATCCAACAGTCTAACCAAAAGGCGTTTTACGTAATCACCCATTGATTAAAACGGTAGATTCCAACCTTTTACACTCTAATATGAACGAGTAGTATCATGTCTTAATCATCTTTACTTATATTTCTATTACAATCCAATGTGTGTTTTGTGCATATCTTGCTTTTTTATTATTTTGCAAATAAAAATATCAACTTGCACCTTCACAGCTAGTGACAACGAGGATAGGAAATTGTCAACAACTATCAGTGTGTTTTACAAATATTGCTAGATGATTGATTTGAATGACAGAATCATCCATCGTTCGTGTCCTTGTACTGCAGTGATAAGCTGACGTATTAGCACGGTCAGTTTGTTGAACGATTTGCTCCTGTCAATTCAATACAAAACAACCTCGATCACTTGATCTAGTGTTTCATTTGATATGAATACGGTTATATTCATAGAATATACAAGTCGAGTTTAATGTCAATTTACCATCACAAACCAAAACATGCTTTATCTACATACTCTACTAGAACGTATTGTGGTACGCATACTATTTTTATTTGTATTGACTTGTTTAATCGTTGTATACAACATACTCCAATTCATTTTTAATCTATACATTTTATTGTTACGTCGACTTTTTCCCATTCAGTTTCAATCCTCCACAACTGTGTTGATTACCATCTATTCAGCCAATACATTACAGGAATAAAGTATAGAGTCATGGTTTGAATGATACGTGTGCACATGTAAATTTGGTTTGTATGAATAAAATAGAAAGTGAGATGATATATAAAACACTGGATTTGGTTAAACAAAGCAATCAGGATCACTGCAGCATTGTACTCTTTGGACTTTTTTGATTTTTTAATCCACGACCAGACAAAACTGTCTGTGCAGTTCCATACAGTTCAACGCGGATTACATGCAGTCCTTTTTTGATAATGAGTCGCTCTTGAAACGTTCCAGCCCGTGTAGGATAAAACGCAATCGGGATAGGAACAAACGATCGTGGTTGAATGGAGAGATATCTAGTAGGTAGTGAAAACGGTCCGGTTGTGATGAATTGGACTTGCACTGCTTGATCCGCTGCGTTGCATATCCGCAACTGAAGTGTGCTGACATGACCCAAGTTTACTGTGCCAAAATTAAGTGAATCTCTTGCAAGAGAACAGCCATTGTTGGTTACAGAGATGGGATCGACCCAAGGCAGCCCCAAAGACTCCTCATTCTTGGGTCGATGTCCAATCAGTTTCTGAGTTTGAGCAGTTTGGATGTGTGGTGTAGTACTATACGCATGTCCCGAGCGGATTGATGCAGATTTATTTTCAATCTCGTGGGATCTTGAATGACTATAGCAAGCAATAGAGGTTGAATCAATCTGGAGCGCTTGTTGGGAATCAGTAGATCTAGAATGCACAAAACCTTTTAGCGGAGACTGTTTAGCAGATGTATAATTTTCAACTTCAAGCTGGTGCACTTTTTGAGCAGATACTGGAGTGTTTCTAGATTTTCTTTGAAATGTGGTAGAATGTGATTTTATCAAGGAATGTGCATGTTGATTGTTTTGAGCTGTGCTGATAATTGTGGTAGATTCGGGTTTGAAATGATACGGTTTTGATTCTGGCAAGTCACTACTGCTTTTGCGAGAATGCAATCGATGTTCATTGGATTTAACTGGTAAAAATTGAGCTGGTGATTCTGGATTTTCAGAAAATGGCCAATTTAAAGGTATTTGACTAGTATCTGAAACAGAACATCCATCAACTTTGATGATAAAACAGCGCCTGTTTGACTTTAATTGAAACGACTGTGTGTATACTCCATTTACAAGTGGCTTAAACGTTACCGCTATTTGAGTAGATTGATTTTTTCCCAATTGTCCAGAAATACGCACGAATCTGAAGATGACATCCGAAATACTGTGTTTAGGCATTCGTTGCAATGATACGCCATTTTCATCTCTGATTACATGCACAGGCTCCATAAAGACCGGACCAATACTGTCAATCGTCCATAGTATAGACCGATCAGTGTTGTTGGACAGTACAATGGCAGATCGAGCTGCTGATTTACTAAGATTTGGTTCAAATATCACCCGTACTATACTATTTGATTCGGCTTTTGATGAAATAGATTCAGAAAGAGCTTTCCGAGTAGATAAAATTTGAATGACAGGATACTTGCTTGTTAATGTTTCGTTGGTGTTATCACATGTATCCGAGTTTGGCATATATTGATATGGATCGCAATCAGACAAGCGCAATGGACTCTGTGATTCATGTGATGATATATGCTTTTTGGACTCGTTAGAAACAGCCACATCTTTAAAATGCAATTTTGGGGTTTGAACAGAAGAAGAACAATCAGTCAAATGAGATATTGATAAACAGCCTGACGAACCACCATACGATGGGTCACTAGAACTATCCAGAGCATTCAAATGGCTTTTAACATTCAAATCCACAGATTTAGATGATATCACATTGTCTTTTGATTGATATTGGCGAGATTTCTGACCAACAGAGTGTTGGTATGGCACTGTAGATTGTAATAGTTGATCCGAATTTTCTGTATTAGCCAAATAACTAGTCATGTTGAAGATTTTGCGATTTACAGGCACAGATGATGGCTCGGCTGGCAATTTGGAAGCGGCCCAGTCAAGATTTTGAGGTGTCGTGGCAGATAGTTTACTCGATATTATATCTTTCAACATGTTTGAGCTGTTTTTAGTCGGAATTCGACGCACTGTGGAAGGCGGATTTGCCTGGTGATAAACGATTTTTGTAGCAGGAGAAGCAAAACAGTGTGCATTGTTTTGAGATTCACATGTTGTGTTTTGCATAGTGTCCTTCTCTGTCAAAACTGGCAGTGGGGAAGCAATAGCAGTTGTATTTTGTGCTTTGCTATATTCTAAAGGTTTGGATTTGTCAAGAAATTTAGATGGCGATTCGTAAAGTGGTGCTCTAACGCGACGGACTCCCGAAGGGGTTACATCCTACATGATATAATTGTGTGTTTATGGTATAGGCGCATTAATAATAGTCAGATTGGATTGAAAGGTAAATAGATGCATGAACATACCATTAGATTGTGCTTTTCTGTGCGATCACCAGGAGTAGGACCGATTAGATCAATCACATTGCCAAATATATCTCGTTGGGGAGTATACCAAGTGGGTCGCTCTTCATTAAATACTTTCCCACCCAGCGATCCTAAACTTTCTGATTTTTGGGCAAAAAACGACCCAGGCGAAAACAAATCTACTTCTGCACTTGAAAGAGTTCGTACTGTATGAGGAGTGGCAAACGTCTCATCAGTTTGTGTTTCATTGGACAAAATTGGATCGCCTGGCTGGCATTTTTTGTTTTTTTGCTGCTGCACCTTTTCATTGAATTCAAGATGCATCAATATATATTCATCATCGTGCATAGATTTATCGCTCAGTGGTGATTGCGGAGTGCTATTATTGTCTCCATCCAACAGAGACAGTTTACCTACTCATACAGTAGATATGCATCAAAAAATTGGAAATATCAGATCTTATCATATACTGTGCAGAGTCGCATATAAAGCGTGCTTCTCTTACCTGGAGATCCAAAGTTTTCCGTTAGTATGTTTTTTGGGATATCAAATCCAAGGTTGCTGGCAGACTCCATAAATTCATCAACATCTAAAATCAACAGTTGAGTGTAGATAACAAGATAAAATTCAAATAAACTTTACTAGACATGGATGGTGTTTTAATACACTGCACAGAGTCGATCAGTTAGACATACCTTGCTGTAGTTGAAAAAAGTCATCTACAACCTTACTGCCACCAAATTCATCATTTTCATGATCATCCATTGAGATATTTTGAATATCGGCATTGGTACGGCTTGAATTCACATCTGTATCAGTAGTACCGTATATGTCCATGGTGATTGAAAACCCAATGTCTTGATCTCCACTAACAGGCTCAAGTGCAGATAATTCTGCCAACATATTTTCCAACTGTTCTTGATTTTTCCTGTCTTGGTCAGTTTGAACATATCCATTTAGTTGAGAAATATTTGGCACTCCACCATCAAATGTGTCACTCTCGTCGCGAAGACCAGGAAATGCACCCAGCACTGATTCCTTGAATGGACTCTTGATTTCAAATTTTTTTGGTTTGGCTATGGATATTTCCAACTATATTTAGATGACACTATCTTGACAATACATGATTGAAAATGCAGTAGAAACACTTACGTGTGATTTCTTCTGAATAAAAAGGATCTTTGCAAACCACAGAGATACGCGGTGTTTGTAATGCAAAGGAACTATCTGATGCTTTGATTGGTAGACAAAAAGAATCTTCGGGATTGAGTTGATCGCCAACAGATGAGGATGCTATGCAACAAAATAACCAAAGATGAGTGATTATACTATCCACTGTATTTGAATATACAGCATTTCCCGTCCAATACGATACTACCTCCAGAAAATAGATTGTATGCTGGCTGAATTTCGTTCAAACCAAATGAAGAATTGTCATGTTGAAACAATATTGAAGCATCCGAGGCATCTGAGCCAGTGTCTGCCAAATCTATGACAGCAAGATTAGTCACGATTGCAAGTGTTTTTAAAGAAAGCTGAATGATTTACCTGGAATATCAAATGACAGGTTGTCAGCTTGATCAAGTTCATCAGTTGCAGTAGCTACAGTTGCATCAGCATCGCTAGGCACATTTGAGCTAGAAATCGTCAGCTCATTGCTTAATTCAGTCTCTTCTGCTTCTGTGTGAGAATCAAAAAGTAAATCTAAAGTAAATTCAGTAGGTGTGAGCACTACTATTGAATAAAAAAGATCAAGGTAGGATAGAATGCTTCGTACCAGCTTCAGTGAGTGATATGTTCGTGTCCAAAACATTGATTTTGGAATCAAGTGATCTATGAAACTCAATACTACTCCAGTCTGCAGCTAAAATATCAAACATACATTAGTCAATACGGTAACATCAAATGTATTAGCGAGGTCTGACATGTATCTCACTTTCGTTTCCCGTAGAGCTGATTGTACGCTCTTGGATCATATCTGAAAATGTAACTACAAGATCACGGTGAAGAGCATCACAAGAATGTGTTAGGTAATTCAAGGCGCATTCAAAAGAAAATAAATTAAATTGATGACAATAGCTGCTCATGATGATCAAGATTTACCTTTTCGAAAATCAGCCGGCATAGTTTGAGATGGCTCCTTATTAAAATTATTTAATCGAGTATATTCTTGAATTTCCTGATGCAGTTCTCCAGCCATATACTGCGCATGCTTTTCTGTAGTCAAAAGGTTAGAATGGATTGCTTGAAATTGCTCGAGTTATACGGACAAAATAGTCCAGTCGGACAGTTTTCTGATGATCAAAACAAGTGTTTATGCAACTGTAAAAATCACCTTGAGATATGACTTCATTAGATGGTATTTCCAGTACTGAGTTATGCTGTAGAAGATTGTCCATACTTAAATCTAGTCCAGCCATGCCTTCATCCAGATTATCAAAATCAATGTAATTGCTTTTATCGTCAGAATTTTCAGTTGATTCGTCACCCAGAGCAGAGCCAATCTGTCCTAGCAAATGAGCAAACTCATTATAGGCCACACCAGAGCCCAGCATCCTGTTGAATTCGTTGGTAGAAGTTAACTTTGGAAAGAATTCAAGCAATCAAAATGTCCGGTAGCCCACAACAACTCCTCAGGACACTAACCCTCACAACAGCAATGCTCTTGACAGATGTGTTGATTGTGTATCAAGTGTTGGTCAAATGTCGATTACTGAAGTTCATGTGCTGCAGATTTACCGCACTCTCGAGTCTGTTTTGAAACTTCGCGGACCTCAATGCAAGTTGCTCGCATTGGAAATTGCTTCGGTTGCTGTTGGATTGCGACCTGCTTTACTCAACGATCACTGCATAATTTCCATTCAACAAGCAGACTTACTGCTGTTCCGTCTATCAGAGGTAATGCGATGTTCGAGTTCATGTGCGTTGTGGTTTTATTAAACCTTTTGTATGACTCAACTCAGGTGCATTCCGAGTTTAGTCGTTTACGAGCAATTCATGTCAACAAAGTCGACTTTTTGTTTATTATTCATACGGAATGGTTTGAGATATTCTGCAGGGAGTTACATGCGTCACCCAATGCATTTCCGATATTCATCGATGCGTCAGAATCTCTGGATAACCCGCTGATTGTTTCAAAGAATCAAGTGGACGGTATTTCTTGGATCGTGAGTGCATTGAATGCTATCAATCAATGGTCGAGTAGCACTTCTTTTCACGAAATGAAAGTTTATTCTCTCGACATTGAACACGATCATCCTCAACCGATCATAGCATTCACTGGAATTGTGCTTGGATATCCAGTAGTTTATTGTTGTAATACACTGGGTCAAGGCAACTGTTTGAGTACTACTTTGCTTTCACTGCACAAGCTATACGCGCAACTGCCTGCCAACCTACACAGTACTTTTGGGCAAGTCACTCGCTTCAATCGTCTTGCATTCTTGCCTTCGAAATGGCTAATATCAAATAATTAAAATATTAGGGAATCAACTGTTGTGTTGACGTTTACCATTCCTGCAAATCTGTCAGCTCTATGTATCGAAGCTGTCAATGCATTCAGTACAGATCTAAATCTGCGTGTGGCATCACAACATGTTTTTTCCCAAATCAAATTATGCACATCTTCAATCACTCAAGATGCCGTTATCATGTAGCTCAATAAACCTCTTTGATACAATTGGGTTATCATTTATTCAAGTAGATATATCCATTAGCTTTTTGACAAATCCCGGACCCAGCAGTTTTGTGATGGATTCCCTTTTCAATTCCACTGATTTACTAAATATAATTTCTCCAACTGCTCTATCTGGATTTTTATCTTCTGGCTGTAAATACAAATAAAGGAGTTCTATACATTTGTGGCTATTGATTACAATTTGCATTTTAAATGAGTGCAAAGTTACAGATCGTGTGGGTTAGCAATTCTTGGCAGTTGATGGCAATCCACAATTCAGGATAAATTCCAAATACAACTCACAGTACTGCTTCACTAACATGCTTTGATTTAAGAGTTTCGCAAACCACAGGAACACCCCCAATCTGTTCAAATATCTGTACATATTGTCAATATACTCACTTCAACTCGGTTCAAGCACAGCATAAAACTTAATAATAGTTACCCTGATGTTTTGACTCGAATCAATTAGAATGCCTTGAACAGCTTCTATTGCTGCAATTGCCACTACAGTGCTTTTGGATGGTAAAAACGTCAAAAGCAACTAGATATTTAAAATATGCATCATCAGCAACGCGTACCAACCAATACATATATGCCATAATCCAATAGTCTGCAGTTTTGACTAACATCTAATTAAAGATCCAACCCACCATCATGTTTTGCTTGGCGCCTGCTTTGAGTTTTGAATCGTAGTGCAGTAAAGCTACTCCCTGTAGCATTTCTAACACTGATGCAACTTGGTTTGATATCTTCACATCATCTGAGTATAGTATAAATGCATTTTAATCGCTGTGTTCGAGACAATCGAGTGTAAATTTGAATGATAAATCTACAACCACTTACAAGCCATTGCTGGTGACATTCTCAGTTTAAGCTGCTGAAACAGCAAATGTTGGACTGTATCGCAAGTCATGGATGTTAAATTGTGATGTTTGGAACAGTTGAATCACTTTGAGCATAAAAGCTAATCTCACATACGGTTGCAATTCTGTTCGCGCTGGACAATGGCAAACACACTTCGCTCCTCAGATGTAAATGTGGCCATAAGACGAAGAAGAGCTTTAAACCCCTTTTCACGCTGATTCCACGAACTATCTTGCATCTACATATCAAAAATTAGCAAGGTTTTAATGTGTACAGTATCAACACACTGTTCAAGTTGAACCCTAGTAAAGCAATGGATAGGCTGAATCTACCTGTGTCATGCATACATCCATTTTACGTTGTAGTTTTTTGCGCATTTCTTCAATGTATTCCCACTGTTGAATGGCAGAAATGCCCAAAACTGCTTCCCCAGCCATTGCCATGATGAATATGTTATTGGTCAGAAAGATATTGTCAGCTACGGTTACAATCCCAAAATATCACGTGGCTTGGACAGTTGTATCTGCTCTTGACCCATCGCATACATCTCGATACAGCTGATTTGTCTGTATTCAATGAATAGCATGCAGTATATCACAAAGTATCATAAAATGAAATACCAAATAATAAGAATGGGATCAACATTTTTACATTTCATTATCATCCAAGTCCATATCCATATCACTGTCCATAGATTCATTTGCGCTAGCTCCGCCAACGCCATTCAAAAAAACACCTGATTGTTGACTTCGTTGTTGTGGAGTGCAGTCAAACACATTCAATGAAGGCCATGAAGCTTCCTCAACTGAAATCGGAGAGGACAGCGTGGCAGTAGGTCGAGATGTCATACTTTCATTTCCAAACAATCTACCCCTGATAGGTCGAGATACGCGCGGCGGTGTGATATCTGCTCGTGTGGTATGGTAGATGATGGTGCTATTTTCGAGTCTGTGTGGTAGTTCTGCGCGGGTGACAGCAGTAGCTAAAAGGGTTTCTGGTGTATCAGTAAAATTCAGTACATCAGAATTTGACTGGCGCAAATCTGCAGAAAAAAGAGGATATTCAAACGGACTGGATCCAAAATCATCCGTGGTAACACTAAAGCGGTTGCGCATTGGCATAAATCGTGTGCTAGTTCCATCTCTTACTGGTGCTTGATCGTCAGTATTCCATAGCGCCATTGAAAGTGGATGTCGTGCACCAGGGATCGGAGTAGACGAATTTACGGCCAGATCATCTTGACTGAGTTGCAGCGTTTCATCTCCCACATCAACCAATGAGGAGCGCTCAGTGTCATCAGCTTCCTCATGCTCTGGAGTCTCGTAGTACGCACCCTGATCTTGTTTAGACAAGCTGTTTTCACCAGAAATATCGTCTAGTGAATCCTGATGATGCTCGCTAATTTTCAATTCCAATGCCTCGTCAGATATATCCCACACTTCAGCCGTGGATGCTGATAAAAAGGATGAAAACGAATCTGATGTATCAAGTGACGCTTCTACTAGTGCACGACGAAGCAATTCACTGCTGATCGAGTCTTGCGGTCTAACCGCCAAAGACTGATGGTAAAAATCGATTGCCTCGTGCAATTTGTTTTCAATGTGTGCCATAATTCCTAGCGCAGAAAACGATGGTGCATGTTGTGGAACACTAACCAGCACTGCTTTAAACCAAAATCGAGCGCTTTCAAAATCACTATTCGGCAAAATAAAAAGATAAATAAAGGTATCCCCGCTACTCGCACACATACTCAAAATGCAGTTACATACTTTTTCTTTCTAAAGGCATGACCAAGATTGGACAGTGACATTTCCCAGTTTTGACGCTGCATTCCATACCCATCAATAATCTTCACTACCATCTCCAAATATCTAATCGCTTCGGTATAGTTTCCTTGGCGATAATACAATACACCAAGTTCATTAAGCAAAATGGGATCATAGTCGCACTTGAGATACGCATCCTTTAAAAATTTCATGGCAAATTTGAGATGGTTGCTAGAAAGGTACTGCATGCCGAGGTAGAGACTTGGCGTGTGAATGTGGGTGCTGATTTTGGATGCAGTGCTATACGATGAAATGGCTTGGTCGTGTATTCCATGAAGCGCAAAAGTGTGTCCAAATCCAATCCATGCTTCTACAAAAGTGGGCGACACTGTGGTTGCTGAGCTATAATAGTAAGTTTTGATTTCAAGACATGACCGTCATCAAATCAAGTCAACACAGTCAGTACAAAAGCGCAATAGCGTATATTCTAGTGCATCTCAATAAACAGTACACCTGAAATAAGCCTGCGCCTCGCGATACTTTTTTACAGAAAGATAATAGGTGGCAACGGCGTACATAGACACTCGTTTATTAGGAAACATTTCGGCAAGTTCGTGGGCCTTGAGAAATAGTTTCCTAGTGTTTCCAGTTTCCAAAAGCGCAGATACATAAAGCAAAAGACAGTCCATATTATAAGGATCTTTTCGCAATATGCTATCAGCAATCAAGCACAAATAAATATAAGATTTAATAAATATAAATGCAAAGATTAAAAACAGCAGTCAGACGTTTTAAATCACATACTTGGTGGTGATTTGTAAGACTGCTTCATAGTTGGCCATAATATGTTGTTTACGAGCATCAGCAAGTAGTAAATCAGTACTATGCAAAAGATTATATCGAGTAAGCAAAAGGGTGTTGTCTTTGAGTTGAGAAGGATGTGCACTGAGTTTAAACTATATTATCACATGTGCAAGAGCAATTAATTAAACCATTGTCATATTTAAATCACAGAAAACTGCGCAAGTATTCCAACCTGATTAATTTTGGACTGATAGACAGTGCAAACAAACTCAGTTGCCTGTGAGTTGGAGTTATTTAGCTCAAGTAGATCAGGCAAATCTCTCATTTCTTTTTCAGATACAAGATGATTTTGTAACAATGCATCCAAAGCCTAAAATATGAATTGTTTTAAAAATAAATAAGCAATACAGATTCATAGTACGACAAACCAAAAATAAACAAAGGATAGACTATACTTAATCACGCATACCTGATATGAACGGTAATCTATTTTGAGTGAATCTAAAAAACATTTCTTTGCACGTTCATTTCGATTTAAATGCAGTTGCGCTAATCCGCGAATGTATGCCACAGTCGCATCTATCTTATAGTTGCAATATCAACAGAATAAGCAAAACAGAATCGCTACAAGTATAATCACGCGCTATATCAAATATACATTACTTTTACATTTCGTCCATGAATAGAGCTAAGGCTAATATCAACACCTGTATATTCCGCAACAAAGCATTAAATAAAAGATCCAAACTATACACTTTTAAATAAAATCCAATGGTATAATCAATGTACCTTTCCATGATCGGTATTCCTTTTTTACAGCACAAGGCATATTGTCCGTACCCAGAACTGCAAGCGCTTCTTCTTCCTTTTCCTGTTTAATCTATTACACAAAACAAGTGTTAGAGTTTTAATGCAATTCACAGTGGCGAACTATTAGATAAAGTCACTTTTAAACATAACATACCAAGCACTGTGCAGTAAGACAGCCTCCCCACATAGTAAATCCAGCCAGCAATCGATTCTTTAGAAGCCATTCGCATTGCAGATATTTTTCGTTTTGAAAATATACCAAAGCAAGTTGATATACGTCTATGAAATGGCCTGTGATTGAGTGTGGTTTGTATGCTACAAGATGAAGTAGTCAATAATTCAGTACTGACAAGATTGTAACGGCTCAATAGTCTAAACTTATCCGCGATCAACGTACCAGTCATATCTACAATCTTAGTACCCCAAAATGCGGCAGCATCATATTGGTTTTGATAAAGAGCATCGTCGCGCCAACACCTGATTTGATCGACCAATGTAGAGATATCATTTACAGCCAACACTGAATCTGTTGGATTGGATATTGACGCAGCATCTGGATGGGTGGATTTTGTCGAGGGCAACGCCAAAGACGTGTTGGTGTCATTGCTTATCGAGGTATTAGCATCAGCAGCAGTTGAACGAGAGTCGAGTTTCTTTTTTACAAGTCGACTCTTGCCTAATCTGGAATGGCTGGCAGTTGATCCTTTAGACTGCTGAGTCATAAAAACAGAGTTTTGATCGGAGATGGAATGCGAAGCAGAGGATAATCCAAGTCCCAAAGATCCGGGTTGAGCATGGCGGGTATTATTATGTTGTCCAGATGAATTAAACGCAGTGGTGTTTAGAGTAGATTGCCTCGTTTGAGAAGCTGCTCCGGCTGCAGTTGAGCTTGCATTCGTGGAAGACGCATTAGATGCAGTAGTATTTTGAGCAAAAGAAGTTCTTCTAGTGCGAGGTCTTATACTGGTGTTGGTACTGCCAGCTGTAGGATGCAAATGTCTTGCTATTCTTCCATGTGATGAATGCATCTGTCAATGTGAGGAAAAGGCTCAAAGTGAAATCAAGACCATAAGCAGTCAGGTGAGATCACGTTATGCTGCAGTGCTTTCCGTCGCGGCCAACTCTCACATGTCAACCAAGATGATTCCCTCATCTGGTGTATTGCACAGGTCTTCATTCAAGGTGCTGCAGACCAATGATGGTCGTACTCTTGTGGAAAACACTCTGAGATTGGACATGAATGGTGACGAGCCTTCTACCATGCTGGTCATTTCAGATCGAGAAGTTAAAGTACAAGGTATCGGTTATAGCTGTAGTGTCATGAAACTCGAGTTGTCTGTAAAGGTTCTTGCTGAATGATTCATCTTTATATACTAAAAATGGGGGTTTCAATACGTTTCTATAGAAAGAGAAGATGCGCTACCAACCTCCACCAATACAATCACTTCAACCACAGATATCATGGGTGTTGTTGGTTTACTATCACTTGTATATGGTACGGTTGATTTCTATTGGTATAAATGCATTGATTTGATTTTATAAAATAGAATCAATGCTATATGAACCATCTCCATTTTAAACTATGTAGGACAATATCTGGTTGGAATCACCTCTCGTAGTTTGGCTGCTACAATCCAATCGCACAAAATATGGCGTATCAAGACTGGTATTGTGATTCCTGTTGCTGGTACCATCTATCCTGCTTCTCCAGAAAATTTGGATGACACAGTATTAGCGCAGGTAACTGACTCGTTTGATGGGTGATTTAAAAGTCCAATAAATGTCTTGTTGATTATAATCATGTGATAGCCTAGCTAATCCCTGCTGTTCATGGCTGGTAGTATTTTGCAGATAAAAAGCTACTTGAGCATATTCGCAGCATTCTCGACTCTGGCCAGCTATACTATTCTTCCACGTATGACTTGACGCATTCTATGCAGCACAATTTCATTGCTAATACTACAACTTCCTCGGATACACGCATTGATGATCGCTACTTTTTCAATCTGCACATGCAATCCGCCTTGATTTCTGCTGCAACACCTAAACGTGATACTCATCCGTGGGTACTCAAGATCATTGCTGGGTTTGCTGGAAGCATTGATATAGACTACAACCCCAATTTGGAGGGAAATTCTTTACTCTCTGAAAATCAAAAGGAAATCACTTCCAAATCGTATACTTTAACTCTGGTGTCTCGTCTAAGCCACTGTCGACTAGGTACTCGATATATGCGTCGTGGTATTGATGAAGAGGGAAATGCAGCAAACAGTGTGGAAATGGAACAGATTGTGTTTGATCATGACTTTGTAAAAAATAAGCTTATTTCATCATTTGTTCAGATTCGAGGGTCTGTACCATTGTTATGGACACAAAAACTTGATCTCAGCTACCGACCTGCTCTCAAGATTGCTGATACTTCCAGTGAAGAATCATGGACTCCCGTTCAAAAACATTACACAGATCTCAAACATCAATATATTGGTGAGCGTCTTTTGTCCAGCAATGCTGATCATGGAAAAGTCGTTTGTGTCAATTTACTTGATGATACAGGGTTTGAAAAACCTTTGACCGAAACATTCGAAAGCACGGTGCAGCGTTTCAAAGACCCCAAAGTAACGTATGAATCGTTTCCGTTAAACAAGTGGTGTAAAAGGATGAAGTACGACAACATGGATATTTTACTTGATCGAGTGCGAATACGACTTTTAAATAACGGCAGCTTTTCAGCCGAAGGTGAAGTTCCTTCTTTGCACTCAAAAGGATCGTTGAAACTCCTTCAACTTCAAACAGGTGTAGCACGCATCTCGTGTTTGGACAGTTTGGATCGAACTAATTTGACGTGCAGCATTTTTGCTCGATATATGATTGCCTTTCAAGTGCAGAATCTATCTCCTGGTATGCTTTCTTGCAAAAGCTCTCCCTCTACAGGCGTATCTTCATCGGATATATACGATACTGCCGCAGATGTACGTCGTACTCTTTCATGCAATCTTTCCAGCTTAACCAATATCTGGGCAGATTCAGGAGACGCCATTTCGCTTCTATATGCAGGAACAAGAGCCCTCAAAGCCGATATCACTCGCACAGGAGAACGCCAAGTAATCAGAGGCAGTATAAATGATGGCATAAACTCTTTGACTCGTTACTACCTTAACAATTTCAGTGATGGACGTAAACAAGATGCGTATGACATTTGGAGTGGGAAAGTCACTCCTGTTTGTATCGACGAATTGGTTGCTGAAGAAGGAGTAAAACAAGTACGCAGGCTTCGTGAACCATTTATTGCTAAAAGCAAAGCAATTAGTGCACTCTTACCTCGCTCCGTGATTGACAGCACTGAAACATTTTTATTTGAAATCAAAGAATTTCTTATTCAACCTGCCACCAAAACCTGTACCGATACAAAAAAATCCAAGTCGAAACCTGTTCACATGGATGAGCATGGTGTTTCTCATACCAAGGTTGGGTTTGCTATTTATTTGATGCGATTGTATGCACCAACACGGATCACTAATGTGGTCGATTTCTGTATTGCTGGATGGATCTCTTGGCACATTCTCATTCTTGTCAAACTGTTCAAAATTGATGGTCAAAATGTTGTCAGCAATGCACATTTAACTGTAGATCACGCCCATTTCAAAAAATGATGGTATTGGTTTGATTGTTTTTCTGTGTTGTTCAATACACCTCGTTTATTCTTGTTGGTTTTATGAAATTAAGCTTTCAAAAGTTTTAAAGTTGAGCATGTGAAATGAAGTCGAAATAAATTTATTTGTGACATTCATATCACTATTCAATAAGTATGCATTATTCATACCAAGACTCAAAAACTGGGACGAAGTGTATAGTTATTTTTTTTGGCATAGTTCATGGCATTAACGGAGGGAAGTAAAACAGTATCAATTAAATGCAGCATGTTCCCACCATCCAATATAATGTCTGTTTGAATCAATTCAGCCTCGTTGCATTCGGACGCTCCATGAACGACACCATATGAACCGTTGAATGTGATGGTCATGTTTTCACCTGGCAGTCCTGTTGCAACTGAATTACCTTTTGCAGAAAACGTTGCAAATATAAGACTTGATACCATTGGTTTGATGATATGGTAATCGATTATCGACGATACCACGCCGACATGGTTGTAAATGTCTTTGTTGGATTCGGTAGCATTGAGTTTTTGAAACGCTTTGTTGGTTGGAGCAAATCTGTCGTGATGTGTGTATGAAATAAAATATATAAGCTATCAACCAACCCAAACTAGATCAAGATCGTGTATTGTTAACTATTAAAATACGTACATGGTTGTTCCTTTTAGAGCATTCAGTGCTGACAGCATACCTGGACTGGAAAGCACAAACTTGTAAAATGAACTCAAATCAGGCCGCGAGCGAACAACAAATTCGAATTTTCTTGGTGGAACCAAAACATCATCTATAAAGTTGATGATACCGTTAGTAGCATATTGAGTATGCGTAACTCTTGCAACTCTTTCTATTCCCGATCCAACATTAATATTGTGGTCGCTGTCGATGCTGATCATGAGGGGCTCGTTAGAGTAGGTGGTTTGAAATGTTCGTGATGCTTCTTGTAGGTTTACATCGTACGAGTATCCAAGTACGTGATCTAGTATGTATATTTGGAACAAGTTAGAATTGAACAATATAGGTTTAAAACTGACCGAGGTTGGTAAGTTTAAATATGATCGACATTTCACTATTACATTGAAGAAACTTGAACATGGTCGAGTTTTTTTCGAGTATACTGTTGTAGTAACTTGGAAATTGTTTTTCAAGATTTAGAAATGCTTGGTCGCTAGGTAAAAACACTGTCACATTGGTTGTACCATCCAGGAAATTGACGAGTTTGGGAAACTGCATCATAGTAGTAGAAATAAAGTCGTATGATGGCAGTTGTGTTTTCGTTGATTTATGACTATACTGAAGCTCAGAATATGATTCCTGGTGTTTTCGTTTTGCCAGGTGATATGGCGCTGTCTGCACGTTTATTAGCGACAGTAATGTCGGTTCAAATGTCAGAGGAACCACTGCAAATGACCATGGGAGGAGCATAATGGTCAAAAATATGTTTAAACTATGCATTTTAGGATGAGAGTTTGTCAATAATTGTTACAGTCATATTCACGTAAAATGGAACACTATATAAGGATGCCAAAATACATAATAAGCGGGCAGTCTCATGAAATGATTGATGATAATTCACACCAGATTTACTGAACATCGTGTCCTTTGAGCTTTTTGAAAAGGTTGGTGTTTCTCCGCCGTGCTCATTTGATTCTAGACATGATTTCACAAAGCCACAAACTCACTGATTAAGCATGATCTGCCAACCATTCAACAGCCATGTCGCGAGGTATAGAGTTTATGGCTCACTCTCATCCTGCCGATAACCACTTTAGCATAATAAACATAGTGTTGTATAGCGGCGATTTCAGTTGGTTGTATGTGCGATATATTTACACACTGCAAGGTCATGCTTGATGTATGCACCATATCAACCTATTCCTGACTCTGCTCATGAGCAATCAGAAATATGTGCTTGATTTCTTGCCATCTACAAGTGATACCTTGCTGGCAAATAAAACATTAGAAAATAAGCCTGTATCGATGGATTAAAGTGTAGCATTCGCAAATTACATTCGTATTTTAGAAATAGTTGATGCAATTTTACAAGCTTTCATTCTATCCAGCCATTTCAAATTCTACAGCATGGCAACTCCAGCAGATTTGAAACTTCTTGCTGAGCGACTCTCCGCTCCACCCTTCTCCAAGACTTGGACAGTCATTCAACTTCACGATACTATCACGCCTATTCAGCTTTTACAATGTATTAGTGATGTGGTGTCCAATATTGACCAAGCCAACTTACAGTCTCCACATCGTAATGTTGATATTCGAAACGAACTGCCAGAAGATACGGTTGCAAGGCTATCCGACTTTTTACGCATGCTCAAGTTCAAGGATGCAGTATCCAATTTGTACGTCCGTTTAAAACTCCAATCTAAAGCCCAATAGTATACCATCATTGTAATGCAATAGTTTGAAACTGTTCATGTTGAGCTGCATGCCTTGAAATACGCGTTGACAAATACCAACAATGAATCCAAGTGTATTGAAATCCTAACCATCTGCATCTCAACCCTATGATTATACACTTTTAGTGATGAACTCGGTCAAAATCTGTTTGAACTAGAACGCAAAACTCTTTTTTCCACACTCTTGTTTCTCGTAAAAGATTTTGAAATACATAAAAAGCGAGCATACTTGGCTTTATTTCTATCCATTCCTGAAGTTCCTCCAGAGTTTTCTCAGGATCAAAGTAAACTACTCAATCTATTTATTTGAATTTAATAAGGCGATACTTACCATTACATGTTCTCGATGATGGCATTCATTCAAAATGTAGTGATTGTGGATCTTATAACTCAAATCAGCTCGGCTCAGGAAGAATTTAAAAGCTCGCATAAATGGCTTGATGGATTAAAACAATCAGGTGAATTTCAAACACCAATTCATCAAAATTGCACTGATATTCTTGTGTCAATGCACGCACCCATGGCTTACAGACGTGTAATACTTAGGTAATAATGCCGCTGTAATCAAAAGAGAAATACAACAGATGGAAGAAGAAAAGCAACAGGTCATGAGTAAAGTTGCCAAACTTCAAAAAAAAGTAGAGGGTGTGGTAAGTCGTATTGCCAGATGGATGTCAGCATGCGTCAAGAAAATAGGATTGATAACTTGATCATGTTTATAAATTGATATGTTTAGGCCAATTGCAACCAGTGGTTAGAGGCTGCAAGAAATCTGAGAATGGAGCAGCAAAGCGAGGCAGAGATTACAGAACGGATAAAGGATCAACGCATGCAGGTCACCAATGCAGATCAAAAATTAAACAAAGCCATACAAGAGCTAAAGAATGTCAAGGTTTGTGCACTATATATGCAAGGTAGCGTATCTATTTTATATAGAAATCATGCCAACCACCTTATTTTTCTTTGAGGTTTAAATAGGCAAACTTGACAAGTGCAAGTCCCGATGCATTTTTTGCAAAAATGCAGGAAGAATACAAAATGAATCGGTTTCTTTCCGAAGAAAGCTTGCCTAAAACAGTCGAGGAAATCCGATCAAAAATTCGCGACTTGTCAAGTATTCTTGCAGAACCGGCAATGAGTGAATCGGATCTCACTGCAATTGAAAAAGAGATTTCCGAAACAAATTTAAGAATTGCTCAACTTGCTGAGCAAAAGATGACCAAAGCCAGGTAAGCATTGTTTTGAAGGTATATGCATAACTGGTTTCAGTAATATCAATGTATATTTAAAATTGAATGACCCAAAATTGTAGCACATCGGATGCAAACCTAGCCCTATTTAGACAGCAAGCAGCAATCATTTCTCGCAAAAAGGAAGGCGCAGTTCAACGCCTATCAGCACTAACGGCAGAGCTTGCTGTTCTCAATACGCAATGGGCATCTAAACAGGATCAAATTAAACAGTCATCAGGAACAAAAATGCTTAAAGGAGAAGATTTTAAGAGATATGTATCTGAGTTACGTGGCAAGTCTACCAACTTTAAACGCAAAAAGGCAGAGTTGTCCGAACTCATGGCAGAGTATGGCATTTTACAGCGTACTGGAGAGGTATATTGATTGTTTAAAATGATGTCGAGTTTAAATTGTTTTGAAATCAAGTATTTTAAATCCACTGATTGTTTAAATTTATTATAGTTGCTTCAAACCAAAGAAACAGCACTTCAAGATATGATTCATGCCATAGAACAAAAGCGCGGTGTTGTTGGGTTTCATGCAGCCCAGGAAACACTTGAAAAGGTGAAGCTATGATCATCAGTCGACTCATGCATACAAAACATACAATAAGGACGCTATGCTAACACTTTGAATGGGTTATTGGCATGCAGGTATCCGAGAAAAAGAGTGAGATTGATCAAGTTAAAGGTCGAACACTTGACGAGATATCAGAGATTATTCAAACGCTTTTAAACACAATCAATGTACGTTGGTGATTAGTTTTAAATATGCAATCAACAACCCAGTATTGATTAAAAGTGATATTTAAACTTTGGTGTATATATTTCAGGAGAAAAAAAACATGCTGGCGCCAGTAATTCAAGAACTGCGACAACTTCGCCAAGATGCCCAAGAGCTAGAAATAAACTATTTGGAGAAAAAACGAATTTATGATGCAACTCTTATTGGAGTTGAAAGGTAAATCTGGTCATTATAGTTGCAAGTATATTGGCCATGAGGTTCTAAGCGATTTAGTTTACAGTGAGACAACAAAGATGGATCAAGAGATGAAAGGAAACCGACAAGATATTATTAACGATCAGAGTCGATATCATTATATCAATTGTATGCATCAGCTAGCAGAGATATCACAGGATCGAGGTGATTTATTTTTGCTTGCATGATTTCACCATGTGTTCAGTATTTTGCAACTTTGCAGTAAATCTACGTTTTACTGATATTGCAATATCAATGTTATAGTGATGGCTGAAATGAAGTCATATATTGGCGGAGACGAGATGATTGAGCTTCAACAAAAGGCACGCGGATTCAAAACCTATCGTGAACATTATAACAAAAAGATTGTTGAGCATGAACATCACGTCAAGGCACTTCGAGAACAGCAGAAAAAAGTCAAGGTAATTTTTTTGATTTGAAGCTGTCTATATCAAAGAGATGGAAAATACAATAGTTTAAATGCCGATCATAAACTGATACCGAATTTAAATTACCTGGTGAACTTTAGGCTGAACATGAACCGAACATGAAGCAGATTGGTATGTTTGCGGATGTGTGCAAGCTGTTGGCACTTAAATATGAGCACAATAATCGGGTATTGAATGGTGAAGGCCAAGCCGAGACTGGCATCGTGACTATGGACAGACTCGTGCTTTAGTTGGCTTACTAATGGAATAAAACTGCACAATCTTTAATTGCTTGCAATTGTAAACTTGAGAATTGATGGCTTTGATAAGATGCCGAGATTGACTCGATGAACACCAGCTCACGTGATAGTACTTTATCCGCAACATTTACAACAGTCAACCAGCAGATTATTGACTTGCTGTTCAAAATGAATCGCAGATCATCTATGCTGGGCCGAATATCTGCATTGGCAGGACACATGAAGCCAGGCATGTATAGAGCTGAATTTGAAGCGGCAGAAAAAGTATTTTCATCTCGCTTCGTTAGCACTGTTTCTGGAAGTCTTCCAACTCAATCCAAAGCCATCGTTTACTCAAAACATGGCCCTCCAGAGCAAGTTTTAAGGTAATTGAACAGGTTCATTTTATTTCCAGATCAGTCTCAATTCATCGACTCAAATCCAATACTAACTATTTGCAATGAAACAATGCATTCATCTGCTCGTGGTATTAGTGTCAAGCATATTCCACTTGGTCCATTAGGTCCAAATAAAGTACTTGTCAAAATTCTTGCAGCATCAGTCAATCCGGCAGATATTAATGTGATTCAAGGTCGGTTTAATGTATTAATTTTCGACTTTCAATTGTGTTTGGGTCTAACAATATCTGGATTTAAACAGGCACATATCCAGTAAAAACATCATTTGTAAATGGCATTGATTTTGTTGGTGGAAATGAAGGTGTAGGCCAAGTGATTGCTGCTGGGGAAAATGTTCATACCGTATCACCTGGTGACTGGGTCCTTCCCATCACAAGAGCGATAGGATCTTGGCAGACATATGCAATTGCTGAATGCAACGATCTGCTCAATTTGGGACAGGTTGAAGGAGTTTCGCATGTTTCTGCAGCCACTATATCTGTCAATCCTCCAACTGGTAGGTGATGTGTTGATATCCGAATAGCTCGATCATTTATTAAGGATCCATTATGTTGTTGATACTGGATTTATTTGATAATGAAACAAAGCCTATCGCATGATCAAGGATTTTGCTCAGCTTCAGCCTGGTGATGTGATTATCCAAAATTCTGCCAATTCTGGGGTGGGACAAGCCGTTATTCAACTGGCCCATGCATGGGGATTCAAGACTGTGAATGTAGTTCGTAACAGGTATATGCTTTTTATCTGCATCCTACTTTGACATCACAAGATTTAACGCGTATGCACAACCAACTACCTTTCTAGACCTAATCTGGAAGTGCTAATTAAGCAGCTCAAAGACCTTGGTGCTGATATGGTGGTAACGGAAGAACAGCTACGTACTCCCGAAATCATGCGACAGATTGCTGCATTGGGACCAGCTCCAAAACTTGGATTAAATGGTGTTGGAGGGAAAAGCGCGACCAATGTGGCTCGCCTTCTTGGGTAAGTTCCTGATTTATTTTTGATTTAAAGTGTAGATTGGCTTACATGGCATAAAAGTAACCCTTTAAATGGCTATTGTATAGACGCCATGCTCATTTTGTAACCTATGGAGGCATGTCCAAAGAACCAGTGGCTTTGCCCACCTCGTTATTTATTTTCAAGGATATCAAGTGTTTTGGATTTTGGTTAAACGAATGGTTTGAACTGCATCCATTTTCGCAACGCAAGCAACTGTTTACAGAATTACTGGATCTTGTTCGACAAGGGAAATTAAAAGAGCCGACCCACGAGCTATTTTCGCTTTCAACAAAAACCGATGCAGAACTGACTTCAGCCATTGGTGCGTCGTTGAGTGGGTTCCTTAACGGAAAATTGGTCCTTGTTCCTTGAGTTATTTCTACAGCTGGGACAAGTGCACTGCTATTCGTTTGATGTTTCACCAAAATGAAGAAACCCACTACATGTACCAATAAACTTGACATTGATAAAAGCAGTATGTAAAGGAAAAACAAGAGTTTATTTAACCTTATGAACTCCAGTAGGAGTCTAGAATATCACGTTCTTTTGCACGCATATGTGAGTCGGCAGTCTTGGGTAAATGGGATACAGACAAGCGAGTTGTTCGCAAAGCGCTTGCAAGCGCAATATTGATGCGATTTCTTTGAGGATCGGCATACTCTTGCTCTGGCATAAAATTGTAGGAGGATTCCTGGAACGATAAACGTGGCAAAACGGAGTTGATTTCATCTTTTGCAGCTCTGCCTTGCTCTTTTGAATACAATGACCTAGCAGATTGACCAGGTTGTCCTTGATCAAAATAGTCTAATTTCTGACCTGTCGAGTTTTCAATAAATAGTCTTTGGGCATTCAATGCCTGTTGTAGCTCGAGGTTGCTGGGCTCGCTGCGACCAGAAATGAGATTCCGCTGTGATGAATAAGATAGATCACTCCTACTGTGTGATTTTAAATTTGAAATGGAGAGATTGGATAGCGGATAGTCAAAAGTAGAGGCAGATTTGGATTTTAAACCGATCGAGTGCTTTCGTGTTGGAATGCTCAAGGGCATCTTTGGAGCAATGTAGGTTTCATTTTCGGTTGCAACAGCAATGACCATGGAGTTTTGCTGGGGTAATTGCCAGGGGGGAATTCTGGACTTGCTGGTGCTGTTGTATCTTGTGAGAGTGTTTTGGCGTTCCAGTAGAATGTTTGTACTTTTTGATGGAAAATAATTGTCATTGTGAATAACACCTTGAACGGTTAGCTGGCTAGATTGAGATAAATGGCGTTGTTGATCTCTTGTTGTAGGTTTGGAAGCAGACTGCTGCTGGGATGAACTCGAATACTTTCGACTGGACTTGAGGCGTCGGGAATGAACGGACATGACAGTCGTAATCATTATCCCAGCAAAAACCACACAGGTTAGGATAAGAGTACACACCAAGAAAGCGGAGGGTATGTTATAAGGAAATGGGTGGGGAGAGCCCAACAAAGCATATGGATTGGCGTGGGTTTGAGGAGTAGCATGTGTGGTGATTGGGGCAGGCGCAATGACAATATGATTGACAGAGAGATTATCAATAATTCGAGAAAAATCAAGTGGCATTATGCCTATGGTCGATTTAGTAGTACTGCAGATAGATTTACACGGAGAGTTGAAGAATAAAAGTAATCAAAGCCTGCATAAGAGTTGGAACTTTGATTCTATATTATTACAGCCGTATTCACGTAAAATGGAGCATTAAATAAGGGTACCAAATTGCATAATAAATAGCCGGTCTGAAATAATTTCCACAAATTTACTGGACAGCGTTGTGTTTTCTGAACTCATTGACAAAATTTACCACTCTTTTTCCATCTGTTCACTTTGTATAAAAAACTGAACGAATGTTCAAAACAGCGTTTACTACAGTTTCAGTATATGCCACATCCTTGACACCTGTTCAATCTCCAACTCTCTGAATAAGCATCTCAGGAATGCGACTATACATGTCAATCACAGTATTCATTTGTAATACTCAATCCTGTTTTCTTGAACTAGAACATATCTAAAAATTTCAAATGGGTTTGATTAACATCAAAACAGGCGAACCCAATATCTGGATTTGAAAGAGTCTGATGATTGTAAAATGTATGGTTATGTAAAAAAAGGAGAAAGACAATCCCAGTTCAAAACTAGCAATGTTGTGTTTAGAACAAAAATTGAAAAATGTATTGATCCAGCAATGTAGTTCATCTCAATCAATGATACGCAACGAGTGGTTGACTGCTATTGACTCCGAAACAAAATAGTGGCAATCATTACAAGATAGTGTTCCACTACGTGAATATGATTATAATTGACGGGTCGCGTCTTGGGATTGAAGATTCAACAACACACAATCATGCTTCGAGAGTATGAGATGGAGTGTTTTCTAGATGACTTAGCTGGACTAGTAGAACAGACTACGAATAGTATCAGAGACAACCTACTGTGGATCTTGATAAATATGAAGCACCACACGTGATGGCCCGACTGAGAGCGACTTCAAATCAACGAGCTTTGTTTTGTTTTCCTTTGTTCACAACTACTGATTTATTTGGTCTGTCATGGCTGGTGAGTTGCTTTGAGGCTGCATCTACTTGATAACAACTTGCTACTAGATTGACAGCGCATTCATTCCCACCACCTGTTGAAAATAAGAGTACATTACTAGAGTGGAGTCGAGTCAATCCTCGACCACTCAACAGCCACATTGAATCTATCAAGTGTAGAGCAAGAATCAGACTACCAAATGGACTGTTGATGTCATTCTTGCATAGCACTTGTGTGCTGTTCCTATTGTTACCAAACTAGTGCCATAGACTAACTGTTTTCATTCCTGTTGCTGTAATGCCATCAATGTCGCTCAAACACCTGTTTTCCATCGGAATGACTTGAACACATCTTCCCTGTCTGCCAATACAACTACGACGCTCATCTTGCCTGGTACCAACATCTCAGACATAGCTAATGTAATACTCTTGGCCTGATAGTCACTTTCAATTTGCATGTATTTCCTTTTTTATATCAAATGCCAGCTTCATTGTTTATCCTGTCAAGGTTGGCATGGTGACTTTGCCTGGCTGCAGTCTGGAGAAACCCTCCTTGCACACTGGTTCATCTTTATCAGGAGTTTGGTTGCTTTGATCTAGGGAGCAGTGCAGACTAGCAAATACTTGCTGTCGCTACAACTGCATTCGTTTCCATTGCACGCCACATTTGGTTGCCTGCCGCATGCACTAAATAAAATGGAGTGCCAGCAAGCCCCGTGTATGTGGTGGTCCATTTGTAGGTTAGAGTCTAGTTGTACAGATTCATGATCACTTGCAATCCATACGTACTAAAACTCCCACTTGCTGGTAGTTGACTATCCAATGGCTCCTACTCCCATAATCCTACCTCCTTAGCATCTCGTCTGTTTGATTCAGTAACTCATTTAATTTATCATGTCCATTTTTCTATTTGTATGTTTTTTCATCATGTTTTGTACGCACATAGATTCCGGTTATCAAGAAAAAGCTCAGTGCTTTTGTGGGCTTCCACAATCTACCCCAGCAGTTCCATCGCAAGGCTCTTAAAAAGGGGTTTCAATTCACTCTTATGGTTGTCGGTAAGTACAAATGTAATTGCAATAGTGCCATCATGTTTATACTCATCACTTGAATGCTTTATAGGCGAGTCGGGACTTGGCAAGTCAACTCTTGTCAATACACTTTTTGGAACCATTCTCTACCCACTCAAAGAAGCCCGTGAACCTTCCCCCGATACTCCAAAAACCGTCGAGGTCCAGTCCATCAGTGCTGGTGAGTTTCAACCATTGGTTGCTTTTATTGTAATTTTCTCACTTATGACGATGCATCGTTTAATTTTGATTCGTATATATTCTTTATAGATCTCGAGGAAAATGGGGTCAAGCTTAAGTTGACATGCATTGATACACCTGGCTTTGGTGACTTTGTTAACAACGAGGAAAGCTGGCGTCCGATTCTCGAAAATATAGAGGCTAGATTCGATGCTTTCCTTGAGCAGGAAAACCGTGTAAATCGTAAGCGTATTATTGACACCCGTGTCCACGCCTGTCTGTATTTCATTGCCCCTACTGGGCACAGTCTTAAGCCTTTGGACATTGAGTTTATGAAAAGACTCGCTGGTCGTGTCAACTTGATCCCTGTCATTGCCAAATCAGACACTCTTACCGAGGAGGAAATTAAAGCTTTCAAGGCTCGTGTAAGTGGTCATTTGTTTTAAACTAGCATTCCTCCATGTATATTCAATACATGTAGCCCATTAGAGTCCTTGGTCTAATTACTATTTATCCTACATGTATAGATTCTTGAAGATATTGCATTCCACAACATTTCCATTTACCAACCACCAACCCATGAGATTGATGATCCTGAAACCATTCAGGAAAATTTGGAAATCATTTCGAAAATCCCATTCGCTGTAGTGGGTTCCGATAAGGAGGTTGAAGTTGCTGGAAAAAAGATTCGTGGACGCAAGTATCCATGGGGTATCATCGAAGTGGACAATGAAACCCATTGTGATTTTGTCAAACTTCGTCAAATGCTTATTCGCACTCATATGGAAGAACTCAAGGAAAATACAAATGAGGTGCTTTACGAACATTACCGTATGCAAAAGCTGGCTGAAGTTGGACCTCTTGACAACGTCGAGTCTGGAGTGTAAGTTGCAACTATTACTGTTTTATGGTCTTTGTCGACTACGCTTGGCTGTTGATTTTCAACTAATGGTTTATATGGATTATTGTTACTATAGTTCACCATTGTCCAAGTTTGAGCAGGAGCGTCTTGCACATGAGCAAAAAATGGCCAAGATGGAGGCAGAAATGAAGGCAGTCTTTCAACAAAAGGTTGCTGAAAAGGAAGCTAAGCTCAAGCAATCCGAAGATGAAGTAAGTTGACTTTTACACACTTTCTGTTACAACGATGTTGTGTCTGGGTCCATCGCATTATACAGTCATTTAACTCTTGCCCTGTACCATTAATTTAGCTTTATGCACGTCATCGTGAAATGAAGGAACAACTGGAGCGCCAGCGTATTGAACTTGATGATCGCAAAAAGAGCATCCTCACTGGACGTCCCATGACTCCTGACAAGGCAAAAAAGAGCAAGGGACTGTTTAAATAATAGGTCACTGGCACGCAATTTATTTTATCACTCATCTTGTCCATCTTCCCCTTACTATTAGTCTTGTCCTTGAACCTTCCACATTCACTTCTCTATAGCAGCGCTTAACCTCTTTTTCGACTATCAACAATAAAAACTATAAGATCGCTCGGTCCCTTTTATGTTATTTTTAGCAATAATTTATTTTTATTTTGGTAGACCTGATACCTAGGTATCTGTGTCGATTAAATACTATAGCTTAGATTGGTCAAAAACGCTTGACAGCCGAGATCAAGCAAAAAAGCATGGTTTAGGGACAATATAACCGAGTTTTGCAATCCACAATAGGTCATGACTGCATGCAATGATCAATTTCCAAGTACATTGCTCTATCGATTTAACATGGCAATACAACAACCAATAGCTCAACACCAGTTTTATACTTTGACGTGACCAAGAATAGGACGAGTTTACATGACTTTCAGCCTGATACTGTAGCCAAACGAATATAATGCAGACAACGATTCAAAAAGATATAGATTTATATTACAGAAGAAAAGCTTGGCGATATTGTCAACTATCAGCTTAGTTCTGTATCAACGCTAGTATCGTTTATATCAGTGGGGCGTTCGTGTGTACCTGCAATATTTTTACGTGTATCCAATTCCTCAATCCCATCGCGGTCTGTCTTGGATACAGCATTTATAGATGGTGTGTGAGTAGTTCTACTTTGATTTTCAATTGGCTCGTTTTTAGGTGCTGGATGTGAATGCTGGGAAGAGGATGAATGAATGTTATTTGATGTGGTTTGACTTTCCATCACTTCCGATTTATCCGATACTTGTGGGACATGATTTGTCTTTTTGTGGTTTAATGCCGTCGATGTTATATCATTGGAAGAATTGTCGACTATTAGGGGCTGAGATGGGTGATTGACCATTGGAGACTGAGATGGATGATTGACCATTGGAGACTGAGATGGATGATTGATCATTGGGGACTGAGATGGGTGATTGACCATTGGAGACTGAGATGGGTGATTGACCATTGGAGACTGAGATGGGTGATTGACCATTGGAGACTGAGATGGATGTTGTAATGATGAAGTAATGGGTGCCTGAGGGACTTCTGAGACGGAAACTTGTGGAGCTATGAACTTGTTTTGTGAAGATGGAGTGATGATGAACGGAGTTTGATTGTCAGAAGTTATTGATTGAGTGATTGTCTGGTGTGCTACTTGAGTATTGGATGATGATCGAGTATTGGATGATGATTGACTATTGGATGATAGTGGATGAACGGGTGATGGTTGACTAATAGCTTTTACCTGCGATTCGTCAGTGGGAGATGCTATAAATTTAGATGCAGGTCTAATTGCAGGTATAACTGTCGATGTTTTGAATTCAGCTTCTAGTGATTTGATTTTACTTTTTGATGGTTTGGGTTTAGCAACTGGTGGTGGTGGAGGATCATCATCAGCAGCAGTATCAAACATAGGCTTGAATTCTTTTGAAGTTTTATCAGCATCTTTACCATCATCTTTAACACCACTGACGTTATCCAGTGGGTTCGATCCAGTGCCAGCATTTAAACTAGACTGTTTTTGGGCTTTTGATACGCGATTAAAAAAGTTGGTGACGGGTTGAAATGCAGCCTTAATCTTGTTTCCCAAATCAGTGAAAACATTTCGTTTCTCCAGCACGACATACTCCAGGCCATTGCCATTATCGTAAACGGGGAGAGCCGTGACAAGTGATGTTTGATAAAACATAAATATCCACAGAATGAGACTCTGTACTCTCATTGGTAATCGACTCGGTTGTGGCCAATGGCTAAATAATGATTAAAAACTGCTAAAGTAGACTTGCGGTAAAGAAATAATCATATATAATTTTCTATTCAACCCAGTACTTGTTTATGGCCATAAAGGGGAAATCCCGTAGCTATATGGCATACAACGGACACAGAGAATGCACCTATCTCGGTGAAAATATAGAATATAGCGTGCAATCCAGTGAAGCACCAAGCATGACACAAGAAGCACATCGTGTTATCTAATGGCTTTATGCCGCATTCTCAGCCTTATTCTCACAGTAGCAGCCTTGGGACTTGGTGCACCGGATGCTGGATCATCCCACTGATTAGCAATACGACTCAATTCACTCCATCTGACGTTACTGGGCTTCTATATTCAGGACACTGCAATCCTACACCAAACATGGCTAGTGTAATAGTTCATGCATTGTAGTTCAACTGGTAGTCAACCAAATGCTTGGTATGGCTATCTGAATAACGGCCTGAATATCATGTCATTTCACTTCAAGTGTAGCGTTTAATCACCCATTGATTTTTCAATTAAGCTCATAGCAAATGTTATGATAATTTATTTCTTTGATGGTAGTCCAGGACATTCATATACCATTACCGTATTCACGTAAAGCAGAGCACTATATAAGATGTATAATAAACTGCCAGTTTCATGGAATGATTGGTGTCAGTGTACTGGACAAGATTATTTTTAAACTCTTTAATTGACTAGTTCCTGGTGATTGGCATGGAAACAGCTGTTGCATTACTGAGGTGCGATCATTGTTTTCTTGGCTAGGACACGAACGCATTGATATTTTGGGATACAAGAGTTTGTGCAGATTTGGATTGATAATGATTGAATCTAATATATGGATTCCAATAGATGAATCTGTTGATCGTACAATATGACCATGTCAAATGGGCAGAAAGGGCACGCTCCAAACTATAGTTTGTGTGAGCATCATATGGTGGTCGCTGTGTCTGAAGAATTGAAAATGTCAATTCGTAGTAGGAAACCCAGCGAACATTAGCCATCGTTTATTACAAACCAAATAGAAGTAGCTTGCAAGATAAATACGAAAATATTTTATTTTACGTGAATACGGTTGTAAATAGTTGAGTGGAAGTAATAGATAAGGCTAAGTAGAGAATTACTGGGTTGTTTGATTTCAAAAAATATTATATATCTATTCATCAGACGCTTTGCCATAGCCAATCATTTATCATTGTGGTTGTTAGTGTTGTCGTCATTACGTTTTTGATTTGATGATCCGAATTGGTCAGTATAGGCACTCGAGATAGTGCCGCGACCCACTTTACATAGAAAACTCGGCTGAATCTGGACCTGGATCTTGTACTGGTTTCGGGGTTGATTCTTCCTGTTGTTGTACTGGATCTTGTACTGGTTTTGGAGTTGATTCTTCCTGTTGTTGTACTGGATCTTGTACTGGTTTCGGGGTTGATTCTTCCTGTTGTACTGGATCTTGTTCTTGTTCTGGTTTTGGTTTTGGCTTTTGTTCTGGTTTTGATTCTTGTTCTGGCTTTTGTTCTGGTTTTGGGGTTGATTCTTCTGGATCTTGTTCTGGTTTTGATTCTGGTTTTTGTTCTTGTTCTGGTTTTGATTCTGGGTTTACTGGAGATTTCACTGGAACGACGATCAATGGCGGACCTGCAATTGATGGACCAACTTTGAAACCAAAAATATTCATTGGTGTATTATCAGTTGGCCTTTGTTCTCCCCACCCAGCCATCTTTTCCTTAAGCTTCTGTCGTTGCTCATCAGTAGGATCAGTTCCTTTAGATTGAAATAGGGATGCAAAACCGCCTATACCGCCCATACCACCAAACCCACCGGTTGTTGACGTACTGCCTATTCCATTTAATAAAGCACTTGGGTCCAAGCTTCTTTTGAAAATCAGTTGGTCGTCGTTATCAGGAATTGGCTTTTGGCGTGGAATTGGGAGAGCCTGAATCTGAACTTGCATGTGTAAAAAAAGCATTGATAGAACTGACCAAGATAGGATCATTGTAAACAGCTTAAAATGAAGAGTTTCTTTGTAGCAATTCCAAGTTGATGTATGACTTGATTCAATTTATCTATTTCTAGTTTGTGATTTTTTGAGAGCACAGTATGGAGTTGTAATGGATGCTTGAAAACTAGTTAATGTGATTTTTATGCTCTAGTGAATCGAGTGGCGTGTTTGTCCAACACCAGTTGGCACAGGCAGTCATACACTAGAATACCTATTAGAATCAGAATGCACAACATGTCTTTCAATAGCTAGATAGATTGCATTCGAGCACTGATTGAGACTATTGGTATGGAGCTAGCTACTACTTTGGTTAGTACTTCAACTTTAATCACGAATGATTGAAGAAATAAACACATTGAAAGTAGCATTTGGCAAGCTGTATCGAAATAATCGATTGGCGGATGGAAAATCCATTCGGGTAACAGGTGCCGAAACAATTAAGCTTATCTCTTATGGCACATCGAGTCAAGATCATTTCTATCAAAACTTGATAAAATAAATTGAAAACACATACAATTGTAGTAGACATATTAGATGTCTAATAATAATAATTTATTTGAATAAATATCGAAATATTGTTATAGAATAATGTAACTAATAGCCTTCGCCAGGTAATGGCATACTTAGATCTGGACCACCTCCCATATAATATGATCGAGGAATGCATTTAAGATGTGGCATAGAAGTCATTGAAGAAAGACTGAGATCTGAGGGTCCTGGTCCCATCATTGGTCCCATATCTGGCCCCATCGGTCCTGGCCCCATTGGCCCCATATCCGGTCCCATCGGTCCTGGTCCCATTGGCCCCATATCCGGCCCCATTGGCCCCATATCTGGTCCCATCGGTCCTGGTCCCATTGGTCCCATATCCGGCCCCATTGGTCCCATATCCGGCCCCATTGGCCCCATCGGTCCCATCATTTGTCCAGTTGGGAAGCCTTCTGATCCTGGTATAACTTTAAGCTCTCCTAATCCATCCTTTTCCAATTGCTTGTTTAGATCGATTTGATTTTTTATCAAATCATACTTGGACTGGTCGGCTTTGCGATTGTATCTGTCGTTTCTCCATTTGTTAAACTTAAGCTTTTGTTCCTCCCACCAAAGTGCAATTCCGCGCTTTTGCAAGAATGGCATGGCATCTAAAGTAGCACCGGTGTCCCCATATACAGAGCGAGTGTAAAGATAAACTTGGTTTTCGTCATTATAAGGCATAGGAAATGCAAGCACGCCTACTGAAATAACTGAATAAAAAATAAATAAAAAAAGAGCCAATGGTCGCATTATTGTAATGGTGCTCGAGTACTAAAACAGAAATGAAATGCAAGTAATGTGCTCTATTTTGTGTATGGACTTGTGTCTAGTCGGGATAAAGTTTAATTCACTTTGAAAAGGGCGACCACCAGCTTATATGTAAGCAAGCTAATGGTGATTCGCAAGATTGTGTATTGTGAGTTGTCACGCGATTCCTAGCCCAAAAATGCTGTGTAACCAAACGCTTGGTGAATGCCATACAATGGTTTTGATGGGTTACACAAACTATCCAAGGAGACTCTGCTGTATTCTAAATGTTTGTACGTTTAGACTTTAAAAAACTCGTCTACACGAAACACGATGAGATGATAAGCATTGCCAACCTAGTCCGCAGTTTTGCATCGACAAGGTCTAAGCCGCTATCAAAGTGCTGGGGCCTACTGGCATCTCAGTCTTTTAGATCCATTATTTACATGATTGAGATAACTGAACCAATAAAGCATCTAGTCATGACAATGGATGGCTGATTTCATTGAAAAGCATATGATATAAAGTGCATTGGGATGATAGAATGTAGTACTGATGCAATCCACTGCTAGACTGCTGCACTCAAAACCTCGGTACTTTAAACATGGTTTAAAATGCTCAAGTTGTTGCTATTCAACTATTCACCGCATCTTGGTAAAAAACTGAATACGCTCACCATGCATGATGGACAAATCACAAAATATTGAATCTAATGTTGCATGCTTACTGCAGTTTTATATCTCAACCTACAACAATAATTTCATATTGATTACGGCTGGTGATAAAGGGCATGAACACGGAGGAAGAGTGATGGCAGGAGTTGGATGTTCACATTTACCTTGATTATTCAACTTTCAATAACTTGCAAAAATATCTCCTCAATCAACAATCCCTTCATGATCACAACTACTCATATTCTATTTATAACTGCATTTGATGTATGTAGTGATAATAGTTTATTGTGCATAATATCAGTTTAAATACTGGTAGCTCGACAATGATGAACGCTTAGTCTTTAGTTGGTCATGTAAAATCACATTTAATACTTCAAGTACTTGTTGCTCAAATTCCTCGCTACCCAGTATATCTGCCCACTTGTTCCCGCACTAGATTTTTATTACTATTGTATGATGCTGTATTGAATATCATTGATAACGACTCGACCAACTGCTATAGATAATCAAAGCCAATGGTAGATTTTAAGATTTACTTTTTCGATTAGTTTTAGATTAATCCGAGTCTGCGTCATCATCCTTTTTTGTAGTTGATCTAGAACGAAAGCGACGTCTACTTGGTCGTTTTGGCGCCGAGTGTTTAGCTGAAGTACTCGCGTTATTGTTCTTGATAGATTTATTTTTAGTCGAGCCAGTCGATTTCGTGGTATTCTTTAGCTTGTTCATCTTTTTCATTGCTGGTTTTCTCTGTAGCACAGGTGTCTTTTTGCGAGGTCCGAGTTTAGTCAAAATACTGCGTCTACCCGAGTTTGGCACTCCAGGTTTGCCTTTTTTTGGAACCACAAGTTTTTTAAAAAAATTGCCGAAAGTTTTGAAGTTTATCTGACGAGAATACAGCTGGACGTAAGTGCTGTCATCCGTTTTTCTATGTGGTATGACGAGTGATTGGACTGATGCTGCAGAGGCTATGATGAACGGCACTACTGATTTGATTTTCATTGTAAATTGACTACTTTAATATAAACTGAGTTGGTACTTCCTTGTCGAGCTACACTAGTGAAGAGTATAACAGATAAAGTCCTGATGCAAAAACTTGAAGTTGGTAAATTACCAATCTATTTATAGCTAAAAGTGTAACTTGGTGTAGACCAGATAGTGAACAAAATAAACGGGCATCATCTCATTAAATATAAAAAGTTCCAAAAGCAATTATACTTGATATTTGAGAATGATCAGCACAAGTTTCACAAAAATGTACCAGTTAGAGGCACCATTGTGATTATGGCTGAGCACAAGCCACACCAGCACAGATAAATATGTCGAGTTTATCAAAGATTTTACTTTTAAAATCACTAGAACAGGATAGTCTGCCGACTTTCCCATGCAATCTCGGCTGTCGTTCCGAGCCAGTCTACACAAACTCCACCATACTTCATATTGGCCATAATTGAAGACCAAAATGTTTTATTGAAACACGGCTATGAACAAGAATATTTAGCAAAATTACAACACTGACTCCAATGTCGCGAATAGATTATACTGTGGTTTGAGCTGGTGCAGTCTGAGCTGGTGCAGTTTGAGAAGCAGTTGATACATCGATAGTGGTAGTTGTGGCAGATCCACCGTTTCCACCATTTCCACCGTTTCCGCCATTTCCAGTCTTCTTTCCTTTCTTGCCCTTCATTCCTTTGCGGCCCTTCTTTCCTTTCTTGCCTTTCATGCCTTTCTTGCCCTTCTTTCCTTTGCCTTTCATGCCTTTTTTGCCCTTCTTTCCTTTCTTGCCTTTCCTGCCTTTTTTACCTTTTCCCTTTTTGCCCATTCCTCCCTTCTTTTTTGGTGGAGCAGGCGCGGTAGCAGTAGTGGTAGCAGCAACGGTGGTTGTAGTGGCAGCATCGGTAGTTATGACGACCGTAGCAGCTTCAGTGATTGTGGCAATGGTAGCAATAGTAGCAACTTCGGTCACTGTGGCAACGGTAGCGACAGTGACATCTCCTGCACCCATTGGTGCATTGCGTTTCCAAAGTTTGGAATCCTCTTCATCACGGTTGTCAGCATGGGGCATAACAAATGCACTGGCTGCAAGTGAGAGGAGTGAGAGAGCGGAGAAAATAGCAAACTTCATGTTGAATTAAAATAGAAAATTGACAGAGTAATAAACAGTGGTGATCTCGAAAAGATTATGATTTGAATCAAATTGGATTGAGCTGATGAGGATTAGATTGGAGTCCAGGGAGGGTGTTTTTATACTCGGTCAGTCTCAAGGTCGTGCCAAAAGATATTGCATTGCGTCAGATGTGAATGACGTATTGAAGCTGACTATTTCCTGGGCTCTGCAATTGCTTTATCAAGGCGCGCATAATGTGTGGCGTGTATGGTTGCGCTTCGAGCCATTGACAAGACAACAGTCGCATTAAATTTGCGGCCTTGTTAGAATTCAGTACAAGTTCCTTTGAATAAAATTACAAATCCAGACAGTAAAACTGTAAAGTGACGCCAAGTTTAAATTAAACGAAACAATTTGGTACACTATTAGCGCTTTCCACCTGATATGAATCAGATTTGTTAGCCTTACTGTTTTGTTTGTTATACAGTCATTCTCATGTAAATTGTGTCACAAAGAGTTGAATAGACATTCAAAACAGCTCTTGCAACAGTTTCAGTACATTTCACATTTCTGACACTTGCTCAACGCTCCTTTCATCCAAACCAAACATTGTGATTCTCATGAAAGCAACAACTGCATTCCCGAGATGTGTAATCTTTTTTAAACTATAACACAAACGTATCTGATTTTAGAATACAACAAAGAGTTGGTACAAAGCTTTATTGATAACATCAAAACAGTCAACCCAACATCTGAATTGCAATGAGTGAATCTGATTTCAAACAGAGATTGTACAATACTCAGTTCAAACTATAGTCCGTGCGTATAGTATGATAGGTATTGTGTTTGGAACAAGAGTTGAGGACGTCAATTGAAGAGGCAGTGTAGTCAATCTCTAGTAGGAAGGCGCGATGAGTGGTCAACCATTGCTTATTGCAGAACAAAATAGGGGCAATCACTGTAAGATAGATACAAAGTGTTACAGTTTACATGAATGGCAGTGAATGTGTAAGCATTAAACTAGTTGTAATAAAGCTGAAAACAGCCAAACGATAAAAATGTCTCAGCTATAGAGATCTGATTGGCGATTGCTTTCAAGCTACTAAAAAGCAATGTTACACCTTTATTATTGTGTTCATAAATAAAGTACAACTCAATTTGACGTTTTATTTGTCCGTTTCATCCACACTTGTAATGAGTTTTGCTTTGTGTTATGAAACAATTTACTTGATACCAAATGTTTGTGTTTGATCATTACGATCGTAAAACACTAATTCAAATTTGTTTGCATAAAATTATGTTACATGTGCACCAGTCACAGCTAGCAACAATGTGGATGAAAATAAAGATAAATGACAAATTGCAATGATCACGATTAGTGTGTACCTTGTGTTTGAAATGCTTGCATACAATTCACTTGCATCAAAATGTAGTCGGGTTTATTCCGATAAATATTGGTGGATTGCTCATCTATTGTGTCTCTTGTACTGTGGCGATAATCTGACTTGTTGACACAACCAGTGTGTTGAGCGATCTACTATTCCTGTCGACTCGATTAGGACGTCACACATTTGGTCTAGTGGCGACTGCTCGCTGATCTTGGTGTTGGTCTTGTTTTGACACGAGAGCCTTGACGCTCCACCTGTAGAGTACGCTAACCTGAAACAATTGCAATTTTACAACGGAGTTCATGTTTCCGAAAGGCTGCAGCCTGCTTGATGCCATCAGAATTTTTCCAGAACATGGCGGAATTGAACTGTCAGAATACAAACATTTTCACCATGTTTTCATTCCAGTGTTGCCAGCTGACTCGAACCATTTATGTAAAGCCGTTCGTTTCACACTATTGTTTGGATCTGGTCTCCCCAACACTCACAGATCTCACTCAAAGCAAACATTTTCAAAGGATATTTAAAAATAAACTTTATTTACACCTATCTTGTAAGTGGAATTTACTGCTAGTACTGATAATAAAAACAAAAATTGATACATGGAAGGTCAATCCAGTTTAGTCAACCTCATTAATACGAGGGAATATTAGATGCATCACGAACTTGTGGATACATGGGGTTTGGGACTGGACCTGCAGGATATGGAATAGAGTCGGGCATTGGAAGTGGTACATTAGTAGCACAAGGAGTGTTTTGTGCAACTGGCGCGACGGTAGTTGTAGTGCATGGAGTAGTCATTGGAGGAGGAGGTGGTGGGACTGTAGTAACAATAACTGGCGCGACGGTAGTCGTAGTGCATGGAGTAGTCATTGGAGGAGGAGGTGGTGGGACTGTAGTAACAATAACTGGCGCGACGGTAGTTGTAGTGCATGGAGTAGTCATTGGAGGAGGAGGTGGTGGGACTGTAGTAACAATAACTGGCGCGACGGTAGTCGTAGTGCATGGAGTAGTCATTGGAGGAGGAGGTGGTGGTGGGACTGTGGTAACAATAACTGGCGCGACGGTAGTCGTAGTGCATGGAGTAGTCATTGGAGGAGGAGGTGGTGGGACTGTGACAACGATGACTGGCGCGACGGTAGTCGTAGTGCATGGAGTAGTCATTGGAGGAGGTGGTGGTGGGACTGTGGTAACAATAACTGGCGCGACGGTAGTCGTAGTGCATGGAGTAGTCATTGGAGGAGGAGGTGGTGGGACTGTGACAACGATGACTGGCGCGACGGTAGTTGTAGTGCATGGAGTAGTCATTGGAGGAGGTGGTGGTGGTGGGACTGTGGTAACAATGACTGGCGCGACGGTAGTCGTAGTGCATGGAGTAGTAATTGGCGCGACGGTAGTTGTGGTGCATGGAGTAGTAATTGGCGCGACGGTAGTTGTGGTTGTGGTGGTTGTGGTCGTGGTAGTAATATGCTTACCATGATTGCCCATACCTTTGTTGCCCATACCATGATTGCCCATACGTTTTTTGCCCATACCATGATTGCCCATACGTTTGTGACTCATGTGACGAGAACGGTGTCGTTTCTCAAGTATATGATCATTCTCAAGAGGCAAAGAGGATTCGAGATTTGATACAGTGCTCTCTGAAACAGAATCCTCTGAAACTGGATAGCTACGAGCGTCAAGGTGATTGTCGTAGTTGTTGACAGGTAGACGAAGAGCCATTGAGCCAGCAATAGATGCAGCCAACATCATGACGATTGCTGAGAATGAACGTATTTGCATAGTTGATATAAATCGATATTATAAACAGTATATAAATGACTAGAATGATATAGACACAATAAAAGCTACAGAAACAGAATACTGCTGTTGACTATGGGTACAGGGAAAGAAGTAGATGAAATCGAATACTTGGAATGAATAAATTTCAGGTGATATTGGGACGGTTAAATAGGGTTGACAGTCGTAGGACGCATTAAAGCAAACGTGATGGGTTTGCTTGTTTCTTATTCATTTGATGATGCTTTGGATCTGGCTTTTGCATTTGTCCATCATTTGAAACTATAACAACGCCACCAATGGATTCAATTGCCGTGCCAATATGAAGTCATACCGAATATAATATTCAAGACACGCTAAAATGAAATTTGAATTTTGTAGCAAAACCATTTATTGTTGGTTAAACTGTGGCGACTTGGTTGAAATTGAAATGTGGCACGCCTATAATGGGGTTTCTGAGGCATGCTACACATTTCATCTCAAAGCTTGTAAAAATAAATGCTCTAAATGAGTTACAGGTTAAAGCTATGCCGAATTTTCCCACTACAAACAAATCATGAAACCACCAAATTCAATGCAATAAACAGGATTGCCAACCAAAAGTACTCTATAATATGTACAAGATGGTGTAAAATGGCAACTCAATCTCATATTACAACATGAAAAGTTGCTGTATGTTCACTAAATACTTGAATCTGCTTTCGTGGACTATCGATAAACCTTGGCTAATAAAAAGCATTGATCAAAGCCTTGCAAGTCAAGTCTTGTCATTACAGATACTCTCAGTCATGATACATTTAAGATCAAACAAGAGTGATTCTTGCTTTTCCATCTGATACAAAAGCTATTGTTCCAGTGGACACTCTAATGGTATTGACATTGTTGAACCATTCACATCCAACCAAAGTTAATGGTGGCTTGCAATTCCAGCTACGTCATGCTTCAATACACCAATGTGATTTGGAACTCGCGCGCTAATGTTTTTAAAACCGATCCATGCCTGATCCCGCAAAAAGCCAACTCGACATGCCATGAATTGTACAATGTTGTTTACACATCACAAACATTCAGCTGGAATTTAACAGATCGATGCTGTCATGGTATGCATAATAGTGTTCTTACAAAAAAACCATGAATCAATCATTCATTATGTATACAGTATGTTTATTGAGAATTGGTTTTTGTAGAGTTTGCCGACGAAGACGATGCTGATTCTGCCTTGAATATCTTTTCTGCCCATTCTTGCCATTTTTGCACAAATTGATTGGCTACATGTAGAGGATATCCAGATATAACTTGTGTGCTAAACTGCTTGGCCAAATTCATACTGTGACCATTTGCCCACATTTGAAAGTATTGAACAAAGAATTGCTGCTGAGGTCTAAGGATCCGTTGAAAATATGCTAACGCTAATTATTTAATGTTCCAAAAAACGTCAGTATCTTGATAAAAAATCAAATGCATGTGTATCTGACATGAGAAAGCTTACTTGATTCTGGATCTACTTTCTTTGCCATAATGTGTGATTTCTCTGGTTCAGGTTTGATGTCTTGTTGCCTTTGACGGTGTTGCTCGAGAGACTCTCGATGTTGCTGTTGTATACGATCGGTATTCCCATTTTTCAATAAATTTTGCATTCTAGGCGGTAACTGTAGATACAACGAACCTCGCTCTATATCCAGTTTCAATAAACGCAGTTGGTCTTGTCGGGTTCGCTCTGCCTCCAACTGAGGCTTTACAAACTGGATATATTTGCCATACTTGTCCTGATCGATATCACCAATCTTTCCTGGAGAATTTGTATCATATGCCGGACTTTGGCTAATATCAAGAACAACTCTTTGCACAGAATCAGAGTCGAGGATAGATTTATCTGCAGTGGATTGTTCACTAAGCGCTCTCTTGATGGAATCAAAGTTTAACTGGTCCTTTGACAAGATCACCTCAAGCTCTTGTGGTGGTTTCTAGTGGTTAGAATATAGTATTTACGATTGATGGACATTTAGAATACAGTGTTGGTTGATTAGAACGGTGGGTTATTCATGGCAATAATTCCTGTGCAATCTTCACAAGATTCCTCTCGTGCCAACCATCCATGCTATAGACGATTGGTCTATACAGTGATGAAATGGCGCATAAACAGCAATCCAAAACTATACTGACCTTTCCAGAGTCTGGCATCCATCCATTGTCCTTGAAACAGGCCAAAGTAGGGAGCCTAGCAGCCGTGGCTACATATCTATTCAATTGCTGCATTTGAAAGTCCTGCAGTTGACTACAGACCAAATGAGGTTGTTTCTGCTGCTTCATTAGCTCCATTTTATGGTCGTGGTCAAGCTGCAGCACAGAATTCTCTGGATTGTATGCAGCCAGCCTTTTCTCAGTATACTTGCGATGGGTTTCTAGCAAAGCTGCATGCATAAAAGGAGAAATACCAGAGCGAATGGATTCATTGGTGTATGAGCCAATAGTCTTTGGCAAGTCTGGAAGTTTGATGATGGTAGCAGTGGTTGAGGAACTGGAGGTTCCAGTCATATCATTCTGAGCTGATTCAGGAACTGCCATTAATAGTGTTGTAGTGTTGATGCAGAGTTTTGGTGAATTTAGAAATCGCAATTTTTCATTCAAATGCTCGAGTATTCAATAGTGTCGCTTGCGTATCGATGTCTATTTTGGTCAATCGATTCTACTCGATCGCTAGTGTAAAAGTGGTTTATTTCATTTATTTGATTCCAAAACACAGTTTTGGATAAGATTATTATCCACCAGACTATCTAACCAAAATTCATCCTGAATACACATACAATAATCAATGATAAAACCCAGCAAAGTGTCGTTTGTTGCGGTCAGCAAGCTCATGTATCCTCTGCTTGGCAAACTCTAAATCTCTGTATACATACTGCACGGCATTCGCTGCACCGCTTTCACAGCGAACACGCTCACCCAACAATGCTGACCTTTCACGCATCTTGTGATCTGTAGTAAGCGTCACCAGAGCGGATGCAAGTTTATCTACTGTGAGTTTGCGTATGGATAGTCCTACTCCCAAATCCTGAACTCGATCTGCCCAAAAGTATTGGTCGCCGAAAAAGGGATAGATGAGTGTTGGTGCACCTGCACGAATTCCTGCTGCTGTAGTGCCCGCACCACCATGATGCACCACACCAGCCATCAATGGAAACAGCCAATCATGAGGTACCTTATCCAATGGATATATACAATCAGGATACTCAATCGGTGTTTCTGTCTGACCAGCCGTGGCCGAGTCTTTTGCTAGGCGTACTGACCAACCTTTGGATAAAATGGCTCGCACCCCAGCTTTTTTCACAGCTTCGATAATGGTTCTTGTTAATGCGTCTGGATCTGGCACGACAATGGATCCAAACCCAATGTATATGGGTTTGGCTCCATTTTCCATAAACTTTGTCAAGGATGCAGGTGCTTCCCAACCATGTTCTGGATTGTCTAAAAACCAATATCCGCACGTATGAATCCAGTCTTGCCAGTCTGGTGGAGGAGGAACAACCGATGGACTAAAGCTATACAAGAATGGCATTTTATGTTCCGATAAAAGTCCTAGATTCATTGTAGGCATATCCAGCGACTGTCGTCTCCATCTGTTCACTTGCGGCGCAACCCCTTTTTGGAATATATGCTCAATCAATGCATGTGTCATCAAATTGTACCCATAGCCAAGATGGTACTCTGGTACTGCAAAAGGATGTGGATATATTTTTGTGCGTGTCCAGGGCATTGGAAACGCAGAAAAGTAAGGAATTTGCATCTTTTCTGCACAGTGGATCCCGCCCATTGCAGTAGGACTTTCGATTAAAAGATCTGTTCCTTGAACTGCATCCCAACAGGAAAGCAAAAGTTCATCAACCCATCCACGAAACTTTCCCATTGCTTCGCGAATAAAGGAAACTGTAAATAAGCCGTTGTCAACACAGAGCTGCATGAGCTCAGCTGGATTTCCCATTACAGGTCGGAATTCAATACCGAATCCCTCGATCCAATCCTGATACTCTAAATGCGTCGCAAGTCTACATGTATGGCCATCAGCCATAAAGGCTTTGCAGAGAGCAATGTAAGGCTGAACATCTCCTCGAGTACCAATTGTCAAGCAAGTAATATGCATTTTTTCTGATAGTTTTATGGGTCGCTCAGGATCAAGAATGGGTGGAATATAGGCAATCTCGTATTGACTAAATACCGATTTTACGTGGGTTTCTGACAATGAAATGTCTTTTAATAACGCAGCCTTTTGCTCATGTGCGCTCAGCTCATCATTATTTGGCTCCACTTTGTTGGAAGAGGTATACAGCAGCTTATGTAGGACATTGTAGATTTTCTTGCGTGATTCAAACGACTGGAAATCAAATTTAATTTCTTCTTGGGTGTGCGTGGTAATTACTAGAGCATAGTACAATGATGTATACTTTCTAGATATATCAATATTGATGATCTCAGATAGAGGAACCATGACTTTGGCTCGAACACCAACAACCTTTGACTTGAAGCATAGAAAATGATCCGAGATATAAATCTTTCCCAGACGAAGAATGACTCGATCAAGGTAGCATGAGTATGTTGCGTGAAGGATTTCAGTTTCCGGAACGGAAAAATCTTTATGAAACGTAAGGATTTTTTGCTGTTGTGAGGCTGTAGTGGCTCCTGGATCTAGTTTAGACAACACATTAAACGAAGTTGAAAAAGCAGGGCCAAAAGCATCAGCACCGTCTGAAATAGTTTTGCGATGACCCCACCAGTTACGACGTATACTGCTGTCAGGTTTAGCCGGAGTGAGTGTGGACAAAAAGGGTGGAGTCTCTTTGTCAAGACTTTCAACAGCGCCAGATGAGAGTAATCCATTGATATTTGTGAGGCTTGATTGTTGTTTTTCCAAATTAGTGTGGCTTGATTTGTGATGTCTTGATGGCAAATTTAGTCCACCATTCGATCCAGAATCAGCTTGGTTATACGAAGTCGATATGTCCTCGTCAAACAGATTCATATCTGTTTGTGCTCGATGATGCAAGCTTGGTCGTGATAGTGGTGAATTAGAAACTGATCCAATAGCTATACCATTCTCAGCTTTGGTTGCCAACTGCGAAGCCACGCTAGATTTTCTAAACAAAGCAGGCAAACTCGTTCCGCTCTGCAGTAGCGATGAACTCGAAGTTGCTGGCATATCGTCATTAGTAGTTCCCAAAAAGCCATTTGTTTGTTTGCCCAATTTAGCATGTGAATCCAATGGCTGTGATGGCAGACCAGTTAATGCTGTCGTATCATACAAACTAACACGTTTTCGAACAACGTTATGTTTGGCTTCGTTTCTTACGCTTTCCCATAATGCAATAAGAGTATCGCACGCTCTATTTGCATCATTGAAGTAGGCAAAATAATACTCTTCAGAAATTAAAAATTCCGAGTCAACAATTTTGATGCGCAGCGAGTCATCAAGCCCAATAGACTTTGCTATTGAGATTTCCGATATGCTGGAAAGTGGAAACACTACACGAACATCGTCACCCATATTATGCGATCTAAATACAGCTGCGCGTAAAGCCGCCACCCATTCATTGCACAATGTTTCCGTGTCCGCCTCAAAAGCATATTTTTTGCTTGTCGTGCGAATTCTAAACCCAGTTTTGCTCAGTTTAGAAACACAAACACTTACTATGGATTTCATACTTATTGTTGACAAAGGATAATACAGCTCGGTAGAATTCCCATAAGCATAAAACGTGTTGCCTTTGAGAACAAACCAATTGGTGTTGTATAGTTTAGCTGTGGTGCGTTTTTTGAGGAAACCGGATTTGATATCACGAGTTGATTTGTAGAGTGAAGCGTAAAAGCAAATGTGTTTTGATGTAAGATACATGTATCCTTTAAGTAGAACAGATCTGACCAGCCAGCATGCAAATTCGCCGCGGTAGGGCTCTGTTTCAGGGAGTTCAAATACAGTTTGAATTTTTTCAGCTACAGTGAGGGATGAAGAATGAATGTTGCTATTTGATTCATGAAAATCTGGAGTGGATAGAGAACTGCCCAGCTCTTTTGCAGAAGTGATTTTTTTCCCGTGATGGGACTGATGATTTGGGTCTTCATCACGATCCTCGCCATCAAATGATTCTACTGAACTCAGACTATCCGAGTCTGATTCAGGGATTGTATTGTCTTTTTGAAATTCCGAGCCCCCTGCCTCGTGGGCTATATCTGATTGTGTTGTATTAAAATACATTCGGTGGATAGATGATCGATCATCTCTAAAACGAACTTCATCTGATAAATCTGGATCAAGTGAGATGCCGGCCCATTGATAGGAATTGTCATTTTGCACCTCGGACTCATCATCATCATTCTGGGCCAGTTTCTAATTTAAATCAGTAGATGGGATTGAATGTCGGGTTAATACAAAGAGATCGACAGAGTTTGAAGGTGTATTATTTCAATGTGAGCCTATTGAAATGAATACAGACTATGATTAAATAATGGACAGTCGGCATGCTTAAAGAACACATACCAGTGCGGCGGCCGCAAAATGCAATAAAGGGTTATTAACAGACTCGGTTGTAGATTGATTGGTTCCCGCTCGAAAAAAATACGGTCGAAGCGATTGCACACTCTGTCGTGAAAACAGACCCGATGTTGGTTTAGTTTTGGTCTGTTTTGTTGTCGAGTCGTCACACTCGCAAGACTCTTTGTCAGAGTCAGGATTATTGACTTCGGTTGATGCATGTGCTATTTGAGGTATATCAGGAGATGTTTCTGATGTACTCCATGGTGAAGCCAGCCGACTCCAATATGTTTTAGCTATAGAGGGTTTAGAAGGAGCATTCTCTGTAGTGGCGATATTTAAAGTGTTTGGTGTAGGCATTTGATCCATTCTACTAATGTCGAGACTAACTTGGGGGGATGAACCGAGTGGTGGTAATGATGCACTGTTAAATTCAGTGGATAAAGGATTGGGCTGAATAGTCGACACTGGCGAAATGGCGATAATGCTCGACGAAAGACATTTCCATTTGGTTTTAAGCATTTTTAATCTTGGTATAGTTTTGGTTGGTGAACAAGCCTCGGCCTCACTCGCGGATATATTCCGAGTCAAATCCACCACAGTAGGGTCTACCATGCCATCCAAACTCGATGGTTTACATCCTTGAGCGGGGATGACTGACTCGGCATCGTTGGTATAAAGAGGTACTTCCGATTTAGCTAAAGACTCGACATCGTATGCAGTTGTAGCTGTTTTAGACGTTGGTTCGAGACTAGTTGAAGCTATACAGGGTGCTATTGGGCTATGTGTGGCTTGTAACCCATTGATGAACGCGTCCGAGGGCGAATTGATGGAACGAGTTTCAGTGGGATAGGATGTGAAGGCATGCTGCTGTACAGTTGATGTAGGTATAGCGGTCAGCGAATCGGGTATTTTGGATGAGCAAGCAGAAGTCGGAGAGGCCCAAGGTAATGGAGACTGCCATTGTCCGAGCTTGCTTAGGAATCCTGCAACTGGTGATTGCTTTACTAAATGTTGCGGAATTGCGCCGGAAGTTGTAGAAGGCACACCCCCTTTTTGAGTAAAAATAGCAGATGTAACACAACTCTGGGGTGCAGTAGCAAGCCGCTCAGGACTAGACGCATTGAATGGAGCATTATGTGATTCGGCTAAACTGTCTGCAGCATCGTTGAATAATTTTTGATGGCTGGCACTCTTGGCGTGTCTAATAGGATAAGAGAAGCGCCAATTGCTTTTGGATGGAGTAATTGGTCGGGTCAAAGATGGAGTAACTGGTCGAGTCAAGGGCGGAGATACTGAGGATTGGATAAATATTGCTGACGTTGGTGACAGTGGTGGTTTTGAACGAAGTGGGTCCTCATTACTACTGGAGCCTGATAAACCAGAAGCTACCATAGTATGGCTTGTAGACGAGTCAGATATGGCTGTTGAGGGCGTATTTAAAGGATAATGGGATATCGTTTGTGTGCGAGTAAATACTGTTTCGGGTATGGGTTGCTGCTGTGACTGGAGTGAGCCAGACCGTACAAGATGAACAGATGTCCGTTTCTCAGGCATGGCTTGCTTCTCCATCGTGTTGCAGCCGTATTCACGTAAAATGAAACACAAAAGAGTCAGTATAATAAATGGCCAGTTTCATGAAATGATAATTCTTGCCAAATTTACTGGACACTGTATCCTTTGAACTCTTTGGCTCACTGATCTTTGTGCTCATCTTTATATAAACAATTGTGCGAATGACCACATTGCTGTTCCAGCAAGTCTCACATTCCTGGTACTTGTTCAGATTCAACTCTTTAAACCGAACATGACGACACTGAATGGCCGGCATGCAAACAACAGCTGTATTCTTGATTGTTCTCTTGAACTAGAGCGCGAATACATCCTAGATTTAAGATACAACAAAGAGTTTACAGAATTTTATTGAAAACATCAGAGTTGTAGAAAATACAGTTGCCAAAAATGCAAATGCTTGAGATTCATTCAAAATAGCTGCTGCTGTTTGCTTGGAAAGGTTTACTTAATGACAGGAGCACGAGTCGAGCTTTAAAATATGGCTCGACTGATCACACTTTATATTGCGTCGAGTGGTATTTTTGCTGCCATCTGAAAAAACATGTTTATCTAGTTTTAAACTGATTTACTAATTCGACTAGGAATATATAAAAATAAGTGGTACAAATGCTGCAGTTTTACACCTCACGAAGCTTATCTACAAATCTTGTGGTCGGAGCAGTAGTTTTACTTGCTAATGGAGAGGATTGCAACTCTTGTCGTTCATATAGTCCCAAATCTCTACGATAAGGTGCTGATCGTGGTTGTTTTCTTACTGTTGCATGAATAGGTACATCACCACTCGCACTTGCCATGGCAGCAATTCCAGCCCCGCCTGCATGTGTCAATGTGCCCTGACATTGCTGCTGTTGCGATGGTGGATTTTGCGTAAACGAGTATGTATTGCTAGTATTGTTTCCGCCTGTTGCTTCGTTCATCAAAAAAAAATACAGTTTCTCGTCAGATACATTTAAATGCGATGTTGCCTGCGATTGTTCTAGCGACGCTAACCGAAGCAAGTATTCTAAGAAGCAAAGTTCTCCGAGCACATGCTGTTTTGAGGCATTATTATCCATCTCCGCTGCTATTCTCTGGTTATTGATTGGCGTTGCCAAAGTGTGTCCACATCTGCTAACAGAAGAGTTCAAGTATTTTCCTAGAGACTGTGAGGGTTTTCCACCATCAGTAGTTGCAGCAGCAAGTGGTTTGCGTGTCGATCCACGTACAGGTGTGTGCCAAGACTCTTTAGTTTTATTTTTAGGAGTGATCTGGCTTCCAATATCCAGATCCTGAACATGACCTGACAACGATTCCACATCTGACTCATCATCAACCTCGCTACCAGTGCAACTTGAAGCATCGCACACACTCTCTGTTGCAGCATCATCATCCGTATTTACAGTAGTATCAAACAGCTCCAAAGCCAGCCACAGAACTCTTGGTTTCAACTCTGTACCACCAGATTGGCCAAAGTCATTTGCAGAGTCCACATCATTTGGTGTGATGGGTATATCTGATTTTCTATTTTCGCTATATCGAGGCTCAACCACTTTAAGCACAAGCACTGGCATACTTGCATCTTCAATATTTAGCAGTTTTCCAGAATTGGTATAAAACAGTCGCTGTATATGTTCAAGAGAGATATGTCTTTTGCCACCTTGTATAAACTTTGAGTTTTGATCAAGAGTCGATGGTGTGGCCGTAGATTCTTCTGGATCGTGAAACCGTCCATCGTTTAAATCTTGATCTAAATGCAACGAGTAATTGAATTCTGTTGGATGACGACAGAGTCGTGCACGACACTTTGGATACTCTTCCTTCCATGTCCAATCTACCACTGTTCGTGATCGTGATGAGCCTTCAAACAAAGTATATAGTTTGATATTGATTGTCGGACCTGGTATAAACGATTTTGGCATGTCCGTGGATAAAGCATGCTTGTGTATATCTGACTCTGGCTTTGATGCCTTTTCTTTTTCCTTTCCAGCAATCGGACTTGTATCCTTTGTAGATAAACCTGACTGACCAAGAGCGATTGAATCTAATGGCTGCTGTGATTTTGCCAGTTCTTGCGACTGAGCTTCATCATTAATCCGTGTCAGGGCGGCAGAAGCTCGCATGAGCAAAACTGGTGATACCCCAACAGGCACTCTGTTTCCAAACTGCACGCCTGATATCTGCAAGCCCATTTGCACAAATGGAACTAGATTGTCTACTTGCTGCAAAACATCCTGAAACGTTTCCACAATGGCATCCAATAGCACTACATCTGGTTTGTCAAGAGGCAATGCAGCGAAATCCTGACTCAAGGTATCGAGTGATGCATTGAGATCGTTTGAAAGTGTTAGTATAGACTCTAGTACAGAGTGACCTCTGGCAGCTGCCCATTCGCATAGATCTATAGCAGGTGTCAACAAGGCAAGCTTGTGTTCAAGCCGTTGTTGTAGTTGGCGCAAAAGTTTAAAACGTTCTTCTGTTTGAGTTGCCACTTCAAGGATTGGATAAGGACTAGATGGTGTTTTAAAGGATGCAGGAGTAGTGCAATCTGAATAAGCATCACCGTTGTTATCGCTAGAATCTCTATAATGGTCGAATCCTGGTTTATAAAGTTTCTTTTTTGTCGAGGTTGAATGAGCAAGGTTTTGACTTGTAGATTCAACTCGGGATTGAAGAAAGCTAGATATACGCTTGACCGCAATACCTTGGGCATAGCTCAATGCAGCTTTTCCGACCAGACTTGCTAGAAATACAGAGGGTACATTTGAAGAATGAGATGAAGATGCATGGGTATGGTGATTAGAATTAAAAACAAGTAAAGGATCAAGGGGAGGAGCAGATGAGATCAGTGTCTGAAACAAAGCCTCCAAGAGTACAGTGCGGTCGACGACAGTACCTCCAGAAAGCGCTAGTGTTGTAAGTACATTTTCCATTGGCGAACAGGTCAACTTTGTACGAAAATGAATTTGCAATCAAAAATTGTACGAAATGAATTTGACGAGTTTTTAGATGCCGACAATTGGAATGAAAACAGGATGAAATTCTGATGGCATCAAGCAGGCTGCAGCCTTTCGGAAACGTGAACTCCGTTGTAAAATTGCAATTGTTTCAGGTTAGCGTACTCTACAGGTGGAGCGTCAAGGCTCTCGTGTCAAAACAAGACCAACACCAAGATCAGCGAGCAGTCGCCACTAGACCAAATGTGTGACGTCCTAATCGAGTCGACAGGAATAGTAGATCGCTCAACACACTGGTTGTGTCAACAAGTCAGATTATCGCCACAGTACAAGAGACACAATAGATGAGCAATCCACCAATATTTATCGGAATAAACCCGACTACATTTTGATGCAAGTGAATTGTATGCAAGCATTTCAAACACAAGGTACACACTAATCGTGATCATTGCAATTTGTCATTTATCTTTATTTTCATCCACATTGTTGCTAGCTGTGATGAATGGTGACGATTGCTCTAATGATAGCGATTTGAAAGACAGTCATACTCTGGAAAGTGGTACCAACTGTACTGCTACTCTCAACCACATCCCCTCTGGTCCCTGCACTTTATCTTGGTCCCACAACTCTCTAGTTCCCATCAAAGTATCATCTCAATTACCAATATCGGACAGACCTCCGTGCATTTTGGGTGTAGATGAAGCTGGTCGAGGTCCTGTTTTGGGTAAATCGACTAGGTGTTCACTAGTGTTTTTATTGGTTGGCTTGCAATGGTTGACATGTAAACTTGTATATACAGGTCCGATGGTGTATGCCGTTTGCTACACTCTTATTTCTCACCAGGATAAGCTCAAGGATATTGGTTTTGCAGGTATATTGGAGTAAAATTCAGGATTGATCGGGATCTGGACCATTGATGATGATTGAAACCATATACAACATGATTGGAACAACTGCAATGTAGATTCAAAGGTGTTGAATGAAACTCAGCGTGATAAACTCTTTGCAACGATTGAAAAGCAGTCCGAATGGATTGGATGGGCAGCCACTGTCTGTAGTCCTCAAGATATTTCTGAAAGCATGCTACGTCGGTAAGCAAATCCAATGATTTCTTTATGTTGAATGAAATGCATCTACCATGTGTTTAATGACTTGTTGATTAGTGCAAAGTATAACTTGAATGCATTGGCGCATGATACCACCATCAATCTGATTCAAAGTGTATTGGATCAAGGCGTAAATATACAAGAGGTATTGTATTGATGTGTATGCTTCTAGTTGAGCACTATTTTGAAATAGATTGATGTTGGATTTGGGTTTTAATTCAATGAGATGATTAGGTGTATGTGGATACAGTCGGATCTCCAGAATCATATCAAGCCAAGCTTGCCAAACGATTTCCAAAGATTGGCAAGATTGTTGTATCCAAAAAAGCAGATAGTTTATTTCCCATTGTCAGTGCAGCGAGTATCTGTGCCAAGGTAAGAATGTGGAGCATGTAGCCAATTAACCAGATCACAGGTGGACTATTCATACATCTATGTGTAGGTTACTCGTGATGCTATTCTTTGTAATTGGGAGTTTGTAGAGCCAGGCATAGATTCCACCCAGCGTGCATTTGGCTCGGGCTATCCAGCAGGTAAATCCATAGCCTACCACGAATAAGATAAAGTTTACTGATGCTGTTCAAACTCTTGCTGGTTGACAGATCCAAAGACTGTTGCATGGTTGAAGAAGCATCTTGATCCAGTATTTGGATTTCCAAGAATTGTTCGATTCTCGTGGTCTACTACAGCAAAGCTGCTGGAAATGCAAGGCGTTGATGTACTTTGGTAAGCAAGATATTTCATTGCTTGTCAGAATATTGGGATATTAACTTTTGGGTATTGCTTGATCAAGGGAGGACGAAGTGGAGACAGATTCGCATAAACCGCCATTCCCCAAGCAAGTTGTATGCCTGAATGTAGATTTGATCAAGTTGAAACTAACCTTACACTGTCAATAGTAACGAGAGTACCAAAATTTGGCCAGTTACAAGCAGAATTGTCCAAACGATGAAACCATGTCAATTTTAAACTAAAACCACTCATAAAGTAATCGGGAATGAAACATGCCAGCTTTATTAGATGTAGTGAGATGTAAGGGTAAAAGAAACTGGATTAAAGAAAGTATTCTGAAGTAGTTATACATGGCGAGTTTATCAAGGGATGGGATATCTGTAGATTTAGACTTGAACAAGGCAAAGGAATAGCATCAAGCAACTATTCTGAGCATCAGATTGATCAGTGCAATAGGTTAAAGACGAATACGACGACCTAAAACAGCATCGCCAATGGTAGCAGCGGCAAACTGTGAGATCGAATGTGGCCACGACAAGGAGAGTTGGGGCTGAGACATTGACAGAGGCTGGTGTTGATTGTGATTAGAAGTAAAGTGAACAGAAATTGGAGAGACGGTAGTTGTAGGACATATCTCGAGAGCAGCAGTGGAAGCAGCAGTAGACATTGAAGACGCCATGTCCACATCTGCTGGGAAGCTACCAGGAAGAAACAGATCGTTATGGAAGCCAAAACCCGTGGTGGTATTTGGGATTGCAACAGGGTCTGTGTCAGTCATACCAACAGTGCCATAACAAGCCTCGGGTTGATCCAACAAAGACTCGAGAGTCTGCAGCCAGTAAGTGTACTCTTGTTCAGTGATGTATAGCTTGTGTTCAATAGCCTCTAAAAACTCTTTGCGCATGGCAACACACTCCAGCACACTGAATCCAGACACATCCGACCACGATCGCACAGTGTATGCATTGTCATTTACAAATCCATCTGCAAGAGACAACGCAGTGATCCAAACCCGCAACTCTTTGCTAGCATCAGCAGGACAAGACATGGACAATTTGATTGGATAGTCTTCAGCACCAGCTGGAGTGACAGCACGCAGTCTTTCTACATACTTGAGAGCAGTGAGAATTACGGGAGGAGTGACATTATTAGAAGTAGAGTTGAGTAGTTTGATGGTGTAGTTTTGAAACTGTATAAATGCAGAATCTAGTGGTGACAGCGAGCGACATCTCCACAGAATAAAAACCAATGAAGTCACAAAGTTGGCGAGCTGCATGGCATCCTCAAGAGAGTGATGCGATTGTTTCTGCTGAGGGGACTGCTGCATATTCAACGACTCACTCGAGTAGTTGGGAATGTGCCATTGTGAGTGTGAAGTAGAATCAGCTGTATTGGAAAAGTCTAGCGGATCAGACAGTGTATGTGCATCTGAAAACACTCTGTCCATCTGACCATCAGTGCCATAGCTCCAATCAGATGATGGATGCATCTGTTGCTGTTGAATTGAAAGAAGTTGTGACTGAGATACCAATAGTGGATGCTGATTGTGTGCCCATGTGTTTTGTGCATGTGTTTTGTGATATGATCCAGCAAGTACTTGATACTGTTGCTGTAGACGAGGCAGTTGATATCGAGTCGAGTACTGAGGGGGGTATCCTTGTTGCTGTTCATAGATAGAGTTGCTAAACTGCATATCATTATTTTGCTGATGTCGCTGTCGCTGTTGCTGTTCAAGTAGCTCTGCAGCATTGGGATAAATGAACGAGTTACGCAATGCCTGATCTCGATTGGCGGCATGCTCATTCTCATGAAAAAACAAGGGTGGAAAAAATGCCATGATTAAAGGTAGTGGAGGCTGAATGGACATACGGCAGACAAATGGCAGTAAGGCTAAAGATAGATTCAAAGTAGAAGCAACGAGTCTAGTTCAGGACCAGATAAACTGCTACTTGGAAAGAGTGATTATAGTAGTTGATTGAGCAAAAGATGCTCTAGATGGGCCAGATGCCGGCAGATATAATCGGTTGTAGATGCAATATGCAGGGCTGAGTGTTTCAGGTGGCTGCTGATTTGTTGACTGGTGGCAAATGTGGTTACCGACGAATCTTGTTGACGTGTGGCAAAACCCAGAGAATTCAAAGAAAAGCAGCAATTGACAGCTTAAATAGTGCGTGAAACAGATCTTTAAGTAAGCCGTAGGAAATAAAAAGTAAATATAAGCAAAGTAGGTAATTTGTTAGCGTAGCTCCAATGATTATGAAATTACAAGGTGCAATGGGCCAGTGAAAATAGCCAAACAAAGCAGCTAAATTTTAGTGGTTGCATACATGATTGAACTCGAGACAATGAATCACGCGAGAGGGAGTGATGGAAAGGAGGGCCAGCTGACGGAGTTGGTCAAAAGTTGTAAAATCAACCGACAAAATGGGGCAAACAACAATGTTTATATCCCAAAGAGCAAATATCTGTCAGCCAATCACAGCCCTCAACCACAAGATCAATATATTTTTGCTTCGGGCATTTCTTCCCTAACCAGCAGCATCAACCCGCTTTTTGAGTAAATAAAGTGAATTTTCAGTTGCAAAATAATTTATAATTGATCATCAGACACTTGACACAATATCAATAATGTGCAATAGCAAGGTGATGTCCGACAAGCATCACAGAATCAAGGCGAAGGGATTCAACATCAAATGCGTATACACAAAACACCCGTTGAGACCATGCTACGGGGTATTGCGGGAATTTCCATATCAATACCGCATAGATGTATTCTAAAGTCCCCCTGTAATACCCATACAATAGATTGCATGGGTGTTGACTAGACTGCGCATGCATCCTTAATCATCGCAAAAAAACGGGTCATCACAGCAAATGAATAAAATTAAATGCTGTGTTTGTTTAGCTACTCACCACAATAGGGCCTGAAAAACAAAGCAGAGGGTTACACTCACCATCTGCAAGCACATGTCAGAACCAAATACTGGACATTTTAGCAGACTGATGAAAAACAAAACCCTGCCACAGCACACTGCAAAGTTCCCTTACTTGCAGTATGAAGCTGGCATTCAATGCAGATGGCTTTAGCCCAAACATGCAGCTCAGTAATGGTAGCTTTCCATTTACAGCCATATTCATGTAAAACGAAGCACCAAATAAGGGTGCCAAAACACGCAATAATAGACCGCTAATTAATGAAGTGATTGGTCGAGTTTACTGGATAGCATTATTCTGTAAATTCGCCAGCTCACCCATCGCTCTGACTGAAAACAGCAGTTGCATTCCCAAGGCGTACAACTTTGCTTTCTTGAACTAGATCGCGAGTGTACGGGATTTTAGGATACAAAAAAAGTTTGCATAGGGGTTTTCTGAAAAGATCAGAGCAGTAATCCAATATCTGGATTGCAGTAGATGAATCGGGGTTCAGATGTAATGATCATACAATGTATGGCTATGTCAAAAGAGGAGAGGGGCACGCTCAAACTAGTGTGTGCATCATGAGCATTGTGTGCTTGAAACAAGAGTTGGGAATGTCTATTGACAAAGCAGCGTGGTCAATCTGTAGTAGAAATACGCAAATGCTCAACTGTTGACTATTCTGAAGCAAGAGGCAGTGGCTGCAGGATCAATACAAATGTTTCATTTTGCATGAATGCGGCTGCAAATCCTAAACCACGCTGACCAATATAAACGGCTCAGCTATTGTCAGGTCAATCATAGCTACCCTTATTGTTGCTATTTGACGACAATTCTGAAGCCTCCATAATCCACATTTTCATCATCTGCTGGATTTTAGTTGTACAAAAAATCACAACTTAGCCACAGATTTTGCCCAGATGAAGCGTTCCTCGTTTTAGTGAGGCGAGTTCTTTAGATTTGGCAATATCACCGCCGTATTCATGTAGAATAAAATCATTCAACCAGCTAGTGCTAAAAGGTGGCTCAAATAGTCTAAATACCGTCATAATCACGTGCTCACCTAGACAAGCTGTAGCGGAGCGCTGTTTTGGTATGAAAAGTGGCTAGCAGAGGTTTGCCTCGCGAAGATCTCAATGGCCGTCCTTGTTAAACTTGAATGGCTTTATAGGAGTTTTTATTTAAAAAATGTAACCGCAACCCAGGGAGATCAAGGCTTTATTTACCTGGGTTAGATGCGGCCTTAAAACATGAATGGGTAAGAGGGACACTGTTTTGGTTGTTGGCAGGAATCCGCCCTTTGTCGCTAACCATAAAACACAACCAAGTAACAGGGAGTGGCCATTCAAACTTGATAGTTGACCAGAAATTTATTGCTAGTGACTGGTGAAAAATTTGACAAGCAAATCGATCAGTCACTCAATAGCCATTTATCAGTATATTGACAATCTTTAGCTTTGCATACGCAAGGATCTGACCGCATCCACTAACCCCTCGATGCTGTATTAGATTCCAACTACAGAAGGGCCATCTATTTCAGAGCCGTATTCATGTAAAATGAAACATTTGCATTTAGCACCCACGACCTTTTTTTGCTTTGGAATAATGGTTGAATATTTGTGCCCTCCGACTAGAGATGAATTGCTTTTTCAATTGGTATTCTCGAATTTCAAACACAATATTCATGATACAATGCACAAGATTAAACTATAGTTTCAAACGTGCCTTTTTTGGCATAGCCATATATTGTACAATCACCAAGTTTGAAACCAGACTCGTTGCAATCCAGATATTGGGTTCGACTACTTTCAAGTCTGTACAACCCATCTCTACATTCCAAGATATCAGATACACCTGTGCTCCAGTTTGAGAAAGCACAGATCGCACGTCTCAGGATTGCAATTGTTTCATGCCAATCACATAATACCACAATGCTTCGTTTGTATGAAAAGGGACTTGGTGATCGAACAAGCTTCAGGGATGTGGAATCGATTGAAATAGATGTGAACAAATGTTCAGTTTATACAAATGAACACGAACCAACAAGCTTTTTCAAAAAAATTCAAAAGCACGATCCTGACTAGTAAATCTAGCGCCAATCATTTCATGAGATTGACTGTTTATCATGTATTTTAGCACCCTTATTTACTGTGTTGTGTGAATACGGTGATAAACTCAGAAACGTTGCATTGCCGTTGTGCAAAGACTCTTCCGCTATAACCTCCCTAGGACTAACACATGGGTCTGGGCTTTAAATGAATGCTGTTTGCTTACACGATATTGCTGTGCTTTGGTAACCGAGCTTATTTTACAAATAAAGCCCAATAGAAAAACCAATCCAACCCGAGCGTCTTTTTGACTAAGCGCAGAATGCAGATACAAATAGGGATTAAAGCCGTTACCATCGATGTCTATGCAATACCCATGCTTGATTGTGTCAAAGCAAGGTTTTTGTGAAATATTCCCATCGATTTACTGACAGTTACGTATACTCGTGTATTCAAATTTTTAATAACAGATACGGAATATATATGCGCTGGGTTATGTATATGGGTGTATGACAGAAATGTAGAGATAGTACATGGGGTCTCAGGACTGCAGCAGCAGCTGCTGCAGCTGCTTTCAAGGACAAAAGCTTACACTTATTTTTTCACTAGTAGCACAGCTTTACCAATCGATTTGCTGTTTGATATTGCAATTGGATCCAAATGGTTATGGCCACTCGTGCTCGTCGAGGCGTCCGTAGTAGAATCAAATGATTCAAGATGTATGGCATATTTAGATTGACTGACATCAGATCTTGCTTTATGACGGCTTTGAAGATTCAGAGTCTGATCTTGCATTGAAGGGTGCAGACAGTATCACGTGTTTTTGGATAAGTCCGATAATTCTGACATGTTGCCGTATTCACGCCAAAACATTATCTTGCAGTGACGACTTGCTTTGATATATACAATATTAAATATTTATTATGCTTGCCTACTAAAAATTGACTGTACTGCTTTTAGTAGATATTTTGAACACTTTTAGTGTTTGGCATCGCACAAGCTATTTTTACAACTGTCAACAGAGTCCAATAATGAACAATATGGAGCAATGCAATGAAAGAAGAGTTGGAGATTCAACGAGTGTAGCTGCTCATTTGGTTTTATACACAATGAACAAAGACCAGCCAAAGAGTTCAAAAGACATTGTTGTCCAGTAAATCAGACAACTGGTGACACCCTTATTTAGTGTTCTGTTTTACTAAATACAAAACTCAACCAAAAACCTTTGAATGGTCATGGATCGAGGGATTGAGGCAGAATCTGCTGCTGCCAGTACTGGAAACTCTACCGAGTCTTCTGCACCATCATCTAGCATCACTGTATTGGTGCGTGTGCGTCCACTTCTCTCTGGAGAATCTGGCTCAAACTCGTCTGTTTCTGCTGAACACTCTAAAAAATCATCGTTTTTAAGTGATATTATCGGAGAGCCTTCACAAACACATGCCCGTATCATCACTGTGCTTGATGAGCACACTCTTATATTTGGTGCGTATAAAACTACTGTTCAAGCTCTCTTGTTTCACGGTAGCATTTCATAGTATTGCCAATAGCTAGAGTCTGTAAGATATTAATCCAAACAATCAATATACTTGGGCTTTATAGATCCAAAAAACCCTAATGCAAATAGTGCTGCTCAGCGTCGATACACTCATCATTCACGGCGCAACAAAGAGTATCGATATTCTTTTGATCGGGTCTTGGACGAACAAACATCACAGCAGCAACTTTTCGAGGTGTCATCTAAACCACTTATTGACTATGTTCTTGATGGATACAATGCCACAGTGTTTGCATATGGAGCTACTGGATGTGGTAAAACACATACCATCACTGGTATGTTTCTGATCTTGACTGTTCTTCAATGGATTCTCGTATTTATTCGTCAATGTTTTAATAATAGGATCACAGTCAGATCCAGGAATTATTCCAAAAACGGTCCAAGAACTCTTCTCTCGACTAAAAACTCTCGAGTCTGATATGAATTACACCACCGACGCATCTATTTCGTATCTAGAAGTATACAATGAAACCATCAAGGATTTGCTCTCTCCAGGCCCACCATTAGATCTACGTGAAGACAATTCCCGTGTTATTGTGGCTGGGTTATCAGAGCATACACCTGCTACAATCAATCAGGTCATGGATCTACTTTTGCGTGGAAATGAACATCGCACAAAAGCCCCTACTCTGGCAAACGCAGTTAGTTCTCGTTCGCATGCAGTGCTCCAAATTCATCTGCGCTATAGAGATAAGTCTCCATCTGGAGTGGCTACCGTTAAAGTATCCACTCTTAGCATCATTGATTTGGCTGGAAGTGAGCGTGCATCAGTAACTAAAAACACTGGAGATAGGCTGTTGGAAGGTGCAAATATCAATCGATCATTGCTGTCGCTTGGAAACTGCATTAATGCTCTTTGCTCAGATCGTCCAAACCACATTCCGTATCGGTAAATACAATACAATTGTCAACTACAGTTTTTCAATCATGCTTGCAAACATCAGATTTTAAACTAACATGTTATTTTTACTTTTAGTGACTCTAAACTTACACGGCTTCTTAAATTCTCACTAGGTGGCAATTGCAAGGTAGTCATGATTGCCAACATAAGCCCAGCCACAATCCACTATGAGGAAACTCATAATACTCTCAAATATGCCAATCGTGCCAAGAATATTAAAACAAAGCTTGTGCAAAACACTTTAGAGATTAATGCTCACATTGGACAGTATCCAAAAATCATTGAAGCGTTACGGGCTGAACTTGCTTTGTTGCGCTCATCACAGTCACTTGCCCCAATTTCAAATTCAATACAGTCACCTTTGCACGGCACCTCTACTGTTTCAAATGATCGGGTCTATATTCGTTTGATCAAAAAAGCCGATGATCTTGTTGCAAAATTTGAGAGTATTCAAACCAGTATGACTACGTTTGAGACTCGTATGGCTTGCAACGAATCACTAATGAAAATCTTCAAATCATTGGCCTTTTCCTTATCCAAGATCTTCCAATTGCCTACGCGATATATTTCCTGCGTGATGGATCGAATTGATCAACTACATTCCGAAAATGCCATGCTTTGGCACAATATCGATCAGTCCAAAAATGCATGCGAACGCTACATTACATCTTTGGAAGAGTTACATAATCATCGTCGACTTCAATCACCTCTACTTCGTGAGCGACTGACATTGGACGTTTCAACTCGACTTACTCAAGTCCAGCTCAGATTGGTTGCCTGCCAACGTGCAGTTTTTGAGGAGTCAAACAAGACCATTTCTGATTTGCTTTTTCGCATCATGCAGCTCAACACAGACATAATGACGTCTGTGTTTGATATGTCTGGCGTGGCCAATTCCACCGCTTTTCTCCAACATATTGATGCGTTTATCAGCGCCGAATCTTTAATTGACAAGACAGCCGATGCAACTACTTTGAACAGCAATAATCTTGGTTTGACAACTAACGCCATTCAGCTTGTTGAATATGAATCGTGCACTGAAGACAACGAATCTATTTGCAGTGATACCTCGAGTATCTTTGATCAATCAACTAACTCTATTTTTGAACATAATCAAGAGTATGAAGAAGATACTGCATTTGATCTTCAAGCACCACTTCTCGATCAACTGTTTTCATCAGTAAAGGACTCGAGTACTATTGAAACTGGTTCCAAACTTTTTTTGCCACCCCTTCAGGATATGGATTCAGACATGCATAGAATGCAACTTGCTAGTGCCAAGCTGATTCAAGACACAGACGATGAAGTCAGTTGTCATCATAGATCTGCAGACACTACTGATGAAGGTGACGATGCAAATAGTATAGATCCAGTACTAACAACACCGCTACCACTATCCGTTCTTCGCGTACGTAGTCAGCAGTTGAAAACATACACTGAGTCTGATCATGATAGAGATGCCACGCCTATGGCTAAACATCGTATTCGCCACCACAACATGACTGAAAAACCTGCCAACCAAGTATGCACTCCTTCCACGGTAAAACTAGGCGGTGATATATCTGTTTCTGTTAATAAAGAAAAGGCTCAGAGTGACTGTTTAAACCCCGACTCAATACGCATCACGCCAATCCGTCGAGAACATCGCCGTAAGATGCGGCAAAGTTTGATTCCTATTCTGCGACCTGCTGCCCCACGACTTGTACCAGAAAATAAGCCTATGCAGCATCTCAATGATCATAATGATGGTTCGACACAATCTTTGATTGTTTCTACTGCGGCAGCTGAAATGGTGGTTCAAACTCTTGGCGATTTGGTAGGATCTGGTAGTATTCAACCAGACAATCACAAAATGGCAGGCAAGGAAAATCTTACTCTAAACAAGCCATTGAAAAAGCGTGCATCGCCTAATGATGCCTCCACGACGAGTTCTTTAAGAGTATCTCGACGAAAACATTTAAAATAAAATTGAATATTTGTTGTGCCTTTAATAGAAATGAGTTGCTTTTTCAATTGATACTTTTGAGTTTTTAGTAAATACAGCATTGGATGATTAGCATATACAGTTCCATTCCTGTTTTCTTGAATTAGAGCGCAGATGCATGAAATTAGGATAAAACAAAAATGACTTTGCACAGACTCGAAAACAATCAGGTTCAACTTTTAAATCTGAATCCAAACTTGCCAATCATACAATGTACAACCATGGCAAAAGAGCAATCTTGGAATGTTTTACTCGACATGTAAGATACAAAATGATCAAAATTAAACTTTCAAACAGTAAAAAACTCTTCAGCGGGGAATCGAACCCCGGTCTTCCGCGTGACAGGCGGAGATACTAGCCACTATACTACTGAAGATGTTAAACAGCAAATTTCAAAAAGAAATATGAAACAAATGCTTTGTTGGTTGATTTACAGTTGCACTCATAAAATGGAACACTATCTTGTAATGACTGTCCAACAAATGGCTGAATACTTGTTGCACTTTTCTATTAGATATTGGTACCTTTAATTCTTTAAAGCACAGTATCCATATGATGCAATCAAATTATGGTTGAGCCAAGATTATCCTTTTTGGCATACATTGTACGATTGACAAGTTTAAAACCAGATATGGATTCGACTGTTTCGATGCTGTCAATCAAATCCATCCTTGTATACTAAAAAGGAATATCAAATTTACTAGTTGCATTCATATCCCTACTATCATTAGCTGCAGATAGCACATATTTGAATGCAGCCCAATCTAGAACAACGGTTTGATTTGAAGACTAATCTAAAGCGAATGATGACAAGCACATTCGAATGAACCATTAGATTAACTGGGCCCGCCAAGCATATGATATTGCCCAAGAGTCGAGTACAACCCTATAGTGCTCAAGCATGTTGGGTTGGGATGGATGCATATAAATATCCAATGTAAACCTTTGCTTAGTAGCATCATGCATTCTTGAAGTTGAGGGTAGTTTTAATGCTTGAGCTGCTCAGCTCCTTTAGGGCTGGCATTTGCTCAAAACGAGCTGCAATAGTTGTCTTCCTTTTTAATTTCATTGTCTAGCCCTGATTGTAAGTGCATCAGCATATAAACTCCCCAATCAAATGTCTTGTAATTTAATTCAATCTTTTAATACTAAACCAGCATTTGGTTGTAGAACGCACTAGCAATCCTGTTAATTTTGAATTTAAAAACAAAGCCAAGCAACACCTTTCTCTATTAATCAAATCAATTTATGAGCCCAGACGACCACCATCAACAACCTATATACGACTTGGATACTCGCTCAGTTTCTGTTCGTCTTGATGGTCAAGGTATTTTATTGACGCTTATTTTATTCTAAAATAGTTTGATCGTGTCCTTGGATATCCTGCATTGGATTCTCTATACCAGTTCCATTTAGACACTACGAATGCTCGTCAATGCAGTGTCGTTTGGTTGTTAGTGCTGCTCGCCTAATCCAGCCCTACTATAGTCCAGTGCATCTCAATTAAACGTTGTTTGTGGCTTGACCACTTCAAAAAGTTTCTGAACGTGCTAACAACCTCATTGTTTTATAGCAAGCATCGAACATCAAATCGACATCCATGTTGTGGATCTGGTCGAGGCAGTTGAAAACAAAGACATTTCTGTCCTTGATATCCTACAGGGTTTGAATTATGTTATGGAATATCGTTTACGAGGAGGAAAGATTCCAAATCTGGATGCAGCACTCATGGCCAAGCTTGCAAAAGGTCTTCTTCAGCACATGGGCCACCAATCTGGCAATCTCCTCAACCAAAAACCAACAGAAGAAGCCGACATTGCATTTTCGCTTTTTGGTGAATTCATTGATGAGATTGAAGAGTTTCAAAATGCTGTTGCTGAATACTCTGCATCCGATCTGCGCCACTACATGAAGTTGCACCGTCGTTGCCAGCCTCGATCCACCAAAGCACATCAAGAAACAGCCATGGCAGTATTGGGTTTGTTGACAACTAGAATCCCTCAATTCTCGGACTGGCGTGAATTGGTCAAGGAGGATGAGCATGATGATGTTGAGCGCTTAATATCACAATTCCCAGAAAAATTTCAAACTCCAAAAGTCCCCTTTCGTCAGCATATTTTTCCACCACCCAGTAAGTTTTAATGGACTAAACATAGGCTTATGAAGTGTGCATTTGAATCTATCAGGCGTGTCACTGTTTTACTCGCAAATAGTATCATTCCATTTCATTTGATTCTTGAATGCACTGGCTGACTCATTTTGCACTGTTTAGGTCTTTATTTTGATAAAAACTCGGAGCGTCTTGCTGAAATGTATGGCTCAAATACAGAGCGCGGCTTACCATCTGATCGTATCGTGCTTCTTCGGGAACACTATGGCTTCAACAAACTTCCAAATCCCCCCAAACCTTCAATATTTGGCATGATTTTTACCCAGATTACTGATTTCATGGTCTTAATTCTTATTATTGCTGCTATTGTGGAATTTGCAACAAAAGACTCGGACTCTGCCATTGTGCTGCTAATTGTAGTTGTTCTTAACGTTACAATCGGAACATACCAGGAGTTCAAGGCAAATCGTGCTTTGGAAGCACTACTAACTCTTTCTGTTCCAAAAGTAAATACTGTATACTTTAAAGTACTTTATTTCAGTCAAAACTTGAAAATCTAACTTGTTGCTCATTTGTATTGATAGGCTACTGTTATTAGAGATGGTATCAAATCAGTTGTTGAATCGCGTGAATTGGTTCCTGGCGATCTTGTTACGTTGGAAGAAGGTACCTTGAGTCGCTTATTATCAACTGAAATGATTCAACAACTATACTAACTTCTTTCAATTCATCACACATTCTAGGCGATGCAGTTCCTGCAGATCTTCGTTTGTGCGAATCTGCCCAGCTTGAAATTATCGAAGTGATTTTGACTGGTGAGGCATTGCCTATTTCCAAAAGTATTCGAACAATTCGAAAACGAGTAAGTACACAGTGTTGGATAGTACTTGTTTTGACAGTTGATGATGAACAAGTTTCCTTACATTGGCTTTTATCATTTACTCTAGACACGTCGTCTTCCACTTGGTGATTGCAAAGGAAGCGCATTCATGACCACTGTTGTGGCCAAAGGCCGTGGAAAAGGAATTGTTGTTCGAACTGGCATTTCAACAGAGGTATAAATACTGTTTTTGACAGTTTATTCATACCAGCAATTTAAGCACTAACTCGGGTCATGTTCATTGACTTAGATTGGCAAAATTAGTCAGGCTATTTCATCTACCCCACATCAAAAAAGCAACATTGAAAAAAAGCTTTCCACTCTTGGTCAGATTTTGGTTGCAATTGCGCTGATTCTTGTTGTCATTATTATCTGTATTGGACTTGGTTACAAGCGATCTGGTTCGGATATGCTTAAAGTTGGTATTAGTCTTGGTGTGTCTGTTATTCCTGAAGGTCTTGTTGCTGTCGTGACTGTTGCCATGGCTCTCGGTGTTAGTCGTATGGCTAGCAAACATGCTATTGTCAGAAAACTTCCATCGGTTGAAACGCTAGGATCTGTTACTGTTATTTGCTCTGACAAGGTAGTTTTGATTTGCTTTGATTGTGCTGCGTTGTAGCTTTAAAGCCGTATATTGTTTTTTATAATTTCCACCTTGTTCACTCTTCAATATTGTAAATAGACTGGCACGTTGACAGAAGGCAAGATGGGTGCCCAGGTTCTTTGGACTAGTGACAATTCGTCGTTTGTCATGACTCATTCAACCAGTTTAGATCCCGAAGCCGGCGTGGTAAACATTCTTCCATCTCCATCACTTACATCAGCCATGTCTTCTTCTGGCGATCCTCCCAAAATGAAATCATTGGAGGCTACTGCTTCTTCCAAGGATATTCAACAAATGCCCAGCCATTTGGCCGCGTCCATGACCATTGCTGCACTTTGCTGCAATGCTAGCATTGTACGTGATCAGGAAACTGGGAAATGGAAACCAATCGGTGATCCAACAGAGGTAATTTATCTGACAGCACTGCTTTCATTACATTTTCAGACTGTAGGCTTGATTTAGAGTTGTTTGCTAAAGGTTATTTTGAAATGTGGTGGCTTAGATTGCACTGGTTGTAGCATCCAGAAAAGCGGGCGTATCTCGCGAATGGCTCGAATCAGAAGCTGGGCTGAACAAAATTGGCGAATATGCATTTGACAGTGATCGTAAACTTATGAGTGTGATTTACCAGCAAGGTGCCTCAAAACTGGCTTGCCATCTTTCTCAAGACTCGGCATTTGTATTGGCTAAAGGCGCTCCCGAATGTGTTCTTTCTCACTGTGTTTCCTATCTTGGCGTGTCAGATTCCAATGCCAAGGGATTTAATTTTATGGATGAATTTCCAACGCATGTACTTGATGACGCTTTTGTCGACTATATATCAAAACGTAGTTCAATTATGGCTTCGTCCGGTCTGCGTGTATTGGCGCTTGCTATGCGTAAAGTCACTGCTGATGAAGGTCTTGGTATAGCCAAGGCAAATTCGTACAAGGCTGCCGAATCTCAGCTTGTGTTTGTTGGTCTTATTGGTTTAATTGATCCACCAAAAGAAGGCGTCAAGGAAAGTGTTGCCACCTGTAAACGTGCAGGAATTCGAGTGATTATGATCACTGGTGATCACATTGCTACTGCATCGGCTATTGCTAAGCAGTTGGGTATTCTTGAAGAAGAAGGACAATCCAACAGTCGTGCAATGAAGGGATATGAGATTGATTTGCTGTCAGAAGAGCAATTGGCCGAGCAACGTCCCTTTCCCGCTGTTTTTGCTCGCGTTAGTCCCGATAACAAACTCAAGATTGTAAAGGCTTTGCAGAGCAAAGGACATTCTGTTGCCATGACGGGTGATGGTGTCAATGATGCACCTGCCATCAAGCGTGCCGATGTTGGTGTTGCCATGGGTATTGGTGGTACAGAAATTACAAAACAAGCTGCAGATATTGTTTTGGCTGATGATAATTTTGCCACGATTGTTGATGCTGTCAAAGAAGGTCGCCAAGTGTTTGACAATATCAAAAAGTTTGTAGTGTATCTACTATCGTGTAACTCGGCTGAAATCTTCCTTTTCCTGATGTAAGTTTTGCCCTTTGTAGTTATGCAACTAATTTGGAAAATAACGTATTTGTAAATTGTGATGGCGACTTTTTGTAAACAGGGCTGCTCTTGCCAATTTGGAAATGCCATTCACTACCATGCAAATTTTATGGGCCAATATTATCGCCGATATTCCACCTGCCATGTCGATTGGTCTTGAACCGGCCGAAAAAAATATTATGGATCGCAAACCGCGTCCAGCAAACGAAGGCGTTCTCACCATTCTTACATCCGTTGTTGTATTGTTACATGGCTTGATGATGAGCTCAATCACATTTGGGATTTACATTTGGATGGAGAATACAGGCTTGACAGGAATTCCTATGGGTGAAGCAGGCACGGGTCAGCGTCGTAGCACTGCGTTCATGGTACTTACGGTCATGCAGCTTGTGCAAAGTTTCCACTCTCGATCAGTAGAAGAATCTGTATTTGTCACTGGTATTTTTGGCAATCTATGGATGGTTGGCGCCTTTCTCCTTTCATTCGCTCTTGCATTAATTGGTCTTTTGGCTCCAGGTATTTCTACCTGGCTAAATTTTGAACCCGTCACTGCATGGGGATGGCTAGTTGTGTTCATCTCAGCCATTGTACAAAGTATATTTGTCGAATTGGTCAAGGTGGGTGTAAGGTATTGCCGTAAAAAAGGAATCAACCCCATGCTTCCGCCTATAGGCCGTCGAGCAAAAGAACGTGCACGTAACGCATATAGCATTGTCCAAGTAGTTTAAAATAAACGACTCGGCTGAATTGGCTTTATTATATTACACATTTTTCTAGATAACCCTGTGAAGATAGCTATTGTATTATGTATTCAACAAAATACCCCTACTTAGTCTTCTGAAAATCTGCACCAGTAAATCAGTGCATATTGGTAATGAATCAAAAGTCTTTTATAAACGAACAAAAAGCATAGTTTTTAACAGATTACCACTCGAAATCACAATTTGCCTAGAATAAACAGACAGCCCCGAAACATTACTAAAAGGTTTAAAAGGCAATACACTGTTGCCAACAAGACTTGCCTTATTGAACAAATAATCTTTGCCATTCACATTCACAACACCGTCTTTGAGCACGCATTTCCACTTATTCTTGACACGTTGAACCTTTTCAAATTGGCAAAGCACCAAATGATCTACTTCTGCATATTCGTCCTCTGAATCATCATCATCCAATTCAGACCCAATATCGCTCGTATCTGCACCTCCAGCCGGCTCATCTGCATCGTCGTCATCGTCATCATCATCGTCGTTGCCATCCAATTGGGAAATTTTCCCAATACTTTTATCTAAACGTAGTTCAAAGTAAACAGTCATTTATCCTGAACATCTGATATTAAAAAACATACGAGTTAATGCAAAAGCACCTCGTTGTCGTCTGTATTGGCGTGCAGCTCGTGCCAATATTGCTCTGACTTGACTACGCGTTGGATTGGTACGAGTGCTTGAATTGTTGCTAGCTAAAGATAGCGGATTGGATTGAGTTGCTAAATTTGGCAATGATACTGCGTGGGCAAGTGAAGATGACGGCAGTAGGTGTGGTTCTTCATTATCAAGGTGTGATGATTTTAATTTTATGTTTGCCAACGAGCTATTGCCGTGAATTGCGTCGTCCTCTGCGGGCCCGTCGGTTTGTGGAAGACTGTAGCTAGAACCTAGTGTGTGATGCAATGATACAGAGTTGTCCAAATGGATTTCATACTGTTTAGATATGGATAATGAAATAGTTTACAAAATTGGACAACCCAACCTGAATTTGCAAGAGCAGCTAGATTAGCGGGTGATCCATATTCATAAAGACCATCCTATATTGTAGATCCAAAAGGTTGAGTGTGCTATTGAAATATGGGTCGACAAAGCATATATATCTTGCTGTCAAGCCATTACGCGTATAGTCTTTCAAACCACTCACATCTCTTGTGATTGCACTAATTCCAAATTGTGGGTTGGATTGCGGATTCTTTAAAGAAAACTGTTCATCATGCAAAGGATGAGTAGTTGGAGCAAATGAAGCCACGCCCATAGCCATGATCTTGGTTTCCCATGTCTAATTTTTTAATCCAAATTGGTGTCAATTGCAATATAAAAATGGAATCAGGGCAAAGCATGCAATACGCCAGATTATATGCTTAATCATCGCTGTATTACACATGTATTGAACAATCTCAATACCGTGCTGTATAAAAGACAGGCAATCAATAATTCACACCAACAAGCAGCAACTTCAAACAAGCAAACTACACATCTAGACTAGATTGTTGTGTCGAGGCAAGAGTATGGCACAACCACGTATAATGATGCTTATATTACCTGCTGGAGTTCCGAAAGAACATTAACATCCATGCCAAGCTCTGCGAATCGTTGCGACATTTTATGAATTACATCATCCATAACCCATTTATAGACTCCAGGCTAACCATGACCAAAATGCACATGATAGTTGTAGTGGATGGTAAAAGTATAATATAAATGAATCGTATGACAAAGTTAGTTTTGAAGAGTAGAAAGCATATATGAACAAACGAGAAGCTGAGTAATGAACAAGTGACTTGAGTCAAGATTTTGTTCATGTTTGGCTGTTGAAAGATCTTCTAAACCGTCACACATTCATGCACTCCGCCTGTTGCCAGAACTGCTACAGCAACTGAAATTGCACCAATGACTGATAGAACATCATATACTGACTGCACAGCAAAACCCACCACTGCACTATTGGACATGGCAGTCTTGCTCCCTTGTCTGATAACTACAGAGGTAAACGTTAAACTCGAATTTTTTGCAGTCCGGCCCAAAGTGGCATTTATTATCCTGAGGGTAAGCTTATAATCTGGTGGTTTTTGCCAACACGACCAAGCTATCCACGACTGCAATCCAACTCATTTGCATCGTCTGTAATAAAACATCAATAAAAGATTGCATGCACTGTTTATTGTTTTGCCTTTTTGGCCTTCTTTTTTTCTGCAGATTTGGGCTCAACTACGGTCTCTTCAACTGATGCCTTTTCCTTCTTCTTGCTCTTCTTCTCCTTGACTGGCGATTCGAAAACCTCGGCATCCTCCTTTTTAGATTTCTTGGCAGTAGGGGTCTTTTCTTTGGACTCCTTGCTTGATTTCCTCTTTTTGGCAGGTGTAGATGCAACTTCTGGTGCTTCTAATTGTAAAATATGCAACGGGTAGTCAGTTTATAATTCGTTGCGCATCACAGGTTCAACCCAATATAAAAACACACCTTCTTCTTCTTCATCAATGTCCATATCAATACCAGCAGCCTTGAGAGCATCCGCCATCACGTCGGCGTTCTTTCGTGGAGTGACACCCTCCTCGTAGAAACGAAGACGCTCTTCCACTTGATCTCTCAAAAACTCACCAAATTTGCTTGTAGGATTATCAAGGAAACAGTCAATACGGGATGCAATCGATACTTTGTTGGCAAGCACACGGGAGATTCTTCCCTTGTTCTTTTGTGCTGCACGACCGATAAAGGTTGAGTGATAGATAAGACCGTATTTGGGAGTATTACCACGGGTTTTGAGAGCACGGAAAAGTGCCTTTTCAGCGCCAAGAATCTGCACAGTCGAAGCAGGATACTTTGCCAAGTTGGTTAAGCTACCAGCGTGTGCAATAAGACGAGCTCCTACAATCTCACCAATAAGAGCAGACACGTTGGGAGCAACTGCATGCATCTTGCTTAAAAGGTAACCGTATAGGCTCTTGCGGTACTCGGTCAGAGAAATCACACGATCGGCAAAACTCTGAATGTTGACCATATCAATTTCGGAAATATCAGTACCCATGGATGCACGAGCAGCATCAAGGATTTGTTTGGCCTTGATTGGATCATTGGTGACAGCCTCAAGTGCATCGAGTTTATCTTCAGAAAGATCACCCTTATTGCGAATCACTTTGACAAGCTTGGCATATAGAAAGTTGTCGGACACAATCTTGACAAGCTCAGGGAAATGCCATCCATACCATTCTCTAAAGACATCAGTGTAAGAATCAGGGAAATATAGAATTCAGAGTGCTACAAGTGCACAATAGCATGGATAACCTACCTGACACGCATAGAAAATGTATTGACATCCTTGTCAAGCTGATCCAGCAAATTAATGGACTGAGTGATCATGTTATCCACACGATTGACATTGAACTTGACCTTGGCACGAGAGTAAGCGTGACCCAGACCAAGCTGAGCACGACCAAGATCGCCCTCTTTCAACTGTGCAAGAAGTCGCTCGGAATGAAGCTTAATGCCACGAATGAGCTCACGAACAGTGTCGTCAACAACACAATCTATACCAAGGTCAGCCTTGATAGAACCACCCAGATTACTCTCACCAACACCAAGAAGAACCTTGTTCTTTTTTCCTGGTTTGGGCAAGTTCATCTCAAGAAAAGCCTTGAGATGATCACTCATGACACCTTCAGAAATATCCATGGCGTTCTCAAGAGCGTGGGCAGCTGATCTAAAAGGAGCAAACGACTTGAGACGAACAATCTTTTGAAAGCGTGGCAGTTCAACAACAGCCTTTTGAACATCGTCAAGTTCAATACCAATTTCCTCCGATTCGATACGCTCAAAAAGAGTGTATCCGGCTGATAATTCAACCAAAATGAATAATGAGCTCTATTTGTATCAAGTGGTTTGATGTATAGTTGATGCGTCGATTTCCGGTATTTAATAAAGCGAGTAGCATAATCCGAAAAGATTCAGAATTTAAAAGCATGATTGATGCAAATTGAATTGATATCGTACATATTGATTACAAGATAAATATTTAAAAACCAATGGTAAGCATATTGTATTTCCAATGCGGTTTGTGAAAATGGCAGGTTGGATTGTAGACTGATTTAAACAAGCAATGAACTCAAAGAAATAGCAGTTTATAAAGTGACACACCATAATGAAAGTATACAGTTAATAGGTTTATCCAGTAAGCAGAGTAGTTTGACAAGAGTCGAGGCAAATCTCTGGCTTGGCTGATTTAGAAAGAAAGAAATGCAACGCAACGAATCGAATATCAAAAAAAATCCAAAATTTTCGCTGAATTTTGGAAGTCAAATTTGCAGCAAGTTGCCAATTTCTTGAAAAGTGAATTTTCTCGTGATTGACACGTGAACCACTTTGGTTGGCTTGGTGAAAATTCCCCGTGTTATGCTTCTCAGTAATAACTGATTAGGCACGCTTGGCAATAGAATCGGCTCGGATTGGATCTCGAATAGAAAGTAGTCCATGGATTCACGTAAAATAGACTACTTGCAGTGGTTTGCCTATTTTTCTTTAAAGCAGTGATTCAATATTCGTTGCAGCTTCCTATTAACGATGGATGTTGTGCTTGAAAGAATTGATCATGCCAATTCAAGAAACAGTCAATCTTGTGATGCAAACGATAGCTTTAGGTTGAGATGATTATTTTGGCATACATTGTACGATTGACAAGTTTGAAACCAAATTTGACTATCAATGTCGCCAATACAGTCCATCTCTGTTGTATTCTAAACTCGAATACGTCTGCTTTCTAGTTCAACAATGATCGCACATCTTGGGAAGATTGTCTCCATGCCGACTAGCCACTATTTGGTTTGGATCAAAAGAGAGTTTAAAATTGACAAGTGTGAGATTGAACATTCGATCAGTTGTTTATACAAAAATGAACAAAGACCAGAACTAAAGAGTTCATGTAGCACAATGCTGTCGAGTAAATTGATACCTACTATTCCATGACTGAGTTATTACACTTTTATTTAGCGTTTTGTTTTACGTGAATACAGCTGCAGCTTTTACTACTCCGCCAATTCCTGCTTCTTTACTCCTAACAAAGCTCACTACTAATGAATTTTTCTGGAAACGATCTAAACTTGGACAAAATAAGGCGAGAGCTAATTCGCCTTGAAGATTCCATTATCTTTGGTAGGCAGTCTTGAATATTCTTTTTTCAAGTCTCATTTGATTGGGGTTTGAGTCGACCCATGTTTTAAATTGAAACATTGACATGTGCCATCACACATTGTATAGGTTTGGTAGAAAGGGCACAGTTTGCATCCAACAATATCATCTACACGCCCAATGCATTCGAATTCCAAGACTTTAATGGCTCGTTCTTGGATTATTTCTTGCATAACATTGAATGTGTTCATGGTAAGATTGAGGTTCTATTGAAGAATACGATAAGCCAGGGTTTGTGATGCTGCTTGGATGATTCGCTCATGATAAACTGCTTACTAATCTATCAGTATACCGTATTTTTGTCTGATGTCATGAATGTGTGGTTCAAACTGTTTCTTTACAGCCAAAGTTCGTCGTTACACCAGGTTTGTATTGAAAATAATTGTCATTTGGAATATACCATCATATCTGGTTACTCTATTCCGAGATGAATGGCAATCTCTACGATTGTGACTAAATTTATTTTGTTTAGTCCAGAAGAATATCCATTCACGTCGCCGCTTCCTAACCCAGTCCTGTCAGCCATTGCCTACCCAAAGATTTTGAAAGAAAACACCATCAACTATAATGACAAGATCAAACAGGTTTATCTTGACCATATCCAACCACAGATATGTGCCAAAGGCAATGACGGTAATTTTGGATCTTCTGCTACACGCGATGTAGAAATTCTGCAGCTTCTGTCCAGAAGAATTCACTATGGAAAGTTTGTTGCCGAGGCCAAGTACAATGATCCCAAGTTACATGAAGAGTACTTGAGGCTGATAAAAGCTGGTGATCGTGATGGAATCATGCAGCTTTTGACAAACAAGGATGTCGAAATCAAGCTACTGAAAAGAGTAAGATCAAAAGTGTTGACATACGGACAAGAAATTGTTGAAGATGGTAGTCCAGATATGCAGCACAACTTGAGAATTTCCCCTGATACTGTATCCAATATTTACGAGCAGTATATCATTCCACTCACCAAGGAAGTCGAGGTAGACTACTTGTTAGAGCGGTGCTGATGTGCATGTCTCGAGATATTCACGTAAAATGGAGTATTGAATAAAAATGCTTAATACATGGTAAACAGTCAGTCTGTTTGGATTGTTGTCCGTGTACTGGACAACGTTGTGTCATGAACTGTTTGACAAAGTGTGATTGTATTGTTTGTGGTGATTGGCATGAAAACAATGGTTGTATCACCAAGGCATGCGATTGTTGTTTCCTTGAAGAGTGCGAATGTGTCCAAGTTTTTAAAATATAATTTCTTTAGTTTCATATATTTGTTGGTTGTGTAAAACCAGCCTTTTCATACACTGGTGATGATTGCCAACTGATTTCAATCTATTCTCTGTTCTCATCCTTTTTGTCGATAATCGTGAATGGACAGTTTTGACACGAATTATTTCATGAAAACACTGTTTATTATACTTTGACTCTTGGTATACCATTCTGCGTGAATACAGCTGTAATACATCATGGTAAGCTGAACAACTTGGAATGAAATATAGTCTGTCGGATATGGCTGTGCATGGAGGCCTTTATTGTATTGCATCACAGCAGCAATACAATATACATGTTTTTACTATACACTTGCTCTTGGCATTTGAGCTGTATATAACCAACTTTTTCTGCCACTTTTATAGATACGGTATACTACTGCATGCTTGAAACTTTTACTGTCCTCACTTGGGGTACCATCAAGCCAGTCAGCATAGTTACACATTGAACGCTAATCTGCACCATCACTCCCTATTAGGTTTATTCTTGTACAAAATAGACAGGGAAAAACTAGACTGTCTAAATGGTATACACCGTTTGAAGACGATGAGAAGCTAAAGCTCAAGGCAGAGGTGCATCGACTGGTCGCATCCAGGGACCAAAAATACCAGTCCAATTTCGTCGAAGTAAGCTCAATCTACACTTGGCATTCAAATTCCTTGAACTCATCCATGCCCATTTGGACAACTCTAGTTTAGAAACTACAAGATTGTATATAGGAGATATGCTGGACTGTTTTTTTGTTTTTGTGTCGACACCAATGATAATGAGCTGGCTTGTCTTGAGGCGATCCATTTCTTTGTCGAGGTTTTGGATACGTTTTTCAAGAGTGTGTGCGAGTTGGATCTGGTTTTCAATGTAGGCTTGTACTGTATAGCTTTTGTATTCAGTCCAAATGGGTGTTAATCTGTTTTTGGAGCTAGTTTTATAGAGTCTATGCAATCTTGGACGAGGTGTTCCTTGGCGGCGAGATTCAAGAGATATGGCAAGTTGACGCTCATTCTTTTGTATTGGACAGATGGGCTAACTCGATACATTTGACACTATTTACTTTTGCAGCAAACCTGTTATTCTACAACGATTGGAAATGCTAGAAAGGCTTGAATAAAAAGACATTTCACATTTGGAAAGTTATTGTGTATTTATTTGAAAGAATGAACCAAGATTCAAATAAACCTACACCTAGTGAGTAGTGATAGGATGCTAGTGATTTCAGGTTTTAGTCAGGATATGTTGTTAGTCTGGGAGTTAAAGATTGCCACGCTTGTCCTGCTCCAGTTCAATAGACTCGAAAAGAGCCTTAAAGTTACCAGCACCAAAGCCTTCATGGTTTTTTCTCTGAATAACTTCAATGAAAAGAGTAGGACGATCCTCGACAGGCTTGGTAAAGATTTGCAAAAGGTAGCCATCTTCGTCGTAGTCGACAAGGATCTTGAGTTTTTGGAGAGTGTTCATGTCCTCTGTAACATTCACTTTGGATGTAGAAAGACGCAAGCGCAAGTTGTCATAGTAAGAATCGGGAATTCCTAGGAACTCGACACCACGAGCACGGAGATTGGTGACAGACTCGACAATGTCTTCTGAACGAATAGCAATGTGCTGAACACCTGCACCGCCGTGGTAGTCAACAAACTCTTGAATCTGCGACTTTTTCTTGCCAACGGCAGGCTCGTTGATTGGCATTTTGATCTTTTGATCATAGTCGGTCATGACAATGGACCGGAGAGCACTGTACTCGGTATGCATTTGGGTGTCATCAACAGACCAGAAACGATGAAAATCGAGAAACTTTTCGTACATTTCGCATGCAGGCACCATCTCGTTATCGGGCTGATTGCCAACAACATGGTCAACAAAAAGAAGATTGACTGCAGGCATAAACTTGTTGATGGGGTCAGCGCTAGGGGCAACAAAGCCAGGCAAAAAGCGGCCTGTGTAACCTGTGCGCTGCACAAATGTGTGCTCAACATCACCATAGGTGCCAATGGTAGCCATAATAACAGTACCGTCTGCATCCTATTTGGTTTAGCAGAAGCCGTTAGAGTGGAGCCAGCTGTAAGAATCAATGCTGCAATGATGAAGCTTACCTTTTCCTCCCACGGCTCACGAATAGATCGTGCGCCACGTCCTACTGCTTTCTGTAAATGCATCAACAGGTCCATGCGTTAGTAACCTACATTATGCAATGATTGAGACCAAAGATACATACAGCATAGATTCCTCGAACGTCATCCACTTCAAACGCAACATCTATAAAATAATAAAGCGGTGGATAAGAATGGGTTGTCAATGAGCCATAATGACACAATACAAATCAGGCCGTAGTAGGTAATACATCACATGAGTGTCAGGTCAGCAAAGCGCTTTGTTAAACACAAACGCCCTCATGAACAAGTCACAACATGGTCAGTGGCCAGAAGCAAACGAACCTTTGACTGCGTCGCCATGCAGCGTCAAATGGTCTCCAAAAGTCTGATTGCCTGGGTTAAGCGGTGATTGAAATACAAAAATCACATCCTTCTGAGCAACAGCATGCGATACCATGTCTCGAGAGCCAGTCTCGAGTCCCTTGTACCCAATTGGCTCAAAGCCAACTATTAAATGATCAATAATGAATGCATTCGACAGTTAGCGAGTCATTCATACGGAATAGTCGTCAATAAGAGCGAAGCTTACATCTAGAAATATAGTAGGCAGCAGCCTGCTTGGCATTTCCAACCCTTTGGAATAGTGAGCACATTCAAGAAACATATCAGCATCATAGGTTAGTAATCAAATAATGGAGCAATCCGCAGCCTCTTGTTGTGTATTACCAAAAAGTAAGATGGTCGAATCCATGGTAGCGACCAACGGCGGGACGGGGTCCATTGTTTTCGTAAGAAGTCATGATGGCTATTCAAGAATAGACTAAAGATATTGGGTGAAATTGGAGTCAAGAATGCTATTTATAGTAAAAAAGCAATTCCGAAACGGTCAAGAACAAACCGGAGAAAATGGCGAATTGCTATCACTCGATGCCATCAACTCGGTATTACGACTCGTTTGGGAACTCTTTTCGGACTGTCATTACCACCGACTCACTGTAATGTCAGACATTCAAGCATACTGCCAGGCTAATCTCATATGTCTTGCGTTGCTCACTTACTCTACTCTAGTGCGGATAAACCGATGCTAAACTATCCAACATCTACAATCCAGTCGGTTATCGATTGCCGACCAATTGGTGCTGGAGTCGCAAGTACCTATTACTCTCCCTGATTGATCCACAATAGCCGCAGGTCTTGCCATTTCATCGCGATGGCCTCGACTTATTTTCCAACTTGGTCTGACATCAGTTGATTCAATGCACACTAAAACATAGCTGCTTGTAGTTTATTTGCGGTTGTTACGGACATAATCGGCAACTGCATCCATATACTCCTCAGAATTGACATAGTGGGATCGCTTCATGCTATTGGTATACATTCAGTTTTGATAGCAAGTTGCGCATGATCCAAAGTCGATGGAAAAATAAGTGGCCAGTGTTTTCAAAGTTAATAGTTAGATCATTACTGGTTCCGCCAAATCAACCACCCCAGTCACCATTAATACTTTAGCACATGAACGGTCGGGCACATTCAGACATCTGTTCCAGTTGTCATAAAATAGCCATGTTTTCCACCTGGATCTTTGAATGGGTGAAAATACTCGACAATATAAAACTTACTCGGTGCCATGTAAAGCCAATGCAAGATCCTTGGTCATTATTCCACCTTCAACAGTCTTGATGCATGCCTGCTCGACAAGGTCGCAAAATGCAGTCAGCTCTGGATTGTTATCCAGCTTGGCACGGTGAGCCAAGCCCCTCGTCCATGCAAATATACTTGCAATGGAGTTGGTGCTCGTTTCTTTACCCTTTTGATGCTCTCGATAATGCCGAGTAACTGTACCGTGCGCAGCCTCCGACTCGAGTGTTTTTCCATCTGGCGTAACCAGAATAGATGTCATAAGTCCAAGCGATCCAAATCCTTGGGCTACAATGTCCGACTGCACGTCTCTATTGTTCATGTACGGGTTTACAAGTCACAATGTGTTTACTAAACCTTGTCACTACCGATATGTTCGTCACCACTTACCCATCATAGTTTTTGCACGCCCATACAAATCCGCCGGCCGATTTGAGTGCTTGTGCAACCATATCGTCAATCAATCTGTCAAGCCAAAGTCAGTATTTTGAAACTTGCCTATAAAAGTGTGCAATCAGCTCACCTGTGCTCATACCAAATACCTAGAGCCTTGAACTTGTCAGCATACTGTTTCTGATAGATTTCTTCAAAAATATCCTTGAATCGGCCATCGTATTTTTTGAGAATCGTGTTCTTGGTGGACAGATACATGGGCTGTTTCTTTGATAGTGCCAATTCAAAGCAGCTTTGTGCAAAGCCCTTAATGGACGAATCAATGTTGTACATGGCCATACCAACTCCAGCAGACTTTCGTGATATACAGGCAATGAGTCGTCAAGTTTGGTGATTGCGATACATAAAAACCTATATGTACGTTTATGACTGTACCTTGAAATTGTATACATGCAATGTACGAGGTGGATTTTTTGAATCGGGTGTGAATACAATATCAAATCTCCCAGGCTCATCCACTACAAAGTCGGTAGACCGATACTACAATACACATTCAGCAGTATCCTATTAAACAGATTGTAAAGCACCACGCTACAATATAGCAAAAGGCAGTTTCAAATGATACCTGATCACCAAATGCATGGCGGCCAATGATGATGGGATGTGTCCAGGTTGGAATAATACGAGGCACATTTGAAATAAGGACAGGCTCACGAAACACCGTGCCGCCAAGAATATTACGAATCGTACCATTGGGGCTTTTCCACATCTGCTTGAGACCGAATTCTATTGACAAACATCAATATTCAACTTGACTTGATATTTTTACATGTGTATGGTTTACATTTTACCTTTTACACGAGCCTCGTCGGGTGTAATTGTGGCACATTTGATGCTGTTGTATGAAAAATATAATTAGATCATATCACGACTGGCAGTCTACTCACTCGGTATCAATCGATTGCTTGAAATCCGTTCAATATATAAGACATACCCAACATTGTATTTTTGGATTGCTTCAGCAGCATCAATAGTAACCTGATCCATGGTCTATTTGATCCAACAATATGTAATAGATGAGCAAAACAGACTTTAGACACGGATCCAACGATACTAAACGTAAAACTACCTTGTCTCGATGCTGTATTCCAAGGTCAAAGTATTTGAGATCCACAGCGACATTTGGAAAAATCAACTACCAATCAATTGAAATCCATCCAAACTAATAGTGAGTTGGAACAGTCGCGCATCAATAGAAAAAACCATGGCTCAGTTTGAACTTTCAAATGCTTTACCTTTTCTTTGATCCATTTCCAGCTGTCAAGAGCAATCCATGGCATCCATAGTTTATGGCAAGCAACACATGATTAGTATATTGCATTATATATGCTACAGATCATGTAAATCTGTAGCAGAATACAAAAGTTGGGATTCAATTTCACTTGCATGATCCTGGTCATTTCATCACCATCCAGCTACCCATTCACCATATGCGCAATAGTCAGATTAGTATGGTTTACAGCTCGATCAAGACTCGAAACAAGAGTCAGGGAGTAGAAACCACAGGTTGTAAAGATATACCTCGACCACAGGATTCTTGACTTGGATTTTGGCTGGCAGACTGGCAACTATTACAGTATGAATAGATCGACACCATCGATTATTCAAGTTATAATGTATATTCGTTCAATACAAAATGATTGTACGCTGGTTTTGATCATATTCTTGGTTTGTTTGCAACTTGACTAGTGGTCAAGAAAAGAACTTACAATGACGATAACCAATTGATGCATGGGCTGCATTCAAAAGAACCGAGCGAGTAGCGGGGCATCGTACACTCAAACGGGATGCAGCTCGAATCATTGTTTTCGAGTAAAATTATCAATTGAATTTTATCAGGCAATCACCATTCAACCCTGCTTTCAATCTACAAGATCTCCATCTCATAAAACCATCATCTCCATCCAACCCTAATCAACTCGTTATTACACAATAAAATAAGAATATGCTTCGTGTTTACTACGTTCAAGTCATGAAAATACAATGCTGAAAGCCGTTCAAAACTTGAGAGTCTTGGGCTGCTCCCAGGTGAACTCTGAGCGACCAAAATGACCGTACTTGGCCGTCTCGCGATAAATGGGTTTGAAAAGATCAAGCTCCTTTACAATTGCACCGGGACGAAGATCAAAGTTCTGCTTGATAATGTGGAGAAGCTCCTCGTTAGTCTTTTTACCAGTGCCGTATGTATCAATGTAGACAGAGGTGGGCTCGGCAACACCAATGGCATACGAAAACTGAACAAGGCAGCGACGAGCAAGACCAGCAGCAACAATAGACTTGGAAACCCAACGGGCAGTGTATGCAGCAGAACGATCAACCTTGGACCAGTCCTTACCAGAGAAAGCACCACCACCGTGAGCACCCCAACCACCATAAGTGTCGACAATAATCTTACGGCCAGTAACACCAGCATCACCCTGAGGTCCACCAATAATGAAACGGCCAGAGGGCTGCAAGTGATAGATGGTCTTGTCGTCAAGGTATTTGGCAGGAATGACGGTTTTGACGACCTTTTCAAGAAGTTCCTTCTGAAGATCAGCAAGAGCAATCTCGGGAGCGTGTTGGGTGGAAATGACAACAGTGTGGACGCGCTGGGGGACGGGGACTCCATCAATGGTCTTGTACTCGACAGTGACCTGGGTCTTGGAGTCGGGACGCAACCAGCCGAGAACACCGTTGTTACGGAGCTCAGTCATCTTGATGTTGAGCTTGTGCGCAAGCATGATGGTGAGAGGCATGAGCTCAGGGGTTTCGTCAGTAGCATAGCCGAACATGATACCCTATAGCATACCAGAATGCGTAAATAACAATACTCAAAGATTGCCATGGAAAACAGCCAGTCTTATGGGATCTGGTCTCACTGTGATTGTGTAATATATGGCTATGCCAAAAAGGAGAAAGGAAGGCTCAAAAGATCACAAGTTCAAAACCATAGCTGATTGCTATGGATCTATAATGAACATTATGATTAAAAGAATTGAGAATGCTGTTGAAATAGCAGTCAATTCTTGGTAGGAAAGCGCAATGAATATTCAATTATTGCCTATTTCGGAACAAAATACTATTACAGGATACAAATTCCATGCTGACTGCGGGTGCAAATTGTGATCAGCATCCTGAGCAAAAAAATAATATATTCTCACCTGGTCACCAGCACCAATCTTTTCAATATCAGTACCCGACTGAACAAGGCCACCAGCAATATCTGGAGATTGCTGTTCAATGGCAACAAGAACATTGCAGGTCTTGTAGTCAAAGCCCTTTGCAGAGTCATCGTAACCAATCTGCTTGATGGTCTCACGAATGATCTTCTGGTAATCAAGTTTGGCAGAGGTGGTGATTTCACCAAGAACCATGATCATACCAGTCTTGGCAGCAGTCTCACAGGCAACACGGGAGAACTTGTCCTCGGTAAGACAGGCATCTAGGATAGCATCGGACACTGAATACAGTTTGAAATGTGGAGCAGGAAGAGTTGATTAGTAAGCAACCTCGTGATCAACGAATCCATCATATACTCAAAACAGTAGTTACCTTGGTCACAGATTTTGTCTGTCAAGTAGAACGGTGCACACAATAGCAAGAATAAACAGAATAAAGTCAGTACATGTATTACCAAGAGACAATTGGGTGTATTATAAAGCACGATGTTGAACAGCATAGATCAAACCACCCAACAAATTATTAGATAATGCAAAGATTGTTCAGCCAGTAGTAACATAGAATCATCTTGATGGTGAGATGGTTACAACAAGTGCCTTGTCAAAAATGCAATTGCATTCAGCAAGGCATTTTTAGTGATCTAGATATTTGCAAAGAGAATACTAAATTCCATAAATGCTAGTGGCTGAACCCAATTCACAAGATGCCATCCAAGTTTACAGGTTGAGAGCACTAAATAGTCCGAATACCTACCGGGATGACCTTCACCGACGGACTCGGACGTGAACAGGAAAGTTTCTCCTTCAGGCATATTGATAAGACTGGCGTGGTAGAAAAAAGACAAGATCAGATCGAGTGTTATGAATGCAATTTATAGTTTTTTAACGAAACTGCGCCATTCCTGCTAATTGTGTTTAGCAATGGCTTACTAATCAAACTGTTGTTTTGCTATGCTGTGTCTAGAATACAGCTTGATTACCATCAATAACGCTATGCTTGGATATCACACCATTTCTACAAGACTACAATGGCACAATAATGGTCTTTAAGCATATGCCGTTTAAATTTCAATGCTTTGAAAAGTTATTCATGCTATACAGCCATGACTTGAAATAGTGCATGCAGACACTTGCACAATCCGACTATTTTAAACCAATTTATATCCGACTAAATTCAAACTCGGAGTATTAGACCAATCATTTCGATTAAAGTATAGATCTGCAGCAAAATAAAACCCAATCCATGCAAATATAGTTAAATCTCATCCGAATCATCACTATTCCAGTTGCATTCAGCCAGATCCCAGCGTTGTTGCTGAATTGACTACAATTCCCAAGCCAGTGTGTTGTTTTGAACTGATAAATTTAAAATAAATCACGTGATTATTTATTTTGAACTTCACTTACTCGGTTACCGATCAATACCAAACTGCAACCTAAACCAATAGCTTCAGAATGCACAGTGGAATGCCTCATCACCCTAGCGGAGGAGTCGGTATGATGCCTCGTACTATGGGTGCTGGAGTTTTACCTATTCCTGGTATGATGCATGGAGCTGTGCCTCATGGAATGGGCTTTAAAGGACAACGCACTCCAAAAGCTCCTCCACCAACTACCGTATGTAGTATATCTGACCGATTCCTAATCCTATGCAACTATGGATATCTCTTGCATAACTTGGCTTGTGATATGAATATCCATTGGTGCCAATTTTTTGTAAAAATCGCAGCTGGCGAGAATAAACCAACTATAGCTGGATAATAAAGCCAATTGACATCAGCTTTAAATGCATATTGGACTGGATAAACGTGATTCACAACGCATCTAATAGATTGATTATTTTATGAATATAGCCTCAGCCAACACTTTATGTTCGTAATCTAAGAGAAACTCGCAATCTTACAGGTACAGGATATCATTCGATCGAATCTATATTTGTAAAACGTTTAGGCGTTGATACTTACAACCCATTGTATAACTCCTGTCTAGCACTCAAGACTGCACTTTCCACAGTATTCTCAAAGTATGGAGATATTTTAGATATTAAAGTCAAGCGTAATGTTGGACATCGTGGCCAAGCGTTTGTCTCTTTTCAAACTGTAGAATCTGCCGTAAAGGCAAAAGAAGAAGTGAATGGGTTTCCACTATTTAATAGACCAATGGACATTCAGTTTGCACGGGAACAATCGTTTGCTGTCAGTGTGTTGGCTGGAACTGTTGAAGAACACAAGCGGAAACGCAAGGAAATGCTTAGTGAGAACCCCAGATATTGCTCAACAATCGCTTTAATATCATGTTTATTTATTTTGTGGAATTACTATTTTTTAATTAGAAGAGCGCAGTGCATTTGATGCAAGTGAGGCTTCGCGAAAGAAACAAAAGTGTAAGTGACCTTTGATCAGATGTTTAATCATTGCTTCCAATTACGTATCTATTGTTTCTGATAATTCATTACACTGTTGAACATTACTATAGCCAATTCGGAGGAGTCTTTGCCTCCAAACAGCATTCTTTTTATCCAAAATTTGCCAACAGATATCACGAATGCTTCATTGTCTGCGTTATTCAACCAGTGCGTATACGATGCATTCTTATGTTGTGATTAGGTGCGATTAGATTTACTGACTTGTTTTGCTGCAAATTCCATTAATGTGTTTTCAGGTTTCCTGGTTTCAAAGAAGTGCGTCTTGTTCCTGGACGAAGTGATATTGGTGAGTTTACTGATTTTGTTACGACTCGATGGTTTTTATGCACACTTTGGATTACTGATGATATTTGATGGTATTTTAGCCTTTGTTGAATACCATAATGAGATGCATTCTGCTATAGCCAAGCAGGCCTTGCATGGATATCGGCTACTTCCTGAGCAAGAAGAAATCAAAGTTACTTTTGCCAAAAAATAAACCATTTGATATGATTCTGTTTGAGTCTGGCATGTTAGTATTGAGAATATATGAACTGATTTGCATGGCAGGTTTGCGTGTTTTATTTTGGTCTAGCTATATCACCTAGTAGTATATCTAGCTTTTCAAACATGGTTTGGCACTGTAGTTGAATGGCAATAGAACGCCAGGATATAAAGCAAGCAGATGGACAATTGGCCAATTGGCCAATTTTTGATTAGATAAAGCTGTTCATGAATTTGAGCGCATACTTGGCAGGTATGTTTCAACAAACATCTGTCAAATTTCATTTTTACGGATCTAGTTTCAACACTCCTTTGCTCAAACAACTCAGCCGGTGTGTTTGCTATAATAGATCCACAATAGGCCATATATACCTTTTTATATCAGCATAACACATACGCGGAAACACCTTCATTCACCAATGGACAGCACTATCCCATGCGTTCGTATGAATGACACAGAAGAAACATTAACTGAAAGTATTACATCCTCTACTGTTTCGCGAAATTCAACTCAAACTAAAGGTGCTGACCCATCAGCTATAAGGTCAATGCTAGGGGTTAAACCAGGCAACCGCTCAGGACTTTCGTCTCCTGGAGAGCTTCGCCGCATGTATACAGTAACAAAACAGTCGAGCATGCTAATGGGCGTTTTAAAAGGTGCTGGAGAAGGCATTAGCGCTGCTAGCAGTACCTATAATACCCCCAATGGCTCAGATTCAAGTGTCGCGACTGGTACGTGATTTCATTCTTGATATGCCTTGATTCGACTATTTTTATAGCCAAATATAATCCAGTTCCCATGTTGTAATATATTACAAAAAACAAGTACTCGGCTTATCTTTAAAAAGAAATGGCCATGTTAGAGCTGGCCACAGTTAGCTCGGCTATACAATGGCTATTTGTTAATATCTTGACCCTTGTCTAATTTGCTCCGCTCCACATGCATCTTTACTAAATCCATATACATAGCCAGCATAGCCACATGGCATGTGCCATCAGGTCTTTTTAGACGCATTGTTATCAACTGGCGTTATTTCCCTAGTTTCAGTACTAACATAGATTCTAATGATTCGTATTGTATTTTCTGGACACTGACACGACTTTAACAATGCCATATATTCAATGCAAACCTAGATTCGAACGTTCAAGACATTGGTCTTCCGTTACGAAATGAATGCTTGACTGGCTCTATACCCATTCTGTACACTGCTTCAAACGATTCATCTGGCCAAGGAACACCACTAAACGCCAAATCTCGTAAGCGTGAAAGTTCCATGGCATCCTCACTGAGTGGATTAAACACCAGTCCATCTGGGAAATTTACTCCAACACAGATTGGTCGCCATAAACCTTCAAATAGCAATTCCATAACTCAAAGTGCCAGTCAGCCTACATTGGTATTGAGTAATCCCGAGTTGAACATGGATATTTTTGACTCGAAATATCTGGCAGAAACACAAAAGCTGATACCCGAAATGGATATTTTGGGCCAATCCAAAATAAGAGACACATGGAGTGCAATAAAACAAAAGCGGATGGAGATGTTAGAAACAGGTACGTGATTAAATGATCAACACTGACCATACAGGCTTTGTAAAAGTCGTTGAACTATACGTGCATGCCGTTTTAACAACAATTGTCAATTGCCTATACTTTGTGAAAAACCAGTGCTTGCTAAAATATCCCATCCAGTCCTGGGCATCCAACAAAAAAAGAAAATGCTATCTATTTCAAAATATACAATGAGTTTCGCCGGATCTGATATATTTGACTGGCTTGTTGCCAACTGCAGATTTTTGGTCAAAGAGGAAGCACTGAAATTTGCACAAGAACTGATGGATTGTGGATATTTGATATCCACCGAACACGTTGAAAAATTCGATGCTTATGCATCTCAATACGTTATTCAGGTATGCAGCATGTGTTGGATAGTTTTAAACTTGTTCAAGTGGAGACTGACGCTTATTTATTGTCGAGCCTAGCATCCAGCATTTTGGCCTACGCGTGGTGGTTTACCTAATGATTATGGTAAATATGGCTGTAGATTTAGTATCGAGGCATTTCTGAATATGCTTTAACGCACTATACTAAACCCAAGTGATGGTTGCTTGAATGTACTGACTGTTTTGTAAACAATAGACTATACAGTCAATTTGCTCAAAAGAGGATTACGCAACAATATTAGAGATATATTAAAGTTTTACGAAGAGGAAAGATTGGATATACTCAGGAAATCGTACCATACTGTGTGGTATGAAATGGAGGGCAAAGCCTTATTTGAGCTCAAGTAAGTTGCTCAAGCCACTGCTTAAAGCTTCAATGATCCAGTGTATCATTTCCAAAGCTAGATTGCATTATATTTAAACTGACTATATTTTGATGTTAAACTTAGGCATGAGAAAGGCATGAAGGCGGGTGATCGAAGGATGTTCAGAGTTCAAGAAGCTGCATTTTGGAGACTTCACAGATCTGCAGTAAATATTTGATTGCGTTGAATTTGATGGTTCAAAGTCTCAATTTGCGTCAGACTTACTTTTGAATGTTTACGCTTTATAATCTAGACTCCTGGCGTACCAAAAATGTTTTCAGACGAATCAAAAGATGCTGAACACAAGACTGATAGATACACCGAGACTGAATATTGCGCAAGTTTTATTTCTTTTCAACCTTGTAGAATTATTGAAGCATTTGACTTTGCGTGACTGGTATTAATAATTGATGAAAAATATATAGGATTCATTGACAGAAAAAGAACAACTTAAATTTCTCGAAAGAAAACTGGAACAGCTTCAAGTATCAGTCACTCAAAACAGACTCAAAATCTCCGAGACTTGTAAAAGTATTGTACATCGATGCAATATTTTTAAAGCAGTTGATGCTATGCTTAGCGCGTGTTCTAACCCATGGATTCAAGACGATCCATTATTATGGGATGTGGTGCGCACCACCCCTAGACGATGTGATGTAGTCTTGTGGTGTTACTCTTTGGAGAATTTACTAAACGATCCTTTAGGCTTAAAATACTTTAACGATTTTCTAGCAAAAGAGTTTTCACAGGTATGTATTAGTGGTGCTTCTAACGCTACTACCTTTATAACGGTCATTCACTGTTTAGAAAATGCATTTATAATTTGATGTGAATAAAATGCACAACTATTTTAGGAAAACTTGCATTTTTATCTGAAATGCCGCGGCATGGGCGAGGCAGCATCCAACAAAGAATTCAGCGACCGCGCCATACTCACTTACCTTCAATTCATCAAAGTAGGTTCACCAAACGAACTTAACATTAATTCTAATACCCGATTGGCCATTTCCGCCATTTTTGAACCAAAGGACAGTCCCCCACCAACAAAAATTCCGTTTGATTGCTTTGATGATGCATGCGAGCATGTGTTTGCACTAATGGCCAAAGACTCCTACTCAAGATTCTGCAACTCGGACACTATTCAAGCTCTTTTGGAAAATTCCCCAGTTATATAACATATTTCAGTTTTTTATCAAATACATAGCCGAGACTTTAAACAGTTGCTGCTTGAGATATTTCAAAAAATTGAGGTATTAGTTTATTTGAACTAAAATGGAGCATACCATTAATTATAAAAATCATAGAGTAGCATATACATTAAATTAAGGTTTAGCACTTATTTTGGAATAAGGTGTAGTGACTGGGCATGAACATCAAGATTTGTAAGTCTTGGCATTTCAAATGTGCGAATATTTCGTCTTTTTGGCCCTAAAATGCGCTGACCAGGAGAACTTGGCAAACCAGGATTAGCTATAGATTGACTTGCACTTGAGTTTGAATGTTTAGGATATAAAGGTTCTGCAGCTTGGGCATACCCATACAGAGATCCATTGACACTCAGGGACTGCAGATTGGCTAAAAAAGAACCCTCTGACAATTTCGGCGCTTTTCTAATGACCGGTTTTGAGATTGACGGTTGATCAAGTTCAATTTTAGCATGTCTTTCAACAATGAGAGTGGGTGCTGCGTTTGTAATGGACAACAAGGGCTGGATTTTTGCAGTATCGCCTGTATTGGCTTTCGTTTGTCTGATGTCCATTTTAGCTGATATAGTCTGTGTCTTGAAACTTATTTTTGTATTCGCTTTTGGTACAAGCTGATGAATTGATACAGATCTAACACTATTGTTATCAGAGTGGGTTGTATTGGATCCAAGGATCATCAAGTTAAGATCAGAGTCTCCTACAGAATGCTCCGAGTCGCGTAAAACAGTCATTCGATTGTTTGTATTCATGCTTAAAAGTCCTCTAGAGCATTTTTTTGTTCCAGAAAGATATTTTCGTGTAGGTTTTAAAGAATTCGTAGCATTTGCACCATACAAGGCACTTTTGTATATTGGTGCACTTGTATCTGGCTTTAGGCTCATTTCATCCAACCTTTCTTCACTTTTCGATACATTGTAATATGCAGCTAGTCCACATTTAGGACATACAGTTCTCTGATGCAGTAACCATCGATCTAAAAATATATTGACAGTATGAGGGTTGAAATTAATCTAGTGTCAAAATCTCCCGCAAGTGATTGTAGAAAGTAAACATACCTATGCAGGGCTGATGAAATCCATGACCACACGAGATTTGTCGAACAAGCTCGCCATATCCAATTTTAACTTGACACACACCACACATTCCATCGGCTCCTTCTCCAAGTCTTACTCGCTCCTTATCTTTTGGTCCTTTGATTTGAATCAATGGAAACGAGTTGATAATATGTAAAGGAATAGACCCCTGTTGCTGAGGCTTATCCAATATCAATAGAATTTCGTAATCTTTTTCTACCAGTTCACGTTGCTCTAACGATGCAACAATATTAGATGGAAGGATAGGCGCGACAACTCGTTCTGATTGAAACAACTTGCTAATTTTACTAGCTTTATGTTTAAATGCATGTTGGCTATGTGAATTGACACCGGGTTAGTGGACATGCTTAGTATTGATATATAGCTGAAGTTTGATTCTAACCACACTTGCCTGTGAGCGCCTGTTTTGAAACACTTGTCGCAAAGTTGAACATCCTATGTTTAAACAAGTGTCAAGTTTGACAAGATTTCATACTAAAATAAAGTATCTCATATAACTGTGTATTCTAATCACTTACACTACACATGGTACACCTAAGCAACACATCATGTTTTAGTGATTGCTAATTACTGGATCAAAAAGCGAAACTTGTATAGAGGATCCATACATTGCTCACAAATCACTTACAAATGAAGATTTCCAGATATTGGTGATATGCTGCATTCTTTACAGCACGATCCATGATGTATATATGAACTTGAATCTTTTCCAGCCCTGTGTCGGTTTCTAATCCCAAACTTGTCATTTGTTGAGCAAAAGATTGCTTTGAGGTCTTCAATAAGCCCAAAGTTGCCTCTACAAAGCTAAACACGCTTGAAGCTGTCAGTCGCGCAGAACCGATCAATACAGTTTTAATACGATCAAGCCCACGCTCTTACCGGACATTCCATTTTCTCCATACCAAGTGCCTTTGTTTGATGATCCATTAGTATTTTCATGCATTTGACATGAATGCTATTTCCGCACGAAAATCTACAATGTGCTAGTGGGGTTGCTGGACTGAGTAATTCTTCCTGACAAATGGCACATACATCATGAGGCTCAATAGGTCGTGGCTCCAATTCCTTGGGCTTTAAAGATAGGTTTGAAAAAGCCTCGCTTGCTCCATCTGAGCAAGCCATCTTTTTATCCTTTATGGTTTTAATTGATGTCTGACGCAATGAAATGAAATTCTTTCGATTTTGAAGCATTTCGCTGATTTCACGCTCAGTCAGTGACGTTTGATAAATCATGTCACAGTCTGGGTCAATGTGAAATATTTTAAGCATCACCCACAGCTTTTCTGGGTCAGTTAGTTTAAATATGATTGTAAAAAAGATGAATTTAGTTTATATATGTTCAAGGCATGTGATTTTCTTACAATATGCACACAAAGGTCGTTTCCTAGCATATGCTGACTGCACGAACATTTTTGAGAAAATCCCAAAGCAACCTTGAACTTTTTAAAAGTAACTGACGAGTCTGGTACTTGCAGAGACAAGGCATTTTCAGTTTTTATTGGACATGAAATATCGGTTTGCAAACCGCTGTCTGTAGTATGAACACCATCATTATCTATCGCGTCTGGCAGAACAAGCTGGGCTGCTGGCCGTTTACTAGATCCATTATCGCTAAGAACAAATGCCATTGGGCCTAGCTCTTGCAAAACAAAAAACTGCAGCTGCTGTGCTTTAAGAATGCGTTCCTTGATGTTATCGGGACATTTCTTGCGTAGTGATGCGAGTCTAGACATTAGCAGCGAAATATCAATGAAGGGTGGAAAATGCTTTTACGATTCCTGAATCTAATTCATATCGATTCATTTTAAAATGCATTGGTTTTTGGCAAATATTTTTGAATATAACAGGCTTGTAAACACTAGTGAATCTACATCAAGCTTCAGCCAGTAGAATCAGTCAAGAACCTTGTGATCGAGCACGATCAGTTGGATCATGTAAACTGCAGTTTGCGATTTCAAAGCTTTCCTTACATCAAGTTGCCGTTTGGATGATATCTGAGCCCTACAGTATTCTGGGATATGAATTGGGAGATATTATTGGAGAGGGTGCCCAGGGAAGGCATGTATTTATCATGAATTGTGTGCCTTTTTCGTACATGATTTTCTGCTTGTAATCAACAATGGCTTGGCTTCAAATGATGTCCGCTTGCTAATTTCTAGTGTCGATCCATTGGATACAAATGCCATTTCGTATTGTTGGGTCTTTAGGGTTCGTCTTGCTGTTAAATCTAGTGATATGAGCTTGGCTGCAGTCAAGATCGCTAGCAAATTCCTACCTACTGGAGCACCTGCCAATCTAATGATGCTTCGCAAAGAAGTCAAGATTCACGAAGCAGTTTCGCATGAAAACATCATCAAACTATTTGCCACTGGAGAGGATGATGCGTTTGTGTATTTGGCCATGGAATACGCTGCATCCGGAGAGCTATTTGATTTGATCCGTGAGATACCCAACCCAAATTGAAATCTTCATGTTGAAAAATGGTACGTTATAGATACGCAGAGTGCTGACCAGTGTGACTCTATTTATACTATATTTAGAGCCGGATGTTGGAATTGATGAAGATTTGGCTCATTTATATTTTCATCAGCTTGTTTCTGGCATGGATTACTTGCACACTAGAGGAATATCCCACCGCGATCTTAAACCAGAAGTATGTGTGTGCCGTATAGTGGATATACTGTATGACTAGCTGGTTTCATAAAGCTAATTGCAGTTGATTTAACTCAAGAATATGCTCTTGGATGATTTAGGTAAATATGTTGGAGCGCATTTGTCTTGATCGCATTTGCGTTTATTCATCTATATTTATGATGATGCTTTTAAATGATAGGAAACTTGAAAATATCAGATTTTGGTTTAGCAACTGTATTTAAACATAAAAATATCATCCGAACACTAACGACTCCGTGCGGCACGCCTCCATATGTCGCCCCAGAGATTCATGCCATGAAATATGACGGTGCTCAAGTTGACATTTGGTCATCTGGGATTATTCTCTATGTACTACTAGCAGGAAGTAAGCATTGGTTTGGTGTGGATTATTAAATGGTATGCAACTGGGATGACTTCATTTTACTGATAAATTATGATCTACACATTCTTACTGCAGATACCCCATGGGGCGAGCCCACTTTTAAAGATCCAGAGTTTAAATTATATTATCAACAGTATCCTCATGATCTTGATTACTCTCCTTGGAACTCCTTTTCAAGCGAGGTTTTAGGTATCAATTGTATATTTTTACAACATTCATGCCAATAGAATCTAACTTTTAAAATCTCGCTAGAGTTGATATGTGGATTGTTAACAATTGATCCACAAAAACGATATACGCTTGAGCATATCCAACACAACAGCTGGTTTGAAAAGTATTGCCGTTATGCATAGTATTTTTTAATATTCCATCTTGTGATTTCTAACATGATTTTTGAATACAAATTCAGGGAAAATATTTTATTGACAGATGGTAGGTCATTAAATGTATTTTTGTCATTGAGTGGTCATCTACAAACAGTTGTCATTAATCACTCTGCAACTGACGCAATCCATCATAGGCCGTTGCAATAATCCAACGGCTTTGGCAAAAAGACTTCGAGAAAAGCTTGGCATTTCAAGTGCAGAAATGCTTGAAACAACTCAACTATCGTAAGTTTGAAACTGTATCTCAAATCAATACCGGCTCACTAATTACAATTTACACTTTGCGAATTAGAGCGATCGCATTTTCGCAGCCTATGGACATGCGTGTAGATGGCGACTCTCCAGATTTTCTGGATTCATTTAAATATATTGCAGGAGGAATTAACTCGTTTTCTCAGCCATTGCGAATGGGCATATCCCAAAGTCCTACTCCAGCATTGAATCGATTTACAGACACTGCGGTATGTAGATGCAATGTCGGCACTTTATAATTCTTGTAAACAAACTAAACCTTGTTATGCTCACGTTTAGTCCCAGATACACCAAAAGAAAATTGTCAACATTTTCCCATCCGATCGCATGACACGATTTTACAGTAGCTCAGATGCTGGGATTATATTTACAAGGATATCCGAGACACTCCAACAATTTTTGGTACCATATAAAATCCACCAAAAGCTTCTCAAAGTAATCAATATAGTTTTGAACTGGCTTATTCGCATGGTGTGTACTTATGCTCTGCTCTTGTTTAAAATATAGATTGTGTTTAGCACGGTTGATAGACGCAAGTGTCAGCTCCATGGAGAGATATCGATCCAAAGGGCTACCGACGAATGCCATATTGTGCTATTTCGTAAAAGCAAGGTAAAGAATGCTTAATATACTATTGTGAGAGTGGTGAATGCTCATCAAACTTTTAATATTTTTTATTTGGAATATGCATTTATTCAGGGTGATCCACTTGAATTCAAGCGATTTTACAAAGCCATTTACAATGCTGTTCCAGATATTATTGCGATGTGAGTTGCAGATATGATGTTGGAACAAGTCCCTGGGATTTATCTAGTTGAACCTATTTTCAATTCAAATTTGAAATCAGTGACCAAGAATAAATTTATCCATTTGGGATGGCATACTATCACTTGTCTACAGTCGTAAAATGCACAGATAGTTTAAACCAAGTGTCTTACCATTGTCCAACCAGATCCATCATCTAATGGGTTGTAGATTAAAACAGTGGCGGATTAGTTAAAATCTACATCAGGACAGTACACTTTGAATAGCTTATACCTGCTTCAAGTATGGTGACAGTATCTCCAGAGTAAATGGTCAATTCATCGGGACTATTCTTGATGTAGTCGAATAGAACCAGCTGATAAACATCCATTAATTGATGTTAGTAAAATAACTCAATTGCATGAATCCTAACAAATATTGACAAAATAACGTGCTCTAGCACAGTAAATTGGTAAAAGTACGTACTATTGACTTGATGGAAGGGATCATACGAGACTGCATCGAATAGGCATCGCTTTGATTGCTATTGTCATATCCTTCCATTTCAAAAGGATTCTGATTGCTGGATTTAGACATTCCAGAAACTGACAGAGGTCGAGTTGGTGGCGGAACTGGTGCTGTGATACCAATATTTTCCATTCTGCTTTCCAAATTATTAGTTGAAGTTGTTTGTTGGTGATAATTAGTGGATGTTTGAGCACCTGCAGAGGGCACTTTGCAAGTTGAAATTATTTCAATATAAGAGGCGGGAACCAATCCTTGCACATTGTGTCGAGATACAGTTGCCCACCCACTTCCATCGTCTATTACCATTTTCAATGCAATCCAATCGTATTAGTGATTAAAAATAGGTGTAACAATAGCTATAACATGAATGTTTTGCACAAATAATTGATCGACTATATTCTTATACCATCTTGTATTACTGAAACAACTTCGTCACGATGGATCGAGATTTCGTCTGAGCTACTCGCAATGTAATCGTAAAGCACTCTGGCTGGAATAACATTAGCAATCATAGTAGTTTCGAGGCTTGACCCAGCCTGTGTCTTGAGATTAGATTCAGAATGATGGAAATCTTGCGAGCCTAAAAAATTAGTACATATATTAGTAAAAGATATATCAATATTACGAGTTTAATCAGCGCAAATTACTTTGATTGGAATAGGCTGAACTACGTGTTGATAACCCAGTGGCAATGTTTGGCGCACTTGCAGTCACAGTGTTGGTATGAGTATATGACAATGGGAGAGTTGCTTGGGTTGCAGAGTAAATAGGCGACGATTTTGCAGAGGAAAGTTGCTGAGGCATCAACGAAGCAGGCCTGCTGGGACTCGAAATTACACGACGAATCTTTGGAGTACCTTTGATTCCAGGACAAGTTGGCGAAATCTTGAGTTCGCATTTTAAATGTGCATTGAATGAGCTAAATTTGACAGTAAATATGAACCAATAGTCAGTAAACCACTTGGATCATTATACTTTTCAATAGTTTATACATGTCACTTACCAATCTAGGTAGAACAAAGTAAACAATATAAAAGCATAAACACAAAAAAATAATGTCAGTGATAGAACACAATATAGATAGCGGTTGGTTTGTAGTTTATCTCACCCCGACAAGAGATGCCGGATTTGGTAACTCCCCAAACTGTTTGCTGGCAAACGTCACATGGTGTTGGAATTGCAAAAGAGATATTTTTAAAATTATGCACCTTGCTTCCTGACGGAAATTCTAAAATTCAAACAATATAGCAGTTAGCACAGGCTGATTAAAAATAATCCGAAAATTCCAGTATTCACCTCCAACCGAATCAACAATCGCCTTGATCTGTGTTTCGAGTTTACATTTGAGAGTATGTACCAGAACCAATCCTCGATTGGATTCTAGCAAATTTTCGTAAATATCGTCAGCATTTCCTTGCTGAGGATTGGCCGTGTATACTTTCAATAAATTCTCCATGCCAGCAATCCCTTTTTTTTCTACAGAAATGTCATGGTCAGTTGCAGTCAATTCCTGACGGATCTTGGCCAACTTATTTCGCAAAAATATCACACAGAACTCGTCGGTAACAATCTCGCCCTACAAGTAATGCATTTTTAAAGTTCATTGAGTGTTATTAGAAAGCACCAGTATGTGTCAGCTTAGTAGCTCTAAGCACTATTTAATCAATTCATGCCAACGTGCATTTAAAATAGACAAAATTATTAATATAAGCATACCGCATCAATCCAGAAACTACATGGCATAAATACAAAGTCGGGTGGCCTTGGAATTGACTTTTGTCGAGTTGCATCATACACTCTACTGTCACAAACAGGGTTAATAGCGGCTACGACATTTTGAGTTGCATGTATATCCGAAAGAGAAGCCTCAGTGGTCTCTTCCCGCAGTGTCATGTACTTTTGCCAAATCTGCTTGACACTCAACACAACCAATCGCCCCAAGTCGCGCATACCGTCCAGTAATTCAGGAATATCCTGCTCATAGTGCTTTGCTTTGGCGGCATTTGCACTCTTGATTGCAAGTAAATAGAGATTCTGTCAATATATTCAAACAAGTATCAGTTAGTCTAAATATAAATATAGAAAGTCTACTGATTGCCAACCTTTGCATTATTCATGTCAAGGATTTCTTGATGCCAAGCACGTTTAAGCTTTTCTTTAGATTTTTCATCAATGCCACGTTCATGTTTAGCTTTTGAGCTATCCACCATATCGCACGATTCAAAATACTTGTATTTAGCCTTTTCAATCTCGTTTTCCATCTTTTCTCGCTCAAAAATCAGTCGCTGGGAAAATACGATATACTACAAGTATGGAAATTTACAGCGGTTAGTCAAGCTTGCTATTAATTGAAGTTTAGCAGCTGACTCGTTGAGTCAATTCAATATACTCTTCAAATTCATTAGCTAGAAACTCTGAAAAGTGTAGTATACCTTTTTTCTAGATTCATCTCTACGATTGCCGAGTGCCTTTAACTGCTCAGCTATATCATTATGAAGTGAGTCGGCTAAAGATGCATGCCGTTTAGCCGACTGTGTTGTTTCGCGCAAAATTGAGCTCCAGCAAGATCGACTTGTACTGCTAGCAAATAGTTTGCAAGTATCACATGCCATAGACACAGTAGTCAAATTTAGGTAGTTTGAAATAAAAGAGCATTCAATACAGTCAGTAAGTATGAGATCAATCTGTTCGAATTTAAACGTATCGGCTACGTCAAGCAAGATATACTTTGCACCTGGATTCAATCAGTGAAATTGCCGAATCGCCATGAACTACCATTTCCGAAACGGGTTCACCCGTTGCCAAATTTGTGTTAGATCCGGAAGAAGGGCCAGACTCTGAATTAGAAGGAATACCGACAGAAACCAACAAACTACTGCGTTTGGAATCTAGTTTATCTCTTCGTATTTCGTATTTCTTTGCAAGGGCTTCGAGGCGTTTGCTGCACTCCCGCTCCAGATCGGCACGCTCTCGCATATAATCCCTCACGTCTGAAAAAAATGAAATGTCATGACTCTAGATACAGACATAAGAATAAGCATCAAATATGCTTTATGCTCTTCACCCCTGGCATCCATCCATATCGGAAAACACCTTCAAATTCAATGATTCTGTTTAAAATCCAATTGATATTACCAAATGCTGGTCGGCCAGTTTAATGTCCTAGAGTAGAATATGTTGAACAACAATAGTGAGTTGCATGCCATTGACATGTCAGCAAGTTAACAGGATTCAATGCATTTCGAATTCATGCCAGTTTGATAATTAAACCATCAAAATTATGCTTACTTGGATTTCAGGAGCAGCACCCATTTTAACAGTTTTTATGCAAGTCTTGAATTGATTCCTTCAAATAAGAATATGCAGAAATGTCGAAACGTTTGCACTGAAGATTCGGCATAAATCAGGTCACGTCAAATCACGGGATTTAATTGACTTTTAAACAGACTGCAATAAAGCTTCAACTCTCCATCACTGCTATGCTGCAGCAACCTGCAAAGATGTCCATGTATGAGCAGCTTAGTATGACTCAAAGCAAATCTACCGGATTTCCTGCTTCACATACACACTTTGTGTCTCGAGAGCCTGCTGGAGTACCTTTCAAACCCTACAAGTATGCCATACGAAGCCAGACCAATGCTGGTGCAGCAGGCAAGTTGGGGTTCTCTGGATATAGCATTCCATTCGTATATCATGCTTCATGCATGAACCAACACGAGTTTAACCTTGTACTGATTCAATGAAACTTAGATCTTGAAGCGGATAGTTCTTTAGCCAAAGGCCGAATGCCACAGTTTCGTGCTGATCGTCCAGGTCCACATGTTGGAAACCCATCTGCATTACATATGGGTGAAATGAACCCATCAAGCCAGCAGCATAAGCATACGTTTATGCGAGCTGTTACAGATGAAGATTCATACCTATTGCATCGATCATCTGACATGGCTGCATCTATATTTGATATGCGTGTTCAGCTCAATACAAACTAAGTAGACTCAATGACAATATGTATATTCACTACTACGACAAACTCGATCAAGAGAGTATCCAATAATAAAAACAGTATCGATCGACTCCTTAAAATTGTGTAAAGCAGATTCGTAAATTTAAACATCTTTTTATTCGAAATAAGCTCCAGACTTTCACAACTTGAACCGTCCTACAACTCATCACGATCAGAACCGTCATTGGCTTTTACAACTGTCAATTTTGCTGCAGCTTGTCTTGCTGCATCAAACTCGGCGCGTGTTGCATGCACTTGCTGATCCAATCCCTCCCATTCTGGAAGAATGCGACGGGCACGTTCCAGCTTTGGCTCTTTAGTCATCGGGTTATTACACAAATCAATCGTTTTGGCTTTTTTGAGAGACTCGTCGCTACACCAGGTCTCACACCACAGCCATTCCTGTGGCAACGAGTACATTGGAATGTGATGAATCATGCTGTTGGGGAGATCCTGGTCAAGATTGGCCAAGGAATCGGGATCTGCACTAAGCGTGTGGTATTGCTGTCTAAGTCGATCACCCGCAGCTACTCCTCTGAATCGAACCAAGTCAATCACGTAAAGTGCACTAATATGATAGGGTCTACCACGCAAATGACCTTGCCAAAAACCTTGATTCCAAAATCTAAATCCATCCATTTCAGTTCGATCACTACAAAATGGTGTATACCCATATACAGCACCATGCAGATCCAAATCAACCAACTCTTTCAAATCGGCTCGAACAACCTGATCAGCATCAACAAAAATCACCTTGTCAATTTTAAGCGGAAACAGCACATCTAAAAATAGGATTTTGTATCCCCAAATGATTCGCTGTTTCTCTGTTTGCTCGCGAAGCCATTTTGGCCACTTGTATGTGACCAATTCGTAATCAAACTTGTGCATTTTAGCCAAATATGGAAGAAATTCCATAAATGAAGGAGATAAAAAGTTCTCAATCAGCCAAAACTTGACAGGGTTTTTGGTTTGACGTTTTACGCTTAGCATCATGATGGAAAGAAAGCGTTCGTAGAGGTGGCCTGAGGCTACTGAAAAAACGTTGATGGTTTCCAATGTGGAAATACCACCACCAAAAACTTCTTTTACGCCTTGTTTGACCGTGTTCCAAAACCCAGGCTTGGCTTGGTCAGAATCAGCCAATACGTCTTTGCCTGCCATGCCAGGCCGAACATTTACGTTGGGAAACACTGTCACACCTTCAAATGTGTCTACCACGACCAGTGCTCCATCATCACCAAGTTTCGAACTTTCCACAAAAGTGCCGTTGGACGACATGTAGCTCAACGAATCCATGTTGTAAATAGTGCGCGATCGGCCTTCACGAATACGCAAGTGCCATACACCAGGATTTGCTTTAAGCTGCAAATATCCCAAATTAGCCATGGTGATCGTATCCACCATATTAGGATCAGTCTCAGAACCAAGAACAAATTGGAGTCCACGAGGCGAACCACCCGAATGTATATCAGTAGCATGCCCTTCAACAAGAATACTTTGAAGAACAAAATCAGCCTCAATACCTACAGCACGAGGAAAATGAGGCAATGACGATAACTTGATATTGTCGAGATCGTGAATGGACTTTGTGGGTCGAACTAGCCACGCACCTACTACATCCATACCAAGAGTAAGCAGAGGAGCGGCTGGTATACGATCGAAACTTGCTCCAACGGGGGCAAGATTGCCTTGGGTATCAAATTCTGGTTCAGATCTTAGCACATAGCGATAAAAACGAAACAATGGCAGTTTTTCCAAATCCGCATGATACTGCGGGTTTAAAAACACCTCAATAGCCACACCATCCACTTTGCTAAATCCTGCCAATACACTTGCCAACTTTTGTCCCACATTAGATATAGGATCGATTATAGCTGTGAAATGAATAGTAGCTTCATCAAACCCACTAGTAGAGAATGTACCAGGTGCATTACGTATAGCTGCAAACTTTGATGAAGAGACACGCTTGATAGAAGTAGCCTCATGCTGTGGAGTTTTTGTTGCAGTATTGGCAGCAATAACAAGTGACTGCGACTTGAAATGAAGATTGGACAGTTCCGCAGGAGAAAGGTCTTTGTCGCGAAGCGAAGCAATCAGTTTGGTCATTTGGCTTGCCCGGTTCTGCGATTCAAATGAAAGAAGCGATTCAAAATCATGCTGGTCAAAAAGACGAGATACGGGAATATGGGAAATCACTCTGGTGTTGGCAATGACAGCATATTCCCCAGGTAAAAGTTTAGTAGCTGCAACAACAGCAGCCAATCCCTCGTGCCGCAAGGTGTTAAATTCTGAAGATTCCGAGGTTCTTTCAAACTTGTCACTATTTGTAGCCGCTGCTTTGAGCGCTTCAATAGGAGTTGAACCTTCTTTTGAAGTTGATAATTGCAGAATATGGAATGCCGCCTCATCAATAAACACTTCTGTATCCTTTGAGTCGGTAGAACCATTATGAAGAAATGCTACTCGAACAGGATGATCGTTAGCAGCAACCGAGTTTACCGCAGCTAATGCAAAATCAAGACCGGGTGGTGTAGAAAAATCACCGACTACAATCAAAGAAATCTCGGCAAACTCGGCATCAGCAGAACGATACATCCATGGTAACGTATCAAACACTTTAGATGCAGAATACTCGAGCCAGTTGACCAGACTAATAGCTTGTTTGGATGAAGGAAACACTAGAGCATTTCGTTTACGAAACACATTATCTAGAGTCATAAAATGCCCCCACAAATTTGTGTTGTCATCAACTTGACCAGAGTAAACAGCCTTTGTCAGGTATTCGACCATGGAAAAGTAGGTTTCCACGAGTGTTTTTTGCCACAATCCATTGGTTTCAATGTATTTGCCATTGGAAAAAATCGCACCATCAGACCGTGTAACACCCAAACGCTCGGAATAGGCAAACAAATCCTTCAATAGCACTTTGGTTTTCTCACTTGGCTCTCCAAATATCTCGCTATATTCCTTGTTTGTGATTTTAGAAAAGATGGATTTGACAACAGAAGCCGTCACGCCCTCCTCTGTTTCTGCAAACTTGGCGAGCATCTCAATCATACTTTTAATATGCTTTTTACGACCGCTTTCTTTAAACCGATAAAATATCATGGCAATCATATTGCAAGGATGCTCCCCGTGCTCATCATTGACTAAAGGCACAATACCAAACTTCAATGGTGTTGTGGCTTCAATGAATCCAAACACTGTGGTAGCAACTGTAATGTGGCTTGACTTGGTCAGATCCAACATCAGTACTGTAGTCAATAGGTTTTTACGTACGTACTTGAGTTGCCCGGGGTAGGTTGGACGCATAATATCTCTAATAGATGCAGGGAGAAAGCTAAATCTACTATCTTTTTCTACATCGCTAAGCCAGATTATGCTTTCAAAACGAGTATCAAAGCACTCTCCCCATGACCGATCCAATGATTCTAACAACGGAGCAGAAAGAAGCTCAATAGCTTGAGCAGTTGTCCAGCCCAACTGGCGAAGTTTACCCATGATCTTAGATTCTTTGCGAATCATACGAAATAGCTCAAATGTATCGATCCGAGACAAGTCTACAGTGTGACCATTAAGGTAGAGTTGGTTGGGAGCCGTAGATATTTGCATTACTTTTTTTGTTGTTTCGCGCACCTCATCGTCTATATGATAACTTGCCAAGATATGCGCATATTTTGGGAAATTTTGTGTCACCAGGACGAGCGTATCCAATGGAGTGGCTGATTGGGCAATATAGCTAGCTGTTCTGATACCTATATCATAGATATCTTCTTTGGTCAACGACTTGATTATAGGAATGGCTTCAAACAGAAACGCATCTTCGGATGTGCTGGTGGATACCAAGTCACCATCAAACGTCTCGATTGTATCAGAATTCAATGTACGATCATCTTCCACTTTATACTCTGTGTTTTTGATGGCCAATTCAACACCATACCCTGAAAGGAACAGTGGCTGTTTTGCAAAAGTCGAGGGTTTGTATCTTAGCACGAGCTGCAGTGGATGGTTTTCAGCTGCATTCATGAAAGCTGAAAGCATAGGTTTAAATTCAGATGACAATACATCTGCGTATATAATTGCAACTAGACTTGGAGAATTATGCTTCTGGTAGGTATGATCGAATGGCAGTACAGTGTAATCAGAGTTGCTGGAATTCAGTGAAGATTCAAATAAAGTATCAATAGCTCCCACATCACAGATCTGACGACCATTCCAATAAACCCACACAGGACACGACGGATCAAAGTCTTTATGTTTTGAAAGTGACGGAACGATTGTCTGCAAATAAAAGCGATAGTGTGCCTGGATACGTGGTGCCGAACTGTGAATGGCGAGTGACAGTTTAGCCAAACCTAGCGATGCATGAGAAGATAAAAAGCGCTGAATGATTGGTGCTGAAGCTGTTTGAGAGCTGAAAAGAGCATCATAAATCTGCTTGGGTTTCTTTGATGCATCCAACAAGTCATTCTTGGCCATCAACGACAACAATGGGAATACAGAATCTTGGACTTCCTCTGCTGCAAACTCGCTATTTGAACCAAGTTGAATCGAATAAAGTATGGTGGTTAGACATTGGTCGCATATAGAAACAGTATGAGTAGAAAGCAAGTCTAGTACAAGGATTGTGGTGGAATTAATGGACTGTTGATGGCCAAGATCTTACATGACTTCGAGAGCAAACGGAGGTGCAGACCATTCATCTACAGTTTTAAGCCAGACATGGATTGGAGGAGAAGCCGAGCTGGAAGATGAAGTTGCAGCGACATATAAAAGATTGATAGTAACAATCAGCACACTAGATATTCCAGCATGCATATGTAGTCGCATGAATCCGCTGTATTCACGCAGAACAGAACACTCTTGCAGCGATTTCTATTTCGCTTTGGAATCAGCAGCGGTTAAATATTCGTTTTCCTACAAATTGACTTTAGCGTCCATCATGAATCTGACTGTAGTTTTGAACTGGAATTCTCTTTTGGCAGTCACATTATAATCCAGTGTTTGAATTTGATGTCAAACTCGTCTTGTTTCTAATCTCAGATACGATCACGCTCTAGTTCAAGAAGCCAATCTTGGGAGTTATCGTTCCATGAGATGGTCATCTTTATCTAGTTGCTTCATTTTACACGAATATGACTATAAATAATAAAACTTTGCTATTTGTTTAAAACAATTGTTTTTATTGTCAAAATGAAACTGTAAGCCTGCCAACTAAAGGTTGAATGTAGTAGATCTACGCTTCCACAAGCTGATACGCTGAATTGCCTTGCGATCCTCTTGGCCACCACACTCTTTGATGTAAACAACCTCAAAGTTGGGTTCCAGGTACTTACTGTACTCCATTACCGACCATTTGTATGGTGGACCGCCTTCGCTGTCACGAAGTGGAAACATGAGTATCAAAGCATAACCACCTGGTTTGATCAATGCAGCGACTTGAGCAGCCCATGCATCTCTCAGTGAGGGCTCGATCGCACATGCAAACGTATAATCAAAAAGTAGATCAAACTGTCGGTTTTTGATCTCGAAAAAGTCGCCAGTCTCGAAATGGGCATTCGCCACAAGTGGATGATCATCTTTAGCGGCATGGGCTTTAGCTTGCGCAGTAGACGTGGGTGCCATATCTAGTCTGTTGAAATGTGTTAATACCGAACAGCAGTTGATCTATTTGATTACAAATCAAGATATAGCCAACTATACACTTACCCAAGAGATGACTTGTAGCCAGCTTTTGCAAAAGCAAGAACATCGTAGCCCATTCCACAACCAGGAACAATAACAGATTCCCCCAAAGGAGTAGGAGTTTCAGCCAGAAACTGGGTAATGGCAGGTGTCACATCTCCCTGATCCCATCGGATGTTATTGACTTTCCAGAGTTCTTCCCAGTTGGTCATTTTACTGCCGTATTTACGTAAAATGAAAGTAAAGATGTCAAAATCCACAAACAGCCAATCTTGAAATAATCGGTAATTTACTGGACAATTTGTGCTCACTAAATATTCACGTCATGGTTGCCATCTTCAATTCTGTTTTCATACAAATACTATGACATGGAAACAACTGCTGCATGTTTAAAACTGTTCTGTTGAACTAGAACGCAAACGCATTCGAGATTAAAAACAAAGTTTGACCTTGAAACAGTCAGCCTCAGTATCTGGTTTAAAATGAATGAATCTGATAATCATGTGTGTATGCTGATGCCAAAAGTGAAATAGTCTCAATTCAAAGCTATAGTTCGATGTTGTGTTTGAAATGTTTGTGTAAAATACATTCAACCACACTTTCGTATATGGTCAGGGGCTATTTTTGTTTGGTGGTGTTGCTTTGCGAATATCGGTAGATTGTTGATTTGAATGACAGGATCCCCTATCGCCCATGTGTCCTGTGCTGCGACGATAATCTGAGTTGTTGACACGGTCAGTTTATTGAATAACATTCTGCTCGTCTCAATTAAATATAGGACAGTCGCTCATTTGGTCTAGCGGCGACAGCTTGCTGAGCTTGGTGTTGGTCTTTTTCTGACGCGAGTTCAATATCCCATCTAGAGTTTATGCTAATCTGAAGTAATCGTGCAATTTTACAAAGGACTCTTGTTTTGAAATGATGTTGCTTATGTTATCAAAATGATTTCAAAACATGGCAGAGTTGGGTTGAAGTACAATAAATATTTTTGCGTTCTCATTGCTTGTTTTCAACTGTCACCACTGTTTGCGAGATTCTTTTCAATAAAGCTTGTAAATTATGATATAGAATACTTAGTATGCTATAGACTTGGAGTTTGGGGCTCAACTATCAGTAAGTCGACATACTTTTGCTATTCAATAGCCATCAGCTCTGACTCGGGTTAAACATGCCAGATATTGCCGATACTATACTTAAATGTACCGTGTTGCCGAATACACGGAGAATAGTGCCATGTATTCAAACAATAAAGGGAATAAAATGACCATATTAGCAAGCATTTTTGAGATTGAAAAGTTGCTTTAAACCTTTTTCAGTACCCATCAATTTGATTTCAACCTGTATACACATGTTTAAAGGCCTCAATGTTTTTAAAACAGTCAAGCTATTTACAACAGTAACAATGTGGATAATTTGATTTGAAATGTCATCAAATACCAAGGTGACAGCATTACAAAAGTATATTCTAACAAATATACTTTTGAATCTACATTTATACTGCAGAATCCTTTCGAGGCCACATCTCTATTTTAAATTACTGTGGTAAATTTAAACTTAGCTTTCTTGCCGAACTACCATCCAGATGGTGGGCTTCACGTTAAAGGCGTGCATATGTATTTATGCTCAACTCTGCTTGACAGCACAAGCAGCCAATCCTAATCGTGGAAACAACAAGACATCCAACACTATTCTTTTCACATATTTGACTCAGACTGGAGTTCCAGTAACTGATCAAGCATTTGCTGGTTAGTCTAAATATATAGCGTATTTCCTGATACATTGTGATACCAGTTTCAATTCATATCCAGGAATATAAACTAATTCATGTTTCGTTAGGAATGCATATGGCTGTGGGGGAAATCAACTCAAATGCTAGTATTTTGCAAGATGTGAATATTATTTTGAACAAAAGCGTCATACCTGATGCCACTATTGCACCAGCAAGCGTATTCGATTTTGGAGTGTCAATATGCACGCCTAATCAGCCGGTTTTAATAGGTTCTAATTTGCAGGACATTACGATGGAGTTGGTTATGCAAGCCTGTCCCAAAGTAAGTTTTTCTATTTAACCACGCAAGCGCATCTGAATTTATGATGCTTGGTAGATATCTTCAAATTAATGTCGGTAACCTGCATATACTGAATTTATTCCATGTATAGGCTCTTGCATTTTCAATTATTGCTGGAGCAGATGCACTCAGTGACAAAACCATGTAAGTTCTGACCATATATCTAGTTATCTATTATTTTAAATTACATTGAACACAACTCGCTAATGCTTGAGAAATAGCTATCCGAAATTTTGGAGATACGTGACAACCTGGGGCCAAAGGATCAAAGCACAGGCTGCCCATTATGTCTATTATGGATGGACACAGATCGGCATGATTTCATCCATCGACGTTTCATTTACTGAAGATATATGCACTCAGTACTTTCCAACCCAGGGAGTTGACATTTCCGCATCTACCCGATTCTCAAAGTATAATCCAGCAGTATCGCAATATTACTATACTCAGCTAAAAGATTCGTTTCAATTTCTCAAATCATCCAATTTAAGAGTGTTTCTTATCAATGCAGAGAGTCATTATCTGATTGATGTTATGATGGCGGCTAATAGAACGGGTATATGGGGTCGAGATTATGGTAATTTTGAATTAACATTAGTTGTATTGATTTGATGCAATGTGATGCACAACTAATACGCTTTTAAAATTCTATTTAAAATAATAGTTTGGACAACAACTCAGGCATCCATTGCATATCAACAGGGTGCTTCTAGTCGTTGGGGTAATATAATATCAAATGGCATATGATTGGTATAGCATATATTAATGGCGATTTTGTGGAATATCTAGATACACCACTAAACCCTCAAGTTCTACGTGGTCTCACCTTGCTCACCAACAAAAAAGGTCCATACCTCAATGAATCCTTTATACAACAATTTATGGTTAATTTCAAGGCATTCATCAACTACACGTTGACCAACGAGCAGTATCTTTACAGCACACTAAACTTTTCACAAACAAACCCAGCTGTGCAAAATTACCCACCAAATACATTCTATGCTGATCCTGGAACCCATACATATCCTTTATCCTATCTGACAGAAAGCTACGATGGAGCATACACGCTTGCACATACTTGCGAGCAAGCGATTGTTGAACAAGGCGTAACTGGTGTCGAACTGGCTGGTGGTTTAGTGGATGGAAACATTACCATCAGTAAAATTGTAAATCAAATCATGTCCAACCCAACAGTTAGCGAATTTATTGGATTTACACCAAAAGGCGACCCAAGCGTTGAAATATTAATCATGTATCAATTACTTGGAACTAGTTTTCATACGACTATCCCGGTGGGAGTATTCAATCAAATTTCCCCAAATAGTGACGTTCATACTTTCACACCAAATACCTCGGCATATTTTTGGTAAATTACATGATTTTTGGATGCATGGTACATGGGATTGGGTTAAAAAGACGATTAACAAGCTTGGCTTAATTAGGTCGGGCGATCGCGCATATAGTGATACTCCTGCCGCCTTCCCGCCAGCATACCAAGACTTTGTATCTTCAACCAATTTAATTACCGATATCATGCTAGGTAATACAATCAGCTTATAATTGATTTTTTCCTTCAGCTAAACCTGTGCCTCGTGTTTACAGGGCTATCTGGACTATGGTCGGTATATTTCGGATTGTCAGCGGTGCTCTACTTATTTATTAAACAAACGGTCCCGTTGAATTTTTTTATTTCAGTAAGTATGATCAAGTTTACATGTATGATTGGTATACTGATGTATAAATGTCTAACAATGTGGTATCAGATTGGGCTGGCAATAATTCCACTCAACGCGTTTACTATTATCGGTCAAGACAAACCTTTGGGATGTGCATTGCGTATTTGGCCAGTCCCACTCGGACTTACCATAATCCTGTCATGCATTTTATCCAAGGTAATTTCTTGCATAAATCAATAACGCTTTATGTAGCTATACGATAGATAAAGCATTTAACCTGACTGTAACTGTATTATCAGAGTGCACAACTTCAGGCTATTTTTTCCTTGTCAAGGAGCACCTTTGCTTGCATTTTGACATCATTCAAAGGAAGGCATGCTATTTTTTTGCCGTTAATTGTTGTTATCCCTGTCATGGTAAGTGGTTTATTTGATTTATCTGAAATAATTTAATGGCCAAAATACTGACATTCTAATATAGCTGCTTCTTGGAGTTACTTCGGTAATGTTCCCATTTGTTAGCAACAGTGTATATGTTCCAGACACATCGGGATACACGTGGGTTTGTGTTCCATCAACAATGCAGACATCATTGATATTATATATCATAATTACCGCTATAGTAGTCATGTCCATCTCGATTGTCGTACTAGGATATCTTAATCGAAATCTTCCTCAGCAGTTCAACGACACCCACCAAACTGCTGCATCCATCATTATTATTCTTGTTTTGGGTGCATTATGTCTTGGCCAAGGCTACACAACCCAATCCATTCAACTGCAATTCTATTTCGAGGTGGTATCGTCCCTGGTTGGAACAACGGTAGTGCACGCGTTCATCGTTGAACGGCCGCTGATGAAATATATTTGGGTGGCAGCGTTCAAACGTTACACTATGTTTAAAAAACGTAACCATCATAAAAGTGCGACAAAGTCGCGAAAACAAAAATCGAGAGAAATGCTAGAAAACACAAGTGATTTGAAATCATATCAATCTTATAGTACCGACTCTTCTGATTACTCGTTGATTGTTAAAGTTGATGAACCCATATCAAAACTAAGCACTAAAGATGTGCATATATATCACAAGCTTTCCTATTCCGTGTTTCAAGGTAAGGTGTATCTTATATAATACACAGAAATATATACTCACTATAGGTTGATGATGTTAGGATATATACTTAATGACTCGGTGTTTCCCAGATGGCTAAAAGTACAATTTAATGTACTAAATGACCCAATCATGGTAGTCAAGTGCATACCTTTTATCAACACAAATGTATGTATATTGTAAACCAGCGATTGCATTCAGTGAAGCAATAGCTAACACGGTTTGATTAAATACATCATTTGGCCTTTTTATGTAGACATCACAATATATCCAACTCTCTCAGTTGCTCGAGATTGAAAGTTATAAAGTCTATTCGAATGGCATGAAAAATATCTGTGTAATGAGACTTTTGGATAATACTTTATTTATCCAGTTCTCCAGCACATTTGCAGTAAGTAGTTTAACTTGGGACGTATCAATAGTTACTAGTGCTATTCATCAGATCGTTACTAATTTCTAGCTATTTCTAGTTACAAGAGTGGACAAACTATATAGCCAGATGTGTTTTGAAGAAATGGGCAGCTCAACAGCTTATAACCATGGAAGGAAAAGCCATTCAACATGCAATCTTTTCACGTAAAAAGCAAGCTAGTTAGTAAACATGTTGATGATTGATCAATTCCATAGGCACGATTAGATGCTTGCCCAATAAATCCAACTCTAACCCTAATAAAGATATTGGATGTGGAAACAATCAAGCCAATTAATTGAGCATCAGATTCGAGGGTTCAATCAGTCTCAGTATATGATAGTGCATCTCGATTAAAGTGATTCAATAGTGGTCAAACGGCTATCAGATCGCTTTAGATTTCATTAACCAGCAAGCTTGCCAACTTGTCGAGATTTACAACCGACTCGTGTAAATGGAGTATTTTATTCATCTCGTAAAAACTGCTTCTTCCCAGCACAATGTATATCGTATAATACACAACATCGAACTATAGCTTTGAATTGAGACCATCTCACTTTTGGCATCAGCATACACACATGATTATCAGATTCATTCATTTTAAACCAGATACTGAGGCTGACTGTTTCAAGGTCAAACTTTGTTTTTAATCTCGAATGCGTTTGCGTTCTAGTTCAACAGAACAGTTTTAAACATGCAGCAGTTGTTTCCATGTCATAGTATTTGTATGAAAACAGAATTGAAGATGGCAACCATGACGTGAATATTTAGTGAGCACAAATTGTCCAGTAAATTACCGATTATTTCAAGATTGGCTGTTTGTGGATTTGACATCTTCACTTTCATTTTACGTAAATACGGCAGTAAAATGATGGCTGCAGTGTCTGAACTACAAACATCTGGTGCTCTCCATGAAACAAATGAATCTACTCCTGGAATAACTAATGGCGCTTCAAACTACTTTTTGTCTACAGCACAATTACCTGCTGTTCAAACAGACAATGAAGGTGGTGAAATTTGGTCATCTATCCTTGGACGAGCTGCAACCACTGGCACTACCAAATCGGTTTTATGCAAGACACTTCTCGTATGTGGTAAGATATTTATTCAGTATATTAGTACCGGTTTAGATTAAATGTGCTTTAATGATCATGCTGCCTTGAGTGGTGATTTGGGTGGATTCCTGCCAAATATCAATGCTCATCTTGTTTGAAACAATTCTATATTTTAGTTAATTTAAATATATATTACAATCATGTCTTAATTTTAAACATTTGTATTGGTTATTAGGAGATCACAGCAACACAAAGTTCAATCTAGTTGATGCTCTTTCAGAATCAGTGCTCGATAAGGATCCCGTTTCCTCATCAGATTTTCCAGATCTAGGACTCAGCTACTCCTACATGGACATTAATGACGATGAAAATGATGGTACAGTATAGTATGATTTGGTTTAAATCTAATGTACTTGAATGAGCATTTCATAATTGGTCAATGTTTGTTACAGCCATTCTTGTGTGTTTATCACATGGCTTTACTTCAATGTCGCTGACTCTATATATTGTTAGCCGTAGCTCGTATTGGAATATACCAGTTGACAGATGATCCAGTATACCATAGCTTATTAGACTTTGCATTGACAAACGAAAATATTTGGGATTCTCTGGCCATAATCACTTTGGATTGGAGTAAACCTTGGCTTTTTATAAAATCATTAAATTCATGGCTGGGTGTGCTAGAATCTCGTATCAAGTATCTTTCACAATCTAACAGGACTGCTATCCAAGAGTTAAAGAATCAATGTACGAGCAATTTATTCATTTAGATTAGATGAAAGTGATTTGACACAGTATTGATCATGCTGCTACATTTCTATTTTAGTGGAGATGCATGTTCGTGGATATACTGAATCGGCTGCGACAATCAACCGAATTCTAGGATCTACAACCGATTTGTTTGAATCGGCTCAATCAGAACCTCACAATCAAAATAGTTTTGGCTTGCCAGATTCCCTTTCACTCCCACTTGGATCTGGCGTGCTTAACAAAAGCATTGGTTTACCGATTGTTGTAGTCTGCTGTCAGGTAATTTGAAGTGTATATTTTAAAAGATGGGGCTGGCTATTTTTGCAATATATAGATTCTGGACTGAGATCAAGTTTTGTGGTTTTGCTTGCTCTATTCGAATGGATAGGCAGAAATTTTGACAGATCACGAAAGAGATTATAAAGAAGACAAGCTTGGCTATATTCAGCAGACACTTCGCACCATCTGTTTAAGCTGTAGGTTTGGTTTGCAATCACTGCAGGAATGAATGCAAAAAAGTGCCCACTCAATAACTTGTGTTTTTTGTAATGTTGCACTTGCTCTAAATCATTAGATGGAGCAGCATTATTCTATGTATCACAACAGCGGCCAGACACAATAATCAACCTAAGATCGTACATTTTGCATCGCTTATTATCAAAAAATTCACAAACCGTCAACTCTGACACTGTTCAGTCTTCTCGAAAATTGGCAGGATACGAATTTACTGGCTGTGCGCAAACTGTAGAGCGCGATGCTGTTTCAATTCCAGCAGGTTGGGATAGCTGGGGTAAAATCCGTGTGTTACGTGATGGGTTTCCATGTGAAGTCTATTCGGGTATCAATGACTCGGATCTTGCACAGTCTACTCAAGATCCAACATCTGGACCACTCTGTAGCGTGATACCCATGTATCAAACTGTTGTTGCTGATCGTTCATTAAATGTAAATCAGTCATTTTTGCATCTCAAGCACTGATTTTATTTCGTACATGTGCAATTAGACGGGATGATTAACGATGCTTTTTGGGGTTGGATAGATATTAGACATGCCTGCATTGATTGAGCCTGAAAACGATCAAGATTTTTTGCAAAAGCATTTGCCATTGCTGATGAAACTGGACGAGCAATCCCGAGTCAATTCTTCTGCTGGTACTTCGTTGGCTTCTTCTCCAGCTTCTAATCCAATGACTACCAGCCAACTTTTGAATGATAAGACTGCAAGCCATTCTACTGCCGATGCTCCTGCCTCTACCAACACACAGATTACCACGAGTAGAGAAGTGTTGGAAGATTTATCTGCTAAAGTTGCCAAGCAACAGGCAAGTAAAGTCTTGCAAGGTTTTGTAGTGTTGAATTTCAATGGTATCAAATCTAACGCATTTAAAATCGGTTACTTTATACATTGCAATGCGTTGGTTAGGAATCTATTCGTGATAAAGTCTCGGGGGCAGGTATTGGTGATTTAGCTGCTAAGCGAATTCTTGAACGTGCCAACTCGGGATCGCTTTCAAAGTATTCTAACAGTGCGGGTGGAGCAGCTGCTGTAGTAGGCGGATCTGGATCCACAGGTTCTGGCGGTGCTGGAATCACTGCGGGTTCACAAGAAGTATTGGCCAACTTTTTCCAATCTCTCTTGGCCAAAAAGGGTGCTAGTGGTAATGTGCCAGGTGGAAAATCATTATCACCATTGAACAGTCGTCGTGTCAAGTCGGATGAAAACAACGATCAGATATAAAGCAAGATGACTACAACCAAAAGTAAATATTACCCCAACTTTGTTAGACTATTGGCATGAAAACTCGGTAATAAAATAGTGTGAAATATAGTTTCCACTTGATCTCATTGTTGTATATGGGTTTGCTATATGAATTGAAAAATATCATTGACTGTATACTGTTGCTATATCAATAAATTGAATACACCTATGTGATGTGGTTATTTATTTTCTTCACGAGTTCGCTTGCGACCATTGGCAATAGTTGAAAACTCTTTCTATAAATCCCAATCAAACCGAGTGTAGTTAGTATCGTAAACATCAAGAAATAAAAACATTTGAAAATATATTCAAGTATATAAACCATACAATAGCTTCAAGGTACCACTTCAGATGCTCTGGATCATGATCTAAATACCGACACAATGCTCAATATAATTTACGCAATATAAAGTGATGGGACCTAAATACAACTTACCTGGATACATGCCATGACCAAGATTAGCAATGTAATGAGACCGAGTGCCAAATCCATCCATCATTTTCTTGACTGCGATACGGATTGTCTCGCGATCGCCGTACAGGAGTGAAGGATCAGCGTTTCCTTGCAATGTGACTTTGTCGCCAAGTCGAGAGCGAACACTTGTAGGATCCATAGTCCAATCCACTTGAACAATGTCGTATCCCAGAGTAGCAAGTTTTTCCAATGCATGGTGAGCACCCAGAGCAAATACAGAAATGGGAGGATTCAACGGAGTGGGAAGATCTGCAAGTGATTTTTTGACACGCTCCACTACTTGTTTAAGATAAGGCAGCGAAAAAAGCTCAAACTGGGATGGAGAAAGCATGCCAGCCCATGAATCAAACACTTGCAACAACTGAATTCCGTATAGTTTAATTGTTGGAAACAAAGCAAATGAATTATAATTAGCGTTCGATCTTGATTTTGCATTGTAGTTTTTAAAAAGTTATACCTGTGCTCCTGATTTAGCTTGACCAACAAGATACTCGACAATCACATCGGTAGTACGCTGCAGCAACGCATGGCTTTCTTTTGGGTACTTGTACAGCCAAGTTTTTGCCTTGTTCAACGTTTTGCTGCCTCCGCCTTCAATCATGTAAGCCATTAGCGTCCAAGGAGCGCCAGCAAATCCAAACAATGGCACTCGTCCATCCAACTTTTTTCTGGTAAGAGTTATTGCTTCATACACATATCCCAAGTCTCTATCCACATTGACTTTTTCGACCAGTCGTGACATATGCGTTGGATCAACCAAGGGAGCAGGAAAATGCGGACCTTGCTTTGGAAGCATTTGTACTTCAAGTCCAAGAGCTTGAGGAACAACAAGAATATCACAGAATATAATAGATGCATCCAGAAGTCCATCATATCTGTCGATCGGCTGCAGGGTAACTTCACAAGCAAGCTCGGGTGATCTGCAGATTGTAAAAAAATCGTTGCGCTCACGAGCCTGGCGAAATTCTATTATAATTTAATGTTGATTCATGTGTAAATATGAGATGAATCGATCAATAGGTTTTATCAGAAACCAAATCCTCTTTTACCTGGAAGATATCTGCCAGCCTGCCTCATGATCCATACAGGCACTCGTTCAACAGACTCTCCACGAGCAACTCGCAGTATCAGATCATTTTTCAAAGGTGGAAAGTCGGCATCTGTCAGTGTTGGATAAACCTTGGTCGGTGCGTCGACTGCAGGCTGTTCGTTTTTCTAATCAACAATATATTAAATGACAGTGAGTTGTGATAAAATGACAAATGTGCCGAATGGCTTGCTGTTCACATCACTGATGGTTTGAAATAGTCATCGAGTCTGTAGTTACAGAACCGAATGGGTTTAGCACAAACACTACAGACTCAATGGCTTATGCAAATGCAGTCTGCAATCAACCAACACCGACTGCATGCAATCATCACCTGTGTCATTATGCTGTCGTATTCACGTAAAATAAAACACTAAATAAGGGAGCCAAAATGCATGATAAATGGCCAGTCATGAAATGATTGGTGCCAATTCACTAGTCAGGACTGTTCTTCGACTCTGCAAGTGTTTGTGAACACAGATGAAGCAACTGCCAGACTCCAAAATAAATTTATTGTTTAGCTAGGCAATAGAATATGTTTAAAATTTCCAACTGTGGATAACTACAATAAAAATAAGGAATCGAATCAATCTGTTTAAAGGTTATCCAAATGGGCAGGTTGGTGACGTAGTAGATTCGGCAGCTGCCGCATCGAGTATGGCTTCTGGTGTAGTAGATATGTCCAATGTGGGTGTGTTGCTAATGTTGTTGCTGACCTCGGGCTGCAAACTATTCATGCTTTCAGCTGACTGGACTTCAGATCCACTTGGTACCTCAGTGTTGGAATGACACGCTAAACACCGTTGAGTGATCTGATCAACGGATCTAGAACATGTATGTCGAGATATAACATTAAATTGCTGAATATGAGACCGATACCAGTTGAGATATGCACGTTTGAATCGGTTCTTGTATGATTTTTCAGCACGATTTGTATTCTGGCGTTGCCTATATGGAGTTTGAACTCGACCGTGTAAACGTGGCAAGTGGTTTAGTTTTCGACAAAGATGCAATTTATAAACTGATGCCTTGACTGCACCAAATGCACGAGCATAAGATCCAAGTCCAACATGGCAGGGTTTTGTAGTGTCTGAAAATCGCCACATGGCTGGATTGACGTGGTAATCATCCATCATATCATCCTGTATTACTGCAGAAGGGTGACCAACTAGCGTATCACCTCGACCATCAATAGCCAATCCACTATGAACAAAGGATGGCAAGAATGCTAGATGGCGGCTTCTGCGAGTCATTTTAGAAACTGGTGCAGTGGGTTGTCGAAGTAAAATACAATTATTATGGGGTGCATAGGAATGATATAGAGCAGATTGTCGCTGTAAATTGGGTGTCTGGATTGCATTCAAAAAAGTATTTGGAAACATAAAAGATGGACTGGTTACAACTACACCATCTGACTGTGATTGCAATGCGTTGCTGCCAATATTTATGCTACTACTGCCGTTTGACAAACCTCCATGCAATGGAGTCAACGACTGAAATGAGTCAAAACTGGTATTTTTCTGTACCAACTCTTGTTGCTGAGACATGGGAAACCCAGAGAAATGGGAGGATGGATGAGAATGTTTGGTTGCATGCTCTTGCGGTTGTTGGTCAGATTGTGGTGCCTGATGAGTAGATTCAGGCACCTGAAAACTCGCTGATGTTACAGGATCTATAGAAGAATCAGAAAGAGATTTCGTTATAGAACTATCTGTAGGTTCTGTATTTGCTCCAGCTATGTGATCTACAGCCTTCAATAGCGGATTGTTTGACTCTGTCCAGCCCTGTTTAAAAGAAGATGATACAACTGGTTCCATCAATGTCTGTCTATCTAGCTCAAAATTAAGTAGCCAGTTTCCACATTCTTGTAGCTGGCCTGCCTTGATGTTAAGATTAAACTCATTATAAAGCAAAAACTCGATTTCCAATCGGTTGAGTTCTTGAACGGGAAGACCACCGACCTCTACGAGTCGATTCAATTGTTACCATTTCAACAATTCAAATACAAACCAAAGAGCAATAAACTTACTGGCAATATGGGAATTTGTGTAAAAAACATCACTGAGAAACTTAACAGCAACCATGACACCAGTGATGAGCAATCGATGAATGTTGTACGAATTGATGACAATTGAATGCTTGATGGGCTCTACAGTAGTGCCAGCATGATGTTGTCTGGCCAGATCCGCGGTGGCATCTGCAGCAGCTGGAGTGGATGAATCCTGTAGAGTTGGGTTGATAAGCGGAATGAAAGATAACCCGGCAGTAGAATCAGCCATAAGAGAACCCTGAGTCATACGATCAAAGTAGATAAGAACCGCTAGAATGCATTCACTACCACAAGGAGCATATTTGAGAATACGAGCCAAATATCCTTGAATATCGATGGATGGAATAGTGCGAGCGTGAAAGCGGGTCAGCACTCGACTACGAGGTACGGCATCATTGAGTTGTGTAATGTGATGCAGATATCCAGCAACTAGCTGGATAGTATCGGCTGCCGAGGTATTCTTGAGGTCGAAAACTGCCATGTAATAAAAGTGCTAAACTGCTGTTAGTGATGGTAAGAATTGTCGATATACAAGTTTAGTCTGAAAAGGCTGAAGTAGAAATTGTTATCAGACAAGAAACCCAACGAATATCAACTGTAATGCAGAACAGAGCCGAGTATTCGAGTATGAATAGATTGAATGTATTCAGAGATGCTCGTCGTAATGAGCAAGTCGAGTTTAATGCAGTGTATATCAAGCGTTCTACTAGTAAAAACTGTAAATGTCTGTAAACCGCTTTTTGCCAACGACTCAATGCTTACTGCGGGTGGAGTTCAGTTAGAACAATGCACGACGCATGAGCTGAGGAATCGGTTATAAATGGGGTTGAACTAGTCGAGAGAAATGCGAATTCAATTGTCTGGCAATGCTTTTGTTCTACTGCCGCATTCACGCAAAATGATATTTTTATGTATTCATCTTGCAGTGATGGTCTTGAAACAATCGTTGAATATTCGTTCTGGAGCAAAAGAGTGAAAGCCTGCAAGATAAATACAGACAAATGTTACACTTTATATGAATGCAAGTGTAAATCAATAATTATGTTATAGATAGGATTAGTTTATTTTCAGCCTACTATGGGTGTTGCTGCTGTAAAAACGGTTGCATTTTGGCTCGCATCTCTGCAATCCTATTCATCTTTTTAGCCAAAATGCTATCTAGCTCCGCAACATAACTATCAAAAGACACATCGTTGATTCCATGCTCATTTGTATGCTTGGCACCGGGTTTCATGGTGAGATTGACTAATAGTTTGCTTTCAATTTTACCAGACTCGGTGTTGTCGCGGATGTGTTGGCGATGCATGCGAATCAGCTCTTCAACATCACTCATGTTGGCAACAGTTGATACTTTGTGTAGTGATTCTGATGAACCAACTGCTCCTGATGCTGATGTAGAAAGTGTCAAACGACCATCATTCACATTCCGTTCCAACGGATGGTTAGATTGAGATCCACGCAGCTGTGGTGCTTCCAGAGATGTCGCCATTCCCTTCAAATCTATTGGTCGATCACCATCTCTCTCCATGAGCTGACTACGCTGAAACGCGGAAACCATCGATGAATTCAAATCTGCATTAGGCATGTTGCTCGAGTTTCCATGACTGCGTTTCACTGGCGATCCATTTTTATTCAGTTGGCTCAAAATAGCCGACTTTTGCTGTGTTTTGGAGGGTGAGCGTCGGCGGTGCTGTTGAGACTGCTCGTGACTGCCTTCTTCAAAGCCATCAAATGTTGCTTGAATGGGTGTCGCTTCTTCTCCCATAGCCATGTTTTCTGGAGGAAACTCTTCATCAAGAAGTAACGGTTCATCACCATCTTCATCGCCAACGTCATCAGCTTCAATGTCGGCATCACCTTCATCGTCTACAAACGCAGTTGTATCTTGACCATCTGTTGCATAATCTCTGGGATCTACTGTACCATCGTTTTTGAGCTCTTTGACACTAATTGACACATTTATTAAAGGTAAAAATACACACTTTGAATTCGGAAAAGCTAAACAATCCACCTACCGGTATGCATAACGAAGAGTATTGAGTGAGTGTTCGCTGTTGGAAATATTGGGCGAAATAGTAGCAATCATGCATGTTTTGGAGTTTCTAAAATGCAAAAAATACTCGTGTTAATGTTTAATCTATCCTACAAGACAGAGTAATCAAGAACATGTTAAATAGCCAAATATACCCAATAAATGAGTCCTTTAATACTTGGGTTAGTTTACTCTGCCGAAATGGTGTATGGCGTGAATCCTGATCTAGCGCTCGAATACACTCTTTCAATGCCAGCAAACTCTTGTTGATTTCTGAACCCTCCATGCTATACAAACACCAAATACAATTTAGCAAATCAAAAAATAGACAAAATGATCAGAATACTTGCAACCCATGGCCTTACCGTGTCTTTTGGTCCGTTTCGCCACGATCTGCTCCACGCTCGCTTCCTGCCAAATCAATAAAGCTCAATTTGCCTATAAAAACAGAACCATTGGCATATTGAGTTAACGAATAGCCACATCCAATACAGCCCATTCTATACCATAAAATGTCAATAGCAATCTACCTTGAATGCGACCTTTTCCCTCTTTATGCTTGAGAACAATTTGCAAAATGGCGTGTGACCGAGAAGAGTCTGCGTTTGCTCCAGTAACACCTGTTGACCTCGTTGCATTACCATGTTCAAAAATCTCCATCAATCGCCCTACTTGCGATACTTCGTACTCTTTAATTCCCTTGATGCATACATTTTGTTTTCCGTCTTCTCGGGCAAATAGCTTTTTGCGCGCACCTAAAAGATCGTACAACTGGCCTTGGTAGATTTCATAAAAAGACACCCATGCCGCCAAATGACTGTATTCGCTGCGACCAAGAAGACTAAAAATATCGCTGCCAGCCATAACATATAGACCGTCGGTTTCATTAAGCATCGTATGTGTCTTTCCACTTCCCGTTTGGCCGCTATGATTGAAAAATAAATCATTAGACACCCTTGGCAAAGTCGTGCAGTTTTAAATCAAATCAGCCGCAAGAGTACGATGCACTTACTATGCAAAACAAGTCGCTTTACCACCTTGGAAAATGTACTCAACAAGAGGAAAAGCTGTACGCCGATACACCTCATCATTCATTGTTTCCGAATCAAACGCTTCATCAAATGTAAACTCATGAGTCTCGACATACTTTGTAAGATCGACTTTCACTTTGGGCTCAAAAATAGCAATCGTGCGACGACCATTCACAGTAGCAATGTCTGATTCGCCCTTTTTCAGTTCCTTTTTATTCAGTGGTCGCTTACGCACACAGACACGAATGCGATCGGATAGATCTGTTTTTGCATTAGACTTTAAACTAGAACTGGATGCATGAAGTGTGGCATTAGAGGTGCCTGAAATTGTAGTAGAATCCAAAGCTGCAACAGAAATTGGTACGCCATATGCATTGAGCTGTAGTGGACTACGCTTAGGCGAGAAAGACAATTGGCCTTGTAATACATGCTGCTTCTTTTTTATTGGATTACGACCAGCATGGTTGTTGAAACTACCCGAGTTACCACTAATGGCCATTTCCTCGTCAGTATCTTCCGAATCTGGGGCAGAATGGCTTGGTTTCCTTTCGCGATAGGAGTCTGCAGTGGAAAGTCGAATATCCTCCATGGAATTCCCAAGAGCCGGTGCTGTATGAGCATGATGAAGTCGAGCTGCATTAGAAATTAAAGATCTCATCGGAGGCTCATATTGAGGCTGATGAGTAGGGACAGGAATAGGAGGTTGCACAGGCTCAACATACTGCTGAGAAACGCGCTGGGATAGTGAGTGTGGAGAAGTGTGTTTGGGATGATGATGGGAATGGGATTGATTCTGTGAATGAGTAGAATGGGACGGTTGCACATGATAAGCAGGAGGCGCAGCAAATGCAGCTGGTTTTGGCAGCATTGATGGACCAGGAATTCTCGACTCTAACCTGCTTACAGCTGGAAGAGTGCGATGAAAAGATGATCCGTTATCTACAAGCATTGGTGATTCGGCTAGATCGAGTATTGATAATACACCCCATAAGTAAATAGATTGAAATTAGTCACCATAACACTTGTAGATTCAGAGTGTACCTGAACAATGTTGACATTGTAAAGCAGCCAGTTGAGCTCTTTAAAGGCCAAAAGTGCAAGGCAAATATAAGCCAAAAGTAATCACAATATACAAATTTTATCTCAAATCTGTGCTCTGACTAGGCAAAGAGTGGGCCAGAGAAAAACTGGTGATGACAATTCACGTTTTGAAACCTTGCAAGCCAAAATACAGTCTTACATTTAAGAGTTTGAATAAGCTGAAAGCTACAAGAAAATATCACGAATCAAGATTGTTAGTATAAAAAGCTGACCATTTGACTAGTATAGTACAACTGTCTAAACCCCATAATCTTGGCACTACACATAGTGACAGATTAATATGCAAATGGAGCAGCCAGATTTGCACTTTGGCACTATAGCCAGCCGTTCATTCTATACTCACAGTTCTGTGTATTAAATTACAGATATAGCGCAATTACAGTAAAGGGATCAAGGTCAATGGCAATTACCACCCAATATAAAAGCAAGTGACGATGCATTAGTTTCGTTTGATATCGAGTTGAATCAGTGATGATAGCCAACAAACTGGATTCTAGATACGCAATTGAAAAATATATAAAAACATACTTTTGCGGTCTTCCATGCTCTGCACTCCAAGGACACCATAGTCCTGCATAGTGAGAGTCATGAGCTGATCCACAGACTTGATGCCAAATGCTGTCAGGTTGGAATAGTATGGCTCTATATACGCCACGAGTATTTGATATCCAGATGAGGGCCACAGTCCAAAGAACAAAACTAGTCAGTCAATGGTTTACAATAAATATCCAGCAGCAGAAAAATAAGGTAAAACAGTACCCAAATCTGCTAGCTGCAGAGTGTCTAGCAGATTGAAGCGGGATGTTGCACTGGCTGAAGCCATTTCTCAAAGTTGCCTGCAGGCGTCCTGCAAAGCTGCTTAAGGTTTGGGAAAGTGCAATTCTTCACGCAGTCCAAGACATCAAATCTCATTTCCAAAAACTGTCCGTCTGCACACTCTCAATCATATCGTTACTATCTTTTATTTTGTAATCCTTGGAAATATTCTTATTTTTTGATAAGGCGTATTGCATTTTCAATGTCCTTCTTGAGCTGCTTTTCCGCCGATGACGCTTTCGAAAAGTACGACGTATCAAAGTTTTTGAGTCTAATATAAACAGTTCAAATAGATATATTAATGGATGCTTAATGAAACTACATTAATGTACACAAGTAAAATATAAACTTTACGCACTTTTCAAGAATCGTCACTGCATCATTCATGTCAACTCGCGAATACTTTTTGTTGCGAATGGCTGGCACCAATATATCTTCGTAACTCTCTGATTTTCCATAATTGATTAGCTACATCAATCAGTTCCATTTAAAAGAAATTTTAATTAGTAGTTGCTTGAATGGCACGAATAGTGTGTGCTGTTGGTTCACATTGCAGAGTATCAATGCCATTAAATAAAAACATTGGGCAATGCAGTACCTGACGGAGTTCCGTGAACGCATCGCCTGCATTAGTGTCGTTCAATTGTTTAATAAACGTTTCTAGATATCCAATATCAATGTCGAGAGTGTGTAAAACCGCAATAGTCACTCGCTTGAGCTGAGGATCCAACAGCATGCTCTAAATGTGATGGAATTCGCCATTTCAAATTGAATCTATTAGCCCAATAATTCTACATGCCTAAGCAAATAATACCACTTACTTTTAGGGATGCTGTTAAGTGATCAAACGCTTCAAAGTAAACATACGCCTTGGTTGCACTTGGTAGCAAAGATAAAGTAGAAGACACCACAGTCGTGAGGTAATCCACCAGATCTACAAGCATCTCGTAATCAGTTCTATACTCAAATTCTCATATTCCATCTTTAAAAAACAGCAATACCTGTGAGATAAGCGCTTGGTGCATTAGCAGCTTGTGCTGCATCCCAATCATAATCGGCAACTTCAAGAAACCCATCAATCTTTGTATTCACAATTTCAAAAACTCGTTTTTCGGCAATTGCGCGAGTTTCATCAAATATCTGGGCAACTTGAAGAACAACTCGCACTTCCTTGTATACACTCCTATTCGTTGTAATAAATGTCAAGTTCTCGATCATTATATGTAGACAGACTTTGAAAATGCGAATAGGCACTCGCGATGGAAAACATGAATATCAATTGCAAATTATCTCACCTCTGTTCTTGTAGCATTTCTTCAAACTGTCCACAAGCCTTTTCAAACCATTGGCAATTGATCATAATCTGGATCACCAAAGATAGACTTGTACTTCCAATCTTTTTCATTAAAGCACCGTTTAGATTTTGGACTAGTAAATTTTCCAAGCTTTTTTTGAGCAGATCATCCATCTCGTAGCTTTGCTGAGAAAATCCGTCTGCAAAACGGTAGTAGTCGTAAATAAAATCTTTGACATATTGACAGCACTTGTAAAAGCCTTTTGAAAATGGCAAGATTTTGGGAAATCTACCTCGCGCAATGCATGCAATTCATTTGGGTTAAATTCTACATCCTTGATACTTTATGTGCACAGTTTAAAAGAAATCACACATTGCAAATGTACAAGTTAAAACTCCAAACTTACAAAATTGTTTCAGCTCCACCAGTAAGTTTTGTCGGATTTTTAAAATAGTCGCTTGGAAGTTGAAACGCTTTGTTTACTTGATCCAGATCGTCAGAGTTATTCACTACCACTGGCATGTAATCATCTTCCTCCTCAATCACCTTGAGTAATTTCTCACAGCACTGTAGTTTTTTGACTTCAGCAAATCTGTCTACCAAAGACACCATAAGATCTGTGACCGATGTTACAGAAAATCCATACACCTGCACAGTATTATGCATGAAAAATAAGATGGTCCATTACTAAACCGTGAATGTGTAACATTTCACGACAACTAATCTGAGATTAATACTTACTTCCATAGTTTGAATAAACGCTACAACACACATCTTGATATCTAGGAATAGTTCGGGAATGGTGCAATCTCTTAAGCATTCTCCAATATGTGCATTCATTTTGCTCACTGCCATTTCCCAAAGTGCTTCCACCTAATACATGCATTGCATTTGAAAACTCATGCTTGATAGATACATGACATAGGAAAATATTGAAACCATTTAACTAGGCTTTATACTTACACCTGCACGCGATCGAAAGTCGGCAGTTGCACTAATAACAGTAGCCTCAATGACAAAAAATCCCGATATTTGCTGAATGTATTTTTCAAATCCAGAAATATCGCCGTCCTTTAACGAAAACACTGTGCCAATTATGATTTCACTCTGGAGCTGCTCATGTGTATAGAATTTAAGTTTCAAATGGTTAATAGAATGATTAGCATATTTTGACATGGGATGCTTTGCTTACTCTACGATTTTCTTCGTACTCTGCCTTGAATTGTGCACGCTTTCCTAGTACATCATGAATATGAATACACTGAAATAATGCAGTAAAATCCAAATGAACATCTTCGTTGTCTAACGCATCCACTAGAGTATCAGTCAAGTCAAAATATTAGCATCTAGTCAGCACAGCCATTGTTTAAATCAACAGCTTACTATCGTATTCTTCATTGATTGCCAGTTCCATTGATGTGCCAATGTTCAGATTACGACCCGACTTGCTGATATATTTGCTGCTGGCCAATATTTCGCTTGCACGATCTTGTCTCATGGCCGTCAACTCCATAGCTAATCTTCCAACAGTGTCTGTCATTTCCTTTACACTATAAACATAATGAGTTAGATTCGTCATGTCTTGATGATACTAAACCGTATACATCAACACATAGTACTCACGTAACGGTCCACTGATTCAACTCGGATATAACTGCTTCGCGAATCGAGTTTTGCATATATGGAACCCAATCATCTGGATGTAATGCACAGAGTTTAGTTTCTACTCGACTGACCACATCAATGTCAAGGTATAATAAGATTTAAAAATAGTTCAACTCAACTCATTTGTGCAGCAAATGAGTACTGATTCACCAATGCCAAATGTGTAGTTTTTAGCTCATCAAGCATCTACATATAATAAAAACGATGTATTAGTAAAATGATTGGCAGTTATAAACTGTCTTGATATTTATATTGTTACAATGCACTTACACGTAGAGCAGAGTAGTATTTGCGATTGCCGACTTGAACACTTACACGATTGGCAATATCCAAAACAAACAGGCAAGATTGCATGGTCTCAAGCGCCATCTCGATATTCAGTATGGTGCGTCTGTTTTCAATCAATTCAGATCTCTAAAATAGCATTGTGGTGTACAACATAGACATCAAACCGGTATAAGTGAATGAGATTGAAAGATGAACCATGTATCCAGTAGGATGGCAATGGTTTACCTTTTCAACAATTTTTGAACCCGCAGTTTGCATGTCTTCGTTCATGATTTTAATTTTATCTCTCATTGTTGCTGTACCAGCCCTCACTTTCAACAGCTGATCCACAGATTGAACAAACTCCTGTAAACAAGACGAATAAGCAAACCATCGCGCTTAATGTGTTGTAGCAAACCTTTAACAGTGTATAGTCATTTACTTGGTCATACCTGGTAATGCAAGTTGCACATGCGTTCAATTTCAGCTTCCTTTCTAGAGCAATAGTAATTGAGTTGCTCACCAAATGCATCTTCACGGCCGGTTTGGAAAATCTGCTTGATGATATAGGGGATCTGGTCAAACCCATCCGCGCTGTCAACACCTCCTGGCAAATTTGTATCGCCTTGAACAAGGTCTCGAACAAGCTGTTGCAAGTGTGATATTTCTTCTCGAGTCAGGCTATCATTAGCTGGTGTAACAAATATTGATAGAGGAAGTGTAGGGTTTGCAGCAGCTGTCGACATATCTGATATTAATAAAATAGACTAGCGAAATAAAGTCTAGCTTGTTGAAAATTTTGGAATCAAACGATTCAACGTGAACTCGAGTCGAATAATACACAATTAAAAGTACGGCACAAACTGCTATTCAAATCTACTAGTATGTGAATGAATTTGTATCAAACCTGTACTTTAAATTATCAATGGCCGATAGTTTTTGATAACTGCAGCTGTATTCACGTTAAATGAAACACTAATCAACGACCAGTCTCATATATTTGACTGGTACCAGCTTTTTCCTTTTCTCCAAACATTACGACACCGAATGACTGTCATGAAAACAATTGCATTCCTGAGATATGCGATCTTTGTTCTTTTGAACTAGATTGCAAACGTATCTGAGATTAGAATAAAAGAGTTTCTTCAGTGGCATGATTGTGTCGGACATTTCTTAATTGATGTAAAACCAGCGTCTCCAATAACACAATGTTCAGTTGTGGCTTGTTAATGAAAGTCCCATTTGTTTGATTTTCGTTCAATCTTTTCAGTCTTTTAGCAATGTATGCCTTTCGAGACTTTCTAAACAGTGGTATGCAACATTTTCAAACACGTACATTATTCTAGACAATATTACATTCCCCAAAGTAGCTGTCTAATTAGACATGGCTTATCAACTGTTCAACACATATTACAAGGATTAGGGTTTCATATTTTGAGTATTGAACTCTGCGGATAACGACCCACACAACAATGCTTCATGCAATTCCAGGCAAAGAACCAAAAATGTCGACTAAAGAAGCAATCAATCTAGTAGAAAAACAGCGAATATTCAACCATTGTTTATTCCAGACCAAAATAGTCAATTCAAGATAAATATATAAAGTGTTGCATTTCACGTGAATAGGGCTGTAAAGCGATTTAAAACTGTGATAGAAGCATCCCAAGTTTCTCAACCAGAGTTATATTCTGAGAAGGTGTGCCAATGGTAATACGAACACATCCAGTGCATCCAAGCTCGTTGCCGCGAAAACGAACAACAACACCCTCATACTCGGCAAGACGCTTGTATATTCTTAATGCAATCTCATTGTCAGGCGTTCCAGACGAGTTTAGAATGGGAATAAGGATAAAGTTGGAGTCGTTGTTTCCAAGAGGCATTCCTAGACGTGGCATCTTAGCAAACTTTTGCAACAAGTCGCGGCGCTCTTCAATAATAGATGTAATATGATGGCGCATGGTATCCTGGCCAGATTCACTCAGTGCTGCGCGACCAAGAAGAGATGTTGGAGTAGAAATGTTGTAAGGAGCCTTTGTATTATTGAAGATCTGAGAAATTGCTGGCGACGAAATTGAAATCCCGAGACTAGATAAAATAGATTAGTGAACCATCCATACAAGATTATAACCATTTTATCCGGCATAGCTGATTGCCACAAGTAAACCTCAGTATCCATTGGATAAATAAACAAGATTCAAAATGTTAAAAAACATACCGAATTCCTGCAAGACCAAATGCCTTGGACAGAGTTTGAGTAACAATCAAATTGGGGTACTGAACAGTCCATGATGCCACTGAATTGACATTGGCACCGCCAGCATCCCCGCAAAAATCAATATAGGCTTCGTCAACAAGAACAACACCCTTGAATGAAGTGCAATCAAGGATACGCTTGATATCTTGATGCTTCAGCAGAGTTCCAGTAGGGTTTCCGGGAGAGCACAAAATAACCATTTTTATAGTATGATCATTTTTCAATTCGTCCAGAATCTATTTTACACCATTTATTTTGAATACTTTGATATACCAAGTTGGTTTCTATAAACAATGGCATTTAATCAAAAGTGATAGGAAAGTACCTTGTCAACTTGCAATTGAAATAGACCGTCAGTAGTATCCAGAGGAACTCTCACCACCTGAACATCGTTGACCTGGGCAGAAACCGAATACATGCCATATGTAGGAGGACAGATCAAGATCTTGTCTATGCTTGGTTTACAAAACACACGCATAGCAATATCAATTGACTCGTCGGATCCTACACCAAGAAAGAAATAGTCCGTGGATGGAATTCCACGTAGACCACACAACAGCTTCTTGATGTCGTGTTGATGAGGATCCGGATAACGTTCAAGATGAACATCCGAGTTGCCTAGGGCACCCGATGCGGCTGGTGCTTGAAAATCGTTTCGGGAAGCCAATGCTGGACCAAATGAATTTTCATTGGCATCTAAAAGAATGCCTTCCTTGTAATCATCTCTGGCACATCTGTATGGCTATATTCACGGGATATACAACGAATGAAACAATGTAAGCTGCTAGTCAAATAAGCGACTTATTATGTAATGGCTGCAAAAGATCGAGACTGAGGAATCAATCAAAAGCAAGGTTGATCAATTCATACATACCAAAAGTGCATAAATGTTTGGTCGGACAGCATCCTTGAGTACAAAGTCGGGTCTGGCAGTCATGCTGATGGATCGAGATTGAAATAAAACTTGAACTTGAGTGGAAATAAGTTACAGCCACGAGCTGCTTGTTTTTAAAACATATCACGTGGATAGTCAGGTGCTTGCAGTTTAGGGCTACAATAACCACCAACACAGCATATTGCTTAAGCCGCAATAGATATTCGTAGATATATAGCTAACAGTTGCATTTGATATGTCGGATGAGGACTTTGGAACCGAACAGATAGGCAGAACTGCTCAGTTTTTAGCAAAAACCAAGCTTAGGTAACTTATATCCATAGTATCAAAACCAATGCAATTCTTGTTTATTCCAATGACACTATCCATATGAGATACAAGCATATCCTCACACTCTTTAAATGCTAAAAAATCGCGGACACGGCAACAAACATTATAAATCGTGTTTATAAGCTGGCAGATTTGGAAAGAAACAGAGCCAGAGCTATTTTGGCTGTTTGAGCGAACATTTCGAGCTTGGAGATGTACAGTTAAATTTACTGGCGAAGAGTGTCTGTATCTTGTAGAGGTTGAGCTTCCGCAAGATCAAGCTAATCGCGTTGAAAAGGCAATCAAGGACGGTACGTTAGCAATTGAAATGGACAAGATACATGGCATTGATCCGATTCTACACAAGGGTAAAAAGGATGTAAGAATATGCTTGTTGAATGTGGCAAAAAGCGCAAGTTTTGTCGATATATGTACTTTAATTAGCGGTGGCTTGAAACCTGAATGAATCATTCAAATACAGAATGTAATGCAAGCCAGTATGTTTAGAGGCTAACAAGTAGAGTGAATTAGGTCAAACTTTTCAAATTTCAAGTTTCATTGGCACCAGCCCAGCCAGTTAATGTAGAAAGTCGAAAGACGATCGAGTCGCTAGAAAAGCGACTGTTGGAACTGGAACTGAATGAAAGAGCTCGATCGATCGATCTTCGAGGTATGTCGGCTCAAAAGCTTATTTTGAATTGATTCATAAATCGAATATGTATTGTTGTTCCCATTTAAACTAACTCTTGGTCAAACATGTAATTACGTCTAGTCATTATGAGAGATCTACAGTTTTTCCAGTTGGAAATGCATAAAACAATGGAAGAGCTGCAGAAAAAGGTGGATGATGGACTAGTGTCACTTGCTCTCAAGTGCGATAAGATGGAGCGAGCAGTGGTGAAATACAAGCCAGCATGATGATGCAAATAAACTGATGATGATAATAAAGCATGAGAAAGTTTAGAGTTGATGGTCAAGGATAGTATATAAAGCAATAGAACGATTGGTTAGTCCGACACTTACCGCAGTTAACATGTCCGAACAGCATCCATATCGTAATAGCGGAAATGGACGGGGAAGAGGACAGCGACGAGGTGGTGCAGCAGGACAGTCAAGATCTTCGTATGCTCCATATCCAGCACACGACACTCGACCATCACCCAAGCACAGAGAGTCGGTGCAATCTCATTACTTGGACGATGAACAGGATTTAATGTCGCTCACTGCATCCACCATTGATCTGCCTCCTAGTCTTGTTTCTGCAAAAGAACATCGTCCTAATAGCCATGGAAAGATCAATTCAAACTGTCCATATCCTTGCTGGCATTTGTATCTTCCAAACGGTAACTAATCATCTTGTTGGGCTGTTTCAATCAGTACACTAAATGAATTCACTGCATGGCAGACGAATTTTCGTATGATGGTGAATTAGTTGCTGTAGTCAGACAGTTTCAAGTGTATTTTACTGCTCTCTTTGACAGAAAGTATGAAACAGACAGCCAGGTGAGGATCCATACTGAAACTGCATGCATCTGTATTACTGCTAGCTTATTCAAATGTATTCTTGATTGTTTATAGGAAGCATACGATCGGCTAGTCTCTCAACCATTGATGCCTGTTGATTACAAAGATGTATCGAGTACATTGCCAGATTTCGATACTCGACTAAAAACTAGACCATTACAACTACTTGGCTGTATGGGTCTTGCTGCCACCGCAGTCGCAATGAAGCTTCGTAGAATTGACGAAGATTTTGATCCAGTTTATGATCGCAAAATCGTTCGTATCATGCATTATCCTCTTGCAACTCCGCTCAAAGATCTGAAAGCAAGTCTGATGGGCAAGTCTTTTTCTCTGTCATGCTTATGGTTATAATGCGCTGATTTCAAATCTACCTTGGCATATTGATTAGGCAAATTCATTTCAGTTCGTGGCACTGTGGTGCGAGTATCGTCAATCAGACCGCTTACGACACAGATTGCTATGAGATGCACAAAGTGTGACAACAGTCAGACACAGGTGCTACAAGATGGGAAATTTGGACTGCCAGTGAAATGCGAAACATTTAGATGCAGAGGAAAGTCGTTTCAAGCAGATCGGTCTGCCGATTCATCAACCCATACTATTGATTGGCAGCGCATTAGGTATGCATCGCTGAATCTTGTTAAATATATAAATTAATTTGTTATATTTTTACAAACGACATTCCTGGTATTCAGAATTCAAGAGAAACTCGCCGATGATCAGGTTGATTCTGGCCGAATCCCGCGTACTGTCGAGTGTGAGTTGATACTGGATTTGGTAGATAGTGTTGTTCCAGGCGATGTGGTTTCAGTAGCAGGAGTTGTAAAAGTATTGGCAACCGATGAAGGTATGCATTTATATTGGAATGCATTGTCCAAATCATTCAGGTTATCTGAGATATTAAGCTTTTTAATTTAATCAAATTTGCAATCATACAGGAAAAAAGAGATCGGCTACACAAATGTACTATTTGTACATTGATGTCAATTCGCTTAGCAAGGCGGGTGCTTTATCTGTTGATCAAGACGATAGCACAGTTGAACAAGGAACTGGACTTGGAAAAGACTATTTACATTTTTCACACAGAGAGCTAATGGGTATCCGCCACATCCATGAACAGCCCGAGACATTTAAGCTACTGGTTCATTCTCTCTGTCCACCAATTTTTGGCCATGATATTGTCAAGGGTAACTAATTATAGCACGAAGCCATACTATTTTGGAAAGTGATTTTTAAACCATGTCGATTTTTATTGGGATAGCGGGATTGTTACTGGTTTTATTTGGTGCACGCCGTCGTGACAAAGACGCTCAAGGTGTATCCATTCGATCAGATCCACACATTTTGATAGTTGGTAAGAAATGTGCTGTAGTATAGACAATCGACTCTGGTCAATGCATTTAACATGTTTACAGGCGATCCTGGTCTTGGTAAATCTCAGATGCTGGCTGCAACTGTGAGGGCAGCCCCACGAGGTGTATATGTATGTGGAAACACAACCACCACCAGTGGGTTGACAGTAACTGTGTGCAAAGATTCTGATACTGGTGATACGGCACTTGAAGCAGGTGCATTGGTGTTGGGCGATCAAGGCGTGTGTTGTATTGACGAGTTTGATAAGATGGGTGAGCATCAAGCTTTGTTAGAGGCTATGGAACAACAGTCTATAAGTATTGCAAAGGCTGGCATTATTTGTAGTTTGCCAGCCCGTACCAGCGTGATTGCCGCAGCAAATCCAGTAGGAGGTCACTACAAGTTGAGTGATAAAAATCTTGAGCATATTGCCTTGCTTTCCGTTAAACTTGGCAAGTCATTGACAGTATTGCAATTGTAGTAAAGCCAAAACGGTTTCAGAGAATCTCAAAATGAATGGTGCACTTTTGTCGCGGTTTGATCTGGTGTTTATTCTATTAGATCGGCCAGACGAACAGATGGATATGTTTCTATCGGATCATATCATGAAGGTTTGTGATTCAGTTTTGACATTCAAATTTGCATTTGGTTTGAGGCTTACATTTGCATATTCTGTTTTTGATCCAGTTGCACTCTGGAGCACTCAAATCTGTTTCTGGGTTTGAAGAATTTGCGAGTAAGTATTGATTATTTTGGTTTAAAGCCAATTCAAAATGTTTATACTTTTAATTCGTATCTGGCTATATCTATACTATTTTGATTAGAAAATGCACCAGAGCATCCTAAATCAGGACTGGGATCATCGGGAATTTCCGATAGGACTTTACTAGAGTATCTCAGAGTAGGAAAGGATGAAGAGTTGAATACAATTCCATTGCCACTGCTTCGCAAGTACATTGCATATGCCCGCACCTACACCAAGCCCAGGTCAATAGTTTTTGATTTATTATTTGACTGTATCAAATCAACTGATTGTATATTTGATTTAGACTGAGCCATGAAGCAGCAGCAATATTACAAAAATTTTATCTGACGCTTCGAAGGTATACATATTGTTATTGTCAGATTCAAATGGCTATTATATCTTGAACTGTTACTCAAGTACTTTTGACTAGTAATTATCGATCGGTAGATTCTACTCCTATTACAACACGACAACTTGAATCTATGATTCGTTTATCCGAGGCACGAGCCAGATCAGAGCTTCGTGAAGTTGTTACAGAACAAGATGCACAGGATGTAATCCAGATTATGAAAATCAGTTTGTGGGATACTTATGAAGACGGTGTAGGCAAGATTGATTTTCGACGTTCCCAGCATGGCAAGTGTTATTTTTTACAATACACTATTCATTATTGGTACTGAAGTTGACTGCAACTCGTGTTTTTGGTTTCACAGGATCCGGAACAAGTAAAAAAGGAGAGCCCAAGAGATTTGTTGTTGAACTGCAGCGCATTGCCAAACAAAAAAGCAGCAATCGGTTTAGTTACGACGAGTTGTACACTGCTGCTCAATGTAAGTCATTATATAGTAAAGATGAGCTGCATGATTTCACAATTGACATTTTTGTTAAGCCATACGACTCGATTATGAGCGATTTCCGGAGATGGTCGAGTCGCTGAACATCCAGGGTAATTTTATGCTGGCTTTTGATAGACAATCAAGTAGACTAATTGTTACTTTTCAAGGTTATTTACTTAAAAAGGGGTTTAGGCAATATCAACTCTGCAGTGCCTAATATTCTACTTTACATTTTAAAAACCACACCAAAAATAAACATTCAAAACAAATCCAGTGAATCAATTCATTTGTGTGGTAGGGATAGCCGAGATGGCAGTACGGTTTTAAAGATAACGTCAGGCATATATGCAATGTCGATAGACACAGTGGTGTGCAAAAGTGGAATAGCTAGTGAAAATCTACATGACAAGCGCTTATTTCGAGGACTGGTACTTTGTGACAGCCTTTGTTCCTTCAGAGACGGCATGCTTGGCAAGTTCACCAGGAAGAATCAAACGAACAGAAGTCTGGACTTCACGAGATGAAATGGTAGATCGCTTGTTGTAAGAAGCAAGTTTGGAGGCTTCGCCAGCAATACGCTCAAAGATGTCATTGACAAACGAGTTCATGATGGACATGGCTTTGTTGGAGATACCCGTGTCAGGATGGACCTGTTTGAGAACCTTGTAGATATAAGTGGAGTAGGTTTCCTTCCTGGTCTTCTTTTTAGACTTTGTAGCATCTTTTGTTTTCTTTTCGGCAGTTTTTACGGGAGCCTTGCCAGCGGGTTTCTTTGCAGCAGGGACAGCAGTGGGAGCAGCAGCAGTGGTGGTAACGTCCTTTGGAGGCATGTTTGAATAGAATAGATTTGCTGTTGACTGACGGAAAGATGGTGCAATTAAATAGTTTTTGGATTTCGCTGGCAAACAAGACTCTGGAATCCAGCCAATCAAACTGCTTGATTCAAGGGTGTGACACGTGATGTGTTGCTGGATTCGATTGTGCAGATTCACCAAACTCACTGTTATAAAGGACTGCAATTCCTCGTCAGCAATCTGCATCTAACTTTGAATATCAACTATGGCCGGAGGAAAAGGAAAATCTAGCAGTGACAAATCCAAGATGGTTTCTGGCGGTGCCAAATCCCGCTCTCAGCGAGCAGGTCTCCAGTTTCCTGTAGGTCGTGTTCACCGTCTTCTTCGCAAAGGAAACTATGCTCAACGTGTTGGTGCTGGTGCTCCCGTCTACCTTGCAGCAGTTCTTGAATACCTTGCAGCTGAAATTCTCGAGTTGGCTGGCAATGCTGCCCGTGATAACAAAAAGACTCGTATTATCCCCCGTCACTTGCAACTGGCCATCCGTAACGATGAGGAACTCAACAAACTTCTCGGTGCTGTTACCATTGCACAAGGAGGTGTCTTGCCCAACATCCACAACGTTCTACTTCCCAAGAAAACCAAGGGTGGAAAGCCTGGAGAAGAGCTCATGTAGATGATTTCCTAATGAATTATTCGACCTATTTCCCACCTGGCAATCTCTTCATCTGTACACAATAAACCAACCAGTAAATCTTTTCAGCTTTATTCATTTACAGTCGTATTCATGTAAAACGACACTTTTCTGTATTGATCTTGCAGACTTTGTCTATTTGCTTCGGAATAAATAATCGTTACATAATCGTCATTGAATGTTGATTATTTCTTTTATTGAAACTATCCTAATATCAGATACATTTGTGATCTAGTTCAACATATCTTGGGAATGCAGCTATACATGCTAATCATGCAGTGTTTAGAGAAAAAGAAGCGACACATTCAATCAGACTGGCAGTTTATCAAATGTTTTATTATAAATTCATTGTTTAGGGACTGACCAGTAATTAAAGGGTGCAGTCTCCAAATGCAGATCTGTGTCAAAATTCTGCCATTTGACAGTTTGCTATTGAATGCACTTTACTGGTAATATGCTTCTCAAGGTGTTGGGACTGGTTTCTACCACTTTCCTTGCTGTTCTTGCTGCCACTGATTTGTCTGTTAGTGTGTCACAACTCGCTCTTAAATCTTCAACTCCCGGCGAAAAACCAAATACTGTCTAGTACGTTGACCATCGAGTTTCAAGTGTGCATGCCTGTGTTATACGATCTGAACTGCTTATGGTTTTATGTCTGTCCTTTACTCTCATGCTTACTACTGTTTGAATCATTTTACAATCAACTTTCTAGTCTGGATTATCCCGAAACGACCGCCAATGAACTGTCTGCATCGTCCAACAGCATTCTGTCACTTTCATTCAAACTGCACGAGTCTGCTTCATCTGGAAACCAATTTATTGCTCAATATGTTGCTCTTGCTATTGAAAATACAGAGTCACACACCTCGGCTACATTCTTGTGCACTCACTCAAGCAGTGGCCATTACACCGCTTCGTTGGTATGTGTTGATCTCTGCATCCTTATTCATAGCTGTATTCGTGTAAAATAGAATACTGTTGTATTTATCCCGCAGTGATTGCTTCAGAATAGGCAATGATCATCTGTGATGTTCAAAATATGGTTTTGAACTGAGATTATTCTCGTTTGGCATAACCATGCATTGACAATCACCAGATTCACTTTGACACTCTTGTCCGGTATTTCATTTTACATGAATGCAGCTGTAATTGCATACTATTTGAACAAGCCAATCTCAAACCCTATATCCAGTGGAATACAACCAAATTCTTGATTTAACCATTATTCTTTATCTGTAATATACATGCAGAATCTGGCATTGGAAGCAATTTATATGCAATTATCTCAGCCTTCTGGCCAGCATACCCTGACTCTATTTGTATCCGATAACCGCATTCGTCCATTCAAATACCCATTGGGTACAGTCGATCTCGAAATCCAGCCCTATCTGCCCAAGATTAAAAACGAAGCAAATGATGTATTTGTCATTCAGCCCGAGATCACTCATACTATGCGAAAGGAGGAAAAGATGCCCATCCAGAAATTGTCGTATATTTTCACTGCCGTGACACTTTCGCCTTGGATGCTGTTTTTCCCCATGGTAACCACGTAGTTTTGTCAATTCAATCCTGTCACGGATGTTCATTTTATCTAAACAACTGTATTTGTGTAGTGGCGAGCATTAGGTGCCAACATCAACAACCTGTTTTTCTCTGTATCCACTGCTTTGTTTGGAATGGCTTTCCTCTCTATGCTTGCAGTGCTTCTCGGTATACTTTTCATGTATTGGTGCAGTCTAACCATCTTTGAGCTGATTGGGTATGGATTGGCCGCTGCTATTCCTACAGCTCTTTTGGGTCATCGCACGTTGGTATGTTGTGCACACATACGCGAATCGACTCAAATTAAAGGGAAATAAAGTGTTGGGTTGTCTCGCAACAGTGAAATAAAGCAAAATTAACAATAACGAGTGTCGACTTTCAGACTTTTGAAGCGTCATGGTATCTCGAATAATAAACGTACAAGTTTCTATTCAAGAGCAGATTGCAACGTTTCCAATCGTGTTTATTTTTGTTTATACACATCTAGAGTCGAGAGTAGATTGCTATATAAATAACCCATTACATCATATAATGATGCGCTTCGTGAATGGCATCCAGAATTCCAAGAAGCTCGCGACCAACGCGTCCAGCATTCAGCTGCGTTGTTTGAATCATAGATTCTCCACGTAGATACGACTCCATCATACCAGAACCGTATCTGCCGTCCCCATTTAACCCAGGACTTTCCATCATCGTTGATGTCATCAGCTCATGACGGTACGGTGAGGGTAAACCATTGACTGTTCCTCCCATTGGCTGGGCAAACCTTGACTGCCCCATCATCGATCCCTGATATGATGCTGCACCAGATCCTAAATGATTAGGTCGTAGCCCTCCACTGCCAATAATACGATCACGTCGATGAGCCAACAATCGCGACAAGTATTCTTCTCCATCGACATCAGGCTCCCAATGCGGATGGTTTGCTTTAAAGTTTAAAAACGACATTTCCATCTTGCCTTGATTGGATACAAGTCTGCCATCATATGCTTCTGGCACTTGATTACCCAAAGCTGGCGCTCCAAATCTGACATCTCCATGCCGTTTAAAATCAAACACAGCAAACGAACATACATATCCTAGCCTATCGCTTTTGATTGTAAACGCTCTAAAAAAATCTACAATTTCACCCGCACATCCAGGCAACGAGTAATACAACACAAAAGGTGCAACCAACACACTCAGCAGCTCAAATATCCACAAAACAAGCTTGTAATCGTACAGTTCACAAAACTCTGATCGCACTTGAGACGTGTGAGCATGCGATCGCCAGGTATCGGGAAGATAGTGTGTTTCTGCTGCAACTTCTCTCATCCACTGTTCTGGATCGTATACTTCGGTTTCTGGGGGAACAATACTTCTGCTTATAGCCATGATAGTTCCACAAAGTCCAATATAGAAAAAGGCTGAACGACCTGGACTGATTTCAAAACCTTGTTGCATTTCTTCTTCAAACAGTGTCAGTGCAAGCAGAATTGCTCCAAGCGATCCAGACACAAACGATATAAATCTAAAAAAAGTATTAGTATTTTGAGTAGATTGACTGTTGTTTTGTAGCTATTCAATACAAACGCCACTAGTGTTGCAATGAAATATCACACTGCTTACTTTACTACAATCACCAGAGGATAGTGCGGAAACTGTCGAATATATGTATTGGCACTTTCTGTGCTTCGAAAAAGCCGTGTTCGTAGCAAATGAGGTAATTCATTAAACTCACGAAACTTCCACATGGCAAACGGCGAGTACTGCCTTGCACTCAATGCAGATGAATTGCGTTGATACTCCTACACAATTGCAAAAGCGTCACATCTCAGTCAGTTCAACATGCAGTTTACTATTCATCAAAACTGCTTCTTTACCTCGGCGTATTTGAACAATGAGTAAATCACTAGAAAAATCAACAAAAAAGGCGACAAAAGCAAATTCAAAATTGCCATTTTTCGAAACTGTTTCTGCATGCGTTCAATCAATCGACTTCGCTGACTTTCTCGCAAATACTCTTTCCGAATCTGTCCTTTACTATCAAACACCAATTCGAAAATACACCACTGCAGGTTCCATTCAATCAGTTTTGACATGATTTGACGCTTGCCAAAAAGTGGAACAGAAAGATTCAATACATTTTTGTTGATCATGGCAATAATATAATTGTCTTTACGGAGAATTCTGTTGGCAATGTCATGGGCATCTAATTTGCGTAAAACAGCCGTTGGATTGGATCTACCATAAAGGTCGCGCGTTTGGATGATACGATCTACAACATCACTCCATAGCGTGTTTTGTAGCTTATCGTCAGAAATTTCAAGAATTGTAGTGTAAAAGGCTTGCATTTCACGAAGACGGGGCAAGCTGGTAAAAAAACGAAATACTTGAAAGACCCACCACAGAATGAATACTAGCAAAATCGTAGAGGTTGGCCAGCTCATAGATCCAATGCAGTCGGAATCTACAACATCCAAAAGTCGCTTTTTTTCATGAATCAATTCGTACTTTACGCACGACAGCAGAAATGTAGATGTGAATATAATAAATGCCAAAGATCTAGCCATATTTAAACAAGGGATGAGAAACTACTTCAATTTAAATGTTTAGTCATCAAGCTCTTGTATTGACTTACGCAATGCTGGTGAGATCAACCAAACTCATACAGAAATATCCCTTTCCACAATAATACTCGTAAATTCGTGTCAAAAATGCATCTAGATTATGCACGTCTTTCCATGATGTAATACCACGCGATGACCCAGATGCTCTTTGACCAGATGGTGCAGTTCGATATGAAGTGTGACCTCCTTCACCATTGCCTTGGGATCTTATAGATGGGTTTGCGGCAGGCATTCTATATGGATCTCTTGTTGAATTAGAAAGGATACGCTGATCTCTAGTGCGCATTCCAAACACTGGCCGACGTGGAAAATCGGAGAGTTGCTGATTATTTCTATGAGGAAGTGGTGGTCGTTCAAGATTGGTCGATTGAGCATCTATTTTACCATGATGGTCCACAGTACGATTGACATCGCTATATCTACCGTTGGTCAAAAGTCTAGCACTCTCTGACTGACCTGCCCCACTTTCCAAATCTCCAATAGAACCTTCAGATGGACAAGCCTCGAATTGAATTGATGGCGAAGCTTCTCCATTAGAATCAGAATCCTCGTTGTAGTCATAATCGGCAAAATTCTGCATAGTGCCATTATGAACATAGTGCTGGTTGTCGTTTTCAAGAATATGGGGCTGCTGTAATAGATTAAAATTGTGAGATGGCTGTTGAGCATAAGTAGCGTATCCACCACCAAACCCAGTTGAACTCTGTTGCGATTGGCGATGTTGTAACTGAAAAATATACTGAGGAGGCAAGGGCAGTTGTTGATGAAGCTGATGAGATGGAGATATATTAGACCCAGTGTAAGATGGCTGGCGAATGATACGAGGGTCGAATCTAAGTTGAATGTCCTGTTCATCACCTATTCCATCCAACTGTAACGGTTCGGTATGAATGTTGCAATTAATAGGTAGAAATGGGGTTGAAGGAATGGCAGACTGCTCAAATGCAAAAGGAGGAGCAGATAGAGCACTTTCATTTCCAGAATTATTGCGACTATCAATAGGCTCGGCCATTTCAGATATAACATGATCGTTTGCTGTCAAGGGTAAAAGCCTATTCGGAGTCTTGATGTCAAGACTTGATGGATCGACTTTTGAGATATTTGTTGCAGCATGATGGCCAGTGATGGAGGCAGAAGGACTCATGTCACTGCTCTCACCTTCATCACTAGAATCTATAACAGGAGGTTGGTAGGTTGAATGAGTGGTGTAGTGAAAAGGAGCAGCAGTTCTGTCGCTTGCAATGGTGTTTGGTTGTTGGAATGGAAGCATGTTCATTGTATGAGAGCTTGAAACATGCAATGACGCTTGAGGAAGCAAGTTATCCTGTCTACCATCAGTATGAGAAGTCCCACGAGAGGTTTCTCCGTTCGAGTCCATGTCCATGTCCATGATAGGTTTCAACAATTGCAATAAAGTAATTCACTACGCGATTCAGCTTTAGTTGACCATCATGGTGTTTATTCATTAACCCATTTCTGTCGATTCATGGACTATTAATATTATTGTCCATCAATCTTCAAATTCACTCCAGAATAGTGCAAACCACTACAGTTGTGGAGTCACTTCAAACTGCTTGCTCAGTATAGATTGGACTGCATATCCAACTTGTACACATTGTCACTATGCCGTAAAGCATAGATAAAACATGCTACTGAGTTTGTCTCGTCTATATTTGTTTCTGCAAAATGTTGTCTGACTTTTGTTTCTAATTCCCTGCGTGCGTTCCCTACTATTGCAATCTGGTATCTGCGACAGTATCGCTGGAGAAATGCGTCCGTCATGGAAGAAAAGTCAATCTATAGTATATATTGGTCACGTTCAAAAAGTCAACGACTGGTTACTAATAGGGTCGTCAAGGTCAAATCTATTCAAATCGGAGTCTGCCATTTGCTTATAATGTTTGATTGCAGATAATTCAACAAAGTGCAAATGACTGTATTTGAAGGTTGGACATTGATGAAAATAACATCCCAACGTCCGACAAACATGATAATCTGATTGCAGTCTCTTTCACCAATACTGCTGGAAAGTGCAATGGAAGCATCTTGAGCATAATATGGCAATCTATCAAATAATGAACTTACTAGAGATGGCTGTTCGTTAGTGTGCTGATCCTCTTGATAGTATATGTCTTGAGATGTCCTTTGCTGCTGTGAATAAGTTAGTTGATTCGTAGAGGCTCGCTTGTTAGAGCCATTGGCCAAGGTTGTGTATTTCCTCTTCTTAAGAGGTGGAGATTGAGATGCAACAGGTCGTTGGTGATTGTTGCTGCCCAAGTCCGTGTAGCTACTAGTTCTTTCCAGTCCTCTTCTTGCAGAGTATAGAGACGATGAATGGGCACCTACAAGCATAGCAGAATGAACTTTGGACATGAGATGGCGTATATATCAAGCACTTGTAATGTTGGATAAGTAGCTGCACAAGAAGCAATTGCAAGTTGGTCACCACGTGGTCGAGTTTGTCTTGAGCAACTCAAAGTCTTGGTGAGTTCTCGTCCAGTCTTTTTATGTTATTCATCGCATTGAATCTGCATCTTCATGTCAGAGCCTCCAATAAAATCGATTTTGTTCACTTTATCAAATCATTCGACTCTTGTCGAGTGTTCTATTTTACGTGAATACGCTGTAAACCTATTATGAATTCAAGACACTCGACTGCAAGCCATCATAATCTGCACAGAGAATTCAACATGAATGTCACTGCCAGTTCCATAGCAACAGCGGTTTTATCTCAATTCAACAAGTTACCAAAAAAAGGAAAACCGACCATCAAATCCAACGGCTTGTCTGAATGGACAGTCTTGGCTGGAATTGTAATCACTTCAAACGATCTATCAAGTCCACAATGTGTCGCACTCGGTACTGGTCTTAAATGTTTGCCTAAAATTATGCTGAATCATTGCGGATTGGCTGTAAATGATTCTCATGCTGAGGTGATTTGTCGTCGAAATTGGCAAAGGTATTCTACTTGCACCGTCTAGTGCTTGATATACTCTCGAGTTGAGTATGATATTTTTGCAGCTTTGGAAAGTATATCTAATAGCATGGCGTATTTGCCATCTCAGATACATGATGACTCAGGTTATGGATGCTGCTCAAGGAAATCCATCAATACTTGAACTATCTGGTCAATCGCCAATCGAAAATGATCAATCATGGCCATATCAACTCAAATCTGGTATTCAGTTTCACATGTATGTGTCACAAAGTCCATGTATGTCGATGCCTTTCATTGTTTAATCACTTGACGATTTGGACTGTCAATCTCGACTGATCTTGTGGTATATCTTTATAGGCGGTGATGCTTCTATGCGAGCACTAGACCTAGCAACCCTTCACAAGTTGGATAAGAATCACTCAGAACCCTACAATCAACTTTCAAAATTTGATTCATCCAAAAGTATGAATCGATCCTCAAAGCGTAAACTGTCCAGCATGAATCAGGAAACTCTAGCCTCAACTGAAAAACAATCTAGTTTAGAAAACAAGAGCACGGCCTTGAAAACAGAACAGATTTCATCTGAATCAAAGGTTGTACGAGGACGATCAAGTTTTACAACTGTTGGTAAACTAAGAACCAAACCTGGTCGTGCTGATGCTCCACCTACCACCATCATGTCATGCAGGTAATTTGAATTTCCAGTATGCCGTTTTCAGCATCCACTTGGTAATCACATCAATAGTTTTAGTGACAAAATTGCAAAGTGGAATGCAATCGGGCTTGGCGGCGCATTACTATCATTCCTGGTATCTCCTGTATATCTATCATCATTGATTATTGGTGATTTATTTGATCAAGAGCGTCTGTATGCATCTCTAGTCACTCGCGTAATGTGTCGGCATTCACTTAGTATATTACAATCATATGAAGATTTTAAATGGGCACAGTCAGACAATAGCATCAGCGCCGATGCAGGTAATTGCACTTTGTTGACTTGAATTGCATTTCTGTGTTTAACCTTTTATTTCTGGAGTTCAGCATTGTCCTGGTATGTTGGGTCTGTACCCGAAGTGATTGTTCAAGGTCGCAAGCAGGGTGCTAGCAAGAAAAACGGTGTTTGGCCAACATCCTCGTGGTAAACTTTAAATTGAACGAATCTAGATTTGCATACAATTAGAATTGGTAGACTAAATCTTGTATATCTATATCAGCGCACGGATATGCAAGTTGGAGATGGGAAAGTTGTTTATGTCGATATTACACATCTTGCCTGACAAGATACGAAATGCAGCTTTGCCACAAGGATCTGACCACTCTGCAGTTTCATACAGAGCGCTCAAATCTCGTGCAAGTGCATATCAAAAGGCAAAAAACCTGCTTTACGATACAGGTGGTGTACTAGAAGGATGGATTCAAAATGATCCCAGCATTGAAGCATTCGATGTAGCAATTCCGTTTAAGTGATATAGTCAAACTCACTGGATATTTGTACAATTGCATAGATGATCCCAATAAACATGCATATATTTATTGAGCGGAGCAGCTGAGTTGGTTGACAGTCTATGGTAGATTTAGCATGTATAAAAGAATTCGATTTACAATTCCAGACCTTGTTTTGAATTGCTATATTTTGACAGCTGTTCCAATGACTACAGATAGTGAACTCAAGGTCCGTCAAGGGTCTGTAGTCAAACCACAGCCAGGGAAAGCACCTACTAGTAAACTACAGCATAATTTGGAATCTGCAGCATGGCTTTTAGCCAGCGGCGGTCTTGCATACTACCTGCGACCAGATCAAGTTATGTTGTCCAACACGCACAGGTCAGCCTCTGAATCCAGAAACTATCAATTATATATCACATGCATAAACTATAGACTTTGTCACTGACGGCATGATTCACACTCATTTTGTAAACGAACCCAGTATATGGTTCTATCTGTCCTTGATATCTGCATTGGCCTTTTTCTCCGTCTTTTTGTATTTGGAGCTGTATTTACCACGCAAGCAAGGTCGACGAGTCAATTATAAACAGTGGGAAAGTGATGCGCCAAGGAGTATTCAGTTTGCGACTCTATTTGGTGTTAGCACAACGATCTGTACAAATGCTCTTGTTTGGGGATCGTATGGGGCCATGTCACCGCTGTTGCTGTTTATCTGGTTCATGGGATTAACTACTATTATTTCATTGTTTTAAAGCCGTATTCATATGAAATGGAATACTTTTGTATTAATCTTGCAGTGATTTCTTCAGAATAAACAATGGTTAAATATTCGTTACACCTGTTGGGCATTCTCGATTCTTCAAAATACAACATCCGCCATATGAGATTGACTTTATATACCTCCACTCTTGGCGTCTTATTTTACGTGAGTACAACTGTAAATGGTGAATATCTACACAAGTTATCCAAGAGTAATCTGTCTATTTAATGAGATTGAAACCCATTTCAGTTTAAAGGATTCAATAAGCTGATTCAGATTTTATTTTAAATACCAATACTGAATGGATTTGAATCGACTGTTTTATTGGTTCTTCTAAAACATTAAATGCCGAGTATGAGCATTTCATTTAAGCTTTTTAGTAGATTGAATAACCAACTCATCAGTTTGGGTTGAGTACATGACAATGAATCCGAGTGTGTGACTGGGAATAACCCAAGACTAGGTTTGCAACACTTGACACACTGCTAGACTCATTAGTGTTTAAAGAGCGTCGTTGTCAGTGTACTGTTGATATCCAAAAATGGCAGACAGACATCCAATTATTTCTAAAACAAAACCAGAATGAGCATCAACTCGCATCACTGAGATTGGGTCAAGACAATGAGCTCACTGTGACCATGTTAGATTTTTAAAATCAGTGTTCATTTGCCACCATCACTGACTTCATTTGAAAAGAATGTCAAAAAAACCTGTTCGTATATGGGTAGATGGTTGCTTTGATGGCATGCACTATGGCCATGCCAATGCTCTTCGACAGGTGGGCCATTGAGGTTTTATTTCTATTGCAGCTACAAGCTCACCTTTTATTGCATAGTCAATGTCTGAGCTATGGATTTGACCAGTGTGTTGATATCAAAACGTATCAGTTACTAACCCAACTGGCTACCATTTGCAAATGCACCACTTCAACTCTCACTAGGCAAAAATGATGGGTGATCATCTAATCGTTGGTGTTCATTCGGATGAGGAGATTGAGCGCAACAAAGGTCCAACTGTCATCAAGGAGAATGAACGGTAATTTATCAGTTTCGACTGTCAGGCTGTTGCAAAATAATGGCTGGTATCTGACCTTTTTTATGGTGTGCGCTTCAGATATGCTGCTGTTGCAGCATGCAAGTGGGTCGATGAAGTGGTGCCAAATGCTCCTTACTTGACCATGGTCGAGTTTCTAGACAAATACAATTGCGACTTTTGTGTTCATGGAGATGATGTAACCACCATGGCAGATGGATCTGATTGCTATCATGCCGTGAAATCTGCTGGAAGATACCAGGAATGCAAGCGTACAGAAGGCATTTCAACCACAGATCTGGTTGAGCGAATGCTTTATTTGAAAAATCATCCATTGACTGCCGATTCTAATCTAAACTACATGGTGAGCTATTGATGATTTGACTGAGCTCTTGTTTTTCTTACAATGACTTAACTCTGTGCTGTATTATAAACACTAGAGACCTCAGGCGTTTGTCGTTCACGATACAGATGATAAGCTGCGTATTTTTTCTGAAAACAATCGTAAACGAAGGCCAGATGATCGAGTGGTATATGTAGCAGGATCATTTGATATGTTTCATACTGGGCATATTGAGTATTTAAAAAACGCCTGCAAGGAAGGTACATATGTTGTGGCTGGAATATATAGCGACAAAGCTGTTAGCTGCACCAAACGTGCAGAGTATCCCATCATGAATCTTCATGAGCGTGCTCTGAGTGTTTTAGCATGTCGTGTAAGTCAAAGTTTGAAAGTTTGCTAGTCGATATCTGAAATTTAGTGTGCTCATAATGATCTTGCTTTTATATAGTATGTCGATGATATCATCATGGATGCTCCGGTTGTTCCATCTCTGGAGTTTCTAAACGAACATCACATTGATGTTGTTTGTCATCTTGCAGCGACATCGAGTGAGGTTCAGGATGAAGATATATACAAGGTAGACCATGTAGTTTTGTCTGATATCAAAACCATTAAACCAACATTTTACATACTCATAGGCTGCAAAGGAAGCTGGAAAATTCAAGGAGATTGACAATCCTTTTCCAGATGCATCCACAGACAACATTGTTCGCCGTATTCTTTCCAATCATCTTCAGTACGTATCCATTGCATTACGTAGATTTGCACAATATCGAGATACTTGAAACCAATCTTGACATCAAGATGCAATTGGCTTACTGCGGTGTATGATTTGGCTATATATTTTTTTGTAGGTATGAAGAGCGCAACCGTAGAAAGGCGGCCAAAGCAGCTCTCGAAGCACATTTGGCAACCTAAACCTGATCCACAGCATTTTAAACTCAAAATGAACAGAAAATTGCATGAATGTTTTAGAAATATTAATAAACAATATTGCCAGTAAGCATGCGTGCTGATTGACTGCATCGACACTTTTTGATCGAGTCCAAAATTTGACAATTGGAATTTCGCACGTTTGCCCAACTTTAAAAAAATGTTGCGAGTGTGGAAATACACTACATACAGCAACCAGCCATTGACAGCATCTTGGATCCTGAACAAAGAGCAAGCACTCACCTCACATAGAGCACATCATTCTGTTCGTGCTTTTTCCAGTTCATCATGTCTAACAGATAACCGCAATGACCAAAACTTGAGAAAACCATCGCGATGGAACTCGAATGATCAGTCGACAGTGAGTTTAAGAGCTCTGAACTAGTATATTACATACCATTAGTATGTGGTGAAATGGTTCTTTAGCTTTCTGCATTTTTACTGTTCTACTCGTACTTTTCGAACTAATGCATCTTAGAGTTGGACTGATTTCACTAGATCACTGGATGCCTCGAAAGACACTGAACAGAGTAAAAATATGGATTATCCAAAGACTGGTTTAGCAAGTATAAAGACTCTGCATAATAGTTCCAAATTGCCTTCAATCCAACTTTCCAATCAACCATCCACTTCATTCCCCATGCCTAAATTTTCTAGCAGTAATGTCAACTATGTTTCAAACATATCATCTCAGCCATCGCAAGTACCCGACGCATCCAAACCCAAACCACTTTTGTCATCAGATAAAAGAGTAGGGTTGTATCCTGGAAAATCGATTGATGTTTCCAAATGGAGTAAACCGATTGCTTCAAATACATCATTTAAGAACGAGTCCAAGTCGCAAACGTTTCCATTTCAATCCAAAGAATCTGGAGCATGGCGCAAACCTCAATGGAATCCACAGAATAACAGTACGTATTCAAAAAATACTACTTCTGGACAACTTCGACCTGCCCAAGACAATGGTCGGGTTCCTGAGCCGTCTAATAGATTTCCAAAAAGCGGCCAGTTTAATAATGGATCGTTTCAATCCAATGGGCCACAAGATCGACAGAATTCATTCAAAAACGACTCAAATTCGTACTGGCCTCGCAATGTGTTGAATAAATCGGATATGCTTAATGAAAGTAAAGGATCTCAGCAACGTCCTAATCAAACATCTGGTAATCCAAAACCTCAGCAACAAGAATCAAGCAATCTTTCTGATTTGAATTACACTTCCATACCCATACTGGATATACACGATAATGACGACGATTTTGACAACAAGTCATCTCGTGGTTATTCCAAATCAGGAAAAAACGACCGTGATAAGGAGCGTCGTCAACGAGAACTTGATCGCAGAGAGCGTGAGCGTATACAACAACTGGAGCGTTCCAATCAAAAAAAGAAATTGACAACCAAAAATATTTTACTTCCAGAAGGTATCACTATTGCTAATCTAGGCACGCTGATGGAGGTTAAATATGGTAAGTCGATTGATTTTATAGCGGATTGAGCTTATACTGTTTAGAATGATATCATTGGTTTCTGACCTGTCAATGTGATGTTACAATATAGAGAAGCTTGCTCGACGAATGATAAAAATGGGATTTGAGGAAACAGAGGCAAACTATGGTATGTTGTTGAATTCAAAACATACTAGTTTTATTTTTACTGATAATACGTTGGGGTTTGTATATTTAATTGATCATTGATTAAATCGAATCTGCCATCTAGTGTTGACGGCTGAAAACGCAGGTCTGATTGTCATGGAATACGGTATGAATCCAGTTATGGTTGAGCTTGAAAAGGTACAGTTAAGTGCTCGACCAGAGCCAGTAGATTGGACACAATACCCGCTTCGTCCGCCTGTTGTAACCATCATGGGACATGTCGATCACGGCAAAACCACATTGCTAGACTCACTTCGTAAAACGTCTGTTGCAGCCAGCGAAGCTGGTGGTATTACACAACATATTGGTGCCTTTTCAGTCGTATTGCCATCGAGCCAGCGAATTACCTTTTTGGACACGCCTGGCCACGCTGCGTTTTCTGCTATGCGGGAGCGTGGTGCACAGATCACAGATATTGTTGTCTTGGTAGTAGCTGCTGACGATGGTGTGATGCCACAAACAGTCGAGGCAATCAAACATTCTGTAGCAGCAAAAGGTATATTTGGTTTTTTTATGTTAATTGTTTTGTGTAATTATTCCAACATTTTAATTTCCCAATCTAGTTCCAGTTATTGTGGCACTAAACAAATGTGACAAGCCTGGAGTAAACATGGTAAGCAGTTTGCAGCATAAGTTGATATATTATTCAAAACTCACATTCATATGAATGCACGTATATTCACATTCAAGAAAAAAACCAAAGAAGACTTGCTTCGATACGAGCTTGTATTGGAAGAATACGGTGGCGAAATTCCGGCAGTAGAAGTTTCTGGTCTTACAGGGAAAGGACTCGACAGTTTAGAAGAAACCATTCTCACAGTATCCGAGGTGCTTGATATACGAGGCGATCCCAGCGGTGCTTGTGAAGCTATCATTATTGAATCCAAACTTAGTCGCGAACAAGGCAACGTAGCTACAGTTTTGGTTCGTCGCGGTACGTTGAAACCTGGTGCAGTTTTAGTTGCAGGATCAACGTGGTGCAAAGTACGCCGATTGGTTGATGAGAAGGGCGTGGAATTGAGCGAGGCAGGTCCTTCTACACCCATCTCAGTTACAGGATGGAAAGCTTTACCCAATGCTGGTGATGAGGTGTTGGAGGCTGAAAATGAGGTGAGTCGAAATACAAAACTTTTATGAATCTATTGTTTAAAGCGAAAAAACTGCATGTGTTTTGGCAGTTTGGTTAAAGTAGTGACTTGAGTGTTAATGTTTACTGAAACCTTGTTTGATATTGTAGATATCTGCTAAAAAGGTTATTCAAAGTCGGATACGACACAAACAACAGTTGCAGAATGTCCAACTTATTGAATCAATGAATGAAAAGCGATCGCAGGATAGAGTCGACCGAATTGAAACAAAGGAAAACGGGAAAGACAAGAAAAGGCATACTCAAGTAGAAACAAAAAATTCAATAGACCCCAATGCCATTCCCGAATTGCGACTTGTCATCAAAGGTTTGAAATGCTTGGACTTTTTGTACTGATACAGGATTATCGTACTGTAATTGATTGCTGACACGTTAAATAGCTGATGTTCACGGATCTTTGGAAGCATTGGAGGGAGTCATTCAGGGACTTCCAAACCACGAAGTTCAAGTTACAGCCATTTCATCTGGAGTGGGTGCAGTGACAGACACGGATGTTTCAATGGCTCTTGCAGCAAATGGTAGGCGATTTGATCAAATTGACAGTATGACTATTGCATGCTTTATTCACCTATATTGTATTATTTTATGCAGCACAAATTATTGCGTTCAATGTTGTCTGTGATCGCCGCGTATTAAGCGAGGCCAAGTCGAAAGCAATCAATATACACCAGCACCAGATCATTTATAAGCTCATTGACGACCTTAAACTCCAGATGAGCGAGTTACTTCCAGTCACGATTCTCAAAGAAGTAGTTGGCGAAGTCAATGTGCTACAGGTGTTTAGTATCAGTGCCAAGAACAAAAAAACCGACTCTATTGCTGGATGCAAAGTCATAAATGGCAAAGTACTACGCGGCAATAACATTCGTGTCATGAGAGATGGACAGGAAATCTATGCAGGTAAGCCATATTGAGCCATGTTTTAGATAGCACTTTATGCCTGCTGACTGCGCTATTGCGAATGACTGCCATTAGGGATGATCAAAACCTTCAAGCATCACAAAAAAGATATTATCGAGGCACTCAAGGGATTGGAATGCGGTATTGCCATTGATGGGTTTACAGATTACCAAGAAGGAGATGTACTGCAAGCATACAAAGTAACAGAAGTGAAACGCACTTTATCTTAAACCATGTGCTAATATGCACGACACCATGAATAAACAAGTGAATGGCTTTAGTCGCTGATAGCACATCTGCCAGTCAGCGTTGAGCTGTGAAATAATTCCCTTTAACAATTCGAGTTTTCCTCACTTGTGCTCGCTCCCACAACAATTTAATCAGCATGGGTCTGTGCAAGTGTCGCACAGTCACCAATCTTTGTGAGTATTTGTTTTGTGATACTTTATAGTCATGGCTGCAGACTCGCATTGTTTGTATGGCTTGCTCCTGCTGGTCTTGCCAATTCTCCTTCAACTCCTCGTTTAGAAATGACTGGATAGGCGTATTGGCTGGACATTCATTATACACACTAACACTATCTTGGAATATTTCAACATCAGTTTGTTTTGAGCACCGCAAGAATGTCTGCGAAACTTGCATCCAAAGCGACCACACCAAAGTAAATTACATATTGAGTTGCTAGTCTTGCCAGTCGAGCAAATGTATACCTGATCTTTATTTTAGAACGATCTTACTATCAAGATTTGGAAAATACAGCTTATGGCGATTTTGGAATTCATGACTAATGAATCTAATCTTGTGAACTGACTATACTCGCTAATTGAAACTTGACACTCTCAACTTTGAATGGTGACTGATACTGGGCTTTTTTCTCGATCCTGTAGTGTATAGGTATGTTTGGTTTTAAAAGTATTGATTCATTGGGATGTGAGCATGTAATTTTAAAAATGCAACATTACAGCGTATTCACGTAAGATAGGACACTCCTGCAGTGACTATTTTGCTTTGAAATAGACAGTGGTTAAATATTCGTTGCGCTTTCATACACAAACTATAGTTTTGAACTGAGATCACCTCTCATTTGGTATAACCATGCATTATGCAATCACCAGACTCATTCATTGGAATCCATATATTGGGATGGATTGTTGTCAATGCAAATCTACAAATTCATTCTTGTATCCTGAAATCACATACGTTCACGTTTTAATTCAAGAAAAGGTTGCACGCCTCGGGAATGCAACTGTTGTTTCCATACCCAATGCTCGATTTGGGTAAAAGAGAGTTGGAGATTAACAAGTATGGGATTTACTGCAACTGTAATGTGAGCATTTGTTCAGTTATGCAAAAATGAGCAGGGGCACAATGCTGTCTAGTAAATCTGGTGGATATGGCTGTTTATATATTTTGGTACTCTTGTTTAGTGTTCCACTTGCGTGAATACTGCTGTAGTGACCGAGTTATGCTTGACTGTTACAAAATATCCCGTCAAATAGACGATTAAACCTCTAACTTTAGTGTACAATTGGTAATACTATGATCTGATTTAGTCCGCTCATATTTACAATGGCTGCAGGATAGTGATTTCGACCCTGTTTGTATGTTATGTCGCAATACGCTTGCTACTGGAGAGGTGATTCGTTTAAGCTGTCTTGGTAAATTATATTTTCTCGTATAGTTTTTGATTTGGTATATCGTTTGATATTTTATTTTCAGTTGATTGATCTTGTAAATTTGGATTAGATCTATTCCATGTGGAATGCGTTAATGAGCACTGCAATGCGCTTCCAAGTCATACTGCACCTGCTGGATATGCATGTCCATCTTGCAAGGTGAGTGTGCTGCTCATTAATTCTGCTTTTGCAACCAACTTTCAGTTGCTTTGAAAAACACAACTATGACTTTGGGCTGAAGTGATCATGTTCTGAATGCATATCTGACAATTTTTACAGACTCCAATCATTCCTGCAGAAAATTCTGCATCTTCAATTGCAAAAAATATCTGGGCAACATTTAAAAACGAAAGATGGAGTCAGCATATTCTGCCCAAGCAAACAGTAAGTGCATGCTTTCAACGTTTTGTATTTGTTTTGGTATGCTGACAAATTGATATTTGACGTGGGCTAGGGAGAATCTGGATTTGGAACAGCAGTACAGCAGCAGAGTGTCGGTAGCAATAATACTAATGTGCACAACGAAGGTCCTGCTTTAAACAGCCATACAAGTTCTACTCATACTTTATCTGTGATGCCTACTGCAGCAAATGTTGCTACTACGATTCCACGCGTAGATTCTGCTCGTAACAGCGACACGATCGGGCAGCAGCATTCATCTGGTATTGCTTCGTCTGCCCATTTTCCTGACAGTAAGATCTAGTAAACTGCAGCGCATTACTCTACTTTGTGGATGGATCGCTAATTTTACTGCTGGTTTATTTAATTTTCAGATCGAATCGGCCGCAAGCCATCTCAACTTAGAATAGCTATTGATCCAGACGACAAAAAGTATAAGCGTAGGGGAGGATCTGTGATGGGTATATTTGAGCAATATTTGTAAGTTTTGATGTATGGAAGTAGGTTGAAATAATGGCTTTGATTAGATGCAAGTTTATCCATAATGTATATGAATTTGATATATCTAGGCCAAAGGGAAGATTAACGTGCCGTAAAATCATAACATATGTGCTGTTGGTGGTTGTGATCATTTTCTTGGGAAATATCATTCTTTTCTCATCGCCTGGAGTATCGATTTCAAGGCTTCCAACAGAGGTAAAAATGAGCAAGTCTTCAGAAGGGGTAGTCAATTTTGATGAGAGTGGTAAACGTGCAGCAGTACCGGGAGCAGTTGGTGTCTAGTTTTCATCTAACAAATCGATGATGCATGAATAAAGCCAATCAAAGTAGAAAAGTGAGTTTACATCACGTGATTGGTGAACGGATGAGGAATTCGGTTAGTAAAACCCCTTGTCCAGCATTCAATAAATCAGATATGGAGGTAGGCAGCGACTCTGGATATTGCAAAAACAAACCACTTGTTAGGGTCTGCTGTTTGATGGATGTTGAACTTGCAGTTGTTTAGTCAGTGATTTAAGGCAGCATTTTCCCCATCTCTAGTTTGATATTGAACCCATTACTAGACTAGTGGCTAACATTTACTGGCTGCATCTTATCTGCTTTGACTGCATACACCATTGCTGTATCTACACGAACGACCGACACGGAATACTTGATGGGATTTGGACATTGTATTTACGCCAATCTATGCAAACATTTCAAACGGCCTGAATACTTGCAACAAAACCTCATTCTCGAAACAATTGACTAAAACAGAGACTTCAGCGTTTAATGGGAGCCGGTGGTGGTATGGGAGCTGCCCAGCCTGGTTTGGACACTCCCACAGTCGATACTGCTGAGATGGTGTATATTTCTTCGCTAGCTCTTTTGAAGATGCTCAAGCACGGTAAACTATTTTATTGTTTGCAATCCAGATCAGAGTATACTAGAATAATCTGTGTTTTCAGCCTGCTAATCTTTCTATTTTGACATGGATCTTTGCAACGATCATTACAATGTAAAACTAAAGGTCGTGCTGGAGTGCCTATGGAAGTCATGGGTCTTATGCTTGGTGAATTCATTGACGACTATACTGTCCGTGTAATTGATGTGTTTGCTATGCCACAAAGCGGAACTGGTGTTTCTGTCGAGGCTGTTGATCCTGTATTCCAAACCAAGATGATGGACATGCTTAAGCAGACTGGAAGGTAATCATTTAACACCCTTTAGCTTTGCAGCTTCAACAGACACCTTTTGTTTTATGTATTGATGTTAGATTTTATGTGATATTTTAGACCAGAAGTAGTTGTAGGATGGTATCACTCTCATCCTGGATTTGGATGCTGGCTATCAAGCGTTGATGTGAATACACAACAGAGTTTTGAACAGCTCCATCCACGATCGGTTGCAGTAGTTGTAGATCCCATTCAATCTGTTAAAGGCAAGGTTGTGATTGATGCGTTTCGTCTAATCAATCCACACTCTGCTGTTCTTGGTGCTGAGCCTCGTCAGACTACATCCAACGTCGGACATTTGACCAAGCCCAACATGCAGGTGATTTTTGACTGGAAACTATACTGTGCATTCCAACACACCGAGCTCACAAGTATTTGCTTATATTCTAAATCATGTATAGGCACTGATCCATGGCCTAAATCGCCACTACTACTCGATGGCGATCAACTATCGTAAGAACGAGCTTGAGCAAAAGATGCTCCTTAATTTGCACAAAAAGACATGGACTCATGGGTTGACTCTCAAAAACTTTAATACTCATTCTGAAAGTAATGAAAAGGCAGTCAAGGTAAGGCCAGACTTGTTTTTATACTTGAATCTGGAGTCGGACACTTATATTTTGGATTCGCTTGATAACCATGAAATACTAGGCAATGCTTTCACTATCTGAAGCCTATAACAAATCTATCCAGGAAGAAATGTCCATGACACCAGAGCAGCTCCTGACACGCCATGTAGGTAAACAAGACCCTAAGCGTCACTTGGAGGACAAAGTGGAAGCGTCCATGTCAAGCAACATTGTTCAGTGTCTTGGATCTATGCTCGATGCAGTTTCGTTTTAAAAACAAAGAATGAATTACGGCCTGAATGTTTGAAGATTGCAATAGAGAGGCGGATGCTTTGAAATAGAATAAATAGGTAGCGGTGCAGGCCAGATGATTGATTTGTAGAATGATTTGGTCGAGCCAAACTCCGCTTTCTTGGCCCGGACATTCGACCCTAATAATGTTCCTAATACTAAAGTAATTATCCTTAGCCCAGCCAACATAGTTATTATTTGGGAAGAATTAGACCAACTATGCTATCATCGACCTTGGAAGCCACAGGAGCAATCGAGTCTAGTGCAGCTACAATTGATACCCAACCAGCCAGTAGTCAGGAACTGGATGTTGTCATACCTGCTGGAGTGTCACAAGATGATAGCTGTATACCGTCTACCACAAGTGCTTCTAAACATTCTACTCACAGTCACCTCAGTATAAAGAGCATTCACAGCTGCTGTAGTTCATGCAGCAGTCATTCACTCGCTCGTTCTCTGAGCCTCAACAACGGCCAATCAGCCTCTGCCAACAAACATACTCGCAGCCATAGCATGACTGCCACCATGCCTATTAAACCACCAGCCTTTATTCCTCCATGCGTCTATCCTACTGCTCATCCCTATTCTGCGTTTACTGCTGTTCCACATAAACTCCGACGCGAACGACATTTGTGTCTACAAGAGCTGATGATGTTGGAGCAGCCGTGGCTATTACTCCAAGATCAACACAACTCTTGTGCTGTTCCTGGCGAACCCTCATCTTTAGATTCAACTCAGCCCGCTGCTTATAGAAATAATGGCATATATACCGATAATATAGATCGTCAGAGAGCCATGCTCAATCAGCGTCAACATATTCGAATGGATATTGTTGCAAAAGGCTCTGCAATTGACCGGTTATTTGCTTCCTCTGATTGGGTACATTACAGTGCATTAATGTTTGAGGGAATGCAGTGTATTGATTGACTAACATTTGTGATGCTGGTACTATATTCTAGATTTCCACAAAGCAAGAACCTCCAGAATCCATTACAAGATTAATGCAATTGCGTCCAGATATGCTTTCGGCAAGATTTTCTCATAAAGATCTACATACATTGGAGCTGATTGCACAAGTGCGAATGAATGCATTAGCCATTTCTTCCGAATAATAAACACTGATATCATACTTTCACATCAAGTGATATCAGTTGATTCAATATTCAGTAGAAACGCAATACATTGACTGTATTGTTCTGTTTGAATGGATGATAGCCAAACCCAAGTGATCACAGGGTCGTTGTCATGCAAGCAAAATATATTGGGATAAATAACCAAAATCCCAAATGTACAAAGATGCCAAGTCTACCCATGATATTTTATCAAGAATGACATGTCGAGTATTGCTTGAACAGCTTGCATACATCAGAAATAAACATTACAAATTTTAGCAAGTTTCTAAATGTTATTATATTGTCAAATTCGTACAATTCTTGTTGAGCAACTTGCACTCACTACCTGTCAATTAAGATTCAAATCGTTATTAACATTGACCATCTTTTACTACGCAATCCATTGTATTTTAATTAAAAGCATATTCAACAATCACTGGTCTAGCTGACTGGGTAAATGAAGATATAGGATACGGATTGGATAGGTGGATAACACTGTCTACTGTAGCAGCCCACCGAACAAAAAGCAACCTTCTGATCATTGCAGTGATTCAGTTTTGCTAACCCTTTATAATGAGTACCACTGTAAGTAAAAACTAGTCATACTAGTCAGCACGAGCCTGCCAAATGTCGAGAGAAATCAACGAGATTCCGACGTGTTATTTCCAAAGTTGGTATGCATGCACTAGCTAGCACTACAGGCCACTGTCATATCTGCTTTCTCTTCTACTGGTTTCTGTTAGATCCTATCTTTCATATCACGTGAAAGGTTGGCTGGTAGCACCCATTGTATTGAGAGGAGACCAAAGCCACTATTGTTCATTAAAGGCATAATTGTATCAAATTTTACAAACCTCATTAAAAAGTATCTTTATCTTGCAGTTTTAAATATATTGCACATTTATATCTATTAAAATGGATACACAACCTTTTGCATCGTCTAGTGAGGCATCTCATGACCATTCTCACAATGCCACTATAGAGCACCGTAGTGATTCCTCTGAGCGTATATCTACCCACGATGATTCACAACACCCTTCAGTAGAAATGAGGTTATCAGAACAATCTGACAGGTCTATACATCATTCTGAAAACAAAGTGATACACGCTTTAGAAGCGACTACCATTTCCAAACACGATCACGTCAAACCCGAAACCGAAGTCGTCCAGAACAACGACCACCCAAAAGGTCACAAGGAGAATACCAACAAGGATCAGACTCGCCATCACAATAAAAATAAAAAGAAACCAGACGATACACCCTTGCGCGATTATCCTGATCCACTTAACCAGATCGAACCTCCAGAAATCGAGTCTCATCCTAAACATCAAGAAGAATTGGAACAGTTTACAACCACCCATCAAACCAAAAAGAACTCGGGTGCATTCTTGTATCGACACTACACGACATTTTATCCCTGTGCCAATCGACTCTTGGCCATGAAATGGGATCAAACTCAGCGTCAACAGCATTTGAAAAAATTATCTGCTGTTAAACCGACTATTGATAACTCTCCTCCTAAATTGCATATGCATTTGCAATTGAAACTCAAAAAAGTTCAAATGGAGGAAGGTAGGTGTGAGGCATGCATGGCTTGCGTCAATCTCTTGTTTTGACTGGTTGAAATGTACACCTGTGTTTTGCTATCATTAATCAAATTGCTTATAGATCGTCTTATGCAGATTAAGCGAAACAATCGTATTCTGCTAGAAAAAATGACTCATATTATGGAGATGGAAGCCAAAGATCCCAGCATTCACAACGACCATGATTACACTCATAGTCTGAGTGCTTCTTTTCGTGCCCGACAAATGGCCAAGATTGCTGAAGAAAACAAGGTCAATCATGCACTGATTCGATACTCGCTTTTTGTAGTCACATGAGTATCAGCATGTATCAATCGGCTATATCGATTTTATAAAAAGCTAAAGTTTACTTTTTCACAAATAGGCCATGCTGATGCGACTGGAAACCAAGCAACCTCATTACGCACACACAAAATGGGATAAAGATCGTCAGAGGAATCTCATATACTTGCAAAATATCTCTGCGTATCCTCAAGTTTTTATTGATCTTCAGAAAGCAGAATCCAAACACCAAAAAGGAAATGATGCTAGCAAATCAGAACATCCTAAACATGATGGTAAAGGCGGATGGAAGGAATCTGAACGCAATGCGGATCTGAAAGCAGCGTTTTTACCACCTTCAAAACAGTCTAATAAAAAAAATAAAGATCAATCCGACAGCAAGGAACAACATGGCAAGAAACAAGGTAAAAAGACTACAAAGACACCCGTCACCGATGTAGATCGCATTGCATCTGCACGAGAACCACGAGCTCCTGTTCCACTTCCTGATATCCACAAAGACTCTGATCACTACGAAGCTAAAGAAAGCGCAGACGTTCCACTACCAACATCTACGACAGAGATCACTGCAAACTAAGTTCAACTATCAATATATAGACCCAACCACCTATTTCTTACTCTGCCAATACTAATTTCCTCTCTTTTGAAAAATGCTTATACAATAAAAGAATGCTTTAAATGAAGGCAAACTGATATTTACTCAAATAGAAATGCTTTACGCAATGAGCTCAACTTTTCCTCCTGCAGCAACAATCTTCTCTTCTGCTTGCCTGGTGATAAAGCGGGTCTTGACAATAAGAGGAATGGCGGGGAGAAGACCTTTGCCAAGAACCTTTGTGAAACCCTAAAGTTGATTGATAAATATTCAGTCAATACTGCTCAAATGTACAACTAGACATTCAAATAAAAACACGTACGTGAGCAAGAGCATCAATGACAGGAACAGCACCCTTGGGGGAAGCAGCAGCCTTGAGACGAGTCTCCTCAGAAACGAGTGACCAGATCTTGTCGATGTTGATGGTCCTGTTGTAGTATGCATTGCGAGTCAAATGGAAATGACGCATACCAACTTTACCAAAATAACCAGGATGGAACATATCCATGTTGATTCTGTGGTGATGTTGACCACCGGCAAGACCACGACCACCGGGATGTTTCCTGTGCTTTCCAACACGACCGTGACCGGCGGAAACGTCTACAAGTTGATCATATCAGAAATTGTCAGCATTGATCGTCTAGCATTACAAGATAGAAATGAAAAAGTAGAATGAAAACTACATACGTCCACGCTTCTTTCTGTTCTTGGACAATCGGGAGGGCTAAATAGTCATGAGTTGAACATACAAGGCATTGTCAGTAAAAAGTGCTCAAAACAGCTCTGCAATACCCAACCAAAATACTGGCTTGCTAGACCATCCAATTATGACGCTGAAAATACAGCTAGAGTCAATGGGCATTCTGCTACTCATGAATAATCTTGAACTGTTTCCAGTATAAACAGATCCAAAATGGAAGTGCTATGATGGTCAATTCAAGCAATAGTGGGCAGGGAAGTTGCTGAGCATTTTTTACAAGTCAACTTGGAATGGCAAGAGCCCATTAAAACTCATGCAACGCATAATCAGTAATGCAAGCATCCATCCACACATTTGATGATCCTGAAAAGCATAGAAACAAGTGGATGGATGCACTAGTAGTCCATGCAAGATACAACAGGGGATGGCAGTCCAATCATACCATTTGCTAAAATCGTGCTGGTAAGTCCAATCAGCACTTGGTTTCATTGTGTTATTTGCCAGCTCAATACTCAATCACGTGACAAAATTGCATCCTTGAAGTTTGAATCTGACATTACCAACAGTCACTATTCATCTTGCTATCTAATCCAATGGCATGCGCTCTCGCCAAAAACTGGTTCATTGCATTTCAAGTCACGTCGTTTTTACACTAGACTGTTGATAAATCAGCAAAATGCATTCCATCAAAAACATTGCAAGTTTTTCCAGGATTCAGCACTGAAATATTACATTTCGACTTGCATTCATAGCAAGACCGTCAACAAATTCAGACTTTTTAAAGATATGCGATTTGAAAATCATGTGCTAGTGGAGTTATTTTGAAACCAACGCTTAGTTGTATATTATATTGTCGTAGTTTAAAATACTTTGATTTAAAGAGTAATTGCTCGTGTCATTTGGATTGAAGCAAGTGCACGCAATAAGTCTTGTATTGGCTACTTGGCCAAAAAGTGAGAGCAAAACCAATACTACCCACGTGACATTACTACCAATCCAAGTAAGCGAATATTATATTTTTCTTTTTCCTCGTTAGAAGCAATCTGCGTCACCTGTAGCAAAACATGAGACCGTTGACTGAAGAAGAAACCAAGGTATTGCCTTTTAATCTTTTTTATTAATACATCCCAATGTCTTTGCTTTATGATCGTTTTTATTTGAGTTCTAATGCATGTGTATATCATACTTTTTACATGAACTATTAGACCTTTTTTGAAAAATTGGCAAAATAGTGAGTGTTTTTTCAATTATCTTTTGGTCTTTATTGCTTGGATTTTCAGTTTTGTAACTCGGGTTTTAATCGAAAACCTGCAATTGTAATATCAGTATTGGACGCAATATCGCTCATTTGATAGATCGACCTGATGAGCCGTACTGTTTTCGTATACAAAAAGATAAAGTGTATTATGTTAGTGAAAGCATTATGAAAAAAGCAATCTCGGTTAGCAGAGATCAGCTTCTTGCTCTTGGAGTTTGCTTTGGTAAATTCACAAAGACTGGAAAATTTCGTCTGCATGTCACTGCTTTGGATTATCTGGCACAATTTGCAAAGGTATTAATTTGTATCAATTTACTGATTGGGAATATACACTTATTGACACACTTGTGTATAATAACAGTACAAGGTCTGGGTCAAGCCCAATGGTGAAATGTCGTACATGTACGGCAACCATGTTCTCAAAGCACATCTTGGTAGAATCACTGAAGATACACCCGAACATCAAGGTGTAATTGTTTACACAATGGCTGATGTTCCACTGGTATGCGCTTGCTTTTTTAAAGTCTAGTTTGAGGTTGAACATTGATTGCTCACAAAGTGTGTTTTAGGGTTTTGGTGTGACTGCAAAATCCACTGGAGATTGTCGCAAAATGGATCCTACTTCAATCTGTGTGTTCCATCAAACTGATATTGGCGAATATCTTCGTGACGAAGATACTCTTTTTTAATCTAGTCTCGTTTTTCATGCATTAATGTATATTTATCATTATTTTATGTTGACGTTTTTTCTGTGCTTCTATCTGAGCCGTGGGTTTGCCTGGTCTTTTGAAATTTTGTCTACTTTACCCCACACTACTATTTTATGCGATGGTGCTGTTTAATAGTATCAATTGCTTGCAGTTTGTGGAATAGCAATACTTGATTTCGCTAACACCGAGCCGGTCAATGGCCGGAGTTTGATAGTAGACCTTGTGACATTTTGAATTTTGGTAGTCATGGAACCCAGTTTTTATTCAATCCATTATCTAGCTGTGCCTATTTCATGAGAGTATTGTGCGTCTAGACGCGGCGAGTTTCCGTTGGCAGAGACTGGAGCTTGTGTTGGGGGAGGGTTTAGTCCATTAAATGAATCATTCATGTTTTCACCTACTTTTTCTATTGTTTTTACGTTCGTTGCCACATCTAGCATTTCGGCTGATTCTACAATTTAGTATATCAAGGTCATGAGCATCAATTTTAATTTCTTGCACAAGTGTCCTAGTCATGTACACTAGACAAATGCCTTGATCATCTTATTCCACTTCTTACCTGACATGGGACTGGCTTGTGAATCAGCCATACGACGTACAACGTGCGATTCGATATACCCAATTCCCTTTGCTTGCTTGATAAACGGAAATTCGAGCAGATTTTGCACTGTTGGTCTCCCATTGGGATCTTTTACCAAACACGCTTGCACAAACCGATAAAAATTCTTGGACAGCACTTTTTCTGATGCAACTGCTGGACAATCATACTCTAATTTACATAGCAGTACCTAAACAACATATGATTTAGTAGTTAATCCTATAGTTAGTCTTTGATTAAACTGGTCTTTGAGTACACCAGTGTAATCAAAGTGCGATGAATTTGGATGACCATAATGATCATTTGCAACACACAAATACTATCAAGTGTAAGCCGTGGTTTACCTTGAGAGGTGGCCAGTCATCAAATGGTGTTTTGTTATAAGCAAGTTCTAATGCAGTAATACCCAGAGAATAAACATCCGCTTGCTCGTCAAAATTGGCTTTCTACGTATGTTTCGCATTGACAATTGAGCACGATTTCAATCACAAAACGATATATTAACATAATTTGACTTTAAAGAAATCAATCCTGATTAATTATAAAGGATAAATTGTAATATTACTTGTGTGATGACTTCCGGTGCTGCCCATTCAATGTTGTCACCCACAAGCGAAAACACCGATTGAACATATTCGCCGTTACGCGACAAGTGCACCATTTGACGCAAACCAGTAATGCGCACCTTGCCGTGATGATCAATAAGGATATTGTTTGCACGAATATCACTACATATCAATCGACAATCCAACATGTCAGAGGATAATTTGAACATCGTCAAGTCTCACTAAACAACTCACTTGTGAATCATTTTATTTTGATGCATGTATTGAATCGCCTTGAGAACTTCTTTCAAAATGGCAGCTACAACTGACTCGCTGAACCCCGTATTGAAATGATCTTTGAGAATACCACGACATGTTCCTGTTATAGTTTTTAAATAGCATCATGTGTAAATGCCAAACTATTTTATGATCCATTGAAATGTATTCATAAATACTAATATAGATAGTAAGAGATGGACATACCTGCTTTGATTGGATAAGTAACAGACCACAAGCGCTCATTTTCGACAAACGTGTGAAAGTATGGTAACACGTTGGGATGTCGACACATTTTAGTATTGTGAACACTTCGCTATTTTAAAATGTATTGTAGTCAAATAAATGGTCAGTCAGATTGCACATGTAATAATTAGTTTGAATTCCAAAACAATTCTCAATATGATATGCGTACAATCAGTTCGTCTACAAACTCATAGTCGGGTGAGATTGTCAAATCAGTGTATTTAAGAGCCACAACTTCACCTGATGGGATGAATTTGGCCAAGTAAAGAAATGAAATATCGTCCACACCACCTAATGAACATCCAAAACGTTAAATTTGATTTGGATCTATAATCAAATCAAAAGAGCTGGCTTTGATACTGCGCTAAAACACGGGATTGTACCTATATCACTAATTAGGTCGTAATCCTTGATATTATTAGTAAATCGAATAGACTCGAGACTTTTTTTGTGAGCACCAGAAAAAAACGACTAAACCGTATATTGAATGAATAAAAGTTTAGCAAAACCATATTATTGATGTATATCAGTCATGCTTTAAATGTCGATTTCGTCGTGCAGTACAAAATACTGACATGGTCTAGTCTGAATATGCATTCATCTAGACTTTGTAGACTAATAATAGGTTAACTGACCAGTGCAGATGTAGCCGACCCATCACGACCATGCGGGGTCTTTAAAAGAGGTACAGCAAGTTTTGTATCAATGGAAATACTATGCGGCAAATCGACTGATACCCCAGACGCCGAAGCAGTCTCCATATTATTATCCATTTTGAAATAACAGGTCAAGGAGTAAGCTGGATAAAATTATCAATTTCGTGACTTGTTGCTATCCTAAATCCTATCCAAAAATAAATATCTTGAAGCTTTACAGCTATGCCGGACACGCCAGCACATTTTCCAGCCAGTGACCCTACACAGGCTGAAGGTGATGCAAGTGACCTTGACGAAGAAGAGCTTATTGGTAAACGCTTTTTAAATTCAGGCTGTCATTGTCGCTGAATGATAAACTCGGCTGGCTAAAACTTGTATTCCTATTCCTATTGCTTTACGATTTTATTCATTTTATGATACCAATTATACCTGTCATAAACTCATCATATTAGCTGGATTTGAAGATAATGCGAATGCCAACCAGCTCCAGCCGATTCAAACAGACCAGCCGTTACGCCCAAAATCATCTCCAGCCATTCGAAACTATCCTACTATATCAAAAAATAGACCAGCATCTAGCCCCTTGGCAAAGCCATTCCAACCCACACCGTCAGCATCTCAAGATATAGCTAATTTGAAAACGCGTACGACTCTCCCATCTCGACCACATTGCCCACCTCATCCATTATCAGGACAGTGCAGCCCTACACAACCACATCGTAAACCAAAACCACAACATACTTTTCAAGATAAAAACCTCGCCCATTCAACTGATGGCCGCGACTATTCGTCGCGTGAACGCACCCATCCTGGTACATCAGAGACATATAGTAACGCATCAGTGTTTTCATCCATCACCTCTGTAGAAATGCACAATACACTATGGCCTTTAAACAAATCGCATGATTCTGATGAAAATACAACCGCATTTTATAGCGAGTTTAATACTGATGCAGACCAGCCAGATAGTTTGACATGGTCACCACCAGAATCGCCATTGCGAACAACAGCAAGTGCAAGAACGTGTCCTATCAACGCATTTGAAGAAAAGGAGGCATTGACGTACTTGGATCAAACAGTTTTCCCCACATTATTAAAGGCCATTGAAAGTGTGTTGAAGCTGGTGAAAATGGGCAAAGACGTTGCCGATCCAATTGGCATAATTGCTTTGGTGAGTATGTCAGGGCTAGACTTGATCAATGTGTAGAACGAATGTTTTAAAAAGTAGACATTTTGTAGTAGTTGTACTAATAGATAGTGAATTGGACGACTATTGGTTTAGAATATTACCAAAAACAACCCGAGATTAGCACTGGGACAACCTAATGGATATGTAAAATCCAAGTTCCTTGAATCTGCTATTCAACGAATGGAAGAACCATGCACGGCGATCGCCAATCAATCCATATTGTCATTCAGTCTATCACGTCAGCAAACGTTTCGTACAAGCTCTGCATCCAGTGTGCGATCAAGAGCCACCTCAAGACAATCAAGCATAGCAGAACCCAATAATATGGTCAAGAACAGCATTAAAGTTGTTCCTCAAGAGATTTTTGTTCAAAACAAATTGACTCTATGATTCAATTAGACACGATTTGTTGGCTAGTTTATACTATTTAGCTGGCATTTCTTAAGTAGGCAAATGAGTGAAAATAAACTATATATTTAGATTGATCGAGAGAATAAATGATATACTATTTGATTTGATGAAAAGTACAGGCAGTATAATTAGCAGCCAATTAAAAGCAACAGCAAGCATCATTATTCAAGTGTATCCAATTTTAGCACTTGTAGTCTATGTACTTGAACTGGGAATTACAATCCTGCAGTAAATGGTTCAAATAACTAATGCAATCAAAAGTTTAAATATTGGTTCAGTTGAACACTGGAATACCAATATAACTGGATTTTCAAAAATATCGTTATTATGACAAAAGGATCACCAAGCCGAACAAGTAAAAGTTGAAGTTTATTTCATCCGCACAACACACTTATCCTAAATCAAAGACATTTCCAAATAGCCAAAATCTCGTCCCATCCATCAAGTCACACTAGTGAGTAGCGGATGCAAGATTTTTGATCATAGTCTAGACAATTTGTTCCAACTCGTGAGCGTACCCAAGAGTTTGCTGAATGATATTGGCAGTTGGAATGTCGTGTACAGCACCATTAGTCGAAGCAAAATGTACCATTTTATCAGCGGTGCCAACATTCCATCCACGCTGTAGAGTCAAAGGGGTTAACACAATAGTATCAGTTGCAAGTAGACCGCATTGGCAATGGTTTGAATAGAGTCAATTTACCTCTTTTGCAAAAGTGAAAAACTGCTCGACAGTCTGAAAATAAAGTAAAGTGGTGGCATCTGCAATGGGAAGAGTATTGTACGTCTTTTCACTACAGCTAGCAATTTCGTTTCTAATGGTGCCCATAAGAATATTGATAAAGAAAGAATATTCCTCAGCAGGCACGTTGGCACGAGCATTCCAGACCTTGTTGTAAGATCCTTCCATCAAGCACTGCTCGATCTGAACAGAGTGTTTAATGTAGACATTGGATGCCAAGCACTCTGGATCAATAGTTTCTAGCTCAGTATGAAACTCTGCAATGCGATTCTGTGCAAGAAGTCTAAGTAGATTCAGTCCAATAAGCATGTAGTGGCGTGGGGATTCTGGCACGAATTTACTAGATGGGGTTGACCAGTACAGATTATGCACGCATGAAATTGGCTGGATTAGTATAGTTTACACTGACTCTAGAGTCTTGTATTTTGAAAAATGATCTTGCAAGTAGTCAAGTGAGGTTTCAAGAGCGCTTACGCAAAATCAGTGTAGTATGACTTGAGCTGAGCAAAATATCTTTCAAACGAAGGAATATCTTGGGATCTAACACTCCACAGAGCACCAATTTCAAGTACTTCGCCTAATGTAAGCCATGAGTCAATAAACCAACAATTAGTTATGAAAGTTTTTCAAATGAGCAGACTCCATTAAGCATATAACAAGATCCATCAAAGCTGGATGCAACATTACATACGTGCTAAAAGGATCTCTTTTGGATCTGGCTTTCCGGTTGGCAGCAAAAAAGACATTCCTGTCAAAAGCACCTAAAATACAATACCATGAATCCAGACATTGTGAAAATAGCAGTTGTTCAGGTTGTCAGTAAGCATCTGTGTATGGATGAGTTGTAGTCATGTATCAAGCGAAATACAAGATTCAGGTCACCTTTAGTTTGGCAAGTGATTGTCCAGCCTTGACAAGGTCAGGTTTTGGACTAGCCAGACCCTTCTTGAGAGCTTCTAAAGCAGCGGTAGCTGTAAAACAGACAAAAACAAATGGTTTAGAGTCTAGTGGATGATTTATCTGGTCGAGTTCAATATTGAACAAGACGATGCACAGTCAACTCATGAAGATATGTGGATAGACAACGAATAGTCCAGAAAAGAGCGACAAGACAAACTCTACCCTGGTTCATGAGTAATAGAATCAAGAAGTTGAATGTTGGATGAAGACCAAGTTGAAGCAGTTCAACGAACACGCGATGCCATTGAATGATGTTCAAGACAAATCCAAACTCGTCTTGACAAGCAATCTGATGAGTTTGCTATTGTGATTATGGATGTTGAGTTGTATTGCGTAAATCATTCAAACTAGCAATTCATTGTATAAATCATTTATAAACGTCTAATGAATGCTTTAGAATGAGAATCGTTGACATTCATCGAGATTCACTTGTTATGAATTCAATGATTTTTGACTGTTTTGATACAATTCAACACTCGAGTCGTTCCAATACTCTATAATGACCACCGAGACTGCAACAATGGACACTTTTTCTATTGCTGGAACCACTTCTGCTGCTAAACAAAATGTCAATGGTGAGTACATGCTCTTCTTCCATTCATCACATGTGTTATGTCCTTCAACTAACCCATTTCGATCCTCTGATTCAGACGTTACTTCTGATGATCATTTTGCCAGTCTTGTTGCTTCTTGTCCAGTTTCTGTCATTAATTGCTGGGCAGAATGGCATGAACCCAGCAGAGATATGAATTTGGTCTTTGAAGAGCTGTCCCGAAAATATCCTGTGTTGTCCTACATCAGAGTAAATTGCTTGTTTAGTCATGCCAACAATTCTGTCGAGTTGGTCGCTGATCCATCTCTTTTTATGTATGCTCTAGTTCGAGGCAGAGACTTTCCCTGACATCTCGGAAAAGTATGAGATTGCTACAGTTCCTACTTTCATGATCCTGCGGGTGTGTTATTGCCATGATTGCTCAAATGCAACAACAGTTTAATCATTGCACTAATGCCTTGAAATGTATGATTTAGGACAACGGAACAGTTGTTGAGCGTATCGAAGGTGCCAATGCTCCACTGCTGACCAGTACCGTAGATAAATATTGCAAATACGCTACTACATTGTTGGCCTCTGCCACGCCTTCTCTCAATGCTGTATCTGCTGACTCGGATGCTGACTCGAATGCATCAATGGAAAAGAAACTAAAAGTACTGGTGTCATCCCATCCGATTATGCTTTTTATGAAAGGCACTCCCTCGCAGCCCCGATGCGGTTTCTCTCGACAGACTGTAGAGTTGATGGCTCAAGTGGGTTGTGAATATGGATCATTCGATATTCTTGCAGATGACGCAGTTCGTCAAGGTGAATAGATTGTCTTGATACGAGTGTGCTTTGGTCTAGATTGAGTTGCTCACTGTTTAACATATGGCCAATATATAGCTTTGAAAAAATACAGCAACTGGCCAACCTATCCTCAGATCTATGTCAATGGTGAGCTTATCGGTGGACTAGATATTCTCAAAGAGCTGATTGAACAGGGAGAGTTTCAGAATATGGTTCCCAAGGAAGACGATCTCAACACTCGTCTAGGAAAGCTTGTTAAGCGTGCCAATGTCATGCTTTTTATGAAAGGATCTCCCTCTACTCCTCGCTGCGGGTTTTCGCGCCAGGTTGTCAAACTTCTTGATGAACAGAGTGTTGTATATGAAACGTGAGTAAACTTTTGATCTGTGAAATCATTATTGCTTTTACTGATTTGTCTAATGTCTTGATATATTTAGATTCGATATTTTGGAAGATGAGCAGGTTCGAACTGGACTGAAAGAGTACTCTAATTGGCCTACATTTCCTCAACTTTACATCAAGGGTGAGCTTGTAGGAGGTCTGGATATTCTCAAGGAGATGATTGAACAAGGAGAATTTCAAGCCATGATTGCATAAACATTACGAGTAATATTTCCAACTATTTTACACTGGGTGTGGGGGAGATTCCGTTGATTTGGCGAGTCAAGGGCTGACTATAAAACTTTACAAAAAGTGGGAGCAGTTTTAAAGTTTATTGTGTTAAAGGACCCTAGTGAATATTTTCAAAGAGTAAAGCTTATGATGACGAAGCTGAGCCATTTTCAAACTCGGCCGTAACAAGATCTTTAATTTTGGGATATACCACTTTTTCATCAAGTTGGTTCTGAGCAGAATAGATAGTTAGCGTGTGCTCAACACCGATATAATGCATACCCATTTGGACTCAGTGTTATAAATGCACATACCTGGGCCCATACAAGCATCTTGAGCAGCGATGGCAATTTAGGATCTTTTTCTTGGCATTGGGTAGTCAGAATTGCTGCATTAAGCTCACTTGCGGTTTTTTGGCGCTGTGAATGGTTTAGCAAGTCTCCAACAGGCGATTTGTACGTATCTTCAAATGCCAACAGCGCCATTGTGCGCTCAAGTTCATTCAGAAACTCGGGCTAGAGTATCTCAATATTACCAATCAAGAATTAGCCACCATTTGAAAATGAATTTGCAATTAGCTACAAACTTACATTTTCTTCTCCGCGAGGTGCCAATTCTTCTTGAGCAAACTCGATAGCTTCTGTAATTTTATTATTACGAATCAGCTCAATCAGTTTCTGTTGCTGCAGATGGAAAAACAGTTTAGGATTGGTATCCAAAATCTATTCAAAGTGGAATATAGAGATATTAGTGGCAGAAGTAAATAGGATGAGCTATCGCCAAAAATCCATCCAGTTCCAAAGTATTTACCTCTGGATCAAGGTCATTTACACGCTCAATGGCTGCTTCGATATTGCCATTCTGAATATCGTTTCTAATGTTCATTCGGTCTTCAACTGTCATCAGATCAACTGCTGGTGCAAGTCCGGACTCGACACTGAATTTTTCTGCTGCATCCTTGTATCCTTCAATCACAAGATAGTTCATGACAAGTCTGTTCAAATCACTGAGTTGACATTCAAGTTAGCATTGCTTCCACTATCGGTAATTCATCGTTTCACAAAACAAATACTATCTGCACAAGCTACAACTTACTTCTTGCTGCTCTTGACGTCAGAAAGCTTTTTTTCCCATTCTTCACGAGATATAGCCTAATGGGTCATGATGTTAGAACCAAGTATACATGCATAGGTGATAGTACTAGTTGTAGGATATAGCCAAGAGTAGTATTGAAGGAGCATATCTCAGCAAAACTCAAGGCCGTAGTCAAAGTAAATCATGCATTATTTATTCGTGCTGAATCCAAATATACTAACTTTTTTGGGTTGTGTTGCCAACGAAGCCTAGTATTGTATGTGCGATAATAAGTTGAAGTGGGCAATGTAGAATGAATCATCTAATGTTAGTTGGAAGCTTTATCTATTATAAGAGTGGAATACACTAGGCAGTAGATGGATAAAGAACGGCTTTAAATCATGAATCAACAGGCAGTATTAAAAGAATAAACTACCATCGACAGCGGTTCGGGTTGTGTTGGTAAATGTCAAGTCAAGCATCGGCAATTGTCATTTTTGGATGTGCTAGAAATCATCACTAAAACATAGAAATCATCACAATGGGCTCGTCCAAGACTGCATCGAGCCATTCATCTACATCAGATACGACACATTCCATTGCTACTGCTCTGGATTCAGCTGAAAAACTATCACTGAGATCCGGCTCAATGGTGTCCAGACTCCCAATACTTGTAGATGCATCCAGTCCTCTGCCAGTTAGAACCAAGACTGTCCATGCTACTGCCTCGAACCAGGCATTTGATCATGCATCCACTATCACATCAAATGCATCACAAGCGTCCAGTGCATATCCAAGTCCGAAGCTTCCTGCTGGTAGACGGTTCAGAGTTATTGGACGTAAAGTGATTGAGCCTGCTGTTCCTTCACAGTCTACTGACACTGGTGGTTCCGTAAATGTGCTAGACTCGGTTTCTCTATCCAAAGAAACAACTGTTTTGCGTGCTGCTATGGAATGGAATCATGCACATATGGATGACTCCAATATGTCCGATCTCACCAATAAGCTACACTCTGGATTACATTGTAATCATCCAGATTTGGTTGTCAGTTTTACTGATTTAGAACTCCGGACAAATCAAGCTCTTGCATCCAGGTAATATGTGATCTAATAAAACACTTGTTTTCTATCTGCATCATACTCAACTGTTCCATTGTAATGATAAAGCACTCGTGTTGTTCAAGAAGCAGAAGCGTCGAAACATTCACAGTCATCCATTCTACATAGTCAGATCATGCCACAATCCACTCGTAAAGCAGAATCAGTTACCAAATCCAGCTTATCTACAGATCCTGAAGATATCTTGGCGAGTATTCGACGCAGGTTTGTTGTATCACTTAATGAATTTGGTCATGTAGTGATCAAACTTGACTAACCTATTATTTGTACATTTGATGTGTAGATATGGAATAAAGGACAGTATTGATACGTCCATTTTAGATAATTTTGAAACCAAATCCATGTACAATTATGCTCCCTCGCATAATGAATTGTCCTTTTACACTGCACCTAATTTGACTACAAATTCAGTATGTTCAAACTTGAAAGCTGGTTTTCAGCATAGCGATGCATTGGCTGGCATTGACAAACGTGAGATTACTTCAACTCGACCAGATTCGCTGCAGATACACCACACCGTGCCCTTTCCTCGGTCAGCATGGGAAAAGCATACACCCAGTATTACCTCTAACACTCACATTCCATCTACCATGCCATCATGCACGCTTAATCATAATACTTCAGATCTTGAAGCTACAACTTTTCCATTATCTCTATTCACATCTGATTTACTTACAAAAGCTCAGATCCCAGCCCATGGTGCCTTTCAAAGCAAACTGGTTTCTGTACCTGCCAAACCATTTGATGCATTCGAGGCAATAGTGGCTCAAACGAATTCATCTGTACGTACAAGTTTATCTAAATTTCAATTCAATCAACCCAAGTTGATAGTCAGCAATAGTCAAGATTTAATTAAAAATAACTAACATGTTAAACTTGTATTATTATACAGTTGAGCCAAGTTCAAAATGGGAACATGAACGACACACAGTCATTGACTAGGCACCCTGTCGCTGTTGGAGCTGTTGGCACTACCATTTCAGTATTAAATCAGCCGTGTTACGACAGGTGTGAAGAGAAGGAATCTAGATCGCCTAAACTTACACTAGATCAACTTGGATCGATTCATGTAACTGATGAGATGAGGAATATGGCAGTGCATCCTAATACTTGTAATGACCCATCTCAATCGTTATTGGATACCCGACAAGATGTTATTTTAAAGGATATTGAATCAAGAAACGTGATGGAATTAGATTTTCAAGCCAAATCTAGTCTTGTCAATGACTCTAGATTAAATATACTACAGTCTTCCGACGCACCAAATTCAATGCCTGCAGTCAATGAATCAAGCGCATCTCCGCGTTGCCTTGACACACCAACAGAAGGCATACACTCAACTATTATATCTGCTTTAGCTATCCCAACTGCTGTTGATCCAGCTACTAAGCCACTTATGTTTGATGCAATGACATATACAGAAAATTTGATTTGTACCATAGACGAAGGCTCACAAACTCATTCGTATATGCAAACCACTCATGACCAGTGTATTGGCACGGATCACAGTTTAACACAACGTGATGCATTCACTTGTACAAAAGTAGATTTTACAAATGTTGCAACCCAAACATTACAAGATTTGGAAATACAATCAACAAACCATCACGATCATACCAAGATGAATACGACTCTTGATATGGACGACATAATGTACAAAGCGTGTTTGGATGATCCTATTGTAAACCAATTAAAGCAGCGCATATTTCAAATCAGATTGGAAATTAGGTAGGTTTATGATTGCATTGTTGGTAAATTTCAAGAATGGTTGATCTGCTTCAACTAAAACATTTCATCATTGTTTTTTTATTCCCATCAATCGTTCTAATACTTGATGAAAATACAGTGATATAGACAATGAGATTGAATACTTGCAAAGTCTAGAGTGATCAACTTGGCATATTATGCATTGATGTATCGCTAGATACCAATTCGCTTTATTTCTTGGTGGATTCCGACAGCTTTGTTGACTGGCATACCATATTTTTTCTGGATTGAGACTCGTATATGACTGTTACATGCAGTGCGTCTAGAAACCGTTCGAGCGTTGTTGAAGTATTCTGTAAGTAGTCAATAAAGTCAAAATTGTGTTACACCATTTGAGAACGTGTATTCATTCAAGCAGTTGTATCTATTAAAACTATACTACCTTGATGTATCGAGCATGTGCAAGAAACGGCAGTTTTCGAAGTGCTCGACCGCTCATTCCATCACATAAATATGCAACGTCCAGAACTCGTTTACTCAGTTTGCAACTGGTGGGAAATAGTTCTAGTTCGCGTAGTCCCAATAAATCTACCTGTGGGGAAATAAGCATCTTGTTCATGAGCTCGACCAGACACGAAGACAGGATTTGATAGATTGCTCTTGGGGATGGATCACCTATGTATTGTTTAATATCAGCCCGATCAATGAATGCTACATCTGTATTTACATTTCAATCAACCATACTGTTAGCGTATGATGGTGTATTTGGTGGATATAATCAAGTTTAATATTGATTACCGATTGCTTCTGTAATGTTTGATGTAGCAAGAACTAAAACATATTTGTGTTGTCGTAGCAAGTCAATCTGTGTCAAGAGTGCATTGACCTTGATTGTTGAGAAATAATGAAACATGGTTTAGGTGGATGCAATCTTTTGGTGAAATCATCCACATGGCAGTCTTACTACTCGAATCGCATCAGATGGCTCCAAACCAGCTGCAGAAGCCTTGCGAGCTGCACTCAAACTCTCCACTTCATCTAATCAGCATATTCAGAATATATGAATATCCCAATAACAAAGTTTCAGAAAATAAATAGTGTTTACCTATCAGAATACACACAAATGCATCTTGGTTATTTAGTATTTCGTGTAGATTCTGAAACAGCTGTATAACAAGTTTGGAAGATTCTGAAAAGAATTTGCTAAACAAGCTATGAGAATTGATTTCGACAAGTTTTCCAAAAGCAAACCGATCTGAAAGCCGAATTGACAGTTTCTATTTGAATTATTGGTGGCTCAAGTTAATTCACACAATTGGAATATGCATTTGCAAAAAACATGCCTGAGCCAATGCACGACACAGGGTTGTTTTCCCCGAACCAGGCGGACCGTGTAGTAGGACAACACGATTGACATTGATAAGATTCGTATCAATATTCATGTCTGAGAACAGAATTGATGTGTAAACATAGTCCAGCAATTGCAGTGGTAGATCGTCATCAAATACCAAACTATCAGCGCGTTATCAAGATAAACTTGGTTAGTGATAGATTGGGCTTTGGAATAGCATAGTTGTAGGTATTGCCTATTGAACACCTTTCCCACACGCCCTCTAGCTCGTGACACGGAAGTTCCCAGTGTTTGGAAGTGCTAACAGTGTCGTCTTCATTGGTCAGAGTGATTGATGGAGAAACGTTTTGATACACATGAACATCCAAATTGCAATAAGCGAGTTCAACAATATCGTCGGCTGGTGTCTCCCCACCATCTATGTCAATATGATATTCACATATAAACATTGGTAAGTTTTGATCAGATCGATTGGAGACATATGCAGTAATTACAATTCTATAAAGGATCAGATTACCTGACCTGGCTTCGCATATATGGATACAGTCAATAGCTCGGCAAATGCACTGGGCAGACAAAATATCGTTTTTTGGAATGGATGTATGTAGCAGCAGGGAGACATGGTTTTCTCTCAGGAATTGCTCTACAAGCTGTTTAGCAATGTCGATGCGGACACTACTGCTACACCGGAGTCTGGCCTCGACTATTGATAAAATTAGGATTGATGGTGAGATGAGTTGAGATTAATAGATCTATTGATCATGATGGCTGTTTGAATGGCATTTAGCATAACTACCATGAATAGTAACTCTTTGCTGCTGTTGATCGGTCATAGACATGGCAAGTGTAGCAGCAGCAATCTCATTAGTATCCACATTTTTATCATCCACATTGGTCTTGTTGGATATGGTTTGCTCATAGCTACTAGGTGAATGCTCAGTAATAAATCCTGATTGCACTCTGTTCATTACAATCAAACTGTTGAGCGCGTTCGTGTCCATTAGCCTTGTGCACTTCCTTATCTTGCGTCTCTTGATCTCGAGTTCATCTGAGCGAATCTCCATCTGCTAGATTGACTTGTAACAGTCACGTGATGCTATGTGGATTTATTTTTCAAAAAATAAAACTATTCCCGTCATTTGATACTTGATATGGGCAAAGGAAGAGATAAGAAAAAGAAAAAAAGAGATGCAGTAACTACCACTGGTAGCGGTAGCACGGATGCAAAAGCCAAACAAAAGGTGTGTCTAGTCTGCAGTTTTATAACTCAGTCCTTGTTATATATTCGCTGCGCTTTTGTACTACAAATTGACTGCTTCAAAATACAGCGTCCATCATATAATGCTTACAATCAAACCGAAATGATCCACTTTTCAAATAACCATACATTGTACGATCATCATATCGATTGATTTCCATCCAAATGTTGGGCTCGACTATTTCCAATCCAACTTGACAAACTCGTCTTGTATCCTAAAAACTTGTACGTTCGCGTTCTAGTTCAAGAGAACAGTCGCATATTTCAGGAATGCAATTGTGTTTTCATATCAATCACCAATGCCATAATGTTTTGTTTGAATGAAAAGGGAGTTGGAGATTGAACAAATCGGATTGACTGAAACTGATGTCAACATTTGTTCAAAAAGCATGTTTAGTAAATTTAGCATCAGTTGTTTCATGAGGCTGGTTGTTTACCATGTATTTTGATATTCTTACTAATGTTCTATTTTACGTGACTATGGCTGTAAATCAACATCTGCAGGAGCAAAAGAGTAGCAAAAAATACCTCAAGGGATTGAAAGCCGAGTTGGATGATGAGCCAGAGGATATTGATGCTATTCTTGAACAGTTTCGTAAAGCTCAGGATGATGAATCCAAAATCACAGAGGAAGCAGACTGTGCTCCCCCTTCCCGACGAGCAAATGCATCCTTTACTGCTAACCCTCTAGATCCATCTGAACTTCTTTTATTTGGCGGTGAATACTACGATGGTCAAAAGGTTTACATGTACAACGATTTGTACAAGTTTGATACTGAGAAATCTACTTGGAAACGAATCACTTCTTCTAATAGTCCTGGGCCACGATCATCACACCAAACCGTTATTACGCCAGCTGGAAGACTATTTTTATGGGGTGGTGAGTTTGTTAGCCCAAACGAAACCAATTTCTTTCACTACAAAGATTTTTGGACTATGGATCTCAAAACCAATGCATGGGAAAAATTGGAGCTTCGAGGACAACCTCCACCAAGATCTGGTCATCGCATGGCAATATGGAAACATCTGATTGTGCTTTTTGGTGGTTTTTTTGACAACTACACAGATTCAAGATAGTTGAGTACCAATTCATTTGTCAAGCCATTGTTGCATTAGTACTAACGTGTGTTTAAATAGCTATGACGATCTATGGGTGTTTGATACACTTGAATACAAATGGACGAAATTGGATTTACCAGAGCCACGGCCTACAGCGCGATCTGGGTTCCAAATGCTTACCTACAAAGATATGATCTATATTTTTGGTGGGTATTACAAAACATTTGTAAAAGGAAAGAAACCTGTCGGTACTGTTTATTCTGATGTGTGGGTTCTTAAAATGTCGCTTCAGTTGGATGCAATTAGATGGGAACGTCGAAAGCGGCCAGGCGGCATTTGTCCCAGGTATATTTTCAACTAGAATGCCACTTGGTAATCATATTTTTTAAATCTGTATTTCTATTGCAATAGTCTTCGAAGTGGATGTACCATGACGGTTCACAAAGGCCGTGGCATCTTGTTTGGAGGTGTATCTGATGTTCAAGAATCTGAGGAAACACTTGAATCCATATTTCACAAAGACATTTTCCAGTATAATATTGGTGAGTCACTTTTTTTGTTTGATATACTTGAATTATAAGTCGGGTTTCAAGTATTGTACTGACAGATTTGGAAACTGTATACATTATAGATTCAAACAAGTGGTTTCCATTAACATTTCGAGCAATCAAGCAGCATAAAAAGAAAAAGGTGCAAAACAAGAAGGTGGAAGATTCTAAGCAATCCAAAGAATGCGATTTGGATGACGCCAACAACAGTTGCGAATCTGGTGAAGATAACACCCAAGAGCACGAATCTGACGCCAAAGTAAAAGTAGAGCCTATAGGCCCTACTGAGCGATTCAACGCCATGCTGGCTGTTTCAAAAAACAATCTTTATGTGTAAGTCGGTAGACCATATTAACAGATGAAACATATCACAAGTACACACCACTATGTCTAACTTTACATTTCTATCAATGTGTCTGCTATAGATTTGGCGGAATTGTTGAACAATCGTCAAAAGAATTTACCATTTGTGATTTATGGACACTAAATTTGGAAAAGCTTAATGGATGGTCTGCTGTATTTACTGATGAGACACGTGGATCGCAATGGCTTGGTATTGATAGTGATGTAGAGGACGAAAATAATTCAGAGGATGAAAGCGAAGACAACTCTGATGACGAAACTAACTCGGGATTAGCTGACGATCAGACAGATGAGCCTAATGCTAGTGCGCTCAAGGAAAAAAAGACGCAACCAAGTGGCGATAAGGAAGAACTGGGAATAGCTTTGGTATCTGCTGAATTCGCGGTCAAAGCACACATCAATGTTTCTGATACAGAAGCTGAAGTGGGAGTTTGACAGAAGAAAGGGTCACATATATTGGAGGAATGAGTTGAAGGTGATCATAAGTAGTATATAAAGAGCACTGAATACTATTGTTTTCTTGATCTACGCATATTTTATGGCATTTGGTTGTGCTTTGAGATGATTTAATGGGATTGAAACCCATTTCAGTTTAAAGGATTCAATAAGCTGATTCAGATTTTATTTTAAATACCAAGACTGAATAGATTTGAATCGACTGTTTTATTGGTTCTTCTAAAACATTAAATGCCGAGTATGAGCATTTCATTTAAGCTTTTTAGTAGATTGAATAACCAACTCATTAGTTTGGGTTGAGTACATGACAATGAATCCGAGTGTGTGACTGGGAATAACCCAAGACTAGGTTTGTAACAAACACTTAATACACTGCTAGACTCATTAGTGTTTAAAGAGTAATCCACTTGTAGTAATAATGAGTTGAGACATGAATCAGTAAATATAACCACGGATCAACAACAGCATGCAACTGTTGTTGATCTGTGGTTATGAAAACAATACAAGTCTAATTGAAATGACTGAAAACAGTCCAGCTCGCAATAGAGTTGCAGTGATCAGACATTCCAGTGTCTGCATATCTACTTAAACATCCAAGTCTGTTTTAACCAGACTATCAAGTTTTTAGTTTGATTTTCTGTCCAATTTACAAGTTCAAGTCCAGTTTCCATTATGGTATTATCATAATAATGCTCTTGTTACATGTAGTTGGTTCATCCATTCTGTAGTCTAGACAAGATGGTTTTATGAATTGCACTTTTAAATATCTTTGGTCTAATAAACTGTATTTATTTACCCTTGCATCAACTTTGGTTGGCTAATGTCACTGTGGTATTCAAGAGCCATCAAACTTGTCAAGTATCAGAGGAGGCTTTGAAGGAGATCAAGGTATGCAGATTTATTCGTAGTAAAATAATGATGGGTACAAAGTAAAGTAGCTGATATTCAGTATCCTATTGGAACCAATATGTATCGACTTGAATCTGGGTGTCTTGTCTAATTGAATACTAATCTGATTCACTCAAATTTAGCTACTGCGTTTCAGGTTGGTTCCACCATATGAATCTATTATCTGAACAAATGATTGCTCCATGACCAAAGTCATTCTACATTGCAAGTCTAGTCCAGCTCATACCTACAACCCATTATGATTTATATGCTTAAACATTCTAGAAAGGCAAAGTCAAATGCAGCATTGATACTCAAGATTGATATACAATCATTGACGGTGTGATAAAACTTGAAGTTCAAACTACTCGATGGTTATATTGTTGCGTATTTAATTTACTCGATAATAGCGCTTATGATACTGTATTGTATAGGTTATCAAAGATCAATTTTTTGATGATGCTGCTTTAGGTAAACAGTTGTAGATCTAGATGCTTGACATACCACTCTATCTTGTACTGATGCAGTACTGTTATGGCGTTTTTAATTTGGGATATCTATAGCGGATATTGCTGAAGAACTTCCCGACTCCACTCCCCGATTTCTTGTCGTTAGTTATGAAATGAAGCATCGTGATGGACGAATCTCATATCCGCTTGTTGGTAGGCTATTGGACCCAGCTTCAATTATGTAAAGAAATATGCAGTGTTTATAATTTAATATTTGTTTACTTTTCGTAAATACCCCTGCATAGGTATTTATTACAAGTAAGCAGCCCATGTATTTATAAAACAATTGGATTCTATCGAGATGATTCAAGGTTGGTGAATCATATAGTTGACATTTGACTTTTAAATGTAGTCCAACTGGATCGAGCACCAACAATCGAATGCTTTATGCGAGTACAAGCTCACACCTGTTTCAAAAAGCCGATATCACTGGCAAGGTAGGATCAATTAGGGTTTCAAACGGGGTTTTATTGGATGTGTGAGATCAACATACTTACTCCATCTCCTACCAGGTGTTTGATGTTACAGATCCGGAGGAGCTTACGGATGAATGGATGATACAAAAACTTGAGGCATCGCTTACTCGGCCATAATAGGTGTATTGTTGGGTTTATTCGTTACGACACTTGAATAAACTTGCTCGTATAAACCATTTTAAATACAATGTCACATCTAAACATATCGTACATCTGTCAAGGCGAGTTTAACCAATTTGAGGATCCATTCGCCAAGTTTTCGATCGATTAGAATTTCGATCAATCCCGACTCACCGTCGTATTCATGCAAACGAAACGCCAAACAAGGAAATCAACAGTAAAAGCTGAATTTGCAATAAATCGCATCGAGTGTTTACCGTTTTATTTCAAAGCAAATTAAAGTACTGCAAGATAGCAGGTTTCATTTTACGTGAATACGACAGTAAATCTTGGCCAATTGAAGTGATATCATAGATTCCGATGGGTGTCAAGGGACTCTGGCAACTAGTCGGGACTACAGCCAAGCCAGTACGCTTGGAAACCATGTGTGGAAAGCGAGTAGCAGTTGATATCTTTTTTATAATATACTTTTGTTTTATATTCTGATGGATGCTTGCCAAAGTTTGGTTATTTTTTACAATCCGGCAGAATATGCTTTGTTGATATAGTTGGTTGACTGCTTATTCCTTGACATATTGATTGCATGTATTGTTGATTCACATGCTTCTATTTGGCTGCATCAGTTTCTCAAGGCCATGCGGAGTAGAGATGGCAATCTACTTCATGGTGCACATATTATTGGGTTTTTTAGACGTATCTGCAAACTGCTCTTTTATGGCATTCTGCCAGTGTTTGTATTTGATGGAGCGACACCTGCCTTGAAACGACAGACCATTGTATGTGGATTTATTTTAAACTCCAAGTTGATTGTTTATTACCCGAAATGCTACCAACACTGATGGATGCTATGCTGGGTATTGCTAATTATAGGCAAGTAGAAGACACCGGAGAGCTACAGTCGAGCAGAGTCTGAGAAAAACTGCAGAAAGAATCTTGTCTCTACAATTGCAAAAACGAGCGTTGATTGTAAGTCTTGCAAATCAACCAACGTAAGTTGAACAATTTAAATGAAAGACAACTATCTCGTAGCTTCAACTGTATTCATTCTACAATTAACCAAATTGAATTTAGTGAAATCGAAACTACAGAAAATAGTGATCGGCCAATTCAGTACTACGATGCAGCCTCAAACCGCAATATCCCTGCCAATAAGAACTCTGAACGAGGATTAAAACGACTTCGAGATGAATTTGAGCTGCCGCTAGCAGATCAGTAAGTAATTTTACTTTAAACCGTATCATATATCAAATAAATCTTTGACTCTGATATTGCTGTTTTTCATTGGATATCTACACATTTACAGATCTACGTTAAAGTCTGTTTCAAAAAACGACGAAAGACTGGCAACAGAGGAAGAGCTGCGTTCCTTTATTGCTTTTCATCGTAATGATATCGATCTCTCCAAGATAAATATAGACTCTACCGAGTTTAAAAATCTTCCAGTCGAGATTCAACACGAGGTGATTATTGAAATCAAGAATCGAGCTCGAGCACCCGACAATTCCCGAGTACAGTCCATGCTCCAAACATCAAAGACTTCGTTGGATTTTAGCAAACTGCAAATCAGAAATCTTGTTCATCGGAATGCGCTTACTCAGCGCACAACACTGTTTGCTCAAAATGCTGGTGTAGTCAAATCTAAAGCTTCAATAGATCAAGCTACTGGCGGAGATTCTTGGAAAAGAAAAAGGCATTTTGGTCGTAGAAGAATCGCTGGTGTGCGAAATAGAGATTTTATGCTTGTCAAGAACGAAGTAGCTGATTTGCCTACCAATAATAATAGTGCTGCATCTATTTCTGGTGACTCGGCGCTTCGCGATATTGCGGGGTATACCATGACAGTGCGTGAGGTAGATCTTCGTGTTGTGGATGGTACAACCGGAATGCAAGGATTTGCAACCTCATCTATTGATGATTTGACTCAACATGATCCCAGAATCATTCGAAGTAGTGCTGGTGATGATAATGTGACTGCACAGTCTAAAGATCACACATATCGGGAAACTCCTGTTTCAAATGCTTTGGACCAAAACCACCACCAATGGTCTTTTCAAAACAACAACTCTACACCCTCAGATCAGCCACTGATAAATAACTTTGAAGCCTATGTTTCGGATGATCAGACAGTTGAGCAAGTATTAGCCAAATTTACCGATTCTGAGCGCATAGATTTAACCTTGGATGACTGGCATGCTGAAAATAGCAACAGTGGGTTGATTGAATACCCATACAAGTCATCTGAGGGCTTGCAGATGGGTGATTGTGATTTGATGGATTCAAACAGTTTATTGGCGCGCTATAACAACAGAACCAGTGCATCTAAACCTTTTCCAGCCCATGCAAGTCATCAATCGTTTATAAGTGAGTGGGAGGATGTCGCATGCAGCGCATATACAAATCCCGATGCAGAGTCAATGAGTGCTGAATCTTGGTCAAACAATAATGATTTTGAGTTTGCCCAAACATCTGTTGTGCCTGTTGCATCTGCTGTATCATTTGACACTCGGGTAATACATGATGCAAAAGATGACACGTTTACCAGAAATGCCGCGATTCATCTCGATACATCTGAAAAAGCTTCTTGCCATTGTTTATATGATCCAACTGCATCATCTACATCAAGTTTATACTCAACTTCAATGAATGCGATCGAAACCAATTTCTCCATGTCCATTAGTCCAATGGAAGTTCCTGAACAAGCCGATCAGAACAGCATTGTACATTCTAGTACTTGTTTAAAGTCATCAAACAATCTTTACAAAGCAGGACCAATCAATTGTCAGCCTGATTCCGAATATGCTCAAGCACTTTTTGAGGATGTGCTACGCCTAGAAAGAACAGAGCCGAGTGATGATAATGAATTTATTTCCTGTTGGTGCTCAATTGCACCACCAATTCTTTTGACACCCGACTCCATTGCACCAGAAAACTCGTGGTTCTCTCCAGCTATATTAAAAGTTGATGATTTAGAATTGAGCCGACTTTTTAGTATTGTGATCAAACGCCGCGAAAAGACTGAATTAGGATCCGATCGTGACATTTCGTGTCGATTTTTGGAGCAATATTTAAAGCAGGTGCGAATCCGACTTTTAAAAAGGCTTGAACAGACATTTCCTGATACGAGTCGCAATGCTGCTCACTTGGATACTGATTGTTTGATACAGAAAACTCTTACTGTGCCAAATTTGGATGATGCCCCACTGAGTACTGTGCTGGATGAGCTTGGTACAGACTCAACTGGTGATGATTTTAAACCCGTTTCTGATGTCAATGTACAATCTACAACACTGACGACGGACAGATCTGAAACCAAGATTGGCACTGAAATCAATATTCCACATCCACTTTTCACAGCTCAACTGTCAGCTGCAATGCCAACTAGCCTTTCAAAAAACATTTCCGAGTTTTTGCAGTTTGATGATGAAGATGACGAAGATAAATGTGTAGATGCTAGCAGTGTACACAACACCAACTATCTCACACACAATCCTATTGCGTTTGACATGACTAAAGAGCGTTTAGATGCGCAAACTGATTTGGTACTAGATTCTGAATCTCACAATGAGCAGCTTTCCACTGCTGCGTTACCTATAGAAAATGATGCAGATGATGACGAGGAGAACTCGGTTGAGTGGGAAATAGTCGAGTCTAAAAATGACGTTTCTAAAGAACTGTCAGTGGATGTACCAGATGCTTGCTCATCACCACCATTATCAGAGTCTGAAATTCCAACAGACGAATGTGTTCAAACAGCAACTGATTTTGATCAACAGCTGCACCTGATAAAGCAGCAGTTGCAAAAGCTCCAGCAGGAGGGAGTTGATGGTGATTCGGCAATTGACGTGCCTACTCAACTTGAAGACGAAATGCAAGGCTACCAAGAGTATTTTTCAACCGTCGATCTTAACCTGAAAGATGTGGAACAGGAGTTGACCGAACTTGAACAACAGCAGCGACGTGGTTTACGAGATGCAAGTGATATCACTGCATCCATGATTGCTGAAACCCAAGTGAGTGGCTATGGATATTGATGAATACTATATTTTAAATATGTTCTTACAATGTTATTTGAAATGATGGTAGGAGCTCCTTAAACAGTTTGGTATTCCGTATATTGTCGCCACAACTGAAGCCGAATCGCAATGCGCATTTCTTCAAAAACAAGGTCTTGTTGAAGGGATAGTGACGGACGATAGCGATGTATTTGTCTTTGGTGGTGAAGTGGTATACAAAAATATGTTTACTCAAACACGATCTGTGGAAATTTATACAATGGATAGACTACAAGAACAGTTGGGACTGTCGAGAGAGAAACTGATTTTGCTGGCGTATCTTCTTGGAAGTGATTATACTCCTGGATTAGTTGGCATCGGACCTGTTACTTCTGTCGAGATTTTAAATGAATGGTGCAATTTGGATTACAGTAAAGGTGGAGTAGATGCTAATCTGGAGCCGATGAGTGCACTGACCGGACTCGAGGCATTTAAAGCATGGGTCAAGCGTGTGGGCTCAGGTATATTGGATAAAGAAGATTCTCCGACACGAAAGAAATTGGTAGGTTACTGTTTTTCAAATACAACCTGATATTAAGATGCAATGCTAATATACGTTGTTCACAACTGGGATTGCATGATATGCTAGAGAAATTTGGCAAAAAAACTTGATATTCCGGATGGATTTCCTGATTTGCGGGTTTTAAATGCTTACATAAATCCTGTAGTTGATCAAGACCTAACCAATTTTACTTGGGGAGAGCCAGATCTAGAAGGTATCCGTCACTTTCTCGAACATAAGCTGCAATGGTCGCACGAGACAGTGGATCAAACTCTTGTTCCGGTAATCAAACAAATGCATCAACAAAAACACTCAAACCACTCGACAAGAGTCGAGTTGAATCAAACAGACATTACGCAGTATTTTCCTAGTGAACATACCGCACACAAGAGTGTACGAGTGCAAAGCGTGTTGGATGATTGGGCCAGTCGAAACACAAATGGATCCAAGCATTCTAATAGTTCATCTTCAAAGTCTAAAAATTCAGATAGACTATCAAATAGCCGTCGCAGAGCCGGACGAGGCAGGCGAGGAAAAGCTCGAGAGCGTGAATCTAACCAACAGGGTTGAAAGAGAACTTTGCAGTGTTTTATACAGTATTGAATATGTTGGACCATCTCACTCATGTTTGTCAATTATCGAGAAAAATGGTCAAGTTGTGATAATAAAGTAGAGCAACAATGTTGAACAGATTATAAGAATAAAATTGAAATGATTTTGGTATCAACGTATCGACCTGCAACCATTGAGATTGCAAAAAGCTTAAAGATTCATGAGCAAGTTGAACATCAACTCACTGTAGATCAACACTCTAACAGCATCTGAAACTCATTCACAGAATGCACTTGTTCATTTTTCAAAACAAGATACGACTAATGAACCCAAATATCGAAGTCTTTTTGGGTGTTTTTGGCACATTACTCTCATCCTCATCGTCGGTTTCATTGTCCGATGTGGAGGGTTCGACTTCTTTAGGAACCCATTTTGGTTGGTTTTGATTGTAGATGGGCCATGCAGGTAGACACACCTATTAATAGATCAAGAGGTTAACAAATGAGGTTACAAGGGTCAAGGATCGAATGACTTACTAAACAAGTCACGGCCAGTCCGATAGCATCTACAACCAACACACTCATTATGGACTGTGTGGTGAATCCTGTAAAGAACCCAACAAGCTAATGCAATCCAGATGTTAGTGTCTAGCATCAGATTCATGTAATTGTATGACATCTGGCCAGCTTACTCCAGTCAGCACCAGCAATCCAGTAGAATATCGGTCAACCAGTCGCTGTCCATGGAAATCCTGTATTCATTGTATAGCAAATGCATGAGTTGAATTCAACACAATTCTATTCAATGGCTTATAGCTCACAATCTTGCCCGACTGCAGAATATTCATGTTGATTTAAATGTAAAATCAAATCCAGCAACGCTTTCAACTTCAACCATTATTCACCATGACTGCTGCAAGTGATATGATCGTAGATGACGATGTTTCTGTTATACAAGTTAGCAAGAACAAAGGAAAGGCTGTTGTCTATGATGAATCGGTGGTCGATTCTCTTCCTTGGTAAATATTTGTGCATGCGATCATCTTGCTGGCTATTGCTGATGTCCAATTCTTGGCTGCTCAATGTTCTGTATCCACTCGGCTCAATACTGACAATTCTTTATTTCTCTGTTAGGGTTGAAAAGTATCGTCCTTCTCGGCTAGATGAACTCATTTCTCATAAAGACATTATATCCACCAGTAAGCAATACTTGGCTCATCAAATCATGTTATTTTTATTTAAACTCCTGTATTCTTTGTGTAGTTGTCCGATTCATCGATGAAAACAAACTACCTCATATGCTTTTTTACGGACCTCCTGGAACAGGGAAAACATCAACAATCTTGGCATGTGCCCGTAAGCTATACGGTGATAAGTTTAGATCCATGATCTTGGAGGTATTGATCGTCATTTGTTCTGTACTAGTGCATTTGTTTTAGCTACTCTTGCAATACATTGGAGGTGACAATTAACTTTATTCCATGCAACTAGCTAAATGCCTCTGACGATCGTGGCATTGACGTTGTTCGCGAACAAATCAAAAACTTTGCTAGTACTCGTAAACTATTTAGGTACTCATCTACATGGATAGATTTTGATGCATTAGCAGAGTTTACAATTTAATGTATTGGCTGTATTTTAGTTCTGGGTTCAAGCTCATTATTCTCGATGAAGCAGATGCCATGACACAGGCTGCTCAAAATGCACTTCGTCGAGGTACACGATTCATTTGTTTAAAACTTTGGTATCGATAGTAGGGTTGACCGGTTTGAAAATATTCGTTGTTAGTGATTGAGCAATACACCAAAAACGTTCGATTCTGTCTTATTTGCAATTACGTTGGGAAAATCATTCCTGCCCTTCAATCTCGTTGCACACGATTTCGATTTGCACCACTTGAAGAAGCACAAATCTCTGATCGCATTACCCATATTATTAATCAAGAAGGGTAAGAAGAATACCTGCACATTTCGATTGGCTTTTAAAATCTAGAGTCTAGATTTACTTTTTGGTTTACCATGATTGACCCAACCCCATTTTTAAATCAGTATCAATATTACTCAAGCTGGCCGTCAAGCCGTATTGAAACTATCTCAGGGTGATATGCGTCGCGCACTCAATATTCTTCAGGTATTTTGTTTTTATTATTTGAGCACTACTATGGCACGGTAAAAAACAATAACCATTGTCTAATCCAATTTACTCATGACAGGCAGTGCATACAGGTTATCCTGAAGCAACAGAAGAAACCATTTATGCGTGCACTGGCTCACCATGTCCTGCAGATATTGATCAGATTGTTGCATGGCTGTTTAACATGGACTACACTACCGCATTAAAAAGTGTAAAACTTCTCAAACATGAAAAAGGACTCGCGCTTGCCGATCTCTTGTCAGGATTGGTAGTCTCACTTGCAGGGCTAGAACTTCCAAAAGTTTCTCGCATTTTTTTAATGGAAAAGTTGGCCGATATAGAGTTGAGTGGCATTGCTTTGTTTTGTTGGCGGAATGAATAACTGACTCTTATTATTTTAAAACTGGGCTTTAAATAGGTACAATATTGGTGTTGGATGCAGTGAAGATATACAGCTTGGCGCAATGGTTGGTGCTTTTCGTCTCTCTGTCGATATGGCTGAAAATGTCAAGGCTTCCGAATGAAACGGATTGCCATTGAACGAAAATCATTTTAAATACAGCTTTTGATCTTTATAAACGCTGTTGACTTTGTATCCATCCAATACAGCATTGTGGTTTTAAAAGTCAATTGAGAGTTGTTTATTAATACTGTACACGCCGAAATGGCATCAAATGGTAGGTAAAAAGTGCTACGAAACTTTAATGCATCAATACTAAGCAATTAGGTGCAAGATCGTTGAAACAACTCTGTAGCAAAATCACACTGAGGAACAACGACATAATCATCAAACGCAACCACCCGGCCAGTATATGTGGTGGGAATAGAAGTGTCGGCAGGAAGAGTCGCGCTTGTTGCAGAAACAGCTGCTACTGTATTGGGTGGTGGACGATTTGAAATCAACTCCGTTGTTATATCTGGTATGGAAACAGGTAGCCCCGACGCATCTGGAGCACCTGGTGTCGACAAACCCAAAGTCGGACAATCGTTTGCGTCAATAGCAGCTATTTTTGATCCTTCATCAAGCAATAAAGTAGGTTCGGACTGTTCAGTACTGGCCACAGCATCTTCATCAGGAAGTAAATACTCCAAAACAACAACGTCCCCTGAAACGCTCACAAAAGCATAACCTAAATTTTTGAGGCTTTCTGAAAACAACACCTGGTCCATTGAAAATCCAATAATCCCATTTCCACCTAAAGCAAATGTGTGGGCTTTCACCACTGCAAACAGCTCTGCAAGAAACATATGCGTGAATCCACCCATTCCAAACTTCCCTGACATACCATCGTAAACAAGATTGACTTCTTTTACAAAATGCATTGACAGTCTGCCTAAAAAACGAGTGACTTTCGCTTGAGGTATCCACGAGTTGGGTGAAAGTTCCACGTTTTTTTGAAGAAAGGATTGCATAGACGATGCATTGTAGTTGGGAATTGTGACCATTAGTTCTGGGTGAGCAGGCAATCCCTGCTGTGATTGTTGATTGGATACAGGGCCATTCTGTGGGTTCGAGTTGGTACGAGTTGGTACGCTCAAAGCATTCCCATCTTGTTTGCCTTTTCCTGCAGTTATATTAGCTACCATTCCAGACACGATACCCGTTACTACTCCAAGACGACTTGCTGCTCCGCCAAGAATTGAATTAAGTCCACCGCCACTAGGTCCAAGAGCACCATATGAATTGCTAAACATTCCTTCTACGGGTGGCAGAGCAGTGGCAGATCCCTGGTATCGTTGGCCATTTGTAGTCAAGTCTTCATCAAGCCCAAACAACATATCGTCCTGGATACTTGATGTGATGGACGCACCGTCTAGATTCGACGAAGTAGACCTAGATGTCATTTGACGGTGTAGAGTTGATACACGACGATCGATAGCAGTAGCACGCGACGATAGCAGCACTTGCTCAAACAAATTCAAGATTGAGTTGGACTGCGTAAATCCAGGAGCCTTGACTCCTTCGACACATTTTGGGAGTCCACCAATCACCATGGCTTGCAGAGTCACCTGAACTCCTTGTTCTTTAGGTAGCTGCACGTTGTATTTGATTCCAGTCACATAGCAGGGAGAAAAGTAAGCTACCTGATATTGGAGTTCTTGATGCAGAGCACGAAAAATTCCTGCAAGCTGCCTATTCGGATGATGTGACACAGCATTGATTGTCCCTTGCTTCACCATAGTTACCATTTGAAAATTATGCAAATTCTTCATCACCGATTGAAAGTTGGGCGGCTTTTGAATAGTAAGAAGCTCAAATCCATCGGGAAAAGTTTGCTCTAAAAAAAGAACCAAATCCTCGTCCTGTTCATCGTCAATCTGAACAACTACGCCGCGCTGTTGCTGAGACTGTTGATTTTGTGATTTGTTTCCGGGAAAATTAGTAGTATTTGAACCACATGCACCAATGGGCTCAGCTGCCATATTCAATACACCAGGATTGGATGGTCCACCTCCTATCTCCGTGGTTGGAGATTCTATCTCATCATCAGATTCAGATTTTGATGATGCACTATCGTCGTCAGAATCACTTTGATCAGGATGTTCTTCATCACGTCGACGCCGAACAGTTTCCAAAGCCTCTTCAATTCTCTTGCGATTCGCTTCACTCTGAATCATGATTTTTCTTTGCAGATCCATCAATCTCTCATCTTCTTCGTCAACGACTTCCAGATTACGCATGACTTTGAGTGCAAGTGGTGTGGGTAAAGCCCGAACATAGACTGCGGTTCCAGTCGCTACAGCAGTCATCAAGTTTTCGCCAATAGAAATCTGGATATGCAATCCAAAAATGGCATTCAGTCCATACATGCGTAGTTTGTACATGAGCTGACGATGAAGATCGTACTGTGCAAATGGGATTGACTCGCTTATGCTTACAGCTCTTGCCTCTCCAATGCGAGGTTTTTTTTGTCTGCATACAAGGGCCTCGATAAATACTCCTTTTCCAATCGTTTCCAATTCAGAAGGAAGCTCAATGGTAGTTAGAAGAATTTCTGGAACGTATTTACGACGACAAATCCCACAGCGAGTAAGCGCCATGGGAAACGGAGACTCGTTGCGTCTGTAAGTAATATGACTGGATCGACATGCCAAGTGCTTCAACCGTTTCTTGGCACGATGTTTGTTCGAATGATAATCCTCTCCATCCTTTGTTGTTGACATTTGGGATCCACGGCGTGGTGTACTGTTGACCTTGAACTTGGTGGATTCACTTCGCTCATTGTGGTGAAAAGATGGATGAGGAACAGATGTCCCGGCTTCGCCTAAAGGTATTGATGCTTGCCTTTTAGGTAAAGGGATATCTTTTGGGCCGATACCATTCAAGGCTTGTGCCACGTCCAAAGCACCTCCAGTAAGGCTATTCGTGGGTATATGACTGGCTTCATCATAAGAAGTAGGTGACTCTACTCCTAAAGTTAATGTAACACTTTTTGAGGGCGATGAAATTGGATGCAGAGATTCACGTCCCAAATCGGCAGAGTCTGGCTTCCACACAGAGCTGCTATTTAAATTGACACCAAAACTTGAAACTAGATTTGTCGGATTAAACAATGCAATATCTACCCATGCTGCTGTGCCTGTGCAATGCAGAACAGCTAGTTCTTCATTGATGCTGCATTGCTCAGTGTATCCAACAATATAAGGACAGCGAAGACTTCTTGCATGAGATTTAATTTCATCGCGAAGCTCATTCCACCACGAACTGCGCACATCACGCTCGTCTTTATCCAGTACTTTAACAGAGGCTGCAGATACAAGACCACCGATGCCAAGGATAGCACCACGAGGAAATTCTTCCAAAGTAAGTGGAACCTGGTCTAATTGTCTCCATGGAGTATGTGAAGGGACAATCAGCGGTGGAGGTAAGTTATGCTGTACGTCTGCTTCCATATTGTCCATATGCTCTATCGCAGCATTACTAGCCATATTCAGAGTAGGTGGCATTGTTGGCGATCCAAACATGGCAATATCATGTGGCAAAGGCTGTCCTGCAAATGAAACGGATTTGAGTGATGCTGAAGAGGCAGCTAAATCGTTATTGCATTGGCCATTGCTGGTAAACACAAGCTTTACAGCAGTCCCAACTGCACGCGCTGTGATGGTTTTATTGTCCTCTTCCAAATCAAATAGCTGTTTGAATCCAAGAACTGCATTTCCATTGAGTTCAAGAACTTTTTTACCCAATTGACGTCGAATATGACCAGATAGCCGGAACATGACTCGAGTTCTAGCCTCGTTGGATTTTCTTGGAGTTCGAAAATTGTCACTCCAATGCTAAGACAGTAGATTCGGTTAAACCCTGACTATGTACATCATCAGCTACATCTTGAAATGCAATATTAACTCACGTATTCTGGATCATCTTCATCATCCAAAGCACTCACAAATCCAAGCACAGATACAATCTGATAATTGGGTGGAGGTGTTGGAACAGAAAAGAACTGCACACCAGCAGATGAGTCTTTGAATGGATTGATATCTCCAAAAAGCTGTAGTTTAACTTGAGCATTCAACTCGCCACGTACACCAAGAAGTGTATCGTATCTAACATAAAATATAGTAATATGTATATCAATTTCCAGTCAATTTAATCTGGGGTGAATGGATCTAGAGTTGCAACTCACACTGGAAACCAGCCAGATATTTGTGCAGGAGAATCCCAAGTTAGTAGAGGATTGAGGTCTATAAATACAGTGCCAATAGCATCGTTATATGTGATTTGGTCATAGTCCATAACCTTAAGTTCCAATGGCTCATTTTGTAAATCGGCATCATCGCTCACTTCCTACATCCGAAAAACGCATTAGCTTAAAATGCATGTATACAGTTTACCATAAAATTCAATATCCCAGCAGTCCAATACATATGCAATCATCAACCGCAGCGCCTTTATGGGACCACAGCTATAAAAAATCAGCAATTACATACAAATCGAAAGTCTTCATTCCAGACTGGATTCAGAGTGCGACGACGGATCTGAGTTCTGTAAGTGCCCGAGTCAGCAAACTTGACTTCCACAAAAGCATCTAAATTCAATATGAATTAAATAGCTGTTAAGCCAAATGAAATAGCTCAAGCCTTGACACAGACACTTACCAGTCAAATCGGTGGTTCTATCCATAATGGGTAGGTTGCGAGCAGAAATAATCTTTACTTTGAGAATGCATGGCTAGTAACAGCATCGGTATGAGTGCATGGAATTAAAGACGTTTAAATTGTTTTATCAAACCAGTCAGTATGTTCATGTAGCTTTGTATAGCCAACATTACATACCATGATTCTTGCAAGCCCAAAATGTCAAAACGAACTTTCAAGGGAAAAACTATAAATTGCAATACTGCAGATTCAAGTTATTTGAACCAAGTACGTTGCTGTATAGTAAAATCATGCTTCAAATCTAGTAAAGTCATAGCAATCGTTTATTTTACTAGATTGAGTGTTCTTTTAAACTCTACGCATTCGCCAGTATTCGAGGTTTAAACCATTTCATTCCAAAAACAAATCCCAATTGTCATGACCGACTTGGAACCAAGTTTCTACTTTTGTAAAACCTTGCACAGTCAATTTAGCTGACATTCAAGATTCCTTAATACTGTGATTGTTAATTTCTTGTTCATCAAAAATACTCAGCTTGATGGTATATTTTGGCTAAATATAAACCGAGAATATCAAAAGACTTTTGATTACCAAGTTACATGACACACGAGGATCGACATGGTTCTGAGCTGTACATCCAACTCACGATCCAAAAATCCATGTCAGCACATGACATGAATACAAAGAGCAAAACCCTGTTCAATAAGCGATAATTCATTATGCACATATGAAACCAATGCGAATTAGCATTGCAGAAACTGCACTTCTGTGGCTGACTGGCTCGATTCAATTATGATTCTAAAACTCGATTCAACGCGCCAAAATTGAGGGTTTTTTTGGGTTTGATTTTCATGCAATATTAATAACTATTTGGTTTCTATATAAGCCTTGCCAACAACTCTGCTGTTCTACATTGTAATATCAACGCATTCAATCGCTTGTGTCTCTGATTACGTTCCTACGAGTCTATAAACAAAAGGTATATTTTAATGTGCACGCAGTCTTGATGATGTAGACAATCAGCATGCTGTTGATTAAGCAGCCATTGAGTTGAGCAACTGTTGATGCATAATTATGAATTCATGGCAAGAATGCTCAAGAGAATCCTGTTCTCTTAGCACGATTGTTAAGCTTCAACTTGACTTGTTTGCTTCGACTTGCACTTTTCTATAATCAAGCCATTGACTCTAACCTTGTTGATTTCCTAGTACATACTTGTTCTAATATGATAATGGCCGCCCATTCTCCTGTGCAATCGACTGCTACTCCTCCTGCAAGCACAGTCTCAAACTCTTCGCATTCACAGCATCGTCATAAACTTACAGCATCCACTGGTTCACTAGCCTCGCTATCTTCTGCTCATACTGCTCCTGAGCGTCCTGCTTCAATTACTGGTGCATCCGCTTTGAATCCTGCTCCTGCTCCTGCACTGTCGTCAACTGGACCCCCTGTCGCAAGTCCTGTTGTGTCCATTGATGTGAATTGTGCTGCTGCTGTCTCGTCACAATCACCATATTCTGGAGGAATATCACCTCCAATCTTATCTCCCACTAACGGTGGCCGTTTTGGCTATAAAGTGTCCGACTTTCAACTTGTCAAGACTCTGGGTATGAATTGTGTTTTTATCTTCATTGTTGCTTGTTTAGATACCAGACTTGATGCTGTTTTTACTCTCCATCAGTATCACGCATTGGTACTGTACGGCCATAATTGTCTTGAAAAACACCACTTTATGAAACATTCACATTGGCGTTTCAGCTTATAAATGCTCTCCAAATTTATTGCAATCGTGCATTAAAAGAGGGTTGCATTCCATCATTCTATTTTTTAAATTCATACTGTATGTTGATGACTTGTCTAACCCTGAAATGATTATTGATTTCTACAGGAACCGGCACATTTGGTCGTGTATACTTGTGTCAGCTCAAGGGCTCTTCTAAACACTATGCCATGAAAATGCTACGAAAAATTGAGGTGGTTCGTCTTAAGCAGGTAGAACACATTATTTCCGAAAAAACCATTCTTTCTGCAATTCGCTTCCCCTTCATTGTCAATCTGTAAGTCTTTGCTGCATGGGTTTGTGGAGGTCCAACATGTTCTAAACAAATTTTGCCAACACAACCATTCGATTCTACCTTTTAGACTCTGTACATTTCAAGATCAGCAAAATGTCTATATGCTTGAAGAATATGTAGTTGGCGGTGAGCTTTTTTCACACTTGCGTCGCGCTGGTCGCTTTAGCAATGATATGACCAAATTCTATGCATCGCAAATCACTCTTGCTCTCGACTACCTTCACTCCACAGACATCATATACCGTGATTTAAAGCCTGAAAACTTGGTGGGTTCAAGACTGCTTTGCTCATGTTTTACTGCTTTTCTAATCAATCTATTTTCTAGCTTCTCGACATCAATGGAAACATTAAATTGACAGATTTTGGATTTGCCAAAGTTGTACATGACAGGTGCGTTGAATTGTGTACTATATTCAACTTATAACTCCATAAATTGACCCATTTCAATTTCATTAGAACATGGACGTTGTGTGGTACACCTGAATATCTTGCTCCTGAAATTATTCAATCAAAGGGGCACGGTAAAGCTGTCGACTGGTGGGCTCTGGGTATTTTGGTTTTTGAAATGCTAGCTGGGTAAGTCATTATCTTACAGATGGTATTTCTAAAATTAAAGTATTCGGCATACTAATCACTTGCACAATATTTGAAAATGTATCTGCAGGTATCCACCGTTTTTTGACGACAATCCTTTTGGAATTTATGAAAAGATTTTGCAAGGCCGTATTGCCTTTCCGTCGCATATTGATCTGGATGCTCGCGAGTTTATTAAACGATTGCTTACTCCAGATCGGTCACGTCGATTGGGAAATCTAAAGGTATAGTGTATATTTCCTGCTCGATATGTGAGCGGTTTGAAAACTTGTCAGGATATTCATCTTACTGTATGCTTTAAAACCATAGGATGGAGCGCAGGATGTTCGAGCACATAAATGGTTTCAGGGGGTGGATTGGCAAGCCATTTTGGATAGACGGATTGGGGCACCCATTGTTCCAGTCTATAGTCATCCAGCTGATACTCGTAATTTTGAATCATATTCTGAGACGGTTGATGAAACCAACAGCTCGATCCCTTTGGAACCTTTTCAACACTTGTTCAAGGTATGTTGCATGATTTAGCCATTCTGCTTGTTTGTATTGATATCATGTCATTAATTCAATCTATACTTTTTATTCAATAGGACTTTTAATTTACTGTCACAATATATTCTCTTGTTTTGTTTCAATTTTGTTTTTATTTTCTATGGGTGTATACTCTGCAAACTGGTTGGTCTGATTGTTTTTTCGATTAAAAGCTACAGATACAGTCCACATCATCGTTTAGCTACTCATAACGTGATGTTTTGAGTGCATTGCGTAGTTTCATGGCTTGTTTTTGTGCTCTAGCTATGCACTCTTTTCGATCATCCAGCGCAGTTTGATGGCCTTTTGAGGATATACCTGGCATTTTGAGTCTATGATCTGCCATGAATATCTGTTTGCTCATACTGCTGTGCTTGGACTGTATAACAATATATGGCAACCTATACAATGACAGTATGTGATTCAATTGAGATTGCAGTGGGTATCAGTTTAGATTGCTTGACCCATGCCATGCATCATAATCTTGCTAAAACATGAAAATCAACTTACTCTTTGGGTGAATTTGAATGGTTTGGTATTGATTCTGACTTGATTATTTCTTTCGAGTAAACCTGAATCATAGGGTATTCTTTTGAAAACAACCAGTGCAATCTCTCTTCTCGTGTTTTGGGCTTCAACAACGATGCGGGTGTAAGCATTGAGCTTTTAAGATAGATTGGCAGGGAGGGTAATCGCACTGGTAATGGCGCAATCAATCTAGTGACAGTATAGGCCGATACGATTGAATTAACAGAATCTTGTTTCAAGAGTTGAATTGCCGTGGATGAATTGGCGGATCCCATTGGATGTGATGGACTTCGTTCAAAATGCAGTGGTCGTGCTACTAATTGACTATGGTTTTGATCAGTGCTGTCGGTTGGTGGATTATCAAGCTTTACAATCGATGATGATTCACTGACTGGATCTTGCTCTGCCAGATGTACCTGTGCGTTTTGAGTCCATTTTTCAATATCAACAGCCTTGTCTTTTACTTTGACGGCATCAATCTTTACTTTTTCACTTGGATGTTTTTTAGCTAGTTCAGACACATTCTTTATCAATGGTCTTGGAGTAGGTTCTGTTTTTTCTTGTTGAGGTGACTTGTGCCCACCGGTCCTGCTTGAAGTTCTGGGACACAATGTGCCATTGCAAATAGGTTGACTGGCTATTTGCTCTAGCATTTCGTTGCAGTTAAACGTATGCAGCTTTATCTTGGTAGAATTGGACGTGATCAACCTCGCGCGTGGTTTATTTTGGTCAGAACAATTTCGGGAATCTTTTTTGTTCGTGCACTTGATTTTTTCATTATGTTTTAGATTAGAAGTAATGCCAAGTTTATCGTTGGACTGGATGGTTTCTTTCCGGCTTGGCGATTTCAAGTTTTTGAGTTCACAAGGTTTGTCATGATCCAAATCGTCAATATCTCTAGTCAAACATGGGGTATATCTTGTAATAGGAACGATTCCGTGCGCCAAATCTCTAAAGTCTTCATTCTTCAGAGCATGTTGAAACTCTGTCAACGACATAACTGACCCATTTGTTGGCATCTCGACTAATCTTCGTCGTCCTGTTGATTGCACTGCAGCCGATTCATCTCGATATTGCGCAATCAAATTTGAATCGATATCTACCATTGACAAGGGTTCATCCCTTTCATGGGGTTTTTGATTCTGGTGATGTATGTTTGAGCCTTGAGTTGGATGGGTCACCCATGGATGTATATAATAAGGTCCTTCCACCAACCCCATATTTGAAAACTGGTCATCGCAATTTGACATTGTAGCATCGTTACTGTTGCTCACATCAAATTTGCATGTTTTATCCAATCGTACTGTTGGTCGACTAGATATTTTTGCTGTGTGACGAATTCTTGTGTAGGATGATTTTGTAGGAAGTTCGTGTACTTGTAATAGGTTTTTGAGGAGAATGCTGGGTGAAATGTTAAAAATTGGGTTTTTAGCAATTGGAGGATGAACTTCGGGTGGTGTTGGAGGTAATGGGGGTGCTTTTTTGCTGTTGGGTGGTTGTGATCGGGGTTTTCGGCGCGGTATATACTTACTTGATGCAACCTCTTTGTTGATTAATGCAGAAGAAATTCGTGTGTGGTTATGACAGCCTGAATGCGTTGGACAATCTGTTGATTCAGATGCTTTGTTGCTGGTTGGGCTTGTTTCCATTAATATAGATTGTCTGATTGATTTTGTAGTATTAGTTTTCATATAAGCTACTGCTTGGGTTGAATCTATGGTAGATTGTATACTGTTTTGAACATCTATGTCTGCATCAGTTTGTGATTGCTCAGCTGGAAGAGTAATACAATCTGTGTCCGAGTTGGGTTCGGTTGTATCGGCTTGTGTATATAAGGAGGATGCCATCACGTTTGAATTGACTGGATTTGCTTTCAATATATCAGCTTGTATTGATTGCAGCATGACTTGGGATATATGCTGAAGTTGATTGAAACAGTATGTATTAGTATTGCACAGCGTGATAGAATTATTATAATAAATAACCAAACTTATACTTTTATGATTGATGAATGAGTTGACATCAATCGTTGCATACCTGGCATGTGTTTTTATTGGTTTCTTCACAGGCTGTTGTCAATTCCCTAGACCGTGTGTCAGGATATAGCATACCTTGCTGTATATTATCTGCTTGAAAATCACTGGTTGGTTGTGCATCTATACTCTGTGTTTCCTTTGGATCGTTTTTTTGCATACTACTATTTTGGGGAATTGAAAGTCCTTGCACATTGTTGAGCTGTGACAATGGTTGTTTATTTGTTTCTTGTCCGGCTACAGACATGGATGTGCGTGGCGGATGCCTTTTATTTTTCAAATCAGACATTTGTACACCTTGTAGATGTGGTTCTTCATGCAAGGTATCATGGCTATTACCTTTTTTTAAAAGGATGTTTCCAGCAGAATCAAGTGATGGATTTGCTTCTTCAGCCACAGTATAGGGTGATGATGCCGCAAGCAACTGTGAATATGCGTGATCTGTAGAAGAGGTTGTAGGTTGTATTGAGGGGCAAGTCAACACTGATGCCGAGTCTTGGCTACCTTGTGAATCGAATATATTATCCCGAGTAGACAAATCAGCAGTGACAGATTGCTGAAAGATAGGTGAATCTCCTGGTAGCGTGTTACTCAAGTTTTCAGAGTGAGATGTATTTATAAGTGATGATTTTGAATTCATTTTCAATACTTCAGTATCATGGGCTTGCCATCCACACCAATATTATACAAGGAAACAAGAAAGCTTGAATAAAATAAACACGATCGCGTCGATAGAAACAGTCGATATATTTTGGTGGGTAGATGGAGTGTTTTACCGAACAAGCCCCTAATCTGCATGATGAATTGAGTGAAATTTCATCGAGTTCTACTCGACTGTCTGGGTTGTCTGCTGCTCCCATCAACCGAATCTACTGTTGAGCTGCATTCTCAAAACATGGAAAACACTTTTACTGAAGCCATTGTGGCTGCTATTCCCGCCGCTGGCTCAAATCCTTCCGCTGCTATCGGTGTGTGGGTGCAGGTTGTTACTGTTCTTGACAAGATTCTGCAAGGTCAAGTTTTTGCTTATGATCCAGAGTCTGGCTTGCTGGTTCTTCAAAGTATCGCTACTTTTGCTGCTGGACAGCATCCGCGTTCACTACAGCAGCCTTCTCTTGCATCTAGCAATACTTCTGGTTTATCCAAACATGAATCTACTGCTGATTCTTCATTGAAATCTACCAGTGAACCCAACTCACCTGATAATCTTTCCGACAACCCTGTTACTCATGTAGACTTGCATTATCTCAAACTGTCTGCTATCAAGTCCATCACTGCCGACCCTTCTGATATAAAGGCACCTAACCCGATACCTCCCCTGATGCCTCTCATTCCGATCTCTCTCGAACAGGTGCAGCAACGAGAGGAACAGGCTGTTCGTGCTGCTATTGAGCAGAATGCTCGGATCGGCATCGATGTTTCGACTGAGGCACAGGTAAAACTGATAGGCTTGATGATTTATTGCATAGTACATTTGTGCTTAATCAAATTCTAATTTGACTGTTTTTGGCTTGGATGCATTTTTGAAATCGGATCTATCGGAACTTGTGAATGCAACTCTAATCATAGGACATTTTTGATGCGTTGAGTAAAACTCTTCCAGTGATTTGGAAAGACAAGTTAATTGTAGTCATGGACGAGGTCACGATCGCACCTCCTTACACAGCTGTCATGTGCAGACTGCTACCATCAAAAGGTGCACCTGGTACGCTGGAGCGTGTAAAAAAAGTGCTTCAAGGAGAAAGAACTCGTCTTGGATTACCAATAAAGCCATAAATATTACACCTGCTTACAGTTCAAATTCATATCACTGTTCTATTTTGCGAATCTGGCTGATAATGCATTGATTGCAGCATCTATTGAAGATTCCAAGGGATATTCAAACTAAATATAGTGTACCGCTTTATATAATGCTTTATTGGCGTTCGAGTTCAACAAGTTCTGCTTGAATAAGTCGCAACTCTTGCTCTGTTTTCCTGTATGTTTGGTTCTGTTTCTCCAGATCCGAGTTAAGTTTGTTATAGATGGCTTCTAGCTGCTGCAATTCATCTGCTTCCGTTTGTAATGCTGTCGAGTATTCCAGTTGTATTTAACAGATACGTCAGTGATACTTGGGTGAGCTGTTGACACTATTCAAAATGAAATGATTCGAGTTTCTAGAAATGCAGGCATTACTTACAAAATGGTCCCGTAGGTGGAAGTTGAGACAGTTCTGCATGAATCTTGAGTGATTCGGCATATTCCTCAGATGGCTCATTAAATATCTATTCAATCGAATGATCAGACTGCATTATTTAAACAATATCGTTGCAGGCTATCTTGAATCTACATACCAATTCATCATAATGATTCACAATCACCGACTTTTTAGACTGCAAGGCAATTTCTTCTTTTGGGTATAGTTGAAGTTGATGGTATACAGTAATTGGCTTTTCTAATGGATCCACAAGCGTGATCTTGATCATGATTTCAAACTCTCCCCATCCAGTTTCGTTAACTTCGTATGGCGGTGCCTCGAATACTGATCAAGCGGTCGAATCAAAATAGTCATTAGTCGTTCATTCATTTGAATCTGATGGGATATATAGGATCGTACAAAACACGGCCTATTCGGTTTGATATAAACAGCTCGTACCTCGATTGGGCGACTCAAAACTTTCATGAAGCTTAATCAAAACTCGCTTAATACAATATGAAAGGTCTTCGTCATTGATACCTCGGACATAAACTGCCCATTTATGCGTATGTGTTGGATCTACCAATGCGTCTTTTTTAGTTACAGCCGTTGCTGTAGATCCGTATAAAAAAGGAACCGAGACAGTCAGTCCCTACACACCAGTGAAAGTATATGCACGGTGATTAGAATCTATAGTTTGATGAATGGACTGTTACATACATGCAGTTTTGGATTGCTTCGACTATTGAAATGACAGACAAGTCGAGGTGTGTTTCTGATGGCAGGTGGAAACGGACTAAAAAGGTTTATTTTTTCACGAGTTCAAATGTGATTTAATAGTAGGATGCATTCTAGAGCTGCAGTAATATCAATACCCACATTGACCCTCTTGGCTTTGGACATTCTATTTGGATAAAGTTGGTCTGGTTCGTAGATTCAAAATGCACGCTATTTTAGTGGCTGGTCTCCAAAATGGCAATGTTATATATTTTGATGGCTAAAAATAGGGTGTGCGATCGAGCCCAACACATTCAAATCTGGTGTTCGAGTCTTACCCACAACTATTACTCTCGAGCAGGACTCAGTATGCCCGTCAGTACGTAGAAATATCTTGTTTGAATTATTGTTGAATTTGATTAGGGTGCTGACTTTTGCTGGTATTTTAACTTTAGCAATAGCATTGGAGCTGGCAAGTCTACTCCAGTGTAGATAGAATATAAGCTATCACAGATGCTGCACTTTAAACTAACATCAACATGGTGTTTGTACTTTTGCTTTATAAATGTTAAAGAGTGTAGAGCGATACTATGCCAAGGAGGTGCTACGAGGTAGATTTGATGCAATTGAACTTTTATTGGATCCACTCAAACCAGATGCACAGCTTAAACTGATTCAAATCTGCTTGAATTTACACTGTATGTTTGATCATTTTGCAAATATATTAGCTATTTTGCAATCCATCATGTTTCATCGCACATTATCAAATACCAGACCAATTGATGTTCATCTGGATTCGCTGAATATTACCTATGTATGTTTTGAACATCGTTTTCCTGTTGCAGCCGTATTCATGTAAATGGATCCCTTGTATTTATCTTTCAGTCACTATTTTGCATTGGACTATACAATGGTTGAATATTTGCTGCGTTTTTTTTACTGGAAATTGGCTGCATTTTTGAACATTTTTTCAGTTTTTTATATAAATGAGTCGGTAGACTAAGAAGCTTTAGTGTTTCATTTTACATGAATACGGCTGTGAATTGATTCAAAGAATACTGATATTCAAGTATTTGATTTTAGGCTTGCTTGGATGACAAGGAGGTATGAGTTGAGGTGCAGATTTGAATCGACGCCAAACACTATTGCCTAACAATTTGCTACTTTTAATTTTTGGTTACAGATTCAAGTAATGATCGAGGAACGATTAAGTGAGCTATTTTCTCAAATAGAATCTCAAATTCAGACGAGTTCAGACAAAATCAAGGCAAGTTTATTTGAATCTCAAACATGTGCATAATATGACAGTACATTGAACAATTGACTACTACAGGGATCTGTCATGTTTTTTGAACGCAAAACCAAAAAGTCGTGGTTTACTAAAGCAGACGAGGATATATGTTGGGAGGTGAGTTGAATAATGCATTGCATTTGAAACACAGTTTACTCGACCCAGTACATTGCTACAATCGTTTTGCTGTAATGCAACCCCTATTCGAATGACTAGATTTAAGCTTTAATCTATATGCTAACATTGCCATGAATGATTTTCCATTTAGAAATGGGATATCACATTAACTCCCACACAAGCGCTAACAGAGCAGCTTCAGATACAGGCACATGCATTGTTAGTCAAGTCCTTTGAAGAGTGTTTGGTCAAGATTTCAGATAAAGCTAACGAGGAAAAGGATCATATTCCTCCCATGTTAACAAGTGAGCCTTTTCCATGCCAAATCACACTAACATTGCAGCTTGCGACATTTTGGAATACTATTACAAATCTCATCCCTACTTCATAAAGCAATAATATATCGTGGATAAATGAAAAATTGTCAGCAACCATTACCATTAGTGTGTATCATGTGTTTGGCAAGTGCTTGCATGGATTCAATTCAAGTATAGTTTTATGTGCGATAAGATTTGTTTTGTAAATTCGGTAGATTGCTGATTTGATGGCAAGATCATCTATCGATCGTTTCTTGTACCACGACCAGTTTGCTGAAGATCTGCGTCATCATCTACATCTTGCTTTATACTATCAGAGCGGTTTCAAAACATGGCGACATTGAGCTGTTAAAATGGAAATATTTCTGCGTTCACATCCTTCTTCAGTTGTGAAACTGAGCAATTTGGGATCAAGCAAGCTTTGATCAACTCTTGCTCATCCGATTTACTCATGACTCCAGAACTGCCAGTATCTGCATCCACTCCTCTGACTGAAGGTTCTACGAGTAAGACAGACCATGCACAACAGCAAGCACAGAAGATCCAGTCAGCATTAGATGCAATTCAACTACTAAAGACTTCTGGAATAATCCTGCTGGATAGAATGTAAACTTTGTATGGATCTTGTTGTGTTGAGTAGAATACTAACCAGCTTGCATTGGCTTGATTAGACACTCTTCATTGTCGGATCCTGCTTTTGTTTCACAGTCAGAGGTTGCTGAGTTGATGACTCGACTTCAGCATGTTAATCAACTCGTCAAGCAAACGAATCTGGATTCTATTCTGATCTCATCTACTCCATTGGGTCTCTCTGTGGATTCAGGAGACAAGTCTCCACATGATCTGGCGCAACAGCAGCAGACACTGTTGACCGAGTCGGAAAATCAATTGGCTGTATATCGAGCAACCATCACTGCTGCTGCCCAAGTGTCAGTTGCTAAACATACTCAGCATCTGCCATTCCAACGCAAGCATGAGCAACAGTAATTACATCAAGCGATATTTTTATTGAGTTTTATAAAGTTATTGGCAATTGATGCGTCAAGATCACAACTATGATATGGTTTGTGGGAAAGAAAACTGAAGTCTATCATGTTTGTGATAGAATGGCTTGGAGCTGTTCTTTGGAGGATTTGTCTAGAGATTCAGCAAGAGTTGAAAGTGCAGCTGCATTATGAGCAGCTGCATCACGCATAAACGTCTCAATAAATGACTTCACATCAATGTGGTAGACCGGATCTGCCTGTATGTCTGCATCTTCTGCTACATCCCGATCTTGATCATCCTCGTCATCATATATAAAACCTAAATTTAAAAATGTCCAATATTAATCAGTTTGTAGTTTATGTGCAAACTCTTTTCAAAGTCGAGTAAAATGCTCTAATACACCTCAAACTATAAAAAGCTTACTGTTCAGCTGATTAAAATCAAAGGGCACATTTAGCTCGTCATCTTCATCTTCCCAGTCATCTTCCTCGATGCCATCAGAATCAATAGTCTCATCTAGGGCATGATGATTGGAAGGCTGAAGTGTAGTTTTAGCAGAGCGGGCTTTAGAGTGAATCTGATGAAGATGCTCTTTAAGAAGAAGTTGCAAGGCTCTGCATCTAAACGACACGTACGCATACTTGTCTGGAGCTGACAATTTGTTGGTATAACAGTTGGTCATTTATGTTGCAGATTCAAAACAACAATGTAAGCATCAAAGGGTTGTTGGAATGCTGATTCAAGTCTACTTACTTAGCTTGGAGATAGAGCGAGTGATAATCTCTATTTATCCCACAAGCAATACAAAAAAATATGTTAAAATATCGTTAGATCAGTGGTATAGTTTAAAATGAAATGTTATCAAGCAAACTGTTTTAAATCAGCGTGTCCAAAAATACGTACTAGTTTCAGAGGGTACAATCAGATCGCCACGAACTTGGATCTTATCCAGCAGTGGGCTTGGATTGGAAAGCATTTTAGCCAAGGCGGTACAGCTAAATAATTACAATCTGTCAGTAAAACTTTATATAGCCCACCATACATTATCAAGACAAAATAAACAAGCATTTTTTTGTAAAGCACCTAGTTTTGTTGGCAAAGACACCATGAAAGTCCTGGAAATTGTCACACCATGCATTCAGTAGAATGGACAATCCATCCTTGTTATTCACTACAGACTCTGACAAAAAGGAAATCACCACATCCATTTGATTTTGAATTAGATGAGCAAACACTAGCACAAGTGTTTGTATAAATGTGGGTCGCCGTGCTGATTCGAGACGACACACGACAGAGTGAAGGAGCTCTGGTAAAACTGGAGCAAGTATAGCATGTCCCTAACCAAAGTGTATTAGATCCATAACAAGTCAAGCCAATAAAACCCAACATGGTAAAACACCATGCCTCACCTTTTGAATGAGTTTGGTAACCAAATCACCCACAAACATTGCAGCTGATTCTGACTGTGAAGGATCTAGCAGTTGAGCAATAAATCGAATAATACATTCGAGTCCAGTCATGTTTCCATTCGACCTAGATTTTCATGATACGCCACAAAAAGGTTAAAAGTAGTCATTTAAATAGCTGGCAACACAGTTTCAAAATGTGAATGTGCTGAAAAAAGCACTTTACCATGCAGTAATGCTGGAGAAATCGCGATGAACCAAAGCCTTGATAACACCTTCACTGTTCTAACTCGATCAAATTGGAACATCTATTGATTAACAAAAAATATACACAGGTATCTCACAACCCATTGCAGTTTAATGGTATATCAAAAGGTTCTTACTTGAAGCAAAGCGCTATCGTGAGAAACTGCAGTCACGCTAAAAACCCTAGGAAGCAGTTCGCGAACATAGGCAGGAGAAAACGGCTCAGGAGCTTTTTTGATCATTGTCTCCACAAACAGTAAAATGGACTTTATCCATTATAGTAAATGTTTACATCATAATGTAAAAATTAATGGGTTACACAAACCATCATTGAATGAGTGCTGAAGACCGTCAAAGGAAATATACACATACCGTAACCGTTTCTGGTGATTGTTGCAATGTTTCGGTATTGATACACTTGGCAAAATAAGGTAGCATACGCTCTTGAAATGTCGTATTTTTGCTAGTTGCCATAACGGCAATAATATCTTGAATCGTATCTACTACTACAAAATCTGAAAATAGTAGGGTTGAGGAGTACAAAGTAGATTTTAAAGTTTAGATCAAAAATAAAGCATTTGAATGGAATTGGTATGTTGTAACCTACCTGTAAGACCACGGTTTAATACGTTTAAAAGCAAAGTGCTGATGAGAGACTCGTGCTCATCAGTGACAGTTTGATCAATCTTTGGTCATCCAATATAAATTTAAAAATACAAAAGCATTGTCTAAAATAGTTAAACGCAGTATTTTGATAGCATAAACTTAAATATCTTCATCTTGAACACAAAAACTACCTTGATAACATATACCAGCGTTTCAAGCAACAGCAGCAAGGAATCACTTGTTGCATTTGGTGCAAGCGCAGCAATGCCAACAAGAATATCGGCTTGATGAGATCGAAGTTCTATTTTGGCATCAGTTTCACAGAAGCTAGCAGCATATATTTTATAGTAGTAAATAGTCCAGAAAACAAACTGAGTAGTCCAAGAAAATATGCTGATAATAGCTTACCACTTAATTGCCTTTAATGCACATACACGCATTGCAAAATCTACACTATCATGCTGAATGGCACTCACAGCACCTTGAATATACTCTTTTGTAAGGTGCTGAGGAAGTACATGAGCAAATTGGCTTGCAAACCAAAGTGCCCGACCTTGAAGAAGGGGATGATCTAAGCCCCAGAATGATCAAATGATTGGTGATACATAGTTAATATCAAGCTAATAAAGGTAAAATTTCACACATTCAACAAAAGCCGTAGATTTGTCAATGTAATCAAGTCGACAACTTACCAAACGATTTTAACGAGCTTAGTACAATATGATCAAATAGGCCGCCAATATCATACTGAATCTGACCAGTTTGCATAGCGTCCACAAGTTCAGGTTGAGCACGTCCAAGTGCAAGCAGCGCGGCTTCAGTATTCTTCCACCAAAGCAAAACTCCCTGATCACGCAACTGACCACTCAGTTGGAACATTTCTGTTGTGCAATGACAGAGTGCATTCAATGTGTCTACATGGTAGGTGTCTAACAGCGTTGTCAAGATCTCTTCCACAGCGGTACGCACGTTAAATATCAAGCTATCATCTCCATCGTCCTGTATGTATTGGTTCATGTCCTTGATCCAATTCAGTTCCATCTCAGTTGTAATGCGCATGTATTTCAGACACACATGAATAAACTGAATAAGTGTGGGCTGTTGTTCGCGAGTGGCAGACGACGGGGCGGTAGCATTTAAGAACATGTTGCTGAATGCTTTCTTTTTAATAGCCATCTGAGTAAACTCAAACAGCGACAGCAGAATTGGCTCTAAACCAAGATTTTCGCCGTCCGAGTCAATTTCAGCATTATCATGACCGGCAAATCCGTCGATCGCTGGAGCAACAAAATCGCATTCGTATCTGTCGGAAAAACGACATAGATCCATCCAAACAAGCTCCATCAGAGGTCGCAAATGATGACTAGCCTGTTTGGGAAACCCGCGAGTGATTTTTACCACTGCCCGCAGCACATCATTTTTGATGGGAATATTTTCAACAGAGTAGTCTTCAGCCAATGCAGTTTTAAATCCATCAATCCACATGGTAAGTAAAGGATCAAGATAGTTGGGAACAACTTCAGGATGCTCCTCCTTGACCATAAAAATCATTTCAATAAAATCGCGTAAAATGGCAACAGACTTGGCTCGAATATGAGAGTTGAAGCGATCTGGCGATGAAAATATCGAGTACAATTCTGGAAGAAGAATGGGTGCAACGGCTGGAAACTGTTGGTCTGTAATATCGTCTCGAACAAATTCTGCAAGAACACGCATTGCTCCATGAACTTGGCTGGGTTCGCCACTTTTTAAATGTGACATGAGATCATCAAAGAAATTTGGCCATGCCTCTGGCCAGTCAATATGTGCAATCTTGGACACTGCATACGCCTATAGTTTACAGATTGATAAAGTAAATATTGTAGCTTTACTGCTAAAACCTCGAGTGCGTTCAAACTGCCTACTCTGGATAGATCTATAGCAAACTTACAATGGCAACCCGGATACTGTTCAAGGGCTCGGACAGACCACGCAAAATATTGGCCATAATCCAGGACTTGACCTTTGAAGAATGATCATAAACAATGTTAGGCAGATCTAAGATCTAGCCTGGCTCAAGAATAGTATACCTCTTCTGGTGGCTCAGGACCAGTAAATCGTTCGCATTTAGAAGACCAGTGAGTATCAACATAGGATTTCAACGTAAGTGCAGCTAGGTAAATATTTAGTCAAGGATGCGCAGTAAACCATTTGATATCAAATGAGTCTCGAGCAGATATTGCATATTCAGCTATAGGGAAAGCAAGTAAATCAAAAAACAAAAGGATATCTGTCGTTGTCCAACTGGCAGTTCATGCGAAAGAGAGCATTGAAGAAGAGCTTGTGCATAACCTGATTACAGATTAAAAGGTCATGATGACGAGTTAATCATTTACAGTAGATTTGACAAGCAAACAGACAAGGCTCGATTGAGCCAGATATGCGCTTACTTGGGTGGGCTGCAAGTTGTTGAAGAGTTTCCTCGCCTACACGAAGAGTGTTGGAATCACTTGATAAGCACTGTGTCAGTGTATCGAGAACAGCCTTGCCAATATCCATGGTTACAGTCATCAAGTCGAATCTTTATCGCAATCCCGAATTTATAGCAACGATCAAGCAAATACAGCCGTATTCATAAAAACACTAAATAAGGGTGTTTAATAAACACTCGGCCTCGTAAATAACTCGCATTTTCACTTGGTTTCTCTCTGTTCTCATGCTATTTGTCACCAGCGTAATTTAAAAATTGAGTGAAAAGATATTTGTTCATCAATTGTTTTTGGCTGCAAACTGAATTGGTGATTATATCAATAATGGGAAAGATATGTCAGCTAGTCATGGGCCCTGCTGGAAGTGGAAAATCGACCTATTGTCGCACAATGATGACACATAGCCAGTCGATCAAACGCAACTTTCATTTAGTGAACCTGGATCCTGCAGCCGAACCTTTTGAATATGAACCAACTGTTGGTAAGAACACTTTAAATTTGCCTAATAACTGGAAACAATGATTTAGTCGAATTAGCCTGCTGACCATTCTTTATGGGATTATTTTTGTATTTAGACATTCGAGATCTCATTTCTTTGGATGATGTTGTCGAAGAACTCCAGTTTGGTCCGAATGGAGGACTCATATACTGCATGGAGTAAGTGTGGAATTTGTATATATATTGCTCATTGCACATTACAGTATACTATGCAATGCCTTGTTTCAAAGACTTTGTAATCAATGTCAAATTCACTCATTTGTCTACGATCTTTAGATTTCTTGTAGAAAATATGGATTGGTTTGAAGCAGAATTACAGGATTACGAAGATGACTATCTTGTCATTGATTGTCCAGGCCAAATTGAACTGTACACTCATTTCACCATTATGAGGCAGGTCACGGATATGCTACAACGATTGGGATACAGAGTCTGCGGAGTGTATATTCTCGATAGCCAGTTTATTGAAGACTCGACCAAATTTTTCGCAGGGATTATGAGTGCCATGTCGGCCATGCTGCAACTTGAAGTTCCGCATGTGAATATCATGACCAAAATGGATTTAGTTTCCAAAAACAAGTCACACTCTGAGCTTGAAAGGTAGACCGTGCATTTAATGGCTATTTGAACGCAGTTTGATTTTTGATATGCATGCTGATTGTTTTTGCTATAGGTTTTTCGATGTAGATTCATCTTTGCTGCTTGAGGATGCCAACAGTGTCACACGACCTAAATTCCACAATCTAAATCAAGCGCTGGTTCGGCTTGTAAGACTTGCAAATGCATTGGCTAAATCAGTCTGATAGAATATACTGGTTAGATGTGGTAAATCACTAACACTGATGCTTGCAATTATAGATTGACGAATACAGCATGGTCAGCCTACTTCCACTCAATATCAAGGATGAAGATTCAATTGCTAATATTCTCGAGCATATTGACCATGCCGTACAGTATGGTGAGGATTTAGAGCCCAAGGAGCCCAAGGATGACGAATTTGAAGAGGAAGGAGGATACGGAGATCGGGATTAAACTCGGAGGCTTTTAAGCAGCATCTATGCATATATATAAACTATTTCAAAAATAATACTACTTTTTGTCATATTGTAGCTGATTCATTGTCATATTCACGTGAAAGCGAACCACTAATAAGGATGCCAAGCTATTTGATAGACTGCTAGTCTCATGAATAGCTTTCACCAACATTACTAGAAAGCACTGTGTCCTGAACTCTTTAGTTTATCGGTTTCCTGGTGGTTGGCATGAAAACAGGTTGCATTCCTAGATGTGCAGTCCTTGTTTTTTTAAACTAGAGCGCGAACGTATCTGTGATATTTTAAGATACAGCAAAGATGAGTTTGAAAACATCAGAACAATTAAACCAAAATCTGAGGTGCAATGCACGAGTCTGGTTTCAAGCCTATGGTCGTACAACGCATGGTTATGCCAAAAGAAAGGGAATGATCAGCTTAAGCTATAATTTGATTTTGTTAGCATCATATGATGAGCGTTGTGTTTATTGAGGAATTGGGTGTCGATTGAAATAGTCAATTTGTAATAGGGAAGCACAGCGAATGTGCAACTATTGTATATTCCAAAACAAAGGACAGATACAAGTGTTTCATTTTACGTGAATACGGCTGTAAATAGCGGGTATAGTTGAGCATCAAGTGCTTGTTGACTTGTGCTATGTGAAACAGATTCTAGTAATCGCATATTTGATATCTGTTAGGAAAGATGGTTGCAAAAAAGAGAGATGGTGACTCTGGTACTAGGATTAAAGCAGACCAAGTTTATCTAGCCAAATATCAGGTGAAGCAATGTGCTCTGATTTATCAAGACTCCGCCATTAGGGTTGACATTATTTCATGTGGTGGTAAGAGCACACTTCAGCGATATATGCGATAGATGATAAGCAATAATCCAGTAGAAATATCCCAATACTCATAACGTATGCTTTCCTCGGATCAAATAACATTCAATTGAGCCGCCAATGATGATTTTTAAAGATATAAATATACTGGAATGTCTTGTATGCGAGGTAGCGAATAGAGTTTATTATAATGGCAATAGCAGACTATTTTCCATCCAAAACACCCGCCAAAGAGTCGCACCAAGCAGTCAATACAGCTGCACACAAGTCTGAAAATAGCCAATGCGCGACGGAAGCAACGATCAGTGTGGCTTTGCCCACGTTATCGGCACACTCTCAAGCTGCAGAATTTGTTTCAGTTGACAATATAATACATATTGTTACAGAAAATAGTAATCCTGACCCACGACTGCAACAACCGTCCAAGAATATATCTCTTTTGGAGGAGAGTATGACAAACGAAGGCCTTTTGGACAATATACTCGATGCAACACCAGGCGATACAGCCATATCTACACAGTCCATTTTAAACCATGCATTCGATACACTTGCTCTGAGCGATACTGACCTGTCTTTGGGTGCATCAATCCCGTTTAATACTGACATGAATAGAAGCCATGTTTCTGACTGCAAGTCTATAGAGTCAATCGTGCCGCAGAGCGACTCGATAGACCAGGAATCAGATTTGATATGCCCGCTAATCCATAGCCACTCCAAGCCAGCATCAGGTCGTTCATCGCCATTCTCGTCGCTTCCAACGGTGTTGCGCTCGGTATGTGTTGAATTGAATGCATTGAGCTGATCTTAAGGCTTGTACTGACTTTAATGTTACTCTTGTGTGTGAAATTAGGCAGCAAGCAGTATGACCAAGAGTAGTCGAAGTAGCTCAACAGATAGCGGCCATGTTAGTAGTACTAGAAGTTCCTCTGTCAGCCAGAACTCGCTTCCTAACAGCATTGCCAACGGCATTCATGGCATCAAGAACATTCTCTCTCGTGTTCATAGTAACTTTACAAACCATGAAGCTTCAGAGTCTAATCTAATCGATGTAGCTACACAGGATAGGTCAATCTCAATTACCGATTTTCCACTCGAGGATAGCGAAAAAGTATTCCAAAGTGCCTTGGAATTCAAGTCGAAACCCATACTAAGTAATAGATTCAGCTTTGAATCTCGGATATCAGAAGTTTGGGAACCAAACAGTAATCCCAAAGTTGGTTCCAAAAGCGATTCTTTACTTCCAGAGCTATGCTCTCCGTCCCAATCTAAAGATGCGATATTTAGCAGCAGTACTACCGTTGAAGCTGAGCACAATCTTTCAGAATCTCGATTGCAGAGTGTCGGCTTAACTCATTCTCCGCCTGAGTCTACTCCAGTATTTGTTTCAACTCCAGCTCTAACGGATACTGAACATATAGCCAAATCTCAAAAGGCTCAATTGGCAGTCAATACTTCAACTGCTGATATGGATACTTCTGCTTCGAGTGCTTCTAGCGATCTTTCAGTACCTCCAGTACCTCCAAAAACAGACAACTATTCTGTAGCATTATCCACTTCACAAGAAACTTGCTCCCCAGTGCCAACAACATCCATGGCAAAGACAATTCAGATTGACAATGGCACAACGCGAGCATCATCAATGCAGTTAAATGAGCAGCAGTTGCACCAGTATTCTGGCGCTACATGGGCAACTCCACCTGTGAATTCAAGCTACTTTCAGCCATATCCTCCTATGCCTTTAAAGAATGAGTATTTTCCAGCATATCCAATGTTTCCACAGCACATGCCTTTACAACCATCTGCTCAGATAGGACCGACTATAAGCGAACCACGTTTTCCTCAATCTGGCTCGGTAATGCATTCTGCTCATACATTTCAACAGATGCCATGGCAAACGGGACCCTATGCATCACAACTGCACCCTCCCATTATCCCATCTCCACCAATAGTCTCTCCAATCCAGAATTTCACCCATCAGTTTATTCCTCAACAGCATCAAAATATTACTATGGATCGTCCTACTATTGACACTGAACACATGGCATTGGGTGTTGTGAGATCCTCATCGCCAGTAATCTCTCCTAGGTGTCATTCGTTGCCTGAAAACAAGGTTCGTAAGAGTAAGCCCAGCAACTCACAATCATCACTCTCTCTAGTATCTACAGCACCATCTTTATCTAAACAAGCCTCGGCCAATTTTATCTCGCCAATAGTCGCGCAGAATTCATCTACACATCAGTCGCAATATCCTCAACCTTTGGCCTATCCTCAGGAACAGTGGCAGATGCAACAGCAACAAATGCTGGATTATCAACAGTACCAGCATATGCAATACATGCACTATTTGCAATATCAACAGAATCTTCAACGTCAGTTGTCCGAACAGAGTGCAGGTTCTGATTATTTGGCAAATACTGCGTCGCCCCTTCTGCAGCCATCGCCCCAACCACCGATGCGTCAATATCATCAACAGTTTAAATACACGCCGTCCAATTCACCACAAAATAATCCATTTCCGCAGCAAATTAACCAATCAGCTGTCTATGTGGATAAACTACCAATAACCGCTCCATCGCTTGGTTCTATTAATGACCACTGTGATGGTCGTAATGCTGACGAGTCTTACATTCCTCCTATCCCTGAGAAAACACAGCCAATTCAACCCGTAATCATGCCGTCAGAAATAGAATCTACACATGTGCCATTGCAGAACCCCATTTCAGCAGCTTCTGTTCACGATTCAGTTGTTTTTAATACTCCACAATCATCACCATCTTACTCCACTGTTGAAAGTACTGATTCTGTCACAGCTCAAGACAAACAACCCATATACCCATCTACAAATTGTATATCCAGCCTCACACCTGCGACAGATTTAACCCAATCACCAGAATCGGTTTTAAAACCTACCGATATGTCCATACTTTCTTCTACTCTGCTTTCTATTCCGAATTTTAAACTAAATCTGGTTGGCAGTTCGTTAAGTACTTCTGCCATTTCCAATGAGCAGTTTGAAATGAGTAAAGATCAGCCCCTTCAACGAAGAGTATCTTTGTCCAAACAGGAGTTGATCATTAAACCGGCTCCCATACTACTGGCTACCCCCGAGTCTACTTTGAACCATCATGTGTCTCGTGCACACACCATTGCTCGACGTGCATCGTTAGATGAAAGCACACTAAAGCGAACAGATTGCAAGCCTATCTCACCACATCCACAAGCAGATTCAGAATATGGCACAGACACTGAAAATAGTGAAAATGGTACAGCTTTTTCATCTAGTGCATCGATTGGGAAAGTATATCGTCCACAATTTGCAACCATACTTCGTCCAAATTCGAACACGACTTCACAATCTGATCTAGCAACGTTTAACGATACCACCCTTGATGAAGCTGCTGTTTTGGAATATAGAGAGCAACTCAAGACTTCATCTGATCCGCGATTGCAGTTTGATTTTGCTCAATTACTGGTGGAAAAAGGAGAGCCGTACTTGGACGAAGGGTTTCTATACCTGAAAAAGGCATCTGCAGCTGGTCTTTCCGAGGCTCAATGCTACCTTGCCCAAGCTTTTTATGATGATGGCCAGCTGGAAGCCGCATATTCTCAGTGGCTGACTGCTGCAAAGAAAATGTATCCTCCTGCTTGCTATCAAGTTGCAAGATGTTCTGAGCAAGGCCGTGGTACTAAAAAAAACTACCGATTTTCGTTGCAAATGTACACCAAGGCAGCAACAATTGGACACCGTCCATCCATGCATCGACTAGGTGTTGCTGAGATGCGAGGAGAGCTGGGTCTTAAACCAGATATTCGTAATGCCGTGAGATGGTTTAAGCGCGGAGCAGCAGGGGCAGATAAAGATACTCCACATTGCTTGTTTGAGCTTTGCGAGATTTTTGAAAAAGGTGCTTTACCCCATATTATGCCTGATATTTATTATGCTCGGTCTGTTCTTATCGAAGCAAGCCATCTGGGATTTCCTCCTGCGCAATATAAGCTTGGGTACTGCTTTGAGTATGGCCGATTGGGGTGTGCTACCAATGCTGCCGAGAGTATCCACCTGTATAGTGCTGCTGCCGCGACAGGGTATAGCGAGGCTCTATTTTCTCTTGCCGGATGGTACATGACGGGTGCAGAAGGGGTTTTAGTCAAAAATGAGCGACGAGCATTTGAATTGGCTTCTGGAGCTGCGGCTCAAAACTTACCGCGCGCACAATATACAATAGGACACTTTTTTGAGCAAGGAATCGGTATTACTGCCAATCTTGAACAAGCAATTATATTCTATAATAAGGCAGCTGCTAACGGAGAAGAAAGAGCTATAAAACGATTGTCAGAGCTTGCGCCTGCAAAACATACTGCTCCTGCTCCGAATGGAAAACGGCGTGGACTAAGAATAGGATTTTTTGGACGCAAGTAAAAGTTGACTATTATTCAGATATAATATAATTTTTGGCATTCGACACAACACGAGTTTTTTAAAGTTTAGTTTACAAATGAGTTGGAAAGAGTATACACGCTTGGCTAAGCCTTGCTGTTAGATAGCCCACTTCAAAGATTAGTTTAGCTTATACCACCACGAATGGATTTTGTGTAGTTTGAATTGAAATGATATTTGTCAGTTTTTGGTTAGACTGGACGAATACAACACTCCAGCAATATCCGTTAGCTCACACGTGATATTTTAGAGTATAGTAAAATCGCTATTAACAAATGGATTTTAACTCGAGATTTTAAAAAATGCCGATGCCAACACTGCTACCAAGGTCAGTTTTCGTGTCGTACACCTATGAAAATAACACTGCTCCATCCCGACTTTATCTTCATAGCTTATATCTGCACAGAATGCAGATCTTTAATCCTATCATCCCGGATACATATTCTGTATTCACTAGCCAATCTATAATGTACATTTATATTTTCAATTTCTTCAATTTATAGTCATGTATTTGGCCTAAATCAAGATGTACGCAACAACATCTGCTATCTGGATGAGATGTCGGTAGTATATCCCGTAGGACATCAAATTGCAATTTACAACACTGAGCAAAAAACACAGCGGTTTATTTCCATTCATCTCGATGACGAAACGATGAATACACTGGCAGTTTGTCATTCAAATTCATTGGTTGCAGTTGGGACAAAAGTCGCGCAGAGTGCTAAGGGATCAGTCGACATGGAGAAATCTTCGTCTGTGTTGGTATATGATCTTCACAGTGGACGACGTAAAAAAATATTTACTACTGGCGATGCTCCAATTACAAAAGTAATTTCCGAGTTTTTTTATTGAAAACTGATTATATCAGCTGAAATAATTTTGTTGATTATGCTTTTACTTTTCACACTGAAAACTGCCATGTATAGGAAATTGTTTCAATTGCTTTTATCAACGATGGCAAATTTTTGATTGCTCAAGGCATAGCTCCTGACTGGTATATCAGATAAATGCAGTACTTTTAACCTGCTTAGTGCCAAACAGTTTTTGAACATTTTTATTTACTGTTGGATTAAATAGGTGCTTGTATATGTGGTCTTTGGAAAAAGGAAAGTTGGTAACATGGGTAAGAGCAACAGCAAGTGCCACTTCAGATGTAAGCCAGATTTCATGTCATGGCTATGATCAGCTCAATACCCAAGTGTCCGTTACCGGAAATAATACGTTTCGCGTCTTTCGAATTGTAGACGGAGCATTTAAACTATCGTATCAAAACAAAATCGACAAGGTTTGTTCATGTCGTGTATTTAGATAAAAAGTACATTTTGAAATGATATGTTTGTAGCTTTGACTTACTGATAAAGCTTGATTTATGACTATTAGAATATTCTATGCCATGCTTGGGTCAATGATAGCAGAATCGTTGCTGGTACAAATGATTCCAAAATCCTCATTTTTGACGCTGGTGAACTTATTTTGGAAATATCGTATTTTATTCCACAAGCTCCTAAATATAATCAAGATTTGACAATTCAAGAGCCATGCAACATTATTCCAACAGTCAACACACTTACTGTTTTTTCCACAGGCCTGTTGGCAGGATTGAGTACCGGTGTCGGTGTGATGTTTGAAAAAACAGATGATTTGTACTTTTACAAGAAAACCAACGAGTTCTTGCTTGAGGAAACCGAGTTTGCATGTGTTTCGTTAAGTCCGCATGAAGACTTTGTTGTGGTCTCATTAAAGAATAGCCAGATTTATACTGTTTCTTTGGAGGCTGATTCCAAGGTATATACTTTAATCAGATTAGTGCAATGTGTATAGCCTAAAAATGCAATGGTTTATCAAGAGTAGATAGGATGCTAATCAGTCTACAATTATTAATCACCAGCATGGGGACAGTGTCAAGTTTGATCGTCTTTCACAATCATTCCATACCGGTCCAATCATTGGAATGGATGTTGGTGTCAGTAAACCACTTTTGGTGACAAGTGGTGTGGACAAATCTGTTCGTGTATGGAACTATATTGATAATAGCATTGAAGTTGTAAAGTATTTTGACGAAATAGCCCAATGGTAAGCCAAGTCATAAATGCGCTCTGCCCATAACGACTGTCAAAATACCTAACAGTTTATCTAGTATTGCAATGCATCCAAATGGATTATATTTGCTAGCCGGATTTTCCAACACTATCAAGCTTATGGCAATTCTCATTGATGATATTCGTCCATTTTGGGATTCAAATATTCGAGGCTGCAAAGAGGTAGTTTTTTAATATATTGTGGGGGGTTTCAAATTTTTGTTACTAATCTACGCTACTGTAACATATTAGTGTCGATTCAGTAATGGTGGCCAGGTTAGACTATAAAATGGTTTTGCACTAATACCACAGCAGACTCGTTTGAACATATATCATCAAGTTTGACTAACAGTAGAATATTTAGTATTTTGCAGCTGCATCAAATAGTTCTGTCATGATCTATCATACCTGGTCATTTGAAATTATTGGGTATTTGAAATCAACTACTGGGAAAATACAGTCCATTAGATGGTCCAGTGATGACAGCAAAATTTTGATGACAACCGTTGACGGATCTGTATGCCAGTGGAGCACATCTACTTTTAAAGTGGACAGCAAGATTATTTCTAATGATAAAGCTGTTTTATCAAGTGTAATGACACACGATGCTAAAATCATTTATTTAGCTTTAAATGACGGCACTATTCAGGTAGATGGCGATGAATTTATGTTTAATACTGAAATATCTAGATTTGATCGTAATTATCAATACATACAATCAAATTTGGTGTTTAGGAGATTGTGAATGGAACATTTACACGTGAATTTCCTACTAAAGTTGGAGTTTCTGAATGTGAGTCCATTTGGTTTGAAATACAAATGATGGGCGTGTTTTTGAATACCATTAAACAGTTGAATTTTAATGGAATTTAAAGTACTCATTTCTAGGTCGGGACAGCTTATGTTTGCAGCTACCTTGCGCGGTAGTATCCGTACAATCAAATTCCCGTTTAGTTCAGATCCATCTCTTTCCGAGCCAGATGCACTAGAATTTAATTTTCATTCTCAGCAAATTACTCACCTTTGTACTTCATTTGATGATCAATACTTGTTTTCATGCAGTGAAGATGGGTGTGTTTGGATTTATCGAATTGATGAAAGGGATGGACAGCTGGTTAGACGGGACAAAGAATGGACATACAGCGATGAGGTGATTGATTACTTGTACCAGGAAATTCATATCTAATAGACTTGAAATTTATATATAGATACTGATTTTCTTGCATTTAGATTTTGGTGACCAAATCTGATCAACGCGAAAACTATCGAACAATGAATGAGCTCAAACAGCGAGTTGATGTAAGACATACTTTACATTGATGCGTTGGTGAAAGCAGCTGTTAATCCAACCATAATGATTGTTTTTTAAATTAAAAATTTATAGGAGCTAAAGGCAAAAAGCGATGCACAGTTACGAATTAAAGACAGCTCATATAGTATGAAAATCAAAGAGTTGATTGATAAATATAGCACCGAAGTCAATATTTTAAAAGAGGTATATTTTGTTTTATATAATTTTAAAATCACTTTTGGATATACTATTGTTTGTTTTTGGTTGATGTACGCTAATGAATTGTGATCATTTAGGCTACGGCAGTTTTCCAAAAAGAAAGCGACAAAAGCGAACAAGCCCGATTGTTGGAGATTCAAAAAACCAAAATGAACCACAAAGCTGAAGTAGCTGTAAGTAAAAATCAGAGTTCTATGTATATCTTGTACACGATAGCTGTATTTATAGTAAACGGAATGTGAGTAGGAGATGGTAGAATTGTTTGAAATCAAAATGCAGTCAGAGGCCGAAAAGTATGTTGATTTACAAAAACGAATGGAGAAACTGCAAAACCAATGGAAAAGTCAAATGCAAGACATTGAAACTGTGCACAGTCAAAGAATGGCGGAAGCAGCCTCCTACTATCAAAAAAAACTACAGGAAAAGCAAGATGTAGTTCAACAGGTATGATACCCAGCATACTATAATGCATTTAGTACTGACCCATGATCAATATAACAAATTCTTTGGTATACAATACATTAAATCACAGGCAAAGGAAGAGTTTGCACAACATAAGCACAAATTTGAAACTAGACTTAATGAAATTGAAGCCGATGTTGACAGAGAATCGTTGGAAATATCATTCGATTTTGAATCACGTCTTAAAGAGGAAAGAGAATCTTTATCCATCATTAGTGCAGAAAACTTTAGCATGAAGTCAAAGTTTGATGGCCTTACTCGTCAAATTGAAGAGCATAAACGCGAATTTGCCAAGAGTGTTACCGAAGAAAAAAAGCTGTATACCATCATTCGATCGTTTGAAGACGACGTTGTCGGTGTCAGAAAAGAGGTTAGATACAAGTGTAAAGTTTAATCTTGGATTCCAGCATTCCAAATTGTTATTGTGATTTAATCATCTACCTTTTATTGGCTATACAATGCAGATGCAAGAACGTGATGATACAATCTTTGACAAAGAAAAACGCATATATGATTTGAAGAAAAAAAATCAAGAGCTTGAAAAGTTTAAATTTGTGCTTGATTATAAAATTGTAGAACTCCGAAAGCAAGTAGAGCCTCGCGAAAAAGACATTATTCAGCTATCTGACCAAATTACTGTAGGTTATGCATACTTGTTTATGATTTTTGTTCAATACCTAAACTCCATTTGATTTGCTGCAGGAAATGATGGAAGAAATTCGCGAGTATAGTCAAACTCATGATAGATTTTCCACAGAGTATCAAGATTTGCTCATGAAGCATCATGCTGTTCAGCGTGACCAATCGGTAGAGAAATGGCGAAGCATGCAGGTTAAAAAAATTATCAAATGTTTTGAGCGAGATTTATCCAATGTTCATGGCAATTTACCTGATATGAACAAAGCAAAGGTATATTTTCGATTCTTCAAATTGCATGAAACACTATCGTTTAATTACAGATTTACAAGTTTGAAGCATGTATGTTTTATAATTTATTTACTAAACCTGTATTTTGATAGAAAAAACTTATTGCACTGTTTCAAAAATACCGAAATACATCGATTGATCCACCCGAAAATCCATCCTCTGATTTGTTTCCAAAGCTAACAGACACAGAACTACTACTCTTGCTAAATCGGTTTGACCACCCCAAATCAGCAAATTCCCAACATTCACATTATATAATTGCACTCCCCAATGAGGAGGAATGCAACGCTGCACGCTCACGAGAGTATATGGAAAAAACAGCTACCATACTCAAAGAAAAACTCGCTAAAAGCGAAGCAAAGCGTGTAGATTGTACCAAAAAAATGCTTTTGGAAAACATTTCTTTGACCAGGTGAAATATGTCTTGCATTGTACATTTTTGAGCGTGTGGTATAACTTTATGAATGTTTAAAAATCAAATTTTGTTTGCCCAATGGTTAATGAGTTTTGTAATGTAAATTTTCTAGTGAGCTGAATTCACTCCGAATGACAATTCAGATGCGAAAAGAAAGATTAAACAACTTGACAGAAGCACGTAAACAAGAAAAGTCTTTTAAGCAGTTTATTGAGCAGGAGTTGAAGACGCATAGTATTCGTGAACTTACAGACCCATGTGTGTAAATACTCAATGCTCCAGTATTTTATATCCAAGTACTCTTGCTAACTATCCATAATTTTTAACTTGAATTTTAAAAGCTATGCATAAAGTTCTGCAGCACAAGACAACAATTCCTTTGGCTCCTGTGCTTTCATCTATTCATTCCAGATTAAACTAAATATATAGCGCGTCGCGTTGACAAATCTGAGTTGTATGTTCCAAACAATAGATTGTAGACCACAGATTTTTAATCAATTATATATAACAATAAAAACCTAATATATAAAGATCTATTATTCCTTTTTCTTACCAAAAAGTTATTCTTACTTTGTGTACTGCTTTTTCAGAAAAATATACATTATATTTTTGGTAAAATCATGTCGACTATTAAACGTCAGCAGGAAATTACTCAGCTTACACCAGGACGTAACCTCTCGCAAAAAGCAGCTGCATCTCAGCCTTCTACTCCTCGTACAAATCCTAATGAGGAGCCATTGTTGCCTAATTGGAGCATCCAGCCCGACCAAAACATTGTTCAAAAAAAAGCATACCTTGTAGACAGCGTAACTGCAGGTCAATTGGACACAGGCTCTAACCAGTCACAGCTGGAGGTTAAAAAACGAACTACCCTGGATACTAAAGAATCGGCAGCAGGTCAAGAAATTCCAGCTGACGCGACGTCAAGTAACCCACATGAAGGTATCGATATGACTGATGCCATGGGAAAGCCTAGAATGAGTAGTGGAGGTGGTTGTCCAGTCATGCGCATGTCGTCTGGTCAAACTCGCGAGGGAGACTTTTCATATGGCAACCAAGTCTCTAGATCCGTTGCTGACCAGTTTCGAAACGAATTTAACGAGAAGAACAGGTCATTGTATGATAGCCTGCGCAACGAGTGCGAGCGTATCGAGGCAAATTATTTAGAAGCTGAGCGCGAAGTAGAAAAGACCGACGACATTGCGTTTTTGATGAGTCGCCATGAAACTGAAGTCTCAAACCTTATAAATGCACAGGTTTGTCATTAGGTTTACTATTATATCCACCACTCTGCTTTGGAGCATCTAAATTCAGGCCACTTTATCTGCTTGTACAGCTCAATTCTATTTTCTACAAATGTTATCTTGCATCGAGAAAATATCTTTAACCCATGCGTTTTTTGCGCTTTGTATTTCCGTTCCCTTTCAGTTTACACCAATATCTTTATTTGTTTTGTTTAATGCGATTTAATATCGCATATTATGCAAGGTTACACAATTCACTATTCCTTATCAAGCAAAAAGACTAGATTTATTGGCATTTTATTCACATCTTTTTAAAATAATAATGCCGTAATTTTGGCTTGTTATGCATTTTAAAATACTAGAATGCAGAAATGAAACAAAGAAACGAAAATTTTGAAAAAATGATGGCTGCTCGAAAAGACCGAAAGCAGAGCAAACGTATCCAGCGTGCTACGATCCGCCAAACTAAATGCCGTGACATGACCATACTTCGACAAGAGGCTGCGTCTCAGGCTGCTCTTTCTGTTCGTAAGGCTCTTTCTGAAAGACGCGAAGCGTTTGAATTGCTGGTTGCCCACATGGAGACCACCCACGAGAAACAGCGCAAACAGCAATCGGCTACACAGGAACGCAAGATTTCATATGAAAGAATGCTTAATGATTTAGAAACCAAACATCTACAGGTTTGTTTTTGTATATTGGCTATACTTGTGGATCATTGTAGCTTTTTGTTATAAAATCGGTTGTTGAATAATATCCATTGAAATTTAAAACAATTTTTGGTCTTGTTTCTCGCTGGTAGGAAGAAGTTAGGAATACCTTGATCAAAAAGTTTCAAGTTCGCCAATCTCATCAAATGTATATATATTAATTATTACCATTTACTGTATTTTGCTAATTTTTGTAAACTTTAAACTAACTCCAACCCTGAATTCTATTATGCAGGGCTCTCAATAAGCGAATCAATGATCAGCTTCGAGAACTACAGCAAGTCGAACTTCGTCTTGCCAAGGAACGTTTTGAACTTGATGTCGCATGCTTTGAAGAAAGTATTAATTTAAAAAATTCTCACACAGATCGACTTGCAGAGCTTGCTGAAGCACAGCTCACCGAAATGTATGGTGAAAAAGAACGTCTTGTTTTTAAACGCGAAACCGACAAGGTCAACATCTTGACTCTACAACATGCCAGTGAAGGGAAGCGTATTCATCATGCAAATCGCATTTCTATTCGTCAAATGCGCCTCAACCATGAGCAAATGTAAGCGGTCACTATTTTGTCAACTAATGTACCTGAAATATTGGACATTTCATTATATTATGTATGCGCTTTTTATAAACCCCGCAATTTTGTATTGAATACAGTTTGGCTGGTAGAAAGGGCCGTAAGTTGGATGGATCCCCTGGTGGCGTTGGTCCAATTATCATTTCCAGCAACGTTGGAAGCAAGAAAATGTCTCGCTCTGGATCCAATTCTTCGATTGATGCGTCTGGCTGTGATATGGCAAGTTTTGCTTCTGGAGGATCTCCTGGTCGCACAAATCTTGCACTCAACTCTGCAGTCGCCTTTGGAAGAAACAGTGGATTCAGCAATCAAAACTGTGAAGACGAAGATGAGGAGGGTCCTGTTGGTGAAGCTCGTAAAATGCTTTTACAGAGCATTACTACACTTCAGCTTAAGCAGCGCGATGAGAAGAATGCACTTCTCAATTTGCTCAAGCAGGAAATGAACGACTGCACTCTTTCAATAGATGCGCGTGTGACTGAGTTGGACGAGCAGCATCAATTGGAGCTTGACAAACTGCGTTCTGATCATTCTGCAGAGGTTGACCAGATGATCTCCATTCAAGAAAAAGAAATACAGATGGAACAGTCCGTTCACGATGCTGAGATGAAAATGCTTGTTGAACGACGCATTCTTAACAGTGTGCTTGAAACCGTTGTTGATGGCATCATTAACATTACTCCTACTGGTGTCATTCGTCGTTTCAATGCGGCTGCTGAGAAAATGTTTGGGTACTCCTCCATGGAGGTTATTGGAAAAAATATAAAAATCCTAATGCCGCACAGATATTCTAGAGATCATGACCAATATCTTGTCAACTACCTTACCACCGGTATCAAAAAGGTGATTGGCAGTGGTCGCCACGTTCATGGTTTGAAAAAAAATGGTACCGAGTTCCATTTACAATTGTCCATCTCCGAAGTCAAGGAGAATGATCAACATCTTTTCACAGGAATTGCTCGGGATTTGACAGAAGAGATCCGTTTGCAAGAATTATCTCGTGCCAAGGATTTACAAAAGAAAGATGAACTTGAAGCTCTTGTCACCCAGCTTGACATTTCACGAAAAAAAGCAGATGGCCTTCTTAGTCAAATGCTTCCTCCCAGTGTTTCACACCAACTTCTCGAAGGAAAAACTGTTGAACCACAGTCATTTGAATCTGCTACTATTTTTTTTCTTGATGTTGTTGGATTTACAACTCTTTGTTCTGGAGTTTCTCCTATTGAAACGGTGTCCTTGCTCAACGCGATATACAATACTTTTGACGAGGTGATTGAGCAGTACGATGCATACAAGGTTGAAACTATTGGAGACTCGTACATGATTGTATCTGGTGTTCCTACCGCAAATGGCACTCGCCACGCCGCTGAAATTGCATCTTTGGCTCTACATATTCTTTCCAAAGTGCATACTTTCAAATTTGATCGTAACCCCGAGCTAAAACTTCGTGTTCGAATTGGTATAAACACTGGCCCAGTAGTTGCTGGTGTCGTTGGTTCAAAAATGCCTCGCTACTGTCTTTTTGGAGATACCGTCAATACCGCATCGCGCATGGAGTCCAGTGGACAGCCAATGAAGATTCAAATAAGTGAAAGTACTTACAGGGCTTTAACTGCTGTGGGTGGGTATCGAATTACTCCTCGTGGCGAGCAGGATATCAAGGTAAGCATCATATTTTTATTACTCATCGACAATTGTAAATCTTATTTCTTAAATTTATTGTACTAGGGCAAGGGCAGAATGAGTACATATTTCCTGACTGGAAAAAACGACTTTCCCTTTGAACTCCCACCTCAGTAGCTAAAATAACTACAGCAGATAATGCCATGCATCAATAACTGTTGGCTAATATGGACAAATTTAGCGTAAAAAAGACTATTTTTATGATGGTGGTTTGATGTTTAGCGACAATAAACCTGTCTTGATTGTCTTCGTATTAGCCATCATTTGATAGTTTATAGTTTAAAATACTAATGACCAGAGTGTATTATTTCAAGTATATATTGTTATGATATGTTTAGCTTGGCATTTTTTATTTCAAAGCAATGCAATGCAGTTGATTATCCCAAATGTATATGTTGCGAGCCAGCTGCAGGAATTTAAATCATGTTTAAACTTCTGCACGCCAAGATGGAATAGATCGACGCGGGATTGTGTTTACTGTAAACTTTGACAAGATCTTTTGGTCCAAAGCAGGTGCTGTGTTTGCAGCAATGCGGTTGGTATGTGCCATGGTCGGTTTTAAAAGTCGATTTGGATCTTTTTCAACAAAAACGTGATACTATTCAAATGGTTGTTAGTCCAATTAGCATTAGCATTATAAATTATTTGAATGAAAATCAAGCTTATTAAACAGCTTGACGTACTTTGGTTTGATCAATTTGGCGCTGCCTTTCTTGAGCAATATCCATTTTTTGCTTTTGTAAACGCAGCTTATTTTGAATTATTTCGTTATTTTTTTGTATAAACCTTGCTTGGATTTGCCTAGAATCTGATTTTAAATTCTCACAGTCTTTGGCTGTCAATTGAGTCATGCACTGTTTCCATTCGGCCTCCTGTTCTTTTATTTTAGCACGCCTTTCTTTATATTCATTGAGCAACCTTTTTGCTTTTAGTTGCTCTGATTGGCGTTTAGCATTCATTTTCTGCTGAATTTGCCTTTGTTTTGTTTCTTTGAGCATATCTTGCTGTTTCTGACGATTTTCTCGCTCAGTCTAGTTTCAAATAAGCGTTCAAGATCGAAAAATGAGTAAAAATATAATCTGAATCATGTAAAAGATTCAAGTCTAATACTGCTTTAGCCAAGTAGCAGCCCTACCTTCCATTGCTTTATCTGCTCCTTTCTCCACTCTTTTTCTTGGATATTTTCGACTGGTGTGCTTTGTACAGTATTTTTTTGAGTTTCTTTTTCTTCAAATGTAGCTTTAACAGCGTCAATCGACATCTACGTTATTTCGTAAAAACAGCTGATTGTCAGCATCTAAAATTAAAAACTTGTTATGTTTCAGCATGCTGCATTAAAATACCTGTTTTTGATGCTTCCAGTTGGCGATTGCCTGTTTTTGAGCTTCAGCATGTCGTAAGTACTCGCTAAGCCAAAGCTCGTGATCTTGGACATCTTGCTCACAAACTCCAGGAATATATTGAACGCAATGCTGTAAAAATTTAGGGCCTGCATCCTGCCATGCAAATAGGTTTGATGTGTATTTAATACGGTATGGTGATTATTGGATAAGTGCAACCAATTGGATCGTACACGAGATTGATCTCGTTGAAAATAATATAACCACTTACACCAAACTTGAGTCTATACTTTAAAAATGCTGCATGATTCTGACTGTCCCATCCTCCATAGTGTCCTCCCCATTGTGCTAGAAATTTCTAACGGGATGGATTAGAATAAGAGTTAAAATAGCAGTTTATCAACTTTTAAACATACCTGGAATCTAATCACTTCTGGAAGCAGCCCTGACACATGCGTACCATTTCTTCTGTTTGAAATTGAATCAGGATTAACTTGTTCGAAAAATACACCATGCACCTTTGCAGGTATATTTTCAAGCTGCATTTCCCAGTTTTGAATTCGTTCCTCCATTGATTTCAATTCTTGCTTGACTAATCTTTCTTCGTTGACAAGCTTTCCATAACTAATTTTATCAAGTTTAATCATCTCTAAAACACAAAATGACATGATTGACTAATAATAGTCTGACAACATCAGATTGATAGTGATCTTTAATACACTTGAATGTTTACGCACCTGGATCTACTTTGAATTTTAAATGATTGAATATCTGATTCAATTGACTCCACTGTCTGCTTCAGCGTATCTATGTCTATAATACCATCTATTAGACACAATATATCCAGTATTTTCATAAACTGGACAGGCTGAATAAGATCAAAACTCACAAGCACAATCGTTCTTTGGATTTTTTTTCATATCCACAAGTGCGTTTACTCTATGTCTAATATGAGATATAGTATCATGCATATTTTTACCTAGTATAAACCCATTGTTATAAAATCATGAGCAGTTGGTATACTTTCATTTGGTATACAAAAAATTGATTATCAATTAAGCATAATTGCTTACATTCGGATTTAATATCATTTTCCACGCTTATATTTTGAATTTGATTGTATTTGGTTGGATAGGCTTGAACTGCTTCATGAAAGTTGGCTTTTGACTGAATCGATATTAATTCGCGCTCGATACTTGCAATTCTAATATCAAGTTCAACCATCAAGTTTAAACATATTCAATATATAACACACAACTTTTCAAATGTAAATGGTAGTTGTACCACTTACTTTGACTTTTGCCGAATCCACGTTTCCATAAACTCTTTTTTGTCCCTGCTGTTCACTTTTCTAGCTGGTAGGGACTTGTTGTTATTAGGATATTGTTGAACTGAGGCGCTGTCCTGTAACTGTAGAGCGGTTGTTTTATTGGAATGACTTTGTGGTTGTTGATAAATATACTGGATGTTGGAATCAAAGGTTGTATCTATATCTTTTGTTTCTTCTGTTACTACTTCCGCATCATCTTGCTGCAGCTCCGATTCAAACGAGTCATTATCGTATATGCAGTCATCCACATCAAATGATTCACCAATATTCAAGTCTGTTTCCAGATACAGGTCAGGTAAATTGTACTCGCAAGATAACATGGCTCACTATAAACTATTTTGATGAAAATATTTTTGCATCAACCGTGTTTTTACAGCCGTATTCACGCATAATGGAACACTGAATAAGCTAGCATACATGATAAACTGCCACTCATGTTTGATTCGTGCTAATTTTACCTGGAAATATTATGTTCAGATCATTATTTATATAGCTTTTGGTTTAGCATTCAAAACATGTCCTTTTACATATGGATTTCTACTTTCATGTCAAAACTTTATACAGTATATTGTCATCAAACCAACGTATCAAATTATTGATTGATGGCTTGATAACCCTGTAGTCATCAGCACTTGGACAACAAGACGTTGTGAGCGCGTTTGTGGACCTTTACCAAGTGCAAATGTCTCGACCAGTCATGTCAATGATCTTGACAATAGTATTGTGCACAAGCCCAACACTTGTGAGTGACAGACATGTTGACAGCATGACATACGTCCAGGCTTTTATTGGCAATATCCAAACAAATTCAATATCTGGATTGCAGTCGATGAGTCTGGTATCAAACTTGGCGATCGTACAATGTATGACTATACAGCAACAAAGTACACGGTCTACACACATCCGATCAATACTATGATTTGATTATATGTATCATATGATGATCGGTGTGTCTAAAACTGATCAAGTGGGCTGTGAATGTCATGGTACTGCAAGACTTTCTAAACAATGACATGCAACATTTCCAAACGCACACATTATTTTGAACAACATTCCATTGCACAAAGCAACTGTATGATTGGACATGGTATACCAACCGGTCAACAAATGCCACAAGGATTGAAACCACACTATAGCTGCATATTTTGATTATTGGACTTTGCAAAAAATAACTCGAGTATAATAAAGAATGTGGTGGTTTGTTGGACAGATAGTAGTAGAAAAGCAAACAAATATTTGACGAGTGTTTATTGCAGAGCAAAGTAGTCAATTCAAGATAAATACATAAAATGATCCATTTTACGTGAATACGACTTTAAAAATAGTAGAATAAATGTGATGCCAAAGTTTATTCTGATGAATAGAATAGTAATGTTTTAAATGTATTGCAAATGATAAGTAATGCTAGTTGATGATTTGAAAAAGTTGATAGCTTTAAACTGCCGGAGTAGCGGGAGAATATCCATATCCGTCATTATCGCCATGTCCATATCCATCATTATCACCATGTCCATATCCATCATTGTCGCCATGTCCATCATCATCATCATCGCCATCATTATCATTGTCGCCATGTCCATCATTGTCTTGATCTCCGTTTTCGCGTCGGCCTCGGTGGCAGCGACGACGGCCAAACCACCAGTTTCTGTCATAATCAGAGGTACTCCAGCAGTACCATCCAGATTGATCAACTCCCGTAATGCAGGCATTACAATCCCTAAAAGCATACACAAGAAATCCAAATGTGATTTCAATTACCAAAATGAAAGACCGAATATTTCGACATTATTACAAAAACAGTTGCTCGTATAATTTTAAAAGACAATCGAATCGTAATAAATGGCTTACTGAGAAATCTTGGAAATGCAACTGCCATGAATGGAGCCACCAATGTCGTGAATGTAGTCGCAGTATTTTTTGCGTTCAATGTGATAGTTGTTGCAGTCATCATGGCTGGAACAAGACTTGCCATTGCACGAGTAGGAAAGGACAGTGGAAAAAGTAGGAGAAATCAAAACGGCTAGAGTAAAGTAAGCAAATAACATTTTTAAAACTGTATCAAGATATTTAAGTATATGAATATCAAAAAATGATTATAAAATAGCAGATCTGTGATGAATGTAGATTGAGTGAGATGTGGTGTGTTTTTATAGACAATTTGAATACCCAGAGGCTGTGTCGTTGATTTATGCAAATTCAATCAACTTTTACTTGGATTGTGATGATCTGCCTGAATGTACTCGTGGATTGCATGACAGTCAACCTATTTGGCTTGAATAGTGGCTGTGTGTACCGAGTTTTCTATAATTCTCGCTTATTTTGTAGACTATGGCCGCTGGCTGCAAACCGTTAATTCAGCTGGCTTGCCAGAATTTACGCTTCGTGGCTGTGGCCAATTGATTTTCATATGTTGAGCAGTAATTTGTGTATAGCCTGCATTGATTAGCCGCACTCTAGCGCTGCTAGATATTGAGCAATGAGCACAGCATATGCAGTTGCCAAGTGCCTCATGCTAGCAATTGATAATTAATCATTTACTATATTTCATCAATGGATGGTATCTAGCGAATGCCTTGGTCATGGAATAATTGAAATGAATCAACAAATCAGTGGAATTTGTGGTAGCCCTGTATAATGGCCAAACAAATATGCTACAACTGCTACAAGCCTTGTTCCACCTTTTGTTTTGACTCAACAATCAACTTTTCAACTTTCCATTCCTAAATATATTACTTACGCGATGGGTTTGGCTTCAAAACATCATTCTGGTCCTCGGCCTGATCCACACCCTGAAATACCTGCTGTAAGCTACACTGTTAGATAAATCTTGGGAACCATTGTCAAATTGGCTGTATTGACTATATACCGTTTATAAAATCTAACATGTATACATGCGATTTATTTGAACGTGATGCTACCTGAAATATGAATACATCAAATATACAGGCAGGAAGCGTTATTCACGTTGATCATTCCAACTCGAGCAAGCTATGTCTAGACTGGGGAAATCACACAACAGTAAATATATTGTTTTTTGATGGATTGTAATCATTGTATGCATCAGTTGACAAGCTTGGATGCAGTTCTAATTTACCAGTCTTGCCAAGAATCGAAAATTGTTGAATTCAATATTGATATTTGTTAATTCTAATCATAGTCATGCTTTATATTGGATAATAGTATACTAAACGGTCGTTGCTAGATCCAATGCAGCACATTCCAGGACAGGTTTCGCCAAACGTTTCTGCAGTTTCAGAAAAGGCTCGCAGTCTTACCCACGGAGTAATATGCGATAGGACTCATAATGTACGTTTCGCGTTTCGTAGCAATGAGTTTTACCAACAAAACTATATTTAAATTGTTGGCACTTCTTTTGAATTGCTACAACATCATATGCATACTGTTGACTAATTGTCTTTTAATCTTATATCTATAGGCTGGTGAAGTGCTATTTCCGCCATGTCAGCATCCTCTGATCGCTGTAAGTTGAATTAAAGCATATACAACCATATGCTGATTGGTTTGATCCAGGAGTTGATAAGCCCACCAATAAATTGTTTACCTACTGAACTGTATTGAACAATTTAGGAGCAAGATGCATTGATGGAGGCAAACTATCATCGTAAAGAGCATCAAACATTAGGTCCGTTATTACCAAAAACTATGGCTCATTAAAATGTTTCCACGCTTATACATCATGGATTGTATAGTTTAAAAGTACAGGTTTATAGTTAAATGCTCATTGGTTATTTGATCAATATTACTTTAGGAAAATCTGCTCCTCTGATAACACCACTTCCCGATTTCACCGACGATGCATCGTTTAAATTTGGAAAGGTGTCTAAAAAGGAAGTAACGGTGGCAGAAATTATGTATCCACCACCTCTTGATTCAGATCTTGATGACTCTCTAGAAGCACAAGAAAAACGTCGCAATCATCATCGTCAATACCTTATAAGTCACGGTTCGTATGCACCAGGTGAGCGTCGGATGCACTATGGGCTAGAATGGACTACCCCTAACCATGACATAAAGGGTGCCAAACAACGGTTCGACAATGACGGGAGTCGAGTACAAGACGCCATGTATTGGGAAGATGTTCGATTGCAAGAAATTAAAAGTAAACTTGTCAGCTCTCGTTTAGCCGAATTTCGTGAGCGTCATCAACCACAAATTGGGTGTGTTCACGATCCCATCAAGAGCACAATGGAGCATTTACCAAAAGACTATACTTTTGGTATAACTTTTCCAGTAGATGAATTCAGTGTGAGAGAGTTACTTGGAAATTCAGAGCATACTGTTGAGTCTGCAGGAATGAAGAACAAAACTAGACTTCCACCGGCTGGATTACCTACAAATCGGCATGACAATCTTGCCCAACCACGACATATTATCCCCAAGATCATGCCAAATGAAGATCAATCTATAGTGCTCAAGATCACTGAAGATGTGCCTGGTGGAAGAAAACTAGAAAACAGTGGCAAGCAGCAGTTTGATGTTTGCCATACATTTGGAATTCCGACTGTTCGTGATCCATGTGGACATGTGCGAACCAGTAAGCTTGCTGATTCCATCAACTATGGTGATGAGCTGGGAGCCAAAGGTTTGATGTATCCCACCCCACGCAATGTCTATGGAATTGACCAGCTGCGTGAATTTGAACAATACATCTGCCAGCTACGATCTCAATCGAATGCAACTGCCAGCTAAATTAAGCTATAAAAAGGTGATATTGGCAAGGTATTTTATCCATAAAACTGCCCAGTCAAATCTAACTAGTATCTTTAAAGTAATTTGCTTGTAATATTTCTAAACAGATTAAATAAAACTGGATCCTAATTATAGTGATTGTGGCATTTGTTTTTATTTATTTCAGAGCTTGTCAAGGTGGTAAATGGTGAGTTGAAAACATCAATCAATGAATAAGTAGATATAACAAAGAACCATTACTCGAGTGAACAAAAACTATTTCTGAACATTGTTCGAGTCCTTGCATTGAAGCAAAAGTTCGTCCAGGTATTTTCTAGCTGCAGTTGCTTCTAAAGTTCGCTGATGAATAGCCTCTTCAATCATCTTGACAGATACAGCCAAAGGAGCAGCAATAACTCTTGTAAACTCGTTATCATAGACAGTAGAGAGTCGACTCTTGAGTGTTTTTTGCGATTCGCTGATATCTCGCAAAAAGCGACGCTGAGTAGCCAACCATTTTAGATTCATCCATCCAAATCCGAGACCAGAAACCAACACCCAGCTGGGAATACACACAGCTAATGGCACGCCTAAATGGGTTGCAAGCAGCGCACTCACGGCAACAAGAAATTGAACACTAAACTGTCGCTGAACAATCTTTTGTGCTTGTTTTTGAACTAGATCACAATGAGAGCTTTCATCAAATGCTGCAACTTCATTCCGAAGCAAAAACTTGTCGATTTCAACACTGCTGCTATCGATCCCAGCGACATCATTGGATAATGGAATATAGCGCTTAACAATACTCAGCAATTGCAAGATATTTTCCTGTAATGCCGCAGTGATGGGATGCTTTGCCAGCACATGCGTGGAAAGAGTCATAGGTTGTAACCTATCCACCAGATTATGGTTAAGTTGATAAAGAGCCTCGTTAGCTTTACCAGTAGCATACGTCATTTGGAATTCTGCGCGAATAAACGAATGCTCTCTCATGCGAGAAAAAAGATCCTCAGATATAAAATCACTACGCCAAAACAGCTTCCAAAATGGCATTTTTGAAAAGTAGAGTTTGAAGGCATCGGTTAATGAGATAATGCTGGATTGGACAACACCAAGATCAGATTGGCGAAACTCGCGGACAAGGCGCTGCTCGTGTTTAACAATATGCTTTGCAGCCGCAGCAATCTCTTCGTGGGCATCCTGCAAATGCAACATAGACACTGTATGATGATTGGAAAGATGTTGAAGAGCAGACCAGGCCAAAAACAAAGATGTATTGTTTTTGGCTTTATCAATGCTCTTGACAAGTTTAAAAATAGTGGATTTGATTGTACTATCAGAGAAATCAACAAGCTTTCCATCGGACATTGTCAGATTGTGAATAGGCAAAGATTTCAAATCAGATTGAAGCATATCAGCTGCTAGTTTGGCTTCCAAATTAGCAGCAGCACTCTTCAAATGACTCGAATCAGTTTCAGTAATTGCAACAACAAATACATTCGATTTTCCTTTTGCCAAAAAATTCTTAACAACCATCTCGTCAATGACTCCGGTTAATTCACGACTCGAATGGGTAACAAGAAGAATAGCATCACTTTTTAGTAAAGTGTCTTGAACAGCATCGGATTGTAATCTTGTAACCTCGAGGCCGGATATCAACGACACCTCAACACCAGTTTCATTCAGCCATGACGACTGTGATCGAATGTTTACAGTAGTTGGTAAAGATATCGATGGGGTTTCTGTGGATACTCCATAGCTGCAATATAGGGTTAGATTAAACGCCACAAGTGAATGGAGTTGGGATTAGGTATGCAACCATCACAAGGGATAAAGATACTAACCTTGCTTTCAAGATCTTGGATTTATCAAACAAATCCAATGTTGGTTGAGAGAGAAGAGCAGCCATTACAGCATTTTGTCCACTACCTGCATCTCCAATAACTGATGTATCGTGTTAATCAAATAGGCAGATCAACAGCAATATGAATGATCCAATCTGAAACTGCTGATCGGTTCAATATATAGCTAGAATGAACTCATACTGACATACCAGTCAACCTAAAGGGTTCTTCATGTAAAGTGGAGCCTGCGGCAACTCTCTGTATCCATTGCGAGTGGGACTCGCCCAACTTGGCCTGAATCTTGGCGACATCTTGCAGAACAGTAGATGCAGATAATGGTATGGATGATGCTTTTGTAGCAGAAGTTTCATCAATAGGAGTATTGGTGCTGAATGCTTTACTTGCATTCATCCAATACATGCAGGACTTGGATGGTTTGTAACTGTCAAAAGTGGCATTGGCAGGTACGGCTTTGGCAGCCGATGCAATAAAGGTAGAATAGCCATGAATTAAACTAGTCCTAGTGGATAGATGGACACGATTGTAGGCAAACAGTCGCTGTAGTCTGCATGCGCTTTGCACTCTGAGCATGTCAGATGTATCGAGTTGAAGGAAAGATTCGACTCGGCAAATTGTAGATCTTGTGCTTCATAATGCTGAACGAGGATCAGCAGAGTAGATTTGTTATGTATTCAATTGGTGTTTGAATTCATAATACATCTGGACTTTACCAAATATATTGACATTTAAACTGGTTATATAAATATTTGAATGCAATGGCATTAGTCTGCCATCAAGTAAAAAAGCTGCTTGATGTATTAATATCTCGACTAATTGATGATATAATTGATCACTTGAACTCTAGCAACTCGATAGAATCTTAGATGGGATTAAAAACTGGCAATTGAGCATAGCAAGTTATACACTAGAGTTTTGATTAAATTATTGGAAACTGATATTCAACACGATTAAACTCGAAACTTGTTTTTGGATTAAAATATTGTAATAACTAAAGTAACTGAATTCATTGCGAGTCGGTATTGATTAATATTGGGTGTGAATTGTATTGGATGTTCTTATTTAAGCTTGTGAGTTGATTTACTAAACTGGCCAGCCTTTCAAAAGAAAATAATGATTTTAGGAATCAGCCCAACTTGTAAATCTGAGGCTGGGAAACAGAACAATACTTCAGATCAAACGTAAAATTTCAGAATACTTATTTCTCTAGTCTTGCATTTGGCTATTGCAATATCACTGTTTTCCAATTTGATTTTTCGCATACTTTCAAGATCTACGTTTGTACAACTCGGATGGTTGTAAAATATGAGCTTTATAATTGTTTGATGTTTATCATTCCTACTCATTATCAAATATTGACATTCAACAATGGTGTTTTCATCTTGAACTAGACAAATCCAAATTGATGTACATCATAGTATTTCATACAACCATACAAAACCAAGCTACCTAGAGATTATTGTATGGTCACACTAAACCCATTTACAGAAATAATTATGTCAGCTTGAATCAAGCACTTGTAACCACCAATTCTTTGTAAATTAGGATTTAGTGCTCGAGCGTATGCTTTCCAATGAAACATTTCCAAAATAAGCTTGAATGTGGTAAATCAATATTCATTGACAAGCATTCCAGTTGTATCAGTGCTCTTCTCACTTCTTTCCCAGTTTGATCTGAAATGTGCCTACATGAAATAAATGCTACAGTTGATGAGACAAGAACAACCTCAACCTAAAAATAATAACAGCACCATTCGACAACATTACATTGAGGCAAATTAGTAGTTTCGGCAACTACTACTGCTGAAACACCAAGACCTGCTAAAGTTCCGCGAATAATACCACATGGTAACGCAAGATGCTACTCGAGCAAGTTAGATTCAAAAGTAAATCACAACTGCATATTTAAAATATAAAAACTGACTACCTCTGCGATCATGGTTTTTGAAGCCTCTCCAGTCAATGTATCTGATGCCATGCGGGATAGCCATTTAAAATTATTATCGACCAACACAAATACCCCCTATAAAACATACATAGATGAGCAACTTCTACATGCATTGTAAATTCATCAGAAATATCCATGAAACATACTCTGTGATTTGTTTTTAGATTATCTACTTGCTTTTTAAACACAGAGATCCACATCTCCTTGCAGATAAACTTGATAATATCAAGAGTATCTACAAATCGAGGTCTGTCCTTTGTTGATCTACAACATAAAAATACCAATTAGATATAATATGCGTTTAAAGCACTAGCTGCACACACAGTAAAATGGTAATATTGTGCTACCTCTCAGCTATGCCATGGCCTACACGAAACCCCAGCAATTCAAGTTTGGAATATGCAGCATCAGCATCAGAGTCTACTTTGTACAATCTTTGTTCAACAGATACAACTTCCATATAAAAGTAGTCCCAAGCAGACTCTGATACTTGGCGGTCCTCTGCTTCAGTATGTTGGGGCATCTGTTAATGGAGTATCAGCAATTGAATTTTAGCAGCTCCAAATTAGCTGTCAGGTTTGACTCGAATATTAGATTGTTGGTTTGCCTAAATATCAGATTGTTGGTTTAGCCAAATATCAGATTGTCAACTTGACCAATTGCTAAGCAAACAGAATCAATTGCACAATGGATTCTGCAGAGTGTGGGCCTGGTGGGAATGCTCTATCAAAACTATCAAAGCGTATTGATACGGACTTGTCTTTGCATCAGGTAATTTTTATTGCTGTATACATGCTGGCCTCATACTTACCAGGGATATGCTTGACTCTGCTAAATATACGACTGCATATAAAACAACCATTGAATTGTTAGATCATCATTAACGAATATATCTGTAACCTTTTAATAGGACCGTTTAAACACCGGATTTGGTGGCCATGTTGGATCTAATTCGTTGGCTCATATACGTCAAAGAGATGGAACTAGTCTGCAATCTATGAACAAAGTATAAAGCATTTTAACATTTTAAGCAATGCTACTGTAAAGACTAAACTTCTAACTATCTGTATAATTGTATAATTAGCAATTTTTGTATAATAATACATTAAATGCTCAACCAATAGCTAGTTCAAGTAATGGAGCTTATAATTTCATATCAGTGCAACAGGAGCTTCAATCAATATATCCAGAAAATTCCAAGACACAAATTCACCCTAGCATCATTCCTGATACAGAGTGGGCAACTGAGTTTCAGTCAAATCCCCATATACATGGTGCATTGCATAGTCAGCAGTTTAAAGAATTTGGAGAGCTGTTTGCCAAAGGTATGCTTTACTTCAATTTGATGAAACATTGCTTTTGGATACTAATTCCAAAATATAATATTGAAACGGTGTATGGTTCTGAAAAATCGACTATTTGAATAGCTAATGTCGCAGGTTCATCTTGGGGTACCGAGTTTCATCATTATCAGCCCGCAAGACATGAAGTGCAACATCACGACCTTGATCAAGTATGGGCAGATCCCCAAATTGGTCAGCAGTTTGAGGAGGCATTTGAACGGGCTAAGGGTGAGTCTATGGATATTACATTGAATTTCAAATATGCCTTTGACTTTAAATAATTTAATTGATATGTAACTAGAATCACTAGCATGGGAACAAGAATTCACGAACCCATCTAATACCAACTCTGCGTGGGAACAAGAATTTGCTAGTCAACAAAATGATGATCAAGGCTCTGAAATTGTAGTAGAAACTGAGACAAGTTCAGAAGCAGTTGCAAAAACGGCTGGACTGCTTCTCGATATTGTCAGCAAATCAACCAATCCCAAATTTAAGCAATCTAAATTTGTCAATTTCATTCAAAAGCTACATCAGCAGGAGATTGCCATTGAGGGAAGCAAGGTGGTTGATGTCGTGGAGCCTATTTGCACAAAAGGTCCAAAGGAGTGGGCAGACGATTTCTTACTTTTACATGGCGAGAAAAGTACAACCCCCCAAAGTGCTGCATGGGAGGAAGAGTTTTATTTGGGTGTCCCGAATTTCCAAGGTGCGGCAAAATTAAAAAACGAGCTCTTTACTAACTCGAATTTAGCGAATGATATCCAGGATAAATCAAATAATTGGGCAGATGAATTTGCTACAGATACGAATCAAACTCGTCAGCACATCAGTATGGCAGATGAATCTACTGAATTGATGGACAACATAGATTGGGCAGGCCAGTTTAATCAGCATTTGCAGCATCATATTCAAGATGGCGATAATCAAGACATAATGTGGGATCAGCATCTTAATTCTGCTTGGTCGCAACAACAGCCGGATTCAACACATGACTCGACAATACTTGCTGATACGCTGCTCACACCCACATCTCTATTTGAAACATATCGTTTTACTCCAAACAATCCATATCTTCAGCCAAGCTTTTCGCTTTTGTTTCTACAATCACCAGACCAACACCAGAACCTTGCCGAGTCAATCATGGCTCTAGAGGCCGCTGTTCAGCGCGATCCAACACATGCCAATACATGGATGCATCTTGGACAGCGCCAACAAGAGAATGAAAACGACGACATGGCCATCTGTGCACTTTTGAATTGCACACGATTAGACCCATCTAATTTGGCAGCACATTTGGCACTATCCGTATCCTACACAAACGAAGGATATGCTACCGAGGCCTACAATGCTTTGAACACGTGGATATCATTGAATCCACTATATGAGCAATTTGCTGGAGTGCCCTGGTCCAACAGCGAAGGTGGTTCGGATAGAGCTATGGCTGCCTCGGATCGTCATACAGCTGTCACGGAAAAATTCTTGGCCGCTGCAAGCACAGTTCCAGGTGCAGATTTGGACGAAGATGTACAAATTGGACTTGGTGTGCTTTTTAATATCTCTGCAGAGTATGATAAGGCTGTGGATTGTTTCCGTGCTGCCTTGGTCAAACGTCCAAAAGACTATATGCTATGGAATAAGCTAGGGTGGGTTTAAAATATTTTTATTGGATATCAACTGTACTTGTTTTGACTCTTGACTGATAAAATAATCAAATAGAGCATCTTTGGCCAACTCGCATCAGCCTAAATTAGCTATGGAGGCATACTTTGCAGCATTGAACATCAACCCATCGTATATTCGGTCGCGATATAACATGGCTATTGCGTGTCTACAGATTGGGCAATACCGTGAATCTGCTGAGCATCTGCTTGGAGCGCTTTCTGTTCAGCATGTGAACATGGATCATGTCAAGAAATACGCTTTTGACACTGATGGAAATAGTGTGAGCGATTCACAGCTAAAGGCTTCTCTTGGTCCTCAGTCCAATACATTATGGACTACACTTCGTATGCTTGCAGACACTTATCGTAAGTTGAGGAAACCGCAATATGTTGATTTATATTCAGTATTAATTGGTTATTCATATTGTTTTCTTGATTTACTGTATTGAATTAGTCAATCGTCACGACTTGGTAAGTATTTGCGATCGACGAGATCTTGTCGCCTTCAGAAACGAATTCGACTTTTGACATGTTTGATTAAAAATACGCATATAACGTTTACTCATAATCAATCACTGTAAATAATAAAACCCAAACAATCCTGATAACAAAGTTGAACTACAACCGTTTTATTTGGATTTTTGATGCAGGTTTGAATAAAGCACAACGACAGCCGTATTCACGCATAATGGAACACTGAATAAGCTAGCATACATGATGAACTGCCACTCATGTTTGATTCGTGCTAATTTTACCTGGCAGCATTATGTTCAGATCATTATTTATATAGCTTTTGGTTTAGCATTCAAAACATGTCCTTTTACATATGGATTTCTACTTTCATGTCAAAACTTTATACAGTATATTGTCATCAAACCAACGTATCAAATTATTGATTGATGGCTTGATAACCCTGTAGTCATCAGCACTTGGACAACAAGACGTTGTGAGCGCGTTTGTGGACCTTTACCAAGTGCAAATGTCTCGACCAGTCATGTCAATGATCTTGACAATAGTATTGTGCACAAGCCCAACACTTGTGAGTGACAGACATGTTGACAGCATGGCATACATCCAGGCTTTTATTGGCAATATCCAAACAAATTCAATATCTGGATTGCAGTCGATGAGTCTGGTATCAAACTTGGCGATCGTACAATGTATGACTATACAGCAACAAAGTACACGGTCTACACACATCCGATCAATACTATGATTTGATTATGTGTATCATATGATGATCGGTGTGTCTAAAACTGATCAAGTGGGCTGTGAATGTCATGGTACTGCAAGACTTTCTAAACAATGACATGCAACATTTCCAAACGCACACATTATTTTGAACAACATTCCATTGCACAAAGCAACTGTATGATTGGACATGGTATACCAACCGGTCAACAAATGCCACAAGGATTGAAACCACACTATAGCTGCATATTTTGATTATTGGACTTTGCAAAAAATAACTCGAGTATAATAAAGAATGTGGTGGTTTGTCGGACAAATAGTAGTAGAAAAGCAAACAAATATTTGACGAGTGTTTATTGCAGAGCAAAATAGTCAATTCAAGATAAATACATAAAATGATCCATTTTACGTGAATGCGACTGACTTTAAAAAAATTGAAAATGCAATTCAATAAGCTACACTAACTCAGATGTAGCAGCGCAAACTTTGCGTGATTTTAAACTATTACTATCAGTTTTTTGGTTTGTCGTTTGATGCAAGGCTTTTGCTCGATCAAGTGTTTTTTCAAACTCGAAAAGATCCTCTTTTTTGCTTTTTCCCAAAGAACATCTTTCATATACAGCATCCTGGTTCGACATTCTTCGTTGTTGCCCCTTTTCAATCTGTCCAGAAATCTTGTATATAAACATGTTTCTTTGTTTATCTGGTGTAAGCTCAAATCGCTGGTTATGCATACGAGATTCTCCTATAGCACTTAGTTTTTGCTGCAGTGCCGACAAGTCCTCATACATGCGTTGCTCTTTTGACATCCAGTCTTGGTTAGCTAGCCGTAGTCGTTGTCCATTTTCCATCATTCCTCCAAGCTTGGTTAAATCCATTTGTCGTGATTGATCTGCTGTCATGATGAAGCATTGATTGTTAAGACGAAGCTTGGCACTTTGGGCAATTTTCTCTGTAAGGAAATTTAAGGTTGTATATTTGGTTTCTGGATAGGCTCTTTGGCCAGAGTAATATGTTGCTCCACGGTTGAGACGCTCGATAAGACCAATCAGTTGAGCTGCAGAGATATCGCGCAGTTTGGAATCAGACAAACTCACGGTTTGATTGTCCATACGTGGAGCAATTTGAAGAATATGATCGATAGCTAGAACCACTTTGGATAACTCATTGGATCCTGGATACGATCGAGTACCATCGGGATTCATATCAAGCATTTCAGAAAAGTCAAAGAATTTGCAGGATGGGGTATCAGATGCATCCAAAGATCGATTGTGATCAATTTTGGGTAAGCTAGTAGACGTGTTTTGTGCTTGCTTTTGAAGCTTTTCTCCGTATAGCTTGCTGATTTGCTGCACGGCTGGAAGAAGCGACATAATTTCTGTCCATAGAGCCTTTTTTACATCTGATAATTCAGAAAGATCATTGGTTTCAAAAGCGATTTGAATGGTTTCAACGCATGAAACAATCCGCTGAAATCTGGCTTCCTCATTTTCGTTGCAAGTAGACGAAACAGAACTTTCAGCATAAGGTTTTGTAGATGGTATAGCAAGCTGATTATGGCTTTGTTGAGCTGAAGGTGGAATTGTGGACTCGGAAGTTTTAGACTGACGTTCCGCAGACACGGCATCCTCAATCAATGGAGATTTAGTAGTAGTTACTGGCTGAATGCACGAAGTACCTTCGCTAGTTGCTTTAGAAAACTCGTTGGAAGAGCTATTTGCCATCAACGGCAAAGGACTAGGAGTAGCTAAAGCAACTGCGGGTTCTTCCTCCAAGAATTGAAAAATGGCCTTGCATAAAGCACCGAGCAAAAGAGCCACATTGTGATCACTCAGCAGCTCCTCAAGATTCTTGTCATGTATATGTTCTTCAGGAGGAGAAATAGGAGCGGACTCGTGTTGACTATACGATGTAAAGATCTTGCTGGCTTTTTCCTGTATACTATATCGAGGTGGAGTTGCTGTTCCAGGTGACATAAAATTCATACTCTTCGTCGCGACTGACTGCCTTTTGGGGTCAGGAGATCGTTGATCACTGGATACTGTTTTTCCAATACTTGCAGCAACAACAGAGAGTCGACGTACTCGTTGAACAATATTGGAAGCCGCTTCTGTAATAGAACCACGACGCCGTCCTGAAGCAGCCAAAGGTAATGGACTTGGAAATGCTTGCGGGGTTAAAATGGGAGATTCTGTATCAAAAGAACTGGCATCTTGAACTGGAGTTTGAGATGTATGGGCAGATTCTACTACCGGACTATAATCCTGAAATTTCAGTAGTGGAAGTGATGATTGTTGCTCAGGGGTTTGTGAGCGCACTTGGAATGGCTCTAAAAGTGGTTGCTGCAAACCGATGCAATTGGATAGCGCATCTAGATCATTATCCAACGCAATATGCGAGACTTGGGGCTGTGGTTTGGCACCATCATCCACAATGCGTGCAACAAGTACAGCAAATGCACGAAAACTATGGCGCTTAAGCGCCTCGAGAGCAACCAGCACGTCTGTATGCGACTGAACAGCAATCAGTTGTCGTTCAAAATATTAGTATAGGTTTCCAAGCGAGTTTTGTTGCCAGAGCACGATCATGGTGTAGCCACCATAAGTTTGAAGGGCACAAAGAATGGTAGTTTGGTGACCAGAAAGATAGTGCAATCGTATTACAACATAATAATAGCATTAGGATACCGATATAAAAACCAATATTGTAATATTACAGGTATAGAATTTAGTGTTAATAATGGCACGAAGCAAGTGTAATAGCATTTTTTGCTGGCATTGTCTGGTGGTAGTCAAGCATCCTATAGCGGATTTGTTATCATCACAAGAGGGTAAACTGGACATCACTAAGATCATACTATCATGAACACCATTTGGAACATTACACTACTGAAAAATGTTGTATATCATAGCTCCATTGAAAGCTACTGACTGACGTATGCTACAAGTGTGAGTGGATAATAATACTTGATCCGCCACATCATACCTTGGACATGACAAAAATATCTGAAAGTCTTGAAGAGGGATCGGCTAGTGGGGAAATAGGTTACAGTAAAGAGCAGGTATTTAGGGATAGTATACAGCGCCTTGACGGTTTGAATAGAATAGGAAACAGCAGCAATGGCTGATATATGAATCGGCGTTTGAATCGAGTGTGGATATTTTAAGCCTCCAGTCGCGTTTGATTATTGACACCACAAAAGGCGTGACTTGACTGGTGTGGTAGATATGCATTTGCCTACACCTGGCTTGGCTGATGTTTAAAGAGTGGAGATGAGTTGGATATTCTCAGTATTTGCCGTCCAAACGCTGCAGTCTTGTTGATTACATCATATTTTCACGATTAGTACAATACGTTTCTTTAGCTACATCGTTCACCGCTCTATAGAAGAATCATACTAGTATATTCATCTTTACAATTCCATTTATTTGTGATTTTGGAATGGATACTCTTGTGCCACCACAATCGAACATGCTGCATTATATCTTTTGAAACAAGCACCCTGAGCACTTGGTCGACTTTCAACACCTGCATTGCCATACACTGCTGCAAACATCAGTCTTTTATCAGTATGTGCAGCCGAGGATGATGTTTAGTCTAAAGATGATCAGCTTTGTTTACTGCATGATCAGAGCAGTTCAGATCCATATCAGTGTTGGTGCAGTCAAGATAAACTAGTTTTGGATATCTGAAAAACTAATTGCTAGCATCGAGTCTGTAAATTATACAATACAGACTGTATTTTACTGTCCAGCCACCAACAAGAATCAAAGCAAATCTGCAAGCCAAACTTTCGAATATCAAACAGACCAACAGTCCAGATATGGAGCAAGCCAAGATTAATCATGAAGGCATGCTGAACTTGGAGCAGCCGCTTATCAAGGTATGACTACTGAGCCTATTTACAACTCATTCCACTGTTCTATGCTTACTATTACAATATAAATCACTTATCTACAGGTGCCTTTGGAGCAACTCAAGAGAGCACTCAGAACATCACAAAAGCATGTCGAGAAAGAAATGCTTGCCTTGTCTACTCAGGTTGAGTCTGTCATTTCCAAAGCTTCTTCATCTGCTTCATTAGATGAAATATGCACCTCTCTTGATGCCTCTATTAGTCGTCTACATGGACTCAAGCGCAAGGTAAATTTGTACTGGTATAAGCGTGACTAATTCAACTTGTTGCCAGTAGACTGTGTCGATTCCAATCTATGGAATTGCCAGATTGTATACAACTGAAACAACTTTTTATTATTAGCATTGTCATTTGCAAAACTGCCATGCAAATGAAATGTCACTCGAGTTTATTCTGAAAGTTAAACTAAATTCACGTTCTATTTTGCTGCTTTCCTAAACTAAATCACATGAATTAGCTTGATGAGATCAAGATAGAGGAAGACTTGTATGTACACCATACTAAAGTTCGTTTGGAGCACCTTGCTGAAGTATCGCATATTCAAGTAGTTGATTCCGAGGCATACATTCGCTGGAGTAAAACACGGCTGGCTCGTATCTTGGTTGACTATATGCTTCGTCAAGGATTGAGCACATCGGCTGTCAAGTTGGCAACGGACTCACAAATTCAGGTGTGTGGTATTTTTGAAATTTGATGCGTTAAATGCTGCATAAGCGCATAGATTGAAGCCGAAAGTGTATAACTGAGTGGTTTACTACTGTCCTTGCATGCAGGATCTGGTAGATATTGATCTTTTTTCACAAAGTCGCAAGATTGAGGCAGCTTTACTGAAAAAGAGCTGCAACGAATGTCTCCAATGGTGTAGTGACAACAGATCGAGTCTTAAAAAGGCCAAGGTAGAGTTTAATTATTGCTTTTTTAACAGTATGACTCTTGTTATCCATCTAACTGTAACGTGTGAATGGATTTTGATAGAGTACACTTGAATTTAATCTTCGCTTGCAAGAGTACATTGAGTTGGTTCGTGTTTCCAAGACTTCTCAAGCGATTGCATATGCCCGCAAGTATTTGACTCCATGGTCTGACACGCACATGCAGCAAATCCAACAAGCCATGGGACTACTGGCTTTTACTTCGCAAACTACATGCAAAAGCTACAAAGTAATCAATGAAACTGGTTGTTTAGTACATATTTTCTCTGTGTGCAGACATGTTTTGCTGATCTGATGTTATAACGCCATAGTTATTATTCGACGAATCGCAATGGACAAATCTTGTGCAGCAGTTTAAAACAGACAACTATGCGTTGAACTCGCTTACTCTTCGACCTCTATTGCATATGACACTCCAGGCTGGACTTGCTTCGCTCAAAACACCTACATGCTCGCAGCCACTATCTAAAAATGTCAACTGTCCAGTGTGTGAAAGCGACACGTTTGGCAAGTTGGCAGAAAAGCTTCCATGCTCACACCATGTAAATTCCTGTGTTGTGTGTCGTATTAGCGGCAAGATTATGGATGCAGATAACCCACCTTTAGTTTTGCCCAATGGTCAAGTCTATTCAACATTGGTATGTGCTTGTTGAGCATTGTTTTTTAAATACTGTTGTTGGAATTATGAATATCTGTGCAACTGATTTTGATATTTATATAGGCACTGAAGGATATAGCATCTAGAAATGATGGATCTATTTTGTGTCCAACCACTGGTGCTACTTACCATTTAACTGAAACTCGCAAAGCATTTATTGCGTAATGTGTTTCTATTCAATAAACTACAGCCGTATTCACGTAAAATGGAACACTTGTATTTATCTTGCGGTGGTTGTTTTGGAATATACAATCATTAAATACTTGTCTTGCTACTACAAATTGACTTGTTTAATCGACACAATGTCCACCATATGATGCACACAAACTATGGTTTTAAGCTGGGATTATTCCATTTTGATAATCATGCACTGTACGATCACCAAATTCATTCATTGCAATTCCAATATTTGATTGTTTTCAATACAACTCTACAAACTCCACTTTGTTGTATCATAAATATCGCAGATACGTCTGCGTTCTAATTCAAGAAAGCAGATGTTGCATATTTCAGAAATACAACTGTTGTTTACATGACAATCACCCGAAAACCAGCAAACTCTGTCAGAACAGAGTGATGATCAGTAAATGTGGTGTAAATGGTTATTTCATGATACTGATTGTTGTGTAATTTGGTTATAGTTCCATTTGTGAATACAACTATAATAGAGCAAATGTGCAATACAAAGCAAATGTATCACACGTGACAAATCTGTAAATCACGTGAATGTATAGCGTTGATCAACCAAGTAAGACAACCGTCTTTGTCCTCACAACCACACCAGGAGGTGAGTTTCAGTCAGTATCAGGATGTCTATTGCCGGTCCATCCATCCATCAAGTTGTGTGTGCATGCATTCAAAACACCAAATCATCCAAGCAGCTATGTTTAGCTACAAATTCGCTCTTGTATTTAATGCAGTCTGATTGCTCCACTTGACCATCAAATAGTGAATGAGCTAGCTTTAGTGTATCGGCAAACACACTGTAAAAGAAAGCTACTGGCTGAAGTATTGAGCTAAAGAATATTTATCTGAGCTTTTATTGAAATACAGATGGTATTGAATCGAGAATGTGTAACATTACAAGAATGGATGGATTATGCCAGGTGGATGATCTACTTGAATCTTGATTATACAGTTAATGCTAACCAATCACTGTGCGGGTATGTAATCCAACTCATCTGATAACACTACCATATTCACAGAACAATGTCCAAGTCAAAGAATCACACCAACCACAATCAGAACAAGAAGGCTCACCGTAACGGTATTAGGAAGCCCAAGGCTAACAAGCACACTTCTCTCCGTGGTGTTGATGCCAAGTTTCGTCGTAACCAGCGGTACGCAAAGATGGGCTCTTTCAGTAAGTTTTGAGTCTAGTCTTGAATATGCAGTGGCATTTGAATATCTTACTGATTGCTTATTGTTGGTTGTTTAGCTGCCTGCACTGCTGCCAAGTCGTCCCAATAGTCAATTTGACTTTTACCTGGCCTCGACCACTAGTGTTGAAGAGATTTACGGCTACTAAATACAAGTTTCTTGTGCTATATGCTGTACTGTTTGTTAAACTATATCTGTGGGCTGGATTAGTGATCAGATTGGGATATGCTGCATTATAATAGGTTTGAAACAACAAACTACTTACAAATGCAAAGTTTAAATGATCTACATTTTAAATCGGGCTTGAATAGTATATTGATATGTTACCGCCTTGTTCGCGTAAGATATGAGACATTAATAAGGATGTCCGTACATAAACAGCCAATCTTGTGGAATGACTGGTTTGCCCATTTACTGCACAACACTGCTATCTGGATTCGTGCAAAATAGATACAAATGCTTTATTTTACGTGAATACGGCCAAGTGGCAATGTGGTCAGTTATTCAGACTGACCATCTGCCTCGTTGTTTACAAAATCGCCAAAGTATGCTGTATAGCTCTTAACCCGTCCATTTAGCAATGTTTTTTCCATTTCACACACTTTTCCTGGACCTGCTAGCAACCTAATCTGCTCATGGTTTACATTACGGGGCAAAAAGTAAATGATGTTGGATGTGATATTGCTTTTGACTAAATTAAATAGATGTGTGCTGAGATTAAGATATCCAAAGTAATCTATTAGTGTTTGACTATGGCAAGTTTTGTGTAGAAAGAAATATGCATTCACTTTACCCGTTCATAGGCATCATTGTTTCCAGATCAAATACATCTGCTTGTATATATTGTGGACCGCCCCAAGGCGGTGACATGAATACACCATCAGCCTATATTTCAAGCCGCAAACCCCAGCAAAGTCGAATCAGATTATTCTAGACTCGATCAATATACACAAATCAACCGGATTGCAACACGATAAAATATCTAACCTTGATTGTAGGTGCAAGTTCCATAAAATCACCACAAATAAATTCAATCTTGTCTTGCACTCCATAAACCGCTGCATTATGTCGAGCGCATTCTAGCCTCACTGGATCAATGTCAATAGCAATCACTAAAAATATAATACATGTTAAAAAATAAGCTTTTGGCGAATAAAAAAGTGGTATCTAGCATGAATGATGCATCAAATTACAGTTGTATTCACAAATGGAACTATAACCAAATTACACAACAATCAGTATCATGAAATAACCATTTACACCACATTTACTGATCATCACTCTGTTCTGACAGGGTTTGCTGGTTTTCGGGTGATTGTCATGTAAACAACAGTTGTATTTCTGAAATATGCAACATCTGCTTTCTTGAATTAGAACGCAGACGTATCTGCGATATTTATGATACAACAAAGTGGAGTTTGTAGAGTTGTATTGAAAACAATCAAATATTGGAATTGCAATGAATGAATTCGGTGATCGTAGTGCATGATTGTCAGAATGGAATAATCCCAGCTTAAAACCATAGTTTGTGTGCATCATATGGTGGATATTGTGTCGATTAACAAGTCAATTTGTAGTAGCAAGACAAGTATTTAATGATTGTATATTCCAAAACAACCACTGCAAGATAAATACAAGTGTTCCATTTTACGTGAATACGGCTGTGAAAAATTAACTATACCTTTATCACAAGTCATTGCAAACTGTATTGCATTTCCTCCAACCTAAAATCATGACAGTATAGTGGTTATGATCAAGCGTCTGATGGTATTGACTAGAAACTAAGCATTTAAATTGCCGCAAGGTTCAATATTGCATACCCCACAAAATCCATCCACCATGACTTTACATCCTGCCGATCGCTGGGCAATATGCTGTGCAATAAGCTCAGGTGTGACCGAAAACCTATAAAATTGGAACAAAATATAAACTATCATACAAAACTTGATTTGGGCAATGCTAAACGAGCTGAATTATAAGATATACTTGAAACGTATATAATAAACATACCATCCTTCTACAACATAAATTATACATGCAAGCATTCAAACATTAACCATGACTATATTTGATGACACTAATCCACTATGTATATAGATACAATTACACATACCAATATCCAATAGCACTCCAAAGTCAAATTTGGAAAATAGAGAGTATCGCTGCCTCCAATATTTACGCACCACATCGGGAATAGTTTCAGGACTCCAGGTTAGTCGTATTGGATTAGCGGCACACTCGTCATGTTGGATGTTTATAGATGCATTGGTAGGACTAGACTGGCTAGCTATGTTATCAGAATCAAAATGTTTTTTTACAGCAGCATAGTGTAAGATCGTATCTTCAACGATTGGTACAATTAAATTAAATCCGTTCTTGTCATAATAATCAAAATGCTTGGCTGATTTTATGGCCAGTTTAAAGTCAGAATGATATATTAACTGTTATATGTGCCTGATTGAATCTTACACTTTTGGGACAGCGTCTTTTTGTGTTTCTGCTTTTTGGATGCTGTTTTTCTTTTAGGTGTTGGTTTAGATGTGCCAGTTGATTTTTGCTCCTGTTGCAGCTTAATATCCACCACTAGTTGTAAAACATTTAATGAGTTTTGAAATAAGAAACTATAAATTCAACCCCACAAAGGCTGATGGATGGTAAATCAGAGCCAGTCAACAATAAAGTAGATGTATATAAAACCTACCCAAATGATTGTCCTCGGCCAATTGATTACTGGTCTGATAGGAACATTCAGAAAATGCCAACATTTATCAACTATGCACCAGAGTTGCAATGCTTCTGTAATGCTTTTCGGCCTAGTCTTTGTTGTTGGTAATGAAGTTGAATAAAGAATCCAAGTGTAAAGTTTGCTTGAGATGTATTATTCAATAGTTTTAGCAACTGAAAAGGTTGGAAATAGTTGGGGAACAATATACAATCCAACAAGTTGTAATTATGATTTTACAAGACCCAAATTCGTTTTTTAAATGCATTTATCTTGCAGTGGTTGTTTTGGAATATACAATCATTAAATACTTGTCTTGCTACTACAAATTGACTTGTTTAATCGACACAATATCCACCATATGATGCACACAAACTATGGTTTTAAGCTGGGATTATTCCATTCTGACAATCATGCACTACGATCACCAAATTCATTCATTGCAATTCCAATATTTGATTGTTTTCAATACAACTCTACAAACTCCACTTTGTTGTATCATAAATATCGCAGATACGTCTGCGTTCTAATTCAAGAAAGCAGATGTTGCATATTTCAGAAATACAACTGTTGTTTACATGACAATCACCCGAAAACCAGCAAACCCTGTCAAAACAGAGTGATGATCAGTAAATGTGGTGTAAATGGTTATTTCATGATACTGATTGTTGTGTAATTTGGTTATAGTTCCATTTGTGAATACAACTGTAATTTGATGCATCATTCATGCTAGATATCAATTGACTACAGCTATTCTATAGAAATGTTAGTGTTAGCCTATTATACTTTATGAATAGCAAATCCAAAATATTGAAATTGAGACATTCTACAAAGGATCAATAATGAAAAGCTTATATTTATTTGAATGAAATATGTAACGAGTATTTATATAAAAGCTGAAAAGGTGTGAGGTTTGAGCAATTCTGATCATCAGTGATACCATCATGCTTGCACTCGAACGCCTGATAGACAGAATAGCCAAAACATTACTGCGAACGAGCGATATAAACAAATCAAATATATACAATCAACCCCAACGCTAGCATATAGATCATATATAGACAATATTCTTGCTTTGAGAATCTGCACAATAGCTGGCATGTTTGGGTGTTGATGAGCAGAGCCAGATACTGTCCATGACTTTAGCCTTGCCATGTTAATGCATCTGAATTCGTTGCTGCTGGGCATTAAAATGAATGGTTTTATTTACACTATCATCTGCAGCAGTAAATGATGATGACAATGATGACATAGTACCCTGCTTATAATTGACAGATTCGCAATCATACTGCATCTGAACAGGCTGCTCATGACGTAGGAAAAGCTGTTGCTTATATTGGTCTTGCTGATGCTGCAGCTGAAGTTTCTGATACTGTGACTGCGCTATGCTTGGAGTCTGCCCCATGAAAATCTGACGTTCGCGCTTGTCGCTATTCAAAATATCTTTCTCACCAACTATCTGCTGGCGATTTTGTTGTTGGAAAGTTAATTTTTGCTGTGATCCTTGATCGTAACTGTAGTGATATACAGGCTTTAGCCTCTGATTACTAGGAATATTTGACACATTATTATAGGCTACCGCAGTCTTGGCCATTTCAGAGTGCTCGTATCCATGCCGATATGTTTTATTAAAGTGCTGTTGGTACTTGGCAGACTGAGTCTCTGTTGCGTATATGGGATTGAATTTAGAAGATACATCATGCATAGTCTCCATGGATCTAATGAACGGATTTGATACAGCGATAGGGGATGCCGATGAGAGAAGCTGAAAGCTGATTGGAAGTGTCTTACGTGGACGCCCATGCTTGGAAGATTTAGGAAAGTTGGTACGCTTATTAACCTTTAAAGAATGCTGATACATATGTTTTTCCTGAATATGATCAGGAGCAGAACGAGCGTACATTGGTACTTGAGGTAATCTTCCCACAGCATATGGGTGGCAAGACGAACTGTGTTCTTTGGTGGTACGAATAGCCTGTGCTTGAAGTGAACATCTACGACGCGCTTCGAGCAAAGGTTGCTGACGGCGCAAAGAACATCTGTCCGCCTGAACAGATTGTTCCTGCTGCCTGGAAAGAGCAGGCGCTTCGATATGTGTGGCAGCGGATGTAGGAGTTGACTGTGTGGTCTTGGTGGTAGAGGACGAAAGTATTGGGCGGAGTTGAAATTGTTGTTGTGTAGACCCATTCTTATCCATGTGTTGTGGAGCAGCTACTAGCATGGTCGGACTTTTCCACATGAAAGACTCACGCGAACGGTTTGTAGCCACATGCAAAGCCAGCGAACACGACAAAGACTGCGTTACTTTCTGGTGTTGGTGCTGTGAAATTTGTTTGTGTTGAAAATGCTGTTTTGGTGGGGGGAACTCAGAGATTTGAGCCAAAGGCAGCTGCATTGATATAGGCAGAGGAAGACGCTCAATACTGGGTCTACGCAAAGCTACATCAGGGGGTGTTACTGGAATGTCCTTGAACAGTGTAGCAATACTGGGCAATAGCTGAGTGAATGGTTTGCATTGTTCGGTTTGAGTACGCGAATGAAATAAAACATTACAAGGCAATTGAGAAATGGAATGGACAGCTCTTGATATTGGTCGAGATTTAGACATTAATGTTTGCGATGCATCCACATCTACATGTTTGGTACTCGTATTGAATTGGCTGCTATCAAGTGATTGTGGAGTAGCAAAACTAGCAGAATGGTCATTATAAATGGGTGAGATTCGATTGTTGATGTTGCATGAAGCAGGCGAAAGGTGCATATTAGTCTCTGCATATGAGTGGATTTGCTGCTGCGGAACTGTCCAAATCATTTGCTGGTTAGAATGCAAAGCAGACAAGTCTGGTGAATCGGGGAGTAGTAAAGGTTGAAGGTATTGGACGGAATTTCGTTTCTTTTGGAAAGACAGCCCCATGTTTGGTATCTGCTGCTCTGTGGCAGCCAGTAAAAGTTCCATATATAAAGATATAATAGTATTGTTTGAGATGAGTACAAGGTGTGTTACGGTTGAAAACTAAAAAAGGGAATTGGACGATATATATTAGCATTTATGTGTACAGTGTTTGATATTCGATGGGATTGGCCCGATATAAAAAGTAATTACTTTTGAATATGCTCCGAAACAAACAAATCAATGTGGCTGAAGACTCAATATGGATGTGATGCACAAATGTCAGGGCTTGAAAGTTTAAAGGGCAATGTCCAAACAAGCAGCGTGTTTAAAGACCAAACCAAATTCGATGGCTATATATAGAAGAGTGCAAATATCCAAGGTCGAAAAACACAGCATGTAGTACAATGGCAACAATATAGATCCAGAATAGGAAACTCGAAAATAAAATGAGAATGCAATACCAATATGTTTTTATTGCGGCTGTACTTATGTAAAATGAAACACTAAATAAGGGTGTCAAAGCACATAATAAGTAGCCAGTTCCCATCAAATCTACTAGACAACATGTGTCCTCTGACCGAATGTTCAAAGCAACACTCACATGTCTGCTCTAATAAATCCTCTATCCTTGGCACTTGTTCAATCTTCAACTCTCCTTTCTTATACACCGAGCATTGCATGGTTGGCATGGAAACAACAGTTGCATTCCCAAGACCTGCAATCTTGACTCGAGCTAGAACGCGAACGTATCCGAGTTTAGAATACAGCAATGATGAGGTTGTAGAGTTGTACTGGCATCAGAGCAGTCGAACAGATCTCTGGACTGCAATGGATAAATATGGATTGAAGCTTGATGGTTGTATAATGTATGGCTATGTCGAAAAAGAAATTTTCATTTCAAAACCATAATTTGTGCACATTATATGACGATCGTTGTGTTTATTGGACAATTCAGGTTGTAGTAGGAAAACGCAGCAAACGTTTAATCATTGTTTATTCCAAACAAAGTAAAAACCGTCATTGCAAGATAATACGGAAAAATGTTCCATTTTACGTGAGTACAGCAGTAAATCTAGGGCTTTAGATCGATATGAGCATGTCTAGATATGGTAGTTTAACATAAGGATCAACCGTCTGCTTTTTAAAAGACCTCAAAAAGCACGCAATCCAAACGTACAGATGAGGCTGATACTGCATAAACTGGTAATCAAAAACGCTTTTTCGCATATTACATAAAAATCATGTGGATCTGCTGCTTGAAAAAACCATTCGAGATTCAATTCAACACTTTAAGGGTCAAGTGGCATTTAAAAAGTAAATTCTGATCTGAGAATCATGAGCACACGTGCGCAGAAACGGACCACAAATGCATGCAAGTGGCTTTTAAAATGCTTGGATATTCAGTATTCAAAAACTTACTATAAGGCTCAAGGCTGATTCTACAACTGTACTCACGTAAAATGGAATACTTGTATCTATCTTGCAGGTTTCGCTATTATACTTTGGAATAAACAATGATTAAACGTTTGCTGCGTTTTCCTACTACAACCTGAATTGTCCAATAAACACAACGATCGTCATATAATGTGCACAAATTATGGTTTTGAAATGAAAATTTCTTTTTCGACATAGCCATACATTATACAACCATCAAGCTTCAATCCATATTTATCCATTGCAGTCCAGAGATCTGTTCGACTGCTCTGATGCCAGTACAACTCTACAACCTCATCATTGCTGTATTCTAAACTCGGATACGTTCGCGTTCTAGCTCGAGTCAAGATTGCAGGTCTTGGGAATGCAACTGTTGTTTCCATGCCAACCATGCAATGCTCGGTGTATAAGAAAGGAGAGTTGAAGATTGAACAAGTGCCAAGGATAGAGGATTTATTGGAGCAGACATGTGAGTGTTGCTTTGAACATTCGGTCAGAGGACACATGTTGTCTAGTAGATTTGATGGGAACTGGCTACTTATGTACTTTGGCATCTTTGGTATTCAATTTACGTGGGTATGGATGTAATAAGCATAAAAAGTCACATTAAAGACAATAAGAGATGAAAAGTATTTACATTTCAACAACCTAATCTTGCTACATCTGAAAACATTATAATGGTACTGAACTACCGCTGCAGCACTCCAAAAGTCAGATTATCGTCGCGACGCAAAACACACAAGTAATAGATGATTCTGACATTCAAATCAGCAGATGAACAATCTACCGATATCTGAGAACACCATCGTCAAGCAAGAACCAAACAACAACAAATCCAACCACATGCAAGTGTCGCTGAATGAAATTTACGTATTTCCAAAATGCATGATCATTGATGGTGATGGTTACTGGCAATTTCATTTTATTTCCATTCTCATACCTTTTACAACCAGCTGTAATGGAGCAAATAGCTTCATGTGGGTTGATTCTGGCCCTACTTAAATAAATGTTGAAATCCACATGGATCAATATTTAGTGAGATTCACATGCATAACTTGACTGGAAGAAATATTCAACCAGCAGGCACATTCAGTGGGCATTCAAGAGTCAAACTATTGTTTTCATAGCCATTCAATCAGCCATGTTAGCACTGCTGATTATTCCTGCTCTTGCATACATGGCATACATCCGACTGACCAGAAAGAGACCATTTACTGGCGATATGGCGGAGCAAAAGGTAATCGACTATAGCACAACCAATCACCCGTTTACAATGACTTTGACAGACATGAATAGACTAACATCGTCGCTATACTATTTGCATTACGTGCATATATCTACTATTGCTTAATTTTTCTACTATTTAATACAGGTGGTTATTCTGGGAGCATCAAGTGGAATCGGTAGATCCATGGCTGTTCAATATGCTGCTAGAGGTGCAAAACTCCTTCTTGTTGCTCGACGTCAAGGCCTGTTGGAGCAGGTTCAACGAGAATGCCAAACCATGCATCCTAAATCTACCTGCGACATTGTTGTTGGAGATATTACTCAAGAGTCTGTTTTGGCTGCTGCAACTGTAAAGGCTAACTCCGTTCTAAATGGTGTTAATGTTCTTGTTCTCTGTGCCGGAATTACTTCAGTGCGTTCTTTCGAAGCCTTGTGTTCTCTGGACTCGGAAGCTAATCAAGCTTCGTCTGGATCTACAGTCTCGTCTGATTCTATATCAACAACTCTCATTCAACAGGTGTTTACAACAAATTTACATGCACACATGCTGGCAGTCAAACACTTTCTTCCTATATTGAAGGCATGCAAGGCACAAATACTTGTCATCTCGTCGGTTGCAGGTGTCATTCCCGCACCCACTAGATCCATTTACACGGCTTCAAAACACGCACTGACTGGGTTCTTTAAGGCTCTGCGGATTGAACTCGCTTATTCTGGAGTATCCGTTTGTATTGCATTTCCAGGAACAGTTAATACTGCGTTTCGTGAATCTGCAGTTGATGTTGAAGTGTCAAAGACAGAATCACCTGAGATGACTCGACGTATAATGAACAGGAAACAGCCTGGATCTATGACTGCCGATAGTTGTGCTGCTAATATCATCTACGGTGCCGATCGTGGTGATCGTGAAATCTATTTGCCTCGACTGTATTATTTTGCTCATGTCTTGTCTATGTTTATGCCCGAGGTGATGGACTATTTTGCTGCAAAAAAGTATGGCTACGTTGGTGATGGAAATTAGCTGGATATATCGACTTTAGTCATTCGTGATACTTAAAGCACCAGGCAACTTTGATAAATAAAAATCAGACATACACAATGCAATAGTTTATTCAAACTGATAGTTTACTAGTTGGTCAACAAGTTCTATTATTCCAAGCAGATTGAGCACCAACAACAATCACCGGCCGAAATGACTTGACCTGTCCAGTGACGTCTGTAATTGGTACTTCCATTTTACGTTCAGATTTCCAATAGGCTAAAGGTTTCACTACAGTTCGCCCTGATCGTGTTTGTCTCGGCGACTCTACTGGTGCATCAGTATTCAATGCTTCCTTGCTTAACCCTGATACAGTCAAAGAAGATTCGACAAAAGAAACATCAGTTTGCTTTTCAGGTAAAGTGTAAAAATCTGCTGACAAGCAGTCTCGTTTTGGCTTGGAGCTGGATTCTAGTGACAATCTCTGTTTGCTTTTGTTTGAAAGCTTCGTAGTCTTGACACAGGCGCGACGTTTTAAACTTTCGGTTGCTGCTGTTTGACGCATTTCAAACGTAGTAGATATTGGTTTGATCTCGGCATTCAGACTATATGTATCTTGCTCAATGTCGTTGTCATCCTCGCTTTCCGCCTCAATAGTCTTTGCAGTCCAGAGAAAACAGCCCATAGGTGCTGTCAATTCATCCATTTCTTTGTCATGTTCAATTGAAAGTGGTTTTTGAGCTATGCGGGCCCGCTTGACAGCAGACTGTGATGTCTTGTTTGGAAACGTGGGCAAACTTTTTTGCCGAGGCTTACAATATTTCGAAGATGGCATGGCCCGCACTTTTACTCGTGTGGGTGGTGTACATGGCAATAATTTGGGTTTTTGTACAGGAGAAATATCGGCTGATGCATCAACGGGAGTGTCCTCATCATCTGTAGTAACAATAGGTGATATGACTAGCGAATGTGTATTTCGAATTGGCGTTGATCGTGGTAATGAACGACGAATTAAAATGATATCCTCCTCATCTGACAAATATGTAGCATCGAGCTTCGTTGAGTATGATACAGAGTTGGTTATCGCATTCTCGAATGATTCGTGTTTTTTTAAACCACCAAACCGTCCAGCTTCAGATTGACTGGCCGATCCATCAAGAACATCAATGACAGCCGAATTCTTGGTACATTCGACATTGTTCGTGGCATCTATTGAAGCAACATCACAAAGCATTGGCGTGTTTTCCAACACAGGGCTTGCTTTGGTTTCAGCTGTCGCTTGTACCATACCAATTGAGCAGGGTTTTTGTATACTTTTTGTTGTATCGTTGCAATGCTTATCATTTACCAGCCAATCGTTATTTTCCTGTGAGGATTCAAATCCATTTTGATTTTGAATATCGCTTTTCCGTGCATCCAGTAGCTGAGTATTTACTGATGTAAGTGACGCCCCATCTGCTTTAGACGGATTTAGTAAAGAGTTTTGACTACTCTCTACAATAGCTTTGGAGTGATATGTAGAAATTTTATGGGTGCTTGGCCCAGTAGTTAAAACTGGTTTAATTGATTGTGCAGCATCAGAAAGCGGTACGATTTTAGTCGCATTATCTCGAAATATGGCTTTAGCTGGTTTGGATGCTGAAATGTGTAAAGGCCTATTGCCTAATCTTTTCAATGGTCGTTTTGAAGTAGCGCCTGATGTATATGTAAGAAAAGGCGAGTTTGTAAGCTCTCGACCCTTAGCTTTAGGAGTAGCAACACTGCATAAATTTTTTTGGGTCGCCATCTCATTCAGTGCCAATCCCAGTGCTAGTTTCCAATGCTCAGGAAATCCAAATCGAAATTTGCTATAAAATGTCTCATCAAAACCGTGTTCCAATGTCCGATGACGATCCATCTCACCGATCAACTTGTACACCTTTCCTGAAGATGTTTTCAGTGTGTGTGCATCTACAATGTCTGTGATAAGAGAGCTCGACCATATTTGATTAGATGATTTATGTATACATGATGTTGACTGAAAACCAGCAATCACTATCCACTCTGTCCGACAAAAAGAAGCTTGATCAAGAGGTCCAATTGCTAAAAGCATTTCAAAATCAAGTACGAGTTAGTGTTATCGACCACCAATGAAATAAACGTACTCGTCATTTCGACTCAAATACAGAATTTATATGCAATCAGATCGCCAGGAATAAGTAAACATGCCTTTGGGAATAATGAACCAGTTTGTTAAAAAGCGAACATTGAGCTCCTCGGGCTCTTGTGTCAAAGGCATACTTGCCGATGCCAAACAATCATCTTTAGATGTATTGGTCGGGTTTGTAGGTGTGATTTCCGTATGCATAATTAGTGATATGCCAGTATTTTCAATACTATTAGGAGATGTAGCTAAATTTTTCTCTGTGGGTTCCTCAAAAGGAATGGCTATGGTCGATATTGCAGATTTGGTAACTTGTGGAAATTGCAAATTCGCGATCGTATCATGCGGATTAGTGAAAGATGTGGACGTGGCCATCAAATCTGGCAACTTGGAAAAAGGTTTCTCACTATAGTCACTGTTTTCAGCGACTAAATCAAACGATATATTATCAACAATTGCAGCATTACGCTTTGGTTTGGTGGGAGTGTCATAAAAGGACTCTGTTTTCTGTTGCTTTTGTAATATGTCTGAAAGCTCAAGAGTATGAGCTGGCTGAGATTCTGATGGCAAGTCTATAGTGTCTGAAGTATCACTCATTTCAGGAAGCCCTGAATCATTCATAAGAGAATCCAGTTCTGCTTTTGACATGAGTGGTATATCTGAAGAAATCTGTTGCTGTGGAAGTTTGGAAGCAGTTTCCAGTGGCATTAGTGAGTAAACATCATTGCTCAAATCCTAATTACATGAAAGCCATGAGAAATAGAGTTGACATGTATTATTTGAATCAAATGTTAGTTGATATCGACTGATTGTAATGCATGCATCTGTGCTTACAGCCGCATTCACGTAAATGAAGCACTAAATAAGAGTCTGTATAATAAACAGCCAATCTTACTGAGCAACATTGTGCCATACAAACCGGTTGACAAACTTTACATTTCTGTTTCAGTCAATCCGACTTGTTCAATCTCCAACTTTCCTCTCCTTTCATCCAAACTAAACACTGTGATTGACAGGGAAACAACAGTTGCATTCCTGAAATATGTTGAACTAGAACGCGGATGTATCTGGTGTTTTAGACTACAACAGATATAATTGTATTGGCAACAGTCAAGCTCAATATTTGGATTGCAATAAATGGATCCAGTGATCGTACAGTGTATGACTGATAAAAGAGCAAAAAGGATAAATTCAACTGTAGTTTGTATCATATAATGGACACTATATCTGAAGAGTCGAGTGTCGATTTTAGTAGGAAAGTAACGAATACTTGATCATTGCTTATTCCAAAGCAAGAATCAGTTTCATTGCAGGATGAATACAAGTGTTCTATTTTACATGAATACGGCTATAGAATCAACCATGAGCTTTACTGGTGCTCCAAACTTACATCAGCTGTCCACATATGGGTATCGGACAGTTCTAAAGTATCCGCATTTGGAAGTAGCGGAGCATGCTCTTCTTCGACAGTAGCAGCAATCTGAGAAAGTGATATGACAGTAGGAATAGCACTGGCAGTAGTGATAGTGGTGGATGCTGATGTAAGTCCAGATAATTGAGTCGAGAGTTGTGTTGCAGTTGCTGTATTCTGGCTGCGACTGGAGAGTGAGGATATGATGGACGGAGAGCAGCCAGGAAAGAAGTCAGTTTTTCCAGGACTGTCATCCATGCAATGGTTGTGATCAGATAGCATGCGGTATCAAGTGGTTATGGCCCGTAACAGTGATGGTTTATTCAGTGTAATTAATGGCTGAGGAAAGTCCGGCAATGGCATGCAACGTGTCTGAAAGACAGCAACCGAGTCAGATCTTAGCATGACCATTGTACAGTTAATAAAACTGACTCCAAGATTTTGCAGACTTTCAAGCATGACAGTTCTAGACACATCATTCATTGTACTCTGGTGGTGTTGATCTGAAATACTATGGTTTTGGCAAGCTTAATATTTGTTCAAATATTCCAATAAGCTATTTGTGTCGATCTCAGTCGACATTTGCATGGATAATTACTCAAACACTGATAGAAATGCCACCACCATCATAGATGCATGCTTTCAGAAAAACTCCATTTTGTGTCTTTAACGCTGTCAACAATACACAAGAATAGTATCAAAAAGCGCCATCGGGCCAGTTGATATAAACCGCCAATTCGCTCCTACTCTAGTTTTCATAAACATTCAAATGTCTATTTAGAAATGAAGTCCCTGCCCAAGCCGATTTTCCTAACTATACTACTTATTGTGACCATTACTTCTCATATCAACATGCCACCCATAACAAGCATGTGCAGCAAAACCTCGTTTGAATTCAAAAAGCTTGGCCTTAAACCTCGAGTACTGCAAATGCTCAGTAGGTCTAATCAACCACACGCACAGGAGCAGCTACTTGTTGATCATGCACGATCACTATCTCCAGCACTTATCACAAATACTGAATTGGCTGAATCCATTGTATACAACACTCATTTACAGCATCGACGGATTGCTATCAAGGCAGGAATGGCACCAACCGAACTTGTTCAAGCCGTTTTGTCATATATTCCTTTTCCGCCATCTCAGCCCACTACCAAATCAAAACCGTTCATGGGTATAATCAAAAAACTCAAATTGGTCAAAACAACCGATATTCGGTTACATATTCCTAAACTCGCTACCAAGCATGCTCAAGCCGCATCGTCTATCTTTGGAACACATCTGGGGGTGCATCTAGGTCAGGTATGGCTATTGGGACATGATTATTTTAACTGGTGCAAACGTACACTTGCCATGTTTGATAAGATCGATATCAGTGTTTTGGATAAGCCAAGTATCTTGGCATGGAAACACGTCATATCCTTATTTCGTGATGCCGCCAAACAGTTTGAAAAAATAGCAACTCAAACCAAACTAGATATTGATTTGATCGGTGAAAACAAACACACATTTTTGACAGTGCTAAAGAAAGTTGGTATGCGGCTCGAGCGATTCAATTTCTGGATGGATACCAAACTAGATGCTTTTTATGATTTTATGGAACGCTATCTTGGCATGACTCGCATAAACTTTGGAGTGATCCAAACTATATTTGATTTTAGCGAGTTTTCAAAACAAATGCACATAATCAGAGATCATGTATATAAAGGAATGAATGCCGATCTAGTCTAATGAATATTATCCAAACCCTTTGATATTGACAAAGGCTGTGAGAATAGAGATGAATAAAACTTATAGCAACACCAATAAAAATCACTCAATCTCAAAACTATTCAATTAAAACATTCATTCAAATAACATCGCGCAAAATCTCATCATAGTACTCTGCATAGACGTCCTTGTTATGCGAAGCAAGCACATACAAGCGAGTCGATACTTGCTCCAGCTCGTCAGCCACAAGATCTAACCCATGACTTGCAAGCGAGTTTTTTCCAAACACACCACGATCAAGATGCTGCTTAAGTGTCATCTGTACACGTCGACTCAAAAGGGTGTACACAGGATCCTTGCTTGACAACGTCTTGGTTACCATGGACCGAATCATATTCTCCTGTTCCTCCGTCAGAGTTTTTGCTGAAGCAGTGGCAGTTTGGGACGATGAGCAAGCCAATCCATTCAACATGGCTTGTTTCTTGGCCAAAGATTCATTGACGGTGGAAATAATCTGCAAACTTAGGTTGTCCATGTTGGTTTCAGCGTCGTTCAACAAAGCAGAAATCTTATTTTTTAAATCCACCATGGAGATAAAATCTCGTGTAGCACGAAGCTCAGGGACAATATTTTTGGTTAGCATTAGCAATGCAGCTGTGATGGAGATGGCTTGAACTTGGTTTTGAAATGCAAAAAAGCGCGCAGCATCCATCACCAATGTTTCTGGAATAGTGGCAGGATCAACAGAGGTGTTGGAAAACACGATAGAGAGCAAGGCGCTATGAAATGCATCCTGGAACTTGATAGACAGATCTGGATGATCAATCTTTTCAGGGTTACGAGAGGCGGCAACTGATTTTAAATGAGCAACTGATGCGTGAAGCCATTCGCTGGTTCGAGTGAGGGATGCCGTGCCGCTTTTGAGGGCAGTTGCAAACTTTTCACGTTCATATTCGGCAGCCTGGCGCTTCAAATGAGGTTTTAGTGCTTGCAAACGATAGTTGGTTAAATCCAGCTTCATCTCGTCAAGAATCTCAAGCATTTGCGACAGTACATTGACAATATCCGACTCGACTGCAAGTTTCCGAATCGATGCATCTCGCATAGGTGCACATAGTTGGAGCATCTTGTCACCCGCATACTTGATACATCTAGGCAGATCAAAGACGTTGTGGGTAATCTGCTGTTGGATAAGATCGAAACTCAAAACACTATGGATCTCTGCAGCAATTTTGCTATCTTCTGCCACCATACTCATCAAGCCCTGTTTAATATCTTTGATGATTTGGATAATATGATGGGAGTAGTCTCCATCAGCCACTTGTTGACGGACGCTATCGAAAAAGGCGCGACGGGCAATGTCAGTGATGCGTTGCTCAAGGGGACTTGGTGTAGGCTTTTTTAAATTGAAGTTGGGATCCATGATCAATTCATGAGCCAACTGTTCATTGGAGAAAAGGTGCCCAAACTCGGGGGAGATGGACTGGGCAACAGAAGCATCCTCATTCATGGCAATGGGCATACGAGTATCACTGCATGGAGCTGAAGGGTCACTGGATTGTCCTAAAGGACTCGCGCTGCGTCCCGAACTGGACGACGGAGTACGACGGTGCAAAACAGAGTCTCTTACACGACGGGGAGATGCAGCCTGAAATAGTTTTGGAGATGTGCTACGGTAATGATGCTCCAAATGCTGGTCTTGGCGAGGAGGAGACGTCGACATAGAAGTTGGACCGTCATTGGAATTACCATCAGTTTCGTTTAAATTTACATTCGATGTAGTCTTGGCAGCCAGTCTGAGAGTTCTTTGCGACTGAATCTTGTCCAGCGCATTCTGCCCATACTGCAGCAAACGATCCATAATCTGTTTCTGCTGGGCATCAATGCGGGGTGCCCATTGTTCCTGGGCGTCTTCCTGATCCTTGACAGACAGCCACAACTCTTCCAAATCTAGAAAATGACTTACAAGGTCATCCACAATCTTGACAGTATCTCTGAATTTCCAAGCATCGAATGCAGCATAGTAGGCTGAATACGATTGCAGAAAAGTCCTTCCAAGTGCAAGCATAGTGTCAGACTTTGCTGCAGCATGCCATCCCTCAAAGTCGCACAACATGGTTTCTGCCAACTGCTTGAGATGCTAAAATATTCATGGAATGGAATGTGTTGGTATAGCCACTTGTTAATATCAGATACAGTATGCCAGTAGTTGACATTAGTTACCTCTTCCTGCGACCCAAGCGACTGAAGAGTTTCTGATGGATACGCAACTATCATGAATGCAGACAGCAGCACTCGAGCGGGATTCTTCCACTTTACAGGTGCGGTAGTTGTGGCAGCCTCAGCAGTAGAAATCCCAGAACCAAACTTCTTGGCTCGAAGCAGCAGTCTGGCTACTGTCTTGATTAAACGATCGCTCTGCACCACTTGCATTAGTTTTTGAAATGACATTCCTTTGGCACTGGCAAGCGACAGATTAGTCTTGGCATATGCGTTAGCAATCGGAACTAACTGTCTGCGTCTCCACCAGCCTTGTAGGGTTATTGCAGCATCGTTCCTGACATCGGCGGTTTCTTTAATAGCCCATGAATTTGGGTCCAGTAGGCGGGATCGAGGGATAGTCTGCAGTCTTGCTCTGCGCATAGCACTGACCTTGAGTCGTTCTTCAATGGCAGCACTAAGAGCAGCAGTTGCTTTAGCTGTCTGCTCACTGTGTGAACGAGCAACCGCTTTGGCGTGAGCAACCGTTTCTGCACTAAGTTGGACCTTTTCTTGCAGCAACAGCTGTCGTTTACGAGCAGCCTGTTCAAGTGTCTGTTCCATCTGCGATCGTCGCTGTGACTGAGCAATGCTGGCTCTGGACTGATGGGCAGCTTGTCTGCGACAAATACTGTCTCGGCGATGAGCTAGTTTAGAGCGACGGGCTTCAATAAATGTAAACGTAGCACTAGCAGCGGCATGGGTGCATTTATTATGATAGGATAGTTTACGGAATCGGGCTTCCAAATGACGAGGTTTTCCAGCAGGTTGAGTCAGGTCCATAACAGGTATGACAAGGAAACCGCAACGATCAAACTCCATTTTCAATAGTTTGCTAGCAGAATGTCGAGTGTAAATCCTAATAAAGGTTAAAGTAAGCTTTCTGGCTGTGATAGTTGCACATGGAGTTTCACTCCCTTGCATAAACTGGTTGAGAAGGGAGTCTAGTCATCGTCTATACAATGTCAATCGGTAACTCACCTTTTGTCTGGAGTTCGCTAGTAGTTGGATTTGGATTTGGGTCAAGTTTGAATTATGTGAATCTGTCAAAGCTAGTAATGCGTGGATATGCCGAGTTAGCAGGGGTGGATGCTTACTGTAGGCCAGTATTTATATGGCGAATATTCTGATACAAAATGGAGCGTTCCTGTTTCATACATGACTGCGCCCTTTGCTATGAATCAAATGGCGATCCTATTGCTTATTGCAAAGTCAATATTAAGCTTTTTTGTAACAGTCGAATCAATGAATGTTTCAGCATTTTAAATTCAGACTAATTGAATAAGCTGCATTCGCACTTGATAACAGTCACCCCGGCTGCTACCATGACTGTTTTAACTCAAGTATACTCCATAATCGAATTTGTTTGATTTCTTCTGCAGAAACCCAGTCATTGAAGTTGTACAATAATATATCGATAGCTTTGCAGTCATATCACAGTTGTTTATTTGGCGTCATTCATATTCAGCACAAAACACTAATGCCTTTTAAGCCTTTTTGGGGTGATCCATCAGCCTAATGGCCTTGACCACTTTGACTTCTAAACGCTTCCTAGTCTTTTTAAAAAGTCCCAAATCAAACAGAACTTCACAAAACACAAAGAATGGCGCAAGAACCAGGGCTATATAAGTTGGAATACATGAGACATTCAATATAGGATTGGTAAAACACCATTGGGTTGATTGTATCATTTCAACACACAATTCACATGAAGCTTTAAAAGTATTGATAGAGCAAGAACTTGCCTTGGATAGGATCAGATGTAAATGCAGGTGCGCGGCCCTCGAATAGTTGGTGACCCACTATAAATTTATCAAGGTACTCAGTTTAATCAGAAATTCAAAAGCAGGAATAATCCAGAACAATGCTCACCAATCTGGAAAACCCACGACACAACATGAATAGATGCTGCTGCCACAAACGGAGTGACCTAATCAAGTGGTGTTCACCAAAAATCAGTACTTGTCGATTTAACAAGCTATCAACCATCAAGCCACAGAAATAATCGACATTCATGCCTTCACGATTTCAACTTACTGGCCAGCTGGTTTGAGCAGCAAACACATTTGCATAGTAACACATCGCACACAAGAATGGCGCATACAAAACCTATTTGAAACCTCTTAGTATTAAATCAAAATTATACTCTATATACAATATTGCTTACGCCAATCAAAGGCCACAGAATAATATAGTATAGCCCATACAGCAATGTGACCCCCAGTGCGCCATTGATTGGAGCAATATGGCTATATTGCCAGACTGGACCTTGAACTTTTGTCACCTAATGTTACAATCATAATCACGTAAATGGGATACACTAGATAAGACTGCCAAAACACATGGTAAACAGCAAATCTCATGGAATAGTGGTTTCCACCAAATTTACTGAACAATATCGAGTCATGAACTGCTCGACAAAATTGACTGGTTTTTGTGCCCATTTCTATATAAAACACTGAACATTCACATCTCTGGTTCAGTGCATTCCATATCCTTGAAATATGCTCAATCCACAGCTCTCCTTTCACCCAAACCAGACATTATGGCATTGGGTGATTGGCATGAAAACAACTATTGCATTTCTAGATGTGCAATCCTTGGTTTCTTGAACTGGAACACAAACTTGACTGATATTTTAGAATACAACAAAAATGGGTCTGTAGAGTTTAATTGGCGACACCAACAGTCAAACTCAGTATTTGGATTACAATGAGTCCAGTTCCAACTTGACGATCGTACAGTATATGGTTATGCAAAAAGTGGAGAAAGGGCAGTCAAAAAGAATTTCAGAACAAACTGTAGTTTGATTGTGAGCCATATGATGGAGGTTGTCTATTGAAGAATTGGGGACAACAATTAAAGCCATGGCAACACATGGAATAGACACGACTCGCTGATGTTCAGATGCTGTTTTTAAATAAAGTACAAATAGACAATGAAAAGGCACTATGTAGAGCATGTATATGATCGATGTCGTTGTAACAAGATGCGCATATAGGTCGCAAATGCCGAGTAAACTCGATATGTTGCTCGTTAAAAAGAGTTTGATGGAATTTGAGATGAATTCATACACTTGTAGCAAAAAAATTACCAAGACCATGGCAGTAAAGAGCAGAGTTGGCACAAACACAATGTGGATCAGCTTGTTACTATTGTTGAGCGTGTCAGGTTTAGTATCTGATTTACAACCACCTTTTAAACCTATCTTGTACCATATAATAGACCAGAAATACCATCCACACTATTGTATTAAACCCAGTTATATAATATCAACTTACATGGGATTGTGGTGATCTATTTCCATTAAAACAGGTAGTCGAGTCCATATAAGATGGTTACAAAAGTTAGCTTGTTTTGACTAATAGCATGGCCAAATAACTGAATTTGGACAGTGGATGATGCACTAGGCTGTATTCACTTTCATTGACAGAATTACCACTATTGCAGAAAAGAGAGCTTATCCATACATTTTCCATATTTCACAAACTGAAAGTCAGCATCCAGTAGCTTCGCTGTCATCCTTGTCGTAATACTGAGTTGTAGAAACTCTTTTTGACTATATCGACCCAAATCGATTGATGTTTACTTGTTTTGCCCAAATATCTTTGAACACTCCGAAATATTTTTTTACAATCGTATTCACGTAAAATAAAATACCTGTATTTACCTTGCATTGACTTTATTTTGCTTCGGAATACACAATGGTTAAGTACTTGCTGCACTCTCCTGCTACAAACTGACTTTAATTGTTGTCCCCAATTCTTCAATAGACAACCTCCATCATATGGCTCACAATCAAACTATAGTTTGTTCTGAAATTCTTTTTGACTGCCCTTTCTCCACTTTTTGCATAACCATATGCTGTACGATCGTCAAGTTGGAACTGGACTCACTGTAATCCAAATACTGAGTTTGACTGTTGGTGTCGCCAATTAAACTCTACAGACCCATTTTTGTTGTATTCTAAAATATCAGTCAAGTTTGTGTTCCAGTTCAAGAAACCAAGGATTGCACATCTAGAAATGCAATAGTTGTTTTCATGCCAATCACCCAATGCCATAATGTCTGGTTTGGGTGAAAGGAGAGCTGTGGATTGAACATATTTCAAGGATATGGAATGCACTGAACCAGAGATGTGAATGTTCAGTGTTTTATATAGAATGGGCACAAAAACCAGTCAATTTTGTCGAGCAGTTCATGACTCGATATTGTTCAGTAAATTTGGTGGAAACCACTATTCCATGAGATTTGCTGTTTACCATGTGCTTTGGCAGTCTTATCTAGTGTATCCCATTTACGTGATTATGATTGTAACATTAGGTGACAACGTAATCTAGAATGGTACTTTTGCAATCAGCATAGTTGTACTAGCCAATACAGTCCATTTTAATACCAATGTTTATATCATAAGTGATTCTTGTTTTTAACCTCAAGTCCAACTACATGTATGTTTAGGGCAAAGTCAAGGTTACAAAAAAGTTTGCCGCTGTTAAGCGCATGATTTCAAAAAACGATCCAAGATTGTAAGTTGTTGGGCTTTACTACACCACTGTGTCATCTCCATTTATACTGATTGGATCAAATTGTAAATATACAGAAAGGATGTCAAAGAAAAGCTTATGAAGAAACAAAAGGAGGATCCTAAACAGGCTCTCATCAGACACATGTATGCTTTGTTTATGCCAAATAGTTTAACGAGATTTGCTCTAGCAGCTTGAACTTTATATACTTGATGCTCACCAACATCATATACTCCATATATCGAATTATAGTCCTCAAGTCGCATCATCACTTTTTTTCCAGCACAACGAAGCTCTAATTCCACCTTACCATGTAATTGTGGATACGAATTTTATCAACTTTTCTATTCAAAACAAGCTTGAAATTGTCAAGGCTATGATGGATTGCTTACTGGCAAAATGTAAAACGATTGTTGGAAACTGTTTAATTGTACCTAGATAAAACAGCTAATACTCTAGTCTATTGTATTTAGGCGTTCCATGCATCACTGACTGTGTGATGGCAGAGTTGGAAAAGATGGGTCTCAAGTATAGACTGGCACTCAAGTTAGTAATCTCAAGACTTGATGTCCTAAAAACGCTTTGTATTTCTTGAATGTGATATCTAATTGCATTATTTTTGGGTTGTGCCTGTTCAGAGTTGCTCGTGATCCACGATTTGAGCGATTGCCATGCTCGCACAAAGGAACATATGCTGATGACTGCATAGTGAATCGGATCATGCAGCACAAGTGCTACATTGTTGCAACATGTGATAAGGACCTTAAACGACGAATTCGTAAGGTTCCTGGTGTGCCTATCATGTACATTGCTGCACACAAGTTTGCAATTGAAAGACTTCCCGAGGTAAATTCATTAAAGATGCTCAACCTACACAAGCTGCAGCCAGCATGCAACTAACATTCTGTACTGTTTTATTTTTAGATTCCCATTTGAGATATCAAGTAATATGTTCAACGAGCCGTTTGAAGTTTAAAAAACAAATACAATTATTTTATAAATATCCTCCTATGCTTTTTTCATTGGAGTAGCTGCTAGACCTTTTCTACCAAATATTCTGGTTGTTGTTGAGTGGATCAATCTGACATTCATTATCAACGAATCAATTTCTGGTTAGACTAACGATTCAAATATTCTAATCCTTTAGCGTCTACAGGTGTATAGATTCAATACACAAATATCTACCTTGCAGTTGACGGAGTCAAAAATACACAAGCAGCAATGCGTAATGGCATCATAAGTTTGACGACCGCATAGGCAGTAGCCATATGCAACATAACTTGTGAATCATCAGCCAGCACTTGATCTGATTGGGTATTGTCAGTTTTGGACGAGCCACTCAAGCTGGAAGCTATTTGCAGCAAGCGGGAGATGCGACGGTTTCCTTCTGCAAGAATATCTTCTGGAAATGGGATGCAGACATCAGTGACTGTTAAAATCCAGTATACAATTGGTAGTGGGACTAGTGCAGTGACTTCATGGAGGATAGCAAATGCAGTGATATGAGATGCTGGTGCTTCTTTGAGCCTGTGCAAGTGTTTTCTCCATCCTGTTTGCTGTGGAGCAGAATGTGCTTGAGTGCCAAATGATTGTCGATGAAAGACTAGGATTGGCGGTCTTGCATAGACATATCTTACAAACCTACTAGTGTAATTCATCCTTGCTGAGATGTCGTTTCTTGGCTGAAATATCTGAAAATCAAGGTGGACAGAATATCCACAACAGCTTGGCAATTTCCTACAGCATTCATATAATTGCTTTATGCGATAAAGTAGCTGTATGAATGTCACAAATATTCAAGCTGAATAATAGAGTAAGCAACCCCTACTTAGTACTTATCCGATGGAGCAATGATCGGATCCTCAGCTGTCATAAATACATAATCTCAAAGCAAGCGCGTTGGTGATTGACAATCTACACTTGCAGAGCACGTAGCTGTCATTTGGTGGTCTTTGGCTTGACATCACTTTAACATTTCCTTACTGTGCTGTAGTAGTGTACACTCCATCTTACACTATGTTAACTGGCGTAGTAATTTATTTTGAATCATATAAACAGTCTATTTTATTTTTGGCAATATTGCTCCAAAACTTGTATACTTTGATATTCGATAGCACGCTATTGTACTTTAATACTATCTTGCAAACAAGCTACCGTTAATTTAAATTAGCTTCAACGGCTTTGCTAGTGTAGCTGTTAAACCCGTATTCACTGAATATTGCTGTTGATATCTTATGACCCACCATCTTGTGCAAGCATCTTTGCCAATCAATTCTAGTGCACATCCAACCCTGACAAAAGCTAACGAGAAAATGGTACTTTGGTGATACAAGATATGAAAAACGGATGTAATCACTTTCACCAAACAGCCTCGACTGTCAAGTTCCATGAGGCTGTATTTGCTATTGATGCTTTGATACACTCAACTTTGATAGATATGATCTCAGCTGAAATTATTGGATGATATAATTGAAAGCTCAAACAAAGCTGTGGCGTTTATTATTGCATTATGGATTATAGAACGTCGTCTCGTTATGCTTGGATATCTATCCGACTGTCGGATTTTGATAACTCGACAGTCAGATGACTTTACCTTTGTACTAATTTCTACAGCAATTCTTAATTATACATTCTTGGGCCATCATCTAGTTTGAGCCACACAAAATACCTTGCTAAAGCATTTTTAATTTCGTCAAAGTAATAATTAACGGTACTTGGTAAATAACACAGCGTTTAATCAGATTAGCAGCAAATAGCCTATTTCTCGCAATTTGTCCCATTGTTTTATTTGTTGTATTGAACCCATTTGCTGGGCATATGTGCATGTTATTTTACAGCAACTTCACATCTGCATTTTTATTTAAGCACGACCAATTTATCCGCGTTTGGTAATAATTTTGATATTACATTGTTTTCTGGTATATAGATTGTTTGAGCTCCAACATTGAATTCGCTTGGTCTTTGCCCGTCCGATTGTTTCTGTTTGTTAGCAAGGATGTTTTTATCTCACGCGACTTTGACCTGCAGTGATCCAAATGGTTATATAGCTTAATACACGATTACAATGGCAAAGCAGTTCTGTGGTTTATAAGCGTCTCAAAAGGCAATGCAACAGGAAAAACTACGCTTTTTTCATCGCAATCTTGATGGGTCAACAAAGATATCACCTACATTAGTAGTAATATCATCCGAGATGCTCATTGAGAGGAATCTGGGTTTGAATAAAAAGGATTTAAATTCATAGTATACTTGTAGTTCAACAAATCTCAGACGCTTTTGCAAATTGATATTTGGTCACTCTAAAGATTCGTTTTATTCATTTGGTTAGAAACATACTTGAATCCTGCATTTCCCTTACTCTAATTGCCTCAATTATACCTTTCCGTCCGATCCTTGGCAATTTACTAATCCAAGTTTATTATAGGTATACGTGACATCAAGTTAGACCCACGCCCATATATATATAATTATTTAATCAATCTCTTCCTTTGCTTTGTCATTATATTTTAATCCGGTACGCCGCTTCGTTTGCATAAGTGCTCCCGTTCACCCTTTGCTCTTGCCTCTCCACCCTACGCATCCGGCCTGTAGACTTAATCCTCCCTTCATATTGGCAGAGTCTTGCTTGTTACAATCTATCAAGATATTTATACAAATGACCTCATTTTCGGTCTTGTAATAATATACTTGATATCTACAATTATCAGATTGTTCTTTTTGAATTTGCAGCTATAATTGCTCAGTTAATCTCGCCACTAACTAGATCTAGTCAATGCATTATCCTTGATATTTGATGCAGGCATTACTATGCTGCACCCATTTACCCTACTACTGTACTAAATTCTCCTTGCCTTTATTTAAACCTATACTCATGCTAGTATTCGAATAGCAATAATTGAAGATGCCCGACAAGAGCGACAATGTAAAAGTGGAGGCACAGTCATACCCAGACCTAACATCTCCAGGTAATGAGTATGCTTTTAAATCTTGGCCTCTATCCATGCAAAATGCCATACATTTTCTATTTTCTCGTGTTCATCATCGTAGCGATGTTAGCAACAGCGCACCTTTAATTCCTTACATCCAGCTTTTCAGCAATGTGATTATCTTATACCAAACTCAAACCCAGCTCCAACACGCAAAACTTGCCCTCCTGTTCTCCAAGCAACACAACAGCAATGATGTAAGCAAGCCGTGGACCCTTGACTGCTACAACATGTAAAACGAACCGTCATCTTGACAGCACCAGAATGTCGGAGTTTCTAACGCAAGGACGAGTTTCTTGGTCATAAGCGCGATTTTTTGAACTGCAAAAGAGCCAGCATATTACATGCAGCTCAGATTGATAAAAGCACCGCCTAGCTGAATTGGACATGCAATATTCAACACACGACTTTGGCTCTAATCTTGATGCATGCCGTGCGGCTGAATTGACAGACATGTTGATGTTCGGAAACTCGTATCCTTCTATCCCGTTCCTTTGTCTAGATCTACCTATCATTGTCATGTTAGTTGGTGACCTAAGCTTACTATATATTATTTTGATACGTCATTTATAGATTATAGCCAACCTGCATCAAAGCATCAGGAATATGCGCTAGCTAAAGAATGCTCCGATTATTCTTCACAAACACAGTCGGCTCACTCGACCACAAAATTACAAGAATCGAGGCAGTCTCCACAACTTCCATTATTTATGCCTGACGCTCAGATCCCTTCAGATACTACTCTTCCACATCCTTTGGGTGTTGCTAAATCGGCTCAAAAATACTCTCCGTTCCAGTATCATGCATATTCACAGCGACCACCGCATATGTATAAAGACGATGGTAATGCTGACCAACAGTCCCGTACCTACCCAGCATTACACATGACGCCCACTTCTCAGTTTTCGACCAGTGATGTTTCACAGTCAACAACCGCCTGTTTAAATACTAGCTCCGTTAATGCAGATGTAAATTCAGTCAATATCAGTTCTCCAATGCTTTCTGCTGAACATGACAAAAAGGTGGAATGTGTGTCGAAAAAAAGTACGCCGCCATCACTATCTATTCCATTGCCACTGCAGAATGAACCATCATCGTATGCATCTCGATATCACGTCCAACCTTCGCCTCTATCATCAACCCATGATCAATACTATACTTATTCCGGTCAGCATGATCGGCAGCAATATGGTATGTTTATTTTTGTTGCTTTGTCTAGATACACCCCTGTTGACCCCTCGTCAGTAGCACATTTAAAATCGCACCCACATAACATAGAGTACTTGCAGTCTTATTCTGCTTTGGAATAAGCAGTAATTGAATCTTTGCTTTTTGATACAAATTAACATTCTCAATTTTAAAACACGTTCATTATAATGGTGCGCACAAAACCAAACCATGCTTATGAACCTAATCTTGCTTTTTGGCATAGCCATACATTGTACAATTGCAAAATTTGAAACTGGACTCATTCATTACAATCCACATATTTGAGTTGGCAATTCTGGTGTTGCCAATACAACTCTACTTTTTTGTATCCTAAAATCTCGGATACATTTGAGCTCTAGTTCAAGTGAACAAAGATTGCACAGCTTTTTGTGAATTATGGCTTGACTGTTATTCTCTGCAGATATTATCTTGATCAAATCTGGCATTGCTTTAGATTTGTTAGATAATAGCTACACTTGTCAGGGGTATATTAAACGTGACACGAAGCCATATATTCCATATCGACTAGAATTTCTTTGTAATTTTAGATACTTTAGCTTGCTCAAGTTTTCTACTCGTTTCATTTTCTAATCTAAACATTCTGTTTAACTATTCTATATCTAGAAGCCTGTTCAAAAAAAGAAATGCAGACGTCTACATGGACCTCACGCCAACAAACCTTGCCTCCTCCGAACCAGTATCACCATGTAGCCTATGATGCCGACCCAAATTCCAATCGTATGATTCAGTATTCAGAAGATTATCGTCAATATCCCCGTACTACTCACTACAATAATGAACAATTGCGAGTTGCCCCACGATTGGCAGCTCCATTTGAAAATTTGGATGAAAAGCCAATTAGTCTATTACAGCCAGGAACAGCACCCAAACGGTCTTTACGCGATTCGCTTGGAAATTCTAGCAGTTCAAGCGTCAAAAAGACTCAACGGGCGTACTCACCTCTACATGATAATCAGCAAATGTACTATGAACAGCCCAAAGAGTCATCACCACCCTTGCATATGAAGCCACTGCCTCGACTAAAAATGCTTGATTCGTCTGATATGGTTAATAGGACAGACGTTTCCCCAGCTGGGAAAAATCATAGTGATGTGAGTTTACACTCTCTAAATGTGACCAAGACAGGTTTGACCCCGATTCATGGTATTCCTTCAGAAACACTATCAGTGTATGGTGGTGAGATACGATCAAATCAGCCAAGTCCAGCGCACTACTCGGTGAATGGGCAGCATACTTCTCATCAACATGACACAGTTTCCTCATATCAGTCTGAATACTATTCTCGTACTCCATATGAAGATGTAAATCAGTCTAATGGCTCGGCTCAAAAATCCAGAGTATCCAGTAATATGATCTGTGATAACGTGCCCACAAAAGTATCACGTTCGAATGCCGTTGCTCAAAATGAATTTAACGACGAAGAGGCAGAAATGGATGATGAGCATCACAAGTACAATTCTGGTCATGCTAAAATTCCCAATCATGATACCCAGGATATACTAGCTTCAAAAGCAAAAGATACTCGTCGGTACGAATGCCAGTACTGTTCAAAGCGATTTTCTCGTCCAAGCTCGCTCACTACACATATTTATACACATACTGGTGAAAGACCTTTTGGATGCGATATTCCTGGATGTGGACGTTCATTTTCTGTACTGAGTAACCTGAGACGTCATAATCGTGTTTGTCAACGAACACGTGAGCGAAGATTAGCAGCACTCGAGGGGCTTACAATGCGAGAGAATCCATACAGCGCCGATCCGGAACATAAAACGCATCACCAATACATTGCATGGCACGCAGCTGCTCACGGAGCCGGACGTGCTCCTGAATTTCGTCTTGCTCGAGAGGCTGCTACTCGCGGTCACCAGTCTAGATCTGCCCCTACTGGAGACCCTCAAATACCACCTGTTCGTGAAGGGGTACAGCTAAAATATGAAAAATATTCTCCACCTCAAGGAAATACTGTGTATGCTGCAAATGATCATCTGCCGCCCACTGCTGTAGCGTCTGGAGTGCCACGAGCATCATATCCTAGCCATCGCGACTTGCTTGCGCCTATTCGTAGTATGGATGGTCATCGTGCTGCTCCATATGGTCGTATGATGGTAGATCCAATGACAGGAAACTATTATTCTTCAATGGAATCTACCATGGCTCAAGCATCTGGTATGAGACGGTCTGCTCATATGTACTCACCTTCCATGAGAACTAATTCTCAGCCACCATCGTCCGCTAATCATATCAATTCTGAAAAAGACCAAGCAGGTTTATTTAGATCTAATCATCCAGGGTACTATGAGACTACACAACCTATGACAGACCGCCAATCAGGCCGCATGTTGCTTCCAACTAATGCTTACCCTCCCAGCCACTCGCGATCACAAACTGGCGTATCCCCTTCATACATGGAAAATGCATCCTTTGCTCAAGAGTATCCACATCAGATGAATATTCCCACGCTATCTAAAAGCCAATCAATGTTAGATTCTGGTATTGGAGAGTCTGTGGCTTCATCCATGCAGTCGTCGCATGAAGGTCGCCGTCCTTCGCGGGACATGCCTATGTTGGTGCCTCACCATTTACCTCCACTTTCATTTAGTCAGTCGTGTCCAGAAAACAGTGCTCAACTATCAACTAGCAATGATTTTACTAGAGATACACGTCGTAACACTTCACATATGGCAGAGTCCGATTTGAGTGACAAGCTCTATCGCTCAAGTAGAGCGTGTGATCGTGGTGATCAGCAGTTGGACGAGCACAGCAATAGGTTTGGTACATCCTTACATAAAACCTTTTCAGACGAAACATTCCCGCTGACTTCGCGTGCTGTTACCAGATCTCCCAACTTTGTTCATTGAAAGAACTAGGCTATCTTGTCACTCAATTTGTTTCTCTACACTTTTTAGTCCCTATTTTTGTTAAAGATCACCTAAATATTATGCATTGTCCAAGGTGGAATTTGTATATGCTATTTATTTTATTTTTTGAATTGAGTGGATTCCAGTCAATTGTTTTGGCAGATTCATTCTAATTAGTTTTTGGATCTACTTGCGGAATCGTCGGTCATGCATCTCATTCAGGTTGAATCTTCACACCTACATCCCTTGGTCAAATGGTGTTGCCTGTCAAACCTTGACTTTTTTTTACCTGTACTACTATTTTTGTGTCGCTTCGACTAGTGGGTTGCTTTTAAACTTATCAGTTTGTGATTTTGGTTTATTTCGTTTTAAAAAGGGTCCTGTTGAAGGGATTCCATCTACATTCTTATTTTTAATAAATCTATTTTGTTTCCTTTCCAAGTGCATTATATTTGCTTTTGTGGTGGGCGAATGGATAGATTTACAAACTACAATTGCTGAATAGTATCAAAAAAACTCGAATTTCATTCAATGTCGAGCTGCGGGAGGCGGAGTGGCAATCAGCGCCTCAATCATTCGATATAGGTAGTAGAAAAAGGTGACTAAATAAAACGCAAGTTTAAGGAAGGATTCCAGTTTATGGGAGGATATAGTTCGAAAAATCTCAGTAGCATCGTACATGTGCCGATTGTTTGAGATCCTGTAAATTGATAATAAATAAACGGGTGGTTAGATGTTCCATTTAGTATACCATCAAGTTGTGATTTTGAAAAAATAACTGCTTTTCAAATCTTGATAGTCTGATCTATGCAAGTTTAAGCCAATCTTACTTGTATGCATGCCAAACAAGCAATGGTGTATTGATCAGCATTGCAGTCCAGTTTCCGGTTATAAGAAAAAGGAACCACAAAACCGCATGAGCCAAATGTTCCGGAATAACAAACTATAGTTTATCAACACATTAGAATTAGAAAATCAAAGGAGACTTGACCATAATTTCTACGATCCTCATGCATGCTAGATTGCTTTATAAATTCAACTTACTTGGTTCAACTTGTTGCACAAGTCAATTGGGTTAATGTAATCTGCTTCTAAATCCGAAAATAGGATAATCTGTAGATCGTTCATGTATTCATGTTAGCCAGCTTCAAAATAGCAAAGCAATAGCCAAATCACTCTAGCCAGCCACAGCTCAAAATACAGTAGACAGGCTTTGATGCATTAGAAAGCTCAAATAAAGTCCAGCTATATACCAAAAATGATGTATGTTTTCAAGATGCATATTCCTGACCATGACTGATGGTATTCAATGCATCTACGCAGACCCAAACATACACTGCAATGCTATATATCATTTAGCATCGCAAATGATCAATGCAGCTGAGCTTTACTGATAAATATTCTTTGTGTAGAACCATAGACTTGGCACAAGAGCAAATAACTATACAAGGGGTTCATCCGCCAAATAGATGACTATCAACTACTTACAAAAAAGACCATGCCAAACAGCAAAACTGCAGACATAATCAAAGCAAACAAGAACAATAGCTGAGGTAGTAGTTGTGGTATTAGATAATATCCGGCATTAGATCCAGACAAGTGCGTTCAGACGGACATTTAAATGAGAAATACAACAGTTAGTTGCAGAATATACATTCATTAAACATGGTGAGTGGCATGCAAACCTCATTTTGAAATAACATTCATACAACAGAAACAATGATTTACCATCATCTTGTGACTGGAGTGCTCGCTAGATGGACTTGTATTTCAGTCGGATTCACGTAAAATGGACACCAAGTAAAATGCCAAAATACATGATAAATAGCCAGTCATGAAATAATAATTTCCACCAAATTTACTGAATATTGTCCTAAACTTGTCAAGTTGACTGATCTTTGTGTAACTGAACAAGTCTTCACATTCTTGGCACTTGTTCAATCTCCAACTCCATCTATATCCAATTCAGACATTAGGTGACTGGTGTGAAACAATGGTTGCATTCCTAAAATGTGTAATATTTGGTTTCTTGGATTAAAACGCATCTGGGATTTATAAAATACAAGATGAGTTGTACAGTGATCAACGATATCAAGAATCAATCTGATCTCAGACTTGACGATCGTACAATGCATGACTACCAAAAAAGAAAACGTAATCAATTCAATTCAAGCTTATCATTTATTCCAAAAAACAGCGACTACAAGATACATACAAGTATTCTATTTTAAGCAGATGGACTGTGAATCTTGGTCAATTCAAGTGGGAAGTTCAAGTTCTGACTTTCAATAATTCGAGATCTAATTTCGTCTGACCAGTCAATACATTTATTACAAGCTCTGCATTGGCTACTCTACCAAATATACTTTCTCAGCTCAACCCTGCTTTCACTCATAATACTTTAAAAACCACAGTTCATTTTTATGCATTTGTGAGCTGACCACCCACATTACCAAAACTGTCAATCACATAGTCTGGAATAATGTCACTGGCATCTAGCTCTGCCTTGGATGTAACTCCTACAATTAAATCGGTTCATAGATGTGTTAGTAAAATACAACTGTTGGTATTGGCAAGATCAATTGAATTGCAACCACAATCTGGATGTCAATTTAAAAAGCATACCAGTCATCACTAGAAGGGTAGCAAGCCCGCCAAGTTTGCCAAAAGCGATGTCGGTATCAAGTCTAAACGATGAATTAGATTTATAAAAATAAATAGTTTAAATTAAATTAGATTAGGCAGTGTATATGCATAATCATGAGAGCAATGCATGGACTTGCAAATATTTAAATGCTTACCTATCTCCTACCATGCATGTTCTAGATCGATCCAGGTGACACTTGTTGACAATCACATCGAGCATGACTTGGTGTGGTTTACCCAAAATAATCGGACGACGGCGAAGTGATGCCGCTAATGCTTCAACCATGGCACCTGTGCCTGAAAATTACCAAAATGACAAAAAAGGCATTTAATTAGATTTGAACAACTTAAATCTACGCGAATCATTACTGCAGATCAGTCGATATCATATAAGCATGTTTACCAAAACAAATTATACAACGTACCAGGAAATACAGTGCCAGCAGTAGGGTAAGTCAAGTCACCATTTGTGGCAATAAAGTGGCAGTCTGGATTGGAGTTGACATATGTGAATGCCTTGGCCAATTTTTTATAATTAATATTGATGTCAAATCCAAAAAGAACAGCCCCAACTTCAGGATCTGGCTTGATGTTTTCAAGATCAGCAGTGCTAATATTTTCGTTATCTTCCTAATGCTCAATCAGTCATTAGTTTCAAGTAGATGTGGATTGACGCAACAAATTATGTACAATTGATTTTTGTAAAAACAGATGCTCTTGGTAGCTTACCTGGCCACCACAGTACCGAATGCCTTGCTCTTCAAGCTCATGACAAATTCCCTCCATTCCGCTTACATAAACCTTTTTGTTAGCAGGGAATTTGAGCTGGTGTGCAATATAATATGCCGCAGCATACGAAGATCCAAAAATTTCATCCTTGATAATTGGTAAAATATGCAACCCATTTAGATCAATACCAGTTCAAGATATAAGCAATCGTAAATGTATAACAAGACCAGTGTTAGTGCATGTAAAAATTGGCTGTATTGATCATGTTCAAGACTTACAACAGATGCTTGCAGACCGAGTGAGGAAAGTTTCTTTTGATAATCATTACGAGACTTTGTCGAGTTGTTGGTTACAAATAGAATGCGTTTTCCCTAGTAAAGTCGATTCCATAGAGTTTTGCAGATCGGAAAATTGGTCAGCATACAGCTATTTGGCCAATTAAACTGATCAAATATATAGTAATGAGCAATGGAAAACTAACCATGGAGCGCAGCATCTTGAGAGTGTCGGCAACACCACTTATCAGTACATTTCCTTGCCACAAAACACCATCGCAGTCTAGCAAAAAAGTATCGTATTTGGAAACAACGTGCATGATGTGATCATGACTATTGAGTGAAACAGGAGTAGTGGAAGACATGACAATGAATTATGTGGGTTGTGATAGTTGCGCAGGAATATCAGTTTAAGCCCAACTGCTTTGTAATCCAGATTGCTCGTCCAAACTGATTGGAGCCACGTGCCAGCAATCAGTTTTCAAACAACATCGATTGGCCAACAAGTGTAAACCAAATGCATTGGTATCGAGTCATATATAGATTGGGTTAAGTCGAGACTCGATCCATTCGCTGCATTGTGAGTCAAGCAATAGATAATATGCTGCAGTCCTATCAAAAACACAATTCTTGCTGAATGTATTCAAGGGAATGCTTTTTTCATCTATTATGCACAAGGAATCGGAAGCAGAGCCGCATTCCGTTTACATTTGAAAATCGTAATTCAGATTTAAAAAATATCATTCAATCCAAACCGTTCAGAGTGTTTGTCTGGCATGTACATACTATTGATGATGTCCAATCGCAATTTAGATTAAAACGAAATTGCTCAAAACTCACAGCTAGCAACAATGAAGATGAGAATGTATAGATAAATGAAAAATTGCAGCAGCCATCAATGGTATTATTTTTCAAATATCAGTAGATTGCTGATTTGAATGGCGGGAATATCAATCGTGTCTTGGCACAACGACAATCTGACTTGTTGGCATAATCAATTTGCTGAGCTCGATGTTCTTGTTCCAGCACGAAAGTTTAGACGATCCATCTATAGAGTTTGACATTAGTCTGAAGCAATCGTGCAATGTTACAAAGAATTCACGTTTCCGGAAGGCTGCAACGGCATGTTTGATACTGTCTGAATCTTTCCGAAATATGGCGAGATTGGATTGTTGAAATATAACCAAAAAAATATTTTCCTTCTGTTCCCATTCATTTTGTCTTTGACAATTAAGCATTGCTTTTTCTCAATTTGTACTATAGAGTTAGTCGAGCGATCTTGCTAGTCTATCCATACACTCACTATTGCCTGAACCTTTGGTTTTAAAAAGTAGCCTTGACTCTCTTTTATTCAATTTCCACTGTCTGCATGCTGCCTTCTGATCAATTCAACAGCCCTGCTGCTTTGCCATCCACTGCTCCCAATGCATTGGCATTGCTGTCGGATATACAGGCTCATGCCTCTGACAGTGCTTCTCATGGCACAATTGGTGTTGCTGGCGATGATGACTTTGACTATGAATCATTACCAGATTCATCCATGGCAATAAATCTGCTTGCTGGTGCATTTGCTGGTATCACTGAACATGTTGTGACCTATCCTATGGATGCCATCAAGGTATGTTATTAGAACTATTGTCGGATAAATTCCGTTTGTAAATCATTTATGTCGGTATATTCCCATTTAAAAGATCAAGTGCTGGTATGCCAAGGAGAGTTTGATCCATACAAATTTAGAGTTGCCTTGACTAGATGAATTGGTTAAACACCTTGTAAATAACATATCGAATGAGAACAAGGATGATTTCATTTGATAGATTATGATTGCTATTGAGCAATGGTCTATTACTATTTACCTCTATTCTAACTCTGCAATCTGTATAGACCCGCATGCAATTTTTTAGCTCTACCCAACTGTATTCGACGCTTGTCCAATCTGTTGCCAGAGTCTATACTACAGAAGGATTTGGCGCGCTATGGAGAGGAATGTCATCCGTTGTTTTGGGTGCTGGCCCCTCTCACGCTCTATATTTTTCGGTTTATGAGCATTTCAAAGGGATTTTTCATACTTGGGACAATACTACTCATCAGCATATGTCACATGGTAAATATTTTTATCGATTGCATTTATGGGCTATACTATATTTCCTTGATGTTTTGAATACAATGATATCCAACTTGTATAATAGGGCAGATCATGCAATTAAATTGATTTTCAACTGACATTTTTATTGATGTCTGTAGCTGCCGCAGGTGTCATGGCCACTATTGCTCATGATGGATTTGCTACTCCATTTGATGGTAAGCTGAAAGTTGTTTTATTCAATCAATACATAAATTATCGAGTCAAATACTTTGTGCCATTTTAACACTGAATCCCCTTGTCTTGTATTGACAGTAATCAAACAACGCATGCAAATGTCTCCAGTCAATACCGGACTTTTTGCTTCTGGAATGAACGTTTTTCGCACAGAGGGCATTGGCGCCTTTTTTGTCTCATACCCTACCACACTCATGATGTCCATTCCATATCAGATGATCCAGTTCTCGACTTACGAATATTTTCGCAAAGTGCTAAATCCAGCCGGCCATTATGATCCTTATTCACATATTGTAGCAGGAGCAATCGCAGGTGGAGCCGCAAGTATGGTCACTAATCCACTAGATGTAGCAAAAACACTTTTGCAAACGCGTGGACTTGCTTCGGACTCGGCATTGCGGCAGGCATCTGGATTGATTGATGCATTTAAAATCATTTACCAACGAAACGGATTAGCTGGCTTTACTAGGGGCATGCAGGCTCGCGTTGTTGCTAATGCACCTGCTACTGCTATATGTTGGACCACTGTAAGTACTATTGCGATAAGCCTGTTTTGAATTGAATCCATCATCCACTCTAATTCTAAACTTTTTTAAATGTCAGTACGAGTTTTTAAAGCGAACCATCATTACTTCAACAGCATCCACCAATACTTCCAACATCACCGCCAGTTTATAGCTGTAAGATCCAAATAAAGAAACCTTGGGTCCACTTTTTAGATTCAAGTGAAAATACACAATAGTTTTATGCAATATATTAAATTCAAGTGTCCGAGTAGTTGAAGGAACGTGCCGATTCAAGCCATGTACATTACCCCAAGTAGATGAATTCGATTCGGATGGAGATCAATCAAGATCAAGTTATCAGACTTGACTTTTTACAACTAGTAACAAAGGATGAGAATGGAGAAATAAATGAGATTGTTGACAGCCATCATCATTGATGTTGTTTTGAAAACATCAATAGATTATTGATTTACATCCCAGAAACATCTATTGCTTGTGCCTCATGTACCATGACAATCTGGCTTGCTGGTACAGTCAATTTGCTGATCCTTACAATTCAACAAGACAACGTTCCTCATTTGGTCTTGTCCTGACGCGAGTTCAGCGTTCCATCTATTAGTTTATGCTAACCTAAACCAATCGTGGAATGTTACAAACGGAAAACTCTTGTTTTTAAAGTGCTGCAACAATAGTTTGATTAATGCCATCAGAATATCTTCAAAGCATGATAAAATTGGGCTGCTGACAATTTCTCATTTTATTTCATCTCTCCATTCTCATCCTCATTGTTACCAGCTGTAATCCAACAAGCCGAGATATGACAATTCTTGACCCACTCAACAACCTATTGGTTTCTGGAAACCATAAGGAGCTTTTATCTATTATCAAAGGATTCCGTAATGGCGCAGTATATGGTACATTTTTCATTTGATGACTGACTTGCCATAACCCGATAGGACTGAAGTAGCTTGGTCGACCTACCCTTGCTACTGGTCAATTTCCAACCTACAAAGTGAACCTATCACTTTTTTGGATGAGAATTAGCAACCACCAATATCGGTTTGCTAAAGAGACAGGATAGACAGGTGCATGGCAGTATTCGAGCATTCCACTATGTATAAAACTGGTGGTTTTTGTGCAATGCCGTTGCTCACTGATGCACCTATGAAGCCATATCTAGTCCGCTAGATATGAATTAAACCTGCCAGCTCAACCTTGCTTGTATACAGTATATATTGGGGATGCATTTTCAAATGTAGTCTAGTGAATCATGCATCTTGTTAATACTATGCTGGATGCTTTTATGCCTGCTGATTTATGACATTGTTGGTATTTGGTATTGAACTTTGTAGGGGCCAAGATTCGATTTCCTCATGCACTGGTCATGACATGTATTTTCCGTAGGACAAAGTATGTATAGCATGCATTTTCAAATGAAATGAAGAAAGCTTGTTCAAAATCAAATTTTTATATGGTGGAAACGCCCAATATAGCATCAAGGATATGGCTCGAAGAATCCTGAAAATGACGTATCAACATAGCAGAGGCCTGGCCATGTTTGTAACCATTTACAAATCCATGCTGCTGGTACAAAAAAAGATCAAGGGGTTTGAGCACAATACAGATTCGTTGATTGCTGGATTTGTTGGCGGATATATTGTGTTTGGTGAAAACAACAACATTAATAACCAGGTATGATACAGCATATCAATAGTTTAAAGTTGCATTTATTATTGATTGATGTGGCTAATCGTTTATTGGGGTAAATCTTTAGATTGTGCTATACTGTTTCTCTCGAGTGATGGTCGGGCTTGCCAAACTTGCAGTTAAGCGAGAATTAATCCCACAGCCCAAACACTCCTTCTCGGTGTTTGCTGCAATGACTTGGGGTGAGTGCATATCAATCTGCATGAACAAATTAGACTGGATAGTGATGTTGGATACTTGTTTTCTAATTTAAATTTAGCACTTGTAATGTGGCTATTTAGACATGATCGAGATACCTTGCAAAACTCACTACAGTCGTCGATGCAATATCTATATAATGATTCTGATGTGTTTGATTCAGTGCGTAACTGGATCATCTACAACAAATAAAAATAGCATAATGAAAATGCATTTCCACTTGAACCGTTGTGCATATTGCAAATTAAAGGATTTTGTGATTTTTGTCCGAGTTGCGGCCAGCAGCAGATTCCATTCTTTATCTGTTCTTTCTCTTCTTGAGTTGCATTTGTGTTTTGACACCATAGACTGGCAGTGTTGACATACACATATTCGTAGTATGGGAATAAGCGGCCTGCTTCCCTTACTCAAGGACATTCACCGCTCTGTTCACCTTAGCAACTACAGTGGACAGGCTGTTGGAGTGGACGCGTATGTCTGGCTGCACAAAGGCGCATTTGCTTGTGCATCTGAATTGTGCCAGAACATTCCTACTACAAAGTAATCATTAGTGGTTGTGGTTAGATCTAGTATTGGATATATCTGTATCAAGTCTTTGCTCATTCACTGTTTATGCTGTAGATATATCACCTACTGCCTTAACAAAGTGCGACAACTTCAGAATCACAACATATGGCCAATCATCGTGTTTGATGGAGGTGTGCATCTGGGCATACTGTTCTTAACCTAGATACTGCTATCAATGTAGCAGTAGTATTAGTATTCATCCTGCTAACCCTTATGTCTTATTTCATGGTGCTACAATTTTATTACTGTCCGAAACTCTACAGACCGGCTTCCAATAAAAATGCGTACTGAAAACGATCGACACAAGTATGGCATCAACTCTACTGTTTCAACTATGTATACTTTATCAGCAGCAAGTGCTTGCTATACTTGTCACTAATCCATTTTTCATTTGCAATGTGTTGTCTGCACTGCTGGTAATGAATCAACAATAGACGACGAGAGATTTCGAGAGCCAAGGGATTCGAGTATTTGCGTGCAGGACAACGAGACAAAGCACAGGACTGCTTTCAAACGTGTGTGGATGTCACTCCTCGCATGGCACACGAACTTATCAAGGTAATACAAAAAACCAAGATCTTGGCTGATTGCAACTCTCGAATCTAATAGACCTGCACATTGTAGGAACTCCGAGCAAATAATATCGAATACATTGTTGCACCCTACGAGGCAGATGCACAATTAACCTATCTCAACAAAATTGGAGATATATCGGCAATTATTACTGAAGATTCAGACCTGCTTGTGTTTGGGTGCTCCAAGGTAATACTCAAACTAGATCATCAAGGAAATGGGATAGAGATTCGGCAGGAAGATATTGCAAATATTAAAGAAATGCGTTTTTGGTCGAGCGATAAATTCCGGCACATGTGCATCTTATCTGGATGTGATTACTTGGAGTCTCCACAGGGAATTGGCATTAAGAAATCCATCAAATTATTGGCAAAATGCGAAGCTGCCACTGTAAGTGATGATGCTATGTACAAGATTTACTCGACATCAACGAGTTGCTTTATAATAGTGTTCAAATTGAACATGCATTGATTCTTTATTGCATTAAATGCATGGTATATTTTTATAGCTGATCAAAACTTGGAAGGCTTGGGGAAAAGCTGCCAATTCGCCCAAATTACCACCCAATTACTATAGCCGGTTCATGTTGGCGGATTTTGCTTTTCAGCATCAGCGCGTATATGATCCACAGCAAGGAATACTTGTGCCACTTACACCTTTCCCACCAGATCTGGAATTAACCGAAGAGCTGTCTATGATAATTGGCCCGTAAGTTGAGCGTGTCATTCAATATCAGAAATGTGAATATTCGACTATTTTGAAACCAAATTTGAATGTCAAGGTTAATTCATTTTATAATCTATAGTGACATGTCAAAGAAATTGGCAGTGGGAGTAGCTATTGGTGACTACGATCCTATAACTAAAGAGCCATTCTCACAACGTGATGAACTTGCTTTACCAATGCATAAGCCCATACCTGCACAACAATACAAGAAATCAGAAAATGATGTACAAAAGGAAAACAACAATCCAGTCATAATGCATTCATTAAAGTCGTCCAGTCTCCTAACTTGTACATCGATTCCCAAGCCCGCTCATGTAGCCGTTTCAAACCAAAATCCACATACATATACTTTACCCACCAGCAATTTTTCTCAGTCACAACCCAATATGACACAGTTAAAATCAGATTCAATCAAGCCGTTTACTCGAAATAACTCGGATTCAGTATCATTGGCAACCAGTCATACCAACACATTGAAGCGCAAGTCTATTGTCGCAACAAGTATATCTGCCACAAAACCGTTTACACTGGAAAATGCAAGGTTGAATGGATCTAAAAGTATGAATTGTAAGAGTTCTGTGGCTGCGATACATTCAACAGATTTTCCACGAGCAAAGTATACCGATCAGGGCTTTTTGGATCAAAACCAACGTTTAAAAAGTCGAGATTCAACAACGCTTGTAAACTCCAACGATAAGCAACCCCATAAAGATGCAGACGATGCAAATCATAAACCCACTACGACTACCTGTATGAGCTCGACTAAATTATCATATGCGAGGGTACTGAAATCATCACATATAGGAAATACATGGTCAGATCGAACAAATCAAATTAAACCAGGTCAATCCACGGGTTTAGTTTCCAGTTATTTTGCCTCTGCCAGTATACCGTCTACACCCAACACCAAGACATTGCACAGTGAGGATGGACACGCTGAGTCTGTGCAGCGACCAGTCATGGCAAACAGTAGAAAAAGTATGTTTCCAAAATGGGATTTGGCTATATTGTCACAAAACGATAAAAACAAGGCTGAAGATGCTGTCAAAACAATGCCACTCAAATCCACCTTGCAACCGCATTCGAATGCAGTTGAAGAGGAAACGAGTAGTGTTGGCACGTCTTCACAATCGACTTTGTCTGCCTCTTGTACTCGTTCGGTAAGATTTATTCACATGCTTTATAACCGTATCTTGATTTCAAATCGCGAGAAATTTAATCTTGGATACTTTTGAATGTAGGATTCCAAGACAAGCTTGGAGAGTGTTTTTGGATACAAACATGCTGGTTCTGCTAAACGAAGGTTAGGAACTGGAAGGATGCTCAAGTCTTTGGCACCGCCAACAACAGCAAGAATGCTTCGTTAGCGTATTGATATAAATTTCAGTTACTCTTTTCAATTTTTAAACTGCTATTGCTGTTTAGCTGTAAGGTGATCATAGCCAGCAGCAACGGAGATGAAATAAAGAGAGATTGCCAACAGCTGAAAAATTGAAGGATGTGGTATGAAGAAAGCATTCAGTTTATTCCAATCTCAAAAGGCAGATGAAAGTTTACCAGCGAGCAATGGGATGCACGGGTACGTTATCAAGAATCAAGTCAATCTCAGTCATAACTTCAGGAGTCAGTTTGGCACAAACGTCGAGGGCCTTTAGGTTTTCAGTAACCTGCGAAACCTTGCTGGCACCAAGAATGACACTCGAGACATTAGGATTCTTAATACACCAAGCAAGAGCAAACTGAGCAAGCGTGCATCCATGACTTTCGGCAAGAGTCTTGAGCTTGCGAATCTTTTCCTGCTTGAGTTTTCCGGCATCAGATTGAAGCTCCTTGACAATGCCCTGCATAATGGAATTATTTTGCAGAGCGAGACGCGAGTCAGCGGGAATACTGTCGAGGTATTTGCCAGTGAGGACGCCTGAAGCCAGAGGAGACCAGATGGTGGTACCCAAGCCATGCTTTTTGTACAGTGGAGCGTATTCAACCTCGAAGCGCTCGCGATGGAACATGTTGTATTGAGGTTGCTCCATTAATGGGGGAATCAGATTCAGTTTTTCAGCAACCCTGTAAGCATCAGTCAGTTGTTCGGCAGACCATTCAGATGTGCCCCAGTAAAAGGCTTTACCCTGGTCGATCAGGAAATTGAATGCGCGGACAATTTCCTCCATGGGAGTTAGTTCATCAGGTCGATGGGCATAGATCAGATCAACATAGTCAAGCTGGAGACGCTTGAGAGATGCATTAGCACCTTCGATAATATGCTTGCGAGATAGACCTTTGTTGTTGGGTCCTTCGCCACCCCAGTAGAGTTTAGTAGAAACTACCAGCGATGAGCGATCCCAACCGTACTTTTTGATGGCCAATCCCATAACCTTTTCAGATTCGCCTGCAGCATAGACTTCTGCCGTATCAAAGAAGTTGATGCCAGCATCATATGCAGCCTTTAGGCATTCAAAGGCAACGTCTATTCAATACCAGATCATAAGTATAAATGCTGTCAATTAGACTATTCAGAAAGCATGATCTACACACCATTGCTGAGCTGTGCACCCTGGGTAATCCATCCACCAATGGACAGGACAGATACTTTCAAACCAGAGTTTCCGAGAAAACGGTATTGCATTTTTGAGCTAGCCATGGTTGTTGAGAGTAATACTTGAAAGGACAAAGAAACCCCAGATCTCTGATATTTATAGCCTGAATATGCCTAGATTTGAAGCAAGTGGGCGGCCGAGAGATCATACAGCCACAATTGCTTGGTCTGCTCACTGGATTGCCATGCTAATATCCAATCGCTTGGCTGCTGAAATTTCAATTTTCTTGAATTCCCAGTCATCTGAGCTATGAAACTCCTACATTTTATCAAAGCAAGCATAAACCAATACCTACGGTTCATACAGCCGAGCAATTGTTTAGCTAAACGAAAAAATACAGCCGCTTACCGGAAAGCTGACGGGTATACCGGATCAAACGATAATAATGCAGAGAGATCAATCTGGAATAGTGAAAATAGATCACTTGGTTAGTGACGGAAAAGGTGGATAATCCTTGACCATCTCGCCATAAACATTTTGTTACAGCCATGTTCATGTAAAATGGAACACTAAACAGATCTCAAAGTACATAATAAACAATCAGCCTCATGAAATGATGGTCTATACCAAACTTACTGATCAACATTGTGTTTTCTGATCCCCTGGTAAACAGCATGAAAACAACTTGCATTCTCAAGACGTGCAATCTGTTCTCATGAACTAGAACACGAACGTATTCAAGATCTGGACCGCAACGAATGAATTTGGGTTCAAACTTGGTGATCATACAATGTACGATCATGCCAAAAAGAACAATTTCAGATTAAAATGTTTGTTTATGCGGATAAGATGAAGATTGTGTTTGGATGAAACTAAAGCACTAGTCGAGTCGAGTAAGCATAATACTCGATTATTGTTTATTTCAAAGCAGTTATTGTAAGATACAAAAAAACCTTGCATTTACATGAATACGGCTATAACATTCCAATTTACATCAAATACACGAAGCCCATAGATCTATTGAGTAATAGAATGGCATCATCCACTACTACGCTGTCTACAGAAGAGTATGAGCAGCAATATTATGATACACAAGCAGCTAAACAGCAGTTGATAGATGCACTCGCCACAGCTGGAGCTGCTCATAATGCTGCATCCATGTTTGAGTATGCTGTTGACAAGTAAGTGTCGTACCAACATTGTCCTCGCTTGGGTTTGTAAAGGCCATGGCACATGAGAGTGAACAAGTGTAGAACAGCAGCTAATAGATTCATGATTGTATTTATTCATTGTATCATTGACGGGAAAGGCATCAAGACTTGTTGTGTGTATGTAGTGTAGATCATCCTCGGCAATATACATTCAATCAGTTGGAACAGGAAGCCAACCGAATTGCTCACTGGGGACAAAGCATCGGACTCGAACAGCTTCAAACCGTATGTAAATCACAAAGATTCAACAGCTCCTACCAAACCATTTCCATATTAGCAAGCTGCTTATTTAGTCGTGTATGTTATAGATTGCTTTAATGATGGAGAATAGACCAGAGTTTCTAGCATTTACAATGGGATTGGCCAAGATCGGTGTAACAGTTGCATTGATTAATACAAATTTGACATCTTCGCTGTTGAGGCATGCAATTAATGTATCTAAAGCGCATGTGTTGATTATATCCCCATCAAAACTGGGCAGTTGGAAAGAACTGTTTACACCATTAAAAAGTCAAGATCGATTGCCGACATTGGTGGATTCTGCCAATCCGCTTGAACACCTAAATCGTGTATACTGTTATACAACTGAGCATGATCACAATGTTCCAGATGTCGAGTCATGGAGCACATCACATATCATGCATTCATTGCTATCGCACCAACACCTCTCTGGTTTCAGCAACATCCGACCTGATGCATCCAAAACTCGCAATACAGTGACAGATCGCACACCGTTATATTATATATACACGTCGGGAACAACAGGAAACTCCAAAGCAGCCAAGTTTTCGCATAAGCGGTTTGTTGGGGCTGCTGTAACTTGGGCATCCGCGAGCAAACTTGAATGTGGAGAAAAGTATTATATTGCTTTGCCATTGTACCACGGAAATGCAGGTGTAGTGGCTGTTGCTCCGTGCTATTTGGTTGGCAATCCCATGGTTTTGAGGGAAAAGTTTTCTGTTCGCAATTTTTTTGTGGATATTCGTCAGCACAATGTAAGCTTAATGCTTTTGGAATGTAGTGTTGGACAAAAGGTGTATTTTAATCTTTATAATGCATAGTGCTTTGCTACCATTTACATTGGTGAGCTGTGGAGGTACTTGTTGACATTGGCTGTGACTCCAGATGAGCAAGTTCCAACCACGTTTTCTCCATTAAAAGTGGCAATTGGAAATGGTCTAAGCGCAGATATCTGGACAAAAATCCAAGCAAGATTTGGCATCCAGTATATTGTTGAACACTATGGATCCACTGAAATGCCTGGCGATGCCATCCTCAACTATATGGGCAAAAAAGGATCGTGTGGATTTGTTCCACGTAGCGAGTCTCTAGCAAAATCGCACACAGGTACAGGCGGGGTAATTGTTTCATATGATGTGGAAGCAGACTGCATCGTTCGTTGTGAGCAAGACGGCGATCGATGTGTTATGTGCAAGCCAGGTCAAATTGGTGAAATGATTATGCGCCTTGTGGATGGGGTGTATGACGGGTATGCTGGGGATGGCGAGACTAGCAAGAAGCTTTACCGTAGTGTGTTTGAAAAGGATGATACATGGTGGCGATCTGGAGATCTTTTGAAAATGGACGAGCAAGGTTTTTTTTATTTTGTCGATCGGACTGGAGATTCATTTAGATGGAAAGGGGAAAATGTTAGTACACTTGGTAAGTTTTTTGGATCTAGCATATTGTCAACAATTTGGAGAAGCCTATTGGGTTTATTCTTACCATCGTGTTTTTATTGAACATTTGAGTAGATGTACAAAAGGTTGTTGGTGCATTCTGTGGCATAGATGAAGCCAATGTGTATGGTATAAAAATACCCTATGCGGATGGGCGAGCAGGAATGGCATCCATTGTGCTTTCACCAGATCTAAAGCCCACTGATTTTCCGTTTGCAGCATTTACTGAGCATCTTGAGCAGCATCTTCCTGTATATGCTCGTCCATTGTTTATTCGGCTCACAAGCAATGCACACACAGTGACCAGCACGCTCAAATTTGTAAAATTTGTCTATGTACAAGAGGGATATCGATGCAATAGCAATGATACTGTCTATATGTACCGCGCTGCCAAAAAATCTTGGCAACATGTCGATAAATCTGTTGCTGATGAAATTGATGCACATGGTATTTAGTAAAAGTTGCTATTGAAGTGTTACAGTTGATGACAATGGGTGTGACAAGAAAAGAAATATATATTTTTGGTTATATTTCAACAATTTAATTTTGTGTTTTGGGAGTATTCTGATAGCATCAAACAAGCAGCTTTTTGGAAGCAAGAGTTTGCGTTTAACACTGCTCCAGATTAGTGCATACTATATAAACAGAATGTTGAAGCTTTTGTGCTGAGTCAAAAGCAATATCAAGTTCAACACATTGGGCGGCGGCAGTGGCTAGACCGAATGAGAGATGCCGTCATATTGAATCTGCGGAGTCGGTAGATTGTTCAAAAAAATGACCGTGTCAACAAGTTAGATTGCCGCTGCGGTACATGAAACACGATCGATATTCAAACCATTCGAATCAGCCATCTACTGATATTTTCAAAACACCTGCAGACATACACTGATGGTTACTGACAATCCCTTATATTTCCATCCCTTTTGTCTTCAACTGCGAGTTACAACTGATGCGCATAAATACTAGTTTTTAATCATTCTAGGTCAGGGTGGCTATTTTGAAACACTTTGATTAGCAGACCATCAAGTCCAAGTAAGTTGCTGATGATAGCAATACGAGTGGTTGTTATCATCAGCAAGTGTCGACTAGTTTGTCCAAATCCGTCATGATAATTTCCAGTGGAAATATGCATATCATAATCAAGTGTGAAATTTAGATGCGATATGAATTCGTCAGTGGAGATTTAAGCGGTTGAAAAATAAACACTTTGGCTTAACCAAGCAAGCCCTCAGCAAAGTTAGGGTGGTGCTGATTGAGTCAAGCTATTTTTATCTTGAATCGTTATAGTATACTTGATATATAAACAATTGTTGCATGAACACTCAAAGACTTGAATGCATGCCTTTTGATCCAACTCAAGCCATTACACTTGAATCGATGCCAATAGAACAAGTGTCGCATAGACCATCACTAAAGCCAAAACAACTCGTTCTTTATCAAGGAAGTGCTCTTTTTCCAGCAGTGATGCTGACTCCAGTGTCCACTGTACAATCCATCTCCAAGCCATTAGGACATGCTGCATTGACTAATAATACCAACGATAGGGCATTCCATACCCAATACACTAATACTACTACTAGTGCGTCTCCACCGCTGGCCACTGTAGATCACCCTTTTGCTACTGCTCCAGTATCTACTCCTGCTAGCTTCTTCGAGGATGGTGCTCTCGCAAACTCGTCAATCCTGTTTAGTCCCATTAGTCCTGTGGCGGTTGTTTCTGCCAACATACGATCGTTTCGTTCATTGCCCGACTTGACTGCTTGGGAACAGCGACTAGTTACCCCTTCACATGTCAAGTCTGCTGGAAAAAACAGCTCTGTACGTAGTAGCGGCCAGTCCTATTCTCATCTGGACTTGCCAATCCCACTGTCATCAATAGAGTGCAATGGTTTACGTGCCGCTGTATTAGCTACAGAATCTAATCCTGTTATTGCTCGTTATTATGCACCCCATACTATACTGGGCGTTGGCTTCAATGGTATTGTATTGGGTGCATCAAGATTGGCAGATAATCGCTCAGTAGCCATCAAAATTATTTACAAGAATTTGACTAGAGCCTACAATATGTGCATTCCAAACGAGATTGTTCTGCTGCGATCATTCAGCCATACAAATGCTATCGAGTATCTGGATGACTTTGAAGATGCATTTTACTTTTATCTAGTCACATCTGTTTGCGATCATCCTTGGTCTTTGGTCGAGTCTTTTGACCGTGATGATGCGTCCGTTAGCAATATAAAAGACAAGCGTAGCGATGAACACGAGCTGGCTCTATCGCTCCAAACCTTGTCACTTCAACCCACCAAACCCACTGTTTTTCCTCACTCTAGAAAGAGCCGCTGGACTCCCTTGGAATGTTTTTCGTCTAATCACTCCAAGCATTCATCTACGTACCCAGTCACCCTTCGCTGCTTCTCCCCTAGTGGTGGCACTCCATTCATTCTCTGCTATAGCCGCTCATCTGCTGATTTACATGCGTATTTGGAACTAATGAATGCGTCCATGTCTTTATCTACTCCTACATCCACTGCTGCTCTTCACAACACTTCACAGAGCGTTCATTCTACACCGACAGAACACGCGACACGAATTCATGGCATTTTTAGTCAAATAGCAAATGGACTGAATGCCCTTCATTCACATGGATGGACTCATGGCGATATTAAGCAGCAAAATATTCTTGTTGACAGCAAAATGCATGCGTTCTTGTGCGATTTTGGTCACGCAAAGCCCATGATAATCTCACCCGTCTCACCAACAGCTCAAAATAATAGTGCACCCTGCATGTCTACGTTAAAATCTACCCCACCGCATATATCCTGTGCTGGGACTCTTTCCATGACTCCACCAGAACTGATATCAAATCTAGATCTTCCACGAAGCATGTTTTCCAATATGTCATCCTCGGGCTTTAACTCTTCTCTGAATGATCTTGGTGAAATAGCTTCAACTTCAGGGTTTAGTGCAGATGTATGGGCACTTGGTATGGTACTTTACTCGATGATGTATTTTCGATTTCCTAATTCACATAGTGCATATCTCCGCGGGGAAATACCACTAAATCAGTATTACAGTTTTCCATGCGAGTTTCCTACCGATGCAGATCCTCAGTTTTGTGATCTTATTTCGAAAATGCTTGCTATAAACCCTGACGATCGCATTACAATGGCTGATGTGGTGCACCATCCATTTCTTGTATCAACGCAATAATACAGCAATAATGTAGAGATCTATAAAACAGAGTAGCTGTATGCTACTTGCAGGATCTTTTTGTCTTCAAATTACGGCGGCATTCACGTAAAATAAACCACTTTTGTATTTATCTTGCAGTTGGAGTTTCAATTTTTGTTGTTGGAAATGGTAGCTTTACACAAGGAACATTTGGCACGAATATGGCATTGAAGAATTTTGTTGTATTTTAATATCAGATACGTTTGTGATCTAATTCAACATATCTCAGAAATATAATATTGGAACACTTGCCTAGTTTTTTATACAAAAATGAGCATGGAGATCAGTGAGTTAAAGTTTATAAAATATTGTCCAGTAATATTGGTACCAAATATGAGATTGTTTATTTTAGTTTACGTGAATGCGACTGTAAATGGTGTTTTGATATTACAAAAGTCTTGCAAGACTATTGAATAATATGAAGTGAACGAGTGCAATAGGATCACGTGTTTAGTGTTTAGATTTGGTTGAACAATCGAGCTTTGAACATTTGTAACAGCCAGCAATGGAAACAAGTGTCGAGTCGTTGCTGTTGGGAATAACTTCTCAAGCAGATGCCACTATAGAACCATTACTCACAGATCACCATGCAGATATAAGCGACACTTTTTCAGAGTCCAACAAGCGCAAAACTCCTCCAACAGAAATTCCTGTCACTTCTGAAGAGGATATTCTCAAAATCACTCCATTGGGTGCTGGAAACGAAGTTGGTCGAAGTTGTATTCTACTAGAATTCAAGGGGAAAACTATCATGGTGATTTTTATTGATTTTTTGATGTTGGTTTAGTAAATGTGAATGGTTTCGAGTTTGAATTGATTCTAACATGTTTATTTGAATGAAATTACATTTACTGGACTAAATATTGGCTGTATTCATCCATATTGCATTAAACTGTACTGAATTTCTATGTAGTTGGACTGTGGCCTTCATCCTGCACACTCTGGTCTGGCTGCTTTGCCTTTTTTTGATAATATCGATCCTGAATCAGTAGATCTGGTTCTTATCACACAGTCAGTAATGAATTGCTTTTGGCCATGCAAGAATCTCCATCATTTTTTCTATTGTGTTCTAGTGGTTCGATAAGAGAGCTGGGTGTACTGTTTTAAAATATAGATGTGCTAACGTTTCGTTATGGCTGGATGCCACGAAATTATACAGTTTCCATGTCGATCATGCTGCTGGACTGCCCTATTTCATGGAAAAGGTAAGACATCGTGTTCACCAAGTTTTACAATGCTTATTCGATCGAGATGAATTACCATTAAATGAATACCAATGGTTTAGACGGCATTTAAAGGTAGAGTCTTTATGACACATCCCACTCGAGCGATCTACAAATGGCTGGTATCTGATTATATCAAGATCAGGTTTGTTTATTTTATTATGCTACAGTGGACTATGCCAATATGTAGATTTGAAATCCAACACAACTTTTGTATACTTAGTTCATTGTCACCAGACGACCAGTTGTACTCTGACAAGGACTTGGCAAATTCATACGGACGAATTGAAGTCATTGACTATCACCAGGAAGTGGATCTTGGTGGTATTAAATTCACTCCATATTATGCAGGCCACGTTCTTGGCGCCGCCATGTTCCTTTTGGAGATTGCTGGTGTCCGCCTCCTCTACACTGGTGACTATTCTCGCGAAGAAGATCGTCATCTCATGGCTGCTGAACGCCCTCCATCCTCCATTATTCCCGAAGTTCTCATCTGCGAGTCTACATTCGGTGTTCAAACTCTTGAGCCTCGGCTTGACCGCGAGCAACGATTTACTCGTATGGTTCATACAATCGTTAAACGAGGAGGCAGATGCCTTCTTCCCGTTTTCGCACTTGGTAGAGCACAGGAACTTCTTTTAATTCTTGACGAGTATTGGCACGCTCATGCCGACCTTCATTCTGTTCCCATTTACTATGCCTCAGCGATTGCCAAAAAGTGTATGGCTGTGTATCAAACGTACACAAACATGATGAATGGAAGAATCAGAGAAATGGCCAAGATATCTAATCCGTTTCAGTTTAAGCACATTAGCAATTTGAAGAGTATTGCTCAGTTTGATGATGTGGGTCCGTGTGTGATGATGGCAAGTCCAGGAATGCTACAGAGTGGACTGTCACGAGAGTTGTTGGAGCTTTGGTGTGTTGACAAGCGTAATGGGGTCATCATTCCTGGGTATGTAGTTGAGGGAACACTGGGAAAGGTAAGCTTATGAATAGCCAGTATAGTGTTTTCGTGTACCATGGCCAATATGTTTATAATACCATCTTTTTTGTTAATCTATAGCAAATTTTAAGTCAACCTGACGAAATACCGGCCATGAATGGATCAAAACTACCTCTTCGACTTAGTGTTGAATATATTTCGTTTTCAGCCCATGTTGACTACCGCGAAAACTCCGAGTTTATTGAAATGGTTGGCTCGCAAAATCTAGTATGTGATGCTCATTTTAGCTATACATTGTTTTACTTGGATTGCACTTTAAACCCGAGTTGCTAAACATTCAATGTTTTGTTTAGATTCTTGTTCACGGTGATTCAAATGAGATGGGACGATTGCGAAGCGCTTTGCAGAGTCGATATGCTGAACGCGAAGTTCCACTACATATATACACTCCACGTAACTGCGAAACAGTTGAGCTTGTATTTCGAGGAGAAAAAATGGCCAAAGTAGTTGGCTTGCTAGCACAATCGACACTTCAAGATACCAAGCCATCCAAAACAAGCATCACAGAGCTAAAACAAGATTTAGATGAAATTGTTGTGAAGGAGGAGCCCTCGGATGAACCAACGAATGCACTCACTCTACTGACTCAGCAGAGTAGCGAGACTACGGATGTATCTGTACAGATTAAGGATGGTACAGTTTTAAAAGGAATACTTGTATCCAAAGACTTTGCGTTCCAGATTGTTTCTCCTGGAGATTTAGATACATTTAGTACTCTGCATACAGTTTCGCTTATTCAGAAGCAAACAGTGATGACGCAGGCGACATATGGGCTTGTTCGATGGCATTTGGAACAGATGTATGGTGACGTGGGCATAGAGGAAAAAGGGGTAATGAATGTATTTGGTGTTGTTAGGGTGAAAATGGGTGACGATGGTGCAAGTGGAGCATCTATTAGTGTTGGGTTGGAATGGGAAAGCAACCCTGTCAATGATATGATTGCAGATTCAGTTGTTGCCGTGTTGCTTCAGGCTGACTGTAGTCCTGCTAGTGTTAAAGGTATAATTTGCTACTGTCATTTTATGTTTGATGCAGATTTTCAGATGAGTGATTTGATACTGATTCACTACTTTGTATGAGTAGCTACAAAATCAAGCCATTCTCATTCACATGAATCTAAGCCCAACTCGCCAACCAAGGAACACACACCACATAGTCACGCACACCATAATGAGCCTGAAATTAAACAGGAAGACGACTGTTTAAAACCCACTACCGCATTATCTCCAACACATATTCCAGTCAGTACATTAGGAAAAACACCTCCATTGGATGTGTTACTGACGCAATATCTAGAGAATCATTTTGGAACGGATCGAGTGGTTCCGCCACCTACTATTCCCAAAGCTACACAGGAAGAGCTTGAAAGTATTCCCTCGTGGATGTGGGTGATTGATGTTGATGGTCAAATTGCCGCAGTCACTGTTGCTCGGGATGGATCGGCATTTGTAAGTACCATGAATCTCTTGCTCTACCATATATGCATTACGCAGTCGGAATTAACTTGACTTTGATGTTTGGGTAACAACTGGATGATTCAAATCAGGATATTGAATGTGCACACGATTCACTTGAAAAAAGCGTATATTCAATCATTGGTAAAGCCATCAAAACATTTATGCCGCTGAAAAACACTTGGGTATTGCAGCCGCATTCATATAAAACGGAACACTAAATAAAGGTGTCAAAGTATAATAAGCAGTTGGTCTTGTGATATAATAAGCCAGTTTACTGGGTAATATTGGTTTTGAACTAGTGCAAACGTATCCAAGTTTTCAAGATACAACAAAAATGGGCTTGATTAAAGACAATATACTTGACTAGATGAATCTGGTTTCAGACTTGATGATTGTACAATGTATGGTATACCAAAAAGGAAAGAAAAACATCTCAGTTCAAAACTATAGTTTAATTTTTTGTACATTATATAATGAATGCTTAAAAGGAGAATTGGAAAGTCGATTGAAGCAATAGTTTCTAATAAGAAAGCGTAAGGATATTTAGCCACTGCTTATTTAAAAGTGACTGCAAGGTAAATATAAAAGCGTTCCGTTTGATATGAGTACGGCTGTAAATCAGCGGTATGCTGGTGGATGACCCACAACAATTGTAGCAACGCTGTACTGGGGAAGCTTCTCTGAATGTGCAGAAATATGTCCATTTAAACTGTTGACAGTATGTATCCGAATAGAGCCCATATCTGAAGCTGGTGTGGCAGAGCAGTAGTTTAGTGTTGAAAATGGAGGAATAGAGGGAGAAACTCTGGACAATGATCCATTGGTATATGAGACTCCACGGGAATGCTCGAAGCCACTTGTAGCTGCATGGGGTAGCGGATGAGTTGGGCATCGATTTGATGAAACGGTGGCAACGGATGGTGGAGCGATGACAGAACTGTCATTTTCCAATGGTGACAGAGCTATGCTAGATGACGATCGATTATTTGATATATATCTGTGCGGGCGATGCTGATGCTGATGCTGGGCAATGGGATCCAATTCTTGAAAAACAGATTGTTTTGCAGGGTATTTTTGGGGCTCAACAATATAAGCAATTTCAACATCTTCAGCATGGGTGACAGTTGGACGAGGCGATGGAAGTAGCCAGTGAAGAGGTCTATAGCGATAAATGCAAAACGCAATAGCAACGATCAGCACAGCAAGGATGGGGCCAAGGATAATGTAGGTAATTGACCACATTTGACCCTGTACTTGTCCAGTTACAGCATCAGCCTCTGCAAGAGTGGATAGTGTAGGAGGTGCTGAGGATGGCCGACTTGCAGGAGAGATCTGTGGGCTAGCCGGCTGCTGAGATTGTAGAAACGCAGGGCTGGCAGCAACTGATCCAGATTTAGATGAATATGTAGTTAAAGCCAAAGTTCCTTGAAGCAGTAGTAGAAAGAGCATGGCAGAGCCAGTACTCAAAGATGACAAGCACACAACCATTCAAACTATTAGTGATTTCAATCCTAGAATAAAGTGCCAAATATGCCTTTATAACGAACGTCTGTTGTTGATTGTAGTGGCACAGCATTCGGCCTGCTTAAACAAGTTTGGTCAATGAACCAGCCATAATAAACAATCTGCTGTGTTGACTACAGCCACTAGCCAATGATGGTTTCAGCAAAGGTTAAAGCCAAGGTCGAAGCCAAGGTATATAACAAGTAGACCCTCCCTAACATGCTAGATTCTGATAGTAATCTACGGCCGAGCAAGTTGCCGAGCTGGTTCCAGTTATACACAGCCACCACAGCCACAACCATGACTGCTGCCATCAACGACCAAGTGCATCGTAACTAATCAACTAGCAACTACAGGCTGTAGCTACATGGAATACATGGAATAGAATTTAATGACTAGCACTATAGCATAGCATCTCTGCAAGCATGGTTGCTTGCTACAATTGTCAAATTCCACGAGAACCATTCGCATGATTGGATTACCCGCGGTAATTGCATTATTGGCGACTCCGAAAATAACTTGGCTAGTAACCAAGCTCCCAACAGTGAATATGATTGACCATATCAGTCATGACGACGACAGTGATGAACACTCTCCACTCCTACCATCTCCATCCAATGCGACCCTTGCAGACTATGATCGTCTGTGTTCGCAGAGTGTTGCGTCGCACTCGACTACTCTGACTGCTAGTGCAACAGTCTGCGATAGCCCTTACGTTAAACCATCTCCATATATGGCCTGCTTTCCCATCTGTTTCTTTATTCTTGGACTGACCATCTCTTTTGTTCCTGAGCAGCAGTGGTTGATTCTTTACCTGTGTCGTCGCTTTGCTAACCCTGATGTTGCTGCTGCTGGTAGCAATTATTCCATTACTACACTGCCTGAACCCTACAGCCATTTATATCTTCCTGGATTGTTCCATAATCCAGTTGCTTTTGGTAGTGCTGACTGGCCCTTTTGTAGTTCAAATGCTGACATTCAAGTATGTGCTAGCTGTTGTATTACTTTCTATATCAACAACTATTTTATGTCAAGTAGAAACCCTGCATTTAATTTACTATTGGCTTGACTGTACGCACATATTCAGATTTTGGCTGCTAGATGGAAAATGGTTCTATCGCTCTGTAGCAGCATTCCCGCACTAATCACCGCTCCTTGTCTTGGAGTGCTCTCTGATCACTATGGTCGCAAGCCGATAATCCTTGTTCCCTTATTTGGTGCTGCTTTCTACTATATCGGTCTCATTGCTGTGTCTCGTCTGCCAATTGGATTATGGGCATTTATTGCTGTCCATATTCTTCAAGGGCTCAGTGGATCTGGAAGTGTTCTTATTACGGTCATTACTTCTTTTCTTGCCGACACCACTGATCCTGCCGAACGGGGTGCTACATTTGTGTATACCGAATGTCTTGTTTTTAGTGCAGGTGCATTTGGACCTTTGATTGGTGGCTATCTTATCAAGGTTGGTATTTTAAAACTGTCAAACTGCATCATGAGGCTTTTATTGTCCTTTATAAGCTCGACTCTCGTATTAATCTACTTTTTAGATTCTTCCATCAATCGATTTTGTGTTTATGATATCCGGTATACTGGTTATCATGACTCTACTCATTGTCATCTTTTTCTTGCCCGAGTCTTTGAAAAAACTACAGCCAAAACCGACTTGCCCTACAGATCCCTCATTGCCATTGTTAGACCACAATGTCGCGTCTAACACTGCAGCTGTATCAAAGAAATTTAACATTATTGACGAAGTCAAATTAGTGTTCCGTGGTATGTTCGAGTCCTTTAGAGTAATCAGCAGCCCCACATTCGTGATTCTTATAGTTGTGATTTGCTTTGCTGTCGCCGGTTTTGGAGGGAAAATGATGATCTTTCCCTATCTTGCCTTTCGCTTTGGATGGGATTCGTTTATCGAGGGACAATATATGCTTATTGGCACCATCTCTCGTGTAGCACACATGGCTATTACATTCCCAATTATCACCTATCTATTTTCTCCAACGTCTTCGCTTGCATTAGGCAGACGATCGGCATCATCAGTCGAAAGAGGAGTCTCTGGATCAGCAAACCTTAAAACTAGATTCGATCTCTATATAATATTGTCTGCCATCACCGTTGGTGCTCTTTCCACTTTTGCTATAGCTTTTGCGGATCAAACGTGGCAGCTTTTCGTCATTCCTCTTTTTGATGGATTTGCATCGCTTGCATCTCCAACCATTCGCAGTCTCTTATCTCTCTCTATTCCTACAACTTCTCAAGGTCAAATGTTTGCATTTCTTCAGCTTCTCGAGAGTTGCGTTGGCATGATCACGGGTATTATTTATCCTATCATTTGGAGCTCTACAGTCAATACCACTATGCCCAATCTGTTTTTGGTCATCAGCGGATGTTTGTTTGGGTGTGCTGCCATTGCTATGCTGTTTACTCACTTTGAGGACATTGGGCATTGCGATAAAGATGTGATTGTCGTTGATGAAGAATAATAGCTTCATAGTTGTGTATATCGTGCTGTTTTTTGATTATCTAGAGTTTATATTTTTGTAATATAAGATCCAATTAAATGGTATTGGCTCACCACTGTATTCACGTAAGTGGAGCACAACAAGGGTAGCAGTATATAATAAACAGTCAGTCTCATGGAATCATCAATATCAGTTTACTAGTCAACGTTATTCTGATTACACTCTTTAATTGGTTGATCTTTATTCTGGTGATTGCCATGACAATTGTATTTCCGAGATGTGTAATCTTGTTGAACGTGAGTGTATCTGATATTAGAATACAAGAGTTTGATTGACAACAACCTCAATATCTGGACTACAATGTATGAATCTGATGATTGCACAGTGTGTGGTTATGTCGAATGAGCAGAAATGAGCGTATGCATCATATGGTGGATATGTCAGAATCAAGCATGTCAGTTTCTAGTAAAAAAGTGCAACGAGTATTTAACCATTGTTTATTCCAAAGCAGTAACTACAAGATAGATACAGGTTCCATTCTGCGTGAATACAGCGGTAAGTCGAGTTTAACGAGGCTCAAATGAGTTCAGTGGTGCTGCCATCATGACTTCCTGTCCAATGCTATAAAACGTGGGTGAAAACCCTATTTTTCAGCCAATACAATGCCATCCTGCTTACATATTGCCATACGTGTCACCAAGCGGAATTCCCAAAATACAAGCTTCATTTTGCTTTGCAGTCAGCTCGTGGATCCGCTCCATTCCGCTTCCTAGATCCATCATGCTTGTTGTATCACTTGTAGTCTAAAAGCCCGATTTGAATTCGACTTGCAACTATCGTTGTCTGGATTTTAATTAATCGATTAGCATGACACACTCTTCTTTATTGCAAAGCCAGTCATCACCGCTTGCCATTGTATATCCAGAATCGTTGGGCAGCTCTTCATTAAGCCCAACCAGACTTTCTCAATCAAGTGAGAGAACAGTTGTTGACAGAAACGATACACTTCAAGATAGCTGCAATTCGAATACAACAAGTGAGGATGGCAACCAAGAGTGTGCGTTACAAAGATCCTTGAATAATCATAATGATCCAAATAGTAAGTCGGAGCCGATTTCGCTCCCAGTTTTCCGGGTTATGGTTCTTGCAAGTGCCCTGTTTTGTAATACGTAAGGCTCAATTGTTTGATGGTTCCCGCTAAAATGACCTTAGTTCACAACTGTATTCATTCAGAATGGAGCACTAAATAAGAGTCAAGGGACAATAAACAGTCGGTATTATGAATCATTCGTGTCAAACTACTGGGCATTGCTTCACTAAACTCCCTGACAAAGCTCACTGGGTTTCTCCTGGTGATCGGCACGAAAGCAATGCTCAGTGAGCTGGCACGTCATTTCATAACTGGCTGTTTACTAGACTTTAGTTGCATTTTACGTGAATACAGTTGGCAAATGACACATTCCACTTTTTGGACTAACAATAGATATGCTGTTGTGTAACCTATTGATTTATTTAAAACTTTCAGGTTTATGGCAAGCATGCTACTGCCATTTCTGTCATTTATGGTTAGTGATTTTGGAATTGCACCAACACCCAAAGATATTGGTAAATACAGTGGGTGAGTTTTCCCGTTTAAAGCTTGTTTGATCATTGTTGTTCCAGATCCGTCGTAGTACTAATCTGAGTTATTCACGTCATGATGCATCGACATTTCCAAATGAACACGCCTAGATATCTAGTGTCTTCATATATGGTTGGTCAGTTTCTATTCAGCTATCGATGGGGATACATGTCTGACGTGTATGGTCGCAGACCAATCTTGATTATAGGATTGCTTCTCACTGGTACATCCTTTCTCATATTTGGGTTTTCAAAAACGTACACCATGGCACTTGCAAGTCGGTTTGCCAATGGACTTGTTAATGGCATTATGGGTGTATGCATGACCTACATGAGGTGAGTTTAAAAGACAAGAACATACTTTGTTTTGCTGATGCTTGAAGGATGCTAATATACTTTTGCAGTGAAATTACAAATGAAACGAACCAAGGCAGTGGATTTGCAATCTTGGGAACTGCTCGTGCCTCTGGAATTGTTCTTGGTCCAATTGTAGGTAAGTTTATGGTAATTCAATGGGTTAGGCTTGTATTCCAACAAAGATAAAAGTTACAGTTGGCAAGATGCCTAACTCGGTTTTACATTTAATGGGATTAGGTGGATTTTTGTCAGCACCATCAACAAAGTATCCCAAATGGTTTCCAAAAAAAAGTCTTTTTGATATGTGAGTAGTTATTTTTGTTTGCATACAGTTTTAATGTGTTGAATTTGGCTGATTAGCTAATCTAGTTTTTCATTTATATATGTGAATGATAAAACAGATATCCATATAGTTTACCATGCATGATTGGATTTTCAGTGGCCACGACAGGCGGTATACTTGCGATTGCTGTTCTCAAAGAAACCAAGATTTTAGCATCACATACGGATTTACCTACTCATAGTACTGCTTTTCCCGTTCAGGATCAAGATGAGTGCATATCGGCTGAAACAGAGCAGTCAACTGAGCGCTCACCATTGTTGTCAGCATCTGCACCTTTAAATCCAACCCGAATACAGCATACACAACCCGAGCCTATTTTACAGCTTCTTCGTAGCCTACCAGTCTTTTTAACGATATCCCTTTATACCAATCTCAACTCTACCTACATCCAATATGATGAGCTTTTTTCAATTTGGTCTCGTCTACCACCATCTCAAGGAGGGCTTGGGTTTACGTCATCCGATCAAGGCACCGGATTTGCAATTGGCGGAGCTTGTCTTTTTATCTACCAAATCTTCATCTACTCACATGTAGAGCGCCATTTTGGAACACTTCAAACATTTCGAATAGGTGCATTGATCTCACTTCCAGGTTTTGCTCTCCTTTCTTTTGCCACAAACTATAGTCAAACCAACCGAACCTTTATGTGGTGCATGGTTGCAGTGGCTCAAATTACACGTACAGTGGGTGGACTTCAAGCCTTTACATCTATGTTTGTCATGATCTCCAACTCCGTTTTGCCTAGATCTCGTGGGTCAGTCAATGGGTTTGCTCAGACTTTTGGAGCTTTTGGAAAAATGATTGGCCCCATCATTGCTGGCAACGGATTTTCATGGTCGTTGCAAAATTCATTGGGTCCACCGTTTGACTACCGGTTCATGTTTTTAATGTTGATTTTTCAGCAAATAGTTACGCTTTTATTGAGTCTTGGATTAGATAAAAGTATCAATCATCGACTAAGTGAAGAACAAGATATAATGGAATAACTCCATTTTTAGTTTTGCCAAGATGGGCGAGTATTCAAGTACTCACCCATCTTGACTCGGTCAGAATTAGCATGTATTATTGAAAGTAAATTTACTGGAAAATATTAGGTTATACCAAAGATTTATTGAAAATAAACAATTCAATCATTATACTGATGGTTCAATATTCGCGACCTCGCACAAGTATGGCATGTGTTTAAACGATTCGAAGGCATACAATACATTTGACTTTTACACACATGAGTTATATTTATAAATTTGACATGTGCCTATTCAATGAAGAAAACTCGGGGACATGTTCTGGTAGCAATATACTGATTCTCTTGTCAGCCTTTTTTGATCTTTCAAGTGATGACAATGTAAGAATCGTTGAAGAGTTGAGAAGCTTGGATTCACCATCAGGCAACCCTTTTTTACCCTGACCTGCTTCAAGTTTACCTTTTCTTTGCGACCCTACATTATTTTTTGGTAGTGCTAAAGGTAAACCATCTGGAGTTGACTCGGAATGGTCGTGATGTCCTAATGTCCTATCGCTGATAGGCAACGATGTCAAAGGCTGATGGCCCAAGGACAAGTGAGGTTTTGAATGAAAATCCAACGAATGCGCATATCCACCGTCATGATTGGATTGTCCCATCAATGCAGCTTGCGGAATATAAACATCATTGATAGTAGGCGTATCTGCTTTCAGCTGGCCGTGATGGAGCAAGTAGTGGCGTACCATTGCGCTGGAATCTGTTATGTCATTCATTGAAGTAACCGCGAAAGGTATGTCGGATGGTGCATGAGCAGGGTTAGATGAGGATTCTTTATAAATGTTGCTTTGAATACTCAGTGGTGATTGAGTCGTCTGACTGTCCGCTTTATTTGATCCGAGGTGGGAACTTGCAATCACAGGACTAGAGTTTTGCTTTAACATCGCAGTATCTACATCAAGCTGTTTCAAAATATCACTAACAGCATACCGATTATCATACGGTGACATGGAAAACAAGGCATTGGTTTCGGCGACCGAAGATGAAGCTTTCATCCTAGCATCATATTCATCTTGCACAGACATTGCTACTTTTGACATTTGTAATCGTAGTAGTTTTGATTGAACCACCAGCTCATCCACATCATCCGACTCGAAAACGGGTGGTTTAAGTGTATCGGGTGCAAGATTGGTGTTTTCCGTTCCAACCACAGTTTGGATAATCTGAAAGGTGTCGTCATCTTTTGCAGCATTTTTGCTGGCTCGTTTTAATGTTTCAAAAAGATGCCAAGTATCCTGTGGCAGATCTGGGAGCGTGAGTTCCGGCGTAGTAAACGCTTCAATCATAGCTGATGGCATTGAAATAGGCTCAAGCACGCACATGGTTGATTTTTCAGGCAGGTCTAAAGATTTGACAGATGGAGTAGCCAATTTGGGTGATTTGAATACCTTGAAACTGTGTGTGCGGGATAATGGTGTTTTTGAAGGTAGTGGTGTGGTATTTAACAATGCGTTTGTGGTAGGCGATTTCGTTGGAGCAGGTATGCTAGTATGACGATCAGGGTTGGTAGTTGCAGAAATGCAGGGATCAACAAAAGCTGGAATAGCCGCTGTTTTAAAGGTCTTGGAGTTGGTTGATAGTAAAGATGTGGAGTCGGGACGAAGTGGAGGCGATTTGGCGGTGGACCGCTTTGGAAGACGAAGACTAGTTGTGCGATCAAGTCGCTTCGTGGTTTGTGAAAGAATTGATTTTTTGTCAATTATGCTGGACGAATCCAATAACTCATCCCCAGATACTGCAGGTTCAAAAGATGATGACCGGGAAAAGCTCCGAAAAAGGTTGTTGCCCCGGTGAAATAGATTGAACTTTCGATGCTCAATATGCGACTTGTCAATATAATTTTTTGTAGCGTCTAGTGGTGATGATGTTCTATTGAGCAGCTTTTTTTGAGCAGATTCAGATGAGATGGATGGCAAAATGGGAGTATTATGGTGCAGTATAAATGATGGCGGTATATCTGATGGATTGTTGTAATTACTTCTGTTAGGTGAAACAGGAATTTGTGATGGTTCTAGCTTATTCAAGATTTTTTCAATAGCGACAGTCTCAAGATCAATGTGATTTCCAGTATTCTTTTCAGCTTCCCGAGGCAAAGCAAGATCCAAATGATCGAGGAAAGTTGAATCGGCCGAGGTAGCTAATACTTCGATATTGGTAACCACATTTGAAGCAGCTTTACCATCTACGACTGACTCCATATAGTATTTTGCAAAATCAATGCAGTCGCTAGTGCTATGCTGCAGCGACAGCTGAGAGCAAATGACCTCGCCATTGATAGAAGAAACCAATGATGCGCGATGGCTTCCAGATATGGGCATAGACTCGGTATTGTTGGACAGAACAGGCACAAACGAGTCCTGTGCCATATTGATGTCATTACTTGAGCTATGACGATCAGGATTTTGAGAATGCTCATTAGTGTTGTTGATTGGATCTGAAAGTGCACTGAAATGGAGTGCTAATGGACTTTTCGGTGCAAGCGTGCTGAGTGATGCCGAAATAACTGACGATTTATAGCCAGGAGCAAGTGTTCCATCTATAATAACATCACTATAGAGAGAGGATAATGATATGCGCCTCTTCAACGATCCATAGTTACCATTCGATCGACCAGTCTTACAAATTACTTTAGTGTCCAGCTTTAATTCTACATTGTTTGTGGGTCTTTGAGCTACCAACTGGTCTACGGATTTTTGATTACAAAATATCTTAATAAAATTTCACTATCGTTTAAGCATATTCCGACATACCTGAGCCATCAATAGAGTCATCATTGTCAATAGATGCAGACTCGAGTATCAATGAGTTGTTGGTAGTGGGTTTTTGATGCAGTTCAAACGCCACTGCAGCCTTTTTCTTGAACAATCGGCCAAGGAGACTCATGGGTTGCGATATATCTACTATAGACGCACTGGGATTGAAAAGTAGATAAATAAAGCAGCCAAAAGATAAAGCACCTATGAATATATGTCTAGAGTGTTGGCTAATTCAATAGAAACGATCCTAATCCAAGACTCTTCATTTGGCCATTCTACTGCCGTATTCACGTAAAATGGAACACAATAAGGGTGCCAAAATACATAGTAAACAGTCAGCCTCATGATATGATTGGTGCCAGTTCAGATCAAATTTACTGGTTAATAGTGTCCTTCAAACTCCTCGAAAAAGTTTACGGGTATTTCCCTCTGCTCATTCTGTAAAAAGTATTGAGCGGAATGTTTAGTTTCAACAAGTCTTACATCCTTGACACTTCAATCTCCAATGCTTTAAAATGAACATTACAAGTAAACATTGGGTGATTGGCATGAAACCCAGTGCTGCATTTCTAAAAGTAATCTTTGTTTTCTCAAACCAAGGCGTATCCAAGTTTTTAGGATACAAGAGTTGTATTGACAACATCAACAATCGAATCAAATATCTAGATTGCAATGGATAAATCCGGTGATTGTACAATGTATGGTTATTCCAAAAAAGAATCTCGGTTCAAGGTTATAGTTTCTATTATATAACGGACGTTGTGTTTTGAAGAATTAAGGATGTTTATTAAAGTCAATTCCCCCTAATCCAAAGTCATAGCCTACGATATTATATAAATTATTACTAAGCAATTGCTACAGCTTTCAAAAACAAACTGGAATTTTACGGCATGCGTTCAACTCATCGCTCGAGTCGCAACAATCGCAGATTCCATCATCTACTCTTGAAGATGGAATATGTTTTTTTGACTTGCTACAGATCCATACAGACTGTTGAATATTGGCACAAGCAGATGTGCCTGGCTCATCACTACCGTCTGCACAATCACAGTAGTCATCGTTGAGTGCCGAGTAGGGAATTGAAGTGGAATCGGATAAACATTTGAATACAGATTGTGGTGTTTCTGGTGAAGGAACAGGCATATATAGTCTTGAATCTGAAAGTTGCATGAAAGTAGAGAATAATAGTGTCAATCTACTGTATTCACGTAAACAGGATACTAGACAAGAAAGTCAAAGTAAATAATAAACGGCCAATCCCATGGAATAATAATTCACACCAGATTTGCTGGTCAATATTGTCTTTTAGATTCATCAGAATTCACTGATCTTTCTCCTATGTTGGTTTTTGTATAAAAACTGAACAGATGCTCGAATTGCAGTTTCAATAATCCCACATCCTCGACACTTGTTCAATCTCCAACTCCAAAATGAGCACTACAAGTAAACATCAAGTGATTGGCGTGGAAACCATTGTCTATTCCAAAGCAAATAGATACTAAAGTTGCTCCAATTCAGGCTGTCTAGTCAATAGCAATCACAGTCATACCTCGATGCAAGAGTCCCCGTAGCTTTAAAAGATGAATAGAGCTAGAGGGGATGGTGATAGGAAGCGACTGCATTCTATCCAACTGTTGGAGTTCTTCAGCAGAATTCCCTTGTCGAGTGGTCCAAAGTAAGCTAATTGTCCAAACAAATGCAGAAAAGGCAATAATTCGACAAGTCCAACGAACAAGAAGTGACCTGCGAATACTCATTACAGCTGTATTCACGCAGAATGAGATACTAAGTAAGAGTTGACATCATGAAATGGTTGATGTCAAAATTGTCAATTTGAAGCACTCACGATTATCGACAAAAGAATGAGAACGCAGAGAAATTGTCATTAACCGTAGAATTGCTGCATTTTACCGCTGTATTCACGCAGAATGGAACCTGTATCTATCTTGTAGTTACTGCTTTGGAATAAACAATGGTTAAATACTCGTTGCACTTTTTTACTAGAAACTGACATGCTTGATTCTGACATATCCACCATATGATGCATACACTACTTTCTGCTCATTCGACATAACCATACATTGTGCAATCATCAGATTCATATATTGTAGTTCAGATATTGAGGTTGTTGTCAATCAAACTCTTGTATTCTAATCTCAGATACACTCACGTTCAACAAGATTACACATCTCGGAAATACAATTGTCATGACAATCGCCAGAATAAAGATCAGCCAATTAAAGAGTGTAATCAGAATAACGTTGACTAGTAAACTGATATTAATGATTCCATGAGACTGACTGTTTATTATATACTGCTACCCTTGTTGTACTCCACTTACGCGAATACAGTGGTGAGCCAAAGATTGAATCTACTTTTCCACGATTCGCACCTATTGCTAATTCGCTTGACAGCAACTCGCTAGTCTTGTCAATGCACTCAAGTTCTGGCACTGCCAGTGTCACTGCCATTGATGAAGAGTTTGATGAGTCTTTTGCTCGGCTTATAGAACGTTTCCAAGACAAGCTGTCTGACGAAACAGTGATGAATGTGCTTCTTGAATGCAATGGTCAGGAACATGAAGCATCACAAAGGCTGCTAAAAATACAATCTGATTGTCTGCCATTGCAACAAAGCAGATTGCGCTCTCCAAGAAATACACCACTCAAACATCGACAGTTGCTCCGTATGACAAACTACTTTGAAAGTCGCAGTAAGCAGTCAAGTCCTTCTGATATACCACCACCAATGCCAGAATTGACTCAATTTAATCATACCAGTAGCAACCATTCTTGTAAAAATGCCATGCAGGTACTAATTCAAAACAGCATCAAACTCGAGTCCGAAGATTCGGACAAAATAAACTCGCAGCCACCCATTTTACTTACTCCAGAAACTTTGGCTGTCCACACTCCATGTGAAATGTTTATGGACATTCTGCCCTTGAGCGATGCAAATGCACTTTTACAACAAATGGTTGTAGAATCCAAAACATGGAACCCATTGTCTGTGGTGGTTGTGGGGAAACTGCTTCAATCATCTCACAATACTTGCCTGTATACCGATCATGAGATACTCGGCGATATGCCACTTTATTATTCTGGAGTCAAGTCTGAGCCGCGTGACTGGTTACCGAGTATGCGTCTAGCTGCAAAAATCATTGAAGAGAAAGTGAATTGTGCATATGAAAAACGAGAGCGAGCTGCTCTTGAACTACAAGGCCGATGGGTGCCAGGTATTGCCATAGCTAACTCGTATCACACACGGCATGAATTTACTGGAATGCATACAGATAGGCTTACGTATATTGGTCCACGACCTGTGATTGCCTCGCTGACTCTTGGTGCAGCTCGTGTATTTAGAGTGAGGCGATTACGCAATACTGGAATGCCCTCACAAACATATGATATTCTTTTACCACACAATTCATTGCTGATCATGTGGCCACCCATGCAGGAATGTTTTAAACATGAATTACCGCCAGTATCCGAGAGTCTTGTACGTCGTACTGGAACGCTTATTTCGCATCCGCTCAGTGGAGATACACGCATAAATTTAACTTTTCGCATGGTAAGACGAGATGTGGTAGAACAAATACCGATTTGCAAGTGCGGTTCACCAGCTGAAATGCGGTGCGTGATCAAAAAGATGGATGCTCGTGGACAGTACTTTTGGATATGCAGTGGTGGGCTTGGACCCAATGTGATAGATGGGACTATACGCCAATGCGGATTTTTCAAATGGTTTTAATCCAACCATGGATTTTTGTATAGATTCGACCCTACTCTACAGTCGTATCCACGTAGAATGGAGCACTCAGCAATGGTGTAATATTCGTTGCGCTGTCCTCTTACAAATTGACATTTTCAATTCAATAAACACAACGTTCATTATATAATGCAATTAGACTGGCTTTGAACCAACACTATTTTTGTTGTATCCTAAAATTTTAGACACGTTCAAGAAAACAAAAATGCATGTTCAGTAAATTGATACTCATCATTCCATGAAGCTGGTTGTTTATTACTCTCTTTTATTTGGTATTTTACTCTTGCAAAAAAGGATAGTGAAACATCCTTCAAGCCTAAACTGCCATCAAATCCGCCATTTGTTTCATTCAAGTCAACCGCTACCACCATCATACTCTTTAAAATATTCATTGCTTGATTGATTTGGTTGGGTGGTAGATTGTGGTAGCCCAAAAAGTGGACAAGACAACGAAGCATTTTGGGATGTATGTCCAGAAGATCCCAAAAGCGCATTTAACAAGGAAGACTGCTGTGATAGTGTGTTTGGCGATATTCGTACTTGTTGTGAACCATGCTGATGAAATATAGGTGCCCCAGTAGAAGAATGGGCAGCAGAATTTGAAGATAGAGAAATTCCATTAAACTGATTATTTGAATACACTGTTTGTTGTGTTGCAGATACTATTGATGCGGTAGCTACAGATGAAACGTTTAATGGTATATTTGACAGTTGGGCTGATGCTCTATTTTGACCATCGCTTGCAGATCCAGTAAGAATAGCCAAAAGCGACTGCTTGTCATTAACTTGAATGCTAGACTCATTCGTCTGGCTCGGCAACGAAGCTAAATTTTGTTGATCTAAATTCATACTTTGCTGATTGAGTGGTTGCGTCCAAACATATTGTGCAGATGTATTACGCCCATTGTCAGAAAAATCAGACATTTGCTTAGGCTCGGATGGAGTGGTCATATTTAACAGATTTAAAGGCTGTTGTAGGGATGCATTTGTCAGTTCCTGACATTTGTTGAACTGACCAGCCAACGATGTATCACTTGCAGTACTTGAATTTATAGGTATAGAAGACTTTGAAGACATACTTACAGTCTTCAATAGCAATGACAACAAGTCCTCATTATTTTCTTTGTGATCATTTGATAGCAAGTTGGCAGCTGTAGCATGATCATGATGAGGTTGCTGTAAAGAAATGCTAGATGGAGCAAAATTGTCATTCACGGGAGATAATACAGGTTGAGTGAGCCGGTGATCAACAGTGGGAACTGTCTTGATGGCTGATGAAAGGATTGCAGATGGGTCATCACCAGTAAAGTTGGGCTTGGCATTAGCACCCAGAAGAGCACTAAGCAAATCTTGGCGATTGACGTTTGCCACTGTAGGTAGATTAGAAGCAGTCATAGGTGGCTTGGGTGTCGAGCTTTTGAATAATGCCTGTAACAATGTGTTTTTATCCGATTCGGATACTTTTGGGTTTGTTGCAGCTGATCCATTCAATACATGACGATCGTAATGAGGAGTTTGTAGTTGCTGCAATGGTTGCGAATCTGAAAAAAAGGCTGGATCTCTCTTGAGTATTTTTAAAAGAGCTGCGCTATCCACCTCTTGTTGTTTTCTATCCGAGTCAACAGTAGCTTGTAAATTCACAGTATTGGGATTGCTTCCTCTGACATCAGTAGATATAGGCCCAGGATTATTACTCGAGTTGATAGCAGAATGCTTTGAGGCTTTGGATCGCGAAGCAGCGCTCTTTTTATTCGATTGCAGCATGCGTGGCGAAGGATTGGGTAAAACGGAAGCCTCGGGACTTTCTGTTACTAGTGAGGGCTGTCGTACTTTAAGAGGAGGAGCAGGGTATTTTGAAAAAAGCGGGGTGACTGGAGATGTAGTAGTCAGGGAAGCCTTTCTATATGGAGTATCAAATTCCAATGTTGAATTCCCTGGTGCATGTAGAATATTCAACAGTCGATTTTTTTGTTCCTGTTGATCAGCCACGTCTTCAAAATATGCAGAGGATTGGCTCACGCGCCGTGCTTCTGAATAACCATGTAAAGTTGAATCGCGATCAGAGGGCACATGTGAGTTTTCCGCAGAAATTGATGGATATGGTCTGTTCAGCTCTGCAAAATAAGTACTGGGAACAGTATTGTGTTGCTTTGCGCTATCGGATAAAGAACCGTATATGGGTTTAGAGTGAGAGTCTGGATGCATCATTGTTTGGTTGTCCATTTGAGAAAATGCAGGCGTTTTTTGAGCATAGCCATGATGTTCAGATTGTGTAGCTACTGGATATTCATTGCGTGGAACATTTTGAAACATATGCGGATGTATACTTGAATGATTCATTGGGAGTGAGGATGCATATGTAGTAGCTTGATTGATAGTTGGCACTGTAGATAAAGACGATGGCTGAGTGGGATTGATTCCAATCATTTTTTTGAGAGCATTCTCCATAAATGTAACATCAGAATGAGAAATAATATACTGGCTCGAGTAATCACTTGCAGGAATATTTTGAAAGATGGATCTGGATGCGCTGTTGTTGGGATGGTTTTGATCATTTACTAAGGGGATATCACCTGCAAGATAGGGGTCAGATGCCTCGGTATATTTAGAGTTTCTGTTAACATTAGTATATCCACTAGCACGTTCCTTTTTAGTTGGTTGGCAAAATCCAATATTTGAGGCACCAGTGCCTTCGTTTTCACTATCGCTTTGAGAGTCATAGCCTTGAACAACTTTAAGATGAGCACGGGATCGTTCTTTGCCCATTCGTTTTGCTTTTTTAAAGCGACAAACCCAACGACGAAGAGCACTCACAAAGGAAGTCACTAGGTAGAATTTTAGCTTTTTTGGACTGCCATCGATGTTTGTAGAAGAAGCAGCTGAAAAATGCTGCTGGCCGCTGTCATACTCGGCAGAGTTGTATCCAGGTAACTGTGCCAGATCAAACCAACGAATGTCCTAAAAGTAAAAACAGTTAATGGCACTGTTGTATTATATACTAACGAGACCAAAGATAGTCAGCAATATTACCCCAATTTCTTTGCGAGTCTTTGTAGAGAATTCCGTTGATTCAGGAATTCCAGCAATAATATAAAGACGGATATGTTGTTCGCTCATTGTTCGTTCCACATATTCATTTTGGCGGATATAAGGGCTAGTATCAAACCCAATTTCCTCGTAGACTTCACGAACAGCACAAGCAATCTCTGGTTCGTCCTTGTTGATTTTTCCTTTTGGAAACCCCCACGAAGCCGACGATTTCCAGCCTCTGACCAGCAGGATCTAAGAGTTTGCATTTGTAAATTTATAAATATGGGCTGAGCTGGCTGGTTAACAATGAATCCAAAAGTAACAAAGCGTTACCTTTGTTAGATTGTGGTTGAGAATAATGGCACCACAAACAGGAACACGAGTCTTGTATTCCATGAAGCGAGCAAATGCATGCTCATGGTCATCTGCCCAGTGATGGAGTAGTGGACAGTGGCGAAACAGCATCAGCGAAAAGTGCTTGAGTGATAGTGATGGCAGGCGAGGATTCTCTTCTCTTACAAAATCCTCATAGAACCAGTGAGCTTGTTCGATCTGGAAACAGACTCGTTGAATTGATTCGAGCTCTTCATCAGGAACATTGACAATAAAGCGACTGTGCATATAGAATGAGATGGTGCGTTATATACAGACAGAATAGTATTAAATATGGTTAGAATGCAGACATTAGTGATATTCATGACCCATGTAAAAGTGTAGGTTTGGGAAAAAACGTATAAATATCTACCTGGTCAAGTCATCGAGAACCTCATGCAGTGAAAGGGATTCAAAATAAAGCATGCTGGTATAACTCCAATAGTAAGCTCTAACAGTTGATTTCAAGAGTTGGTCAAAGTGCAATTTTCAACTTTCCTCGACAACAGTTTCAACCGCAACTGTTACGACTGGTGCGTCCTTATCTAGTCTTTGCTGTTTGTCATCATATAACTTATACTGTGAAACTCTTTTATTCAAACAGTAATGATTTCAGATATTCAACTGACTGCATCAGTCAACTCTCTTGGAGTTGTCATTGTGCTGCTTATTGTTCTTCACCATTACTTGCTGGTCAACTCCACTCGCCGTCAACTCAAAGTCCAAGCGATCTGACCATCAAACACAAATAAAAGCTGCAATAATCCACAACATTTATAGTTGGATATGGGCTTGTATGCATTCCACTGCAGCTATCTGGAAACACTACTTTGAAGCCATTTTACCGCTGTATTCACGCAGAATGGAACCTGTATCTATCTTGTAGTTACTGCTTTGGAATAAACAATGGTTAAATACTCGTTGCACTTTTTTACTAGAAACTGACATGCTTGATTCTGACATATCCACCATATGATGCATACGCTCCTTTCTGCTCATTCGGCATAACCATACATTGTGCAATCATCAGATTCATATATTGTAGTTCAGATATTGAGGTTGTTGTCAATCAAACTATTGTATTCTAATATCAGATACACTCACGTTCAACAAGATTACACATCTCGGAAATACAATTGTCATGACAATCACCAGAATAAAGATCAACCAATTAAAGAGTGTAATCAGAATAACGTTGACTAGTAAACTGATATTGATGATTCCATGAGACTGGCTGTTTATTACATAAACTCGCTTGGTATCCCATTACACGAATACAGTTGTGAAAAGCGGTAATTTTACGACCATCGTTTATTTCACCAGCATAGTTGAATGTATTGATTATCCCAGTAGAGCCAGCACATCATTGTGGATACGAGAAATAGATCGGCCGTTGCACATGGCTTTTGCTACCAGTCCTGCCATGATATCTGCTCGCAGCAATGCATTCTGTACTACGTTGATCTTGAGATATATGGGCACATCCTTGTATATATGTAATGCTGCAAGTGGTCCGCCTGTAACTGTCACAAATCCCTTGGACGGGGCTGCTGTTGTAATAGTATCAGATTCATCATTTAAAATATTGGTGGTGGTCTGATCTTGCTCGCTTGATTCTGCTTCAGTAGTATCAGTAGATACTCCATTCTTTCCTGCAAGAGCCTGTATAAGACTTCTGGTATCTATTTTGGCAAACAGAGGCTTGTAGTAGGAATGCTGGGTGGTTCGGTTAAAGGTTCTAGTCTCGAGTCTGCCTTTAGCTTCTTCTAGCTGAGCACCTCCAAACTGAAGCACTGGATTGCCCCTTAAAAGTGGGTTGTGCAGCAAAGGATTGTGCGATTCTGTAGCCAGCACAGTCACATTGACCCAAATACCAGTAGTACTCGCTCTGATGGCAGGCTGACCACACATGGACTTTTGGAATATGTGCTTGATGTAGTCGGTCAGCATGGGATGATGAACGTTAGACGGCCAGTTCATCTGGCCTTTAAGTCGCAAAGCAATCGGGTTGATACGTCGTCCCATAGTGTGAGTACGATCAGTATTAGAGATGGGTCAAGTAAAGAGTTGGATCACAGCTAGCGACAGTAGAATGAGAACGAGAAAATATTTTCTGGTTATAAAAAACTCCATTTTCATCATATTTTGGAACCATTCAAACAGCATCAATCAGGCTGCATTTTGGAAACAAGAGTTTTTGGTTTGTAAAACTATAAGACTGGTTTAGGTTAGCATTACAGTACTTGTACTGGCGCAGCAGCGATCATCAATCACTATTATCTATATGCCGAGTAATTATCATCCAATAGTTTTGATGCTTAAACCTTTCCGTGTTTTTATTTCAGCATAAGAGGTTTGATAATACCCATTGATACAGATAGTCTTGTATGAGCCAGATGGGTAAAGTGAACGTTTTGAAAGCAAGTTGATTTTATCCAAATTCTTGAAAACTGACTCGGACATCAACACATTCAAATTATGCTGCAAGACTGTAACAAAATGCTGACTAGCACCAATGCAGAATCAAGTTTTTTGGCCCGCAATGCCATCATGAAACGACTTAAACCCACCGAGTCTTTGGATATGAAAACTGTTTCACCAAACACTCACAATGCTGTATCGTATGTGTCAATCGATTAGATTATGCTTTTAAAACACTAGTGTAGTGATGTCCGGTTGCACTTTGACACTCATCTTGCGCTGACTTTTCATGTAAATATGATTGTAATGGATCAACAGAACGGTATTCCAACTCATGGACAAGGCAGTTGAGTCGTGCCAAAGCAACTCTATTATACTGGTTGGAGGCCGAGGCAGCGGGAAATCCAAGGTGAGTTGAATTCAAAATGCATTCATTTATCAGATTCATCAAGTATTGTCAAGTAGTCATGTATTGCTCAACTCAATTTTGATTTTGATTTCGTTGATATGGCTCATGTCTGTTGCGAAATCGGCATGTTTGATAGGTGGTCAATACTGCACTTGCCCAGTTAGCAGAAAAGTTTCCAGAAACAGGATCGCACAAGCCGTATTTTATTGTTCATTTAAGTGGACTAGTTCATGTCAATGATAAACGAGCACTGCATTGTATTGTGAAGCAACTGTGTTTAGAGACCGACCCGATGGCTTGTTCAATGGCAAGTATTCTTGCAAATATACTATCTCATCTGTGAAATATGCTGCAGCTAATCTGTTTACATGTTTTATAATCATATCTAATCACTAATCAGAACACATTTTCAGAAACCTTGGCATATATGCTTTCCATGCTTCATCATGGCACCAAACAAAGCACACCTGTATTATTTATTCTTGATGAAATTGACTTGTTTGCTCAACATCCAAAGCAGACACTTTTATATAATCTGTTTGATATTTCTCAAAAAAATGAGAGTCCGATTGCCGTGATTGGAATGACAAGTCGTTGGGTAAGTGATTTACTGCTATCAAATAATGCAGTCTGATGGCAGCTGTTTTGAAACAGACTTGTTTGATCCGTTTCAGCAACTCACCAAACTCAATGTACACTGTAGGATGCACTTGAACTCATGGAAAAAAGAGTTAAATCAAGATTTTCGCATCGGTTGATCCACTTGTATTCCGAGAATTCATTTGAAAAATACTGCAATCAACTGGTTTCAGTGTTGAGCATCTCGTCTCAAGACGGCATCAAAGATCCAGCATTTATCAACACTTTTAATGAATCCGTCAAGGTACTTTATTTTCTCGTCGAGTTTGCGTTATGATCGAGTTTGTATTGCAGTTTAATAATATATCATACCAATATGGCACATGTACTTATTTAGATGCTGTTTACTGATCCTGACTCGATTGATATTTGGCACGATATATTTGACATGTGCAACACATGGATATCTGCACTCCAAGCCTTTACTCCAATGATATGCAAACTCTCTGGATCAGCACCATTTTTCCAAGTTGAGGTTTGGAAACAAGTATCGCAAGGGAGAATTGGGTTTAGAGATCAACGAACGGATCTTGTGGATGGTCTGTCGGTTTTGGAGCTATGTTTGCTAATTGCAATCCGGTGTCTTTTGGAACGGCAAGTGACAACCTTCAACTTTGAAATGGTATATGAAGAGTATCGTGACTTTTCTAAACGGGTGGCTACAATGGGACGAGCAAGTGGATCCATCTTTTATATTAAGCGAGTAGCTAGCAAAGTAAGTTTGTATTCCAACATTGAGTTTAATCATATTACTTGACAGATTTATTATTATGGGCATATTAGGCTTTCGAAACGCTTCTTGAAATAGGAATTGTCAAACCGGTCGAGGGTGCTGCATCCAGATCCTGTCCAAAAACACATCGTCTTGTGCGATGCATGTTGAGTCGTCATCAGATCTCTGATGCAGTTGAACAGTATGATCGATTGGACACTTTTTGTTCAGCAGAAGTCATTCAGTGGGGACGATCCAATTACAGTCGTATTCACGCATAATGAAACACTTGTATCTACGCTTTGGGATATACAATGGTTAAATATTCGTTGTGCTTGCTACAAATTGACTTTAATAAGCATTCTCGATTGCTCAAAATTAAACTATAACTTTGATCCGAGACTATCCTGATTTGGCATAATCATTGTACAATCACCAGATTGATTTATTTCAATCCAAATATTGGGCTCGGTTGTTGTCAACAAAATCCTGTTGTATTCTAAAAACTTACAGATACGCTCTGGTTTAAAAGGACAATGGTTGCACAGTTCAGAAATACAACAGTTGCTTCCATGCCAATCATTAGAAGAAACACCAGCCAACTAAAGAGTTTAGAAAACAATATTGCCAGTGAATTTGGCATGAGTTATCATTGCATGAGACTGTTTATTATGCACTCGGCACGCTTCCATTTGACATGAATATGACCTTAGTGAGCAGCTTCCCACTCGACAACTTTTGGGATCTGGCCTACATGAGCACAGATTTGGCTGATTCTTTCATATCCATCTGCAATAGTAGTAGGAATTCCTCGGAGGTCGCCTGACTGAAGGAATCCAATCACATCATAGATACTCACATCAGCTACTGTCAAATGGTCCCCAACAGCAAATGGTCCTTTGCCATGTTCCTCCACTACCTTTTCCAGATCAGCAAGCATAGCTGGCAGCTTATCCTCTGCAATTTTTTTGCAGACATCCGTCTCATTCTTGTATGTGGCGGCAACAACGACATTGATGTCTTCCAAGTGGAAAAGGATTTGGTCAACAAAAGTGGCCTTCAATGCATCGGTGGAAGGGTAGAGGCCAGCAAGAGTGCCAGCATATCGTAAGATACCAGCGGACTGGGAAATGATAGTAGTATCATTGACAGTGAGAGTGGGCATCTGGCCAAATGGAGTTTGAGGCTTTAGCTGTTTCCAGGCTTCGCCATTAATACGAGCATCTTCGAATGGAATGCCAGCAATATGAAGTGTAAGACGAATCACTTCTGCTCGGCCTTTGATGCCAAAATAGCTCAGCTTCAGTTTGGGATAAGCGGTAGTTGATGTCATGCTAATCACCAGGAGAAAGACCAGAGAACTTCAAAAAGGAGTTCCGAGGACACTTTGCAGCAAATTCGATGGTTATCATCATTAAAGCTGACTGTTTATCACGCATCTCAGGCATGTATTCCATTCTGCGTGAATACGACCTTGATGAGCAGTTTCCTACTCAATAGCCCTGACATGGTGTGCAACAGCCCCAAACACTCCATACATATCCCTAAATTCATCAGTGTTGGATTTGCAACAGTTGTGCATCTTCAACACTCAATTATAAAACAATGAATAAAGCAAAAGTAAATGTTTATTAGAAGCTTCAAAAACAATGATGAAATCTAGTTGTTTTCTAAGAGATTAGAAAAAGGCGGCAACAGCAAGAAGGATAGCAGCACCAGAGAGCATGGTAGAAGAGGCACCAGACTCGATAATGTCACCCTCAGAGTATCCAGGCTTATGGGGGGGATCGAAGGTTGCGGTGGGAATAGGGGCGGAAGGCTTCTTTGGAGAGGCGGGAGTCTTCTTGGTAGATGTGCACGATTTACCAGTAGTCTTTCCAGTGGTTTGGCCAGAGGAAGGTGGAGTGGTAGATGTGCACGATTTACCGGTAGTCTGACCAGCGGAAGGTGGATTGGCAGATGTGCACGATTTACCGGTAGTCTGACCAGCGGAAGGTGGAGTGGTAGATGTGCACGATTTACCAGTAGTCTGACCAGCGGAAGGTGGATTGGCAGATGTGCACGATTTACCAGTAGTCTGACCAGCGGAAGGTGGATTGGCAGATGTGCACGATTTACCAGTAGTCTGACCAGTGGTTTGACCAGAGGAAGGTGGAGTGGTAGATGTGCATGATTTACCAGTAGTCTGACCAGCGGAAGGTGGATTGGCAGATGTGCACGATTTACCGGTACTCTTGGCGGGTGGTGCGGGATCTTGGTACACCTGGGAATCATCTCCAGGAGTCTGGGGAGTCTGGGGTTGCTGGGGAGTCTGAGGTTGCTGGGGAGTCTGAGGAGTCTGGGGTGTCTCGGGCTGCTTTGTATAAGTGCAGCTGGTTCCAGTGCAAGACTTCTTGGCGGGTGGTGCGGGATCTTGGTACACCTGGGAATCATCTCCAGGAGTCTGGGGAGTCTGGGGTTGCTGGGGAGTCTGAGGAGTCTGGGGAGTCTGGGGCTGCTTTGTAGAAGTGCAGCCAGTTCCAGTGCAAGACTTCTTGGCAGGGGGCTCATATTCATCCTCCTCAAGGTCGGGATCCTCCTCAGTCTCATCCTCAGATTCAGGAGTTTCGGGCTTCTTGGAATTGCAGCCGGTTCCAGTGCAAGACTTCTTGGCGGGAGGTGCGGGATCTTGGTACTCCTGGAGTTCTTCTTCAGGCTCTTCAGGAGTCTGAGGGGTTTCGGGCTTCTTGGAATTGCAGCCAGTTCCAGTGCAAGACTTCTTGGCAGGGGGCTCATATTCATCCTCCTCAAGGTCGGGATCCTCCTCAGTCTCGTCCTCAGATTCAGGAGTTTCGGGCTTCTTGGAATTGCAGCCAGTTCCAGTGCAAGACTTCTTGGCGGGAGGTGCGGGGTCTTGGTACTCTTGGGGTTCTTCTTCAGGCTCTTGGGGTGCCTCGGGCTGCTTTGTAGAGTTGCAGCCGGTTCCAGTGCAAGACTTCTTGGCGGGAGGTGCGGGGTCTTGGTACTCTTGGGGTTCTTCTTCAGGCTCTTGGGGTGCCTCGGGCTGCTTTGTAGAATTGCAGCCGGTTCCAGTGCAAGACTTCTTGGCGGGAATTTCAGGCTGTTTGGTAGTCAATGGGCAGACACCTCCAGCACAGGTGGTACCGGCCTCCTGAACAATTGGAGCAGGATCCTCTTGAACCGATTTAGCAGTCAATGGGCAAACACCTCCAGCGCAGGTGGTGCTAGGTTGCTCAGTAGGAACCTCTTCAACGACATCAGGCAAAGGAGCACCATTCTGCTCGGCAGCGGGCTGCTGGGTGAGAGCACAACTGCCACCTGGACATTTGGGGTACGCGGCAGCAGAGGCTGCAAGAGTAGCAAGAACAAGAGCAGATGTGAATTGCATTGAATGAGAGTTGCTGATAGGATGATGATAATATTAGAGGATGAATACACCCATTTTATAATGATTGATGGTGGCCATTAAGGAAGATAGGTCAATCAGCCCGCTCAAATCCTAGATTAAGGACGGTACACCTTAGGAAGCATTGCTATGAAAAAAAACCTAAATTTTAATGGTGGCATTAGTTGATAAAGCTATAATAGTTAAAACTTCCTTAATTCCATCCTGATTGTTGGGCTAGTCATCCCTCATGGCTTGTAAATTTAGGATTTGAAACCTAAATTATTCATTTTTGGATTCCTTTTCCTAATAAGACACAGCACCACCCTTCCAAGCAATATGGGCGAGAAAACTACAATTCCTTCTACCAGTGAAATGCTGATGTAGCAGTCATGTAAGCTGAAAATTGAATGCAAGACCTCGAATTGATACTTGTAACCAGTATATGGTTATTAGCCATGGCTGGCATTTAGAGCGGATGGCTCTACGGTAGTTTTTAAAGACACTTGCAAAGAAACAGTCTGCAAAATCATTCAGCCAAGTTTAGCTTTATTATAATTGAAAATACTCTTTCCATAGATCTGACATTTTCTGAGTAAGAGCTACTTCAGCAGGATCCAAACTTCCAATGTGAGGGTCTGTGTATCCAGAAGGTGCATCCAACTTGGCAATAAGGCAAAACGGCTCGGTTGTGAGATCCCAATAGACGTTGTCGGCGGAGCTTTCCGTTGCCCAATGAGTGAGCTGAACCATTTTTAAATCTTTGGATGGAACACGCAGCCCAACGCCACCATTAAACCACAGCGGTTTTCCTTCCTCATCTTGATGATATAGCTTACCACAGACAGCATAAGTGCCGCGACTTTCGGTCAGCCTTCCAATCGAACCACCATTGTCTTTTGGGACATAAAGAGGCAAGTGTAATGCCTCGTGGGAAAGCCAGAATGTTTCTTTGTCGCCTATACAAATGTTTAATCAGCAAAAATAAATTGGCATCAGAGTAGACAGTTTGTCATGTATCAAATGCATTCATGACATACCAAGAGTTCGATCATAAATCCAATGTTTGTATGGAGAACTATTGAGCAGACAAGTAAGGAGTATGGCAGGCATGGTTCGCATTTTATCCCAAACAACTACACCAGCATCAATTTCCTGGGCAGTTTTCTTGCGCATAACTCGAGCTTCGGGATAAATAAGATTACTCAAGTACGGATGCGCGATTTCCTCTACAAGACGTTTCAAAGATGGTCCATGATTCCAAGTTCCATATTCAAGTGTTCTATCACGAAAAATGACAGCACCCATCTCCTTGTAGCCGGCTGATTCAAAAATGACTTCTGGCGGTTGAAAAAATAAAACATCAGCGTCTATCATAATCACCTCTCGAAAACTCGATGCCAGAACTGCAAATGGCTTGTTTTCATATCCTCTACTACATTGATCTATTCCTAGTATATCCTGCATATCCGCCAGTTTTACGTTTGGAAAAGCAGAAAACATTTCAAGCTCATTTGTCCCAAGATCGTCTTTTCCACAGTAGAATATTTCAATTGGGAGCGTGCTACCAATCTCATGAAGCATAGTGACGACAAGTTTAGCTACCAATGCATACTTTGACCCAGTAGTTATTGCAATTCCACGACCTGTAGTATTCAGTAGCATATCTATAGCCGACCTGTACTTTTTGCCCTTGATTACCCAAGGAAATAGTCTGGCTTCAAATGCGAAAAACTCTTTTTCGACCCTCAGCACAGTGTCGCTTTCATAATTATGAGCTAATAATTGATGGTAGATATCATATGCTTCCTTATAATCACGAGCGAGATTTCCAACGCCATAAATATCAGTCATTTCTGGAATGTAGCCTTGTGCATTGATGTTTTCTAGTTTAGATATTAGAGTATTGATCTGAATTGATGTAATATTCCAAGTTGGTCTTGAAATTGAAAATTATTGGTTAGCGCACTAGAATCAAGTGTAATGTGTAATTGCTCAACATAATAGAATCAACCGTATTCACATAAAACCCAACACACTTTGTATCCAGCAATGTCCTATCAAAGAATAAATGCTTGACTGATGCTAAGTATAAAGCAAATAAAACATATTGGTGTGAATCAGCTGGTTGACTGTGCAGATACAAGATCCATTAAAGACTATTTTACGCAGCTTACCAAGATAGGTTAGTAATGCCAACAAAAAAGCACTAGATAGTCGCAGAAATAGCCGAAATTGTCGTTTATTCACACAAGCCCATGAGCGAGTCAAATCTAAGATTTCGCATTCGTAGTAGGGGTTAATAACAGTGTCAGGTGGGGCTATGGCTAGCTCGTATAGGGAGGTAATAAAGTAAAGGTGCCAAGAAATAATATTTTCAGCTCAACAATGAGTATAATACCATTTGATAGGTACAAAAGTGCCGAATTTATTGTATTGTACATCAGCTATTCGGAAGCAGTACACATGCATGATGAATTGCATTATCAAGCTTTCGAAGCGAGTTCACTTACAAAATAGACTGTTTTGGTCAGAACTAGCCCGAGCGGAGTGTGTTTTAATACTGAAAATATGCATTGATTAAAAACGCTGGCTTGGATGGACTAATTTGGCAAGTACGATATACAACTAAAGAATTCAGCAAGGTTGGAATATCTGGTTTGCTGTTGCCAAGATATTTATAAAAAAGTCGAAAAAAGCTGAAAACCTGCCTCAATGCTACTCAAAGCCACGATGGCCATCATCTACATACAATGCAATGCTACACAGCACATGGTCGAGATTGGCTTTATTTGTGCATATCAGTTCAAGATCTACTCGTTCAACACCTATTTTCCCCAGTCGGTCTCTCCACCAAAAATATCAAAGCTAGCTTGAGCAGCCTGAGTTTCAAAGTCTTGACTAGTTGCTTTTGATTGATTGTCTGGACCGACAGCAGCAGAAACTATCTCTCCAGAGTCGGAGTTTCCGTACACAAATGCATTGGTTTGCATAGCAAGTTTGGGACCAGAGTGAGTGGCTGGTCGACTTGGTGCAGCCATTCCAGTGGTGTTACTTTGAGACTCGACTAAATCAAACTGTAGATGATGTCGAGTGTTGGAATAGTCTGGCTGCTGGCTGAGCTGAGACAGTGATTGCTCATGCTGGAAAAACACATCCTCGTCACTAAAAAGACTTGGTTTAGAATCATTCGCTCTATGGTCTGTGCACGCATCATCCTCCACACCATCTGTAGCAAGCATATCATCATTGTCTTCACCATCTTCTTCCTCGTCCTCCTCCACATCATGTTGCTCAGGAATGTAATCATCATCATCTTCCTCTTCATCAGGGGCTCCCTGATTGGTTGTTTCTCCAGATGTATGATTCCTTTGGACACGAACTGCATCAGTAATGGATGGCAGCAATGCTTGTTTAATGTGGCTTGGCAAGTTTGAGGGTGTAGGGATTGGCATGCTTGAAACCACGGTTGAGGAAGGCATCAAAATATGCTCCCGAGTATTTGAAACTGGATCAACTGGTACAGGAGTAGCGTCGACCTCGAAAGCGGATGTTGCTTCAACATTCATTGCATGAGAAATGGTGCGAGTGGCATTGGGAAACTCACCACAGGTAGTGATGGTATCTGTGTTGGACACAACATTGGCATACACACCTCCATCTCGCAGTCCACCAACATCGCTATCTCGATATTCGCCTTCAATATCAACAACACCCAAATTGGATTTTCCGACCCCACGACCACTATCTCCGGGAGCACTCAATCGCTGCCTTAGAATATCACGGGCAGCATTCGCATCTAGCACGCTAAACCCAGGTAGTGTTTTTGTTGGGTTTGTCATAGAGTCGTTGCTGTCACCCAAAAAAGGAGGAACAGGAATATATGTACTTGGATCCGGTTTAGATGAGCCATGATTTGGATCGAGAATAAGCACTGGTGGAGCTACAGATTCAATCAAGGTATCTCTATCCAGGGGCAACGCCTTCATCTCGGCTACAGTCACTACATATGGTTGTAGTGAAGTTGGTGCTTCCGATAAAACAGGCTGTAGCTGGGGAAGATTTGAAATTATTGGTACAGCTGGATTTATGGGTGTCATGGCTGGTGTTGTCAAAGGCATACTTTGCGGCTCGTGAACACTGTGACGTTTGTGTTGTATAGATTGTGTAGGTTTGGCATTGTCCAATTCGATATCCGGCTCGGATAATGCCGGTAAATTCGTTGATACTTTACTAGATAGCGGCCCTTGAGCATTCTCCTGCTTCACCCCTTTAGCTAGATCAGCATCTGACTTGATGGATTGGGCAGTATTAGCTTGTCCTGGTTGCAAGTGTGCAAGCTTTGAAGGGTAATCTACTTGAGATATATCCGGAGTTTGACCAGCCAGAGCAGCTGGTTTCTATAATTAGATTGATACAAAATAATCGATTACTTGATACAAGTCTGTAGTATCAATCAACTCATGGATACTACTAGCAAAAACATACATTTTTTTGAACCGCATCGGCCAGTGTAGCCAAATACGTCAGATTTGTCTGCAGACGCTGCTGATATCTACATCAACGAGTCAAAGTTAGCATATCTAGACAGCTCGATGTGACAGACATTTGCACAAAGTACATTACATCTTTTGTTCGGGCTCTCCAATCCACCCATTGTTCTGATATTCGACCAAAATTCTAATCAGCTGCTTATTGATATCCAAAATCTTTGGCAGTCAATTCAATATTATTGAATTGAATCGAGCATAATTTGTCCAGTTGGTTAGTTACTCTTTCATAAAACTTTAAACTCCAGCAAGAAAACCCCATAAAGCGTACCGATTGAACAATATTGTGATTAACTTGTGGGATCATGACTGCCGTATCTGCCTGACCATTCTTGAGCTGTTGCATAGAAACAAGTTGATCCAAGGTTTGTTTTTGGGCAACTGGAGCCAAGTTGGATATAGACCCTATTCTGCTGGTATTGACTACTGTGCTAGTATTGGTAGGGGTGGTTGCTGCCATATTGATTCCAGCACTATTGGCAGATTCAACTGGACTAGCGGATCTGTTATTAGAATACAAGGATTGCTGTTGATGAAGCGATGGCAATGAAACAGCTGGTTGTAATTGCGAATACATCTGCTGTTGGTTCTGTTGGGCTTGTTGCATCTGCTGATGCAGTTGCTGCTGTTGCTGTTGAATCACTGCCTGTATCTGTAATGGAGTCAGTCCCATGGACTGTAGACTCTGTAGCTGTTGCAACATTTGTTGTTGCTGCAACAGCTGTGTCTGGGGCTGAGGTTGCATGTTCATCTGTTGCTGTAATAGTCGTTGCTGCTTCTGTTGAAACCCAGCGGCAGCGTTGATTGGCATAGATCCAGTATGATTTGACATTACGACTATTGACAATGCAAGGAAAATATATTTTTTGGTTATATGGAAAACTCCAATTTTATCATGCTTTGAAGATATTCTGATGGCATTAATCAAACTATTGTTGCAGCACTTTAAAAACAAGAGTTTTCCGTTTGTAACATTCCACGATTGGTTTAGGTTAGCATAAACTAATAGATGGAACGCTGAACTCGCGTCAGGACAAGACCAAATGAGGAACGTTGTCTTGTTGAATTGTAAGGATCAGCAAATTGACTGTACCAGCAAGCCAGATTGTCATGGTACATGAGGCACAAGCAACAGATGTTTCTGGCATGTAAATCAATAATCTATTGATATTTTCAAAACAACATCAATGGTGATGGCTGTCAACAATCTCATTTATTTCTCCATTCTCATCCTTTGTTACTAGTTGTAAAAGGTCAAGTTTGACAACTTGGAAATAAACATATAGATTGTAATAATCATAGTTTATTCATATCACAAAAAGGTTTAATGTCAATTAGGCATGAACGGTATCAATAGCATCAAGGTCATTGGCAAATCCATCTTCAACTGGTGCATTTGAGAAATCACCATTATTTCCACCTGGAGCTTCATAAAGTGGGTTGTCGGGAAGTGCACTACCCTCATACAATGGGTTCATGTTGGAGCTTTCAGGGAAGCTTGGAGTGATTGCAGCACTACGTAGCGAAAGGCTACGACGGCGCCACATGAAGACAGCTGCCACGGCTGCAGCTGCAGCACCCGCGCCTGCATAAACACCACTGTTGGTGGTGCTACTGCTTCCTTTTGGACTATCTGATGATGAATTAGCAGCTGTTTGATTGCCTGATGTGGAGTTGGATGTTGAAGTGGCAGATGCAGAGCCCGAGTAATACGTTCTAGTCACCTCTATGCTAGATGTACCTGAAGTAATCGAAGGGGCGGCAAGCTCTGATAAGGAACTGCTAGTAAAGTCAAAAGTAGAAGATGAAATGACAGGTGAGTTGTAACCGGCCCAAGAGCTAGAGGCTTCAGTAGTGGTGGATGTGCTTGCGAAAACAGCAGTCGTAGAAGTGATTTCAGTTGAAGATTCAGCTACGAATGTAGATGTATAGTAGGGTATAATCGAGAATGAAGACTCGGTAGTGATAGCATCAGCGGTAGAAGTAGTCTCAACTGAAGATTCAGCTACAAATGTAGATGTATAGTAGGGTATAATCGAGAATGAAGACTCGGTAGTAGTAGCATCAGTAGTCATCGCGTCAGTAGTGGTAGATGCAGCATCAGTGGTAGTGGTAGCACTAGTAGTGACAGCATCAGTAGTGGTAGATGCAGCACCAGTGGTCATCGCGTCGGTAGTAGTGGTTGCAACACTGGTAGTGGCAGCATCAGTAGTGGTAGATGCAGCACCAGTGGTCATCGCGTCGGTGGTAGTGGTTGCAGCACTGGTAGTGACAGCATCAGTAGTGGTAGATGCAGCACCAGTGGTCATCGCGTCGGTGGTAGTGGTTGCAGCACTGGTAGTGACAGCATCAGTAGTGGTAGATGCAGCACCAGTAGTCATCGCGTCGGTGGTGGTAGATGCAACACCAGTGGTCATCGCGTCGGTGGTAGTGGTAGATGCAACACCAGTGGTCATTGCATCAGTAGTGGTAGATGCAGCACCAGTAGTCATCGCGTCGGTAGTAGTGGTTGCAGCACTGGTAGTGGCAGCATCAGTAGTGGTAGATGCAGCACCGGTAGTCATTGCATCGGTAGTGGTAGATGCAGCATCAGTAGTGGTAGATGCAACACCGGTAGTGACAGCATCAGTAGTGGTAGATGCAGCACTGGTAGTGGCAGCATCAGTAGTGGTAGATGCAACACCAGTAGTCATCGCGTCGGTGGTAGTAGATGCAACACCGGTAGTCATCGCGTCGGTGGTAGTGGTAGATGCAACACCAGTGGTCATTGCATCAGTAGTGGTAGATGCAGCACCAGTGGTCATCGCGTCGGTGGTAGTGGTTGCAGCACTGGTAGTGGCAGCATCAGTAGTGGTAGATGCAGCACTGGTAGTGGCAGCATCAGTAGTGGTAGATGCAACACCGGTAGTGACAGCATCAGTAGTGGTAGATGCAGCACCAGTGGTCATCGCGTCGGTGGTAGTGGTTGCAGCACTGGTAGTGGCAGCATCAGTAGTGGTAGATGCAGCACCGGTAGTCATTGCATCGGTAGTGGTAGATGCAACACCGGTAGTGACAGCATCAGTAGTGGTAGATGCAACACCAGTAGTCATCGCGTCGGTGGTAGTAGATGCAACACCGGTAGTCATCGCGTCGGTGGTAGTGGTTGCAACACTAGTAGTGGCAGCATCAGTAGTGGTAGATGCAGCACCAGTGGTCATTGCATCAGTAGTGGTAGATGCAACACCGGTAGTCATCGCGTCGGTAGTGGTAGATGCAGCACCAGTAGTCATCGCGTCGGTAGTAGTGGTTGCAGCACTGGTAGTGGCAGCATCAGTAGTGGTAGATGCAGCACTGGTAGTGATTGCTCCAGTAGTGGTAGATGCAGCACCAGTGGTCATTGCATCAGTAGTGGTAGATGCAGCACCAGTAGTCATCGCGTCGGTAGTGGTAGATGCAGCACCAGTAGTCATCGCGTCGGTAGTAGTGGTTGCAGCACTGGTAGTGGCAGCATCAGTAGTGGTAGATGCAGCACCGGTAGTCATTGCATCGGTAGTGGTAGATGCAGCACCAGTGGTCATCGCGTCGGTAGTGGTAGATGCAGCACCAGTAGTCATCGCGTCGGTGGTAGTGGTTGCAGCACCAGTAGTTATCGCCTTAGTGGTAGATGCAGCACTGGTAGTAGTTATTGCGTAAATGGTGGTTCCAACACTGGTAGAAGCTGTGCTAGCGGATGCAACACTTGAGGTGATATCAGTGCATTCAGAAGTGGATGCAATAGCTAATGTCGAAGTAGGAACAGGGACAGTAATATTTGATCGCAGATCAATATCTATTCTAAAGTAGTTGTGCTTGAATGTCGTTCGGTTTCCTGTGTTGTGACAGTTTGCATACCACATAAACTCTGCTTTAGAGTTGGGTGCCTGGCTATGGAAACGCGATACATGATCGCCCCATGAGTTGGAAGGATCATTGCACAAAGCATGAACATTTGTATGCCACAGGGAATCAGCTTTAAAATCTTCGTCTGTCCACCAGCACTCGGATTCTGGTGGCTGTTCAGTAACAATCCATTTGTTGTTTAAAACACCAGTGTCAGCATAGAGCTTGTCATCAACGTATACGGCAGCGAGAAGACCAGCAACGTTGCCAAAATCGGCCACATCGACAGAAACATGAAAAGAGTTATTTCCTTTGACCGTCTGAGTGTAAGTGTTTATTTTTTTCCATGCTTGGGTGTCTACTAGAGGAGAGTCGAAAGGACCACGAATATATTGTCCAGCAAGATTGAGATTAAAGATGTTGTCGGCTATAAATGTCGTGTTCAACAATTAAAAGTGGAGGCACATTGTCGTGGATATGATACAGTAGAAGACGGGCGAAAATGGTTGGAACATTGCAGCGAATAATTCCAAATTGTAGTATGAACATCAAATCAATGCGTGACCATATAGATTACAAATCAATCGAATTAGAACACATATTTGATAATTAAACAGTTGATTGACTGCCAGGCAAAGCCAATGGCATGAAATTACCAGAAATGATAATAGTAATATTGTGTTCGCATAATTGGGTATTTTTGTCGTTGGAATTGACAGTATCATAAGCGGTAACAAATGTCGGATTAATTGCAGCGCTGGCTGCCAGGAGACCAGTGAGCCAGGTCAAAGTGCTCATAGTTGGCCACATGTTGAAGAGCACAAAAAATAAGAAGCGTGGCTCAGTGACAGGAATACCTCTTTGTATCAGCAATGTATTGCAGGATATTGAAGTTGAGTTTGTAGCTTGGATAGCGCAGTCGATAGAAAAGCAAGAAAAACGTAATTTTTTGTGGGAGGAATCAGTGTACATATATTCGCTAGACATGGCGAATCGATGTAGACAGGATGAATCGGACCAATCAGGGGTGGGTTCTGTTACTCTGTGGGGTGCGCACATTTTCTCCACCCCACACATGGACGTTCCCATAGCAGGAGTAAATTAGTCTAATTTCAATACATTATCTTGCCATTTTCGCGAAAAAAGCTTAATTTTTCTATTGTACACAACGGTGGTGCCATCATTACCATGTTCTGCAACATCCATTTATGCGCTTAAAGCAGTTTATACATTTAGATTTAAACAATACGGTATAAAAAACTTGCTGGTGTTGCTATGATGCAAAAGTATTTTTAGTGTACAAACCATCCTACACATCTGTATTCATACAGAATGAAACATTAAATAAGCTAAAATACATAATAAACAGTCTCATGAAATAATGAGTGTCAGATTATTGTAACCTAAACTCAACAAAATTGCACCTATTGTTTCCATGTCAATCACCCAATGCTTTATACGAGAGTTGGAGATTAAACAAGTGTGGAATGTATTAAAACAGATGTGAGCATTTGCTCAGCTTTTTGTAAAAATGAACAAAGACTAGAAAACTTGATGGTTCGAATGGCACAATGATGTTTAGTAAGATTGGTGTAAACTGGATGTTTGTGCAATTTGAATCTTATTCAATACTTCATTTTACATGAATACAAATGTCGCAACAAACGATCGACTAATACCGAACTTGACCATTTCCCAAGTTATTGGAATGAACTGTATTACATTTTTGACTAGCTGTCCTGAGGAGATGTTTGTGTATTGATATTTTGAAACATCACCACACCAACACTCAGGTGCAATATATGATGTTACGGCGACTAGTTGGCATGGAAGGTGGAATACCTATATCCACGGACTCGGCATCAGAGCAAGTATATCTCCATTTATCCCAAACACATGAGTGCTTTTCTAATTGATCTCACCATTTCTAATGCCAAAAGGACTGCAGTAAAGCATTCAATATCAGACAATAAACTTGTAAAGCACCATGACTAACTTCTACTCCGTCTTGAACTACAACCTTGTCAAATGCATTCATACATCACCGATTTTGGTCCGATAATACTCCAGAGGCTTGCTTTCACAGTTTCAATTCCAATCTAATGCTCCCATATTGCCCACGTCAAGTAATGGCATTATTGCCAATCCGGCCATGACAACTAGCTTCAATAGACAGGAGATTATACATTCTTTGGCTAGTAGGCTGTTGCATAGTACTGCTTATCAAGTTTTCTATGTCGCCATGGCCATTCTGTCATTAGCTTGCTTGGCGGTGGTAAGCTTATTACTGTAGATTCTGGTGTTGGTATGGGGATAGAATCTATTGATAAACACTAACCATGTCCATATTTGTTCTAGTCAATGACCCATAAATGGTAAACCAAGTTCAAATCTTGTCAATTGGATAAAATTAAACTGCATTTTATCTTGGGATTGACTTTATAATCTTTATAGTCCTCCAGGATGGTTTTATGTTCTCGAATGTCTAATTATCGTATCACTTGTAGTGGAGGTTGGCGTGAGATTTCTCGCATATAGAAATGTAAGACTTGTTTGGCCACGATGTATTTTGTTGTGTTGGTTCAAGATCCATCATAATCTGGTATTTGGCTGATTCCCACTTTATGATTCATACCTTCCTGCTTACAATTTACATATTGTATAGAAATACTGGCACTCGGCATGGAATATTCTGGACATTGTTATGGTCTTGTTTTGCATTTTTGCCTTTGTAGTAGTGGTTGGTGGTGAATGCGATGCCACAAAACGCAAAGAAGCCGTCGCTGAAGAAATCCTTCTTATATTTCGTAATGGCATCCAGTTTTCACGATTAGTGCTGATGATGAAAAAGTATTGAATCCTTATAGGTTAGATCTTGAAGTTCAGCCATGTTTATTAACATTTCCGAAACCATGTTTAAAATCATTTAGAAATCGAACAAGCCTGTCTACACGCACCCGTAATATTGATATTGATTCAGTTAGTGGGATAGATCCTCGACTCATGGTACCTGATATTGACAACACGTTTGCCGGCGTGGCGTTTGATGATGACGACTATATTTAAATCCAATACTAAGCTATCCACTTCATAATACGGTTCGAGTATCATTTACTTTTTAAAATCACATTCATTTACTTGCATGGAATGAATCATTCTACCTGGCATAATACTGTGGGTTTATAGATACTGGGGAAAATATGATGGTGATAAATTGAATGGCATAATAAAGAAACATGATCAACTATTTCATTATATAGCAGTGACAAGGCCGGCACAACACATTCAGACTCGAATTTGAATTGCGTTGGAATATCTTGCAACTAAAATTTCTTTCCAGTACTCGACGATGCTGACCACTCCAGAGTTTCAAGTATGTTTTTATATGATAGACAAGTGTGACTGCAATGAGTACAACTATCTACATTATGCAATTCATTCCGGACCTACTCAATATAACTGATTTGGATTCTTTAGTTTGAATAAGATCGTTGTTTTGGACACTGAAACCAGTACTCATGAGTATTATATATGGACCAGTCAACACTTTACTAACGTCACAAACTCATCTTATGCATGTCCGTCCACTCATCCTAGGCAGTTATTTTGGCCGGATTTGGAAGCAGGTAAATGCAAAGTCGCCAAAACCACAATCTTGATATGCAGTCGACCATCTGATTTTAGATTGCCATGCAAACCATTGACTTGAACGAATCTATGCATAAAATGATAGATTGTATCCATTAGCTGATGGAGATTCAGTTCCAAAAGCCTTGCTTCCCATTGCTAATCGTCCCATGATCGCTTACCAACTCGACTGGCTTGAGGAAGCCAATATTAGAGGTACAGACCTTGTCTACCAGATCCTTCAACACCTGTTTGATTCACCTCGAACATATATTTTGGTAGATATTATTATTGCAGCATATCCTGGAGCAAGAGGCAAGATTAACGGCGTTGTTCAAAGTCTTTTGGAAGGCTCGACTGGAACAAAAGTCCAAATTGTTGAAGTGCCTGAAAATAGTGGGTCGGCAGATGCTTTACGAACTATCAAGACCAAGATCAAGGTAAACTCTGTTTGCTGTGTTAATGTTTAGTATTGACACTAACAGCATGTTTTGCATGGCATACTGTTGGTCTTGTAGACCGACTTTATCGTTATTTCTTGTGATCTGATTACAGATATTCCGGTGCATTATCTTATTAATTCATTCAGATTACAAAACCCAACCATGACAGCATTTTTTTATGATGCTGGAAATCTTGAAGCAAGCACAGATCGACCTGCAGCAAAAGATGATGGCTTGGGCGAGTTTATTGGTATCGACGATCAATCGTCTCGTGTGTTGATCATGGCTAGTAAAGCTGATTTGGATGACGATTTGGAATTGAGAGTGTCAATGATTGCCAAGTGAGTTGATGGTTGCGTTTCTGAGTGAAACAAGGTTTTTGATGACTAATAAGCTTGGATTTCAGATTTCCTGTAGTACACCTGCATTCCCAACTGCGTGATGCACATCTGTATATTTTCCGCAAATGGGTGCTGGATCTTGTTTCTAAAAACAAAAACCTTTCGAGCATAAAGAATGATTTGGTTCCCCTGCTTTTAGAGTGCCAGCACAGAGAGTCTGTTTTAAAACGTGAAGGGATCGACAAATGTGAGCCATCTTTGATCTTTTTTCAATGATTAATAAGAGGTTTTCTAATTGACTTTTTCCGTGGGCTAATGTGATATTTTTCTGCAAGTGATGGCTGCAGGAAACTCGGATTTATTTGCTCGAGCTTTGATGTACTCTACTTCTGGTCATGAGCCAACACCACAGAATGTAACGTGCAATGCAGTCGTATACCGGGATGGTTTTACTGCACGAGGAAATACTGTTTGGAGTTATTCAGAATTAAATCGACACGTTGTAAAGCATATGACAGAGTCGAGAGTGCAGGCCAGTGCAGAAGTCAATGCCAAGGCTCAAGTGAGTCTTGATCCTTGCTGTTCTACCATCCAAATTGTAGTTGTTAAAGGAGGGTTGCATTTTGAAATAGTATCATGTATCTCATGCTTCACTATACACCAATGACATTTAATATATAGGTCGGACATGATTCACTTGTAGGAGAAGGAACCAAAATCGATGAACGATGCAGTGTAAAAAAATCTGTTATAGGAAACCACTGCAAGATTGGTAAAAACGTCAAGATCACCAACAGTATTATTATGGATTACGTGCATATTGAAGACGGAGTAAAGATTGACGAAAGTGTTGTATGCAACAATGCAAAAGTTGGTGCACATGCTTTGTTGAAAGATTGCCGAGTGGGAGCTGAGCAAATTGTTCCATCAGAAAGTAAGTTTTTGGAAGCTATTTTAAATTGTTTTTAGTTGCTCCAAATCTGACTATTGAGTTCATGTTATACGATCTAGCCATAGGAAAAGGCGAAGTGTTTGCAGCTGGCATGAACGAATGAGTCTATGCAAGACTATTGACAATTAGCAATAAAGAATTATTACAATATCAATGCTGACTCCATATTCGAGTGTCTAACAGTGTTGTAGCTGAATGATTGTGTATCAATCCAGACACTCAAATATCAAAGCTTGCTTCATTCCGAAACTTGACCTTGATGGCAACCATCAAAGCCTCACCTCCGTCCTATACGTTGATTCGCAAGCTAGGTACAGGAACAACCAGCAAAGTATATCTAGCATCTCCATCAGCACAACCCACACATCTTGTAGCAATAAAAACCATCAAGAAACAGCGACTGCACTCCCGTTTAAACCAGTCTCGGCTTCTGCATGAGATTGCTCTGCTTAAACAACTGTGTAATGATCATGTTGTGCAACTGATTGATTTCCAAGTAAGCTTCAGCTCTGCCATATACTATTCAACCCAGTAGTAAAGACAGCTGATTCTTTGTTAGTGGGACTCGTTGTTTGTATATCTGGTGTTCGAGTATTGCGATATGCACACACTCTCGGAATACATTTCAAATCATCAAGCACATCGTTTGCCTGAGCACATATCGAAGCGGTTTTTACGACAAATCGTTGCAGGCAGGTTTGCTACTCACATGCATCAACTTTAGCGATTGCTAGTAATCCTGAATATGTTTGAAACCGACTGGATGTTATTTTATTCAGCAGTTTACCAATGGTGCTAATATTTTAAAATGTATTACTTGTTTAGGCATGAAGTTTCTTTTTGATCATCATATAATACATAGAGACTTGAAATGTATAGTACTCATTCATACTGAAAATCTCGTGAATGTTTGACGATTTCTCATTACTCTAAATGCATTGTCAGCACACAATATATTCATGAAAAAGAATCAATACAATGTGCCTATACTCAAGATTGGTGATTTTGGCATTGCAGACTCGCAGCTTACAACACACTACGACGAAACTTTACAAGATACATCTTTAGAACCCCACGGCTCTGAAAGAGTGTTACGAGATCGTATTGGTACATTACTGTGAGTCTTGTTCTGAATTTAACCGATTTGCTTGGAATTGGTCAAGTCATACATTGTAATTGAGCTATTGTGGTTGTAGATACATGGCACCCGAAGTTCTTTGTGACACTTCATACGATAATCGATGCGATATCTGGTCGATTGGTGTTATGTTTTACGGTATTGATCTTGTTTCTGCTAGCCATCTTTGACAAAACCTCTAATTATCTATAACTGTGTAGAGATGCTAGTTGGTCATACGCCTTTTGCAGCATATGCCCAATCCACAACCACATTGATGAAATGCATTTTAAACATACCGACAGATGCACTCAGTCCTCGTGTTGGAATCACCCTATCAGCAGAAACTAGACAGATTTTGCAAGAACTTTTACAGCCTTTACCCAATAATCGAATCACGTTTGAAAGATTGTTTAACCATGAGTACATTGATCTTGCTCATCTACCTTGTGAGCTTTCTTTTCAAAAGGGAACCGAGTTGATCCAAAAAGCACGGATATATGATGAACAAATGCAAAAGATGTCACCCAATACCACTGCCGATAATGCAGAAAGGGCTTTGAAAAAAACCATTGATGTTTATGAGGAAGGAGCATCTCATCTTTTAGCATCAGTGGAATTTAGAGGAGTGTATAATGCTAAAGAAGTGCAAGGGACCATCATCGAATGTTTGAATCGTATCGAAGCTTTGAAAGAAGCCAAGGAGTCGTTGAGTAAAAGCAAACACCTTGAACAAGGATGGGGGTTTGGATCATGGTTTAAAGGCTGGTCGGGCACTGATGTCATTTAAAATGGTTTATTATTGCAATGAAAATAGATTGGACTTTTAAACATTAAACTTGTGTGTTGGACATACACTAAACCTTGCATCTCTGTAAACACACCTTTTCAACCATAGAAATAACAATCAAACCAAGATCATAAAGCTTAATTTTTCAAAAACACAGATTTGGGTTGAAAGCACAGGATGCAATACAATTAAAGAATGGGTTTAAATCAAATTGCCGGATTGATCCAAAAGCGAAACCTTTGGATCAAAGCCGCGGGCAAGAAGTCTAGGTCCATCACCAACATGAGTGCTGATGATACGCTGGAGAGAGCCAGCAGGGTAAGCAGAGAAACTGATTTTTTCAGCGATGGAAGCGATCTTGGTTGAATCAACTTGAGGAAGATACTCTGCGGCACGACCAAAGTAATGAGTAGGATTGAAAGCAGTGGTAGGCTGTGGAAAAAAGTGATTGATCAAGCCAAGAACTTCAGCAACATGCTTTCTTGGAAGATACAGGACAGCATTTGGACCAGCATCGAATGTGTAAGCGACACGATAGCCTTTAGCAGTGCCAGACTCGACAGTGAAAAGATCATTGTAAGCTGTGATCAAGCGAACAATGGCTCTCGAAATATCATTCATGTATGAGATGGGAGGGAAGGTGTCAAGACAGACAGCATGGAACTGGTTCGAGTCTTGCATGGTGAGTTTGGCAAAGGTATCGAAATCCTTGCAGTGAATGGCATTGGTCATTTCAACCATCCGATCGGGAACAACATGATGAATGCGATGCTGCAGCAGAGCCGAGGTTTCGACAGTACGCTGCATACCGACAGTGGAGCCAGTGTCTTTTTGAGCATCCGAGACAACCAAGATCAGAGCCTCAAGGTCAGGCCAATGCAACTCGGTATCGACTTGAACAGCAACCGAGTCGAGTCCATCGAGACGGTCGCCCATATCCCAAGCGACAAAGCCGCCAAAGAGTGATCTGCAAGCAGAGCCAGACCCAATGCGAGCAAGACGAGAGAGGTCGGAGAGATGGCGAGTCTGTAGATCAGCAGTCTGAGTGTTTGGGCCATTCAACTCAAACAGTTGATCCAAGGCATAGACCATGCAAGCGAAACCACTAGCAGACGAAGCCAAACCAGCAGCAGTTGGAAAGTTGTTGACAGAAGCAATGTGCAAGGGACAAGTCGAGAGTATGGGAAGTGTTGGATTGGCTTCTTCTACAGTCCGTCTAAGTCGTCTGGCCTCTGCAAGAACATTGCGTAAACGACTGGATGCAGCAATGTTGACTTCAGAGTGGTTGAGCCATAGACGATCTCTCTCCAAGGATGCGTCCGTAGCTGTATGAATAGTAGTTGTGGATCTCAGATGATCCTGAGAGAGAGTGACGGACAAGGACGAGTTGGTTGGCAGTAATAGCTGAGTGTCCCGCTTTCCCCAGTATTTGACAACAGCAATATTAACAGGAGCCGAGCAAGTGACCTGCAATCCAGTAGACTCGATAGTGGTCATAGTTGAGTGCAGTTGTTGGGAATCGCAATGAATTCAAATCACAAGTTTGAATCTCTTATTCTCAACACTCTCTTTCCCTCCATGAGCATCCATCCTCCGTCCATCCCTTTCAATGGAATCGCATTCATCAACCCAAATCCTATATTCACCGTTATCATGTATCTTAAAAACGTTTCCAGAATAATCGGAATCCATAGATATCTACCGTCTGATTCTTTTGCTTGGAATATAAACTCGGATACTAAAACTAGATATACATTACATTATTGCTTGTATTCATCTCATCACACAAGCATGCATTTTACCTTTCTCTACAAGACTGCGTGTATCTCCTACAAACATGATCATATTTGTCGATTTTGTTGGTCCATTTCTAACAACCGTTAGCTCCACTACTTTGTCGTCAGACGCCAGTCCTTTTGGTGCCATGCACACTTGTCCGTATGGACAATCTCTTGCAAACTCGCACTTTATTGCTCCAAATTCCATCGCTGATATGGACGCGCATCTCTTGGATTAGTCCATGTTAATGAGTAGAAATCAAAGGACATTAGAAACTATAGCCTAAACATCAATCCATACAACCAAAACCTATTTTTTTACCATGGGAGATAAACCTTCATATTCAAATGCTTCAATGTTCCATAAACATTTCAACTCGGCATTTTCCCGTATTTTAGAATATGAACAGCATCGATATTCTTGCTCTAACCAAAATCCATAATTAGCTTTTAGCCCCTAATGCATATATAACAGTAACCTTGTACTCACCAAGATCGATACGGTTTCGTGGAATACACCGACCTCGGAATCCTCTGCCAAAAGCATCTTGACGAGTCGTTTCATGAATCAAGTCTCGCCATTGATTTGCACCACCCACCAACTTTCCGTTCATTTGTCTAATCACATCTCCGACACGGATGCTTGTTTTCAGTTGATCGCTCACAGCAACAACAACTATACCTTGGGTATAATGAGGTCCCATTGCAGTGTGAGTATACCCAAACTGCAACAAAAACAATGGCAAATTGAGCAGCACACCATACGACGCTGTAGCCAGAACTATATTGTGCCATATTCCTGCACTTGATATTTTCAGTCTAGACAAAGGCGACACTTTTGCCAGCAGTTTTGAATCTAGCTCGACAAATGCACTTGGCCAAATGAAAAACAAAGCAGCTCCTGCTGATACCAGAGAGACTTTTAAACTAGTTGAATTGATTTGATCAAAGACATAATTAGGTTAGAACAATGAGTTGAAAAAGCTAAAATTAAGCTGTTGAATCAGTTTTGGATCTACGTGTACCTTGATGCACACAATGCATGTCCGAGTTCATGAATCACTGCAGAGATAAATGTTGCAATAAAGAGATATGTACATCCAATGAAATCCAAATTTATACCAGGAATCTATCACATTGTACAGATATTTAAATAATACAAGATCATTGAGAATATTCAAAGCATGTAGATTTTACCAGAGCCATGATGGATACGTTGGAAGTGGTGATGGGAACACCTGGAACTGGACCAAATGAATATATAGTGTTTTCTGTTAATCTTTCTTCCCACCATCCATCTATAGCGTTGATTCCAGCCATGGTTGTGATGAACAGTTGTGCAGCATACACCATGACAGTATACATGACCATGCCAATGCTTGCCAATACAATAACGAATCCAACTGTGAACCACACTTGCAGGAGTAGAGATAATTTAGATCCTACTTGATGGATGAACACATTAAAAACTGTTGTTGATAAATGAAAGTAGAATATGCTGACAAGTGGTTTTATCCACTCTATTAGTCTATGCATAAGTCGTCTTTCTGCTGGTTGAGAAATGAATGTTGGCATTCAATTCGAATGTCTGCTGAAACCCACAATGTTGATGAGCAGAGATAGAATTGTATGGATTCCCAACCGCCCTGACGAGTCTTGAGTGTGATGCAGATTATTGGCTTGATGAATCGCAGTATCGATAATTTATACTTTAATCTACAGTAAACAAGCATTGATATGATTTATTTGAAATACTCAAGAGTCGAATGACATTAAAGCAGAGCATCAAGACAAGACATTTAGAGTATCGAGTAATTATTTCTATCAACTAAATGACATGTAAACGACTGTATCAGTTCATGAATCCTAACTTGTAGTTTTAAAATGAGTGAATTCACAAAGACTAGACAGTATCAGTTTATCTTGATGCATAACAGCCAGTCTAGTTACGAGTTATTTTGTGCACAATACACGTTTCGAGCCATGGATATTGACAGTCACAATAACCACAGATCGTTTCTCCATCATTCGACTGCGTGTTCAGTTGTGGATTAGAATGTCTTGCAAGATACTGTCTGTCAGTTGGTCTCGAATTCAATTGATTAAACTCGGTTTGTGGCATTTTCACCAACTATTATTATTACAGCATATATAAATGCCGAGCACCAACAATCAGCGCAGCTCCAACAGCTCTCGCTCTCAAGGAAGCAGTTTGCTCAAACGACGGCAGCGATGGTGGAGATGGGGCTTGTCCTCTACCCGTCTGATTCTGTTGCTGTTGGTCATTGCATTGGGTCTTCTTCTACTAGAACGCAGTGGTGTTGGGACTGCCAACAATGCAGACTCGACTGTTTTGAAAAACTCTAATACCAAGGAAAAGAGCTTCGACTCTTCTACTGATGATGGCCGTAGAGTGGTGAGTTTCATTGGAATGCATCACTTCAATTGCTCAATATATTATCTGAGCAAGTTGAATTCAAGACTCTAGAGGATAGCACTGTAATAGGCACTATCAAAGTTGTCGACTTTTCTATACCAAAACATGCACTTGCATAATATGCACTGGATGCAGATACCTTGCCATATTTCAACGTCCTGATACGATATTTGAGTAAATCAATTATATCTATCCACCATCTGTCAGTTGCTCTGTCAAGGATCTTTCATCTCAGCCATGTGTTTTGGTTTATTCCCAGAATACATAATAGCATCATCACTCGCACATATTGAGTTTCGGATCGTTATATTATGCTTCATTTTGTAACTCCGCCCTACAAAAATACTTGCATCCATGTCGGATGAACATTGCCATGACACTGCTTTGAACCCTTTCACGTTTGGCAAATCTTCAGCTATCCATATATCTGTTTTTGCCTGATTTTTAAAAGTCTTGCTGTATTCTCATTGGAATGACTCTTGTATATCCTCAACCTTTTGTATTTATTCATTTCACTCACTTTTCATCTATGCATTTTATGTTATTCAACTGATTGATTTATTCTAATCAGATTCTTAAAGACTTTCACATTCAAAATACGACTCCACCTAAACCGAAACTCACATATGAACAGCGTCGATTTCTACAGACTATTCCACAACGAACTCCACCTGATCTTGAACGAGGTCAAGCATACTTTACATCTGGCATGTCTTCGAAAATCACCACGGCTTTAAAACTTAGCAAAATCAAAATCACTGGATTCAATTACTGCAAAATGTTGGATGGATCGATTTTCAATGCCATGGTTTATCTTCATCCTTTAAAAGGATCCATCGCTACGCTTAATCCTCTGGTCAAAACTGTAATATCTCTGCTAGACGATACTGCTGAGAAAATTACCGAGTTTATCAAGATCAAGTTTGAAACTGTTGATGTATTGGTATGCTATAATCATTTGTATACATTGAGGTTGCATTTTTACCGTTGAAGGAGTTGAACATATGTTATGCACCTGCTTTGATTTACTCATCCTATTTTTATATTTCATCTTGACCAATCTCTATAAAACAACTAGGAAGCACATCGGTACGCGTGCTATGCAGTTGCAGAGGGTAATAACCCTTCTGCAAATTTAACAGATGTTCGTTTTGTCGTTAGTTTTGATCCCAACGAATTCTTCCATACTGCATTGCCCTCCATCCGTCCAACTGCTCCTTTAGTTACCCCATCAAAAAAACGATACCTCGTGGCATTCCTTATCATGGTTCACGAAGATGCTGGGTTGCATCAACTTAAAATGCTCATTGATTTATTGGACGATGGAAACGCCATCATTCTAATTCACGTAGACAAATCAGCTCAAGATCTTTATATCCGCATTTCGGAATATCTGGCTGATCGTAGCTATAGCAGCACTGCTCCAAAGGGAAATCTTTTTCTTGCGCAAAACCGTTTCGCCAACACCTGGGGCCATATCTCTTTGGTCTACACCCAGCTCAGCGGGTTTTGGGAGCTTGTGGATCTAGCCGATTGGGACTATATTGTTAATTTATCCAACTACGACTGGCCGCTTCGGAACAATGTTGACATGCATGCTGCTTTATCCCTCTATCCCCGATTCAGTTGGATTGATTACTGGAACGATACAGAAGCGATTGCCGATCGGTTTTTGAGACCTCATCTAGCGAGAGCTGATCACTCTACAGTATATCATCCCCCAGAGTTGAGTATCACCAGCTGGCCATTTTCTCATTGGAGAGCTTATAAACAGATGCAGTGGATGGTATTGACCAGAGAAGCAGTACAATTTTTTCGAAAGGATAAGCACGCAATCAATTATTTAGCATTCATGGAGCATACATTGCTGCCAGAGGAATCGTTTTTTGCTACAGGTAAGCTGTTCAAATGCATTCATGATTTATTCTACCTACTTTATCTTCTTACTAACGACTCGGATCATGAAATAATGATGGGAAACTGGTGTATAGCTCTAGTGAATTCCAAACTCAGTTCGTTTTTAAAACGTGACAAGAAGCGGTATGTACGATCTCCATATGATCACTCCAGTCCACCTTGGATTGGATGGTCAGATCGGCACATTTTCCGTCCTTCGCAGACCGATCCAGAATTTATTTTTCTTCGGCCATTCAATGTTTTGGGCGAATTCTTTGGCGAGACCAAGCTTATCGAGTGGATTCGTGTCAATCACCTAACAATTGATCCAAAGCAGCCATGCTATCGCGATCAATTGGGATATCGTGATGAGTGTCTAGAGGAAATTGCTGCGACAATTGCTGAAAACAACGAATTGATTCTGATTCCTGTCAATCTGGATTTCATTCCTGTTGTTGAAAACCTCCGGTGTTCATTGCTTAAATTTGGCATGCGTAACATTCTACACTGGGCAATCGATATCCAAACACACGACAAACTTATCGAAGCTGGGTTCATGTCATTCTTTATGCCCAATATAAAAGGAGGACCCAACAGATATGTCAGTGGAACTCCTACTTTCAACAAAATACTAAGACATAAACCCAAAGTAATTCAACGGCTCTTGGATGCCGGGTTCCATGTAGTCTACCTGGATGCTGATTTGGTCGTAACAAAGGATTTCCGTGATACAATGCGGAAACTTGTGAGTGGCGGTGTGGGAGACTTGTTTTCAGCTCGTGCAGATGTTCTTTTAGCTATTCAAGGGGATGCATGGAATGGTGAAACCGATCCTCAACAATTAGTGATAGCACCGACAGACCATATCACCACCTCGACTCTTCCCAAAGCTATGACGGGGATCATGTATTTCCGTAATACTCCTGGCTCCAAACGATTTATTGAGGATGTCATTAAACGGCAAGGGCTAGATTTGATCTTGGATGATCAAGAAGCTGTCAGGGAAGCAGTCGCTCAGACGCGGAACGTTATTTGGACTGGAGTTGGCTTACCTTTACACCCCAACGCTGATCCATCGACTCAAGATTCAACGAGCAAGAGTTTACTTCATCCCCAGTCAGCAACTTCGTCTAAAAACAATGGCGGGCTATTTTCAGGCAACTTTGCCGAGTTTTTCCGACTGGCTTTTCTCTCAAAAGATGAAGCGGTGGATGATGGTCGCACTCGTGTTCATTTTTTGGATCAGATTGAATTTGTGTCGGGAGATTTGTATTTTGGTAACCATAAGCTTCTGCCAGTAGATTACACCGGATTCCAGGTGATTCATACCGGCGGAACCCATGTGGATGTGTCTTACACACTTAAAAAGCATGGACTGTGGACTTTGGATAAAGAGGGAAGGTGCTTGATTCAGGAAAAAAAGCCGAGTAAAGGCCTATCTGGCATAAATGACGAGACTCGGTACCACGATGTTGTTGAAAAAGAAATTGCTAAATCTAATAACCAAGAAGGCTGGAACGGAGAGTCGAATAACAAGGACATTTCACACTTTCTTGGTGATAATTAAAACCAAATTCAGAAATACATCAAGAGTTTTGGTGAGTGAAGCAGTTTTAAAATTGAATCTGAAGATGGAAATCGAGTTTTTTAGATTGGAGTAAATGAAACCACAACTTTACTATCGACACATTAACGCCAAATAGTTTTGGATTTAAACATTTAATCATGTCGTCGGCAGTATGGATCCTATGGGCAAGTTTAGGGGAAACCAACGAACCTCAACGGTTGTTCATATACGGTTGGCTGGCAGGAGTGATATGCTCATTGCTGATTTTTATTCCCTTGAAGCTTCTGACAAAGATAACTGAGCCCAATCGAGTCAGAGCAAAGGTAGCGGCTGGAAGAAACGCTGCTGAATCTATCAAGGTATCTATCACTACTCGGCAAGGATAGTTTCAGTAGCATACTGTTGGTCATATTTAGCCTTGATTGTATCAGCTCTTGGAGTATTTAATGTACAATTTGGAATGAATAGACTAGATTGAAGGATGAATGCGACAGCAATACTAGTCATGCAGAACTTACTGAGGAAGACGATACTATCAGTCAAAGCTCTGATGATGAATCGCTGCCCCACTGTAAAATGGCAAGTGAAGCTACTATGCCAACCCGTTTCTCAAATCCACTCTAGCTCATGATATATTTTATAGATATTACTTGTACGTATAGATTTAGGAATGACAAAAGGAAAGGTTGCTGCTCAGTGTTGTCATGCTGCATTGGCTGCTTATTTGATCGCCAAATCCAAAAACAGTCAGGTAGTCTATACATACTGATTACACTACTATGCCAAACACAATCCCATTTCACGGTTCAACTCTAATGATGTTTTGGAATATAGACGAGAGAATGGCTCAAGGCTTGGGAACGACTGGGACAGGCAAAAATCACTTTAAAATGTCCCGACGAAGCCACAATGTAGGAATCTAAACTATTGGAATTTGGATCTGGATGCTTGTCATTTTTTGTCGATACAAGTAGGACTAATTTTTGGGTTAGGTTGGATATGCAGAAAAAGGCTAGAAGCATTGGACTACCAGCAAAGAGTATCTGTGATGCTGGCCATACACAAATCGCTGCTGGATCGAGGACAGTCTTGGCAATTGGACCTGGCAAGTTGTTTACGTAGTTATTCAACATCATGTACTGATCACTACCATTGACACTAGATTTGATTTAGGTCCGGTCGATCTTGTGGATCAAGTATCTGGTGAATTTAAACTATATTAATGGTCACTGTTTATATTGAATAAATTGGTCTTTAGTTGCAAACCTTTGATTACAGTCGTGTTCAATACAATGCATTACCTTGCATCTCAATCACTGCCTTTATCTTGCTTTAAAATCAACCTTTATAGTATATTCTATTAAACCTCACATACTAATGCATCTATTTACTTTAATATACACGAACAATGGTAAACACCTATCTACATTATGATGTATTATTTAATTCATCGGACAAAAATTCACAATAATAATGTCGAGTAGTCATTTCTTGCATGATGTCTTGTGCTGAATCTGTCCATTCTTCAACAAATGTAGCTAAAATAATTTGATAACAATTAAAATCTCAGTATAGCATAAAAGTGCTAAAATAGACATCAAAATGATACAGACCAGGATTTCCTCCAAATACAGAAAAAGGAGGTATGACTGTATTAGCAGGCACAACCGCACCATCTAGAATCCGTGTACAGTCTTTGATCACAACAAATCGACCCTACCGAATATTCGATTAGATTAGCTTGAATCATTTAGTGAAATAAACAGATTTGAGTGTTGAATGAAATCTTTACTATCACACAGTCTTTTCCAATGTGGATGTACGATCCAATACTGCTTGCTTCAACAATTGAGCCATGCTCAATTATGACATGGTCACCTAGCAACCCAATGGTATCAGAAACTATCCAGATATGATTTGATCAATAAATAAAAGTGCATGCAAATCTATCCTACCCATTTTCATTGGGTAGTAGCTAAACGATCTAAAGGTCCAGCACAATCCAAAACAATCAACATCTCGATAGTCAAACCACGATATGCAATGAAAGTCGCATTTACCCTTTATAAAGTTTATATGGTGGCCGGATAATTACATTGGAATGAATTTGGCATAACCGACCAGTAGTAATTGCAACAGAGTGACCAGCACCGGCCCGTCGCAAATCACCTCTTAATACAGCATTATCTTGAATAATAGTTTTTCCTCCAAGAACTATATTTTGAATGCCATATATATGAGCCTTTCTACTGACTTTATTTCCAGTATCCTACAAAAGACCAAATAGTGATGAGTAGCAAGTAAAATATGGAGGTTTAGATAGAGATCAAATAGTATTGAAGGAAATGAATGTGTACATACAGTTTCAATGTAATCTGGCTTGTGATAGTACTGAACGGCAGGTTCCATCAAGACCGTTCAGTTAAATCTGCTGTAGATTATAATGCAAGTTGCCAGATGGCCATTTGTAACCAATAGCAATAAGCCATTGTATCACATGATATCATGTGATGTTTAAATTGGAATTTCATTTGAACAGAAACTCGACTGAAGGACAAATTACTGGACGGATTGTTGTGGGCAAGAGTGGATGGTGTCGTTTGTGTTCAAGGTGCGAGCTGCTGCTGAAGCCAATGCTGCATTAAACAATGCTCAATCATCTCCTGCACACACAAGTGCACACACAAATGCAGATGCTTTTGGATCTTCATTATCACCAACCCTAAAATCATCATCCAATGCAATGACCGACTCAAATCCTTCATCTACTCCAGCACCATCTGCAGCACAAAGCACATCGTTCAAGACACCTTCCGGAATCCCTTCACTTGATTTACCTTTATCAGCTTCCCAATCTGCATCAAAACCATTTGGAGCCAAATCTACACCTTCAGGATCCGGTAGAGGCAGTCGTGGAGGGAGAGGAAGCAGAGGTGGTCGTACAGGAAGAGGCGGTCGTGGAAGTGGATCTCGAGGCGGTCGAGGTGGATCTACAGCCAACAAAAAATCCGTATCAGCACCCTCGTCAGCAATATCGCCTTCATTTCCAACCTCATCCACAACCACTCACCCGTCTTCCAGACACAAACCACTATCAAAAGATGACGAGGCTTTATCTGAAGCACCTTTAGAAGAGCACTTGATATTGCGTGTGCCTGCTTCCATTGCTCCACAACTCCGCTTGCATGTTCAGAAACGAGATCTGAACCCATCCGCATTCACTTTAAAGTTTACTGATGCGAGAAAGGGTGAAGCAACATTTGTTGGACTAGGAAGCAATCCCAACCATTTGACTCCCGTAACACTTCCAGTCCAGCTCGTTGATCTCCCTTGTATACTTGAATCGCTCAAAACCATCGACAACAAACAATTTTATAAAATCGCCGACGTGGCTCAAATGGTGGTTGTGACTGATCCCACTGACCCCGCTTCAACTAAAATCAAACCATCCAGCGATGGGTCATGGCCAGATGGAATCAGTCCACCATTTAAAAATGTAAGAAAACGACGGTTTCGTAAGCGTATTTCAAAAAAAGCAATCGAAGATGTCGAGCAGGAGATTGAGCGGCTTTTACTTGCTGATGCAGCTGCTGTAGATGTAAAATATGGTAATTTGTTTATTTTATCAATTGGAGTGACAGATACGTGGGAAATGGGTTTTAATACCCCAGTCATGTATGCACACTTGTCTAAATTTTGATAAATTGGGAATATAATGGGATTAGATGTACACGATCGCCGCGATGGAGAAGGCTCAACTATGGACGATGGAAGTATAGCTGAACTACCCGAGGGCAGTGAAATGGCAGACAACGATATGTTATCACAGACTGGTCACGACTCTCAAGCAGGTGATCAAACTGGATCTCGTAGTGGCCATCATGCATCCGAGTCTATTGCCGACATGGACGACCATGACTCGGATCTTGCTGCTGAAATTCAAGAAGCTCTTGATGCTGATGACGATGCTAACAGTCAAGAGGGTGAGGAAAAGGAGTCGGAAGATGATGAAGAGGAGGAAGAAGACGGGGACGAACAACAAGGTGATGGTGATAACGAGAGCGACGATGGTGGACAAGAGGAAGATGTAGAAGGAGAAGAAGGAGATGCACATTTGAAAAAGCAAGCAAATCTCTTGCAGCACGAGATCCAGGATTTGGAGCGAAAACTCTTTGAAAAGAATGCACAGGCAGCTAGTCAAGTCAATCCAATCATGAGAGTACGTTGTTTATTATTTTTACTGTTTCTGGTGATGAATCTAAAACCAAACTGTTGATTGTTTAGAAACGGTTCGAGGAAATTGTTGGCAAATTGACAAGTGAACTCGATATCAAACACCAGCAACTCGAAACTATTCAGGCAGAACTTGTGGAGAACGATGGAGATGATCCTTTGGATAAAATACTTGATCAGATAGATCAAGACGAGCAAGAGGATCAGATGGATCAAGATGAACCCGTTTAACTCGAATATTACAGTCGTATTCATGTAAAATGGAACATTTGTATTTATTTTGCATTGGAATAGACACTTTGAATATTTGTCATACTTTTCTATTAGAGATTGATTATTTCACTAGGCATTTTCAATTTTTCAAAACACAACGTTTATCACATGATGCACACAATTAAACTATAATTTTGAACTGGTTTTTTTGAATCTGCCTTTTCTTTTTTTGGCATAACCATGCATTGTACGATTGCCAGACTTATCTTTGCAACTCAGATATTGGGTTTGACTATTTTCAACACAACTTCTGCATCCTAAAAACTGATATGTTTGCATTCTTTAGTATTCCACTTTACGTGAGTACGGACGCAGTGTATGCTACTATATCCTCTATAAACCACCAATGCATGGACTTTCAGATTTAAACGCAGATGGCATATCGAGTAAATCATTCACAAAATAATGTTTCATTTATTTATTTTTTCAACAGGCTCACATACCACGATGACCGCTTAGGATTTAGTGTCTGTGACGACACCGTGTCAGCTATTCAAAATTACATGATCAAAAAACTAAGAATTCATGTATCCTCTACATTATAGTTCAACAATCTAATATTATAGCTTACGTGTGTCGCTCTCGTCAGCATCTTCGCCAGCAACATGAGCTGCTCCGCCACCTCGTAGAGGCTTAGCGATACGGCTAGACTGAACCCATGAAGAACCCCATTCGGCTTGTTGAGCTAAAACATCAACATTTCAATAAATATAACGTGGCAAAAGTTTGCATCACATGCCAGATACATGTAGTTTACCTTGGGCTTGACGAAGCTTTTCTCGCATGGAACTGATTTGAGCCTCGTATCTAAACGTTTGTGACAAGCAAAAAATTATTAGTTGAACGGTCCGACACCAACCACCAGGCGGACATATAATTAAAAAATATACTTTTGATTTTGAGTTTCAATCTTGACTTGAGATTCTTGTAAAAGAGATTCCAAGTTCTGGATACGCTCGTTTCTGGTGCTCAGTTTTCGATCTGCAACTGCTAGATCCTTTTTCAAGGTCTCGTTAGCTTGGCATATTCCCTTTTGAACGGTTTTCAACTGCTCCAGATTATGCTCTAGAACAGCCATTTTTTGTTGCTGAGCTCGACTGTTGCTATTGCGAAGAATATTATTGTATTGCTCCCGAGTTTCGTCTAAAGAAATTTCCAGCTCGACTACTTTTTCACATCGGTTTTGAAGGTCGCGCATAAGCTTTTTCTTCATGGCATCAAATTCGATAAGTTGAGTGGCCATAGTTTTACGCATCTTTTCAATTTCTTCTGTTGTAGCCACATCTAAAGCTGGAAGAGCGGGCGTCCTGCCTTCTTCGGTAGACAAGCCGCTAGTTGTACCTGGTGTCTTGCGTAGTGTATCAACTGACGACAACAACTCCTGGTTTTCCTTGGTTTTTTCAGAAACCAATCTAATCAAAGCATCTCAAATTAGCCTCTAGTCTCAAAACATAAAGTTTGATTCATAATGGCTTACCGTTGCAAGCGAGCAATGTCCTCTTCCTTTTGAATATTGGCAGCGTGTAACTCCTCGATTTCCTTTTCTTGAATGTCACGCTTAGCACCATATTGAACTTCAAGCTTGGATTTGAGATCCTGAACAACATTTGAAGTCTCGCCTCCAAAATGCTGCTCCTCCTCCTGGATGGTTTTTTCAAGAAGCTGTTCGTACTCGCTCTCAAGGGCAGCAAGTTTGGTTTCCACTTCCTCTTTGCGTGCACGTAGAGTAGAAATTTCTGCTTCACGACTAGCAGCAAGCCCACTCAACTCAGTGATCTCTACCTGGTGATGTGCAAGCTGAGTCTTGACGTCCAAAAGCTCAAAGTGTTGCGATGCAATCTCCTCTGTATCGGTGGGTGGTTTAGAAGTTTCCTTCATGTGAGAAAGTTTTACAAGAGTTTCGCGCATCTGTCTTTCCTTGTCGTCCATCACTGCAGTGGGATCAAACTCTGCCATCATCTGCGCCATCTTCTCTTGTTTCCGCTTTTCCTTTTCGTTGTCGTCTTTAGTTTCAGGCATTTTAGTGGCCTGCAATTCCAAAATCTGTTTCTTGAGAGAGTCCAATGTACGCTCCAGCTCATTTTTGGATTCCTTGAGTGTATCTACAGTAATAAGACTCTCCTTATTTTCAAACATGACTTTTTCGAGTTGAAGCTGCATTTCCGTCATGTTGGATCCAAGGATCTTGTTCTCTTGAGCAATCTCGGCCTCACGGGTTTTGATGAAATTAAGTTCTTCTTGAAGCTCTTCAACAAGAGTTTGTTGCTTTTTGAGCTCCATTTCCTTTTCGGCAAGCTGGTCAGCCAGCTCGTTCTCGCGACGAAGAAACTCTTCACGATCATCGTCTGAAATTGCCAAAGCAGTGGTGCTGGATGGAGTGGTAGCGCTAGCTCGAGAGACTGCAATATCCAAAAGTGCAGGCGCAACTGTTGCAGGAGATAATCCAGCAGAAGCAGTTTTTCCTGATAACGTGACCCATTCAGATTCAGGTACAGTTTGACCTGCACGCCAAGAAACCAGCTCCTTCTCGATAGAGACAATCTGAGATTCAAGCTCGGCAGTCTCAATCTTTGCTTTTTTCAAAAGAGTTTTAAGCTCGTTGGGACTTAGCTCAGCATTGATCTTGGCCTTATTCTTGATCGTCTTGGCACGCATACCAAAACGCAGTGTGGATATTGTTTCGGCTTCATTAAATGATGATGGTGAGCAATTGATGATGAGTGTAGTACGCGAGTTACCACCAAGCGATTCTTGCAAGATACGAGTAAGCTTGGAGTCACGATAGGGAATATGGGAGGACTTTCCGTCAGTTAAAGAGTTGATCACCATTCCCAGTGCAGACAAGGATTTGTTGATTTTTTTTGCCTCTTCGAGAGTTTGACCAGTAGCACCAGTTTTACCTACCTAATTCAAAAAACGCAAGTGTAAAAAAGTACATGAGTATGCATATCACAGCAAAGCATGATGTTTCAATAAAATCATTTTACTTTTTCTGAGCCGGCCAAATCGACCAAAGAAAGTTTTCCGGTTTTGATACTTCCATCATTAAGATTTTTTTGTGTAATTTGAAGAACAAAAATAGAGTGACTGCGAGAAGACTCGGCATTCATGTCTAACCAAAACCATAGGTTTATAGAGAATGAATTAATGCAACGTATGAATTTGACATGAATATAGCAAACATACTTGTATATGCAACGACACGGGCACCCTGGCCACGACGCATAGCTTCGTACACTTCATCTACAGATCCAACAAAAACTTCCAAGAGTCCCTTGACATAAACACCTCTACCCTTGTCCTCGTGTACAGGGAGATTGTCATTAGTAGCTAAACATGTTGAATGAGTCAAATCGATCGTGGATCTAGATCACTGCAAGGATGAATCAACTTACGATTCAGTAAATCACGAATCTTTTCCATGTAAATCTCCATAAATGAAACCTTGACAGTGAATTCCAGATTGGAGGGAGAGTTGAGAATAGTATCGAAAATATGCTCGACAATACGAGGAGTAAGACCCTTGAACTCTGAGCTTTCCATATCACCCATCATAGTATGAGTTTTACCAGAGCCGGTCTGACCATACGCAAAGATGGTGCCATTGTAGCCATTCATAATATCATTGACGATGGAACCGGCCGAATAGCCAAAGACCTGGTCTTGGGTAGTAGCCCAATCGAAGATTTTGTCGAAATTGAATACACCAGGATACTCCTTGCTCTAATACCATTGCAGGATGGCATAGCGATGAAATAAGTCGGCAGTGTTAGGACATCAAAGGTGGCGTTTGGACAGCATCGAAGGATTCAAAATTGGGATGTCAAGTTGGTAGAATCAGACGTTAGTATCAACATGTCCAGAATAAAATAGAATTCTTTTTACGAATATGGCAAGAGCAATATTGTTGAGTGCAGCATGCACGCCGCCATTCATCAATCAAAAGAATACGGTATTGCGGAGCGTTGTTCGTTATCATTCCGATATTGTTGGACATGATTTTCTTATTGCTGTTACAGCAATTCGCATCGATAGTATGCATTTCTGATTAACAGTAGATTGCAATCTGAATAAAACCTACTTCGCATTTTACTGATGTCATGTCATCATCAAAAGTCACAATGTGCTCACCGCCTTCTGCAATCTCTCGCTTGTTTTGGGGTCTAAAGCGACAAACAACTCGAATGTTGGTATCTACAGTACATGTTGCAAGATAAACTCGAATGAATCAGCGGAATGCAAATCATCATCACTCGTTCATAACACTTGGACTCACCACCCATAATGCCGTGTTGTTGAGTTGGAAAGTAAGATTTTTGGGTTTCTGACTGGCAACGGCAGTCACGTGGAATAGGTTTATGTGCGCTTGTTTTGCAGACACTTGGTCGTCATGTCCATGATCAAGCTGCTGCCTGCTGGCAGCATCGTCTCTGCAACCGATCGTCTAACCATTCATGCCTCTAAAGACTTTAATCCCGCTGTTAAATCGCTTGTTGATACGCATCCATTCAACTCTTCAGTCCGTCTGTTTCTGCCATCTACCAGTCTCGATAACTCTTCCTTGGCTCTGCAACTGCCCGACTCCATCCCATATTACCATGCAAGACTCCCGCTGTCCTTTTTCATCTCATCCGAGTTTATCGATTCACACATCAAGTCAGGTCAGTATTTCTCGAATGTTTCTTGAAAACGATATTCACTAATCTTGTGTATCAATGTATAGGCTCATGCATTGCTTCCAGTATAGATACTAGAATCGATGTGGACGACTGTGTTGCATTGATCGAGCCTGGCCATTTAGTTCTCTCACTTACAAAAGATACCTATGAAAGTGCTGGGCTTACTGGTCACAAATGCAAAACTGATCCAACTAAATCTAGATATGGTAATCCATCAACTCGCCATTCTTTTGACATCAACATTGCTACTGACTGAATGTATTTTTGGATTGGCAATCTTTCATAGTTGTTACTATCGATCTTACCCAAAACACTTTCTCAAAGGGAAATAAGATGTACGATCGGATCAGTTGGGTATTCATGCATTCAATCACAGCGACATTCAAGTTTAACATCATATCCATCAAGACATCACTTGAATCATCCAGTAAGCAAATAGATGAATTCTACCACAATTAACTGGACTTTGAATTGCTTTGTTGCCAAACTCGTGTTTGAATCATGCATACTCAATATCTGATTCTATGTATAATAACTCTAGGTGCATCATCATTGATTCAAACAAAACAGATTGTGTTTCCAATGGATGCTCAAGTCAAGGAACTGTTCATCTCGCGTCAAATGATGCATATGAACAATATCTATATTCCAGATTTGTCCACTGGTCTTGTTCCAGGATTCGATTCTTCAGATGATGATTCCTCTAGGATTGCCATAGAGCTATTAGAATGGGTCGGCATGGCGAGTATTCGATCACAAAGGTAGACTTTAATCAGATTGAGTAGCCATGCATCTGTATTGTTTGAAATCTTCTAAATGCAATACTGGATACAATGTAGATTGTCTGCAACAGATAGCGTTGATTCGTTTATAGCCATGGTTGGATTGTACGAACCCTCTGTTTTGGGTGATTTGGTAATGATCACGTACAAGGGCTTCATTCCTCCATTATTCATTTCTAGAATTGTGGATGCTGCAGAGTGAGTTTTTTGTTTGATTTTCAACATATATCAGCATACTCAACACTTTGTACGATGCATATATAGCCAATGCATTTCAAAAAGTATAACAGAGATATCGAAATCTACAGCATGGGTCGCACTCCATGTTGCAGGAGATATTCATGCACCTGTATCGTGGAATCATCGCAATCATAGTATACTTGCAGGTGGTATCAATGACTATATGCTTATTTTTACCCACAAATCAATAGCCACTACTTCGTGTATATCATATACGATGGAATCTCTTGTCGCTCATAAATAATAATTGGTAATACAAACTACTTGCATTTTAAATACTCGATCAATACAAATAAATCTATTTTATTGGTGGTATAACTGCAGTATTTAGTTGAATGCGATCATGCGTGCATCGTCGCGCTAAGCGAATATATGAATCCACATCAACCATAAACGATCGGGATGTAGGATCAATCCCACATTCGGTTAAAACATCAATCACTTTTCCCAGGTTGTGTCGTTTTAGAATTGCCCTAATCATTGAATTTGGGTGATGATGCAACACTTTGACCAAATGTGCAAATGTCTCATACGGCACATCTATTCAAAAAAGCCATTGGATAATCAGTTGCATATACAAGGTTATTACCAAACGATTTCAACACATTGCTTGATTATAGTCTTTATCAACTACCTTTGAGTCTGTTTTCAGCGTGTGGTTTGAATTGAAGAATTCCTCCATCTACCTAATATCAAAACATACAGGTTAAAAATGAGTCATTATTTAAAAACGGATATACTGTATATCAAGCTTATGATTTACTTTTGGAACAGGTCGAAAGAGTTTACGATCTACAACGGATAACATCTTGACATCAAAGAAAGCCTGACACAAAACGGACAATCTTCCTCGCACCTTTGTTCCCACGGGTGCTGCAATCCTCTACAATATAGATGAATAACAGCAATTCGGCATAAATCTTGCAATCGATCAGGCTGTGAATCTATGGGCTGCCACTTACCTCGCACACCTCGCGCTGTAGCATTAAAGTCATTTCAGTCTTGGGAAAGGAAAACAAATATTTTTCCGTAGCTGCTTGTTTTATCCACATATGCAGCAGAGGCGACGAAATGGAATACGGAAGGTTTCCAACGATATGCACTTTGTCAAAGTGGGGTTGATTATCTAGTATGTATCTTGTCAGCAATAAAACTTTGATTTTGTAATTAAAAACACACTACAGAAAAGTAAGATCCAATACCTGGATTGGAATTGGAATTGGGTTGACTCAGACGATCGCATTCAACAGCCTCTGTCATGATCTGATTGAATAGCACCTGCTGATCACTTTCAAGCATATCTCCCAACAAGAATCTAAACCGACTTGGCACAGATGCTTGGAGTATCTGTCGAATGCAAGCCATGACGATCGAATATATTTAAACAGCACATGTTACATCATAGAGCAGCGGCAATGTATCAAGTGTGAATACAGCGGATAAATTACTTGAAGCATTGGAGCTACTGATGCATCTTTTTCGACAGCGACGAGATGTGTAACACCCAATTTAAGAAGACTTCTAGTTAAACCACCCGGGCCTGGACCCACTTCTACATGAAGAGTTTTTCCATCTCTCTTTTTGGCTACGGCATGTTGAGCAATACTATCTATATGAGCCATGATTCCAAAAGTCAGTCAAAACACATTCGAGTCGAACTGGAATAGGTCGAGTTGATCCAGTACCGGTAACACCCGGCCGGAGAAGAAAGTTTTGACCAAGTGCCTTTTTTGCATGAACATTGTATATGGATATTAGCTGAGGTAGTTTGGGTAGAGCCATTTCAGGATAAAATTTAAATGAGGCTGCTGATGAGTTGGAAATAAAACTCTACAAGTGGATAAACGCAAAAATTCTCGATAGTGCAAGCAAAACAACTCGAATACAAGTTTAAAGACCAAGCATGAGAACATGAATTCTTAATGAATATTCAAAGCAACTTCCAGTGTATAAATAACCATCCCAAAACATCTGAATTCAAGCCTTCTCGATTTTCCATCATGTCGCGAATAACCACCAAAATTGCTTCTCGATTGCCATCTGTTTGCGTTCGAGCTAGGCCAGCATTCATCTGTGCTAGCGTGAGCCTTTTTAATCCTCTAAACTCGACTCAATGGCTCAGATCATCGAGAGGATTCTCTACTACCGTCTTGTCCTCTGCACCTATTGACATCCCATCTAAATCGACTACCACCAATGGTCCTCTTAGCGGTATTCGTATCTTGGACTTGTCTAGAGTTCTTGCTGGCCCTTATTGCAGTTGAGTGGATAATTTAATCCCGATGTGTATTTTGCCACCCATACTTGATATGTTTGGTACTATTTTTTTGCATATTTTAAAACTAATCATAAACAACCTGCTTAAATAGCAATGATCTTGGGAGATATGGGGTAAATTGCTTGTATATTTCTAGTTGTATTTTTAAATGAATCTTGACCTTTGTTTTTAAATACATAGAGCGGAAGTCATCAAGGTCGAAAATACTGGATCGGGCGATGATACTCGCACATGGGTATGTATAAATCGTATCAAGTTTCATTCAACCAATGGTCTATACCAATACCATTCTAATTTCTACAATATCCAACCTCTTTAGGGTCCACCGTTTGCTCCCAACAAAGACGGATCTACTACAAATCAAGAGTCGGCTTACTTTTTAGGCGTCAATCGCAACAAAAAGTCGATTCAGGTCAATTTTAAAACTCCGCAAGGCTTAGCCATCATTAAAAAGCTTGCAGCGTCAGCAGACGTTCTTGTGGAAAATTATATTCCAGGAAAACTTGATGCCATAGGATTAGGCTACGAGGCAATGCAAAAAATCAACCCCAGATTGGTGTATGCCTCGATCACTGGCTATGGCCCTGATGGACCATACAAGTCTCATGCAGGATACGATCTGATTATTGAGGCTGAGGCTGGATTGATGCATATTACTGGTGAGCAAGATGGCCCCCCAGTAAAGGTGGGTGTGGCTGTAACAGACATCATCACTGGATTATATACCCATGGTGCGATCTTGGCTGCATTGATGGCTCGCAACCGTACTGGACGTGGCCAGAAAATCGATAGTTCATTGTTGGTGAGTTTAGCCCAATACATTGTTTTTTTGATGTTTTGGCTAACACGATATACTATGTAGGAATGCCAAGTTGCTGCGCTGGCTAACATTGCCCACAACTATCTTGTTGCAGGCCAAGAAGCCAAACGATGGGGAACGCAACACTCGGCAATTGTGCCTTATCAAGCCTTTCCTACCCAAGACGGTGACGTTGTTATTGGTGTAGGCAACGATAAACAGTTTGCAAAGCTATGCGAGGCCTTGAAACAGCCAGATTTAGCTTTCGAGGAAAAATTTGCAACCAATCGCAGCCGTGTTCAGAACCGTAAAGAGCTGGTAACTAATGTATCGAGGCAGACTGTAAAGCCAACTAATAGTATATTGACATTCAACTATGCTGTATATGTAGCTGGATATTCTTTGTCCATTGGTAAAAAAGTATACGAGGCAGGAAATGCTGGATATGCTCGACACTCTAGGCATTCCTTTTGGACCAGTCAATAATCTCGAACAAACATTCTCTCATCCACAAGTGCTGCATCGTAAGATGGTTGTTGAGGTGGATCATCCTAAATCTGGCAAGATCAAACTGGTTGGTGTTCCTGTCAAGTACAGCGACACGAAACCAAGTGTTCGACTTCCACCTCCGCTACTGGGACAGCATACTAGGAATGTTTTGGTGGATGATCTTGGATTTAGTGATGCCGAGGTGGATGAGCTTAAAGCTAAAGGAGTGGTTTGATTGAATTTTTGGCTGTTCATTTGATTCAATGTCTTGAATACCATGACTCAACCTATTGTGACTATAAAGACTCGCGAATATAGGATAATAAACATTTATCTCCTGGCATGAGATGTTCTCATCCTTTCATGAAAGTGGGTGGGCTTACACAAATATCATCTCCATCATACATTCTGTTACAAGTTTTATTGGGATTGAAAAATGGCATGCCGACAAACAAATTGCTTCAATTCGCCACTTTATAAAAGACAAACACGCCAACCTGCCCAATCTTGCTAGTTGAAACTTATCTACAAAAGAAACTATCTCAACACCGTCACTTTTGGAAATGGCTCCCTATCTTCGTACCCGCAAAAGCGATACCATTAAACCTACATCTCCAAATGCAAAGTCTTTAGCAGCTTCCGACTACGCTGCCATTCATAAAACGGTCGTTGCCAGTATCTCAAAAATGGGCCCAAACGTCACCTCTCAACTCACAGGCAAAAAAACCTTTCCTTCATCCAGTAAAATAGCCAAGAAGCACCAAATGTCGAGCGCAGTCAGTGCTCGGATCGTCCGTGAGCTCACCATAGATGTTCCCAAAAAAGACATAAATAAACGCAAGGCTGTTGCTGCCCAAGTCAGAAACCGCGCGGTTGTTAACGAGATTAGAAAGATGGTGAGTAGATGTGTACATCTTTGGATGGTTTAGAGCGTGTTTGATTAGATATGGCTACTGAGAAAAGTGGTTTGCGGTAATGGAATTGTGATTATGTTTAAACAATAGCTTTAAACTATCGATACTCATACTATCGAGTTCATACTTTTATCTTGATTGACATATTTACCCAACAACTGTATAAATGTATTCATGTACTATGCATGGAGTCGGATTAGAGTACGCGACATCAAACTAACCATTTGACCTTGTCAACAATATCTAGGGAGGAAATCCAATGAAGCTGCTCACAACTAACTCTGTCAAGACTGGGGTTGATGTTGGGTTTGTCACTCAATCTCGTCGCAACACAGCACCAACTGCTCTTGTTATCGGACGTGTAGGGAAAAAAGCTGCTACTCCGCGCTCCAAAGGAGTTTCACCTACAACTATGCGCAAAAAAGTAACAAAAACTGTTGCCTCTGAGATTCAAAAGCTTGGTAAGGGAAAACTTCCCGCTCCATCTGTGATTAAAGCTCGTGCTAGGATTGCCCCAGCCAAAATTGCTGTCAACACTGAGGTGAGTTTTTAAAGTGTAGGGTCATTTATATCAATACAAATCTGTTGACCCATAATTGTTCAAACAACTCTTGGAAATAGATTCTGAAGCGTGCGGCTGTCAAGGAAATCCGTAACAAGCGAAAGCCAATTTCGCCTCTCAAGTCTCCAAAGAAATCTACCGCATCCAAGAGTGGCGGATCCCTTGTCAAGGCCAAGACTCATTAGATCGCAAACACAAGTCTATTAGTATCTTACATGCCATGAGGATTAAAACGAGAAAATTGGTGCATAGACTGTTGTCAAAATGAAATCTTTCTCATATGGATGTTTGCTTTGAATGAATTGTCAAAGCGGGTTGAAGCAAAGTTGGAAGCGTTACAATGAATGAACAAAAGTGAAGTCGATAAAAGTGAAAATTCAAGAGTTGGCAAACTGCTGTTGCCATCAACTATTGCTCTACCAACACTGCAACTATTCCTTACTATTCTTTCAATGGGGTCATTTAAAGTGTTTAGAGATGAATTAGTGCATGTTGCCACGCCAAGCATGGACCACTGCGCAGCTACAGACACAGAGAGCCATTCTATTGCTGACCACAATGCACTGTCATTAAAGCCAGCAGCAGACAGTACAGAACAGCTTACCACCCCTCACACTCATCCAGAATGGTCAGATCCAGACTCGGCCCTTGCAGTTGTGTCTGCTCGCAGACAAGGCTTGAGGCCATCTACGGTCTTACTGAAACGCTCAATGTCGTTGCCTTGTCAGAAACATTGGACTGCTTTTACCGATCCTGCCATTCATATGCAGTCCATCTCAATGCCATTGTTGTCGGACGCGCTGCTCAATAAAGGCTTGGATCTTGCATCTACTGCTCATGTCAGACCTACTCAGACATGCATCAAGTCACTGTTGTCGCTTGCCTCGAATAGCACTACTGCAAGTGACCCAATCACCATTCCGCACTCTTCTCCAAAACGCAACTTTGGTGATGTTCAGCAATCCCTAGAATCATCGCCTTGCATCGGATCTACCCCACTTGCAGCATCTTGGACACTCTCCATTTGCCGCCATCCCTACACTCCCACCCAGCCATCTGTTACAAGTAACGCCAATCTTACTCAACCTGCATCTCTTTCTCTTATTCCACACACCACCTCACTTTCAACCCCATTAGCTTCACAACCCTCCAAATCCTCATCTTCAAGTACCATCTCTAACCCGGAATCTACTTCCCTAGTGGTCCATCTAACCACTTCAAACGAAGCCTATCCTACTCCTTTGAAATTGCAACCTGAATTAATTACAGATGGTTTGGCTGCACATCATAGCAACAAAGAAAACTGGGACGCTATCAGAAAAGTGTATTCTACAGATCGGACCAGAAGCAGGCGGGTAAAAATCAAGGCCAGTTTTCAACATAGCAGCGACAATAAGAATTTAGGCAATGTGGATCGTGTTCCATTGGCTGATATCACTCGGCGTATGCAGGCATCTCGCTATACTGGAAGTTCTGACTATACTACTTTTTCAATGGATGAATACGATAATGGCGTGGTTGCTTATAACAGTAATGCAGAAAATGTGCATTGTGGACACGGAAACACTAACCCATTTCAAGTGTCATCACAGTCCTCCACCCTCAAGGTGAGCTCCTACTTGTCCTAATTCTCATTTATACTCACTCTTGCTTGTATCATCAATGCCTTGATTCCAATTAACACTTTTTACTGTATGTCCAGGTTGCTACTGAGCCTAATCATCAAGACTCAATCTGTCCACCTGTGCATTTACCTCTCAAATCGAACCCTGCAATATCCACTGCATCTGCACCCCCTCAAAAACAAACTGTATCTAGGCTTGTACGAGCATCTGCTGGGCAAACCACACGTCAACCGCTTTTGAAAAACGCGGTACATGTGCATAAATCTTTTCAAGTAACCAAGGAAGGTGAAGATACGACAAAAAGGCTTCATCCCTCAAATGAAGCTTTAGGAAAGCCAAAGCCTGCGCGTAAACCCAAGCCCATATCAGCCCTTAGGTCTATGCGATAATTGCATATTGATTTGTCAGCAGTATAAGAGTGGTATATTACTATGAATCGTGAATGCAGTCCTGCCTAAATCTTTCCACACTATAAAGGGCTATGGCTTATGGACTCTTGTGATTTGAAAGTGGTTTACCAGCTCAATAAAAAATGTGTTTGCTGAAAATAATTTGAAATGGTGAGATTCGAATGCATTCGAGGTTGAGTCCGTGTAGGGTTTAGAATCTCAGCAATGCATCAAGGCTGTGGATCAAAAGGGTTGAGGATACAGAACAGTTGGATTCTAAGCAGTATATTTCAAGATTCAAGTATGATATCAATTCCTTTATTTAGAAATCTTTTCAGTGAGTTCGGGAATCGCCTATATAAATGTACCCACACCCCAAAGTAGTCAGTACCACTCGTCAAATGATTCAGCCATCTAGTTCAATGGCATGCATTGACATGACATAAAAAATGTTACCTTGAAAAGATCGGCAACCAAACCATAGTCGGACACCTGGAAAATGGGTGCCTCGGGATCTTTGTTAATAGCGACAATAGTCTTGGAGTCTTTCATACCCGCTAAATGCTATATTCCGTAATTCCAGAAACATCAATACGACACATTTCATCACCTTAAATGTACAACAAAGCAGACTCAGCTTTACCTGAATGGCACCAGAGATACCAACAGCAATGTACAGTTCGGGTGCAATGATCTTGCCAGTTTGGCCAATTTGCAGATCGTTACCAACAAATCCAGCATCGACAGCAGCACGAGAAGCGCCAACAGTACCACCCAGTTTATCAGCAAGGTCGTAGAGCATTTTGAAATTTTCTCCACTCTTCATGCCACGACCACCACCAATGACAATTTTGGCACTGGCAAGTTCAGGACGATCGCTTTTGGCAACTTCTTCACTGACCCATTGTGCAAGTGCTAGAAAAAGTGGATAAAGTAGTTGTTTTGCAAGTAGATTTAGTCAGGTTTAGTATTTGTAGTCCAAGACACATATTTACAGCCAGGTTCACGTAAAATGAAGTACCAGACAAGTGTCAAAATACATAGTATAAATAGTCAGTCTCACAATAGTTCCCATTAAATATACTGGTCAGGACTCTGGTTTTCTTGGCAAAAGTTGATTTTTCTCCATGTTTGTTTTTGTATAAAAAACAGGACAAATGTTTACAGTTCCAATAAATCCAGACTCGTTCAATTTCCTTCCCTTTTCATCCAAATCAAATATCGAGTAATCGATTTGGAGACCACTGTTGCATCTCTAGCATGTGCAATTTGTTGGAGTCAAAACGTGCCAGAATTTGAACACAAGTAGTTTTACAGAGTTTGACATCAAAACAGTCAAGCCCAATATTTGATTCCAATCTTGGTGACTGTACAATGTATGATTATACCAAAAATGATCAAAGATACGCTCCAAACTATAGTTTGTATGACGAGCATTGTGTTTTAAAGAGTCGAGAAACCAAAATCAATCTCCAATAGAAAAGTGCAATGGATATTCAACCATTGTCCATTCCAGATCATCACTGCAAGATCAATGCAGGTTACATTTTACGTGAATATGGCAATAAATCAAAATAACATACGTTGAGCAGCAGCAACAGTAGAATCTTCAGAGACAGCAGAGCCGCCTGAAGCAGCAGCAGCAGGGAAAGCAGTGGTGCGGATAGTAATAAACTTGACGGGATCCTTTGACTTGACCTGCGCAATAGCGTTGCCTAATGAATCAAGAGTCAATCAAGACAGAATTAAAAGTATTTTCTGTTGGTATAAGCCAACACAATAGATTGGATGGATCTCTACCTACCAGCATAGATTGGACGCTTAAAAGTGTCGACACCTTCGATCTGGATGACATCTGAAATAGGAGAAGCATCACATACAGCAGCAGCACGGGGCAAGACATTCTTTCCGAAAGCAGTGTGGGCTGCAATAATATGAGTGAAGCCACCAGCCTTAGTAGTCTCGACGACTAATGGGGCAATCATCTCGGCCAGATCATGGGCATAGACATCGCTCTTGGCAACAACCACTTTGGAAACGCCAGCAATAGCTGCAGTTTGAGTGGCAATGGCAGCAGCGGTGGATGGAGAAGAAGCAATAAGAGCTGTGACTGGGAACCCAAACTGGGACGCAGCAGTGACAGCATTGAAGGAGGATGAGCTGAGCTTGCCGTTCTTGTGCTCAATCAAGACCAATGTTGACTTGTAGTTCTTTGGAATGCTCAAGTTGATCACGCTGCGGTTGGCTGCCAACCTGGCCTAGTGTTGGACATGCCAATATATTTGTGAATCAATGCAATCGGCAGATGAAGAATATGAAATGCGGTTAGCAGTCAATCTACATATGTGCATGGTAATGATAAGGAATGGCTTGCAGTCCAATAGAGGATCATGCTGGATAGCATGAATTAAAGCAGAGCCTAGTGTCATCAGTACTAATAGAAACACACTCTTGCCTGGTAGAGAGAAGAGCATACTGTGCGATACATGGCTTGAATGGTCCTGACAGCAGATCTGAATGTAAATGGTGAAGCCAAGAATCGGGTTGTAATTCATCAGTTTTTGATTTTAAAAGTTTCCCTTGAACAATTGATATTCTGTCGGATCGCCTTGATTGCTCACTATTACTACTATGATTGATACAGAGGAGGCTGATGTGTACATCAACAGTCGTAATGAATGGTACACTGATGCTGCCAGCTACTGGGAACAGATCGAACGTATGCTTTCGTTGCACATATATTGCCAATTATCCTGCTTTTATTGAAACTATAATGGTTGGTATATTTAGCTACAGTCCAAGGCATGCTGGGAGGATTTGGATTTCTGACTCATATTGATGCAAAAGGATCATCTTCGTTTATTTCCGAGTTTGTCGCTTCAGACACTGACTCTCCACCAAGGCTCGATACCAAGAAAGCATGTGGCAAGTATCAACACTGAAATCATGCCAAGCAAAAACCGTATATTCACGCTATTTATATTAGACTGTGGTGCTGGCATTGGTCGAGTATCAGAAACGTTTTTATTAAAGACATTTGACAGAGTAGACTTGGTGGAGCAAAATGCACAGTTTTTAAATACAGCCAAAGCCAATTTTAAAGAAAATGGTTTGGACAATCGTGTGGATGCATATATCCCTTTAGGACTGCAGGAATTTTCTCCAGAGGTATCTAGCTTTGCCAATTGGACTGTGTTTTGCTAAACTGACTCATGTATTCATTCATGGTTGTAGGAAGGTCAATATGACCTGATTTGGTGTCAGTGGGTACTTGGACATCTTAAAGATGGTATTTTTGATCACTGATTACCTCAACCCTATAGTCTGACTTGCCAACGCATGCTAACTCTACAACATAGATGATCTAGTAAGTTTTTTTCAGCGATGCAAAAAGGGTCTCAAGCCAAATGGTATGATTGGTGTTAAGGAAAATATTGCGCACCAAGGCATTCTGATTGACAAAGAGGACAGCAGTATGACCAGATGTGAGGAGATTCTTGTTGAAATCATGCATCGTGCTGGACTCACGATTGTCAAGCAGGAAACGCAATCTGGATTCCCAAAAGAACTGTTTGCTGTTAAAATGTAAGACTAATTTGGTTGTGGTTGTGCCATCAAGTCGCTATACTCATTGATACTATGGCTACGCGATATGAATTAAACTATGCAGGTTTCTGCTCAGCTAAACACGCTATTGGATCTCGTCAAGTTTGACTTGAGTTTCTTACCACCGTTTGTCCAGTCTAAATGGTCCGGTGGTATAGCTTAGCCAGTAGTTTTAAATGAAAATATACTTTAGATAAACTTTATTCCAGTATTGCCGTCATTGCTGTTGAATATCTGCGCTTTGCCCTGTTTGGCAAGAACATCCAATACTTTTTTGATGATTTCTTCAGGAATACCATGAAATGCTAGATTATGAAATGGGATTGAAAGAGTTTTTGCAGATTGTTAGAAGCCATGGATTGATATTCGAGATATAATACAACTTACATTCGCCCTCTGTTTCGTCTCCACAAAAGACTTCGTAGGTAGTGCACACTGTTCCTGTCCGCCCAGTATTAAAAACCTACACAACACACGAGTCAATGCTGCACACATGAATGTACCATTTAAAAAGCTTACCCATGTATACACCTGACTCGCCCATTCTTCAGGCGTTCGCCAGTAGATTAAACATCTGTTTTTATCTTTCGATTCCCACTCGGCCATCTTCATAACACTAACAAGGTGATCCAAAATCAATACCAACGACTCTCTCGACAACGATCCTAGCCAAAAACGACTCGATCAGATCCAATGTATTGATCTTGACCCACCAAGCAGTGTAGACAACAATGACCAACATACTTTGGATCTTGGGGTTATGAAACGGTTCAAGCTTTCCAACCGATTCGTTTACATCGATTATAAATGTGCGGGTGTGCTGGGAGTGTGAGAGAACAAGGTCACACCATAGCTGTCGCTGTTTATGCCATGTATCCAGTGTAGGCTGATGACTGCCTTTCCCTATCGGGCTTCAAGTTAACCCACAGTATGGTATGCTTGAATAGGATTGCAGTATACACTTACGTAAAAAAAGGAGGAAAGCTGTATACGGATGGGTACTCAAACTGCGATGACATGGGCACTGGCTTTCTAGATACACTAGACTCGGAGGTCAAGTATTGGAATAGATTTTCAACGCAACATTTCAAATATTTACTCATTTCACAAATCACAACGGTCGCTATGAGAAAATGTCGGATTGTTTATTACACAAGTAGATGTGGAGTATAGGTTGGCTGCATGTTCAATCAGTAGTTGGATGATGTTGTAGTTAAGCATGATGAAATGGCAAGCAATTGATATTGAAAAAAGCGGTAATCCAACTATTGGCTTATTTGCTGATAGTATATTCAGACCAGATCTATTAGATGCCAGACTAGGCTAAAATTCAATCAAATCACTGTCGATATGTATTCAGCATTTTAAAATGGGTCGAATCCAAACAGCTTTTCAGCTGTAGGCTGCAAATCAAAAGGTTGAGCCAAATCAGCACCAATTTTATCGCCATCATCAACATTTCTCAAGCCCAAGCTAACACAGCCGCTTCCAGTAGCCTTGGTATAGGTATGATGGGATAGCGACGCAACATTCTGAAAAGTAGATTCAATAGATTTAGACCCACATTCGCCATTATATATCGGTGCAGTAAGCAATGGAGTAAACGTTCGTCGTAACATGCGTAGCATATCCAAGTGCTTGTGTAAAACACACCAATAGACTAGACAATTTTCTATGAACTGGATAAACTTTTCGTGAATGGTGTCAATGCCAGATTGAGTGTGTAGTCCGGCCTGGTAGTGTAAATGAGCTTCGTGAGGCTTATATCCAACTCGAGCTACAATCCATATAAGTTTTGCTGCTGGAAGAATCGTGCAATGGAATCCTGGTGGCATATACAAACCATATCGATTATGCACTAGCATGGTGGTAACAATACGCTCAACTACAAGTGCCGAGTCAACACAGATGGAAAAGATAGGATCGGAGCACACAACACTGTGCAAACCCAGATCCGCCATTCGTGCTAGATTTGGCAAGTGCAACTCAATCAATGATGAGTGGTATAGAGCGAGAATGTATGCATCGCGCCAGGTTTGTCTAAACAATAACTTGGGTTGTGGAAAGTAGATGGAGTGTGGATGTTGCAAGAGTTTAGGAAGTTGGGCTAGCCAACTATGCAGATCGTTATGAATTTCATGTCTGTCAGCTGAAATCTTGTTGAGAATATTGATTGAAGAGTTTAGTGGGTCCAATTCAGCTTCAAAAATACAAAGCTTGTGTAATCGAGTTGTGATATGAAGCAGCTCTGATAAACGATCGATATTTCCAAAAAACGTATCTGGCAAGGCAAAAGTTTTGTTTTGGTGTTCATCATAAATAGCAACAAGGACCGGCTCTGAATCAGCAGCTTTTTCTCCCATAGAAAGGCAGGGAGAACTTTTAGTCATAGTAGGTTTGGACAATAAAAAAGAATTGTCTTTACGCTTGATGCCCATCTCCCATTCAGATTCCTGACTTTCACGATTGGCGGTAATGAAGCTTAGATCCGCAGGGTAGGGAACAAGCTTTGGGCTTGACTCTTGAATGCTAAAAGGCATTCGGTTAGAAATTGCACCTTCACGATCACACTCGTACAAAATCCACCAAATAGTGCGTCGAAGCTGCTGCTCTAAAGGGGATACATTGCTTGGATAGCGTACTTCGTTGTGCAATCCAAGTAAATGGGCCATTGACACGGCATTATTTGTGCATAACCAAGCCTTGTCACACCATCCAATACCTATCGAGGTTAAAAAATTGCATCAGTAGAGTGCGAGGAATTCAAGATTAATGCAAGAAAAATAGGCCAAAGCTTACCAACACACCACCATGACAGTAGTAGCATGCCTAGAATGTTTGTATAAGAAGGACCTTCCAACAACACATCACCCATCATATTTATAGCCCGCTCGAAATAAGCTTTGCCCTTGTGGTAGAGAGGAGCACCACGCCGAGGTCTGGTGGTATAGCGTGCTGTAACAGCATGGGCTGCATTCAAAATAAACGGACTGTTGAGAGAGATATAGGGATTGTCTACCGTAAGAAGAGGAAAGGCCGAACAGATATGTTGATGGAGAATAGTGTATACTTCAAAACTGAATCGAGGCAGGTCATCAACAGAAGATGCGTCGGGTATAGATGGTATGGGATGAGATTGAAAATACGACGACGCACATTCTTGCAATTGTTGTGACTGGGTTGTACTATCTTGAAAAAGTGAATGGTCGGATAGAGTAGATTGATCAGTGCTGATGGATGGACTGGCGGAATGTTGGGTTGCAGAAGGTGACCTGGAATGGCTTGGTTGTAGCAAGGAAGGTTGATGTGACATGGCGAATGCAGGATTCATAGAAGTAGGCGCAAGACCATTTTGATTTTCGGGCGCTACTTGATTGAGCTTAAGCTCAAGTTCCAAGAGTCTTTGTTCCATGACCCTCATGGTTTGCATATGATTTGGAGATGGAGTCCAGGCAGGTGTTTTGCGTTGCTGATGGTTGTTACGACGTTGCTGTACTGAATAAATGCAAACCAACTGTCGAGCAATGCATTCAGTGCAGGATGGACGACCGCCTTCACATCGTACTTTCTAGTAAACATTGAAAAGTTAGCATGCAATTCAAAGAATGGTATCAGCAACAGTCTTGTCTCTGCTGGGACAGACAGTGCTCGAATGATAAATGACATTTATCGGGTTGCACGAGTCAACCTTTTATTGAGCATATTATATGCCAACCTTTTGTCGACAAGATTCACAGGCCTTGCGGGTCTGAGGTAAAGCGGATGCGGCATGTTTCGATCTTCTTGTCGAAGCAGGGGTAGCTCGAGATGGGCGGGGATGGGATGCCATAAGAGAATCGTGACCATTTGGCTTAGAAACACTCATGGTATCAAAAGTGCTTCCATTGCAATTTTCATCTGAAATGTCCATTGAATAAGTCGGCCAGCTTCGAGCTGCTCGTCGCAGTTTTATAACAAATCACACTTTACGGCCATTTATTCGGCCGAGACGGTCACGTGAAATGTGGCCTTACCACTTAGTTGGTATCATTCCACTGTGGGCTGGACTCGCTCAAAACATTCTGGCTGCAGCGCCGGGTGTGGCTTGCCTTACAGCCATATTCACATAACATTAAATGTGGATTCAAGCAGACAGTCTCACAATAGTTCCCATTAAATATACTGGTCAGGACTCTAATTTTCTTGGCAAAAGTTGATTTTTCTCCATGTTTGTTTTTGTATAAAAAACAGGACAAATGTTTACAGTTCCAATAAATCCAGACTCGTTCAATTTCCTTCCCTTTTCATCCAAATCAAATATCGAGTAATCGATTTGGAGACCACTGTTGCATCTCTAGCATGTGCAATTTGTTGGAGTCAAAACGTGCCAGAATTTGAACACAAGTAGTTTTACAGAGTTTGACATCAAAACAGTCAAGCCCAACATTTGATTCCAATCTTGGTGACTGTACAATGCATGATTATACCAAAAATGATCAAAGATACGCTCCAAACTATAGTTTGTATGACGAGCATTGTGTTTTAACGAGTCGAGAAACCAAAATCAATCTCCAATAGAAAAGTGCAATGGATATTCAACCATTGTCCATTCCAGATCATCACTGCAAGATCAATGCAGGTTACATTATACGTGAATGTGGCAGCGTTAGCCCTGCACTCGTTCAGTTATTTATTATCATATAGGTGTCAGCAGCTCACAGTTTGTCAAAACAGGATTTTTGGCAAACACAAAATCTACTTCAAAATCTACTGTGGCCATACTAGCCTCGCTAATCAAGTTTGCTTTCTGGTCTAGCCTTTTGGCTCGACTATCCTTGCTGTCCTGACTAAGCCGCTGCTCTGGCTCTTGAAGTAATTGCTTTGACACGATGTCGATAATAAATGAAACGCAGCCGTCCAACTCAAAGTGGTCAACTGTGGTGTCTATACCCGAAGCCCGCATAGCTGTGTAAAGATCCATAATGAACCCTTTTTCAAAAGGAAACGCAAAGTCAATCATGCATGTGTGTGCATGGTCTGGATGCAAGTGGGAATTGCCGCTTTTCGTTTTGGTGGAAATCAGCGGCTTAGGTATACTTGCTGTGCTGGCAGAAACATGACTGTCCAAAACAGTAGTAACAGACTCGGATGAAACAGTCGCATCAATGCGGTATTGAATACGAACTGCCAGGTCGGTTATGGGTATAGGAGTGGCTGTTGCATTACTGGTATCAAGGTTTGTATCACTACAAGGATTAGATACCTCAGTTGCATTGTCGTATGGCTGTGAGGAACGCAGGCATGAGCTGGGTGGGATAAGTAAAGAAATTTTACCACGGATCGACTGGGTAATGTCCGAGTATCTCAGCGATAGCAATGTGGCAGTAATGGACGGATCCGGCAGTCTGATGGGAAAAGTAGTTGCAGAAAACACAACATGGTGAAGCGCTTGGCGTTCTTCTGCTTCAGCAGAAATTGGAGGCACTCCATACACGACGATGGTTGGAACTGACGTATAGCTTCCAGTACGCAGCGAGCGAATACTGCGCGAGGAGGGATACGAAGGTGACGAGTTGGATGTATGGGCAGTGCTGGGATAACGTGCTTCTGATGGCTCGAATAAATCGGAATGACGAGATCGTGAAATGGATTTAGTTTTCACAGAAGCAACAGAATTGCATGCCTTTTGAAAAGGCTGCACAACTGTTTCCTCTAAAAGGTAGTCTGGCTGATGTAACCACCAACGAAGAGGCTCAAACGAGCCTGACCTAAAAATACGATCGTGGGAAACAGTGGTTAGGGTTGGACAGATAATCTGCGACTGCGTTGGTTCATTTTTTGTCACATACCAAGTTGGATGGACTCGTTGACTAGATGAGCGATGCATCAAAGTAGATGAAATAAGATGCCAACAGCTAAAGAGTAAGTTCGAGGTTAGTGATTGAAATCAATGATACGTATACTGTCAAATAGGCGTATCAAGAGAACGATGGACTCGAAACTAAACTGCAAGATTGGTTTAGAAAAGGAAAAGATCGAATTACATTAATATATATCGTGCTTTACAAAAAGCACTATGTTTTACAATCACATAACCAGTGGCAATCACTCAAGCAGGTGCGCAGTGTACTAGAATGTGCTTTTGTGAACGATTATTGCTCATTATATATTGGTGTGGCTGAATGAATTCTGCAATCTCCATTTCAATAGTGGCATTGTAGCCCTGCGTGGCTAAACTTGCTTTACATTGGATTGGTTGGAAGTTTGTGTAAAGTTACCGCGCGTAGACGGCAAAGTTTAATACCACATCTTCTCAAAAAACATAGTGAATGTTTTCAATAATGCAACTCTCTTGGCGCGTTGGGTATCTTCCCTATATCAAAATACTGCAATTGGTGTATATTGCTTAAAGTTATCAAATGAATGTATGGGAACTTGTCTCAATTTTTCTGATAGCCTTCTTGGCATTCAGTCAACACAAGCAGTGCTCCTGCGCAACCAAACAGCATTGATAGTATTTAGTCAAACTTTAAACTATAGTTGTAATCCATTGGTGTGACCAGATCAGTGCATCGCCTACGGATACCATTTGCTGCATCTTGCAAAGTTGACCAAATACAATAAGCATCATAATGATAGTTCTAATTTAATTTAAAAGTCAAATACATATCCGCACAACCAGTCAAATCCACACCACCCACATCTCAGTCTGCGCAATAAAAGCAACACACTGACATGTCCATTTTGTTATTCTTGATTTTTTATTTGTAATACCCAGGCGTACCGAGTAACAGTTAGGAGAGGAAAAGAATCAAGAAGTGGTATGGGATTAACAAAAAAGACAAATCAAACCCCGAGATAAAACAAACATTGGAAAAAGAAACAATTCGGTTAAAAACTATATCATCGAGAAGATTATACTTGGTTTATGCCTCTGCCTCAGCTTCACCCTCTTCCTCGTCAAATTCGCCTTCCTCCTCTGCCGTAGCATCCTGGTACTGTTGGTATTCCGACACGAGATCATTCATGTTGGACTCGGCTTCAGTGAATTCCATTTCATCCATACCTTCACCCGTGTACCAATGCAAGAAAGCCTTGCGACGGAACATGGCAGTGAATTGATCAGAAATACGCTTAAACAGCTCTTGAATAGCAGTCGAGTTACCAATAAAAGTAACAGACATTTTAAGACCCTTGGGTGGAATGTCACAGACGGCGGTCTTGACATTGTTGGGGATCCATTCAACAAAGTACGACGAGTTTTTGTTTTGAACATTAAGCATTTGTTCATCAACCTCCTTCATGGACATACGGCCACGGAACATGGCTGCAACAGTGAGGTAGCGACCGTGACGGGGATCAGAGGCAGCCATCATGTTTTTGGCGTCAAACATTTGCTGAGTAAGCTCAGGAACAGTGAGAGCACGGTACTGTTGGGATCCACGGGAAGTCAATGGGGCAAAACCAACCATGAAGAAATGGAGACGAGGGAAAGGAACCATGTTCACAGCAAGCTTACGAAGATCAGCATTAAGCTGACCGGGGAAACGCAAGCAGGTGGTGATACCACTCATGACAGCAGATACAAGATGGTTAAGATCACCATATGTAGGAGTGGTAAGCTTGAGTGTACGGAAGCAAATGTCATACAAAGCCTCGTTGTCAATGCAGAAAGTCTCGTCAGAGTTTTCAACAAGCTGATGGACAGAGAGTGTAGCATTGTAGGGCTCAACGACAGTGTCCGACACCTTGGGAGAAGGAACAACGGAGAATGTACACATCATACGGTCAGGGTATTCCTCGCGAATCTTGGAGATAAGAAGGGTACCCATACCGGCACCAGTACCACCACCGAGAGAGTGTGTGATCTGGAAACCTTGAAGGCAGTCACAAGATTCTGCTTCTTTGCGAACAACATCGAGAACAGAGTCAACGAGCTCAGCACCTTCAGTGTAATGGCCCTTTGCCCAATTGTTACCAGCACCAGACTGACCAAAAATAAAGTTATCCTGCAATGAATTGAAAATATAATTAGCAACTCCAGCATATGACCAACATGCCAAGATAAGCAAATAGATACAATACAGCTACAAATAACTTACGGGGCGGAAGAGTTGTCCAAAAGGACCAGCACGGACAGAATCCATGGTTCCAGGCTCAAGATCAATTAGAACAGCACGGGGAACATATTTTCCACCAGTAGCTTCATTATAGTAGACATTGATACGCTCCAACTGAAGGTCAGAGTCGCCGTGGTAAGTACCGGTAGGGTCAATGCCGTGCTATTACATTAAACAAGTGTAAAGTTTATTATACAAAGAAACTCTAGTAAATTGCAACAGTGGAATAGAAGTCGGATCAAAATCTTACCTCGTCGGAAATGACTTCCCAAAACTTGGCACCAATCTAGAGATATACAGGATAGAAAATAGGGTTTATGAAGCAGAATAAAGTTTGGTTAAAACAAGCCCATAGCATTATAGATCAAAACAAGACATGTTGGCAAAAAGCACGAACCTGGTTACCACACTGGCCGGTCTGGAGATGAACAATTTCACGCATGTCAGTTGTGTATTAAAGAGTTGATAATATGAATATACGTTAAGGTGTTGCTAGAGTAGCTAAATATAAAGCAGATAGCAAGACAAGAAATAACCAGAGTAGTTAGTTATACAGCTAGTCAAGAACAATAGAAGATATCAGGAAGAAAGAAAAGAAATGTCCGAATATTTGACCAATCGAGGTGTTTTTGGAGTCGGTCAGCCAAATTTGGCCAAATACAAGACACGAACGCATGGCGTATTATCAATATCCAAAGAAGGCCACCAGCCATTGTTATAAACTGGTGGTTGGGGTTGGGAGAGAGTAAAAAAGTGCATACAGTGATAGATGATATGGCAAGCACAAGACCTCATTATTCCCCTCTAGACTTTGGCTGGTTTCAATATCAGCCAAAACGCCATGCTGCTCACTATTAGCGCCTGTAGCCAAGTAAGGGGCTAGGCATTACAGTTGGGCATGTAGCGATAGAGCCAGCCCAGCAGTAAGTAGATGGGAACATATATCTCAGAATATCCACACATGGATGCTTATACAAAGGACACCGCCCACACTCTTAGTGTGTACAGCAAATATGGTCAAGTTACCGACAACATCAACAAGCAAATGGTGTGCTGGATACAGAATACAGTGGTATCAGACCAGACTACAGGTAGTCAAAGCCATGTACCGATTATAGAGAGAGAAGATACACCTGTGGCAGTATCAATAGCGGTGTTTACATAGCATAAATACAACTGCTCACCTGCAATGTGTACTAAGAGCTGATAATTGAGGGTCAGACACGCTTACAGGAAAGTTGGAGACCAAATGCTCGACCAAAGTCTTCCCAGACATACAACCCAAACCTTTACAAATGGCTGCATTTGTACGAGTTTCAATCCAACACTATCAGAACATCACTCAATATTACACACAACCATCTAGCTCATTATCTTGCTTCATTTTAGTGTGATCCGTCTGATAAAATAATATCGTAAATCTACGCTACAGCTCTAGTTTTCACAAGTTTGATGGGCTTTAATAAATATGCATTCCACTGTTCTGATAATCTCATCTCAGTTGGCCAGCACTTGAAATCAACTCAACTGCTACACAGATCCCATTGTTTTTATACAAATCCCATAAATTTGCCCAAATCCGAATAAATTCTGTAAATTTGGCTGTCCAACTTTATCTTGCAAACAGTTGCCTATTCCATCATGGCCATGGTTAATCCTCCCCCTGTTCCTGGAAAGCGGCGCCAGCTGCCTCGAAGTACTACTATTACCAATGTATATTCTGAGCTTGTCGGTATTTCTTTAAAAACCAGCATGGCTCTCCCGGTCTTACCTACCAATCCACAAAACCTGAATCCTTCATCGGTAAATAAGTCGCATTCATCCATCAACCAAATTTTAGCATAATACCATTGTTTTATTCCCTACCATTTTTGATCATTCATGTTGATGATAATTAAAAATGAATATACATAGTATTTCCCCTGTCAATGTATTAATATATACTAAACTAACTTTGATTTTGATGTCAACATATGGTTGCTGATTTTGCATATAATCTACTACAGAGTTACTATCAGATAAGCGATAATATACTAGACACGCTTGTAAATGCCATTCTTGTACTATTTGTGATTGATGGTGATAGAATTTTGTTCAATATTCATTTTAAACTCAATGCTGGTTTTGTGGATATGAATGCATAGGCAATATACGATTTTGCTATTGAAAAAGCAGCTGTGGCAGAGTATCAAAAGTCTATTGATCAGATAGCTAAAGAGGATGAATTGGTTTCTGAAATAAAAGAGCGTCAAACAAAGTCGGCAGTCGAAGCTACAGATTCGAATGGGCTGAAAAAGGAGTCCAGATCGCCAGTAAAAGACAAAGTCACAAAACAACTTCCAGAAAGACCTGTTCCAACTAAACAGGGTACGCTTAAAGGCTCTCAAACTGTTCCAATATCAAATGTAAGCATTGAAGTTGCTTGATTTGAAAATACTTTCAACAATATATGCATACGAATACTGTGTTTTACTAATTAGCTATAAAAGGTAAATTCATCAACAGCAAATAGTATTGACTATACGGAATTTGAGCAAGGACTGGCACCACCAGATCCATGGGACACTGCTGCCAATATCAAGGACCATGATTTCAAAATGCTAAAAGAAGTCATGGGTAAAGGCGATCGTGTCTATGAATCCACGCAGCCTTTTGCATTGCAGCAATCGCTGGGCAGACCAATTCCTGTTGTAGCTGAAATGTCGCCTGCATCAAAAAGATTGTACTCGGCTACTCCACCACAACTCCAGCATAATTCATCACCCCAAGCTCCTACTACATTGTTTGAAAGCATGCGAGTTGGATCTGCTAATAGTCTGTCATCTGTTCCATGCACGAGTGGATCCATGCCAATGTATCAGGGTGCCTCTGTTCCAATCCCACTTCAGCAACAACCACCGCAGATCCCCACCCGAGTTACTGGCCATCAATCACTGCCAAACTCTAAACCTGAAACCCCAAAACGTCCGCCACGATTTACCACAGATGCTCAGTACGCACTATATTCAGATTTCACACAAATGGGATTCGACTCGGATACAGTTGCATATGCAATTAATCACTATTTTACTACGACAGATCCTGAAAGCTTTTCGTTACAAAAAAAGGGACAGGATCTTCACAAAAAAATTCTAGATTTTCTCATTGGCATGGCTGAGCTTAGTTCTGCGTGTGGTACGCCTATCCCGCTGGATGTTCTTTCCATGGCGATAAATCAGTATCCAGAAAATGTGATTAAACAAGCTGAATTTTCACAGGCGTTTATTGCAGTGAGCGAACTTGGATTTCCACCAGGGGATGTTCGAGATGCATTGGTGTTTAAGCAAAATAATCGAGAAGAGGCCATCGAATATTTAATGAGTGGCGTTGGTCGATATTGATAAGATTAGTCGTATCCCAACCTTGCTTTTACTCAAAGGTACTACACATTGTCGTATGACTTGAATTCACAATTCAAACAAATTACTACACTTTTAAATCTTTATTGATCTTACGGCCATCTACAGTTGCATTCACTTGGAATCAAACTTGGATTTATCTTGCAGTCATTGTTTATTCTGGTTGGAAATAGACAATCGTTAACTATTCGTTGTGTTTTCCTATTAGAAATTGATTTGAATAAATATTTTCAGTTCCTTAGTGTTTGGAATTGCTTGACAAACAAACCCATCCTTTATCATACTCGAGTCATTTTCTGCAAAGTTTAAAATGGACAATATAGAATTACAATCCTCGCGCCGTTTGTTGAATGATTGATCAACCATGTTTGAGTAGACAGTTGCTTTTAGGGTAAAATACTACTAGAATAACATGCGTGTTTGGAAATGTTGCATGCCATTGTTTAGAAAATCGAGATATTGTAGCCTTGACAATTCCCTTGACTAATCTCCAAACACACCGACCATCCTATCAAGCACACAATCTTGACATTATTGGTCGAGACATTTGCACTTGCAACGTCTCGTTGTCCAAGTGTTGATGGCTACAGAGTTGTCAATCATCAATAATTTGATGTGTTTTCGTGACAATATAAGATTCTCAGAGATTTATACGTAAAATGAAATATTTGAATGCTAAAACCAGAAACTGTTTTTAAATGGATTCAAAGGCACGATATTCAGTGAATTGGGTGGAAATTATCATTCCATGAGATTGGCTGCTTATTATGTATTTTATCATCCTTGATTAGTGCTCCATTTTACGTGAATAGGAATATACTATTTATTTTTATGTATCTGCTTACTGATTTATTTCTTAGACTTGGAATTGTTTTTTTTCGATTTAGTGAATTCTTGATTCAAACAGACTCTGTTGATTTCAGAAATCACTTGCACAGCTCTTTTAAAGTCTTTAAACTTTTTCTCGGCAATCAGATCCTTGCCAATTGTGGCAAGTTCTTCTGTCAAGCACACCGACACAAACTAAATTAAAAGCAATAGTAAGTACAAAAAAGCAATGAACAGCATCATAGAGATGAATGGATATAGGTTCAAATACGATTCACAAGTGTGCATGGACTCACCTTGGCAGGTCTAAGATATAATTTGGCTCGTTTCAATACGACCAAAATCTCCTTGACCAACTCACAAACTCGATCGTTTGAAAAGAAAAATGGCCCTTTCACTTCACTTTTTGTCCTATCCAAAGCAAAAGTCGCAACCTTGAAAAAATCGGTCAATGCCTTACATCCTCCCGCTATACCTTGTTCCTCATCTTGATTTAACCACACGTCAGTTTGGACAACGTGTTTAAATGCAAAAGAAAAGATCTTCAAGGCACAGATCAGCGGAAACGTCTTGATTTGCAGGTTTAAGGGTTTGTCGAATGTTGATAAAAGCATACTTGAAATACGCAAAGCTATTTTTGCAGCATAAGGATCGCTAAATCGAACAATAAATCCCTGAAGCATTTGCTCTTGCACTCGGAGGTCTTTGTTCAGCATTCCGGTAAAAGTAGACATGTATATATCACAAACTTGGTCAACTTCAGATGCACATGTCATTGATGCATTGGCTGAATTAGAAGAATCGTTTTCGTTTTCGCTTTTGATTCGCTTAGCATTGTGCTGAGACGCTTCGGTGGTAGTACTCTTCATCTCATCACTAGAATGCTTTATGACTTTGACCAAATACAAGGATAAAAGGTTACATAACTTGCCAAATTTGATTTCTGATGCACCCATCAGCTTTTCATGAACATCTTTCAATGCATCAATGGCAGCATTGATGGGAACAATAGGAATAGCCTTGGCTTTGCATATTTTTTGGCTCAAAATTGACTCGGTACGAGTATATAAGCCCGTCTCGTTGGAGTTGTCGTAGATACTTTGCGCAACAGCGATTAACGATTTGCATACTGGAATCATGAGTGCACTCGTTGGAGCTTCCTTGACAAACACATCAAGAAGATCCATCACACGCGATTTAAAATGTACCACGTTCTGCTTGACACTACGATGCGTCTGCTTGATGTCATATCGCTGGCGGAAGATTTCGGCAAGTTTATCGTCAAAAATTTGCATTTCGTCATCATCAATACCCTCATCATCAGATTCAGCTTCCTCATCGTTTGATTGTTGAGTTGTGAATAAAGCTGCTTTGCCAAGTGTTTCGACAACTTTGCGACGAAATTCTTCATCAACGGGTGCATTAAGATCTTCCTCTTCCTCTTCCTCGTTATCATCGCTGTCATCATCATCACTTTCTTCTTCTGTGTCATCTTCTTGATCGTCGCTCATTTCTTCACCTTCAGTCTCAAAAAGTTGACTAGCGCCTTGAACCCCACTCTTAGTGGACAATATATCAAGGATCAGTTGAATGGCTTTAGAAGTCATACGACTACAAAATCCTCTAAACACGTCCGATACCATTGATCGCAAAAGTGTACAAGGCTTGACCAAAAGCCCAATCAAAACATCAACAATAACTTCAATGGGCTCAGGAGATGCTTCCATGTCTTCATCGGTAGCTTCAGTAGACTGAGCGTTGGCAGCCTTTCGCTTTTTTGATTCCTGAATCGGTTTAGCTTCAGACTGAGGATGCATACGCGTATAACAGTCTTTGATTTCCTTGGCAAGCAAAGTGAATTCCTCTGGTTCATAGTATATGTTAAGCAGTATGTGCAACACCAGTGATTCGAAACTACTAAGCTCCTCCAATAGGCTGGCATTCTCTTCAGGTGTAGCAGCCTTGCGCTCGCGAATGGTTTCTACAAGGTCATAACAGGTTTGAATAGCATCATGGGCACTTGCATTTAAAGAACTTTTTCCAAGAGGTGTAAGCTGCTTGTTTGATTCCATTTCTTTTAAAAGCTGACAGACATAGTAGATCCACGTGTCCCCATTAAGACGTTTACCAAGATGAGCTCTAGGTATGCGTGCATACTTTTTGAAGTTTGAATCGTCGTCGACCGATTCTTCAGCTTCATTGGCCTTTAAACTATCAATGAGTGAAATGTTGCCAAGCGCACCCAAGATCGAAACCAATCTTTCTCTGCTAAGCGTACTGATGTCATCCGATACCTTTCCAAATTCCTAAAAAATTGTTTTGATTGCACTAGTGTCAGCAAAATAGATCAAACGAATGTTCAAAAAATACATTGTTTCAAATATCAAAAGTTATACCTGCTTGGAATCTACTTCCAAAGGCTTGAAAAATCCATGAACAACAACAAACTCAATAATCAAAGAGATCCATCCTTGTTCCTTGTGCAATCTGCCCATTCTTACCAACTGGAACATTTGCTGCAAGATCCATCGACGCACACTTTCAACGCGAGTAGAGCTGGTAGTTCCCACCAAACTGTCATTCAACATGGATGAAGGATCAGTGAATGAAGTAACAAGAAAATCTATATATGATTCGATTTGATCTGTGTCTAGTGTAGTGATGATGTTTTCAACCGTTTTTGTTTTGGTCACTGTATCAAACTGAAGGCTTCCGTTTTTACCGACAAGTCGCATCATAAGTGGAAAGGCTATAAAGGGCTTTTCAGAAGCAATTTCGGATAAATTCGTGGCAGTATGAAGAGCTTGTTTGTAAAAATAGCCATTTTTTTTGGAAAGACTATCAATCAGACAGTGCAAAAAGTGTGGAGTGAGCAAAAATGGAATCTGCTTTTCATCCACAATCAAAAGAATGGCTTCGAAAACTTGAAATCCAATGTGTTTGCGTTCATGGGAAGTAGTAAAGAGTGTAGCTTTAGAGTAAAATAGGTTGAAAACAATAAATTGTTAGTTAAAAAACAGCTATTTAAATTAAATCTATTATAACGCACCTTCTACAGATTCCCAGAACTCTTCAATAGAAAGCTGTTTAGACGAAAGTGGCGAGTTTTTTTCGACCAGAAGATTGATGATTGTAGTCCAGACAGAGTGCACACGAGGCCCAGAATCTGTTGTATTTTTAAGAATATCGACAATCAAATCCTTGTTTTTACGGTGCAAAATAATTTTTTTGCTTTTCCATCCCATCATAATCTCATCCCATTTGTCAAAGCTAGGTGCACAATGCTGAGCTTCTATAGCAAACCACAGCCCCTGAGCATTTGTGACCCCGTTGTTGAGAACAAGTCTAATCATGGCTTCTGAAACACTTTTTGATAGGTCTGTTTGTTGAATCTGATAGAATGGATCAGTACAATGAATTCCTTGCAAACTAAATTTCAATCAAAAAGTATACAAACCAACCTCTTTAAGAATTGCGATTAAAACTTGATAGGCAGCTTGAGAAAAATATGATTTTTTGGTAGCACATTTCAACAGACCAGTAACAATTTCCAACACATTTTCCAATGTGGTAGATTTGCGGGATAACATGCCAGATTTGCACATGGCCATATATCCAAACATACGACCTAGATGCAGCTCCTTTTCTTCCTGTCCAGTACGATTTCCATTTTCTTGAGTACAATCATGAAGCATTTTGAGAACAGTAGAAACCTCAAGCATGGGCAGACTTGACAAGAGCTATACTCGGTTCATGGTAAAGCATTTAAAATATATTTCCAAAATAGCACGTTTAAATAAGATCAGTAATCATGTAAGCCAATGTGAATCATTTGCGACTTTTGATGGATAAACAATATCAAGCAAACTCGTTGATAAAAATAAAAATAAATAATTGAATTAAATGCCAACCTCGGTCAATGCAACAGAAAAGCCTTGTCTAGCAGCGTCTCTGGAGGAAGAAAGGCCGCGCAACAGACGTCGAAGACCATAAGTCACATCAGTGGCATAGCAAGAATTCAAGTCAGAGGATGCTGATTCGTTACGTTCAGCATTCGGGGCATCCATTTCGGATTGGAATTTGACAAGCAGCTGCATCAATTGCTCGGCTGACTCCAGGCGTTTTTGAGCATCTAAACTGGCTAAAAGACTATAATGAGCCAGTGTCGAGCTCTGCTGATCCATATTCTGTTTTGGATCAATCTTGACTGCTTCTACAGGTGGTTGGGATTTAGAAGAGTCTGTCATTGCTGGCGACATTGGTGTTGAATTCAAGAAAGAATTTTCAACAATTTAAAAGTTTTTTAATCGATTGGGAATATTTTTTTTTCTTTCGAATTGAATATTATATTCCAATCCTGAAATACTTGCATACGATGGATCAGATTCAGGTTAGGAAAATATTTAGTCAATCCTCAACTTGAGACTTGGATTGCTATTTTCTGTATATGACTTGGTTTCAGACTGTAGCTCTTGCTATCTGTATACTGTGAATTCAAATCCCATTTACATGGAATAATTTTATTATCAAATATTCCTTAGTACTAATTTCTTCAACAAACTCACTGATGGATATATAGGTTGAAAAAGCCACAAAAGCTCTGCTTGCACACATTCGCATGCGCAAATTAGATGTCAAGAACAAGGCTACCACTGAAAATATTATTGCTGAAAGTGATGCTGATGGCTTGAACAGTGAAGTTGTTTGGACCATTATCACCACCAAGAAAATTCCAGAAAAATTTAAAAGCAAGCCAGTTTCAATGTATGTAACATCGCTGTAGCCTTATGAGCGAGTTAAACTCGCTTTCATGTTGCACCCATTGATGCTAATTTGCTTATTTCTCAACAATGTCTGTATAATCTGTTTAGTCGATTGCCAAATTCTATTTTGTCAGATACTGCTGAAATATGTATGTTTGTCAAGGATCCTCAAAGAGAGTTTAAAGATCTTATCAAGAACGCTGGAGTTACTCGTGTTTCTAAAGTATATCATTAGACTTGATATGTCAGTGGGTTGACTTGATAGATATGTGAATGATTAACGCAGTTTACACAACTTTTGGCAATAGATTATTGGTATATCCAAGCTCAAGAGCAAATTTATACCATATGAGGCAAAGCGCCAGCTGTGTGCTGCCTATGATATGTTTCTTGCCGACGAGCGAGTGATTCCTCTTCTTCCCAAATTAATTGGAAAAACTTTTTTCAACAAGAAAAAGTAAGCATGAGTTTGCGAGTAAAGTCTTGATGCCAACAAGGCTGCCGATTAAAAAGATCGAGATCCATTGTTTATTGACCATATTCTCATCAAACGATATAGGCACCCAGCAACAGTCAGTCTTACAAAAAAAGATGTCAAGTCTGAAATTGAACGTGCAATCCATTCTACATATCTTCATCTTAACAAAGGCGTGTGCAAGTAAGTCGACTTTATCTTTAGTGTTTTGATAGAGTTGATTCAACCAACCTGTACTGGAACTTATCAGTGACTTGTTGACAATTTGATTGATATACCTAGTTCTATAAAGACAGGCTCATTAAAGCTGTCACAGGAGCAAAATGTGGAGAATATTATGGCCGTAGTCAATAAAGCAGCTGAAAAGCTTCCCGGAAAATGGAACAACATTCAATCCGTGTACATCAAGACTACCACATCAGTTGCGCTTCCAATCTATAATGCTCTGCATGACGAGCCTGCTGGAGATGTTGAGAAGGATGACGAAAGTACTGAGGTGGCGATTAAAGAAAGAACTATCGAGGAGATTTTTGAAAGTGAGATGGCTGAGGATGAGCCAGATGAGCCAGTTGAGCCTATAAAGACACCCAAAAAGGTATTGCCTGCCAAGGAAAAGTTGACAAAGAAAGCAAACCCGGTTTCTGAGAGTACCGACGCGGTACCATCTCAAGGCAAAGCAGTCAAGACAACAGTCAAGACAACAGTGAAATCCAAAGTGGCCAAAAAGACCGCCAAGGCTTGAGTCATGACAACATGCGATAAAACAGAGAATTAGTTTTGAATAAAAAGGTTACATTGGCATTCAAGTGATCGAGTTTGACATTTTAAATTCAAAGGAAACGCGCTGTTGGAACTTGTTGAAACTTGACAATCCTAATCAAACCATGTTTGGAGTTCGCAAGGATATGCATAGGACTCAGTCCACCACAAACATTGGCATGGCAGGAAATGAAGTTTCCAATGTGTTGTTTCGTCCTGCTAGTCTTCAGGTTCTTTCATTCGTAGCATCAACTTGCAAACCACTCGGAACTAGCGGACAGTTTGCATCGGCTACTAAGATCGTGGGTAGATTCCAGCATCTTAGAACAATCTCCAAACTCTTGCCCTGTCTATGCGAGTACATTGATATCTCTAAAAACTCTCATGGTACAAGTATTACTCAAGCTATTGTGTTTTATGGATTGGATAGCATTGGGAACATCTGCTACAATAATCGACGTTGTTCAAGATGACTGGCTCTCATCAAAACCTATAAACCGCTTTGGCTATAACAGTTACCAACAGTTATATTCAGCATATAATGCATTCATGTAGACTAAACCAGCTTTTGATTATTTTTCAGGTCGGATCTATGTTGTTTCAGAAGGTGTGACAGGATGCGTTTCTTTACAAGATCTGATATCATCATGGTAATCCTGCTGTTCATTCAGTCTGATGCTGTTATGCATAATCATTGGCTTGAAAGCAATGCTTTGACTAACTATACATCTCCCTAGTCCAGCTAAAAACATCAGATCCATTGAAAGGCTGTCTCGGTGGACCAGAGAACTGGTTCATGCGCTTATGTATCTGCATGCCAATGGACTGATACACAGAAATATTCACCCAAAACATATTTATGTGGACAAGTCGGATCACATCATTATATCAAACTATGGACTTTACTACCTGACTGGAAACGGCCAAGATGTCACCTTTCCCATCGGATATCCGCACTATCTTTCTCCAGAAACTATTGCAGCAGGTCCTTGTTTTGCCATGTCATCATCTCCAAAGGTTCGTGGTGTTTAATCTTTATAACAATGATTAGAAAATATTTGCTGCAACCAATTACTCCGTGTTGATACCAGATCTGTTACTTGTAAATATACTAATGCGCTAATGTTATTAGGCGGACGTATGGAGTCTAGGGATCTTGCTATTGGAATTATACTTTGGACCAGAGTTTTTAAACACAGATATATCCGATACTGGACAAGTATTAAAAACAATACTGGCGTGGAAATCACCTAGTTCTAGATTTCTCCAATCAGATAGTCTTGTCGACATCAATTTAAAACATTTCATCTACGAATGTTTGGAATTTACACCCTCAAAGCGAGCAAGTGTTAATGCACTAGCCAATCATCCATTTCTTCAACATATTTCAGCAAATAAGTTGGACATAGGTCCAGAACAATTAAAACGATCTCGATATCATGCAGATGTTGCATGGGTTGCCAAACCATATTTATACGAGTCCAAACTGGCACAGCGAGCGAGTGCCATTGCAGTTGATGACCCATCTGCAAAAGATACGACTGCCACTACTAGATTGCCGTTATTTCAAAAAGCTAATCTTTCTACTACACCAAGTCTGGCAAACTCACCGACCCGATCGTACAGATACCCACTCACCTTGTTTGAACTTTTTCACTACTGGAAAATGCTTGGTGGCGATTTGGAAGCTCTTGTTTTAAAACAACAAGGAGTATCAAACATTCCTGCACTATTTAAGCTTCCAACCGTTGTCCGTATCGGCGAAAACGTTGAAGAAAAACTTCAAAGCTCTTTGGTTCATTTGAGAGCCAATCTGTTTCGAGATGCTTTTGTGGACGTGCCTGTTGAAGCCGTGCTGTCCAAGATTGATTTTTTTGAAAGTAGTTTGTTTAGTCAAGATGGGATTGTTTCTGGTCGGTCATATAACGGCGTAGGAGATATATATCGCGATGAGTGGAGACATATAACAAACTTTACAGCGTTGGAGTTGGATGCTATTTGGGAAGCATATTTGACTGCTCAAGGATCAGGATCAAATGGTTTGTTACAGTTGGCACTTTCAGCCAGAGAGTCTGATATGCGGTATCAGTATCACCGCACCAAACTCATGTATGGGCTACTGTGCGCGTATCCAACTTCAATCGACTCAATTCAATATGAAGCAGTTTCTGATATTCCACCAGTAAGTCACACCATCGTGTATATCCCCATTTAAAAAGTGTAGGTTTTAAACCAACGTTACAAGTCACAATTTCAGTGTTTCTGCAAATCTACATTTCTATAAGCTTTGCTTTGTATAGTTAACAAAATTTCTGGCAATCTTTTGTGTCTGTTGATAGTTATTAAGAGGAAAGATTTGGGCTGCATTGCTTAATGTCACTGGTGATACAGATGCAGCATATGGTGCAATTGATAAAGAAACAGAAGCCGAAACTGACCGACAGGTAAATATATTGATTTGTATTTTAATCAGTGCATCGGCAACAGAACCTATAAAATAGATATCTGCTAATAATTCATGTCAAATTCCGTATTAAATTGTATTAGTTGGATCTTGATATTCCTCGTTGTCATCAGGTAAGTGCTACATTCGGTTTGACTTGCTGAGGGTAATATTTGCTAAAAAATAAAAACAGGTTTTATAATTTAACATTATTTTGTGTTGATCAAATGCGATTTTAGTATAACGAGTTGCTATCGTCTCCAATTGGACACCAGAAATTGAAAAGAGTGCTTAAAGCGTGGATTGAAAACGAAAAAGGTCAACATGTATACTGGCAAGGTCTGGACTCAATGTGTGCTCCTTTTCTGGTTTTGAATTTTGACGATGAAGTAGGATTTGTTGTGTTGATTGTTATAAAAATACTATAGATATTAACTTTTGAAAATACGTACTGGCTGATTGTTAGGCATTAGTATTTGCCAGTATGACTGCATTCATATCCAAATACTGCCATGGCTTTTTTGTTCATGATAACTCCAAGCTTATGAGAGAGTATGTTTATATTGTCAATATAGCTGCTTTGATATACTGGCTGATGATAAATACATGCTTGACTTTTGTTACTAATTTCAACGGATCACATTAGATTTATGCTTGCATTCAGATACATTCTTTCTTTTCATGATCCTGAACTGTCTGCGCATTTATACACGATTGGTCTCGGTCCAGAGTTATTTGCAATCTCATGGTTTATGACGCTATATGCTCGTAAGTTGTGTTTTGACAGCACTTTTCAAATGATATATTTCAGGTTAATTTACGCCAGACTGTATTTATATATTTAAACCTTTCAAGATGTATTCCCACTTGACAAAATCTATCATTTGTGGGACTATTTTTTGGTCGCACCACCGTTTATATTTATATATGTCGGTGTGTTTATTTTACAGCAACACCGCGATCAACTTTTGCAAAGCGATTTTAGCCAAGTAAGTTGCAATCAAAATGAGATGGGTTTGTTTTGCATTACTATTAGTTTGAGAAATGCTTTTGAACTTGATATTCATCAAGCGAGTTGTGTATATTAATTTTGCTTACATTTCAATGCCTTGACACTGTTAGGCCATGCTTTTTTTTTCTGAAATGCCTTCAATTGACGTTGAAAAGTGTATAGTTTATTCTATCCAGGCTGTAAAGATTACTCCACCGTCATTACTCAGCCATCTTCATTTAGCACATACTGCATCGCCGCAGGATCCAAATATGCTTTTTGCAACAAAACGTGTATGTGCTTTTGACTCTCTTGGCTGTTACTTGTAGCATCCAAGGATAGATACTACGATAGCGTATGCTTGACTAACACTTTTTGGCTGAAACTATGTATTTGAAACGGTTTGTGGCAGTTTTCGTTTATGAGCAGCAAAAAAGGGATTGTTGGTAGACTTGGTATTGATGATTTGATTCAAATGCGTAAGCACTCTGTTCTTCTTGATATCCGCAGGCTTGACATGTAAGGACGTTTTTATATATTTGTACAATGCTCTACTGCGTCACTTTAGATACTGAAATGCATTGTGACGGTAGGTTTCAACGTGGACACATAGCTGGGTCCCTTCATCTTGACACGAGTCAAGTCACGTCGGTTTCATTTGGACTCAAGATTAATATATCAAGAAGTAGATATATTGTTCTTATTTCGGACGATGAACAAGACGGGGAAGATGTAAATTGTTTGGTATTGTTTCTATATGTCTATTTTATGTCAATGTTTGCTTAAATTGATTATTTTTAGTATGCACTGATGCTGATCAAGGAAAAGCAACCCCGAGTTTCATTGATGGTTATACAGGACCCTGATGTATTGACTGAGCAGCGTATCGTAGTGTGTACTTGTGTGTCTCAGCTGATTGGATCAAATGGAAGTAGTCCAGGAATGTCCCGGTGTACTCAATGATATTCTAATAAATTCAATTATTGCTGTAAATGTCTGAATCTCGAAATAAATTTGAAGTGGTAAACTCGACCATGCAAATCTATTTCCTGAGGGCTTGTTATTTTATGTGTAAAATTCCGTTTGGAAATTTGGCCACTTGAATACTGGATGCCGTCTGATGTGCTTAATATCAAGGTCTTTTGGCAAGACCGACTTCCACCTGTGCATAAAGCGGTATGGCTGATGGGATGGACTTGTGGAAACTCGGTTGTGTGTGTGACTCAAACATCACTTTTGGTATGTCGGTCCTATTCATTGCGCATTCTAATTGTCAACTCTAGATATTTGATGACTTGTTTCCATGTAACAGTTAAACTAGATGAGCAATTTGCTGAATACATCAACCATTACTAAATTTTATTTAGACATCCTCAATAGATAAATCTTTTTTTTCAGTACCTTCGAATATCTCGATTGTTGGTATTGGCTTTCCGGCAGATGCTACTAGACGAGGCAAGATTCAGCATTGTTGGCGTAAATCTTTAGATTTTCGTTAATGTATCTGTGAATAATTTACTCGACAATTCTATTGTTTTACAGCCGTATTCACGTAAAATGTGGTCTGCATTGATCTTGCAGTCAGTCTCTATTTTGCTTCATGACAGAAAAGGGTTAAATATTCGTTATGCTTTCCTATTGGAGATGGACTACTTCAATGAATGCAACGTTCATTACACAAACTATAATCAAGAACGTGTCCTTTCTTCACTTTGGCATAGCTATATATTGTACCATCACCAGACCCATCCATTACAATCCATATATTGGATTCAACTACTCTCAATCAAACCCCACTTTATCGTCTCCTAGAATATCAGATATGTTCCCAATCTAGTTTGAAAAAAAAGATTGCACATTCCAGGAATGCAGCTGTTGTTTTCATACAACTACCCAATGTTTGGATTGAAAAAGAGTTGGAGATTGAATATTTGCTCAATATTTTATGCAAAAGCTAATGTAGAGGAAAAAGGCCAGTCAACTTTTTCAAAAAGTTCAGGACATAATGTTGTTCAGTAAATTTGGTGGAGCTGGCACATAACTTTACAAAAATGGCTGTTTATTATGCACGATATTTTTATTTAGTGACCATCTTACGTCAATAGGCTGTAAAAGCAATCAACTCATCAATATCTAATACTAACTGCATTATGAATTTTTGTTACACTTGATACATCAGTTCTTTCGTCTATCAAATCGATGGAAATCAAACTCAAAAAACTTTGTCCAATATGGATAACCATTCTTATGGATCCTACTGGAAAGATTCCAGTTATATCGTAAGATATACTTATTGTTTTTTAAAAGTCTCAATGCTTGTCGATTATATCACTTGGATTATCATTTTAACATGCTGTATTTTGCAAAGAGATGTAGAATTTCGGGATGACCCACAAATCGTTCGAGGACGATATATTATATATTATACCTGTCCAGCACCAAGATCTTTGCAATACTACTCGACACACCCACTTATTTTAAATGTATCACTATTGAATACTGGAAGTGGATTTAACAATGAGCATGAATCAATCTCCAACTCAACATTATCATCTCGGCATTTGGCACCGCCAAACAAACTGTCACCTTCTATCATGCCAAAGATTATACACCACACTACAACCGTTTTTTCAAGTATTGGCAACGTTCAAGGAGAAGATATTGAGTATATTTTTGGAAAGGTGTGTTGTGCACTATTTAGTTGGATGATGGCTTTGAATGTTTTACAGTATACACCATTATATTTAATATTTTTATATAGATTAATATTTTTGCACGAAATAGTGGAGCCATAACTCAATCAAAACGTTCCCAAAACTACTCTACAGCTACTTTGGATCGATCCAATTCAAATTTAGTTGGATGTATCAAGCCATTTTTATGGAAGATTTTTTGTCAAGTTGTTGTATACCCAATATTTTTAGCAGTCTTTGTGTTTAAAATTGTTGGACAATTTCTGGTTTGGATCTTAAACAGCGATGTGATTTTTTTCAACACATCACTGACAAAAACATCTACAGCTATGCATCAAGTTCAATTGAGACTACAGCAGATTCTGTTTTGGCCACAACAATACATGACTTGGCATACGAGCAATACTAAACTTTCTGCAAAAGCGCAGGCGCGATATATTGGGTGAGTGATGATATAAAGTTTATTTATATATGCAAAGTAAATTCAAGAAATCTATGCTTACAGTTTTATAATTATAATTAGATTTTTTAATACTGTCTGGCTGGTTGCTAATGACATTATTATTGGCCTTGCATTGGGATCTGTTATTATCGACTATCGGTATGAAATTTCAGCAATACTGATTGATTTGTTCAAGGTATGTGCTTTTGCTGTTGAAAAGCCAGACTGTATCAGCTGAATGTTTTATTTCTTTACAAAAGACGTGCACGATTGAATGGGTAGATACCACCATTCAATGGCTAATGGGATGGCCAGCTGGATTAAAACTTAATAGCGAGTTGAATTCGTTTATTGGTGAATTGTTTGGCTGGCTTGTTCTATCTTGGAGTGGTATGTGGTTTTTGGTTTTCGCTTTAGTTTTCAAAATATATTGCATGGTAATAATTCTTGTACGAGTCTAACAGTATATTGTTTTATTTAGAAATATTTCTTGTGGTCGCGGACTTTATTCCAGATATTCTTTTATTAGTTGGAAAAACAGGTGTCTTTGGAGCAACCATGTCCATCTCCATCTTGTCAGATTTGATCATGCTAGCCACAGTTCATTTGCATTTATTCTACATCATATCTGCCAAGATGTACTATTGGCAAATTACAGTGATTCAATCGTTATTTACGCTTTTTAGAGGGAAAAAACGCAACGCACTAAGAAATCGAGTGGATTCTGCAGAATACGATCTTGATCAGTTGATGCTGGGAACTTGCTTTTTTACACTTTTAGTGTTTCTACTACCCACTGTAGCCGTGTACTATATGCTATTTTCTGTGGTATGTTACAATTCTTTGTATGTTGACTGCATGCATAGTTTAATGATATAAATTAGATACTTTGGGATATTGACATTTTGTATATGTGGACAGTGTCGCATTGGTGTGGTGATTATCCACGCTGTACTGGAAGTTGTTTTGGCCATTTTAAACCACTTTCCACTATTTGCTGTAATGCTGCGTTTCAAAGATCCTGGTCGACTTCCCCGTGAGTACTTCCAACTACACAAATGCAATGACTTGATGCAACAATGTTTACTCACTTGTATTCGACTGTTTTTATTTAGAGGGAATTCAGTTTACACCCATTCTGATCACCGAGTCTTCAAATCTACTCTGGCGATTTTTTGGATGGAAACAAAGGCCGAATCCATCCACTGACGAAACCCGAGTTCCGCAAAATATTTATATTCGCCTCAAAGTAAATAGTTTACTATCTAAATTTAACCATCGACGTTAACAAGACAAACGTTTGTAAATTAACGTTGATATTATTTTGCAATATTCTAGAGTGTGCCGATTGGATTCTCTTCTATATTTTACCAATACCGGTTTCTTTATGAGCGACTGACCAGATACCATCTTTCGTCACAATCTATCAAGTCATTGTTTACTGGTGAAATCATATCAACGATTCCAAGACTCCAGGTAAGATGGATCAATTCTGTATAACACCTATTCACATGCCATCTACACTACTCGAGATATTGCCATGACTAAACTATGACAATATTGGTATTTTGCTGTCTATCCAATAGTACCCATCAATGCCAACCAAAGTGGTACGACCACCCAATATAGCTGAATCATGGGAGAGGATGCACAGTCGTTTTACGGCATGAGCGCTTGCTTGATATTGTATCATGCCACAATACACATCAATAGACAAATATCTGATAATATAAATAATATTTATCAAACAATGCGTGTTTGAAACTATATATTATCAACAAACTCAGCCTGCTGTATCAGTCTAGACATGATTTAGTGAACGATTGAATCAAAAGTTCTTTATCCAGCTCCATACCTAATATATTGAGGCATTCGTATATAGTGCATTTAAAAGCGTCAGCACATGTTTTTAAACTCGGTTTACCGTTTTCTCATTGTCAACAGAAACGAGTCTTACCAATCAAAACAAATTTGTTGACTCTTGGTCCGTTGGGCCAAGCACCCCCCTCATGCAGATCGTACATTTCTTGAACACCTTGAACAATACACATGCGATCTTGTCCGATAACGTCCACAACACCTTTAAGACGCAATAGTTTGGGCTGTGGTAGAGAAGCATTTATATTGAGAAGAGTTTGTTCCCACAACAGTGCTTGGATCCATAGATCCAGTTTTGTCTTGGTTACAACTCCCGTGCATGTGAATATAACTGTGGATACATACTATGCCAAAGTAGATGAAATAATTGTCAATTCATCATCAACAGAAAGATTGAAGGTTGTAGCAAAACATAAAGTAGATATATACCTCGTCAATCTTGTGAGCAGTCTGCTGGTGAACACGGTCGGTAAAAGGGTCATTATCTACTTGCTCAAAACAATGCAAATCAAGTATAAATTCGACAGGAACCCTAGTGTCAAGTAAGTCAAAAAGAGACCAGAATGTATTAGTAAGATAAAAAGTAGTTTTTAAACCATGTATAAGATGGACTAGCATGGCATTCTAGCTGATAGTTTTTCAAAAAATCCAAATATTAACATACTTGGATCGCTCAGTTTTTAAGATTGGAGCAGAAGAGTTGATAGACTTGACTTTTTCAACCACAGTGTTTACTGTGTCCGTGTCTACTAGATCGCACTTGTTGATGACTAGTCGATCGGCCAACGCAATTTGCCTATAGAATATAAAACAGCCAATCATTCATGAAAGTTTAGTCGCGTGAAGACTAGCAAGTCAAGCAAACTATACTTCAACCTAACAGCCTCGTTGATCGAGTTGTGCTTATTTTGGGTAGTCAAGTACTGCTCAATGTGTTTGGCGTCTACAATGGTCAAGATTCCATCAAGGTAAAGATCGCTCTGTAACTCTTCGTCTAGCCAAAACAGTGATGCGATTGGACCTGATTTGATGCGAGTGATGTTAAAATAAAAACATGTAATCAAATCAAAGTCATTGGATGCCATTCTCTCACCTGGATCAGCAAGTCCTGTTGTTTCCAGTAAAACATAGTCAAATTGGCCCTTTCTTTTTACCAAATTCTCAATGGCTTTAACACCAGCATCTCTAAAAGTATAATCAAAAACACGCATTAGATGGCATTTTTATCATGGCAACAAATCTAGAAAGTTTTACACTTGGACAGATTGTAAATAGATTCAACCACGTTTATAGTACAAAATGAAACTCAACTTGAGAGAGCAGCACAAACATCCATTGGCAAGCTCTAGCCATTCCTCCATGATTTTACCATCTTTGCCAACACTCATACTCTTGTCAATTCCGGCACCTGGTTGTAGGTTTGATTTGAATGATGGTTTAATTCATTCAAGATACAATATATGCAACATGATGAGCATGTTGATCGTCAAGAGCCAACAAAATGGCATTTCAATGCTAGACAACTTGATAAATATACTTTCGCCAAACTCGTTGAGGATTACAGCGATTCGTTTTCCATGAGTAGGATCACTCAATAGATCAAGCAACAGCGTAGTTTTACCGCTTCCTACAAGGTTTAAAGTAGATTCAACTTGGTTTAGAGATGCATGCAACGCATTGTCTGATGACACAAGAGCTGTAGCACTGCTCTGCAGGCCATATTTAAACATTGGCTTTAAACCACTCATGCGCTGCTACTGTTTAAAGCCAGACGACTTGACTAACCTAAAAATCCTGTAAGGATTGTCACTGGCACCTTTTTGTTTCTAGAATGAGTTGATCAGGATTAACAAGAGCAAACTCTAACATGTAATGGATGGAATTCATCAAATCAAGTCTACCTCGATTCAACACTTGTGTGTTCTGGTAGTTGGTCGAGAACAAGGTCAGGAATATCATCGTCATTCATGTTGCTGGCTCGATAGGAATTGGGAAAACTTCAAGTTTGACAACTTTCAATGCGATTCCAACCATCACCTGATTTATACAAGAAATGCAGGATTCCAAGACTAGAGCGTCGAAGCTTTTTGGATTGCAGATTCGTGGACTTGAGTCTCGCTCGAGTGTTGGAATCTTCGATATGGATGAGCGCGGAATGCAAGATTTGGTTATTCAGACTGTCGACGCGAAGGGCAGCGTCAGTAGGGTTGCCAAGCAAAAGCCTTAAGATGGATCGTTAAGCCGTCGCAAATGTCTTGCAAAAGTAACGTTTATCCCTTACAGACAGCATTGCGTCCCTGATTCAAATATAATCAAGCGAGACCTTTATTCGTTTAAACATGTTGATAAGCATTTCACCAGTATTCATCCTATCTAAAGTTTGCTTATAACACACTCGGACTCATTCAAGATTACATAATCGCATGGGAATTTACACAAACACTTTTAGATCTTCTGGTCTGACTGGATATGCAAAACAACTACGGCGTCTTTTTGTACGGCCTTGTTCGCTACCAATAACTTTTGGACTGTTTGGTCTGCTTGTTTTGATACAGACATGTAAGTGATTTGGCATGTGAAATGAATAACGTTGTCTTGCAAAAATCAGAACATATGGCTGGCCACTACACTCATATTCGCATAGAGTGCGACTTGTTGATCTTGCAGTCTATTCTGCTCCATAATAGCAAGGGTTAAATATTCATTCCGTTTTCCTATTGAGAGTCGACGTTCGACATTCTCGATTTTTAAAGCACAACGTTCATACAAAATCAAACTAGTTTTGAACTGAAACTATCCCTTTCTCCTCATAACCATACATTATACGGTCACCAGACTCATTCATTTCAATCCAGATATTGAATTCGACTGTTTCCAAACTCATCACTGTTGTATCCTAAAAACTCGCATATGTTCGCGTTCTAATTGAGATTCACGTCCCAGAAATGCGGTCGCTGTTTCCATCCAAATCAACCGCTGGTTGATTGGCTGAAAGAATAGCTGCAAATTTAGCAATTATGGAACTTACTGAAACTGCAATGTGATTGAACATTCGTTCAGTATCTTATACAAAAATAAGCATGGGAACCCCAAAAAACTTCAAGGAGTTCAAAGGGCAAACATTATTCAGTAAATTGGCACCCATCATTTCATAAAGCTGGCTGTTTATGTATTTTGATACTAGCACTTTATTCTATGTGAATATGATTGTAACATCCAAGTGACTTGGCTGACGCTTTTGATTTCATTTCATCCCATTTTGTATTCATTTTCAGGTCTGCTGCTTTGGTTTTTAAACAGTAGCTCATCGTCCCGGGACGGCTTACTTCGATATTTTTACAGTGTGCCTGACAGTATTCGCTCAGCAAGTGGCTATACATTGCACTCACTATCCAGTGGTTCGCGTGGAACAAAGTGAGTTGGATGCATTTAAAGCAGTCTGACTAGTCTATCATTACTACTATTAATTTGAAACAAAATATTCTAATCCAACAATTTCTCGATGATTTTGTGAATCTGATTAGAAAAATTCAAAAATACATACCAAATACCGTCGTTACTCCAGCGAAAATCAATACCATGAATTTACAGATTTCCCAAATGTTATCGGATAGCATTACTCTTTCACCAGCTAATTGGACACGAATTGGCGAGTACGGTAGATTATATCAAACGGCATACAACATGTACGCACAGATTGTTTTACAAAAAATTGATAACCAGACTCGAAAACAATTCGAGGCCCGATTTTTTCAGCTAGAAGACAAGCTATATCCTTGGTTTATTCGCGGACCAGTATACCAGTCTGCTTTGCATTCAGCTTTCAAATCCAACAGCGCAGGAATTGTTATGACCACAGGAACAAAATATGCACTCGTTGCAAAACATACAATCACCATGCTACGACATATTGGCTCAAAGCTGCCTATTCAGATTATGTACTGTGGCGAAAGTGATTTGACCAAATCAAAGCGATTGATGCTGTCAGAACTGCCTGGTGTGGAACTAGTTGATCTCAAAAATATACTAAATATAGACAAGTGCAGTAGAGGATGGGAGAATAAGCCGTTTGCAGTCATGGCTTCCAAGTTCCGACATGTTCTTTTAATAGATTCAGACACGCTGTTCTTGCAGCCGCCAGAAACTATTTTTCAAATGCCAGAATATGTGAAAACAGGAGCATTTTTGTTTCGGGATCGAACACTGGCGGATGGAACATTCGGGTATGGAGAAAAACGGGCAGAGATGATGAGGCAAATCGCTATGCCATTTACAAACAACTTGATCTACAACAACAGTCGAATCATGAGTCTCAAGGCATCCGACGAGATGGAATCTGGCGTCGTTGCTTGGGATAAATTGCGAGCAATGCCTGCAATTCTTTTGACGAGTCTGCTAAATAGCAATCCACTTAAAAATAGCGTATATTCCGTTGTATATGGAGACAAGGAAACATATTGGCTTGCTCATGAAGCGTTGCATATTCCCTTTGGTTTAACCACTGGATATGGTGGTGCAATTGGCACGCTGGAAATGAGTGCCAGCACATCCAAGGTTTGTGGACCGCTGCTGCACTTGGATAATTCTGGAAACCCGCTCTGGTTTAATGGGGGGCTTGGATCTCGAACACCGTCTTATAACATCGACCTACACATTCCTGAATACTGGGTCACAGAGTCTGCTGGAGATAAACGTGTAAAATGGGATCTTAAATCTATGCCATATTGCTTGCATGGTGTTTTAAACGCACCAGAAAACCATACTCATGGCCGGATAAATAAGCTTACTGATGCACAACACAAGATCACTCAAAAGATGGTTGATCTATGGATAGAGTACTTTCAACAATAAAATACCTTTTTCAGTCATAGTGTAGCTTACTAATTCCAAGACTCCATATTTGAGTCAGCAAATTAAAGACTTTGCCGGACTTTACGTTCAGCTGGATATGATCATGCAAACGTCAGTCAACTCTTATTTATCAGACAAACTACTGTTGGATTAGGCTTGAATGAGAACAGTATGTTTGTAAAGGACGATTCCATTTTCAAATACACCAAGCTTACTACAAATGAAATCATCCTTGCGCGAAATGAGCTGTTTTCGCGTTTATCCTGCTCGCAATATATACTTTAAACTCTTTCTGGCATAACAACTCAACCAAACAGTTATTGAAATGGGCTGCTGCTCAAGTAAAGTAGATAATCTGTCAGAGCTAAATATATCCAATCAGCAGCTGCTAGAAATCAAGCCAGCCATGTTAAAAATTCACCCTGACTTGGTGAAACTCAGTGCTCACAAAAATCAACTAGTGGATATTCCATCAGATATTGGTGCGTTTATTTGTATAAAAATGCTACAATAAATCAATGTGTAAAGGGGGCTGCAATATATTGGAGCACATGATGAGGAGCTGGGAATAGGTTATATATGTATTGACTATGATTTTCATATTGCCATATATCTAATATAGTGCTACTCAGTAAGCTACAAATACTGGATATATCAGGAAACAATATCAACAACTTTCCACACAATCTTCCGCCTTCCATCACTATTATCAATGCCAGTAAGTTGTATTTATACAGTCTAAACGAGATCTCATCATGTAACATTATGGGACATGTTGCTGTATTCAAAATATTTATAAACTAAACTGTTGGTTATATTTCAAGGCCACAATAAGCTATTTATATCCCCACTGACTCCAAAAATTGGCATGCTGAAGAATCTACAGCGATTGGATATCAGTCATAATCAAATTGAGTAAGCATTGATACAAAACACCTTGAACGGAATGTTCAACGATTCAAGTTTAAAATTCTAAAAAGCTGTTGAATCAATCATTACTGATTTAATTGTTTGCTTATATACAGAGAATTACCTATCGAGGTGGCAGATTTATCTCGTTTGAAAACTTTGGAACTTCATCATAATATGCTCACAGTAATGCAATGATCAGTTTAAGACTATAATCAAACTTTTTAAAAAAATCTATAGTATTATTAAAATTTATCACAACTGGTGATTTTAGGCTATTCCTGCCGGAGTGCTCAAACTGAGTGGTCTGGAAAAGCTAAACTTGTCATTCAATCGTATCACTGAGATTGACAATCAATTTGGAATGCTATCTTTACTCAAGGTGTCTTGTCTTATTTATGCTTTATCCAGTCAATCTGGGAAAACTTGTTGATATAAGATTGACTAACCAAATTAAAAATATATGGATTGTGTGTTTTTAGAATCTAAATGTGTCAAACAATCTGCTTGTCAATGTGAGTGCTGAGATTGGTACTTTGACCAGCCTGGTATATTTAAATTTAGCGTCAAATCAAATAACTATGTTGCCAGATGAACGTAAGTGGTAAACGTATTCGAGTGTATTCAAATCTGGCACAATTTTCCCTTTGGCGTAGGTTTTATTCAGCCTCAATAACGATATACTATGATGGTTGAATTAGTTGGAAATTTGCTTAGTTTGGAAGAGTTTTATATCCAAGATAATAGATTTTTGGCAAATATTCCTTCTACCATGTCGAATCTTACTATGCTTAAAAAGGTGAACTTGGGCAATTTGAAACTAAGCACATATCCATCAGCCATGGCAACATGGGCAAACATGACTGATTTTGTTGTACGCCAAAACGCAAACATTACTGAAATACCAGGTAAATATCAATCGATTTGCAACTTCTTGTCAATTGTAACTGATGTTGCTGATTCTAATCAAATGAATCCCACTTTATGTGATCATGCCATAATTTTAGACACAATTGGCAAACTCACTGGTCTAAAAACTCTTGAAAGTCAAAACTGCTCTATTCGCATTTTGGCAGATGATATTGGACAACTTCGAAATCTGACACGTTTAGACTTGAGAAAAAACCAACTGTCTTCTTTTGCGATTCCATATACTATTACTGACTGGAAGTCTATTACCCATTTGCAGCTTGGGTATGCATATGCATTCATTATATAATTTATGGTTCATTTTTACTGACCATCCTATACCTTCAATTTAAACCACTCGATTTGTTTTGCCAACCTGCTGCTTCGCTTGCGATCGTGCAGAAATAACTCGTTTGAAATTATCCCAGAGGAAATCTGTCAGTTATACAGTCTGATTGACTTGGATTTCAGCTACAATATGCTGGTTGGACTTCCAAAACAGATTGGAAAGCTTACACAATTAGTTAAGCTATGTTTAAACAACAACAAAATCGAGTCATTAACAACAGAAATTGCGTAAGTTTCTTGCATAGCGATGAACACATGAAATAGGACAGGTTATACAAGAGCCAAAAAATTTGCTATTCCATTATGTTCATTAACACAACACTATTAATTTAGATTGCTGAAATCTCTGCAAACACTTGAAATACGATTCAATGCTTTATCGCGGTTACCACCAGAGATTGGCGAGCTATCATCCTTGCTGAAACTGGATATCAGCGAAAACCAATTGGTTGATCTCCCCCCTGAATTATATCTGCTTGAAGGAGTTACTGTGAGTCTTGAAATTCACTATTTGGTTTATATTTATACGCATGTCTAGGATTATATTGGACAATTCAAAAACTCACATTGCCAATCATGGCACTAACTATGACTATACTGAATAGCTGGAGTTGAAAGGAAACCACTTTGATGCAGTACTGCAACAACACATTCTTAAAGGTCCAGAGCATCTCATGAAAGTGCTTCGAAAAAAAGCATAGGGCAGATACTTTATAGAAACAGTCAAATTAATCTTGAAATACACCATTTTTTGCAAAAATGAATCGATTGCAATTTTTCAATTTATTTCAGTAATGTCTGCTTCCTCCTCCCCGGGAAACCTATATAGTACAAAAGGGCAACGTCAGAACAAGTAAACTCAAAAGTAACTATTTGCAAATGTAAATCAAAGTCAGATTACAGTAAATACAGCCATACGTACTTGAATGTAAAGTAATCGTTATCGAAAAAGTGAACACGCACATATCCGTCTTCACCACCACTTGAAAAACTACACGAGCAAATGACAATTTCAAATAAACATTAAAGTTCTTGACATCAAGCAATCAACATAGTGTTTTAAACCTACCTTTTCCCGTCAGGATGGAATGCAAGAGTATTGATGGGTCCAAAATGTCCTCTAACACGACCAATCTCTTCCCTGAACACCAAATGGAAAAATCGGACCTCAAACTTGCCTTGTCTGGCAGAGGTTGTAGTTACATTCATGGCGTCTTGTCCACCACCAAGCATAATCTGTTTACAGTAAAATTAAAGCACAGAAAATGGATCAAAATAATGAAAAGATCTGACAGTAGACTTTTAAATAGTTTACCTGCTGACGAATAGGAGAAATGGCAGCCGAGTTAACAGGACGTTCAACCTCGAACCGTTTCAATACCTCCAAAGTTGTTGCGTCGATGATTTGAGCAGAGTTGTCCTTGGATGCAGTAATAAAATACTCTTTTTCTGGGCCAAATTGTAAATCTTGAATGGGGCCAGTGTGAGCCTGTACAGAGTTGATAAGCTCACCAGTTTCTGCATCCCATAAAGAAACCAATCCCTTGTCGTGGCCTGTAATAATAGTCTTGTTGAGTTTTCCCCAAAGCGCAACGGTAGCACGCTGTCCTTTGATGATAATCTCTCTGGTGAATTCTCCAGTTTCTGTATTAAATTGCAATCGGTGTCAGGCTTGATGAAAAACAAACACATCTACATCAAGGCCATCCAAGAAAACATATTTCGCAATTTGGCAGTCAATGCATTACGTACGTTTGGAAATATCTTCATGGATCTTGAAAATGTGGATGGTGCATTTCTGACCAAGTGTGGCATCTGTAACATAGAAAGCTTTTTTATCACCCTCTGCAAATGCTACAGCACGGATAGCGTTCTGATGCACTGTACTCCATTGATAAAGAATCTTTCCATTTGAAACGTTCCACAAAATGCACGAGCCATCAGCGGATGCAGTAAGCAAGCGTTTACTGTCGACTGATTGGTTCAAATTTCAGTTGGTTTATCCAGTTTACACAGATGCAACATAGTTTTGAAAACGGTTTGATGTTGCATATCCAAAAATCGATTGAACATACAATGATGAATCCAATGAAAATCCAATGAAAAATGCTAGTGAGTTAAACGAGTCCAAAACAGTTTTACATGAAAAACCAAATCAACGTACAGCTGACATCTAAATCCCAAATAGAACCACTGTGACCTTCGAATGAGCCAAGACGCTCTCCATTGTGGGAGTACCAGACATTAGCAGCCTTGTCTTTGGAGGCAGTAAACAGCAAGTCACCATCGCTATTATACTTGACTTTGGTAAGCGAACGAGTGTGACCTTGCAATAAAATCGGTCTCTAATTGAACAGTAGAAAACAGCATTAGAATCCGTGACAATCCAACATTGACCATTGTATGCTGCTGATCATGCCAATCTGCAAACACCAGACTGTAGTCCAGATCATTTGAACTACAAAATAAATTGTTCCAGTATATTTCCAAGCCAAAGCGTCTGATGTTGATCCCAGCTGTGGAGTTTCAGTCGAAAATACAGCACACTATCGGATAATCCATGGTCGAGTACATACCATATTATGATGGATTGGCTGGAGCAAATTGGTTTCTATTGGAAATCAGAGTGTTGTTGCAAGTCACAAAATATCACGTGAATCGATACTATTGGTCAATACTGAATTCTCCGATGCTCGACTTTCGTTCAGCAGTTGCCAAACACGCAATCTGGTTGAATCTGCAAGTGAATTCCAGATTTTACTGCTGATTACAAGTTTTAAATGGCGACCCTTTCAAACAATGCACCATCCAGACCTACATCCATTCAGGCCCTTTTGGTACAACCTACTATTTTCAACAGATTGCTTGCTCTGCTTGATTGTTTTTGGCGCAGAGCTAGATACATCATCAATTTGATCTCATTTTAAAAGTATATCATAGGCCGGTGCAGTAGCAGGAACCACGGTCGATACTGTGTTGTTTCCTTTGGACACAATCAAGACTAGATTGGTAACTTTAATCAATCGCATTATATTGATGCACACTACACTTGTCAATTTGGCATGGAAAATGAAATCTGTATTATCGTTGAATTCCATCTTGATTCGTTAACACGGTGTTTTTGCCCATCTATGTCGGTAACTGATTTTTAGCAATCAAAAGCTGGATTCAAAGCATCTGGAGGATTCTCCAATATCTATGCTGGATTGTCATCGGCAGTAATGGGATCTGCCCCTGCTGGTATGATCAATTGCACTTCAACTTTGTTTTGCTAGATATTTGCTGCTTCACAACTTTCAGTATACTCCCATTAGTCAAAGTATATTCAGATTTGAAATCAGTATATGTTCAAACAACTAGATCTGACCAACATATTTTTCACTCTTTTATCTAATGTGATGGCTATTAATATTATTTAGCTGCTACGTTCTTTGTCACATACGAGTTTTTTAAATCAAGGCTTTCGTCACGATACTCGGATCCATCTCATCAGCCATTAGTACACATGGCATCTGCATCTGCTGGAGAGATTGTGAGTTTTTATTCATCAGCTTTTTAAAAATCTATTGACCGGTTGCTTTTTGTTGCTACTTTATTACCACAACCTTTACTCAAGTACATTTTAACCATGATTTAGGCGGCATGTGTAGTGCGTGTTCCTACTGAGATTATCAAGCAGCGCATGCAGGCAAAAATATATACATCTATACCCCATGCAGCAAAAGATATTTTTAGCTCTGAAGGAATCCGCGGGTTCTATCGCGGCTACATGATGACCATTTTCAGAGAAGTGTGTCGATAGATGTTACCTTGTATTATTGTTTAGCTTGAATCGTTTGTACGCTAATTTATCTGACTTGATCTATTTTATTGATTTAATAGATTCCGTTTGCATGTGTCCAGTTTCCACTCTATGAACACATGAAGAAACAGTTGGCTATAAAGTTGGATAGAGCGTTGTGGGCCCCAGAAGCAGCTGTTTGTGGAGCTGTTTCAGGCGGAATCGCAGCTGCTGTCACAACTCCTTTAGATGTAGTTAAAACTCGAATTATGTTGAGTGCCAAGGTAAAGCATGATTTGCTGTCAGATCTGTATGTTTTGCACATTTCAATCGCTAACATTCCTGCTACATCTATGCATGTATTTAAATTGGAAATAGGCTGGTAAAACTGATGGTATTTTTTTAACTGCAAAATCAATCTGGACAGAAGAAGGAGCCGCTACGTTTTTATCGGGGATTGGGCCGCGAGTGATGTGGATTACTATTGGAGGAAGTATTTTTTTGGGCATGTATGAAGCATCCAAATCGGCACTGGTGAAATACACATAATTTAATCAGATTAGCCAGTTTAAGCATATGGTTGTGGGAACTGCATTTGTTTTATTATAAAAAAGTCGAATGAATAGTGGGCATGTATTCATCAATTCATACTGCATCAGAGTTGCCCAAACATCGTGTTTTGATATTGGCTGCATGAATAGACTGTTTTTTAAAGTATCCAGTTTGTGAAATGCGTCAGTCTTGAATTTGAGTTTCAATGCATTCTTTAATCCGATCAAGAACATTTCCTAAAAGTTGCATGCTCATCAGTCTGTCCATTATAACAGGATCGATTTTTGTGCCACAAGGCTTGCAATTGTTTCTGGGCTCTTGATCGGCTTTACTATCTATATCCTCAAGCTGCCTATTTATATCCAATTCGGAATCCGCGATTGCTTGATTTACAACCTTTTGTGCTGGCGAAATCAGCTTGAGATATACAGATTGGATATGGACACTATCCCATACACCCATACGATTCGTATCTGATTTTTCGCGTATCAGCAAATACAAGTACAGGTTCAGTGCATGCATAAGAATTGCATAGCGCTCAAAAAACAAATCGGTGTTTTCAAAAATGGTAGTGTCTGGGTGTATGATACGATTACGGTAGACTATAGACTTGCCATCAAGCAGTACTTCTAAAAAAGTATCAGTGATTTGACCTGATGCAAAACATGATGTCTTTTGAATGTGGGTCAGGTCAGGATATATAATTACACAATACCAGCAGCAAATCATTAAATTAAAAGGTTTAGTTGTCAAGATCTAAACTGATGAAAAATAATATAGTAAACGCATACACTTGAGCTCACCCTCTTATCCAAGCCTTTTTGTTTGGCTTTATGAATGCATTCTTTTAAAATTGTAATTCCTGCAACAATCATCGAAGGCATTTCTGAATCCATGATCATCAATAAAAGTATCCTGCTTTTAACCTCGTCTGTATATGCAGCCATTACATTCTTTAATACACCAAAAACTCGCTGTGATAGCTGCTGGCTAGGCGCTCCAGCAATTGCAGCAATCATTGCCTATATATTTCAAACATTTTAGCATTGGCAAGATCAAGAGAACAATTAATTGAAAACTATATTTGAAATAAAATCACAATCACCTTGACAATTTGTTGGTGACAAGAAACAGACCCGTTTTGAGGATTAACATCATCATACATGCTCAACGTCACAGAATCACAAGTCAGTCCAACTATCACAAACTCGAGAATCGATAAGCCCTGTAGTATTTGTGTTTGATGCTTTCTGTATCGTTTTCAACACAGATCAAGTTAGCTTGTTGTACAGCGATAGATGAGTAACGTGTTTTCGACCTTGATCAATTGTGCAACAAACCTTTCTAATAGTAAACAAATGTGATCTATATGATGATTAAAAATCCACGGACGCCTTAGAACCCAAGGCATATGCACGTCTATAAGCAGTGGATGAAAATAGAGTGACAAGATAATTGCGTTTCCGAGTGTGTGATTCAAGGTGCCGGTAATATGTATTTCAAGAAATTGACATTCTCGCTAATTATATTACATTGTATAAACATAAATTTAATCTATAAAACCATTAATGTATGATAACAAGCAAGCCATCATACCAAAAATAACTGAGCATTATCAATCATGATGGATGAAGATATTGAAAGGTTTGCAAAAAATGTTTCTGCCATATCTGATGCTACTGATATCAACAGGGGAGCAATTTCCTAATAAACGAGTTGCTACAAAGGTTAATCATACGACCTTTAATAAGATTAGTATGAATTTACCTTGTAATCAGCGTATTTGGAAAGAGACTTGAAATATAAAATAAAAGTTGCAGCAGTCTTTTCAAATAAACTTTGAAATCCAGTGCAGAAATCAAACTATTGGTGTTAGTGGGTTTACTGGGCTGATAGAATTCAACAGGTTCAAATGACGACCAAAAAACATACTCTTTGTTTGATTCAAGTGGTGGGATCAAAGCCAGACTGTCATGATATATTGCGATAGCATCTACAATCATCGATGCCTTTCGAGGTATCTGAATTTGATCCAAAACTATTGAATTCAATACCAAAATAAGATAAACCGAGTTTTAAAACATGCGTGTTGATCAAGACTACATACCGGAAAGCATAAATTTAAAATATAGAATAAATCTGCATACAGACTCATTGGCAGACAATACACATTCTTTTTCTCTGGTAAGAACATGAAGAAACTCGCATGCAAACAGAAACATATCTCGAGGATGTCCAATCGACGCAAGACACTCCAACAAAGACTGCACAACAACAACAACACCATCTTCATAAATCAAAGATGGTGTTTTGTCAAGACCGTCGACTACTGTAGTGGAACAATCTTGTGTACGACCAACCTGCCAATCCTTGATGAACCCAGCCAGATTCGCTGCAATATCCCAAGCATTGTCCCCATAAAAGTCCTAAACAAACACATGTCTTGATTATTCTAAAATGAAAGCGATCTTGACTACAAATCCTGCAAACTCCAGCTTACGTTTGCGTTGGTGCTGATGGCATTTTGGAGCAAGACTAGAGTGGATAGAATTGTTGTTTTTGAATCGATCTTGAGCAACGAAGCAGAGGCTAGCAGATTAAGCAGTTTTGGAAGAGCTGGATTATTTAACGCATTTCCATGATCAAGATCCGGAGCATTGATGAACTCTAAAACCTGTATGAATTCCTGATGAATATCTTTGGTCATTTCAGACTTGCGACTTACTGGCTTGTCAACCATTAGAAGCTCTGTTCGTGATGATCGTGTCCGTTCAACTGTTTGCAAATGCTGCCATTTGAACGTTTTTAAAATTATTTCCAAATCGCCCGTCAGTCTGCAACTTTGTTTTAAACATTTTAGAAATCCATTACTATCGTTTATTTTGAATTGTTGAATCATGTTCAGTGCTAGATTTATACTGAGCAGGAACTCAATCTACTCAAAACTGTCTATTAAGCAAAACCTGTCAATTTTCAGCAGCGATCGTTTATTGAGCACTTCATGGCAACAGGATTTGATCGAAACAGGAGAATCTATTGCTTTAGAAGCACCAGTAGATGGCGTATCAATTAGACTTCTTTCAAACTCTGATATTGCTCCAGATCTAACAACAGATTTGCGGAATGCCAGCAGGACTGATGGTCAGACTTCTGGAAATGTCAAACCGACAAATAAAGCATCCAAATCGAAATCAAAACGGGCTCATGTTCCACTTCAAAACCTGCTTTCTGAGATATATGGCGATACTGGTGAAGTACTGCCAAGTAAGAATGCTATAAAAAGAAGAGCAAAAATAAATCCAACTGTCGAATCTGCAACTCTTGAGTCATCCGATTTTAAGCTTACAAGTTTAGTATAAACTCTTGATTTGTATCGAAAATAATAACTTTGACTGATCTCTAGTATAAATGTGTCGTTTCTAGAGTTGGATGTTGGTGCTAAATCTCCTCCTCGACTTAAACACGGACTCGAGCGAGTGCTTTTTAGGTAAGATGGCCGTAATAGATCGAAATGAATACTATCTGCTTTTTATGCTACTATATTTATTCATGAACTGAAATGGCTTTTTTGTTTTTAATGTGCATATCTAGTCCCGGGCCAGTGTTTTTGCAAGATCCAAGAACAGGAGTATTTAATTTTGACAAAACATTGAATACAATACCTGCCGTTGAATCGTTCGACTATTCCAAGTTGAATCCGTATACTATTGCGTCAAAGGATAAAGTGCGCTTCAAATCATCACATTTTCTTGATCATTATTTTTCAAAACATGCAGCTTGTTACATTATTTAACTGACTTTGAATCCAAAAACTCTGTGTGATAATATGACAATAACCATGCAGGTTCTTAAAAAAATGGCCATCAAATATAAGCGCAAATACTATGCATCTACATCTTCAATAACATCAGTTCTTTCAAAGCTGATTTTGAGTATCACGGGAATGCGTCCCGTAAACTTGGATCGTCTTAGTATTCCTTTTATTGAAAAAGTAAGCTATTTTGATGAAATCTGAGGCAATTAAATTGATGGTAAAGACACTAATCTTTTTTGTCATGTAAATCAAGAGTGCTTTACACACCAAATTTTCTTGTGGACCCACAGGAATTGTATTGAAATATAGTGACGGTGTATATGGAATAGATCATTATAAACCTAGTGAAGAAACTCGAAATGTGCTGATGCAACTTGTAAGTCGTATGCGTAGCAATCTATATTCTACAAGAACTAATTCATGATATTTGTTTAGGGACATGTTCTTGAAGCAATGTTGTGCGAAGATAAAAAATCGTTTAAGCGACTTCTAAAAACAGATAATGCATCGACTGACATTACTTTGTCACCCAGCACATACTCTTACTCTCTGGTAAGCGTAGTGTATGAATCCATGTAGTTGAAACTACTGCACTGGTATCAAGGCAATTACTGAAACACCATTGATTATATTTGGTGTATTTATAAACTGTTTGTAAATACAGGCGGAAAACTTTTTAATGCGTGCACAACTGGATTGTCAGCATCCCGATCTGCCCAACAAATCATTTGATATTAAAACTCGCGCGACTGCCGCGATTAGATTTAATAGTAATGATTATCAGGTACATTATTATTTTCAAGATCTTGCCTTGCTAATTCAAGTATTTTAAATAGTACTAGTAGGCTTTGTATTTAATCATTCTCAAATGTGGAATAGTCTCATACTGGTTATAAAATTCGAAAGCTCACTGGAGTTTACGAGTCTTTTGAACGGGAATACTTTGATATGTTGAGATCTACCTTTTTAAAGTATAGGTATGTTTTTCATTGCCAATTATAGTATCAAACTATCACTAATATTTTTTTGTAATGTCAAAACTTTGGATTAGCTTACAAGTACGTATTGGAAAAATGGATGGCATTTTTGTCAGTTACCACAATACTGCCAGTATATATGGGTTTCAGTATATTCCACTTGAACAGATGGATGAAGATCTGTTTGGAAACTCGACTTTTGCAGACGATAGTTTTGCATTTTCGGTCAAGCTGTTTAATCGGCTATTGGATATTGCAACTGCTCGATTTCCCAAAAGAGATCTAAAGATCATATTTGATGAAGCCAAAGAGCAGGTAATATTACATTGATATTTTTGATGAAGCTGACAATCATGTATAGTTGCAACATTTTTATTTACTTGTTTACTTTTAACATGCTACTAGTCAATCGTGTGTGTTATCCAGCCTGCCTGTTCGCTTAAAGGCTCGGCTAAGCGCCATATTGCTAAAAGCAACTCGGACATGTCATCTGCGTCAGACAAATCAGAATTATCGGAATGGGACGCATCACGAGCAGTCAGATTTCAAATCAAAACTCGGTCTATAATCAACGATATCAACGTTGAAGGTCTACCATTTGTAAAACATGATGCTGGTGATAAATGGGAGCTTCACTATGACATACTTGATGCAGGAGTCACTGATAAAACAGTAAGTCGAGCAGAGAAAAAACTTGTTGGTCGTACTGGTTCTTCAAAAGCTTCTGGATATTTTCTCAATGAAATGCGCATAAACTCGATATACGAAGAAGAGCTTGGTGAGAAACCGGATTTTGTCAATGGCAATGATACACTTGGTAAAGAGGATGAAGCATTTACTGGCAAGGATGTCCATCATGGTATTAATGGAACAGATTAACGGACAGCACATTCTTAATTCCTTTAATTCAGAGTTTATTTAAACTGTTTAGGCTCATTTATAGCCGTATTCACATAATAAAACTGTCAAAATACGTAATAGCTATTTTCATGAAACTTTAAGTAGTCTTGTCAAGAATCAATGATGCTTAAAACAGCCAATTTAAACTTTCAAACCAAATCTTCATTTCATGACTCGATTGTTTCAACAGCCTGAGCTGTAGTGTCCTGTTTACGATGCTGCTTTCGACGTTGGGATCCTTCAATCATACTGTGCTTTCGTTTAGATATGCGTTCATCGTATGACGATACAGTTTTGATCTGCTCACGCTTCAAAGGTCGGCCACGCAGGTCTCTCTTCATATTAGTGGATGGATTTTTTAGCTTGAGCATCCACTCTGGAACATCACATCCTGATGTTTTCATAACATTGACAATACTAAAATATACACAAGCCAAAATCATAATAGTTAGTAATGCAGTTGCAACCAAAGCATCAATCGGCTACAAATAGAGCGTGTTTTGTCTTGAAAAAATAGCACATTACTTTTTCAAATATGGTGCATCTTCTTTGGTAAAATATGTAATAGCCTCCCCTGTTCTACCAGCACGACCAGTTCGACCAATACGATGTACATAACTTTGAACTGTTTGAGGAAAATCATAGTTGATTACTAGATTAACACCTTTGAAATCGATACCACGAGCCATAAGCTCGGTAGCAATCAATACCCAGATTTTTCCACATCGGAAATTCTTAATAATAGTATCACGCTGTGTTTGTGTACGCTCGGAATGCATAACATCGACATTAATACCATCATACACCAGCTCATGAAAAAGCTCTTTTGCACGGTCAATAGATTGTACAAAAATAAGAACAGGAGGTCGCAGGCCTTCTTGAATCAGTTGTCGCATAGCAATTAGTTTTCCTTCTTCTTGTCCAACAAACATTAGTTTCTGATTGATCGTTTCAGTTGCACCTTCTCTACAATTAAAAATATATCACTCAATATCAGACTTGTGTAATATTATAAACACAGTATGCCTCGGTTACATATTTTACATCCGGTCACACTTACTTGCAGCCAACAATAATTCGAATAGGATCCTTCATAATTGTTCGTGCAAGCTGCTCAATGCCAGATGGCATTGTTGCACTAAAAAGAGATTTTTGAAGTGTAGTTGAGCTACAAGCGGCAAAAATTTCATCTACTTGCTCTAAAAAGCCGAGCTCAAGCAATTTATCTGCTTCGTCAAGAACCAAATGTCTTACTCTAAATGAATTTATAGCATTATAGATGGATAGTTAATAAAATCAAACTGATTGGTCTATTCTAATAGCATATTACAAAATTCGATAAACTTGCTTGTCTAATTGAATCGCGTTTTCCTTGATGGCAGTAACCAATCGAAGTGGTGTACTGATAAGAATGTCAAAGTTTTTAAGAGTGGAGGACACATCAGGATTAGTTGCGTTGGTTGCTTTTGTAAGAACGCAAGTTTTGAAGGGTTTTCCAACACTTAGTTTCTTGAGCTCTCGGTACGTTTGTTGTGCAAGCTCGCGGGTTGGTGCTATAATCAATGCACGAAATCCTTCCTTTGTCGGTCCTTTAAGATCGTGTAAAATAGGCAGTAGGAATGCCAATGTTTTACCAGAACCTGTTGGCGCACAAGCCATGACTTCTCGATTCTACAGTAACAAGTATGACTATTCAGACAAGATACTAGCATCTAACGTAGTTTTACCGATAAATCGAAACTTACATGCAGCATGATGGGTATTGCTTGCATTTGAACAGAAGTGGGTTTCAAATAATCTGAATCGAGAAGATTGCGTCTAAGATATGATCGAAGCTTAAATCTATATTTGAAAGAAAATATACGTGAGATATAGCCATTTATAACTGTATGCGCATAAATAAAAACTTACCTATCGCACAAATCTGTAAAACTTTGAAATGGAAACGGAATATCAGTGCCGGAAACCTTGATTTTATTTTTTTTTCTCCATGCTCGAGCCTGCATTATATGGTCAATGAATTGCACATTTAAAAAATCAGTAATTTACAAGAGATTATGCATCATGAATTCAAACGTTTCTTTACCGTCTCCTCTGTATCGATTGTTGTCAAATCAGTATTATCAAACTCCTTGATCGGCTTCTGCGCTTGAGAATCTGTATCTTTATTTTTAAAGCTTTCTGTACTTGTTTGAACTGTGTTTTCAAAAAAATCTAATTCCGGCGTAACATCTGTTGCTTGCAGATCAGGCTGTTTGTACTGTGCCTTGTCCTAATCGATATTACCGAGTGAATTAATACAAAATCATGACCAACACATGATGTAAAAAATGGATGTCATAGACTTTAAAATAAAACTGCTTCGTCTGTAAACACTCACAGTTTTGAAAACATGAAAGTCTTTAGAGAACTTGGCTTTGTTGAACTTGGCACCAGCGCCGATATTGCTAAACAAATCCATTTTAAATAAATTCTGTCGATTTTTTTAAAAGACGATTTCAGAAATTTCATGTTGATTGAATGCACTCAAGTCACGTGTGTATGATTTCACTTTCTAAATCGCTGTTCAAGAATGCCAATGAAAGTCTGCAGGGAATATTTACCGAGAAAGCGCTGGCTATTGAATGGATTTAGACAAAACCACGTGATTTCATCTGTAATTGAACATCTTGACATGACCGAGCTCAACCCAGTTCAAATATGATTTTAAGGGCAGCCGCTGGTTGGAGTCTAGTCGCAGTAAATGCATCGACTGCTGGAACCAGACCTGTTACGGGATATGCAAGTGTACTATTTCGATCCTATTCCGCACCTCGGTCTACTCTTTCGAATCAATTCACAAATTTGACCGAGCCCACTATAGCAGTTACAGAAACAACTCAATCTGGCACAAGTGAGTTGCAACAGTCTACATCTACTGCAGCCACTGAATCATACCATACTCTGAGCAATTCTACCAAAATATCACATATACAATTTAATGATTCGCATGCATCTCCTTCAGCATGGCGTAAAAAGACTTGCACTAGTCCTATAACGACTATGAGTAGTCCCAATAATAGTATATCGTCGACTCCCATTTCTAATAGAAGTTTTGACATTGCATACTATTCTCAGATGCTACAAGCCGAAGGTTTTACTCCCAGTCAGACGCAGGGTTTACTAGCACTTGTCGAGGAAGCTGTTAACGAAAGGTAGATTCGAATTACTGATACTTTCAAGAAATTCCTTGTTAGATATCCTATGCATTTTTATTTGAATGTCTTTTATTGTTGAAAACAAGACTAATGAGCTAATACACATGCTACCACTTGAATGCTAATATTTTTAAATTTGTAAAATGTGGTATAGTTTGCTGACAGCAGTCAAAAGCATGGTCACAAAGGATGAACAAAGGGAAGCAGCAACTGAAAGTGAGCAGGACTTTCAACGCTTGCGTTCCGAAATCCACGTGCTAGAGAAGAAGGATTTTGCTATTTTAAAAACCGAGCTGGAAAGGCTTATTGCAGAAACAAGCCGCATCAAGGGATCTATTCAAGATGAAGTCAACAGAGTCCATGGTGGTGTGCGTCTTGATGTGAATCTGGAAAAAGCTCGGATAAATGACGAGATTGCCGAATTAAATCAATTAGTAGCCAATGCCGACACCAAGATTGATAAAGAGATTGACGAACTCACAAAAAGAATGCATGACATTCGCATACATACAAAAACATTTGTAACTCGTACGTATGCCCTGACTTTTTGTATTGCTTTCATCACGTCCAGTATGTTCTTATTGACAGCCTATTGCTTTTCATATTAGGATTTATCGTTGGGTCGCTATTGGTATTTTTGGGTTACAAAATTGCAACCATATTTTTACCAGCCAACAAGAAAAAAATGGAAATCCCTTTACTTTCATAGTACATATTGGGTTATGTATACTGTTATTGTTGAAGCTGGAAGCGCGATGTTGGGAGTATAAATCCCATTTAGGATAGGTACTTGATAGCATCGATGTGGAAAGTATGTAATCTCCACTATGATGGCTTGCGAATTCTCCTATTCTCACTCTCCATTTGTCTTATAACCATTCAAGATCTCATATACTCAATAAACGCCCTTTATTACTAAATATTGTTTAATATAGATACCATAATCATCATCATTCAACTCGATTTCTTTTGTCATTCAAATCAGTAAACAATCCATCAATACATGACAACAGATTCAAGAAACCAACCAAACCCAACCACATCAAAGTAGAGTCAAATAAATTTTACGTGAGTACCTCCACAAACACATGATACACGCAGGACTAGGACTGCTGGCAATTCTATTGTCTTTGTCACTAGCTGCGATATTCTACTCTGCCTGCGACTTTGTCATCCTTTTGAATTTTTAGCTTTTTAATCCATCGCTAAATCCCAAACAATCTCGTCCCAGTTACAGCCGGATTTATGTAAAACACAACACTTGTATTTGTCTTGCAGTGATTGTCTTGGAATATACAATCGTTAAACATTGATTGCGTTTGTTAGAAACTGACTTGAATAGACGCTCCCAATTGTTAAAACACAACAATCGACATATGATGCACGTAATCAAACTGTAGTTATAACTGGACATTGTTTTGCACTTTCTATACAACTATATACGCATGATTGCCAAGTTTGAACACAAATTGAACCATGTAATCCAGATATTTGGTTCGATTGTTGATGTTGTCAATACAACACTGTACAAACTTGCAAATATGTTCGTATTCTAGCTCATAACGATTGCATATCTCAAGAATACAACAGTTGTTTTCATGCCAATCAATAGGGAACCCTCAGTTGATTAAGGAGTTCAAAAGCAAGCTATCCAGAAAATTGAGTGGGGCTGGTTGTTTATTGTATGCTTGACACCCTTATTCAGTATTCAGTATTCATGAACATGGTTGTGGACAAGAATTAATGCATTCACAATCATGTTTCCAGTCTACTTTTGCAACTCCATTACACGCACATCTCATTCAGCGTATAGTATAACCTATTTTGGACTCCAAAGAACTTTGTTTTCATCTTCAATAGTAGGATATCCATCCTTTGACTTTTCGCATCCACATCCAGGACCAAGTCCAATCCGTACATGTTCTCGATCAAGTACAAATTTAAGTCGAGCCATGAAAGATGTACCAAGCACTGCGTTTTTATTTGACCCAGCGCTTACGGAAAACAAATCTAGAATTTAGCATGTATATTAATTACAAATTTGATTAAATATATCGCATTGCATATACTGTTAAAGATATTTACATTTTGTGGAGCTGATTTTCTGAATGTAGTCTTTGGGTCCCAATGTGATCTTGACAATAGAAGAATCTGATTCTGAGTTTGATACTCCAGTAGACATCACAAACGAAAGTACTGGCAATTTTTTCCAATTGATAGTATAATGCGATTTCTTAATGATATAACGTTCCCAAAAAAAGATTAGAGCTGTATGATCATCCAGTTTGGGTTCAAACGCATCGCTCCCAACAATCTCGTCGATCAATATAGCTACGACTTCATGAGGAAGATCCATTGTTGTAGTGCACGTATCTATTATTGAAAACGGATGCATTTTATCTCCAGGAGTTTTTACTTGAAATTCATTGGGTAGTGTTACTGGGTTTCCATTGATTAATATACTTTTAATATCGACGGTAAAGTAATCCTGAGTAGGTGAATATATCCATGTAATAGGATTTCCATTTGTCCCGCATTTTGGAGCTAGGTTTGTATTTCCTATGTCGATGTAGCTTTTTTTAGACAGCTCGTAAGGGCATAAATGAAGACCAACTTCGTTGTTGGAGATGGCTTTGCTGTCGTACAAGGCATCCATCACAGTCGGTGGTGTTGCTTTATACTCTGCTAAAGAAGGATAGGCAAGACCCAATATTCCTTGCTCGATATTGCCATCAATCAACGGTGAGTCTGTCGATTGTTTAAAGATTCCTATCACTGGAGCATTTTTAACGATTATACTAGTTTTTTGAATCCTCACGGTAGCCAAAAAACCGTGTCCTTCCCAAGCAGTAACACCATCGTAACTTCCAAAAATGGATGTTTCGTGCATAGTATATGTCAGACTGGGTCCATTGTAGTTGTTCAAGGTGGAGAATGGCACGATTGTATCAAAAGATCCTGAATCTACCATCATCTTTAACTATTTTGAACACAGTAATGTCATGAATGTGAGTTCAAATCTGAATATGGGTTAGTATCAAATTGCAACCTATGTGGCATAATACATACATTGACTCCATTAACGCTGATTTCCATTCGAAAACAATGAAAAACATCTCCTTTCAGTTTAATGGGAGATCGCTTTGATAGTCTATTATTTGGTCGACTAGATAACTTTGGAGGATACAACGGAACTTGGATTGCATCAACCAGCTGGAGTGTAAGTAGAAAGTATTGAAAAGCGATGAACATTTTTCCAAAAGTTTAATGAATGAAAAATGTTGCTTTAATAGATATCAGTGTATAACCCGTCCTTAATATAATGCTTTTAGTAATAGTAATCGAAACAAACGATATTATTAATAACAATGCACATTAGCTTGGTAATGGTATACTGTGTATTGAATATTTTTATGATATATCCAGTGGTCATTATTAGCGCTGATGGCCACTATTGAATTCATTACTGTAATCTTGGTCCATTTTTGGTCTAGTTTTGATATCTTGAATGCAACTTTTGTCTCAATAAAATCCAAACTTTGGTGTGCTATGGATCGTCGCCCTGATACAGTGCCCACTCGTAAATCCCAAAGTTTGTTGAAAAATTCCTGGAGACTCCTCCCTTCAAGCCAATCACCAATACTGCCGACTAATATGTGGCTATATAGTATACAGCTCATACTTGATTTTCATTGCTATGAATCTATCTAGTGTTGGAAGTATATGTTAGTATGGTCAGATATTGGTTGGACCAAAAGCCACATGTTATACTGGATTTTGCTTAGAGCGCGTCTACTAGTTAATGAGTTGGTATTGACAATTGCTTGAGCCAAACGGCATGTAAATGAAGAGTAATTGGTGTTAAAGCAGCTTGACAAATACAAGGCCATCTGCAAAACATTCAACCTCATTATTGAACATCATGTTTGATATAAACCAAGTTTGACCTGCAGTATCATAAAACCACTCATACTATCCATACTGTCAATTATCAAATGTGTTGGTGTTGGTTTGGTGTCATACCCGACCTAAAAATTGGTGATCAGGGTTAGGGTTTAGCTGAATTGACACAGTATCCATATCATATAATATCAAAGCAATGGTGATGGCACAGCATTCATATCTTTCTCGACTAACAAGACATTATTAAGGTTCAATTCACAACCATGCTCATGGATACTGAATACTGAATAAGGGTGTCAAGCATACAATAAACAACCAGCCCCACTCAATTTTCTGGATAGCTTGCTTTTGAACTCCTTAATCAACTGAGGGTTCCCTATTGATTGGCATGAAAACAACTGTTGTATTCTTGAGACATGCAATCGTTATGAGCTAGAATACGAACATATTTGCAAGTTTGTACAGTGTTGTATTGACAACATCAACAATCGAACCAAATATCTGGATTACATGGTTCAATTTGTGTTCAAACTTGGCAATCATGCGTATATAGTTGTATAGAAAATACAAAGCAATGTCCAGTTATAACTACAGTCTGATTGCGTGCATCATATGCCGATCGTTGTGTTTTAACAATTGGGAGTGTCTATTCAAGTCAGTTTCTAACAAACGCAATCAATGTTTAACGATTGTATATTCCAAGACAATCACTGCAAGACAAATACAAGTGTTGTGTTTTACATAAATCCGGCTGTAACTGGGACGAGATTGTTTGGGATTTAGCGATGGATTAAAAAGCTAAAAATTCAAAAGGATGACAAAGTCGCAGGCAGAGTAGAATATCGCAGCTAGTGACAAAGACAATAGAATTGCCAGCAGTCCTAGTCCTGCGTGTATCATGTGTTTGTGGAGGTACTCACGTAAAATTTATTCGACTCTACTTTGATGTGGTTGGGTTTGGTTGGTTTCTTGAATCTGTTGTCATGTATTGATGGATTGTTTACTGATTTGAATGACAAAAGAAATCGAGTTGAATGATGATGATTATGGTATCTATATTAAACAATATTTAGTAATAAAGGGCGTTTATTGAGTATACGAGATCTTGAATGGTTATAAGACAAATGGAGAGTGAGAATAGGAGAATTCGCAAGCCATCATAGTGGAGATTACATACTTTACACATCGATGCTATCAAAGTGTTTCCAAAATATGACAAAATTGGGTTGTTGAAATATAAATACTTTTCATCTCATTTCCATTCTTATTACCACTAGCTGTGGCCTGTTTTATTGCATTGTCAATATGAGAGAAAATAGATGATCAATAAAATCACAAAGTTTTTAAATACTATTGGATTCATTCACGTCAAGTCAAAAAACTACTGGAAAGATAAAGAGTGATACATGCCAAATTCAATAGGGTTGAATGGCCAGGAAATTCGTCATAGTTATAACAATTCACAAAGTGAAAGCAATTGAAATTTGCATAATCAGCTTTATAATTTCATTGTCAGGTTATTCAAATATGCCATTATTTACTATCAAAATATCAAATTTATTCTTCGTCGCTAGATTCTTCATCATCCTCTTCAGCCTCCTCTAGCCACGCAACAAATGGCAATGCAAGCGATTTAATATTTGTCATACCATCTAATCCCATTGATAGTCCCTTGTGCCACTTGAGTATCATGTCTTCACTCAGTACATCCATATCGTAAAAGAAACGCAAGACAAACACAAACGCTTTTTGAAATGGCAATGTGTCTTTTGCATACACCTATGATGCAAAAATTGCATTGTTTTATAAATCGGCAAGTAATTATTAGTATGCATATATTCAAAACACAAGTCGTAGATTTAATAATGAAAAGGACTTACAGAAATAATATGCAAAACATTCAGCTGATCTGCATTTGAATGCGTAAACTTGCCGACAAGTGGTCCCCATCGAGAAATTGTCTAATATGACACGATTCAACATTTAGTGAGCCCTTTAGCCAAACTCTACATATAAAACATCATACACGTTACTTACTTCTTTACTGGAAGGAACAGGTCGAGTAAGATCAATACGAGCCAATATTGCAGGAATAACTGTCTCGCGCAAATTTTGAAAGGTAATATCCATGGCCATTTTCAACGTGTTGAGTTCAAGCGCAGCAATGTCAACAGTGTGATCGTCAGAAAATGCACGTTCAAGAGTCATGGCCACTTCATTTTCCCAATCTGATGACCATTTTAATAAAAAAAAAGCAATCGCACGCAGTGGATTAAAGTAAATAGGCCATTATAAAACAAATTAGAGATATATGTTTTGCTAGAATGACTATGTACAAACTGCAATAACCTACCATTATCATCTTCACTTTCATCAATAGCACAATCTAGATCTGTCTCAATAGCCGACTCGGGTTCATAATCGGCGGCAGTATCTTTACCACATCCAGAATCTGTTCAAAACGTAATATTCAGCACAAAACATCAAAAATAAATCAATGGCCATTCAACATACCAAGATAGCCAGCTTCGATATTACGACAATCCATATCCTCGTCCTCATTATCTTCATTCATGTAGAAAAAGCCACGACTTTCAAGACCAAGATGCATGGTAATATCATCATGGTCATCGTCATTTTCATGACTTGCTTCTGTATCGCTAGCAGCAACCGAGGGACTCTCATTATCAGAAATCCCAAAATCGTCTTCTTTTTCCACAGAAATTTTACTGCGTGAAGGAATAATAACATCTGGTCCAAGTATAACCTATTACATTTAAACAAAATGTAAACACTCAATGTAAATACTGCAAAAATACTATCCAGCATAGATTTGCTCACATTGGTGCCAATCACGCACCCCCTTTCAAGCACAACACCAGATTTAAGCTCAACACCACTGGCAAGAATGCATTTTTCGGCTTGGCAGTTATCTCCAATAATCACATTGTCAAACACATAGACATCCTCCAATCGCACATTCTCACCTAATTGAAATGTAAAATATATTCAGTTTCCAAGTACGATTTAGTGCTACAAAAATCAAGCTCATTGACAAACTTACCAATTTTGCAGCCTTTTCCAATAACTGTGCCTTTGATTATGGTTTTCTCACCAACGCTACTGCCTGTCCCAATAATCACCTTTTCTTTAAGCTGAGCAGATCTGCAAACACATTGATTAGATCAATACAAGATTAAAAAATAAAAGTACACAAATCAATTCGTTCAAGTTTATAACATTAATAAATACAAAAAATAGGTTTACCTTGAAAGGCTCACATCAACAGCCTTGTAAATATAAGGGCGAGAGTGTCTGTACATCTGATGATGCGTGGGACAATTGTCAGGAACGTGAGGATAAGACCAACGAGACATGATATCATGACTGATTTAAACAATACGATTAAAAACTGCATCCATATGTACAGAAATGACCTTGAATGACAGTTTATCTAAAAACAAACCTGACAGAATGATACATCTGAGGAGTAGATACTCGAGCAGCATATCCAGTGCTTGAAAGATGGCAAAAGATGGTTTTTCCAAGAAGATCCGATTCAAGGATACCTTTTAAAAAGTCTTTGCGAATGTCTTGATAATCAAAGTTTTCAGTAAATAGCGCAAGCACCTAGTAGAAAAATTTAAAGAGTGAGACCAATCAAAATCAAAAGGCACAGGTAACCATTAGTTACATGTTTAAATGTCAAGTGAAAACTACCTCAATAGAACAAATATCGATCTGAGGATCAATAAGATCGTTTCGAACAGAAAGCTCAGAATGAGCCTTGAACAGACTTGGGTTCAGCTTAATTTTGCGCTTGACAGGGAATTTTCCAAATGTTTCATAATGCACACATTCAGCCGATTTGGGATCAATGACAAACAGCTCCTCCTCTCCCATTGCACTAAAAAAGTAAATCAGTAAAATATCAATATAGTTATAGAAAACGGGTATAAATAAAAACCATTACCGAGTAGGGTGGTGAGGGGAAGCCTGCTTTAACACCATGGTCATGATTGCATTTTTATCCTTGATTCTTCTTTGTTTATGTTCATTAATGGCCTCAATCAAATCAATATTCGAGACAGTATCTGCACTGACAAGAACAAAATCCGACTGTAAAACTTGTTTTGCATCTAGATCTCGTAATGCATCACCCATACTACGCAACTCCTGTGACACGATCATGGTGACTGAAGGAGTGACAGATTTGGCCCATCGTGAGTGTTTGATATAAGATTTGATTTGATCGGCATGACTGCAGCAAACAATAAATATCTCCTGAATGTTGGAAATAGCAAGAGATTCCAGAGTATATTCAATCATGGGCATGTTTGCCAAAGGCATCAGACACTAGACATAAACAACACTTGGCGTGATGAGTACTATGCATTTTTAACACATGGATACTGATGACAATAATTACCCTCGGAGTATTAAGAGTAAGAGGTCTGAATCTCTTGTTAAAGCTGTCGGCAACAACTACTGCTTGAAGAATCTAACGTTCAATGAATGCCATAAATAAAATATGCATTAGAATATGTGATCATCACTCGCAATACAGTATCAATGCGCAGTCTAACATCATCTGGAGCAAGACCCTTTGCACTAGCAGCAGACTTTGTTGGAGCCATTTCTATCAAATTTGATTATTGAATAATTGCCAATCCGAAAGATTAGCCATTGCTTGATAGGGTCTGTTCGGTATATGTATAGAGTCTGTCCACTAGTTTTAGAATCAAGTCGACACTCGGCCAGCTTCGCGATCAACCATTTCTGCCAAACTCACTTGATCGGCATGAAATATGCTCAGACACACTCTCGTTTATGTCGGTATTATTCTACAAACAGCTCCAAATTAAACAAAGTCGTTATATGTGGTGGTGGTATTGCTGGTCTTTCTGCAGCATGGTTCTTGAAACAGTACCGTCCTCATCTTGCTATCACCGTGATTGAACAGCATTCCCATCTAGGTGGATGGGTGCACTCTAATCGCCTGACTTCTGGATATGGACTGACTACCGAATTGACTCGTGTTCATCATAAGCCTATAAAGAAACCATATCCCGTCATCAAGCATCTGGTAGAGATTGGTCCTCGCACTCTGCGTCCTAGCGGCATTGTGGGTGCTTCTACTCTAGAAATGGTAATCTTTTGAATTGATTGTATGCAAAAAGTATTAAGCTTTACTGGTTGTTTAGCTTGGATTTTGACTGAGAATGGATTGCTCAATATTATTTGTGATTAGATTTATAGCCTTGGGCTTTCAGACACCATCATGACTGTATCCAAAACATCCCCTGCCGCTAAAAACAGATTCATTTACTATAAAAACGCTCTCAATCAGCTCCCAGCTACCTTATTTGGCATGCTGACTTCAAAGCAACCCATTCTTAAAGGCATGCTGAAATCCTTGATTAAAGAACCTTTTCAGCCCAAAAGATCTATCCAAAATACTCTAGATTCCGTCAACGATGAAACGATCGAGTCCTTTGTGGTGCGTCGTCTTGGTAAGGATGCTGCAGATCACCTCGTGTCTGCAATTGTTCATGGTATTTATGCAGGCGATATATCTAAATTGAGTGCTAGATCTACCATCAACTTTCTTTGGGAAATGGAGCAATCTTTTGGATCCATCACAGCAGGTATTCTTGCAAGTCTTGTTGGATTGAAGCCAAAAACAACCAGCACAGACCTCAACGCGGAAGCGTTTAAAACTATGCTTCAACAAAGCGATGCTAGAAAATTTATTGAAAGTGTACAGGCTACTGCAAGTATTTATTCGTTTCGTGGCGGAATGCAGACGTTAACTGATCGGCTGGTACATCGACTGAAAGAGTTGGGTGTTACGTTTTTGCAAGCAAAGTGCACTCATTTGAATCATAAACCCGATTGCATTCAAGTAAAAAAACGATACTTTATTTTGGATGGCTTGGTTTATTTATGATTGCTAACCATATTTAATGCATGTCAATGCATAGGTTCAACTGAATAATGGGCTGACATTGGATGCAGATCATGTTGTTAGCGCGGTATCATCACAAGTTCTTGCTCAACTGCTTTTGCCATCAGATATGACCGATATAATGACATACAACCCGTCTGTCACAGTAGGTGTAGTAAATCTCGTATACAAAGGAGCAGATGCTCTTCCGGTACAAGGATTTGGATATCTTGTACCAAGAAGTGAAACAGCAAATACGGATATTATTGGTTGTATCTTTGATTCAAGCGCGTTGCCTGATCAAGACTCTCCGCAAGACTTTACTCGTCTTACTGTAATGATGGGCGGACACATGTTTGCCAAAAAGTTTGGATTTGCTCCAAATGATAAAGAAAATGCCGATCTAGTATCTGGGAATCAACTGAGTCGCAAGCTGGAAAAGATTGCTGTGGAAACAGTGCAAGCTCATTTAAATATTCCTGTAGAGAAACTAGATGCTGTCAAAGCAGTTGTGTTGAAAGAGTGTATTCCACAGTACCAAGTGGGTCATGCAGACCGTGTTGCTCGATTGATAAAATACATGGAATCTGACTATTCTGGTCGAATCTCACTCTGTGGGTCATCCTACTATGGTGTTGGAGTGAATGACTGCGTGCATGGATCTCGCATGGCAGTGAGTCGATTGCTTGAATTGAATACTGAATAAACACTGTTGGTGTATGTAGCCTGTGAGGGTAACCATATTATTCATCGCAGTTCCAATAGACTGCATTGGAATGGATAGCGATATGCATCAAACTATTGATTCAAGTTTTTACAAAAACGAGGTTTCATCCAATCCAACAATCCACTATTCACACATGGCAGATCTGATTCGTCCATCTACTCGACATACATATGTTGCCGACATATCTATGAGCGATGATCCCAAATGGACAATACAGCCCAATCTCATGTCCATTTTAACAGAAGAGTTCACTCAAGAGTCGGATTCTGGTGACCATACTGCCATGTTAGAGAATATTCAAATAACAAGTCCGTCACCAGTAGTCATTGCTCTAAACCCACAATTACAGTCAGCTTCCTCACTGCAGATACACATTACATTCAAAAAACCCGTTTGTCTTGAATGGGTTCAAATTATGCAGTCAGCATCTCGTATTCAAGAGTTGTATCTAGATGGCCTGTACCAATGCACTGCTAAAGCAGAATTACTGTAAGTGTAAATCATACATCTGGCTGTCTTGCTTTTACCTATTTGAAGCAGTTGCTGATTGGAGAAATATATATTGACAAAACATTGATCGTTATAATAATAGGAGTGACAGTGATGACGAAGAGTCAAACAGTCGGAATGATCACTGGTACTTGCTATCCATTGAGAATTTAGATAAAGAGATATCGACGTGCACCATCAAAGTAAGTTGGGGTTTTTCTTGTATTCCCATCTGAGTCCTTGGTTGGATACATTTGTTTCAATGCTAATAGTTTAGTTTTTGGGATTAAATCCCACGACCGAGTTTTGTATTGCTAGCATTGTTGTCGGAGGCTCGCTATCCAGTAACTATACCGCACGATCCATATACACGTCCATGATAGAGCATCAACCAAAAATACAATCAGTTGTGAATCCTGATCAGGATTCTGTTCAAGGTACACAGTCAGTCCAGCACTCTCCCGATAGTGGAGATATGAACAAGAGAACAAATACTGAAAACTCGCTAATCTTGTTGGAGCGAAAAATGGATGAAATGTCACAACGACTGGATGCAAGAATGGAGAGAATGGAGAAAATATTACAATTACTGTTGCAAAAAAGTGCATGCTTTGATATGTACAATACAAAATAATAAATGCTTATTCATTCTATCCTTGACCATAGCTTTCAATACTAATATATCTACAGACGTATTCACGTAAAATAAAACATCTGTATTTCAGCAACTGCTTCTTGAGCATTCTCAATTCTTTTTTCAGATACAGTATTCATCATATGATGCATACAATCAGACTATAATTTTAAACTGAGATTGTTTTTATTCAATATAACCATACATTTTACAACCACCAGATTCATTCATTGCAAACCAGATATTGGGTTTGACGGTTGTCATTCCACAAACTCATGATTGTAGTTTAAACTACCAAATACGTTCGCGTTCTAGTTCACAATAACGATTGCACATTTCAAGCAACAGTTGTCCTCATGCCAATCACTAGGAAATCAGTCAACTTTAGTAAGTTCAAAGGACAGTGTTCAGTAAATTCAGTGGAAATTATCATGCCATGAGATTGATCCTGTATTTTAGCACTTTACATTTTACGTGAATACGACAGTAAATCACTGGCTGTTACTAGTTAAATCTACTATCAAGAAATGAACTTCTTTGTGCTGCATGAGGAGTTGCTTTTATGGCAAGAAGTATCTACAGTTTCTACGAATTCCTTTGACTACGAGGTTCCTGTTCCTGCTCTTTCTTTGGATGAAACCGAGCACATATTAGACGGTAGCCATCATCGCCACTAGAAACTGTCATTGTCATTGATCATTTGATATTTATCTATTTCAATATAGAATTAGTTGTGTTGCTTCAAGATGATCCAAGTTCATTGCTGCAGCCTCGTCCGTTTGATACCTGCAAAAGCTACATCAAGTAACTACTATTGCTTTACAGTATATATCCCGGTGTTCTGCTATTCGACCTTTTGTTAACCATGTCTAATATAGACACATGCGCTGCTTGACTCCTGCTTCTGCCGACAAGTTTTCAGATATTCTTATTTCTGGTATGTGTACAAAGGACTGCAGGTTTGCGTGGATTGGCAATTCGGACAAATTTGGAGTATTCACCCTTATAAACTATTCATTTAAATGATTCAACAGCATTCGGTCAAGCCATTGCATCAATTACACTGGATTTGGCAGAAAACGCAAGTCATAACTTTGAGGCTGATCGTATACTAGCCGAAAAGTTTGCCTTTCTGCTGGTATCTTGGATTCAGACTGCTACTGCTATATCCAAAGAAGAAACTACTCAGACATCCACTACAGTTAAATCTTTAAAATCAAAGGTAAAATGGTACAAATTGAATCTATAAATACACCAAATCTACTGTTGTGGAAGTGGCAGTATAGACTAAGTTGACCATGCACTCACCCATCACAATTATTATAGTCAAAATTGTCTTCTCTTGCTCAAGACAATCAGCAATGGGATTGGATTGGCCAACGTGAGCGTATTATCACTCATTTGGAGCATTTGGTAGAGCTTGAACTAGATCGACTGATATTAGCCACATCTGAGCGCGATGTTTTGACCAGGTAAAACACTGCATTCAAACAAGACATTTACAAAAAATTGGTAAACGCATACATAATATTGACGGAACTCTACTAAACAACAATACCTATAGCATGATTTGCAAATCAATCAGTCTTATTTTGGAAAGTCCAGAAGTTTTGAAAAGAGAGCCAGTTTGCATTGCGTTGATTGATACGCTATGCATTATTGCTACAAGATACGAAACCCCTGCACAGTTTGGTGTGTGCCTTTTGATTGTATATTTTTCAATAGTTTAATGCACTGTTCAAAAAACTAAAGTCTGCATTGTTTACAGGTGGAGTCAGATCTCGAATCGAAGATTTTTTGAGAGAAGACAATTTGGCAGATTTTGTTGCCAATCTGTTGAATTCCATGATTGCCAATCATAATAACGCCGCTTTTGTTGAAATCATTTTAAAGTATCGATTGATGGTTGATTTTGCTGCATAGGTCTTCATTTATTCATTCTGTAGTTTTTAATTCGTCTTACTGGTTGATTCATCAGGGATATTGCAGATCGTCATTTTACTGAAAAGGATTTAAAAGCTGCCAAAACCATATCTAAACTGCTAGTAAAATTTTCTGAGATGCGACCAAAGGAATTTCTTAAATCAATGGCATTTATGCAATGCCAATTTGACTCGGAGGTAAATATAGTTTTTAGTTTAATTTTTAATTTCAATTGATACTCATTGTATGAATGACAACGGTAGATTTATGCGATTCGTTGTGCCATGATTGAAGTTGTTGGAAACTTGATTCATCTTCATCTTGTCAATGATACATCCGAGTCTGCTGCCAAATCCTTGCATAGTTACTACGATATTTTAGAAGAACGACTTCGTGATGTTAATTACTATGTTCGCGCAAAGGTGCTTCAAGTGATTATGAAACTTAGCGAGTAGGTTGATTTGATTGAGATTTTTTGGGTCGAGTATTGCTAAAACTTGTGCTAATTATTATGGTTTCATTTCATCTTTGCAACCAATTGTTGAATTTCATTCAATTTAAATGATTATAAACAGACGTCGACAAGATGCTCCTGCTGTGACTGATATTCCTCTGGACACTCGCCATCAACTTGTTGCCTTGACTATTAATCGTTTGCAGGACAAGGCTAGCATTGTTCGCAAAAATGCCATCAAACTTTTGGCGCATTTTATTGAAACATCTCCTTTTATTGCTATTGAGGAGGATCAGGGACGATTATCTTTAAAGTATTTTGAAACTCACAAGGCCGATTTGTTAAGAGTTATGGAAGTAAGTAATGTGATTTTCCGACTAGTTAGTAGATTGAAACCAGAGCATTAGTTTTTAATTCATGGGCTTTTTATACTTGATAAACTTGCTAGTCCAAGTATCCTACTGAAGTTTTGGAAATGCTTATTCATGGAACAAACACTACTATAGAGGAAGCCACAAAGGGCAATGCAAATGATGACGTGTCCATGGATGCCAGTGCCTCGGAATCTGATACAGATGCAATGACCATTGTCAATGAAGCCGATGCCGATACGACTGCACAAGACAGTAGCAATTCAAATGCAGTAAATGCTATTGATCCTATCCAACTCAATGACATTGAACTTCAACGTCTTCGTGTCCTTCTCAAATACTATGACGATGGTATCCAATTCATTAATCAAATCAATGGCGCTGTTTCACTCCTTTGCGATCTTCTTTCATCCAGTATTAAAACTGAGGTTATCGAAACTATGCGGTTTTTTGTAGTTGCATTTCGATTTGAGATGGAATCTTCTTGGGAAGGTGTGCGGCGTATGGTGCACAAGATTTGGGATAAAGACACAACGGATAACGAATCAAGCGGAATTAGAGAGCATGTTATTCGATGCTACGAGTCACTATTTTTGGATCCACCTGAAGGTCCACGAGCAGTTGAAGATGTTATTGCAGATAATCTAGTGGCCTTGACACAAAGAATGAATTTGGCAGAGCTAACTTCGCTTGAGCAGTTGATTTCTACCATGGTGCAAACGGACCGATTCAATATGAAGGCTGTAAATTTACTTTGGTCGATTTTTTGCAAGTATTTATTGTATCTGTGTTTAAACAGCATTTTGGTTTGTTGCTAATTTACTACACAATTATTTTTGATTGCTGTATTTGTGGAATTTGATTTGCCAATGTATAGGTTCAAAGCACGCAAACGTGCCCATTGCAAAACGTCAAGGTGCAGTCATGATTTTAGGTATGATTGGCAAATCACGCAAGGATATTCTATTGCAAAACATTGATCGATTAGTACGAAATGGGTTGGGAGAGGGCGATAAGATCAGCTTGGTTCTTTCCCGACATACCTGTCTTACTCTCCAACATGCAGCGGCAAATAAGCGCCAAAAAGGTGAGTCGAGTATTATTTATTGGTGTTGAGTGTGTGGTTCCACTGGTAAGGTTTCGCTTACAAGTAACATGCCTGTTATGTACATGATGCATTCTAGGTTCAATAGCAACGCGATTTGACCGTTTAAATGTAGATCATGCCATGTTTCAACGTCTTTCGACTATTATTTTAACACCTACAATGTCCCTGGATTGGTTTGGATTCTGCGAACAAGCTATTAACACCATCTACGCGCTTGCCGAGCAGCCTGATATGATTGTTGGATCTCTGGTCAAACAGCTTGCCTGTCGTGTTTTTGGTTCAATGAATACAGCCACAAGCGTGCCTTCTATTTCTACTGATATTATGTCCGAACTTTCGAATGCTATATCATCCAAACTTGTTATAGGCGAAACACAATCCAACCCACCAACTACTGCAACAACCAATTCAATACATCTTGCTCAGCTGTGCTTTCTGGTTGGTCATGTAGCAATCAAGCAAATTGTGCATTTAGAAATCATTGAAAATGAATGGAAACGTCGGTGTCATTCCGTTAAAAACAATCAAACACCAAGCAAGCATGGCGCTACAAGCGATTTGGAGCAAACAACTGGCACTGTGGAAGATGAATTCACTGATCGAGTCATCTATGTTCGTGAGCATGAATTGTTATTTGGACCCAAGTCGCTTTTGGGTGTATTTGGACCCCTTTTAACTCATATATGTTTAAATAATCGCACCTTTCAGGTTAGTTTATTGGCAGTTTGAATTATGGATTTTTTAATGTTTTTGAATATAACTAATTTGTTGAAATGGAATTGATTTCGAGTAGAATCCAACACTGCAAATCATGTCTACTCTTGCATTGTGCAAATTCATGTGTGTGAGTTCTCAATTTTGCGAGTCACATCTTCCACTTTTATTTACAATTCTCGAACGTAGCGACAACCCCACCATTCGCAGCAACACTCTCATCAGTTTAGGAGACATGACTATTTCCTTCAATTTCCTTATTGATCAAAGCATTGCTCATCTTTATCAACGCCTTACAGACTCAGATCTCTCTGTGCGCAAAAACACACTCATGGTTCTTACATTTTTGATTCTTAATGGAATGATTAAAGTCAAGGGGCAGATATTTGAAATGGCCAAGTGTCTTGAAGACAAAGATAAACGCATTAGCGACTTGGCCAAACTGTTTTTTACAGAGTTGTCGACAAAAGACAACGCTATTTATAACAATTTGCCGGATATGATTTCTAATCTTGAATGTGTTGAAGAAGACAAGTATCGTAGAATTATGAAATTTCTGTTCGAGTTTATCAAACAGGTACAAACATACAACTGCTGGCTTCCAATTGATTGTAAAACAAATACTCATCCAATGCTTTTGTAAAATGCAACCCATGATAAACAGGATAGGCAATCTGAGAGTATTATCGATAAACTTTGTGCACGGTTTTGCAATGCCAACACTGAACGACAATGGCAAGACATTGCGTTTTGTTTGTCGCTCATTTCGTTCTCTACAGAAAAAAGTTTAAAGAAACTTGTGGATGCGCTACCAATGTATCAAGATAAACTTCACCCAGAAAAAGTATACAAATACTTTACAGATATTATCAAAAAGGTGAGCTGTGTTATAGTGAGGATAATTTTTATTGGCGAGTCTTTATTGATCCATATCCATTCTATCCAACCTGATTCATGGCACAGGTTAAAAAAATTCCAGGAAAACCCGAACTAAAGCAGATGGTTGATGAATATGAAAAAACCCTTCAAGAACTGCATGTCAAGTGTGTTGAGAATCACGAAGCAGTTATTAAAGCCGAACAAGATAAAAAGATTACATCTCATTTACCAAAGGCAATGGTGATCAACAAGCAGTTTAATCGGCGTGATGAGCTGGAGCATTCATCTGATGAGGTGGGCTTTATAAGACTTTAACAACCTATTAGCGGATGTTGAAATGTGGCTGATAGATGTTTTGCATACTAATTCACTGACTATTTTTCATTTGTTGCAATGAAAGGAGGACAAATCTGCTGAACCTGAAGTCCAAAAGGAACTTGAGGAAAACGACAAAATTGAAAACAGCGATTCTGAGACTGAAACAGTTGTGTTTGACGCTTTTCCAAAACGAACACGTAGTGTTGTATCCAAACTGCCCAAACACATTGGTGGTTCTCCCGTCACTCGCCGTCAGATCAATGCCATGGGAGACAACTAATGATAAGACTGAAACTGAGGGGAGAGATATTTTCCTATTTTACAAAAACTTGCTACCACCAAATTGCATATATCAAATACAACAGACTCTGTTTGCAAATAAGCATTTGTGGTTTCAAGTAGCCAATCTATCCAGCCATTGGTGGAGTAACTGATTGCATTGTATTGCTTGACTTTTAAACTGATATGAAACAATTAAATCCAGTTTGCTTTGACTTTAACAGATATATTATCACACAAGGACTAATTGTAATGTTGCTCGTATGTAATTGTTTTAAATAAGTGGCAAATTTCGAATCACATTGATGAAAACATAAGACGATCGGGATATTCTGTTTGTAAAATGGATTTTACAAACTCGTACTTTTTCGTGTCACTGGTCTAGTAAAAACGAATTGGGTAGTATGGAATTTAGTCGAGCATTTAAAACAGATAGAGTTGCATGTATCAAGCATAGACTCGACTTACATCACGAGTGAGTATAAAAGAGTAGATTAAGGCATATTCGCGATCTGTAAGACTGCTATCAGCAACCATTTGAGCAAACTGATATTCATGTAAATAGCTTGGGGCTAGATCTGTACCATATACAACCGATATGGCTTCCCCGTCTACTTTTGAATCCTTTTCAATTGTTATATTGCGTGGTGATGAATCTGCCCAGTCAAGCACAGTCAAATTAGCCAGTTTTGATGCAAAACGCAAATGATACCACAGCGACTCGTGGCCACTACACAAAAAAATCAACTGGTGAAGCAGATCCATTTCTCGTGCAAGCACCTTGGATATACAGTCACGATTTGTATCAAGTCCAGTCAAGCCGAGAATAAGCCATTGTCTATAGTTCCATCCAGAGTGGTCAGACACATGTGCTTTACACCAGGATCTAGATAGATCAAGTTCTTGCAGGATCTAAGTATAAACATGGTTTAAATGAGTAGTCTGTATGATTTAGTATGCATGTCTTTGATTCAAATAAAACTATAATGGTAAGATACTTGCGTTGTCTTTGCTAGACAAGTTAAAAGTCTTCATTCGGTATGTCCACGCTGGATAATTTCTTTTATAAGAGTCGGCAGATTTTTCACAAATAGAGATATCCAACATGCGTAGATCAGCAATACAAGATTCTTTCAATTGCGATCTAATCCAATATCTATAAAAATAAGCTTAAATCAGCCGCATAGTATATTTCTATGATAATGCCAACTAGAAATTTACAATCACCATGTAATGAAAATACCTATGCACCCATATAGTCGAAGATTTTGGATGTTTTGATAGCAAAAGAGATGTAAAATGAAATTCATCCATTGCATCAATTTGTCCAAGTGAAATGAGATTTTTTCTAAACATATGGTTGATTCACAGTTAATCAGGTGTGAATAGGAATACAATTTTACTGATGTGCTTTAAAAGATTATTCTCGGCTATAGAATACTGCCAAAGCATAATTGCCAATATACAAACCTTGCGTTCCAAGCTGTATAGCATTCTGGGTTAACAAGCACCAGTGCTTGGGATGTGTTTGCAATCGTGACTGTCCATGCATTTAAATCGGATTGAGCCGAGTTTATGCCAAGATCGTTCCCATCCTGTTCAATCTGAGATCTAGCCATCAATGTCAAGTCTGTGAATGATTTCCAAGCGTATTTATAAATGGGACTCAATGCAGATACTGAGATGGCAAGGTTTCCATCAACAACCAAGAAACTTTCTGGAGAAGCACTGGTTTCAACCGAGGCTGCTGATGGTTTATGAGCATTGATGGATCCTAATATAGCACTTTGTATATCTCTGACAAATTCAACGCATCTTGTAATGTATTGTTGGGTTTAAAATACAATTGATTTAGAATTCTTGAACAAGTATACATGAATCCAGAGAGAATAGTAGATTGAATGCATGGTACAGTCAAGAGTAACCGCCAACCTTGGTTTTTGCAAGAGGACTTGTGTGCTGCTGTGATGGCCATCCAGAATTAATGAAAGTTGACGAAACAACTGCTTTCCAGAACAAACCTGCTCTTGCATATTATTTTTAGGATGCAATATGAACATATACTGCCAAGCGAATGGCAAGACGACAATGAAAACTAGTGAATATTAAACCCAGGAATGTTTTATAAAAACCAATCTTTTGATGCCCAAGTTTGGATATGCATATCAGAATCAACACGTTATATCCATAATAGACTGCCATATTCACGTAAAATGAAGCATTGAACAAGTGTCAAATATATGATAAACAGCCAGTTTCCACCCAATTCACCAGACATTGTTTTATTAAACTCTTTAGTTTACTTGTCTTTATACTCATTTTTGTATAAATTAGTCGAATGTTTACATTGCAGTTTCAGTCAATCCCAGACTTGCTTAGTCTTCAACTCTCCAATCGCCCAAACATTGAGCGATTGGTATGAAAACAATTGTTGCATTTATGAAATGTACGAATTTGCTCTAAACTAGAACACAACCGTATTTGTAGGGTTTTAAGATACAAGAAAAATAAATTTGTAGAATGACAACCGTCAAACCCAATATGTGGATTGCAACGGATAAGTCTTGTGATTGTTAGAATGCATGGCTATGCAAAAGATGATCAGTTTAAAACTATTTTGATTTTATATGAACAATATTGTGTATATTCAAATAGTCAACAACAACTATTGTCTATTCCAAGACAATCACTGCAAAATCAATCCATTTTACATGAATACAGCTGTAGAAAATAATATTTGTCGTGCATATTGAAGATTAGATGGCGGGAATGAGTACAGCAACCCTTATTTCTTGATAGATTATTAGATCAAGCCGTAAATTCAAAGTTGCCATTTTATATCAAAACTGTTTGCTGGAGCTGCTTTTGGTTTTGAACTATTGTATTCACATTTAAATATTCGTCTGTAGCATCATCATGCCATTCACTCAACTTCAATCAGCCTCAAATCCAACCGAAGTGGTCATTGGTATTAATACTGAAACTGCACCCACTAGTGGCAGCAATGATGAGAGTAACTTGCATAAGCTAGTCCCTCAATATTTGCAGCAGCAGTCTCCACACTTTCATCAATACCAGTTCCAGCAACAGCAGTATCAGCAGCTAATGCCATTTGATGTGAGTATGCTTTCAACTTTATTCGAGTAAAAATGTGTTTCTTTTGGTCTTGATGCTCGGCTTATTTACAGCTGTATTCACGTAGAATATAACTTGTATTGATCTTGCAGTGATTGTCTTGGAATAGGCAATAGTTTTTGTTGACTATTTGAATATACACTCTCAACTCTTAAAACACAGCATCCATCATATGATGCATACAATCAGATTATAGTTTTAAACTGATCATCTTTTGCATAACTATACATTCCAACAATCACAAGATTCATTCATTGTAATCCACATATTGGGTTTGACGGTTGTCATTCTATAAATTTATTTTTCTTGTATCTTAAAACCCTACAAATACGGTTGTGTTCTAGTTTAGAGCAAATTCGTACATTTCATAAATGCAACAATTGTTTTCATACCAATCGCTCAATGTTTGGGCGATTGGAGAGTTGAAGACTAAGCAAGTCTGGGATTGACTGAAACTGCAATGTAAACACTGCTTTGAGCATTCAATCAATTCATAGTGTTTTATTTTGCCCGAATACCGCTATAATTCATCATGTATAGGATGTGGATTTATGATATCAAATACACCGCAACTATTACAATTTTGTTTATTCTCATTCACTTTTTAATCAAATCCATTGATTATTATAAATCAATGGGTTTGCTTAGCTACATTTTAACCAATTAGAGACTTGATCCAGTTTGGTTACATAATACTGATAGTGCAACTACCCGTGTAATCGATTGGTATCATAGTCCGCCTCGCTGCTCTAATCATGTGATTATTGCATGAGATATTTTATATATAGTTTGCGGCCCGAGTCTCTATTAGGACTTTTAGGGTTGTAGAGATAATAGAATACGTCATCGATGTGTTTTGTCTGCTATTTTTTCTTGTCTTGAATATCATTAGTTTTAGTGGATATATTCTAATGTTTAAATAATCATGCTAATTTAATTCATTTTAGGCTCTTTTGATCTCACCAGCCATGACTCCCATAACCCATTTTGGCCACATGTCTATTTCTGGATCAAGTAGTAATGATGTCTTTCATGGATCTGCTGCAACCACAGATGGTTTGTTTTCTCCCATAACTTCTCCGGCTCTCAAGACTAATATTCAGAGCATGAATGACTTCAACTCTCCTAATATTATTAATCACCCCAACAACTTCACACTATCCACGCCCATCTCTGATGTCTGTTCCGATAATATTCATGCTCAGACTCCCTTGAATGTTTTCCATTATAATACTTCTGTTGGTGCTTCTGCAACACCTGGTCGCGTTGCATCTCCATTCCTGTCACCAACAGCTGGAATGGCCTTGACCATGCTTCCACCTGCAGTCTTACCCACTTCTGATTCCATATCTGCATCCCATGATGTATCTTCTATGCATGACTATCATAATCTTCATTTGCTGCAACTTCAGCAACAGCAACAGAGTCAATTCAATGCAGAACGAAAAAGCACTCCTTTGGCCGACGATCTACAGCCGTTATCTACTCCAGGAATTTCGGGTGCTCCTAAAATCGAGCGCACACAATCTTCTCAATCATGGCGCCGTAATCAGTACTCTCCTTATATGTTTCCACGCAAATCCGTTGCACAGTCTCCGCTTTCCACGGGTACAAATGTGCTGCATCGAGGATCTATTTCTTCTGCAGATAATCTTAATACCCCACAATTAGAACCAATACAGTATGCATACGCTCCGTCTGATATATTTTCTTCATCAAACATGGCTATACCTTCTCCTTTGGCTGTAGGTTCAGACTCTTTTGTTTCCGCTACCAATCTACAACAGCTCATTGATTTTCACGCATCTCGGATCAGTAGTCCCATATCTATGCAACCTACACATCCTCAGTCCACTTTTAAACCTCCATCGCGATCTTTTTCCACATCCGACTCGATGAAAACCCAAGCTGTAGATCTTTCTAAATCCAATCCACAGTTTGATGCTTTTTTAACACCTACTGATATGACGCCTTCTGCTGTTATGGATACATCACAACACCATTTTTCTCTTTCAGACATCATACAGCATGATTCTGGAGAAACCATGCATGCATCGTCAAATGTTGCACGTATTACTCCAGCACAGTTGATGGATATACAGCAGCAGAAACAACAGCGTCAAGCATCGCTTTCTATTAAAACAATGCCATTGAAGGAAGATTCTGTAGGTATTCCGGCATTAGGTCAAATGGATCCCGCAACGATGGCTCTTTTGAAATTCCCAGATACCATTGTACCAATAGCCCAATTTAAATTTCAGAAATCTCTTCCATCATCGCCACAATCTTATTCACAAGCAGATCTTCATTCTAGACCATTGTCACACCAATCTAAAAAGCAACTTCCCTTGGTTTTTCCCAAACCCTCCCCAGCGCTAAAACCTTTACTCCCAAACAATGGTTCTCTGACTCATGAGGATGCTGCATTGAAGCTAGCCGAAAAAAGTAACTATCAGAATATTCTTGAAGGAAATAGCGAGTTGAGTTTATTTGCATTTTGCTGTCAATACATTGTCTTGTCCGATTTTAATAATTAGCTATATATGTGGATATGTATTCTAACGGTCTTGACTTTGTTTTGTAGAAAACTTGGACTGTGTTTTTCTGCCGAGATCACATCTAGTGTAGAGGTGCGCAAATCTACCCACAAGCAAGCCGAACAACTCCGTCGAGACACTCTTAAATCATGCTTTGACGAGATTCGCAGTTTACTGCCTCCTATTGCAGAAAAACTACCATCTAGAGTAGTTGTCATTCGTGCAGGTTTGTTATTGACTTTGATTCATGTTGTTACTTGATTTTTGCTGCCTAGTTGATTGACCGATTTATATTATAGCACATGATTACATCACGACACTTCACGAAGAATCCAAAACTCAAAAGTTGGAGATTGAGAGTCTCAAGGCTCGCATTAAACAGCTTGAGAATGGCTTGAGTGATGGCTCGTCGCATATGTCCCAAGCATCTCCGTTGTTCAAATACATTCAGTACCCCGAAAGCCAAGTTGAAAATTCTGAAAAGTCCGTTATTCACAGCCCATATAAAGACATGGACAACTAAATTTATTCTTTGCAGCCATATTCACGTAAAATAGAGCATTTATCTTGCAGTCATTGTTTATTCTGGTTGGAAATAGACAATCGTTAACTATTCGTTGTGTTTTCCTATTAGAAATTGATTTGAATAAATATTTTCAGTTCCTTAGTGTTTGGAATTGCTTGACAAACAAACCCATCCTTTATCATACTCGAGTCATTTTCTGCAAAGTTTAAAATGGACAATATAGAATTACAATTCTCGCGCCGTTTGTTGAATGATTGATCAACCATGTTTGAGTAGACAGTTGCTTTTAGGGTAAAATACTACTAGAATAACATGCGTGTTTGGAAATGTTGCATGCCATTGTTTAGAAAATCGAGATATTGTAGCCTTGACAATTCCCTTGATTAATCTCCAAACACACCGACCATCCTATCAAGCACACAATCTTGACATTATTGGTCGAGACATTTGCACTTGCAACGTCTCGTTGTCCAAGTGTTGATGGCTACGGAGTTGTCAATCATCAATAATTTGATGTGTTTTCATGACAATATAAGATTCTCGGAGATTTATACGTAAAATGAAATATTTGAATGCTAAAACCAGAAACTGTTTTTAAATGGATTCAAAGGCACGATATTCAGTGAATTGTGTGGAAATTATCATTCCATGAGATTGGCTGCTTATTATGTATTTTATCATCCTTGATTAGTGCTCCATTTTACGTGAATACGTCAATGGAAGCCACATCTACTTCAAAACTACCTTCATCGCAACCACTACCTGCAAAAAGACCAACGATTTTCCCCGTAAACTGTCCAGAGAAATACGGTCAACTGCCAGTCAACTCTTTCTATCGAGAATCAACCCATCTGCAGTCGTAGTGAACCCGACTGCCAGTTCTACAGTTCCTTCGCCTACTATACCCAGCATTAGCTTAGATGCAGCATCTGCAAACAGTGGATACAGTTCGTCTGCACTGTTGATGGATACATTCAAACTTGGTACAGGCATTACTCTTTCTAGAACCTCGACAGATCCAGATACACCATCGTCCACTCATAGTCTACGCACCCGCAATATGGGCAGTAGTGGAACAACCAATGCTGGGTTTACACTATCGGCTCCTACATCGCAGCATACGACATTGTTGCGTGGTGTGTCCAATGCATCGTCATGGACTTCTATGGACTCGGCCGTACGTGATGCCCATTTAGCTGGAGTGGAAAATGTCATGCAACTATGGCAAAACATTTTTGATAGAACTCTGCCCTTGTTTAGCGATCAGGGAATACGAGGATCTGTTGAGGAGATCAACGTCTTGGTAATGTATGTACTATGGATTCCATGTTTATCGAGTTGGAGAAATGCAATGCATTTGTATGCTGTCGATCCCAAATTATTGAATGCAAATCTTGAACATATTCAAATCTGATTTTTAGGAAATGGATTAAACTTGCTCCCAATACTCAAACCATTCAAGACAATTTAAATACTTTGCTCAAAACTGGCATGACAGCCATCACTAGCAAAGTAAGCGCTTCTTCCAACGAAGCTCTTGCAAATAGACTGGCCGAGACTTGGATTAGATTTTATGGAACTGTGTTGCCCCTGTTTCAGGGAATCTTTCTTCCTATACGACTGTCTTTTGATCTGACAACACTGAATCCCAATACCAATGAAATGGAGCCAGTTGATGTCAGAAAAATGGCCCTTACTTCGTTTCGTAACTATGTTGTATGGCCGAACCGATCTCGATTGCATGGTGAGTACATTTGATACTGCATTGAGCATTATGACGATTAGATTTGTACTCGACATGATTCTGATAAAAATAGGTTGATTAGTACATGTAAATCATTCAAATCAGATTCTAAACAATTGATATTCTGTTGGAATGCATTTCATCCTATAGATGTACTGCTTAAACGGTTTTCTTCAGTCGAGCACAGTATTATGGGTACAGATGTAATTGCTAGATTGACTCAGATGCTTCTATTGCTTAATTCACTGTTGTTGAATGACGATAAACACAAGGCAGTGTGTGATTTGCTGTGTGTTCTACGACAGCAGGTAAGAAAGGGATCATCGATAACATCAGGTTGATAAAGACTAGATTGTCCATTATCTTCCAAATGATTGCAGTTAGAAACGCGAAAACTAGACAGCGTGATGTCCACATCTTGCAAACTCCAAACTATTCCATTTAACCCACGAAATAGTACCAAGTTACCACATCTCTGCATACAATATATCAATAAACGTAACTATATTGACTTTAAATGATGTGTATTTAAATCAAATTCAACCATGCTCCTCCAAAACTTCCCAAATAGTCTTGTCTCCAAAGCAATAAACATACAAACGCTTGTTGATTTGATTAAGCTCACAGATGCAAACGCCATTATCGTTTTATAGTCTTGATACTGACTCGTAGATATCACTAATAAGATATAAAACAAAAGAGTGGGAATGGATGAATGTAGCTCCTAATCATCTTGGTCGCCAAGAACATCAAATACATTCTTTACTGAAAGCGGGGCTGATTTTTCTTGCTGGATAGGACCACGACTAGCAGATGCACCTGAATGTGGACGCCCAGAACGGCCTTCGCTTTTTTTAATAGGCAATGAGCTAGACTCGGCAGTCGTGTCAACAGATGAGCCTTGATGACGAGTCTTGTGCTCACCCATGCTTGTTTTTGTCTTTGCTTTAAACTCGGTAGCAGGTGAGATTGTGGTATCCGTCTTCTTTCGCCAGTTGGTAGGCAGTTCAGCAGCTACATCTATCTTTTTCTTTTCAGCAGTAGCCTTCCTAGTCTCTGATTCCTTAGCAGCACGATCTTGTTCAATTTTGCGAGCTGCATCGGCTTTTTCGCGAGCCTGTGCTTCTTGCTTAAGCTTTTCCTCTTCAGCCGCCTTTTTCTCAGCAGCCTCTTCTTCCTCACGAGCTTTACGACGTTCTTCAAGTTGTCGTTGAATTTCCGCCTCATCGCGAGGTTTGGCCGCACCAAAAGGATTTGCTGATGGCTTTTTTGGAGCAGATGGCAATTCCTTGGTAGCTGTATCACCAGAATCAGAAGCTGTGCGAGAAGGTTCAAACTTACGACGATTCATGGATGAACCAGTAGGTAATGGAGCTTGATAAAAACATTAATAATTTTAAACAATTGAGTTGGTTAAAACCTTATGCCACAATCAACAAAATTCTAACCTGGAGCAGTGGTACTGCTTCTCCATCCTGTGGAAGCAACGCGAGAAGAAAAATCACTGTCTTGAGTAGATCGTCCGTAGCTTGAACGACCATCGTTATTACGCCCACGATCACCACTAAATCCATACGATTGACTTACAGGCTCAGCAGCACGCATAGATGTACGCCAATTATTTCCAAACTTTTCTTCCTCTATAGCGGTAGATCGTTTGCCTAAAAATAAATCCAATATTTATAAAGTCATTAATCAACAATGCTGGAATTACTTTTAAACCACATCAAGAGGCACTCCTATATAGCATTTACCATCTTCGACCACTCGAATGCGAACAGGCCTATTCATAAACTGCTCGCCGCTCATTTTCAAAGCAGCAACAATTGATTGATGATCTTCTAATTCAACATAACCAAATCCACGACTTTGACCATTTTCACCCATTGGAAGACGTATGCTTTTGATCTAAATATACAAAGTACATTCATGTTAGTTTTAAATTATTTAATGGTTTGCCAAGCAACTCAAAACTATGTTAAACTGACCCTAATTTCATCTCCAAAAAACATGGAAATGTCACGCTCTGAGACATCATAGCTCAAGTTTCCCATATTGACGGTAAAGGGTGGTTTAGTAGGAATAGGAAGCTCTGGACGGCTGTTACCATAGCGATCTAAAAGATCAATAACCAAATCGTGATGATATAGTCTGTAAATATAAAAGGGCTAAGCCGCGTAGCATTTGACTGAAAGCACACATGAGCGAATTACCTTCACGAGATTCATAGCCACGAGAGGGATCTATCCGATTAAAGTACAATGAATTAGTGCAAGTATAGAAAAGAATCACACATTTCAAACTGCTTGTCAAGTAAATTCTTTCAACCTACATTCATTTCCATTGCTTCCAGTTGCAACAGCAGCCGCTAATATCTCCAATTGTTATTTTGAAATGGGTTTCGTTCAATTAGGTATAGTGTAAATATCAACAGATTAAATCAGTAAACGTTAGTATTTTCAAATCTAGTAAAGCAGAATAGGCCAGATCAGCACAAGCTGTCTCGTTTAACCCAAATATCAGCAACATATAAAGTGTCAACGGGATAGTAAATAGCAGTAATGAAATTATCAATAGCATGCAAAACGATCAAAAAAACCAGACAGTTTTAATGAATTTTTGAATCAACCAAACGACGGATCCAAAAATATTGTGAAATATCAAATTTAAAGACTCCATGAGCGTTTAAAACAATTGACATGGTGCTACAGCTAACCAAATGCTGTATATTCACGCCATAGATTGATGAACCAAGGTGATTCAAATATAGTAATGCATATCCAACGACTGCATCCCAATACACTAAAGCCTCGAGAGAACATTGTTGAATTTTGTGAATGGGAAAATATAAATGTCATAAAAAGCTTACGAGCAGAAGGAAGGTCCTGCACATCATCGGCCCAGTCACCATATTCTACAATAAACAAAATAGCGATTCAAGTCAGTGATTGCAATTGAGAAAATTGAAGATTGTATAAATGGATTATTCAATAAGACGAAAAATCATTGGCAGTTTCCAATCTGAACAGTGGTAGGTGTATATGCAATACCTTCGTTGGAAAGAAAAGTGCTCAGGTCCATAGTTTGGCCCTTCTTTTGTGATTTCTTTGACATGATTTGTGAATGGCAATTGGATTGAAGAGATGACAACAGTTGATTCCGACCAAGATTGGCTTAACGCTTTGTTGGTTTGGCAGGAAAAACAAAAAATTATTTGATTGATTTTGGGCTGTGAATTAGATATGAAAATAGCGATCACACCGTGTTTTTTGGTGGTTGGAATAAGTCGTCGAGTGTTCGTTTCTTGTCCAGCTTCGTGTTGCTATTGACGATCATGGACAACTATGACAAGATGGAGAAGATTGGCGAAGGAACCTACGGGGTTGTCTACAAAGCAAAAGACAAAAACACTGGAGACACTGTTGCTTTAAAGAAGATTAGACTGGAAACCGAGGACGAGGGTGTTCCGTCCACTGCCATCCGTGAGATTTCCCTCTTGAAAGAACTCAAGCATCCCAATATTGTCAAGTAACTATTTGCTGTATACTGTGTCATGACTTTACAATTCTCGGTCTATAAAATCATGGATTTATTGTTTGTCTGGCCATCTTGCGTTTCGTTGGAGCCTTTCAATAATTCTTTGATTTGATCGTCATTCACATCTAGACTGCTTGATATTGTTCATAACGATACTAAGCTGTATCTTATTTTCGAGTTTCTTGATCTGGATTTAAAAAAATATATGGATACAACCATGCCAGTCGGACTTTCACCAAGTCTAGTCAAGGTAGTTGTCGAGTTGATCTTGTACATACCAATATCACGGCATTAGTAGCTGTGCACGAGTATCCACTGATTTGTGCTTACATATTCTGTACTATTTAGAGTTACCTCTACCAACTGGTCAATGGACTGCTTTTTTGCCATGCCCATAGGATTTTGCATCGTGATTTGAAACCACAAAATTGTAAGTAATCGACATGTCCGAAACTGTGCTGTTGCAGATCCAAGAAATTTATGGCGTATATAAATTGTCAAATTAACTCTATACTTTTGTGCTTTCTAATTACTAAACTAATTGTATTTTAAAATGAATTGTGCTGAATGACTTTCCAAATGTGCATTTCCCAGTACTTATTGATCAGCACGGCATGCTCAAACTCGCAGATTTTGGTCTTGCCCGTGCATTTGGTATTCCTCTCCGAACATATACCCACGAAGTTGTTACATTATGGTACCGCTCTCCTGAAATTTTACTTGGATCTAAGCACTATTCTACTGCTGTCGATATCTGGAGTGTTGGCTGTATATTCGCTGAAATGGTGATTAAACACCCCTTGTTTCCAGGTAGAAACTTTGATCTTGTTTGGGTTCAGGCCGAATCATGCCAGATGTGAATTATATTACTGTCATCAAAAATCTGACATGCATTCCAACTCATAACCTTAGGCGACTCTGAAATCGATGAAATCTTTCGCATCTTCCGAGCACTTGGAACACCCACCGAAACTACGTGGCCGGGTTTCTCATCCCTTCCCGACTATAAACCCAATTTCCCTACTTGGTCTCCACAGTCCATGACTGAACTTGTACCTAACTTGGATATGGATGGGTTGGATCTACTTCAGGTATAACTACGTTTTTTTATTTTTGAATTCTAGTAGTATCACCAAGAGCATAGATTTCCAAATGGTTTACAGTATTTTAAATTAACCTTTTTGTATTATGCTGCTCACTGTAATGCATCATTGCAGAGAATGCTTGCATACGATCCCGCAGCACGTATCTCTGCCAAGCGAGCCATGAACCATCCTTACTTCAAGGACGTTGATCTCACAACATCTGCCTAGACTATTTTTTCATCATGCTTTCACCTGGTCTTTTTACTATTCCAATTTTGGAGATTTGCTCGATCACTAATTAGTCATGATACTGATCAAACCGAAATCAACCCTCGTCCATACTAATAGACCTTGTACGGCTTTTTCTTTTGGGAGGGACAGCATGATTTTCTACTATTCACGTAATGAATTAAACTGGTAATTTCTCACTCTTGATAGTTTTGAGGAACTTGGAGTGTATCCGCTGTGATGACATGCTGCACTTTAGTGGACCATCCAATATATAATGCTCTTGGTCCCGGTTTATAATATGGGCAGAGTATATCAAAAAGAATTACAAACAATGGCATGGTTTGAATCAAAATCAGTGCAACAAAGAAGCAATGTATTTGGCATCTTATACACGGCTTCTTTAAACATTGAATCAGGATACTTGTCCAAAAAGGCTCAGGACAAATGTAGCTGGTTACGACTGGCTACTCTGGCGATATCTTCATACAAGCGTTTTGGAACCAACTTGCCATCAACATCAAACCATGCACTGTATGGTTTCTCCAATATAGATTCTGCAACTGGACCAGACTTTGCTTGAGGATGGCCTTTTTTGAATTTAGAGATGCCGAATTTAAGAAGATACGTTTCAGAGTATTTCTCAAATTTAGAACGGATCACCAAGTGAATATCTGGACCCTAAGCTCAGTGAAACAAATCCCAACGAGGTAGAGGGTTATGAGTCCGAGTACAACATAAGCTACATGCACTCAAGTAGCCTGAAGCAAAGTAATACACACTAACGGAATGTAGCCAAAATACTTACAGCACCAGTGTGATCTTTTCTGACACCCACAAACATGATATCCTTGGCAAAAAGCAGGTTGTATGCAGAAAGTGCCGTATTCAGTACTACGTATCTACAATCAGTTTAGATTAAGCATGAAAAACTGAGTCAGAGCAATGTAAAATATTAAAGCTTGATAATCAGCCAGTTTTAGATTGCGCGTCAAAGCTTGCGGTATTTCAGTAGATCCAAACATGGTCTATACCAGTTCCACTACTCACATTGCCATGGAAACCAAAAGCAGATTCATAGATTGATGAAACGGCACGAGAAAGTTATAGAGAGATCCAGCAATAATGGAAATACTAGAAACGTAGCCCAGAATCAGCTGAACATTGGAGATGGTGTGATCTTCCACAAACCCAAAGTCATCCACCAAAATCTGCAAATAAGCATATTAGTAAAAGTACGACCAAGACACCTTCAACAAACTGTTTAGATGAAAACAGAGTCAATATGCAAGGGTGTTGTGGATGACAGCAACAGACTGAACCTGCTTCACAGCGTCTGCAGTGGCATGACGCAGCTCGTTGGCAACAAAAGGGTTGACTACAGTAGGGCTTGAATGTGCTACAGTTATGCCACCATATAAAGGATTAAAGCCCATGACTCCATAAATAGAATATCTTTCTAGTAACCGTCCTTTCTAAAATACCTCGCCTGCTTAAAAACATCGAAGACGACGAATCAGCAGTAGTATCAGCAGTGCCATTGGTAGAGGCTGCTGTCTTGCGCTCTCTCAATCCTTCATGCGATGACTTGGCCATGACTTGCAAAACAAAACTACAATTTCAATGGACAAACTTTGTATTGAACAGTTTTACACTTTAAACGGATCTACAGATCGTCCAATGGAAAACAAGCAGTTTGGATTTATTCTCTGCAGAAACTTGAACATATTTAATTGCTGTTTGGCTATTGGACTCATTTGGATTTGTCAGATTTATTATTGATACTATCATTCTTGTCACTTTCATCGCTCTCTGAAAAGGCTACAACTACAAACAGAATCACCACTGCATTTGCTGATAGTGCTGCTGCTATGCCTGCAAGTGTCGGATTATCTAAAAACCAACAAGATTCGTTAAGCATAACCACTTTCAGAATGCATTGTAGATGACAATGATATTTTATAATGCAATCATACCCTGGAACCAATGATTCATTCCATAGAAAAAGACTACTAAAGGGACAGCAAATACTAGGATCGAAAAAAACACCAAGTTGAATACTGCAGATCTATACAGTATAATCAGTGTTAGTATACATGCAACTTGGTGTAGTCAAATGAACAGATAGCTTGAATTGACACATGATTGAGCACCTTACCTTGAAACATTCAGCTTGCTGTGAGTGGATCGAGTAGAAGCAACTGCATGCTTTTCATTAGTAGATTTACGAGCTCTCAGCGTACTCCCTTCCCGATCTACATCGGCCATTGTTGTGTTGGTTCAACTCGATCCATCAGCAAGCACAACAACTCACTTGGTTTCACGTGATGCGTTTCACGTGCTTATTCAATTGTTTTCACTTTATCCAACACTCGACTCATTCCACGCATTATGGCATCGAATCCTCGCTGCTTTCTGGATATTGATATCGATGGCATCAAAAGTATGTTTCGCTATTACTGCCATCAATGCTGGTGTAATTGGAATTGACATTTTTAACCGGTTTTTGTAATTGGATCTTACCTTGTCCGATTCATATACTGCATTAGGCGGTCGTCTAGTTTTTGAGCTCTTTGCCGATAGAGTTCCCATAACTGCCGAAAACTTTAGGTACTTGAATCTCTCAATACGTACATGATTATACCTGTCAGCTGTATTTTGATTTTGATCTTGATGCACTTTACTGATTAATGAATCCTGCATCCACTGATCTTCACAGAGCACTTTGCACAGGTGAACGTGGTCGGAATGCCAATGGTACACTGCTTTGGCTCAAGGGAAGCAAATTTCATAGAATTATCAAGGTATACTATGGCTGGTGTTGTCTACGTCAGATTTAATGAAATACATTTAATAGTATTTCACAATATACAACCAACGGCTTTCCAAACCCCAATCATTAAACCCAACCAACTTGCTATAACAATACATTTTAGGACTTTATGGTTCAAGGAGGTGATTTCACAAAAGGTGATGGCACAGGCGGTGAATCTATTTATGGTGGTCCGTTTAAGGATGAAAACTTGACATTCAAACACGATCAGTCTTGTTTGCTCTCTATGGCCAATCGTGGACCTGGAACGTATGTATTCCTTTTCAAAAACACTGTCGAACCATTACCTATGTTGATATCCACTAAACTATACTTTATCTTATAAACTTGTATAATAGAAATGGATCACAGTTTTTTATTACATCTAAGCCTGTACCTCATCTAGACGGAAAGCATGTTGTGTTTGGTCGCCTTGTGCTGGGAACAAAGCTGTTTAGGAAAATTGAAAACATTCCAACTGACAAAAAAGATCGTCCTCACGCAACTGTATTGATCTCCAACTGTGGTGAGCTTGAGCGTGTTGCGCCTGCAAAACCTACCACAGATTCTCGTATTCCCGAATCTGACTTGACCAAATCAAACAAAGACTCGAAATCAAAACAGAAAACTTTATCCGATGTTGATTCTTCTGGTTCAGAATCAGGTAGCTTGTCTGATTCTGATAGCAACTCTGAATCCAGCAGCATTCGACATAAATCTAGAAAACGATCGTCTTTAAAACAATCAAAGTCGAGGCGCCATTCTAAAAAATCTAAAAAATCCAGCAAAAAACGGTCACATCGATCCAAAGATAGCAACGATGACTCGGATAATAGCAGCAATTCACCTGATACTGAGAGAAACAAAGCATCAAAATTAGATCATAAAGCCAAGGAACCATCAGAAGAACCGATCGAGGATGTTCATGCTGTACCTTTACCGGAAGGTTGGCTAGAGCCCAAATCCTTTCTTCATCGAGAAAAAGATTCCCGATCAAATCATTTACCCATCCGAAATTCTAGTACTCATAAAGATGCCAAGGGTCGACAAGTAAAAGGTCGCGGAAATTTGGTATGCCATTGTTCTGATGCATCATTTGGCAACTTTGCCCTAAACTGTTGTTGTGATGATCATTTGATGCTGCAGTTGACTAACAATATAACTTTATTTAAATACACACTTGTATGAATCACAATCTATATATGGCGTGTGGACAGAAATATGACCGCTCTTATTCTGGTAATCATCAACGTCGATAGACCAGATTGCTAAGCAACAGCTGAAATGCTTGTCCAAAAAACAATGGTTTCAATTTGATAGATATAATTTGATGCGCTGTTGAGTATCTGTAATCATCCTATGGTATGTTTGCTGAGCGGTCCCTGTTTTTGAACTACTTTTATCTGAAATAGCTTGTCGAATAAAACAGATTAATCAGTAGTCATGCAAGTATAAATCAGTTGCTCTGTTTTTTAAACTTGAGTTTGTAATAATAGGGTAACAGTACAATTTAGAATTACCTTGTAAACGACTGGTAAATTGGTTTGATCTTTGACGCATGGTATCAACTATGCTGTTGATTTCGGTGCGTTTAGACTGAAGTGCATTGCGAGTTTGATGGTCTGAATAGGTCCATTTAAAGAATTCCATTGCAGGTCGAATATAGCTATTAAAACATATATAATAAGGATGTATTGAGTTGATGCCCAGCACCAACAAGCCACTGCTGTTCATACTAAAATATATGTAACCTACTTGATATAACCTAATGGTCGCTCAAGTCGAACAATGACCGTTTCTCCATCAGAACTTAGTATCTTGCATATGCCAGTCGAATTGGCTGGATTATATCGCATTTCCAACATACTACGATCTACAAAAAGCACCGATACTCGCCCGTCTAAATACGATGTAAACATTCCTAAATGGGGTACACTGACTGTTTCATGCACAACCGATGACAACTTTAAACTATTTTCTGATGTATTGAAAAACGAATCAAGTTGGATTTTGGTTAAAAACTCTATATGATGATTCAATACATTAGTCCAATTACAACAATATATACCAGATTTGAGTGGATTGACATGATTTACATCCTGAACAGGACAATCGAATTTGAGCATATTGTAATACAGATCGATGCATGTCGAAATAATACTTTGTAGTGGATAGCTGTTGTTTACAAATAGCGTTAGTCAAACACATGCGACAATAAATCATTTAAAAAATTATATAAATGTGATTGAATATTCAATCTTTGACACATTACAACCGTATTCACGTAAAATAAACCATTAAATAGCAGTGCCAATGTATAATAAACATCTAGTCTCCACCTAATTTACTGGACAGCATTGTTTTTTAAATCCCTTAGTTCACTAGTGTTTCTCGTGGTGATTGGCACATATAGTTGCATTCCTGCACCCTTTGTTTTGAACTAGAGCGCGATCACATATGTGGTGTCAGGATACAAAAAGTGAAATTTGATTCAAAACAGTCAAACCCAATATCTGAGTTACAATGGATCAATCTGGTGATCGTGCAGTGTATGACTGTCAAGTGAAGAAAAGGAAATTCAAAATTATAGTTTGATTCATGGTATCATATGATGGAGTTGTTTCTGGAAAAATTGAAAAGGCCGTCAATGTGTAGTAGGAAATCAACGAGCACTCGACCATTGTATATTCCAAGATAGATAAGTTGCATTTTACGCGAATACGGTGATAAAACAATACACCACTCACACTTGTTTAGAAACTGGATGGCGAGCGACTGGAGGCGGACTATTGATTACAAACGTTTGTGATTCACAAGCACTTTCATAATCAAGCATATACATAAATTCAAGTTGATCGTCAGTGAGAAAAAGGGTGCCGTCATCTTCCCAGACAACGAAGACTCGAAAGTTGGAATCGCCCCGAGTAGAGGATAAAGTGGGAAAAACACGAAACGTGGCTTCTTTGGTCTGTAAAACAACGGCAGAATCTGCATGTTTGGTTTGAGTAGTATCGGCGCAAGGCAAGAATTGGGAGTTGAGCGTTGCTGACAGAGATATGCTTCCGGGTGCGGCAGTTGGGAATTGTACTGGAGTGTATTTTCTAAAATCAGAAAGACCAGACTGATGCTTCGAGTCATTGTCTGGACGCTGTAATAATAAATCAAGAGCAGGTTTGCACCAATCTGGATAATCATAGATGGAATATGATTGGGTAATAGGCAGATAGCTATACTTTTTGCATATCGGCGTGACAGAAGGTTGAGATGCACCATCCAAGACATCGACTAAAGCAGGAAAGGTGACACGAAAGGAATATAAATGGGAGTCCAATGTCAATTGAGCCAAACGATCTACTGTTTGAACAGTAAGCACATTCGGACAACGAAGAGTATAATGTGGAGTTGAATCCAAGGAAATTGGAGTTTCCAGCGAGATATGTTTATTTGGAGATTGCCGAGAGTCCTGCGATTCGGGCAATGCTGTTGGCCATCGACAAAATTGTAGTGGAGAAGAGTACTGATAAATGCATTAGCAAATCAACATGATTAAAACAGCAGTACAGTCAATCTAGCCAAGTACCATTTTAATCAGCGATTTTTCACTCTCGTCAAGCAAATGGAAGGGCAGATAAGGCAACGGACAGAATTTGTTTTTGAACTGAATGATACGTCGAGCAATAAAATCAAAACGCAGCGGAGCAGCAGAAACCAGACCACGAAACAATAGAGTGCGTTGTGATTGATGCGAATCTACAGATGTAGGCTGATGCTGGACATGCAGGATAGATTCAATGACTAAAACAACTCCAGGAGGGGATAAATGGGCATGAATGAATTCATTGTTTGGAAAGTAGTCTAAAGAAGTCCGTGTGAAATAAGCAAGACAAGATCCATCGAGATGCATCGCCAGACGAGAACAAGTCCAACCATTTGGGTTGATATCCATAAGATTAAATTCCGCTCTGGCTAGAATGCGATGACTAGCAAGTCAAATCCGGTCTGGACTCTAAAATCGTGACCGTTTGGGGTCTGTCGAAATCCTTGGTTTTAGACTTTCGGATTTTCACTTATCCAGTCATTGAATATATCAACAACTACAGCTCAGTTGATAGTCCATGTCGGGACACGTTGATACCCATTCTCTCGATGATGATGATATGATGGACTCGGATGCATTGGATGATTTGAACGATTTTGATGACGAAGATAACGGCAAAGAGGACTATTTTGACGACGAGGATGCCAACTTCTTGCCTGTTCTTGCTGAGCGAGAGATCCGCAAGCCTTATGATACCGACTTTGTCGTTTATTCTCCTGCTGAAATCCTGCAGTTTCAGCAATCAGAGATTGTCCAGGTTTCTGGTATATTGGGCTGTTGTACTGCTATTGCTGCCACTCTGCTTAGACACTTTCATTGGAATAAGGAAAGACTCATCGAGTCCTACATGGATGACTGTGACAAGGTCGCTGTCGATGCTGGTGTTATCATGGATGCTTCCCAACAACCCAAACCAACTGTCATTGAAGGCTTTGAATGTGATATCTGCTGCAACAACGATACTGGGTTAATGACCTTGGCCTTATCCTGCCACCATCGCTTCTGTGTTGATTGCTACCGTCATTATCTGACTCTGAAAATTGCTGAAGAAGGCGAAAGTAGACGGATTCGCTGTCCCGCTTCAGGCTGCTGCATTATTGTTGATGAAAAGGTAGTCGAATCCGTTGTCATTCCTGCTATTTATCAAAAGTATGTACGTTTTTATTGTGGTAGCTATTATTCTCGTTCGTTATAATATTGGATGTATGCCCATTCATGCTATCTAGTCATGGATATCGATTGCTGTTTCCGTTGAGATTCATAATGGCACTCCTGTCATCTCCTTTGTATTCATGGCTATAATGCCCTTCTGCTAACGATACTGTCATATTGACTTTGCATTAATCAGATACCAGGATCTGCTAATGCGCACATACGTTGACGACAATATTTATCTAAAATGGTGTCCTGCTCCAAATTGCGAATATGCTGTAGAGTGCAAAGTCCATCAAGATCAACTAAAAGAATTGGTTCCTGCCGTTACTTGCCGCTGTGGTCATACTTTCTGCTTTGGATGTAGCTTGCCTAATCACCAACCTTGCATATGCTATATCGTCAAGTTTTGGATCAAAAAATGCGAAGACGACTCAGAAACAGCAAACTGGATCTCTGCCAACACAAAGGAGTGTATAAAATGTTCAACCACTATAGAAAAAGCTGGTGGCTGCAATCATATGACATGTCGCAAGTGCAAACATGAGGTATCGTCACTTGATTCAAGCTTAATCTGTCCACACGCATATATGTTTATTATCGCCACTAATCGAATGTGTATCTTGTTTAGTTTTGCTGGGTATGTATGGGGCCATGGTCAGAACACGGAACATCTTGGTACTCCTGCAATCGCTTTGAAGAAAAGAGTGGAATTGATGCTAGGGATGCACAAGCTCGTTCAAGAGTTGCATTGGAACGCTATCTTCATGTGAGTTGCTAGAATGACTGATAATCAATCTTGTTTAAACCAGTGAAATAGCCAGCTATTAGCACATGGAATCCTTTTTACTATGTATTTGTGGCCATTGTATGTTGTTGAATATTGACGTATTGATTCATTTGCTAACCCACGACATGTCTTTTAAATGGTCTTGATAGTACTACAATCGTTATGCCAACCACGACCAGTCAGCCAAGTTGGATAGAGAACTGTTTGAAAAAATGGAGAAAAAGATGAACCACATGCAAGATTCTTCAGAACTCTCCTGGATTGAAGTGCAATTTCTTAACAAGGCCGTGGAGGTTTTACAACTATCCAGAATGACGCTTAAATGGACCTACTGTTTTGCCTATTATCTTGTACGGAATAATGCCACTCAGTTATTTGAAGACAATCAATCAGATCTGGAGATGGCAGTGGAGGCTTTATCCGAACTGATTGAACAACCGATTGATCCCACCACCGTGTCCAAGACAAAACAATTGGTTTTAGATAAAATGGCCTATGTTTCTAGTCGCAGAGAAATCCTACTGGTAGATACATCCAAAGGTCTTTTGGAGGGCCGTTGGAAATTCACTATTTGAATGCCTTTATTGTACTCTACTTGAAACAAAGTCTGGATCGATTGACAGCTGCATGCAATGCTATATTTACAAATTTGATCAATAAATCGCAACAGCTTATATTCAATAATAGACTAATTGCTTTTGCTTTATAATTGGAGTATCCGAAATACGCGAACATACGAGAATCGGCATCATAGAACCAAGTATAGGTTATACAAGTGTAAGCGATGGAATAGTTTAATTGCTCAATGTTTACCATACTATGACAATGTACTTTAAAATGGATGAAAAAAATCTATTGTAGTGAGTAGTTTCAAAAAGAAATTCCTTGATTGCCACCAGTGGGCAAGGCATCAGAATGAAATCCAGGCTTTAATACTTTTAGAAGCGAGGTTGCTGTTCTGTATTTCCCTCGCAGCCGTTGAATTTCAAGTTGCAAATCCAATTCTGGATGGTTTTCTTTTGGAAATTTGGATTCAGCGTCACTGAGATGATCCAATTGCTTCAATGCCCTATTATATATGAATGGGTCAATCAAGTGTAAACACAGTATCTTGATATATGATAACTAGATCCGATGTGTATTATTAGACTCGTTTAAACCGTTTTGTTTAAATGGCTCGTACTACTCTAGTGTTGGATTCAGACAATTCATTCTTACTTTGCTGGTAATGTACGATCTTCTGTTGTCTGATGAGCATATACAAGCTTCCATAGTTTAGCAAAGCCGCAATAGAATCCAGCCTCATGCCCTAACTGAAATCCATTTCTGCTTCCAAATATACGGCCCTCTAGCAATCCCATATCTATTCCATCCTTATATCCGTCGTCCCATCCACTGGATTGAAACCTATCGTTTGATGCATAATTAATACGAATACACCTTTTACAAAGATTCAGCATCTATTGAGATGTAAGGGATATTGGGGACCTACATGGACTCTACATGCAACAACAACTCTAAATCCGGTTGCTCTTCAGCACTCATAATCAAAATAGCAGCGTATCGGCAACTATATCCAGACGAATCAACAGCAAACCAAGCAAGTTTATGACTAGCAAAGTAGAAATGTGAATAAATAGAAATGTAAAATTATCAATAATTATCATCGTCATGTGTTTGAAACGATATTACATGAAATTCATTCAACTACAATTGTATGGTCGAGTTTGGTTTTTGTTTGATATTGTTCTTTGGTAAATATTGCTAGACTGTTCAACTGCTGGTTTGAATAGCAGAATCAACTATCGCTCGTGTCTTGTGTGTTCTGATGACAATCTAATTTGTTGGCACGGCCAGTTTTCTCAACAGCCTGATCCTGTCGATTGCATATATGACAATGTCACTCATCTAGTATAGTGGTGACTGCTTGCTGAGCTTGGTGTTGATCTTGTCCTGACACGATCTTCAGCATTTCACCTAGAGTCTACACAAACCTAAAACAATCGTGCAGTTTTACGAACAGGGAATCCACATTGTTGAATGATGCAACAACAGCCTGTTTGATGCTGTCAAAATAGGTTTAACTCATGAGATTGGGTTGAAATAATAAAACTTTCATACTTTTCATTACTGACTGAATTCAAACCATTTGTTCAAGTTTGCACTCAATTCGAGTTTCCTTTCAATACAACTGTACTCTTATAATTGTTGCAGTTATGTCTATGGGATCGAGGTAACAAATTATATTCATGTGGTTCTAGTATACACACTATAGTGTACATATTTGATGAATATTGACAACACTTCACATGTGTAGCTGGCAAGTGTTTTCCAAGGCTATTGCACCAGAACGAGGTGCATTTCCCATGGATCTGGATGGAGTGTGTGGAGCTGCAGTCAGGGACTACATTTCTTGTGTAAGATCCAGCAGTGGAGAAACTATGAAGTGCCGTGAATTAGCTCGTCTGTACTTGTCCTGCCGTATGGATCATGGGCTGATGGAGAAGGATGATTTCGCTAACTTGGGTTTCAACGCTCCTGGCTCCAAAAAACCCACGGCAGATCAAAACTCAACTGCATCAAAGTAACCATTTATTACACTGGTGGAACCTATTACTGCTTTACCGGCAACTTTTATTATTATTTGGACACAATTTCTGATGGTTTTCGCTTTGGGAGCACTCGTTGGATACGAGGCTTTCCTAGTCCCTTTTGTCCACCATGCCCAAGCTTTTGCTAATAGAAAACACAAGTGGTCAGTCCATTCATCAAACCAGATCGTATTTGTTGTGAAAAGCGCTGTATTAGTTTCTGTAGCTTTCTTGTAATATATACCACGTCAGCATTGATCTTGTTTATATCATAAATACCTACATCTGCATTGAGTGCAATATCCAGATCGTTGAATGTTTGTCGTAATTCGTCCTCAATGACAGTTTTATCGCTCTACTCGTAGAAATGTACACATCGCAATGTCCAGAGGTGTGTTGGTAATATATATGGGTTGTCGGGATTAGTTAGCATGAGATCGGTAGTGATATTATGGATACGTACATTACCAATAAAACAAAAAACTTACCGAGTTGACATACTCTTCGTCTTTTGCAGGTAATTTCTCAAGTACAAAGTCTTTGGCAAAAATAGGTTTACTTAAAAGCTTGGGGACAATCAACGGATTCATTTCGGAAAATGTAGGTTGTATCTAAAGGGGTTGTCCCGGCCAAACATTATTGAGTAGTACATGTAATCAGTAGTAGCAATCAGTTGTGTTTTTATACCGATATGATTTTCTATTACCTCTTCTTCCTCTACAGCAGTGTAAAAGGTCATGTTTGCCTTGGCGGCAATGCGTCGCTGTCCTTTTTTGAGATAAGCTAGTATAAAATATAAACAGTATTGTTTTGGTCAAAATATTGGCATTTCCTGATTCAAACTTTAACATCTGCATTACCGTTCCAGATTCGAACTGTATTGTCCCATGAAGCCGATACGTACTAGAGTTGAAATCAATTGTTGGTATAAGCAAAACCATGTACGTCTGGTCTTTCTTCAACATGGCATACATAACTCAATGATTATACCTGATTACGAACGGGAATGTGAATTAAGCTACGAATTTCATCAGAGTGACCGATATTTTTTTGGACAATCTCATCCTTCTTGTCGATATCAAACACACGAATCACCTTGTCCTGCGATCCAGTGATTAAGCATCCATTTATTGCGTCAATGCATAGTGCTGTTATTGGTCCATCATTGTTAATTACCCGCAGACATGGAATACCGTCCGCAGTCTATCAATGATTTAAAAACATCGAGATTTTGTTAAATGCATTGATATAACTACTGCCATGAACAAGTATCTTTAAAACCACATTTACCCATATACGCAAGGTGCGATCTTCTGAGCCAGTAATCCATTGTTTTTCTTTTCTATGCCATTTAATCTGTACTATATTGATTAGAAATCAAGCATATTAAACCTAAATGGTTTACACCGATACGAAATAGTTGATGCTATAAAATAAATGTCTACCTGTGTTACTTCTGCCTCATGACCCTGCAAAACGCACACCAGCGTCATTTCTGAGCCATTTGGTGAAAATTTTCGAATGTATGCAAGTTTATCACTGGATGCATATCCGATTGTGTTTTTCTCGTGGCTGTAGTCGAGTGACAAAATAATACCATCAGCTGCAAGCTCCTCGCGAGCAGAGTTTATGGACTGATACTGACTATTGCGAAACACATCATGCAATTTTGCGCTCTGTAGATCCCATATACATATTCGGCGATCCCAACCCGTACTTATCTAGAGATATAAATCCAAATATCAGTCAAACGTTCAACATCCTAAAATGGCTCACAAGTACGTTAAAATCCACATTACCATCCAATGCTTTGCATCCAAAAAAAAGCAAACCAATCCTGTTACAGAATCTCGATGATTCAACAATGTAAATTTTAATGCCATTCCTGCCACTCGGTTAGACACGCTGTCACTTCCTAGCTGATTGCTTCCTATGACTGTAGCATCTGCCGCATCACGATCCGTCGATTCTGGAGTGAATTTTATAGTTTCCTCATTGTATCCCCATATGCCTATTTGTTGGATTATCATATTAAAGTGATAAATTCAAATCAGCAAGCATTCGGGCTGGATTACATATTACACCAATTAAAAAATACATTTAAATCTTACATATCCGACTGTCTTCATACCCTGAAACTAGTACATCAAGCTCCTCATAATACAGCAATGACACAATTCCTGGTCGTACTGATTTGGGTTTGCTGGAAAAACTTTCTGACCCAGCGGAGACGGTAGCTAAACTACCTCTTTTATTTGAAGAGGTAGATTTTGATTGCAAATCGTAAGCTTCTGATTCAATTGTCTGCATTTTATGGTAAGGAGGTGCAGAGCTTGGCGCAGCGTGTCTTTTATCTAATAGCGCTCGAGTCACCCGTTTTTTTTCAAAACCTTTTCTTCGCGACGATCGTTTGAAAAAGCTCTTATGATGCAACGAATAGCTGCGTTTTTTATTAGACTCGTCCTTTTCCTCTGCGTTCATATCCAGCGCGTTTATAAACTCGTCTTTGGGTAGCATGAGAAGTTCCTGGCTACAAATTCAAGTTGCCAAGCATGCGTTTAGACAGGTTGCTTATGAATTTTCAAACCATCATCAAAGCCATACCTATACATGAATGTGTTCAATTGAAGACGCTCCCACTTTCTAATTACGCCATCATCGCCTCCGCTAAATATCAGCAACGGCTCTTTAGATGCTACAATTGCAAGAATATTAAATGAATACATACAAATAAATGAAGCTAGCACCAACATAACAATAATAAAAAGTCGAATTCGTACTAAAAGTAAGACATTCTACAATATCTGCGTGTCCTGGAAGCACTGTCAAAGGAGCCACTGAATTGTATTTCCAAATAACTAACGATCTACGAGTTGAGATACCAATTGCCTCATTAGTTTCTGGAATAAACACTAGATGCTTGAATGAAAATGTTCCACCGGTTGGATGGAATCGTTCATCGTCTGTTCTAACAAAATCTGAAACCTAAATATACGTGATAAAAATATTGAGTTGAATGATTCACATTGCTTATTGATATTTTAAATACTACAAATGATTGCTTGCTTAATGGGCAAAACAAGATGGTTTACGTACATTAATTCCACTACGTGGATCGTAAACTACTGGAATAGAGGAATTGGCAGTAACCCATAGAGTTTGCGTTGGAACGACATAGCATAAAGAAGTGATCGTATCACTAAAAATATAAAGATCAGAGTAGTGCCAAATGGTCAGCATGCATAATAGCTGAAGTCAGTATCAAGTGTGGGGTCAAAGCAAGTATACCTAAATCCATCAAATCTTTGCATAAGATTACCATCCAACGACCATAGTTTAACTACTCTGTCAAAAGATCCTGTGATTAGCCTATAGAATAGTATCAAGAGAAATCATTTTGAATGTTAATTTCTCAATCATAGTCGACTCGATTCATTTCATATAGTCTGCACAATAATGAGTATATGATTGTATATTTACCAACTATTGTCGGCATCCTTTCCAAATATCATGCATGAAATGGCTGCATCGTGTGCTTCCTTGATTGTGCTGGAAACGCGCAGCTTTAAATCTCCATGATGAGGAACATCGTAAATGATGATCTTTCTATCATATCTACAATATTCATGGTCAAATTAGAGTTGCTTTTCAATACTGTAGTTATACTAATCAACCTGATTTATACTTGGTGGTGATCTATACACTGTAAATTTGATGCATGCTTACCCAGCCGAATAAAATCGCCCCTCGCAAGATACAATGCAACTTACAACATCTGTGTGTTCAAGGCATACTACATTTCGTCGTTCAAGAATGTCAGTTGTTCCGTGATTATCGTCACTGCTAAGTAGCTGAAAAAGTCTGACTTTTTTATGCTGACCAGCCATTAGCTGCTGCCTTCGCGCATTATAAGCCAAACAATATATTGGCGTCCCAGTCTGTTTTAAAGATTAATCAAACGGCATGCATGATTGGCTTGATATGTTAATGGTAATTGCACATAGATGCTTCAACCACAATACATGCTTGATAGAAAGCCATACCTGGATTCTCTGCAGGACTTTTCCATTGGGACCCCATGCAATTATACTACCATCTATAGAACAAGAAAACAATACTTTGACCTCTTTGCTAGTTTTGCAAAATATGAAAATTAAAATACAAGAATTTAATATCCAAAATGCATCATCAGCCTCCAATAAAGGTGTTTCTATAGATTGTACATTATTAAAAAAGTCTCATTTGAATTACCAATATAGCAGATTTGTAATCCATCCAAGATGCTTGATCCAAGATGTTAAAAGTTTTCCTGATTCCGACTCCCATACCTTGATGACCGAATCTAGTAGTTAAACATATATTTTAGTGAAAAATCAGTATTTTTGGTACCATACATGCATAAAATAAACAAATTGAGGGTAACAAGCACTGTATATGAATTTGACTAGATAGGTATAGATAATGCAGGTAATTCACACATTGTGCAAGGTTGAAACTAACCTTCTCCGCCTGTATAAATTTCTCGACGAAATGGGTTGTACTGAACACACATGATAGATTTTGGATGTGCATCCTGAATAGTATGACGATATTCCATAGCCATTGTGAATTCTTACAAGATGAATGGCTTGAAGACTAGGAAAGTCGCGTCGAGTCGAGCCTGGAAACCAAGTGTTCGAGTCAACAATGCATGCACACACTTGTTACGCTGTAGAAAGCCTGATAATGCGATTTGATGAAATGTTTTAGTTTCAAGATCAGCAATTGTCTGCACACGATGAATGAGTTCAAGTCTTTAAAGACTAAATCGAGAAGCAATTTGGTTTTACTCGTAGATCTCAACCCAAGAGTTGGCTACGTTATAATCTGCAAATGTATTTTGCTATAGGAACTCCTCGCATACTTTCTGAAAGACTGGCTGAGCCTGATTGTCGCTTTACTACTTCTGGCACTGTTTTGCCTGATAATCATCACAGTAATCGGGACAATACTTCTGACAACCATCCAACTCATGATAGTTCCAAGAACAACGAGTTACAGAAAGGAACAAGAAACGAGCCATTAACAACCATCTTGGCCATTCGCAAGTGTCCGTTGGCATCCTTATTTGCATCCATTACCTTCAATTCAGTGTCCATCTGGTCAATCAGGGTACAGTTGAATATTAACACTGGTCCGACTTAATTTCATCAAGCATTGGAGTGTGAATGCAGAATCTATTTTGGAATTGTGCCAATTCTTGTGTATTAACATGGCTTTGAACACTATCTGGACTGTGTAGCCGGATGTACAGCTATCAAAAGTAACTCGAACATTAGAAACAGTACGGGAAGATGGCGAAAACGTAGATCTGCTATGGAAACCAGATGGCAGTACATTGGTCGTTTTGGTATGGAAACTATATCTAAAATAGCCATTTAATATTTATTACTGCAACGGGTTATGAAGCCAAGATCGGTTGCTAACTTGTGGATTTTGTCTGATTATGACTAGACAAATGAAGGCTTCTTGCATTTTTATGATGTCGTTGAGCTGGAATCTCCATTGTTTGGATACCATTTTCGTTCAACGCATCATATGGCATCAGGACCTGGCGAAAGTAAATCTACTACAAACCGGATTTTACGATTCCGTATGGCATTGGAGATTGATTCTGGAACGCAGTGGTATGAACAACTCTAAACTAGGATTCTACTCATGTTTTGGTGGTTTTTTATGTATGCTGTAGATTTGAACATGCGACTAATTTAAAGATCTGATATTGTGTGGTTTTAAAGTGGAATCGGACTTGATGATGACATTCTTATTTGTACAAACAATCCTCCCTCAATCCTCTCTTTACATTGGACGGGCGAGGTTAACATTCCTGGAACAATCTCATTGGAGGATTTGGATTTTTTTCTCGACAAAAATGATTGCAAGTACTTTAAAAACTACAACTGTATAACTAGTCAAATGTTTTCAATCTAGGCTTACAAATGACGTGATATGTTCCATTTTTAACGTCGATAGCTCTTGTTCAAATTGTGTCGCATCCTAGTCGACAACTGTTTGGATTTGTTTCTCTCGAGGGAAAAGCTTATATTGGTCAGCGATCTATTTTTAGCGGCGATATGGTATAAATCATTGTTTTTATCAAACAGGCGGACTTTTTATCATTAGCCAATATGTATCTAACACTATTTATTTGTGTATGATCAGCAAGGCATATTGGAATCCCAGACCGATCAGCAACACAAATGGACTGGATACTGTTTTTACAATAAAGATGGTGACCGCGTTCCTGCAGCGTCGATAGCATTTAATCCGACATTTACTTTAGTTGCTGTTGGAACGTTGCAGTAAGTACTGTTTTTGTTTTCTAATGATGGCTTATTTTGAATCAAATATTGTTTGTGGAGTTGACCATATTTCTGTTTCAATCAATGGTATAGGGGAGTGGTTTATGTGTTTGAGCTTTCCGAAGATCTTTTGACGGCAACTCAGTCTCATGTTATGGCCATCACTATGCCAGGAAATAATTCAACTCATATCCTTTTTATCAATCATGCATTTATATGCCATTGAAGTCTTACTTTGGTTTGTGTCTTGACATGTCTTGAATGTATACCTATCTCGCTTAGTGTTGCCACTGCTCTTTCTTGGACACAGGATGGATATGCGCTTGCTGTTGCTTGGATATATGGCGGAATGTCGGTCTGGAGTGTATATGGAAGTCTTTTAATGAGCACCATTTCAGAAGATACATTTGTTCATTCCGCGTAAGTACTAATGCATAGCTTTATCGAGCATTTTGATACTAATGTAATCATTTATTTTGATAGTGATGGAATCGTTAGCAACACCAACGAAATATTCTTTACTGGTACACAGGACTTGGTAGGTGTTTGCTTTTGATCAACCTTTTGCTTGCTTGACAAAAATTATACTGTTGATTGACTTGTTGTTTTTGGATAGTTTTGGAGCGAAAGCGGTCACGATCTGTTTATTTTGCCATCATCGACTTTTGAAAAAGGTAAATGTCATGTATTAGTCCGATCAATATTGGCAAGCAAATAAAACTAACACTATATGTATGATTTTCAAGAGTCTGTATCAGACATCTATGTTCTCCAATTTGCCAAGGCATCTATTTTGACCTGTGATTCTTGGGTAACTTATTTTTAAACCACCTCGAATATTTTATAGTTATTGCATTTGGCAGTACTGTTTTGAATTGAATCTGATCAAAATTTTGCTGTGGAATGATTTTAGAGCAACAGCAGACATATCTGTTTACTGCTGGATGATCGCTTGCTAATGTATGAGGGACTTCATAGCGACACAAATGTAACCAGTCTTGACCCAATGGGTTGGGAAACCATTCAAGTAAGTAGCAATAATGAATTTGATGTTTCTAAGCAGCTCACATTTATCACTGATTTTGATTTATAATGGTGCATTGGCTGATGTGATTGCTGACTGGTGTTAGATTCCAAACGTGTATATTTCAGATAATTGGCCAATACGAGTAAGTTTTGATTATACCAAGATTCATAAACTAAAATGCACTCTTACATTCTATATGCAGTATGTTTCTTTGAATTCCTCTGGGAAATTTATTGCAATTGCAGGTAAACGAGGATTAGCACACTATAATACATTTTCTGGAAAATGGAAGTTGTTTGGAAATGAGCATCAGGTAGTGTTGAACTTGCATTCAGTAGTATGGTTATTTGGCGGGTTTATGGAATATCAGTCAATTTGCCATCAGTCCTTTAAAATATGGTGCTCACAATCGAGTTTAATCATATAGGAACAAGGGTTTACAGTTCAAGGAGGAATATTGTGGTTTCGTTCCATGCTTATCGTTGCTTGTCAAGATGTGATTAGCTATAGCTCAGAGGTAAACTTGAGATTTGGGGTTGTCATGTATGTAGATGTTGATTAGTGTGCTAATTTGTAATTGTAGATTCGCGTTTTTTCAAGAACCACCAAGTTGGACAACTCAATGATATTGCATATTGAGAAGCTGCAGCATCCTGTTCTTACAATGAATAATACAGACTCGCACCTTTTGCTGTATTGCGCAGACCACGTAGTTCGATATTTTTCGATCCATATTTTACCAGGAGGTAAATTTCAAAACCACGCTTGAATCTATTTTATAAAATCTGACATTATAATTGTAGACCAGCGAGTGCAACTTCAGCCTCAGCAAGCATTTTCTATGCAAGATATAATTAGCGGATGGGGTGATATTGTACAAGCTGTTGCAAGGTTTCCTCCGCCAGGGGTGATATCTATTGAGACGATGACTAATAATCCGTTTGTCATACTACGCAATGGTGCACTCCATATGATTTCAAAAAGAGTACGTATTTTGAGCCTGGTACATACAAAGAGCGTATATTTTAACGCATTTTACATTTCTGGGTGTACAATCTTCAGGGAGATTCCTGGGAAGCTATCAAAATTGCAAGCCACACTGAGCATTTTTGGATTTCTGCTCATGAGGATGAAGTGGAGGAGTTTTCAAATACCATGTGGGCATTTAGTGGTCGCACCGTCAAGGTATGAACAGTGTATGACAGTTTAGATTTGATATATTTTAAAACATCAATAGTTTTTTACTTACGCATGGATACTTTTTAATGTTTAGATTTTGACAAACATAATTATTGATCCCATTGCAGGAACAGATCATTCCTTCCTAGACACTGCATTGGACATTAGTGTTGATTTTTATCCATTAAGTGTGTTGTAATGTTCAAAGTATTACTATGCCGATTTTCTCACGAAACTAAGTGCTAACATAGACTTTCTGTATCTACACAGCCGTTTTGATTCAAAAGGGCTTGTTGGTTGGAATAGAAAAACAACTTTCGCTGAATTCCACGCTGGATGTTTCTCAATTCAGCACGGATACAAAGGTGCGCATCATTACCTTGAATGCTATATTTGGTGTAATATAAATTGTAGCTTTAACCCTGACCTTTGAATTTCAGAGCTACTTGTTCCTTCACTTTATCATTAGACATTTATTAATGCTTGGGTAATATCATATGTTTCTTGATCGTGATTTTGTTACATATTTCCGGTATGGTGTATCTTGGTCTAACTCTATTTCAGTTTGGAGCAAAAAGCCATTACTTTTTGTTCCAATTATCAGGATCTGGAGTATTTCAGCCACTCTTTAGAAGTGCTATTGCATACAGTACTGGAGGATAATTCCGAGTCTGATCAAAAGAAATCTACAGCTGTTGGTATTGGTAGGTTCTAAATGATGTGTTTATTCAATTTAAATCGTCAAATATCAAACCCTGAGCTGTAATTTTATTTATAAACTAGAATCGCATTTAACGCAGATTGTCAGATTTATTAAACGATTTCCAAAAAGCTTGGAAATCATTGTAAACTGTGCACGCAAAAGTGAAATGGCAATGTGGAATTATTTTTTCGCTGCTGTTGGTGATCCCATCACCATGTTTGAGGTAAAGTTGACACAAACAATTTATTTGATTATTTTTTGGATTGGCTTGCTGATGTTTTTCTACAAGTATAGACATGCTTGGATGAAGGTCTGCTCGGAACTGCCACATCTTACCTTATTGTAATACAAACTCTTCGATCATCATCCGTTAGCACCAAGGTACGAATGACGTAACGTAATGATCTGATTGTTTTTGAAAAGCAACATTTTTCATTTGACGAGTACTGATGATTTTGGAGCATATTTTACAGCTAGCAATTCAATTGCTAAAAAAATCATTTGATCTTAAAGATTACGAAACTGGCTCTGAATTAGTGCGTTTTTTGAAAAGCATCAAGGGTAAGTTATTGGATTTTTTATTTTAGAGCTGCTGTATGTGCAGTGTATTTAACACAAATTAGCTGGTGAGCATCCAATGATGCAAGAGACAGCGAATGATGATGCGTCGAGCGTGACTGATATACTTGATTTGGTAACTTAAAGCTGGCTAAGTTGATCTATGCCTTGTGGTTTTTTGCTAACACATGTATGTAGACGGCTCTTGAACAATTGGTGAAGGATCAGACTAAAACGATTCTCGAGAGTCAGCAGTATCGCGACTTGGGTCATTTTGCTGCATTGTTTCAGATTGATCTTGGAGCCTGGCTTTTGACTGAAAGGTATGTCGATTGATTCAGACACGTAAAGCTGGCTATCATTGTACGGCGAGTATTGACGATGTAGCTTTAATACTTTTGGTACCAATAATAGGGAAAAGACAAAAGTATTGATTTTTGATTGGTTTGCCACACTTATGGCACTGCATAAACACTTTTCATTGGGTCTTCCAAGTATGTTTTGCATCTCTAGCATGCATAAATTGTTTGACTCTATTGCATAGATCTCATGTTAAATCTGTACTAACATTGGTGCTATTGAAGACGAGTTTAATGCAGTTGTGAGTTCAGCGTATCGGTTGACGTGGCAGCAAAAGGCACAGGGGCAATCCTTGACAAATGACACCGAGCCTTCTCAAAATTTGTCTGCTAGTCGCCGAGCACGACCACCACCCTCTAGCCGCCAAACTACTCGTAAACCGGCAAATCGAAGAGAACTAGAGATCAGGTAAAACTTTGCAATCTATTGATTCAACTGTGACTTGCACATGTCTGGATAAAACATTGCAAACTAATTTTTACTTTTGCTTGAATTGATTTTAGAGCTCTAATGAAGGCTTCAATAGAGGGTGAATTCGTTGAGCTGGCACTTTTGTTAGGTGCACTTTTACTAGACTCTGCAACCCTGATAAGTCTGTTGGATGAGCATCCAGATCTCGTCGACTTTTTCCGTGAAGCACTGAATCGCACCAAATGCAGAGGATACAGACAACTGATACAGCATTTTGATCGCCAACTTACAACTAAAGCACCATGTCCACCAAAAGAATAACAAGAGTACTTATTCCTCATTGTGTCAGTATAAATGTACCATGAACGTTTAAATTTCATTTAGGATAGCTCGAGGAGAAAGCCCTTGATAACAGATTCGATAAACAGCTGTGAATAGCGGAAATCTATTCAGATTGTTGAATAAAATGTGAAACAAGAATGAATTAGTCGATGGATTTTGGAGTGGGTCAAATGCAATCACAATAAATGGTTCAATAAATATACATACTCTGATACAAGATTCCTGTGGACAAGGATTTCATGGATATCTCGTGAAGTCAAACTTCCTTGTAGCTTTTGTCCATTGAGCATTTCTTCTTCAAGCATCTCAAAGGATTTTCCTGTCAATACCCGAGCCTCTGCAAGGCGTCGGTTTCTTCCACCAAAACAGGTGGTGATCACATCAGCGATTCCGCAGCTCTCAAAAAATGTTTCGTCTTTTATCCCCTCATAAAATGTTTTGGCAAATTTCTTCATCTCTAAGAGTCCAATACGAATAATGGCCGCCTTGGTGTTTTCGCCACATCTAATTAATGCATTGTCAATAGATTGGCGTTGAGAAATAAAAATTAAAACATGTACTGTTAGTAAAATGTAGGCACTCTACTGATTAAATAGTTGCCATTTGAGGTTTCAAAGGCGTATTAAATCAAGGTAACGTACTTGAGACCATCCACTAAGCCAGCAGCAATCGCAACCACGTTTTTTAGAGCACCACAAAGTTCCACACCCGCCACGTCTTGAACGCAGTTGATTCTAAAGTAGGGTGTGTTGAATATTTTTTGAAAGACATCTGCATTTTCCTTGATGCTGTATCCAATAGTCGACTCGCAAAAGTTTTCTTGTGCAACTTCAGACGCAATATTGGCACCCATCAAAACTGAAACATCAATTTTTAAAGAGTCTCTGATAATATCTGACACCAAGCTCAACCCAGACGAACCACCAGCATCAACACCCTATAAAACATCAAATGAAACCAAGTACAATACAGGTAAACAATTGATGAAAACTAAAACGCAGCTTGCACTGCAAACATAGGTAAAGCACATGTATTTACCTTGATCAATGAAATGGCGCGTGCGTTTATACTGATCTTATCTTTAAGCTGATCGCATACACCTTTTACAAACTAAAGCCAAAAAATAATATCAGGTTACCAGTCTTAGTGCATGAGTTTAAAATAGCTGAATAATTTAAAACAAAACCAACGAAAATGGTTGTCAAACAAGCATCTTGTGCATGTGTTGATGCAGGTCTGTAAACGGTTAAACTATACCTGATGAGGAATAACAAACACAAGCAGTGTAGCTCCTTCAACCGATTTCAGCAACTCGGGAACGGCCACAACATTTTCAGGAAGCTTGATGTTTGGAAGGTATTTGACATTTTCATGTGTTGAATTGATGATATGGGACAAGCGTTGTCCTGAAACGATTTCTTCAAAAACCCACATACGAACTTCTTTGTGAAAATTGGGTTGCTTGATTATATTTCTGCCAACTATTTTGGCAATAGCAGATCCCCTGTTGACAGATAAAAACGATGAAAATATAAATTAAATGAGAACGAATTCCGAGTCTTGGTCAGCCATATAAGTGTGATAAAAAGTAGGTAAATAAAATGCCCAATTCAAGATATACAATAGTATAAATTGTGATTGGTGAATTTTGAAAACACAATCATTTTTGTAGATAGTTGGATTCATTATAGCCAAATCTATCTCTGCATTTTCTAGTGGTATATATTTACTGAATAGCAAAATAAAAAATAATGCATATGCATATAATATTAGAACGCAGCAGTTTCTGAGATTTGATGGTGGATTGAATACCTATGATTATGAATAGCTCAATTCTATACACAACCGTATTCACGTAGAATGGAATATTAAAACAAGGGTGTCAAAATATACAATTCACTAAAATTACAGGACAGCACTGTCTTTTAAACTTTGACAGTTTTCTGGTTTGTTTTTTGGCGATTGGTATGGAAACAACAACTGAGAGTGCAATCATTGTTCTCTTGAACTAGAGCGCGAACAGAGTCAAGATACAGCAAATATGGGTGTGCACAGAATTTGATTGACAACAGTCAAGTCTAATATCTGGATTGCAATATATGGATCTGGATTCAGGATTGGTGATCGTAGAATGTATGGTTATACCAAACGAGAAAAAGTGATGTTTACAACAAGTTTGTATACATTATACATGGATATTGTGTCTGAAACAAAAGTTGAGTGTCTATTGAAGCAGTCGATTGTCAATAGGAAAGTACAATGAATATTTAGCCACTGTCTATTCCAAGATAATCACTGCAAGATCAATACTAGTTCCATTTTACGTGAATACGGTGGAATAAGGTTGAGGTTGGATAGGCTAATAGCATTCCTAGTATGGCCTCAGCTAAAACACAAACTCCAAATGAATAATCTACAACTGCATTTAAAAAGGAATGCCACATATGAAATCAACAGTAATAAGTTGTACCAATTGCCAGACCCAATGAGTGCTACTCGCTCCATTGTGTTGGATTTTTGTGGCTGGAAGAATTTGCTTTTCGATTTTTGATATACCGATTAAAAAGTGAAATAAATCACGTGGGATGGAGCTTGTATTGATCTTGCAGTGATTATCTTGGAACAGACAATGGCTAAATATTCATTGTACTTTCCTATTGACAATCGACTGCTTCAATAGACACTCAACTTTTGTTTCAGACACAATATCCATGTATAATGTATACAAACTTGTTGTAAACATCACTTTTTCTTGTTTGGTATAACCATACATTCTACGATCACCAATCCTGAATCCAGATCCATATATTGCAATCCAGATATTAGACTTGACTGTTGTCAATCAAATTCTGTGCACACCCATATTTGCTGTATCTTGACTCTGTTCGCGCTCTAGTTCAAGAGAACAATGATTGCACTCTCAGTTGTTGTTTCCATACCAATCGCCAAAAAACAAACCAGAAAACTGTCAAAGTTTAAAAGACAGTGCTGTCCTGTAATTTTAGTGAATTGTATATTTTGACACTCATTGTGTTTCATTTGACTAGATACAGCTGTAATGGATCTGGTATTATTGTCAAGTATTTTACTCGATTCAAACCACTCAACTTTCTACGAAACACCCTAGTTGATATTTCCCCTGCACTTTCATACCTTTTGTTTTCGGCTGTAAAGATTGTTTAATTTAACAATATAACAAACAAGTATACGCAAAGGATTTGGTGAATCATATCTTTAGTAGTATAGTGGCTAGTATCTCCGCCTGTCACGCGGAAGACCGGGGTTCGATTCCCCGCTGAAGAGCTTTTTTGATTCAGTATGTCAGCATATCAGGTCAATGAATAAGTTTTGGTATATCCTAGCAAGCACGCATAAATTTGCGAGTGTTACAAATACGGATATACTGAATGTTATATCATTGTACGCCTGCTGCGCTATTCATTATTCTGGTGTTACTGCATTTCGACATACCGCGCTTTACTCTTCAAATAGTTTTTCAATAAAATATCCGTGGTATCTTTACAACGCTATTTGTTATCATTGGAAATGACTGCAGCCACATCTACATCAGCAACTATGCATACACCAATGGTAGCAGCAAAACGTAGCGTAAAAGTTGAAAAGGCTTTATCTATGCCCGAGTTTCATATTGGAGGTGTCTCGGGTTGCGAGTCCAATAGCGTGTCTGGCTTCAGTAAGCCAGGCATATCTACTACTACCACAAAAACTAGTACTACATTAATTTCAGTTCATAGTTCATCGGCTCCTTCGCTTAGATCTATCAGGCAAGGCAAAAGTATCAATCTTCCCAAAATGTATGCTATCATGGCTGATATCGCTTCAAGTTGACATTTTTGATAATTCATATCAATTTACTTGACTAATCTACACTCTGAATTGTGCCTGGATCTAGTAAAAACAAGGAGTCTCCAAATTTGACTACATCAAATATGAGCAATCCAGCATCGCGAATTCTAGTCACCATTGCACAGATACTGGATGAAGTAGGGGCAGTCGTAGATGATCTATTTGTATCAGATATATATAGTCAAAATGGATCCAATACAGCGTGTAATATCACTTTAACATACCCAGAGAAAAAGGATTGCAAGAATGATACACCGATATCTCATAAATCTGAGAGTCACAATTCAACAGTGGCTTTATTACTGAATGACAGTACAGTGTCTATTGAATCAGGCTGCTTAGCATCATCATTACCAGCATCAGATCCCGCATACACATCCTTGGAATTTACCAAGGCCCCCAACTCCAATTATTCGTCCAATATGATCGTTTCCGACAAGACGAGCCAACTCAAAACACCAAGCAATACCATCCAAGTTTCAAAATCCGGCATATATGATACAGAATTAGAAAAGGCATTTCAAAATCTATCTATATCTACCGAATCAAAGCGTAAAATTATTCGGCAGTGTTTGGATCTTAAACGATTGGTGGATAAAGAAGGGTCGTCCATATTTACAGACTCGTTAGTACAAAAAGCCATATTTTCGAAATCCAGCATCAACATCTCAGTCTTGTTTCGGTGCCTCCAAAATGCACCTGATATTGATTTATCCATTGTAATCACCAGTATGCTAATACGTCTAGCAACATTGACCGAATGCAATCAAACAAACATTTTGATAATGTCAAAAAAGAATCTTGCTGCTGTATTGATGAGATGCCTTCAGTTTTATCATCAGCAGTATATCGTGCCAACCGCAAGCCCTATTTCTCCTAACCTATCGCAGAGATTAGATGAAGTGCTTGTAAATATTCTGACATTACTTTGCAAGCTTGCAAAATATGGTACGTAGGGGTTGAGTGATTTGAAATTAGTGATCGACTGCATACTTATCAATCTTATTTCCAAATTCTAGATTCCAAACTGTCTTTGTTGGCCAGACTTCACAACGCGATCCCTATTTCGATTGATATCATCCAAAAATGGCTCAGTCGCAAAGACTATCATCCAATGCTTTTGGCATTTACTACCCTTCGAGTATTCCTAGCGAAAAATGACAGTCTACTACCAATAGTTCATCGTAGTAATATTATTCAAATATCCGAGCAGCTTCTCAAATCAACGCCCTCACAAATTGCTCAAGCAAAACTTGATTCGGTCGTGGATTTACTGGCATTGTTGGCCAAGCCACGAGCCATATGCATCGACATTCTACGCATATTCGATATAAAGTATATCTTGACACTTGTCAACTCTCCTTACGATGGAGTTCAGCGTGCTAGCTTGAAATTACTTAAAGCTACTATTGATCATGATTTTGCAAAGAGATTGTTTCTAGCTGCAGATGGCGCCAAGATACTGACGGATATACTTCATACAGTTTTACATACCTACGAAGGTGCTTCAACGGCTTTATCATCTACCAATTCCACTCCTGCGTTAATGGTTGCTGTTTTACGTGCAGCCGTTGCACACTCTGATTTGCCCTTTTTCATAAAATTTCACGACAGAGCTTTTCCTTTGCCAGTGGTACAACAAGATGTTGACAAACCAATAGATGCGGCTTTAACGAGCTCCAAGAAACACGCTTTATTGAATAGCAACGCAAATGACGGTATTGAAATCAAGCCACCCCATTCATCCCAGCCATCTGACATGGATCTATTAACCGACACTATTAAAAAAAGTAGCAATCATGTATCTTTAATGTCTGATCAAGACTATTCGCATGCTGTTGATACGTATACGACTGCAGTGCGGGAAGTTGACACTTGTTTTATACCCCCAACCCAACCTGGTACGTTCAAAAAACTTGATTTAGATACTGATACTTTATCTCGACAATCTATTTTCAATGACAAAGCAATTAAAAACCCAAATGAAGATGTAAACCAGGACGCTACAAATCTTGAATTGGCTGATGAAATGGTTCCAATATCACCATCAGATAAACTCATTGCAAAATTGAGTGAATGTTGTCCCGAGCTACTTGTGGTAGCATCGCTTCCAGTTACAACCAATGAACTTCCCGCACCAAATATCCGGGTACGACACGTTCAGCCCATGTCATCAGGAAAACATACTATTTGCCGCAGCATTTGTCCAGTCGACCTAGAGCCGCAAACACGACGAACACCCTTAGGTCTAAGGTAACTATGAATGCGTTGATTTTTAATAATGCACTATTACATACTAGTTTGATATGTTCAAAATGGCAATCGCTCATTGTGCAAATATTTCCATTCCATCATGTGACAATTGTGATTATGGTTTCTAGAAAAACTATATTTGAACATACTGTCAAAATGCTGCAAGTTCCCACCCAAGGAACTCTTATATACGATGTCATGCAGGAACAGGTTTCTCAAAACATAGCATCTTTAGATGACGATACACTTATCTTTGATTCGCGATTCGAAAGTGGAAATCTGCAAATGGCAATCAAGGTAGCATATTTAGCATCTATCAGTATATTATCAGAGATTTTGCTTACAATTTTAAACTTTTCTGTTTTGATTTCTGTAATTGCAGATTTCACAATTTGAATACGACTTGATTCTCCAAACTGACATCAATGCTCAACGTGGAAAGCACAATCAGGTGCATCATTATTGTATTGGGGTTAAATATGCTCGTTCTATAATTTTAAAATCAGTTTGTGCTGATTCAGTGTTTTTAGTGGTTTTACTTTTCTGTTCAGAAAATGATACCAAATGTGCCTTACAAGTTTAATATTTTAAACATGAGTAAGCCAGCAAGCCAATTCAATCATGGCATGCAGCCTGTTGTATACTCTGTAGCTAACCCAGGTTGGAGACGTGCAGGAGAAGGAGTTTTTTACATAAAGTATTATTTTCTGTCTTGTTCTATATATCGCAAATTAAATTCATCATTGTATTACTAAATCTCATTACTTGCGTATTTAGAAATCACTACCGAAAGTCACATGATGTTGCATCCACAGAGTCTTCAGTCTCAGCAGCAGATACGACATCTGGAACATACTCAACGCTTGTATTTTCCCTTTTGTTCAAGAATTTAAATGATACCTGCTACATTGCATATCACTATCCATATACGTATTCAGAACTTCAAAGATCCCTATATCAGTACTATCAAAATCCACGGTATCGCATGCACTGTCGTCGCACCTCGTTGTGCCAGACTCTTGGTGGGAACGAGTGTATCCTCCTCACAATTACCGATTTTCAGCCAGGTATTAAATTATTCCAACTTTTCAAATTCATGCTCGTGTTTGCTTGTACAAGTGACTAGATGTTTCAGCTATCAATAATAACGTTACAGCATACTAATTTCAATCGCAGAATTGCTAGTGGAATTTCCAATGAAGGACAGAAAATACGTATTTTTGAGTGCACGGGTAATATTGTTCTTGTCAAATTTCTGGCATGTTTGCTCAAGTGATGAATTGTATATAATTTTGCATTTGACACCAAGTTTCTGTTCATGTTTGTACAACTATGTAGGTTCATCCCGGCGAAAGCAACTCTAGCCATATCATGAGTGGGCTGATACAGTTTTTACTGGGTGTAGATGATGCTGCGGTTATTTTGCGACGAAAATGCATTTTTAAAATCATTCCAATGTTGAATCCCGATGGTGTCATAAACGGAAGGTAACCGCATTTCCATCATTGTCGTGTTGAAATGCTAAATCAAAAGACAAACTATTGGCCAAGTATAGGTAAATTAAAAAGTTTAACCTTGCTCATGTATCAAAATCACTTGCATTATACTAGCCACCGATGCTCTTTAGCAGGTCTTGATTTGAATCGTCAATGGAAAACCCCATCTCTTGCATTAACACCGTCAATATTTTGGACAAAGCTGCTTTGGAGATTTATCATTGGTCTTGGAAACAATCCTTTGGTAGATGCTATTATTTGAATTAAAACACGCTTTAATGTACTTTTAGTAACAGCTTGTTTTTGTTTAGCTTTCTTGCGATTTTCATGGGCATTCTCGCCGAAAAAACGTATTTTTATTTGGATGCGAAAATGGTCCAGGTGAAACAGAAGGATACGAAAAAGTAGGTTGCCCTATAGCTTTTATAATTGGTGAACGCTTTTGTACATAAACCCAACTGTAATTTACAAACATTTATCCAACTGTAGGTTTTCCCAACAATCTTGGCAGCACAGTCGCCCATATTCGATATTGGACTGTGTAGGTATACTGTTGAAAAATCAAAAGAATCAACTGCTCGAATTGTTCTTTGGCGTGAGTTTGGAGTTGTGAATAGTTTCACATTAGAATCCAGTCATTGTGGAGCAGATTTTGGTGAACGAAAAGGCGCGCAGTTTTCAATTGCAGATCTGGAGCGCATGGGAATGGACTTTTGCCGAGGACTGCTAACCCTAACCGAATCCAAAGAATTCAAAGGACTGGAAATGCCCATTTCGCTACCTGAATTGAATCATGACATGCAGCTTTCTAATCAAAATGATAAGCATGCGTTTACAGCAAATGATGCTGATAATTCTATAGATCAAGAACCTAGATTAAAAGGAAAGTCGGCTGTATCTGCATCCAGTTCAACAGTATCGACACCCTCCAGACCGAGAAAAAAGACGGGTAGTAATTCATTTGGAACAAAGATTAAACAAAAATCAGGACTTTATGCAAGTGATAATACAGGCATAGTTTCTGCAGTATTATCAGAACCTAATTCGGTAACAAAATATTCAGCAAAATTTAATCAAACTAAAACAAAATCGCTCAAAAAAAACCTGTTATCGGCCAGAAATGGATCATCGTTTATCCGTACACCTAATCTACGGAAAATAGCGGCTTCAAACAACACAAAGCAATCTCCAAATACGATTGAACAAGCTTTGCATAGAGGATTCTCCAGTGTTAATGATGTCAACGTGGATACTGTTGGTGACGATATGCTAGGAGAGAATGCAAATGATGATGCAAGCGACAACAGCAGTAGCAGTGAGGGATGATAATATGGCTTTTGATCTGTACAAAATGATGCATATTTTGACACAATGAGCCCTGCCCAACTTTTCAATAAAAATAAGCTAGCTCAGCAAATTGCTGATTTTTAATGCTTACAAGGCAAATATCAAGACAAGCAACGGCATCTGTTCACAACTTTAGAATAATAAATCTTTTAAACTACTGTTTTTATCCTATTGTCATATGTCGCTCTGATGCGCAGTATGATAAATAAACTAAATCGAATAGTAAAGTATTCAATTACCTTGCCTGATCAATAATTACAAATCTATTGAATTCAACAGTATTGACAAGCCAGGTAGATGTAATGCTTAAATGCAATCAAATTGAATCAAGTTTGGTTTACAGTAAAATAATTTATAGACTTATTCAACCAACTTGTATATGGTCGAGTTTGATGTTCTTTGGCAATATCAGTAGATTGTTGATTTAAATGGCAGAAGCATCGATCGATCGCATCTCCTGTGCCGCAGCGACCATTTGAGTTGTCAACACAACCCGTTTGCTGAACGACCTGCTTCTGTCAGTTGGATATAGGACAATGCCACTCATTTGGTCTTGTTCTGACAGTCTTTGGCGTTCCTATCCAGTCTGTATGCCAATCTAAGCTGATCGTGTAGTTTTACAGACATGACTTTTCTAAAAGGCTACAACAGCAGCCCGCTTGATGCCGTCAGAGTGGTTCGAAACATGACAAAAGTGGGGTTTTTTAATAATCAAAAAATATTTTCTCGTGTTCTCATTCTACTGACACGAGCTGTTAAATCTTCGAGATTGCTCGATTGGAAATGTTTTCATTGTCAACAAGTTGCCATAAAAAGGTGATGCCACCATCAATTGCTATTATGAGCATTAAAAGTAATGTGTGTAGGCCTTTTATATGCCAAACACTCAAACAAAAATACAGGACCTTCACACTTGCGTATAGACCTACAGCAACAGCACCAACCATGACAGTTGTGGCCACGCGACGACCATTGGCATTTACCATGTCTAGACTGCCATCCATAAGATCATTAATATCAGAGAAAAAGCCATCTACATTCTACTACAAGACAATTCATTCATATCATAGTATTTATAGACTACATCTACTGCTTGGATACACATCCAAATATTTACAATACCATTGCATGAACACTGCACCACATTCAATTTCTAGTTCATGCAGCAACCATCATTATGAGGAAAATCATCAAAAGCATAGTAATACAAATAATAGGTATCATCAATGGTCTGGAAGAAACCATGGAGATGCATCAACCGCTATAGCTGCTGCCATGTTTGCATTTCCATTGCATCAGGATACCAGCATTGATCCAGATTCACTTATCAGTGATCAAGTATCTCGTATTGACGATGCCGACCAGCTCACAGTCGACATCAGTCCTCCAAACAATCATGTCTTTTATCCGCTTCATCTTTATTTTTGGCGCATTCTTTGTTTCATAAACTTGGCTTATCATGATTTGATATACACTGGTCAAGCCATACTTCGATTTTTTGTGTTGGCTACACTGTATGGGCCACTAATGCTTGGATTTCCAATTTGGTTTGCTATGGAGCGGGAATGTATAGATCGTATTGATGCCACTCCTCGCATGTGGTGGATTAATTGGCTTGTATGGACAATTGAAATTTCAGGTCCAACATTTATCAAGGCAAGTTTATAAAAATTGCTGCATTGTTTAATATCAAAAGTACCAAGAGTATATCACCAGTAATGAATGGTAAGTTAATAGCATTGCGTTGTACTGTTGGTTTCATAGCTTGGACAATGGGCAAGTTCGAGATCGGATTTATTTCCTTCCTTTCTATGTTTAGCTCTGTCCAAATTGCAATCTAACGTACAGCCTCACTCCATGGAGCATACTATTAATATGATTGAAAAGTCATTTGGTGCCAGTATTGATGATCTTTTTATACGATTTGATCATGTTCCCATTGGATGTGGTTCTGTTGCTCAGGTTTACTATGCTGAATTGCGCGATCCAGACCAAACCAGTCCTGCCATCAATCAATCTGATAGTTCAAGCCTTTCGTCTAAGGTATCTGATACGGTTGTCACTAATGGTGGTCGCGGCAAACCATATGCGGTCAAAGTACTTCATCCAAAAGTGCGAGAACTCATTTCTTTAGACCTATCGATAATGGCTATTGGTGCCTCTCTTATTACGTTCATATTTCCTAGTGCAGAGTGGTTAAGTTTACCAGAAGAAGTAGCGACGTTTGGTAGTATGATGACCGCACAGTTGGATCTGACCAATGAGGCTTCAAATCTCCAAGTATTTCAAAATAATTTCAACTCGTGGGGATCTGTTGGGTTTCCATCCCCTATTAAACAACGAGTATCCCCTGAAGTTCTTGTGGAAGATTACATTGAAGCTGTTCCAATGACAAAAGTTCTCGAGTTTGGTGGTGGGCAATTTGATCGCGAATTGGCAAAAATTGGCTTGACATGCTTTCTTGTAAGTGTAATATGATTGAATTATTGCGTTTGGTGTACCTTTGATGGTGCTGACTCTATATGATTTGAATATCATAGAAAATGCTGATATTGGACAATTTCGTTCATGCAGACATGCATCCAGGTTTGGGTTGAATTGTTTGTAAATACTCTACTGAATTGTATATTTTTTGACTGTAATTAACATTTATATGGTTATATTTGAACTCAACAAGGTAACATTATGATGACATTTTATAAAGAAGCGGCATCCAAATCAAAATTAGAGTTTATAGATTCACACTACATTCAGAGACTTAAAAAAACTACAAATGAAACCGAGTGGAAAGCCATTTTGTCAGAATTGAAAGCCAAAAACTATGCGCCATTTTTGTATATAGTAGATGCGGGATTGATCTCATCTCTCTCGCAAGCACATTTGGTCAACTTTATTGATCTGTTCCAAGCTATTTCAGAATTCAACGGCCGAAGAATTAGCGAGCTCATGATCAGTAGATCCAAATCACCATATACCGTAATTGATGCAGCAGGATTTCAATCTGCCATGTTACAGTTTATTCAGGAAGTCAAGGAGCAAACGTTTGCACTCGAAAATATCCATGTGGCAGATATTCTTGGATTTGTTCTGTCCAAAGTGCGCGTCCACCATGTCAAGATTGAAGGCGATTTTGTAAATGTTGCAGTCAGTTGTATGCTGTTGGAAGGGATGGGACAGCGATTGGACGCATCCATGGATTTGCTGCATGCCTCTGTGCCCTTTTTAAAGCAAGCGATATCACAGCGACTGGACGGACATGTATCTTTTTCAGAGACATCGTTTTGGAATCTTTTTCGGGGATTTGTAATATCATATATAGGCATGGGTAAATCATAATTCCCATATAACAATTAAGATATTTGCAATTATAAAATCCGTGTTTTGTAATTTGGTGCCAAATGGCTCGGATGCGGAAATAATATTTTTATTTCAACCCATTATTTGAAAGTATTCGAGGATTTGATCATGTCGTTTCAGGTTACTTCAGTTTCAGACAATTCATTAATGAAGGAACAGAATGCAGTGGCATATCCTGTTACTACACTCCAACAAGCATGGTCGCTGTTTGAGGAAGGAGTGATTCATATGTATGGCAACTGGACTGCATTGACGCTTGCATACCAAAATGCAAGCAATCCACAAATACTATCAGCTGCTCAACCTCACCTTGATCTTGTTGCTCATACTATCGATTACTTTCGCACTATGGGAAACAAGTCCAGTCCAACATCACCAGCAGCAGTTGCAGCGATTGCAGAAACACTTGCTGCAAATTTAATGTCGTATTTCGAGGACATGTTTGAAGTCGAAGTGGAAGATGGATCCCCATATCAGATTGCAAAAATCATTGCACTCATGTATCAGGAGATATTTGTTGGTCGGAATGCAGCGAGTGTAGTCAAGTTGCGTGAGAGCAGTCATGCTATTGCACAATCTCGCCAGATGGGTGCATGGACAGTCACATCAAAAACAGTTCAGGATTATCAATCTGATGATAGCGACAGCGATTCAGATACGGAGATGGAGAATCAAACAGTGATTGAATCTGCTGCAAAGGAACCACATATGCCAATTATCGATGAAGATGGATTTGAAACTGTCGTTCGCAAAAAAGGAGGTCGTCGGTGATGGCTTGCATTAGATTATGAATAAACTGGGTTGAACTTGGATGCAATCAAGTCTATTATTTTATATTTTGGCACTGAATAATTGTTTATCAGTTTCGGTTGAAATGCAAATTCTACTGCAGAATCCACTTTTCCACTATTGCAGCAACTGTCGGATCTAGCTATCATCATGTCGCTGTTTGGCAATACACCTACAAAAACCATCTCAAGTTCCATGTTTCAGACCCCCTTGCTGCATGTTCCTACAAAACACACTGATGATGTGGACTTTGCTCCTGCTTTTCGTCAGTATATTGTATCTGCATATGCCGAGGATCCTGACACTCATGCTGCCGCCATTGCTGCCTTGAATAGAGCCAGGCAAGACATCAGAGGCTGTGGAAAGGATATTACTGGGAGAGATATTCTTTATAGATACTACGGTCAGTTGGAGCTCTTGGATTTAAGGTTCCCTATCGATGGCAAAACTGTTACCATTCTGTTTAACTGGTAATTTCAACCTTTGGCTATTTATTATCAATTTGAATCATCCCTGTTTTAATATCAGTGTTCTAGGTACGATGCATTTACTTCAAAACAAGTATCACAGTACTCCATTGCTTATGAAAAAGCTTCGGTTATTTTCAACATTGCTGCTACTTGCTCCTCCATTGGCGCTTTACAAAACAGATTCGATCTAGCTGGTCTTAAAGTCGCATTCAATTACTTTCAAGCTTCAGCTGGATTGTTTCAGTACATCAACGACAATTTTCTTCATCCTCCATCCGTTGATATGTCTAGAAATTCTGTAAAATGTTTAGGGGAGTTGATGTTGGCTCAAGCCCAAGAATGCTTTTTGGAAAAGGTTTTGATTGAGAAGAAACAAGGGTTGTTGGTTGCTAAATTAGCTGCTCAAATCGCTCTGGTGTACTCGACTGTATTGGATGGGTTTGGAAACCCCAGTCTCAAGGGTCAGTTTGACAAGTCATGGTTTGATCTGGTCAAGGTAAGCCAATCTATTTTCAACAGTTTTATGAATCCTACAACTAAAACGACTTTAATTTTAGATCAAATCTAATCATTTCCAAGCTCTTGCTCATTATCACAAATCCATTCAACTCGAGACAGAAAATCAATATGGTGAACTTACTGCTCATGCAACTGCCGCAGATACCATTGCAACAAATAATATCAAACTGGCTGAACAGTTTGTTTCTGCATTTCCTTCATTCACAGTCTCAAAAGAAATTGCATCCACTGCTGCAACCACTACATCGGGCCAAAAAACATCAGATGCAACAGCAGTTTTAGACATGGCAAAATCACTTGCAAAAATTGTTGGAGAACGAAAACAAACCGCCATAAAGGATAATGAGCTGATTTACCATGCTACCGTGCCAGACATGGCTGCTTTACCACCCATTGAAAAACTGAATGCAGTCAAACCTATTCCATTCGCCGACTTGTGCACCAATGGAAGAGCAGATATCTCACTCATTATTGGACGTGATATCTTTCAGGCTTTGGTTCCCTTGTCTGTGCACGAATCATCTTCGCTGTATTCGGAAGAAAAAGCCAAGTTGTTGCGTGGAGAACAGGATCGTGTCAAGGAGGCTGATGCAGACTTGCAAGTTACGTTTGATTCACTCAATATGGTTCCTACATTGAATCGATTAAAGAACTTTCTCAGAGCGGACCCACACACCTCAGATACTCTTGACATTAATATACCAAAAACAATCATTGAGGCTTGCAATACGGTTCGAGCAGAAGAAACAGATAGAACGAAAATCGACTATATTCTGAGCCTCATTAACGCATCCAAAATCAAATCTGATACCACACTAAGTGAGCTTGCTATGCTTCTTGACAAGGAACAGTATGAGTGTGAGACCAACCGTGTCAAGTATATGGATCAATGGACGATGGAGCCTAGCTTTAAGCTTGTTGCCAAACACCGAAAAGATTTGAGAGAATATTGCGAGTCATCAGAAAAGGCAAAAGAGACGGACAAGGTGATGATGAAGCAGATTGAAGGCATTCAAGGTTTTTTGGCTTTGTTTACGTGTTCCATAAAGGAGTTGGAAAAGAATTTGGCTGATGCAGTTGTAAGCGCAGGTGGCAGTTCTATGGCTGCTGCCAGTACTGGTTCAAGCCAAAACATATCGCTTTTGGATGAGTGTATAGATGGCACTCCTAGTTCCGACGGACTTGGTGCTCTTGGTGAACAAATTGTATTGGAAAAAATTGACGGCATTCTTCAGCGGCTTCGTGCACTAAAAAAAGCTCGATCTGATCTTGTTGAGGATCTTAAACAAAAACTTCATAATGATGATGTTTCTTCGCTCTTGTTGCTTAACAAGGGACGCGAGCAACACATCTTTCAAACAGAACTGTTCAAATTCCGACCTCTTCAAAGCAAAATCGACTCAAACCTTGAATCTCATGCGGGGCTTCTTAAGGACGTCACAAACGAGTTTCATAAACTCCTAAAATCTTCACAGGCGATGAAAGTGCTTGATCTCCGTGAAAACAAACGGAATCAATTGATATCCCAGTGGAGCAAGCAGTTTGGACTGTATAAGGAGATCAAGTCTGGATTGGCAAAGGGCATCGAGTTTTACAAAGATTTGGAGACAAAAGTTGGAGAGCTACGAGAGCTAGTTGTCGGATTCGTGAATCGAAGGAGTTCAGAAGTCGCTGCACTTATCAAACTGATCGACTCGACGCAGGCAGAGAAAGGACAGGCTGTTTTGAAGGAGCAGCTGCGACAGTTGAGTGTTTCTGAAAATTCGCAAGCTTCAATTGGTCACGGAGTCCCTGGATCTACTGGATTGCAGCAAGGACAATATCTACAGTATCAAGCCACACCTCCACCTCCAGCAGTATCTTCTGCCGTGTCTACTACTGCATACCAGACTCCTCTTAATCTTCAACAGCAACCACCACCGTATCAAACTCTTCTAACGCAGCAATCTCCCACGGCGTCATATTCTGCACCACCACAACAGCAACAAAGATCGCACATTCCATTTTCTTCTACTACGAACCATACTGGATCTGCACCTTCCAGTCAGTATCCTCTCCAACAGCAGGGATATCAACACCCACCACCACATTTTACTTCCGAATCTAACACTGGTTACCCATCACAACCTCAGTATCCAAGTCAACAACCACAGTACCAGCAACCAAATGGATACATCACATCCGATCCATCACTTGGTGCAGAGTATCGGCAATTCATTCCACCACAGCAGCCAATCCACAGTGCAGCTACTCTGCCACCACCCTTGGCTCCTCCAAAACTTTCGTTGTTGTCCACCCCGCAACCCACAGTGTCCATCTATCAAAATACGTCAAGACAAGGACCACCACCTCCGCCCATCCCTACTCAATATCAGCAACATGCAGCATCGTATTTCCCTCAAAGTATACCAGTAGGAAATGCAAGTGGTGGATCATACGCGTCGCAGCTACCACAGCAGGGACACACTCAACCTTCAATTACAAATGTGCGGAATGAATCCAATTATTCACAGTTTCAATATACATCTCAATCGCCACAGCTGCATCAGCAGCCATATCAGCCAGTTATTTCCAGTCCTTCTGTGCCATATGGTGGTTCTTTTAATCAAGGATCTGTTCAACACCCTCAACCTGGTCAACATATGAATGGACAATATGCCTTCCAATCAAACGAGTCGCTTGGGTATGCCAGTCAACCAAATCAGCAAACAGGCCAGCCACCTTCACACTACAATCCACCTCCATCATTGATCTAGCACGCCTCTAAATTTGTCAACTCCGCTCCAAGCTTGATTTTATATTTGCAATCATGGCACTTTATGAAAAAATAAACAAATTCAATGAATAAAATGCAAACTGATTTTTAATTATGCACAGCAATGTAGATTGGGAAGCCATCTGACCATTAAACAAAAAGGCAGTTTGAATAACTATAGAAGAAATGGAGAGACAAAGGAAGCTGAACCAAAAAAAGATGTAGACAATAAGGTTTTGAAAAAGCAAACCATATAGTAATCTAAAGAACGTTGTCTCACCCATATTAAAAATGGGTAAATTCCTATCTACTCATAATAGGGTCTTCAAAGACCTTTAAACCGAGGCAGTCAGTAGATTATCTGATGGAGTGATTCCCATTGGCAACCACCACACTGTTTGCAGAAGTGTTGTTGTTATAGCCCAAATATTGCAATACGGCACTCTGATCCGCAACATCGAATGCACAATTAGTAGTGGCATAAGAAGCATCGGACATGATGGCATGGCCTTTGGCAGACTTGCATAACTCATCGAGTTCATCATTGTCATTATTATCCAGAGTATTGTTTGATAGAGTACGAGATCGATGATTACGGTAGTCTGTTTGTGAAATTCCAGTGTTATCGGTAGGCAAAGGAGGAACAGTAGGCAAAGACTTGTCCCATGGTTTTGAAGTCTCGGCAGTAAATGGAAGGATAGTATCGAATGTAATGGGAGGGCCAGATGATATTTCGGGTAGCTGAATGGGACCGGGAGGAAATGACACAGACCGAGGTTTGGAGGGATTGCTGTCAGCACTGGAAGAATGTTTGGATAAAGATCCAGTATAGGAGTAATGCCATGAAGGAAACCGGAAAGCCTTCTTGGGCAATGCAGCTCCATCAGTAGATGTAGTATGAGGGAGCGACATTCTCTTACTTGCAGTAGCATCGTCTGGTGTAGTTTCAGGAATATTGATGGTATCAGCAGAGCGACTGGTAGCAATAGTCGAGTCCTGGTTTGCTTGAGCATGGTGCTCATGACTCGGAGTCTTGTGTAGGATTCTAGTGAGAGTTGATAGTGATGACCATAGCTTTTTGCTGGGATTAGGAAGCGGGTCGGTGTGACTGCAAGGTCGATGGCTAGTATTGCTGTCCGTCATACTATCAGCAATGGCGGATTTTGTAGGAATATAAGGATCCAAAGTGCACTCGACGGCCAAGATAACTGGGAGCGACTTTTGTAATAGCAAAGGCGAGCAGTTGCCGTCAATAACGAGTGGTGGCTGCTTATGCTTTGAGGTGTTATCAAGTGGCTGCTCTGGCAAGACTGTCAGCGACGGCTGGATGCTCTTCTTCTTACCAACAATAACAACATCCGCTTCTTTTTCTATTGAGTTGTTGGGCGGACAACCATTACTAATCCAAGTATTTAAGGGATTGTCACTACTATGATCAGGGGCGGATTCTATAGGGTTGGAGGGTAAAGGCTTCTTGGTCAGACTATTATTACGCATCACAACCAACTCTAACGAATTACGACGATGAAAGGGGCGCGACTCCATGGATTCACCATCTGGGCTACTATCTGACCTAGCAATAAAGCCATCGTCACTACCAACAAGAACTTTTCCCGAGTCAATCGTGTCTGCAATCGGCAGGTTGGACTTGCTCGTATCTATAACAAAAAGGTTAGCTGGCATATCCTTGGCATGAGCAGTATTCTCATTGCTGCCAAATAACAGGCTGCTCCATGCTCGCTGTAAATTCTGTCGCAACCAATTCCATGGTCTAGATTGACCATCTGTTTTCTCGGCTGCTGTCGATCTACCATGTCGATTGTGGTAGTGGAATATACTGTGGATACTGCTGGAATGGCTGCTATATTTGTATGGCTCCAATATTGCTGTTACTAATGGATCAGAAAATTGCACTCTCTTGCATCGTATGAGAGTGCACTTATGAACATGATTGATGGTAGTGGTAATTTCAGCATCAGTTGTTTCTGTAGAGGTTTGGGGAGCCGAATAGAGCATCGCCATTTGAACGGATGATACTGTTACATCTGATTTCATATCAGTATTATCTACATTTATACAACTAGTCGCTGCATCAATATCTGCCATGGCGACTGCAGAAACAATTATAATTATTAGTACAAATCCATCGAGTTGCCTAATTGTCGTGATGACTATTTCCACAGAATAGTCATGTGATTATAAATGCTAAGCCATTTGCAACCCGTGATTCTGTCATACCAGTCTTTCTCACTGCTTTAGCCTCAACATCACATTCCTACTATTCACGTGGCTATACTTTATCCCATCACTCAGTAAAGCTTATTGCATCAAAATCCAGTCATTCCATCTTGCACAGGTGCTACTTGTTCTCAATAGTTCAGAATCATCCATCATATTTAAATATTGTTTCTAAATTACAACCGTATTCACTTACAATTCAACACTTGTATTTATCTTGCAGTGACTATTTTGGAATATACAATGATTAAATATTCGTTGCACTTGCTACACATTAACTCTAATTGGCACTTTCAATTCAATAAACACAACGACCATCATACAATACAAACTATAGGTTCAAACCAAGATTGTTTCCGTGTTGATCATCAGGAAAAATACCAGTAAACTTTGTCAAGGAGTTTAGAGCATGGTGATGTCCAGTACATGTAGTGTAAACTATCACTATATGAGACTGATGGTTTATCATGTGTTTTGACACATTTAGGGTTCCATTTATATGAATACGGCTGTAAGGGGTGGATGATATAAAGCCCATAACAAGAACACGTCCGTATTTCAAATCTGACCAACAATAAATTTTTTAACCTCAAACAACTAGCTTAGGTGGACTTGCCCAAATGTCTGAAGCCTTCATACAACGACCTCGGATATACATTCCTCCCAAAACAAACCAGTTTACCAGTAATATGGCAAATTCAAACAACAACAGCCTCGACAACGTCAATGTTGGACCAGACACGCATCTTTCTAAAATAAACTTATCCAGTGAAGTCGTTGTAGACCGCGTAGCTGCAGATGCACTTTTGTCAACTAGCAATAGCGCAGATAGACCGTTACCGTCACTTCCATTCAAACAGAAACACTACCAACACAGAAAAGAACATGATGCTGACTCTTCCCATCTCAGTCCACCAAAAAAGAAATCATTGCTGAGCGGGTTAGGCAAACGGGAAACTCAAACCACATCCATGCCTTCATCTCCACCATCCACATCTCAAAAAGTCAGATACAATGATACCGAATCTGCTGTTTCTCGCTTAAAATACTCTCCAATAACCTCGTCATTAACAACCGTTGGAGTAGACGAGGTGGGATTACTACTTGGAGAAATTATCATGGGGTTAGAAGCCCTTAGTTTGCACATGCCAGAACTGTCTACTATTTTAAAGCAGTTATCGGAAATCAAGGTAATTGCAAGATTGAAGTTGTCATGCCAAATTAAAACAGTTGAAAAGTATTGTGTTGCTAATTAAGTTAACATGCACGGTTAAACCGATAGGATAATTTAGTGCTAAAACGAGATGACATCAACAGCCATATAAATGCACTCTCAGAATCCTTTAATCCACTCAAACTTCAAGGCGCATCAACCCCATTCACTCCAGGTATGATGGAGCTAGTATCATCACCACAATCCTCATCTATAGACCCACTTCCGTTTCACCGAGCAATCCGCAACACTGGGGTTTCCAATAACGCAGTTGAACACTCCACGGCATCCCATATGATCTACAGCTGGATGTACGAAATGCAAAAGATTGCTTGGATCATGAATGAAAAGGTGAAAAAATACCAAAACGTCGTTTCCATTGCATTGAGCACGGGCTATCATCGTCGTAAATTAATCGATTTCTGCACTCGCATCCGATCTGCATGGGCAGAACTAGCAAGTATCGCCTTTAAATGTTCAAACGAGTCCAATATGCTACATATACGTCAATATGCTAATCATTTTTTTGCATCATTAGCTACTTGAGCTGAGTGTTGCATTGGCTCAAACATGCACTCAAAAAACCCATCAAGTGGCTGAAAATATCACCAAACTGGCTGTAGCCACAGGAGTACCCGGAGATTGGGCAGGTAATGTTCAACAGCTTTGATCTCAACCTTGCTCATATGTTTATTGATGGCAACTCTTTTTATTTGATATTAAACATTTAAACAGACATCACTTTGGATGATGCCAAAAGTATTTTCATGCAAGGCGAAAAGTATTTCATGGGTTATGGTGTAGTGAAATCTCATGACATTGCTTTTAAGAGATACGAGGTTTGGTTGTTGTTGGTCATTATGTGCATTGCCAAAATGTTCCAATTTAACTTTGTAAATGTCAATTCTAAATATAGGTGGCGGCAAAGATGAATTTGGCTGATGCATGCAACATGCTTGGAGTCATGCTTGAATTTGGATTGGGTCGTAAACGAGATATGCCAAACGCGACAAAATGGTATCGAAAGGCTGCCGAAGGAAAATCAGCAGAGGCACTCAACAATCTTGGTCGATTATATGAGCTAGGACGAGGATGCCAAGTAAGCCATGTTTTAGCTACAGAAATGTATAAACGAGCGGCTAAACTGGGTCACCTTGATGGAATCACCAACTACGGTATGCTTATTGCTAATCCCAGCGCTAATTTTGGTTTCGGTTTAATGCTGGATCGACAGAGTTTTTAACAAGAATTTATACTCCAACGCATTTCATTTCAGCATTCATGATCGAGAATGGGTTAGGAGTAGCACAGGATTTACGGATGGCAGTGGAATTGTATCGATCCGCAGCCGATATGGGGTATGCTCGTGCTCAAAATGCATTGGGAAGCTGCTACTATCGAGGTCGAGGAATTCGCCGCGATCACACAGAAGCAGTCATTTGGTATCGAGCTGCAGCTGATCAGGTTTGATATCGCTGCACTCTGACTATACTTGATTATACTTGGCTATACTGATGAATTTAACTCGATAGGGATTTCCGCCAGCACAAAATAACTTGGGAATTTGCTATGAAGAAGGAAATGGCATTGGAAAAGATAACATCATGGCTAAAGCGTATTACCAAAAGGCAGCGGATCTTCGACATCCAAGCGGTACCAACAATTTAGGATATATGCTATTGACGGAAGGAGATTATATTGCAGCAATGCAGTATTTTCATGTTGCGTTATCATTGGGAAGGTACGTATTACAATACTGAAGTTTAGGCCTGGTTTAACAGTCAGTTCATAGTATGCCTAAATTTTACTACGAATTGTTTAAATCTACATAGCATCGATGCTGCATACCATCTTGGTACAATATATGAATCTGGATGCACCGAGCTTTCCAGTCTGGTCAAGCGAGCAGTTCAACTATCTCAATCTACCATCACTCGTCAAATAGAACTGGCAATTCAATACTACCAAATTGCGGCAGACAAGGTATGCTTTATTGAAAAACGCAATAGCAGTGTTTTATTAAATTGTATGGTTAAATTCATAATTTAATTGCCATATTATAACTGAAACAGGGACACACTAACGCACAGGTGCGTCTTGCAACTGTTTTGATTTGCGTTTCTCAAGCGACTACAAATCTAGAAAGTGATGCATTCTTGTTATCATATAATAGATCACGCCAGACAAAAAGCTCCTTGGAAACCAAATTTACTTTTGGCGAGACATCAACGGCGCGGTACGATGCTGCACTCAAATATTTATTAATGGCAGCAACGCCTTCTACTGAATCAGCTGCTGGAAAAAATGCTCAAGACAATCAAATTGTTGGTCAATTAGAATTGTTGTCTGTCCAGCAAAACGATAAACCCCAGGGTCCAGAATACCAGAACCACGATCGCCACAACTATGGTGCATATTATACTAATCAAACCAGCTTTAACCAACAAAACACATCTACTCAATCAAATTCTGGGCTTTTTAATGGAGATCCAGAAGCACAAAATATGCTCGGAGAGCTGTTTGAGATGGGATACGCAAGAGGGTTGGATGGAGATGGAGATCCTACAATTGCTGCATCATGGTATAGACGTGCAGTGCGACTTGGTCATGCTCGTGCAACTTTTAATCTTGCTGCCTTGTATGAGACTGGTCAAGGAGTTGCCAAAGATTTCGACAAAGCCATTAAACTTTACCGCGAAGTATGTACCTCATTCATGACAAGTATGATTAAATTATTGGTCTTGTCTGACTCGTTTATACATTGATGTATTTTATAGGCTGTTCGTCGTGGTAATCAAGAAGCTTCTGAACGACTGGCTACTTTGGCCGATCTTCCTCTTTCCTCAATGTAATAGAGTAGATTGACTTTACAATAAAGGTTTAAAAAATCATTTGAGCTGTATTCACGTACAATGCAACACTTGTATTTATCTTGCAGTGACTATTTTGGAATATACAATGATTAAATATTCGTTGCACTTGCTACACATTAACTCTAATTGGCACTTTCAATTCAATAAACACAACGACCATCATATAATACAAACTATAGGTTCAAACCAAGATTGTTTCCGTGTTGATCATCAGGAAAAATACCAGTAAACTTTGTCAAGGAGTTTAGAGCACGGTGATGTCCAGTGCATGTAGTGTAAACTATCACTATATGAGACTGATGGTTTATCATGTGTTTTGACACATTTAGGGTTCCATTTATATGAATACGACCGAAAGTCAATTTCTAGTAAAAAACTGCAGCAAATGCTCGACTATTGTTTATTCTAAATCAAATAAATCCACTGCAAATAGATACAAAAGTTCCATTTTACGTGAATACAGCTGTAATATTTAGTAAATGTTTCAAGTAGCCGCAGCATCTGCAGCAGATAACTCTAAATGTAAACCAGCACTTGAATTACCTGTAACCGTGACAACCCACATCGCTGCAACATGTAACTCGACTGATTCAACTAAACCTACTGTAAATTCTGGTTCTACTATGCCAGCCGCTTCAACTGATGTATCCAACCCAACGTTTTACAAACGCGCATTGCCTGTATCGTGTATCGCACTGCATACACAACAGGGAAAGGCTCTCTTTCGTGAATCTCTGGACCAAGATTACATGGAGTCTTATTTTATTCTTTCAATGCAATTTCTAACACAATCCGAGCCTGCTTTTTGCGGTCTTAGCTCGTTGTGTATGGTCTTGAACGCACTGGAAATGGATCCACTACGAACATGGAAGGGAGTGTGGCGATGGTATGACGAATCCATGCTCGATTGTTGTAGAAGTCTAAAAGAAATACGAGAAACAGGGATATCTATTGCAGAGTTTGTATGTTTAGCTCAATGCAATGGTCTTACCGCTCATCTTCACCGACCTGGTGGAGATTCCACATATGATAATTTTTTGAAACAATTAAAGCAAGCATGCCAGTCGCCAGATATACATATGGTGGTCTCATATGATCGCAAGGCTCTTGGCCAAACTGGAACCGGGCATTTTAGTCCGATTGGAGGGTAATTTACAAGTATTGTATAGACATGACGTTTAAGGAATATGAGATGAATAATGCTATTTAAATCTGACTGCCCAATCTAGATATAACGAAACAAAAAATATGGTTTTGATTTTAGATGTTGCAAGATTCAAGGTATTGTTTTAAATGCTTAAATATTTTTCAAAGGGTCATACTAACTGTATTCTAAACCATTTTATTCAAAGTATCCGCCTTATTGGGTGTCTACTGATTTACTATGGTATGTTGATTAACTTTCCATGTCAGTCTTGTTTGCCAGCTGTTGGCTTACTGTGCATTGACTCACTAGGGAATCAATGAAACCACTTGATCTTTCTACAAATAAGTCAAGAGGATATGTGATTTTATCGAGAGGAACACGACCACTCATTCAATCTGTTTTTAGCCAACTGTCAGTAACAAGTGGATCGTGGCCACAGCTAGCAAACATGCTATTTCAGGTCTTGCCGCAAAGGCTAAAAGAAATGCCTTCTAATAGCACAGTGGAAGAAGTCATTTCTCAAGTCATTTCAGCCATACCGGATGTATTCAATTGTATTGTAGATGATCGTACACAGCTGTTTCTTCCAAAAATACTTGCAGATGCGGCATTGGCAGTTCAATCAACACCTACACATTTTGATGATAATACAGTCCGTGCTACAGTAGAGACTCAGTTGCCATTAACATCAACATCAAATACCGGCTCCTATGACGCAGAGACGATCAAGCAGTATATTCAAGGGCTGGATGAACTCTTGGCTCAAATTTGCAGCACAGAGCTATACGCGACGGTATCTTCTTCGATTGCAGCAAAACGAAAGCTAAAAACATTGGAAGATATACTCAACGGCATTGCAGTGAATGACGAGGCATTACAAGTCCTGTCACAAATCCAGTCGCAGCAATCATTTTTTTCATCCACATGTCCAAAGGAAGTCATGTCTCCAGATACCTTGGTTTCATCAGCAGATTTAAACCTTTCAATGTTGGATCATGGTGATGGGGTTGTGCAAAATGCATCAGCCATGTCATTATTTAGTCGACCATCGTTCAATGGCAACATACCGCTGTCAATACGATACTCTGTTCTAGATCGCATGAGTCGACGCAATTCTGTCGCTGCCTTGTATCCAGCGTATAAAACAACTGATCCTACATCGTCACTTTGTAATAATCCAAGCGACATGGCAGGTAATGACTTTTGTGCATTTCTTACTCTGTTTCTGTTTGCACTGTTCTCTTTTCGGCCATTGTATGAGAATCTACCAATGGGACCACTAGAGAAGCAAATACGCAGACTAGTAGATGCCGGACATGCTAAAGTATCAGAAGGAGTGTGGGCAGAAATATACTTGTTGAAAAACCAAATGGCAGCACTGACTGAGCTGCAGCAAGATTCCAATAAATAGATTTACAAGTTGGAAGCGAGCAATTCAATTAGTGGTTTCCTTTATTCTGAAGATACAGAATTGCTAAACAGCAAGCCATCATGTCACACAGTCACGGAGGGCATAACTGCAGTGATGAACATGACCATGATCATGATGGTCCTGATAGAGGAGAGGAAGTCACTCTTATATCTCAGATTGACCTGGACAATGTCCGTTGTCTGAATGAAGCCATTTCAGGGTATTGTCTTTTGCCTAGAGTCTTTGTTTCTATACGCTACTGCTAAACGTGTGCTAGACTGATCATATATACATGAACTAGGTCGGTAAAGAAAGTGTTTCGTCCATGGGACAAGCGGTTTGATGAAGGACAGGTTGGATATTGGCTTATAGCATGCATTATACATTTGGATTTGTCAGTATAAACCATTCTGTAATACACACAACGATTCTAGTTTGTCGAGAGCGATGCAGACGAGCAGTTGATTATATTCATTCCGTAAGTATATATCTCGAGTCTTGATTATACTGCAAACTCGCTGCTATTTTATATGCAAAATTCAGACTTGTTAAATAACACTGCCAATAGATTTGTTAGTTCTGTCAAACTCAAGTCCATTGCATTGCTGGGAAACAACGATGCCAGTGCTCCATCATGCATGAAAGTGTACGTTGGGATTGCTTGCCTACCTACAAGAACTCTGTCCTCACTACTCTTTATATTAGATTCATCAATAGAGAAGATATCGATTTTGGATCGGTTGAATCTACTGGCTGTCAGCAGGAATGGGAACTAGTTGAAACGATCCCAAGGGGTGTGATTCCAGAATATCCAACTCGTATGACCAAGTTTGCCAATGTCCGTAATCTAACCTTGTTTATTCCAAGCAATTTTGGCAGCGAGTCCACCAAAATCAACTATATTGGACTCAAGGGCGAGTGGACAGCCATTACCAAGGCTCCGATCATTACTATTTACGAGGTAGTTGATGCTAGTTGTAATACTAGAATACACCAGCAATTCAATTATACACTAATCTTGCTTTTTTGGGTTTGTATATTTTAAACAGTTGGCTGCCAATCCTGCAGATCACAAGACAGAGGCTGATAGTTTGAAGGGATTCGGCACAATCCAGTGAATCTTGGGCAATCAAGCCATGTATCCACATCCTGTTGGGAATCCCGTTTTTATCTCAATAGCCCATCTATATTATTCATTAAATCCCAAGGCAGTTGAAACTTTGATAAAGCGAGGATTTTAGAATATATTTGGTGTGGGTGCCAACTGCCATGACTTTTGGTGGGGACGATTCTGCACCCTTTTCAACTGTAGCATTATGATGATTGCCTAGGTTTAGGATGGTGAATTGCAGATATGCCATTCGTGAACCTACTTTACTAGTAGTACATTGTACCTGGATTGTATCTCCAAGTACTGCGCTTGATAGAAACTGAAGGTGCAGATCCACTGTTGTTGACATGAATGCCTCTGGATTGCATGCTGCTAATGCGAACGATGTGCATACATCTGCCAACTATAGATGCACAGTACATTTGAAAGGTTCATTTAAAGAGTCTAAGTTTGTTGTGATGATGCAGTTTCATTCTTTGAACCTTGACAAGTACACTCAAGCAATAGAAAAATGCTTACTATGGCACATGCACCACCATGCAACGTATTCAATGGGTTTAGCATGGATTGATCAACGACGGTTTGAAAGGAAATCAAGTTGGGAGTTCCGTTCTCTCTCTCATCAACAACTTTCAAACGGCATATGATATCATGCCCATATCGTCCATGGTACATGTGTTTAACCATATGGTCGAATACGTCCTGAGTGAATGCCATGATCAAAGAGTAATTGAATGGATAAAAGAATATCTAGCTGAATAATGTATTTTGTAAACACTCGTGCTTCAGCAGACGAGATTTGCATTGGATCGCGTCGATATGTTGGTCGCATATCTACGACTTGACAACTGTATTGACTCGAGTCAAGGAATTTTTAGTTGGCCCAATATCGGCTCTTTGCCAACTAACCTATCATGCTTGCAGCAGAATCTAGAGACCTGTTTAATGCCCCAGCTGCATCCCAAACAGCAAGAGTGGACAACTCCGCTCCCTATTATTCAGACACCCAACCAACACAACAGTCACTGCAACAGCCACAACTCTCGGTTCTATTCAATATATCTAAAAAGGAACAATACACGCCCAGCAATGGGTTCAAGTCGTTACAACGAAGGCTGCGGTCAGCTTTCAAAATCGGCTTGTAAGAATGCTTGCATTATAGCTTAAATATTGGCAAACTACCAATATAATAAAATGCATTGCTCATATTGGTGTATGTTGAGTAGTAAAGTTTGGATAAGCTGTCTGGACACCTATTCAACCTCTGCATCAATTGTAATCCTAGTAATGCACAACACGCGACGAATACTTGCTATTTAATGGTTTTTATTATACTCATATTTATCTATATCTTTTAGATTCAAGGAGGATATGAATCTGCCTAAACTCACTGATACAAATTTGCTCATCTTTGGTGCTCCAAGGGAAAAATTCTCCACTTCCGAGGTAATCGGATGGCTGATTATTGTATTGGCAGCTATTGCACAAAATAACCAATTAGAATGATTTCAAATAATACTAGTTTTCGGCACTCAAAGCATATCTGGAGCGAGGTGGATCTATTTTGTATTTGGCTGGAGAGGGAGGCGAATCAGTTTCCAATACCAATTTTAACTACCTACTTGAAGAGTACGGTATGATGGTCAATCCAGGTATGTCATTTAGTGGGGGTTTCAAAAATATGATATTCAGGCATATCGATTGATCAGTTATAATTAAATTCAACTGTACATGTACACAGATTCAGTTACACGTACTGTGTATTTTAAATATTTCCACCCAAAGGAAGTTCATGTGAGCAATGGTGTATTGAACCGTGAACTAAATCGGATATCTGGAAAGCGGGAATTGAGTACGTCTGACCAGTCGACACAAGATTTAGGGAAGACCAATCCCAGGTGTATTTAAATTTGAATGGCTTATGCTTATCAGGAAACTATAGATGAATCATGTTAACTCGAGTATTTAAATTTTGAAATACAACGTAAAGCTCCTTGACATTTGTATATCCGTTTGGGGCCTCGCTAAATGTGCAAAAACCAGCTGTTCCACTGTTGTCGTCAGGAACTGTATCGTATCCGCTCAATCGACCGATTGGTGCTGTGTATCAGACATCCAATAAAGGCGGAAAGATGATTGTTGTTGGATCAGCCAAGATGTTTTCAGACGAGTATATTGAAAAGGAAGAAAATGCCAAACTGTTTGATGTGTTGATTCAGTTGTTGACATCTGGTATGTTTTGATTCAATTTTGAATACAACAGTCCTGACTGCTGTTGGTTATGTGCACACATGGTGCTGATTGTCTAATGTAAATTTTAGACAAGGTTGTTTTAAACAGCATTGATTCCAATGAGCCTGATGTAAGAATACGGTTTTGTCAGTGACCAGATTGATTTTTATTGATTGACAAAACTGATGGATTTTATAGATTTCTGATTATCATTATCTCCCAGAGACCCCAAAATTATCAGAGACGCTACGATCGTGTCTGCAGGTACTAGAGAGATTTAGGCCGTGTATTATAATACCGAATTGAAAAACTAGACTAATTCAGGGATTACCAATACACTTATATTTTCAATTGAATAGGAAAGTGATGAGTTACCCAAGGACTTTTCAACCATGTTTGATATGAAGCTGTTTAAATTTGATACTAGTCTGGTTCCTACAGCAGTTCGATTGTATTCACAGATGAATATCAAACACGGGCCGTTGACACTGATTCAACCTCAGGTACTACATAGTGGGAGTTTCAAGCATATCAGGATGTGATTAAACCATGTCTAACGTGTTCAAATGTATACAATCAACACTAAACTGTATAGTTTGAAACACCGCTGCCTCCATTGATACCAGCAGTGTTTCCACCCATGCTAAAAGATTTGCCACCACCCTCACTTGATCTTTTTGATCTTGACGAGCAATTTGCAAGCGAAAAAGCGCGGCTAGCGCAACTCACCAACAAGTGCCATGATGATGATTTGGAGTATTATATTCGTGAATGTGGTGATATTCTTGGGGTGACTGATCGTATGAATGCCAATCGAGATGGCAGCAATGCAGGAGAGAAGCCCGATGCAAAGCATATACTCGAGTATGTGTTCCAGAGTATTGCCAACTGGAAAAAACTAGATCAAGTCTAGTTTACAATGAGACCATTTTAATGGATTGTGAAAGCATACATTTAGTTGGTATCATTCACTGCTGTAATCACGTAAAATGAAGCACTAAATGGGTGTCGAAATACATAATAAATGGCCAGTCTCATGGTTGATTGGGTTCAGTTTGCTAAGCTATATTGTGCCCCTTGAACTGCTTAGTCGACTGGTCTTTTAGTGATTACTATGCAGACAGCTGTTGCATTTCTGGGATGTAATTTTGTTTTCTTGAACTGGAGTGCGAATATGATAGTTTAGGATAGAGTTTGGTTGAAAACATCAGGATAAATCTGGTGATCGTACGATGCATGGCTATACTGAACAAGACAGTCTCAGTTTAAAACTATAGTTTGTATAATGTATGTAGTGTCTATTGAAAAGGTCGATTTCTAGTAGAGAATCAAGACAAATACTTGACCATTGTATATCCGAAAACAATCACAGCAAGATCAATACATAAAGATTAAAGTTGTAAAATCAAACATGGTGCATTTTAAAAAACAAGACAAAAATTGAATGACAGGATACATTCAAAATGAAAGTATATGCATGTAAATAGTGAGCAGACTATTTAGAATCATTCCCAAAAAGAACAGCGACAAACATGACTGATAAATACAACTACTCTTCACGCTGGACAGGAGTAGACTCCTGAATCATAGATAGTTTAGCAGTGGATTGAGATAGTTTAAAAATGTTGGTATCCGAGTCATCACTATCAACATCAAAGCCACCGCTCAAAGACTGAGCATCGGCACCAGTCTTGACTGAAGCCATCATATCGGGAGAGATGGGCGAGATGGGAGCAGTTGGGTTGGATGAGTCCAAGTAAACGCCACCAATCTCACGACGGCCACCCATTGCGATTCCCAGGTCAGCGCGACGACCACTTTCTGTGGTGGAAAACATACCAGAAGAAACGGTAGTGTCGCCGGTGGGGATCGATGGATTGTATACTTGTCGAGATGCACCCATGGCACCCATTCCTGCTTGGGAGACTGGAGAAGTGAATGCCTGTAGAAGAGGAACTGCTGCTCTTCCTTCAGCTAGCTGTTCCTCGGTAAACCGACGTTTGGTGGCGGTAGCCAATTGTGGGCCGAGAGTTGGAACAGCGGTGTAACCATATTTGGCTGCCTGTCTGGACAGTGAAAATATAGAGTTGATGACCTGTTTTGTAGTGAGCATGATGAGTTAGTATAACATTCAAAGTCATGGTGTCTTACAAGACACTCCATATCATGATACCTGGTTGATATTCTTTGCTTCGAACAGATCGACAGTCTGGAAAGACTCAAAGGAAGGCATGCCCAACTGCTTGGTCTTTTCCAAGTACATGTGAATATTTTCCATCTGTTTAAACGGTAGTTTACTGTCAGCAATCTTTCTGATGGGATCATTGGGCATAATGGCATTGATGGTCTTGCAAAGAATGACACCGTTTTTGAGGTTTTCGGCAAACGACAAGTCATCATTGAAGTTGATGCCCGACACTTGTTCCAAGTACTGACGTGCCTCTGCTTCAAGAAGAGGACTGTACTTTGCAGCTGCCTTTTCAGCCAAATCCTTATCAAGAGATTGTGGGGTTAGTGTCATTTTCAGAAGAGTTGGTGAGGGCAACTGAGTGAGTTTTAAGAGATGAATGTGGCTCATACGGGTCGGTTTGTTGTGGGCTGCGGGTTGAATACTGCCACCATCAACAGACAGCTTCACATCAAAGAAAGCCTTGATTTGTTCACTTGCGTCTTGTAACTGCTTGACATTATCAACCCAAACTCAAGAGTCGGATTCGATTATCAAGTTGATTATCAAGTCAATTCAATTATTCAATTCAATTCGTGTTTATCGATTATTCAAGTCAATTCGGCTCGTTTATAATTTTCCCTTTTGATCATCTTTGAATAGCGAATGACACTGTCGTCCGTCATGGCTACAAAAATCGCCTTTTCATTCAAAGGAACTCCTGCTTATGGTATTGGCTTGCATTCCTAATGTGTATAACTTGTCGGTCTTTTATACAAGAGCACAAATGATTAATCGTTTGATCTTATCAAGGTGCTTTGGCTACTGCCTATGCTCTGATGGCCATTCGTAAAGAGAATGCGACTGGTTTGGCTGCAAACAGTTGTGCAAATATTCAGACTTCATTCTCTGCTACCCAAGACAAGGATGTTGTGTTGGATCATGATGGGCAAGTAATACTTGTTGCCATTCATCTTGGCTCAATACTAACTTTGTGTCAATCTTGATTCCGTATTACAGACAGACCATTACTGGATCAAATGCTGTCTGTCGTTCGCTTGCTGCACTTCATTCTACCTGTGGTCTGTATGGCTCTTCTGCTGCTGTTTCTTCTCAGGTAATTCAAATCTGCAGATTTGATTTTTTTAAATTTAAAATGCCAACTAGCAATCCCTAATCTACTGTATAGATTGATTACTGGTTAGACTTCTCTCAGGACAATCTGTTTGTTACCGATTTTAAAAAACTCGCATCATCGTTTGATGTCTTGAACAACCATTTGACCCTTCGTTCATTCATTATCGGATGCTCGGCTACCATTGCTGATCTTGCTGTTTGGGGTGCTCTCAAATGTATGTCTACTTTTTATTTTAGTTGCAACTTGTATTGGCAGGCTAAAAATTAACTCGACCGTAATACTCGCTTGATTTAGCCAACGCTATATTCAATAAACAGCTCAAGGGCGGAAAGTACGATGGAGAATATCTGATTAGATGGTATAATTCAGTCAGTGCTCTTGATTTTGTCATTTCTGGATTAAAGGATCTGGATGTGGCCAAGAATGCTGCAAAAGATCGCAAAGATCAAGGGTCAATGAGTATCGATCTTCCAGATGCCATAGAAGGCAAAGTTGTCACTCGTTTTCCTCCAGAACCCAGTGGCTATCTTCATATTGGCCACGCCAAAGCCGTTTTGCTAAACGATTACTTTGCTCGCCAATACAAGGGAAAGCTAATCATCCGATTTGACGATACCAATCCTAGCAAGGAAAAGTTGGAATTTCAGGACAGTATCACTGAAGATATAGCACTTCTTGGTGTCAAGGGCGATATCTTATCCCACACTTCGGACCATTTTGATCATTTACTGTCCGAGGCTATTCGACTCATTAAGCTTGGTAAGGCGTATGTGGACGACACCGTTCAGGAAGTTGTAAGTCAAATAGTCAACGTGAATGGACTATCGTTTTAAGTGGTTTCACAATTCAGTACTGATTTGTACTGTTTAAATTTAGATGCGTGCTGAGCGTTTTGATGGTATTGATTCCAAAAATCGTAATTTGTCTATTGAAGAAAATCTGAGCCGGTTTGAAGACATGAAAAATGGTACCGAGTCGGGTCTTAAATCATGTCTTCGTGCCAAAATCGATATGCAGGACAAGAACAAGGCAATGCGCGATCCGGTAATTTACCGTTGTAACCTAATACCTCATCATCGTACAGGATCACAGTACAAGGTGTATCCAACTTATGATTTTTCATGTCCTATTGTCGACTCTCGTGAAGGCGTAACCCATGCTCTTCGTACTATCGAATACCGTGATCGTAATGCCCAATATGCCTGGTTCATAAAGACGCTTGATCTTCGCTGGGTTCATGTCTGGGACTTTAGTCGTTTGAACTTTGTCTACACACTGCTTTCAAAGCGCAAGCTAACTTGGTTTGTTGATGAAAAGCATGTTTCTGGATGGGACGATCCTCGCTTCCCTACAGTTAGGGGAATTCGTCGCCGTGGTCTAACCATTGATGCGTTGCGCCAATACATTATCTCACAAGGTGCATCTCAACGCGATCTTATGCTTGAGTGGGATAAGCTGTGGACAATGAACAAAAAGGTTATTGACCCTATTTCTCCTCGCTATGTTGGCATTGCCAAAAAGGATATTGTCAAGGGAATATTTATTGACGAGACGATTAAAGTGCACACCAAAGAGCTTCTCAAACACAAAAAGAATGCCGATCTGGGAGTTAAAACCACTACTTTTGGACCCGAGATTTATCTTGAGCAAAACGATGCCAAGGACTTTGAGCAAGACGAGGAAGTCACTCTCATGGATTGGGGCAATGCATTTGTCAAGTCCATTCGACGCAATCCAGAAACAAATCAGGTTGAAAGCGTCGAACTTGCTCTGCATCTTGCTGGTGATGTGAAAAAGACCAAGAAGAAGTTGACGTGGCTTTCAAGCAGCATGGATCTGGCAGAAGCCTCAAAGCCAGTGGACCTCACTCTTTTTGATTATGACTACCTTATCACAAAGAAAAAGCTCGAAGAAGAAGACAGTGTTCAAGACTACCTTACTCCTGTCACAGAGTTCAAGGTGGACGCTTTTGGTGATGCCAACTTGCGTCTTGTCAAAAAAGGTGACATTTTGCAGCTTGAGCGCAAAGGATACTACATTTGCGATCGTGCATATGATGCGAATACTCCTGATCTTGCTATCCATTTAATTTTCATTCCAGATGGAAAACTTGCATCGCTTGCTTCAAAGGCAACTGACAATAGTTGCGCAGCCTCTACAAAGCCTCTTGGCTCTAGTTCCGCCACTGCCAACAAGAAAAAGGAGGGCAAAGCAACTTGCGTTGCCGCTAACGAAAAAAGTGGAGGTGTAGCAGCTGGCAGTATTGTTTGTCCCGATACAATGTATCAAGTTGATTCTGTTTATGGCCAACAAGAAAGCATATTAGATTATCCCAATGATAAGATGTACAAGGTGGAACCCGTCTATGGACCTGAAGATTTAGGTACTCAAAAACCTAAAAAGGCAGCCAAAGCAGCAGCCAAACTATCTGGATCTGCTAAAGTATCTGAAGCCCCCAAGACAGCTACCATGGAATCATCATTAATTTCCAAGCTGGATATTGTTGTCGGAAAAGTGCTGGATGTCAAGAAGCACCCTGATGCGGATACTTTGTATGTTGAGCAGATTGATGTTGGCGAGGACAAGCCTCGTGAAGTGGTTTCTGGGCTTGTGAAATTTATGACTGAGGATGAAATTCGAGGCAAAACCATTTTGGTTCTCAAGAACCTCAAACCTGTTGCGTAAGTTTTTGTACTTGCTTATTGGCCTGAACAGATAGATTCTAAATACTTTTAGGATGGTTTGATTATTGTAGAATGCGTGGCATCAAGTCCTACGCAATGGTGCTTTGTGCATCCAATGCCACGCATGACAAGATAGAGTTTCTTGTTCCTCCTGCTGGCAGTGTTCCCGGAGATCGTGTTTATTTCCAAGGTCATGAGGGTGTGCCCGAGGCACAGCTTAATCCTAAAAAGAAGGTTTGGGAGGCGATTCAACCGGATTTCACTACTCGAGATGATCTGGTTGCAGTCTGGAAAGATGTCGAGTTTCGTACTGCCAAGGGTGTTGTCACAACTTCTTCTCTTGCCAAAGCCAGTATCAAATAAGTACTGCACCACTTTCAATCTCAAAATAAAAAATTGACAAGATTAACTATCCATTAGCAGAAAAATCGACATTCATTGACAAATTCCACAAATTAAAGTTTTAGTCTTCATCCATTTCATCAGCAAGAGCTGCCTTTGCCAGACGAACGGCTTCAGCAGCAAGCTCTGCCGGAACCACTTGATGCATTCCTTTGGATTCATCACATATCCATGTTAGTTCAAGCTCAAAGCTTTTGTCTTTGGCCTCGTCATGTACAAAATGGATACTTTTAAACATGTCAGATACAATATTGTTAGTAACGATATAATTCTCCAGTTAGAACGTATTGGAACAACTACTTACATTCTTGCAGCTTCTTTGACGGCTTCTCTAGCAGTGAGTTCGGTAAATTTAAGTTTTTCAATTTCCGTCTTTGCAACTTGTTTTCCCTTTCCAACAGCACATCCATTGTAGCCCTATAGTAAATAAACAGTTCGAGTTACTACATGGTCTAATATGCATCAATACAGTTGTAGTGTAAAACAGTTTTCAACCGACTCATATCAGCAAAGACTTGCATAGAAAACACCAGACGGCTCAATCATGTACAATGCTGGACCATGAGTATCCATTGATGCAATGATTGTTGCAATACCAAACGGACGAACCGACGAGTATAGAGTAAATGCAGAAACGTACTGCGCAACACGATCTGCAATCATCTGCGTGAATTAGACATTTACATAGATTTACAAGTTGATTAGTACCTAGTTTTCGAGCTCAAAACCAAGATTCTTTGATTACAGCTTTAGTGTACCTTTGAGGGAATAGGCGACTTGTAGTTGTCTTTATAGTTGGCAGCCTCCTGACGAGCACGAGTAACTAAATGGCGAGAGTCGGCCAAAAGCCCAGCCCCAACCTAGATTGATACAATCGAAAAAAAGGCAATAGTTTAATTTATCATGCAATTTGAAGCAGGACTGCAGTATAATGGCGATTATGCTTACCATACCAATGTGCTGGTCAACAGTCTGAATGCGTCGATTGGAGCCAGGAACCAGCAATTTAGACTGAACTAGCTTTTCATGAGCAAGAACGACTCCGTCTTTTGCACGAATGCCAATGCAAGTTCTGTTATTGGAACAAAAAGATGAATTAGTTGTGAAATCAAGATTAGCAGGCGAGCTGGATCTAGATAATCAACGATATGAGATTTTACGAACACCAACAAGTTTAATACCCGCTGTTTTCGACGGCCTTGACAGCATACTCAACCTGGAAGATCCGACCATCTGGAGAGTAGGTTGATGCAGATAAATCGTACTGTATTATTGATATCCACAAGCCAAAACAGTTGCAAGGTCAGAGTTGAAGATCAAACATGTAGAAACAGAAGATAGAACAAGATGCCGACCACTGGCACAAGCCTATTGCAGACAAGCAAGCCATTGTATAAGAGATGGTCTTGACTAATCTGGACAAGACCAGGGTGAGTAGTTCAAGACTGCTCAGATCCAGTTATGAAATACAAATATACTGCAATGCATTGACAGACACAGTCCAGAAGCACTCCATATGCTGCTGCCCTTGCAGACTGCCATTCTCACTTACACCAGTGCCGATTGAACCCATTGCTGCGTATAAGAAAGAGTCCGCAAAATACAAAGTGCAATCCCTATATTTAAATTTGACATTCTCTATTATTATAGGGTCTGTACTGTATATCTTGCCGTTGCTGTTTTTGGATTTATCCCGCGGATTGCTCGGAATGTCGCTGGAAATCGAGGCTGCTGAGTACGCCTTTTTGTCAATCTTGTCTATTGCTGTTTCTATTTCTTATTCATTTCTTAGTGTTATTCGACTAGTTCAACAGTTTCTCAAAGAAAATAATTTATTGCGCTCTCTTGCCGTTCTTCAAGTATGCTGGCTAATTTTGCATAGAAACATGGATTCTTTTTTGAATTATTAATCTTCAATCCATTGGGTTTATAGGAAGAAACAAATATTTCATTGAATACTGTAGATAATGCTGAAGCTTTTAAAGCGGATATCCTACATGGAAGATGGGATGCTGTTCTTAAAACATTGTCAACCATCGCCGTACCTGCAAAAAAACTCATTGATTTGTACGAGCAGGTAATCCATTAATCAATAGGATCATATCTGCAAATCTATACAATCCATTGCTATGTGTCATCAAAAACAATGCCATTTATTCACCAACATTCAATAGATTGTCTTGGAATTGATTGAACTCCGTGAACTCGTGGCTGCAAGATCACTACTGCGTCAAACAGATCCTATGCATGTGCTTAAAGAAATTTATCCAGACAGATATCTTCATTTAGAAACGCTTTTGGGTAAATCTCATGTCAGTTCTAGCGAGGTGCGTACATTGTCTCGCTATACTATCCAAACTATTTACTTATCAACGGTATACTTGTATTTTATGTATTTGCAGATGTATCCTAATGGTGTCACTAAAGAAAAAAGACGCAAGGCTGTTTCTCAATGTATAAATCTCGATTATTTCTGTTTACACGGTGGATTGGATCATCATCTGATCATTGTATTATTTTCATATCTAGCGCTTGATGCTGAGATTGCTGTCGTTGCGCCATCTCGCTTGCTTGCACTGTTGGGCCAGTCAATAAAATGGCAGACTTTACAAGGTATGATCCAGCCAGATGCCGCATTCGATCTGTTTAAAGGAGTTTCTCCTGCCGCGCATGCTGAAGATGATACTCCACCATCCATAGCAGTGTCAACTATCAAGGTAAACCCATGCATTGAACATTTAACTTGTCATTTGGATTTAAATAGATTTTGCAACAGTCATGGTGTGAACATACAAACTATTCATTTCCTATCACTATTAGTTATACTTGATGCATTTCTAAAATCATATCCTGTATAGTTTCCAAAAAAACAATATGCAGAAGTCGCTACATTTTCACCCAATGGAAACTATTTTGTTACTGGTACGATTGATGGGCTGATTGAGGTTTGGAACTACATTACTGGAAAACTGCGCAAGGATTTGCCATACCAGGCAGCAGTATGTTTTTTTGCCATCTGATGTCATTGTTGAAACTTTCTACATTCTATTTTGAGTTGCTAATGTTGTGATGCTTAGGGAAACATCATGCTTATGGAAAGCGCTGTATTGAGTTTGACATTTAGTCGCGACAGCGAATTGTTGGCGTCAGGGTCACAGGATGGTAAGATCAAGATCTGGAAGGTGCATACGGGGCAGTGCATTAAACGATTTCCATTGGCTCACAGTCAGGGCATAACATCGCTGTATTTTAACAACGACTCAACCCAGCTTTTATCTGCTAGTTTTGATGGAGTAGTCAAGTTGAGTGGTTGCGTGTTATGCGATGCGTTTGTAAAGTGGATTGGCTAAACATTTTTATCAACCCCAATTATGGCAATAGAATTCATGGCTTAAAATCTGGTAAAACCTTGAGAGAGTTTAGAGGACATGCCTCATTTGTCAACAGGGCTGTTTTCTCTACAGACATGTCTCGTGTAATCAGCGGTAGCAGCGATGGTACTGTAAAGGTATAGTCGAATAGAATATGCAGGATATATTGTCTAGTCGATCATATTGACATGGTTTAAACTTACGATTTCTCATTAACATTAGATATGGGATGCCAAATCTGCTGATTGTCTTGTCACGCTGGCACTGCATAATGGCAAACTGGCTCCACTTGGTGTTCAAAGCTGTACAGTCACTTCAATTTTATTAACACCAAAAGATCCTGATCATATCATTGTTTCCAACGAGAGTTCTATCGTGTACATGATTTCAATCAAGGGAAAGGTAAATGCATTGCGTTGAAACTATCAATCCAAACCAATACACCAAAGCATTCGAGTTTTGTGAAATCTCATCACAAATTTATCTAGATTATAAAGACTATGAAGCTGGAAGCAGAAACCCCAACAGATTTTATCACTGCTGCTGTTTCCCAAAATGGCGAGTTTGTCTATTGCGCTGGCGAAGACGGAAAGATATACGCATTTGGGACTGAAGGTGCTGCGTTGGTATCCCATTTTGAAGTAGGTGATTTTGATTCAATGCCCATCATTCGACTCAAGCTACACTAGTTCTTGTACATTATTGATACGCCTTGATGGTTAAAACTGGTGCGATTTATAAACATTTAGGCATCCAAATCTGAAATTATTGGAATGACACACCACCCATTCTCCAACATATTGGCTATATACGCAGACAATGGACTAGTAAGTATGTGGAAATAAAAGATTTAAAGCGATTTATTTTGAGTCTCCTCTCTGCTACGATAGGATACACAAGGATTGACTTGAAAAATTTGGAAAAAATAAAAACCAAAGATAACAATATGTTATGTCGGGAGTTTAAAGAATAGTGCATCCGCACTTGTTTTGAGATTTGTCAGTAGTGTCTACGACAGTGACAGTAGTGATAGTGCCAACTGGAGGTTTGGCAGGAGCGGCAGGGGTGGAGGCGTAAGTCTCGATGTATTCGCGAGGCTGAAGTTCAAATGACTCTCGAACAGCCTCGATTTGTGGACTAAAGGTTGCCATGTGGGATTCTCGAGTTTCAAATGGCTTTTCAACTATAGAACTAACCAAATCATTTTGGGAAGTACGGTTTGAGATGGACGAAATAAAGTTTTCTTGTTCAGAAGTTGATTTGATGGTTTCAAGAACTGGGGCTTCGGTTTTACTGGGTACAACGGTGGTAATCACGGTACGAGTAACACCAGAAATTGTTCCAGGACCAACTGACTCGACAGTCTTATTCAAATTATTTTGAGTAGTGGTGAGATTGTAGACATCAGTAGGGAAAACAACTTTTTGGGCCGAGACCGTAGTTTCAATTGTCTTTCCAAAAGCAATATCTGAAGTCACAGGATTACGAGTTTCGTCAACTTTGAGTGCTTCAGACTCACGCCGAGCACTTGCTTCAACTTCGCGCTGAATACGATCGTACTCGGCCACAGCATCAACTTGTAACTGCATATTTTCAGATAGAGTGGCCGAGGGAATACCAGCATCTTGAGAAATGTGCTGCGTGACAACAGGTGCTCGGCGAGCGTGCTCAGTTTCTGCATGAATACGAGCTTCTTTTTTCAAAAGATACTCTTCACGTTCTTTAGCGCTCATTTTCTAAAACAGTACAATGCAGTTACAAATATAAAGTTAGCTAATGTAAATAAACCAGTTCATCAAGACTGTGAATTAAAAAGCCCTCTTACTTTGAGACGCTGATCTTCCTCAAAGCGTTTCATAGCCTCCTGCTGTTTGCGAAGACGCTCCTCGCGGAAAGCTTCTTCGTTACGCAAACGCTCAGCCTCAAGCTCACGACGGCGCTTTATATCCTCTTCATTGAGTTTTTTGGCAAGTTCAAGTTTGGCAAATGCCTTTTGTTCTTGAGCAACAGTAAAGGCACGATAGTCGGCTTCTGTTTTACGCTGTGCTTCCTCTTTTTGACGCTCAAACTCGGTCATGACAGATTCTTGACGAGCAAGATTCTCAACACGAGTTTTCTCCTCAAACAACTTGGAAAGACGTTCCTTATCAAGACGGCTTGCTTCCTCACGTTCAAGAGTCTGTTTAAGAACATGTGCCTTTTCAAACACCTCAGCTTCTTGCTTTTGAGTAGCTTGAAGTTGAGTCAATTTGGCTTGATCCATCTCAGCTTGCTTTCTTTGCTCAAAATCCAAAATATTCCTTGACCGTGTATTAGCTTCAAAACCATCTCCAGAAACACCAGAGGTGGCCAGTATAGTATCGGCAACGGTATTCTTGGTATGTCCGGTTTCAAGGGAATTGATTGTTTTTTCAGTATCTGCCGAATCAATCCTCTTTAAGTTGGTTTGGGAAACTTCGGTGTCAGTTAGCGCTATTGGGGTAGCAGCTGCAGATTCACTAGAAACAATTTCCTCAGTAACAGTAGTTTCTCCATTTGTGACTGTAGTAGTAGTCTTTACAACGGTAACAGTTGGTTCGGAATCATCGTCATAAGTGGTGGTGTATGTGGTATAGGTAATGGTAGTAGTAGTAGTAATAGTATCAAACTCGAATTCACCAGTTGAACTCAGCTGTTGAGAAGTAAGCGTAGATGATGATACTTTGGTATCGGTAACACTAAAATTTAAATAAACATAAGATAAATTGAATAAATGACAGTACAAAATAAATTGACAACTTACGGCTCGAGTGCAAAGTGATCAAAAGTAGATGCATCTACAAGAGGTGTAGACTGAGAAATGGATTCTGTGGCAGCTATAGCATCATTCGACAACGCGTTTGGAACAACGTATGTTTGCGAAGTAGAAGAAACAACAACAGGCTCAGAAACTGTAACCGCTTTTATAGACTGAGAAGACTCGGCGGCAGAAGCATTTTTATAACCAAAAAAGCGATTGTATAAAGCAGAACCACCCGTGGAAACTGCACCAGCAGTAATACTAGCTGGAGTGGTAGGTGTGCCAATCTGATCAATCTGATCAATCTGATCAACGTGCTCGATGGCATCAGTGATTTCTTTGGTATGTGTTGCTTCGATATGTTCATCGGCAACCACTTCAGTCTTGACAGTCTCGGTCACATCTTCGACATTGACATGCTCGATTGGAGCGGTCTCGGATGCAACTGCGTACATTTCATGAACGGTTTGTTTGACTGGTGACACGATCTCATGCTCAACGTGTTCAGCGTGTTCAACGTGCTCGACATGAGTGTCTGCAGCTTCTTCGACAACTTCGACAACTTCGACAACCTCGGTGGTCTCGGTAGTTTCAGTGGTCTCGGTAGTCTCGGTAGTTCCAGTGTTCTTTTTGCGACCAAACAGTTTGTTGTATATGCTGGTGCCTGCAACTGCAGCTCCACCTACGACTGCTGTACCAGCTGCAATGGCTACACCACCAACTGCATGTGCACCCTGACCGATAGCATGGCCTGCATCTTCTGCAGTGTGTTTGACAGTGTCAACAATGTGCAAATCGGTGCTAGATTTAGTAGGTGTGTCAACGTGTTCGACTGATTCACGAACATCTTCATATGTGGCATTGGCATGTTCAGTAACAGTTTCATATGTGTGCTCAACCACATCTGGATGTGCAACATGTTCGACGTGTTCGACGTGTTCAACGTGCTCAATTTGATCAATCTGATCAACGTGTTCAACGTGTTCGATGGCATCAGTGATTTCTTTGGTATGTGTTGCTTCGATATGTTCATCGGCAACCACTTCAGTCTTGACAGTCTCGGTCACATCTTCGACATTGACATGCTCGATTGGAGCGGTTTCGGATGCAACTGCGTACATTTCATGAACGGTTTGTTTGACTGGTGACACGATCTCATGCTCAACGTGTTCAGCGTGTTCAACGTGCTCGACATGAGTGTCTGCAGCTTCTTCGACAACTTCGACAACCTCGGTGGTCTCGGTAGTTTCAGTGGTCTCGGTAGTCT